AATTAAGAAGTATATTTATTTTTATAATATAATCCTTAATTAATATACTTACTAAAGTTATAAACTCTAGCTCTACGCCTTTAAGGCACTAAAGTATATTTAGCCTAATACCTTTATCTTTAGGGGGTTTAGAGTTCTTCCCTATCTTATTAAAATATTATTTATTAATATATTTATTTTTCTTATAATTAAAATATTGCCCTTCTTTTATTAACTATTCTTATTTCTCTAAAAATTTAAACCTCCTTATTTTATATTCTAAATAAGTCTTTATAGAGATTAATTAAAATAATTTATCCTTTTATTTATCCTGTATATATAGGTAAAATTAGTCTTTTTCCCTTATATAAGGTTAAGATTATTCCTTCTTCTTAAAGTCTTTTAATTAAGATTTAATAGAGTTTTTAAGACTTTATTTAATAATTATAGCCTTAAAAGCTAATTAGTTTAAATTAGTTAGAATATATATGTACTTAAATAACTAATTCTATATATCTTCTTATAGTATAAAGAAGAAAGTTTAGCTTTAGATATTATTCTCTAGGGCTAATTTAGCTTTATAAAGCTTAAATTTATTATAAAATTCCTAAGTAATTTATCTTAGCTATTATTTTAGCCCCTAGAATTATATAATAGCTATTTAGGGTTAATATTATAGATTCTTAAGATAATTTAATAGCTATTATTAAAATCTCTACTATAAAGTTATAATTAAAGTAAGAAGTTTATAACTTTAAGCTATTCTATAATTATTTAAAAGCAATATAATAGTATAGTTTATCTTACTAGCTTCAGTTTAAAATATTAATATATTATAGGTAAAATATTAATCTATATAGCAGTACTAATAATAATAAATATTTAAATCTTTAACTTAATATTAATAAGGTTTAGGCAGTTTAATAATAAACTTAGATTTAAGAGCTATATTTATTTATTTTATTAGTTCTATAACTATAGCTATACTTATCTTTTCTAATAATCTCTAAGTTATATCTTATAGAGCTCTTATTACTATACTATTAACTTAATGCTAAGAATTTAATAAGATAATAGGTTTAGTATTAATAGTATTTAATTCTTATTAAATCTTAAAGTCTATAATACTTCTTAAATTTATTAGATTTTTTAAGTCTATAATAATTATTAGTTTAGGCTAATTAAGACTAATATTACTTACTAATCTTAATTGCTTAAGATTAATAATATTTGCTAATTTAAGTTAAGCGCTAGGCTCTAAGCTATATTTAGATTCTTTATACTAATCTCTAATACTATTTCCTAATATCTCTTCTCTTCTTAATATACTATTAATTAAGCAATTTAAACTATAAAGAGCTAGGGTAAGGAAGCTTTTTATTAAAGATAACTAGTTAGACTAGTTAAATAGAATATAAGATAAGAGATAGAAATATAGGCAAATAGCTATTTATATATAATAGAGTTAAGAGTTAAGTTTAGTAATAATTAGAATAAATTATTAATTTATCTAACTTCTATTTTTTTAGAGGTTATTTATTTATTTATCTATTCTATTAGATTATCTAAATAATTTAGTTTTAATAGCTCTATTTATAACTAGCTAATCTAACTATTATATATAAATCTAGTTATCTTATTATCTTTTATTATTTATCTTAGATTATTTATTCTAGGTCTTAGTAGGTCTAGATTAAGTATTATAGCTCTAGTTTGTAATAATTAAATACTTACTATTTAAGGCCTTTTATAGCTTTAATTCTAATAGCTAGGATAAATATAATATAAGAATAAGGTTAAATATTCCCGCTATTAAGGAATAACTTAAAGAATTATTAAATATTAAGGTAAAGTTAGAAAAATACTTATAATATATTATTAAGGTATAAGCGAAGTATTATAATAAGAAATATATATTTAAATTATATAAAATAAGGGATTAAATTTTTTTATTAATAAAGAATCTATAAACTAATTAATTAAATAAAAAGTTAGACTATTAATTTTCTAGACCTTATAAAGTAATAGAGATAATTAAAAAGTAAGTATATTAATTATAACTACTAAAAAGCTTAAGTAGAATATATCTAATATTTTATATATCTCTATTAAAACTTTATAATTAATAAAAAGAGATAAAACTTAAATAGCTAAATTTAGTTCTTATTAATAAAGAATAGAAATAAAAAATAAAAGAAATTTTTAATAAATAAACTTTTTATAAAAAGAAATAATTTTTAATAAAATAAAAAAAATATCTTTTATATAAAAACTTATAGCAGATATTAAAAAATCTTATATATATAATTAAAGCTTTAGAGGAGTATTATAATAAGAATCTTAATAAGGCTCTTAATATAGATAAGCTGCCTAAATAAAGGTAATATAAAGGAAAGCTAAAAATTAGAAAGTAAAATAAAATAAATAGGTAATAATACTTTTTCTTTTATTAGGTTTTTTAACTATTATTAAATATATTACTATATATATATTACTTTTTCTTTAATTTTTTTATAGGGTTTAAGAGTTTTAAAAAAAATATAAAAAAAAGAAATCTTAATAAGAATAATTTAATTTAATTAGGCTAGCCTTAGCTAATAATCTAAATATAAGCTTATAAAATTATTTTATTTAGCTATTTTATTATTATAAAATCCCTTAATAATATCTTCCTTCTCCTTATTAAAGAATAGAGGCAGTTTTTATAATTAGATAAATATATTTACTATATATAAGATATTATAATTTAATAAATAGATTATTTAATATAACTCTTAAAAAAGATATAATAACTCTAATTTAAAATATAATAAAGTTAGTAAAATAATAGTAGTATTAAGCTAGTATTTAATAGTCTTAAATATAGATTTTTATATATATACTTCTATAAAAAAAATATATATATTTATAGCCTTATTAAAAGACTCTAAATTATTTAAGAGATAAGCCTTTTAGCTAAGACTTTAAATATAAATTAATTTAGCCTTATATACTAGCAGTATAAAAATTTATAGCTTATAAAGGCTCTTATAATAGAAATACTTTATATTAATATAAGAATAGATATATTATTATTTTAGATTTTATATTAAAGCTTTTAAATAATAAAGATATATCTCTTATAAGATAGGAGAAAAATCTTTAATTAAACTCTCTAGGCTAAAAGAATCTATAATAAAGTCTGCCTTAAAGATAATAGAATAATTTATTATTATATTAATATTAGTAATAATAGTTAATATTATTATTTTAGTAAAAATTAAATTAATTTAAGGAGGAAGTATTTTAATAATAACCTTAATTCTAGGAATAAGAATTATAATAATATCTTAAATTCTCTAAGTCTCTATATTAGGAACCTTTTTTATTTTTAATTTTTTTTATAATTTTTTAATTAATTAAGCAGGAATTTTCTTTGCTATAGGTATAATAAGAATAATATTATTATAATTATATTTTAACCTTTAAAGAGAATATAATAAACTAGCCTATATCTTTTTATATATAAGAAGAATTATATTATTAAATATAAACTAATCCCTATATATTTTAGGTAAGAGATACTTCTTTATTAAGAGGTCCTTTATAGATAATTTTAGTAGAGATACTCTATTACTATTATTAATAGTAATAAATAAAATAATTTATAAAAAAAGAGTTATTAGTTTTAATATTATATTAGTAGTTAAAGATATAGAAGAGGGAGATAACTTATTAAGCTATTTATTATTTATATTAAGCTAGTAACTAAATAAATAATCTTTAGTTAGTAATTATAATAGCTTAAGGCTAGCTATAGAGGCCTTATTAAGAGAGCTTAAAATAAATAAAATATACTTAAAGCGCTTAAGAGGTATTATTATATTAATTAGCACTATTATATAAATTTAAAGGGTTATAATTTATATTAAGTATATATATAGGATTTATAAAAAAAATAACTTAAAAATCTTATTTTTAATATATCTATATAACTATTAGCTATTTCTATATTTAAATTATTAAAAGCAGTACTAAATAAGCTGCAGAAATAAGAAAAGGATAGCTTAATATATAGATAGAAAAATAGGAATTAGTTAATAAAAAATAGAAATACTCCTAATCTTTTAGATAAAAATATTAAAATAAAGCTAATATTAAATAAATTTATATAATAAGTATGCCTTAATAGCAATTTATTACTATTATTATAGCTATACCTAAATATTTAGACCTATATAATAAACTTTATATAGCTTAGGATAAGCTTTTTAATAGAGGGAGATATTATTATAAATTAGAGTTATAATACTTAATCTAGATCTGCTAAGACCTAGAATAAATAACTTAGAATAGATAATAAAAGATAATAAGATAATTAGATTTATATATAATAGTTAGATTAGCTAGTTATAAATAGAGCTATTAAGACTAAATTATCTAAATAACCTAATAGAATAGATAGATAAATAAATAACCTTTAAAGAAATAAAAGTTAGATAGATTAGTAATTTATTTTAATTACTACTAAATTTAACTTTTAATTTTATTATATATAGACAGCTACTTGCCTATATCTCTATCTCTTATCTTATATTCTGTTTAACTAGTCTGACTAGTCACCTCCGATAAAGAGCTTTCTCACCCCAGCTCTTTACAGTTAATCGATCGGTATCTGAGTGTTGTTCTTGTTGTTCTTGTTGGCTAAGATTCAATATGGACAAACAAGGTCAGCGTCGCAATGACATCATGAGAAGTCCGACATCCCGCAGCAACCAACGAGAATTGGGCGATTTCTCCTCCTGACATATTGGGAAAACCGCGGATGGGCTTCCGAGGAATTTATTTTCTTATAAATAAAGAGCGAGAGGAATCAAATTTGACTTGTTACTTACTGTACTTGTCAATCTTGGTCGTGTTCAATTCGTTAGGGCTAAGCTGTTGCTGTTGCTGTTCCATTCATAGCCTTCATTATACAAAAAGAACTTCGACCTCAAAGCCACACGGATCGCCAGGACAAACAAACATTGAAGTTCCAAACCATGGGTAAAACTACATTAGCCGGACAGCTTAATGATGTCGGGCTCGACTTCGATATCGCCGTCAAGCAGGCCACCGTGACCCAACAACGGCGTCCGGCTACCGCGATCGATCGTGATATCGAGAAGCCAGGCGTAGCACGGGCGAACAGGGCCGTGTCGACCGACGAGCCAGAAGGAAAGAAAGAATACGTCGGAAAGTTTAAGGATTATGTGAGTTTCGCTCAATTGCAGCCCATAGCGAAATATATCGCAATGGAAAATAGAATGATGCTAACCATGTATATCCCCCAAACCCAGTCCGTCATGCAACAACATATTCTCTTCTGGGATCGTGATAATGACGGTCAGATCTATCCATGGGACACATACGTCGGATTCCGCGAATTGGGATTCAATATCTTCTTCTCGCTCCTTGCGGTTCTAGTCATTAATTTGAACTTCTCGTATCCGACTCGTCTGGCTCATTCGTGGCTTCCGGATCCGTGGTTTAGAGTCTATGTTGATAGTGTGCATAAGGCAAAGGTGAGTCTCGAAAACAAAACAAAAAAAGAACGATTTCCCCTCGAATTGGGGCATATGAACGAACGAAAGCGAAATCCATACACCCGGTAGATAAGAAGCTAATATCCCCCAGCACGGCTCCGATAGCGGTACCTATGACATGGAAGGACGATTCACACCACAATCATTTGAGAATATTTTTTCCAAATACGATATGGATCGAGATGGTGCTCTTAGTTTGAAAGAGACGTTTTCGATGATGGCTGGTCATCGATGTGCGGCTGATCCATTTGGGGTGAGTTGGATTATACATATCTCCTTTCTTTATTTCTTTCTTGTTTCTCAAGATATATATCCTTGTTTTTCTTTTGTTCGTTATCATTATGGTATATGGAATTTAAAACTGACTATCTCCATGATACCAGTGGGGAGCAGCATTCTTCGAATTCGGAACCACTTGGCTTCTTGTCCAGCGTGATGGGAAGATTTTCAAGGAAGATTTGAGAGGAGTCTACGATGTAAGTTCTCTCTCGCCCGGTCGTAATATTCTAATTTCTCTTATCCAGACAGGTAAAAGGGTCCTTCTAACTTTTTTGACTGCTGCTTCTAGGGCTCTATCTTCTGGCGCATTAGGGACGCTCGCAAAACAAAGGCCGGATGGAACCAAGGTTTCGGTCTTGGAGGGGATGGGCTCTTTGGCGCGACGAAGGTGGCTTAAGTTGATTACGTTCTGTTCTATCTCTTCAACATTAATGAATAGGGAGGCATATGGCAGTTTGAGCTGGAAGTATTATTTAGCTTATAGACATGAGCTCATAGACATGCATGCATGATAGTCATGATCCTTCTTTTCTCCGATCCTATAAATTATTTTTATAGGAATATGCCTAACAGATCCAGCAGATAGTGTCTCAGTATTCGTTATTTCGTTCCCGGACGAGTGTCCACTAGCCTGGAGAGTTGGCCTGATGATAGTAACTATCGCTTGCATAGTCAGATGTCCGTTCGAAAGCCATGATAACCCGGCGCGGCATAATTGTTGGGCTCGATTCATGGCATCGGAGACCCATGACAGTGATTTTTGTTGCCGACTGCGTCAAGCTAACTTCGCAGAACAGCAATGCTTCGAACGTCCGCGAGCTGATCTGATATCTCAGAAATGCGGCGCGACGTCATTAAAGACCCGACTCTCTGAATTCGAGTTTCAGTGATACAGCTTTCCGGAGCTGTTATTTCGCAAGAGCGCACCAAATGTGCCGCCGTATCAACCGTGGTTCTGATAAAGCAGCGCCAACAGAGAGAGGGGAAGAGAGAGAGAGAGGGCTTATGCGCGTTCAACCTCTGCCCTGTGAGAAAAAAGAGATAATTTATGCAGAATCCACCTGGTGCGCCCTCAGCTTGTTCATGATCCCATCAATGGTATCCATATCGCCAGCATCGACCTTCTCCCCGCGAGGATAGCCTTGGCCTTCGGGGAGATGCTTGACGAACTCGTCCATGCCAGGCTGGTAGTTGCGCACTGCTGAAGATAGAGCATAGACGGCCTTGCGGCGCACTGCCTGGTCTGGATCGGTGGTGGACATGTCCACGAGAGTGGGGAAGGCGTTGAAGACGAGGAGCTGTTTTAGAGGGAAAAAAAGTCAGTTAGCAATCTAATTCATGCAATCCAACACGAAAAGGGAATTTTCAAAAAAAATATATATGTATTTACGTACCTTATCCTGCGCCTTTTCATTATTCTGCACCGCCGTTCCAACACACCACGCCGCCATCTTCCGCATCTCTTTCTCCTCATGCTTCAGCAACTCCAGCAGCGGCGTCCACAGACCCAGATTCTCCATGTTATTCGCATTATCCACCGTCTCGATGAGCTGTTCGAAGTTGTCAAAGGCGATGAGCTTGTTTTCCAAATCGACTTCGTCCGAGTGCAGCGCCGCCATGGCTTCTTTCATCAGGTCAGCGTCGGAGGGGCCGCCGAATAGTGCGGCGAGGGCTTGCGGATTGAGACCCCGCGCCGGAGCACCAGCAGACGAGGCATTGTTGTCTGTGGCATTGGTGGTGGTTCCGGAGGAGTTTTCGATTCCCCATTTGAGGAGATTGTTCATGTTGGCGTCCATTGTGGTGGTGGTGGTGGGTTTTCTTTTTTTGCGATCTCTGGTTTTCTATCGCGACGTTGACGATGGATGTATGTAATAATGTGTTCGTTTCAAAGAGTATAGGATGAAAAGAATCGAACTTGAATCTGACTATTTCGGTGTCTCAAACTATAATCTAGGAAAGAAAAAAAAGGCCGTTTTTCTTACAGTAGGTAATAATGGTAGTTGACTGACGTATCTGGAGACGGAAGTGCGTATTAATTAATTAACTAGTAGGTTCGCGCGGACGCTTCTTCCTTCCACTGTCTTCCACCGCCAAGCCAGCTCTCCGCTCTCTCCGTGTGCGGGAATCTACATACAGTTTGACTGTATGGTATGGAGTAATGGAAAGCAAGTCTCGCATGAAGTGCGGTTATTTGTTTTGGTGTTACGAGACTCGTCTAGACTGAATTTTCGAGGGGTCGAAGGGGAAAAAGAGAGGTTGCATCCGCGCATCCCACCTTCTTACTACGTGCCCGATGTGCCCCGCCATCAGGAACCCCGCGCCGCTGAACAGGAATGAACACTCTGCGTGCGCTCTCGAAGCGGTTCTCACGGGGAAGCTAAGCCCATATCATATGCAGGATGGCTCGAAGAATCGTATACCATACCATAGAAGGTGAAATATGCAAGTCACGAGAGTTGATTCCCCGCTCCAGCAGGATGGTGAATGATCCAATCAAGTCTGGACATTTGTGAACTGATAGAGTAAGTACTCGAGTAACTGACTACTTAGTGGCGCGGTGCCAGCCAAGAGAAATCCATTTGGTAGATGAGATAACGGTCGAATCTGTAACTATCATCAATCGACCGATGCATGACGACCTACTTTAGATCAGTCTCGCCCGCTTCTGCGAAGACCCTGCTTCTTGTAGTGTAGAATCTTAGATGTGATCTCCAGCCAGCTAGTCAGGAAGGGGAAGGAATCTGGAAGCATCGTAGTTCCTTACTAATAGCCGCGCTGAGCTAGTTTGCTACCTACCATCTGGGCATCTGGGCGCTTAGAATACTCTATATGTAGACACTTTGAAGATAGTGCGGTGGAAGTCTCTAACTGTTCAATAATGTCCACGGGAGAACTCCAGGTACGGAGTCTCTATGCATCACGTCCCCTAGTGATATAGGTTTAGTCTGCAATCACCAATGATTCCCCTTACTGAGGTATCATGATAAACATGGAATAGGGAATGAGGAACTCCTTGCGAATAAGCACGTGCACCAGCATCATATGATTAATTAGCGATTAGCCAGTATACTCTCTCTATGGAGGAAATACTACTACGCTGGGAAGAATGCCGCTGATGGATCCAGATCGATGCTGTCCAGGACTCTGTCTCGATGGAAGAAACGAAGGAATGCCCCAGGAGGGTCACATGACCACTAGACCCCGCGCCAGGGAGTTTCGCTCAGCATCAGCGACTTTTCGCTAAGCAACAAAATACGGTGATGGGATTGGCAAAAAGGCGGTAAAGGGGCGGATTCTTCACCGCGCAGTGCCAGGCGACCCCCAACCACGCTTCAGATTGCCATCCAGATAGGATACAGGCAGCTGGAATTCCGGTGGCCAGGAGGAACGCGCGTTAGAAGGCGCAGCCGGTGCCCTGTGTTGCCCAGCCATGGTTTGGTTTGGTTTGGGGAAGAAGCAGAGGCGCGAAGGCAGATACATTATTATTCCCCCCATGCCAAGAACAACGCAACGCAACGTCGGATGATGATATGATATCTTCGCGAAGCAATACGGAGTAATGAGAGTAACTATGTCGTTAGTGACTATTATTAGTCAGTTCCTGGAAGCAAAAGAAGAAGAACTTCGGCCAGCGTAACCTAATCTCGGGAAACATGGGTTTGGCAGCGCGGTGAGGCTCTGCGGACCCTCGTTTTGAGTATTGTACTAGAGCACCTCTAGAACGCCAGTAGTGACTCCTACTACGGAGTCGATCATCCCCGGCATCCTCCAGAATTAGAAGTCATTATTCTCACACGCTGGGTCGCTGGCACGGGCTGCTGTGAACCGGCGGAACTGCTGGGCGTTGGCGTCTGGAACTGGCACGGGCAGACCCACGAGGTGTGCGCAAGTGGTTTTGCCATCGCACGGTATGAGCCGGGAAACAGAGCCAAGAGCAAAGGGAGGAAGACGAAGAAGATGGGGGAGGAATGCGTATAATGGTGCTGCCTGGTGTTGGTGATTGATTAAATAATAACAATCAGAATAATAATAATTATAATATATACCAAACAGGCGACCAGAGGGAAAAAAGCAGAGACAGCCGGATTCCCGCCCGCTGCGACTGGTGCGGTGCGCCTTCGAAGACCGGCGGCACACTCGCTCAACCAACAGGCCGACTGACCCCCTTCCCAGCCCACTACACTAAACTCATCCAACTCCCCTTCCCTTCTCCCATCGCCAACATCAACAACCCCGTCCTCCTATCTCATCCATCCCGCACCATCCCTCTCCTCCCGTCTACATCCTCATCTTGCCTGCTCTCTCCTCCCCAGTCGTGTTCGCTGCACGACCTTTTTAGATTTCTTCGTATTTGATTTTCTTTTCGTCAACCTCTTAATCTCTATTTCAGCCACCATGGAAGGTAAGCTTCCCCCCCCGTTTATGACACCTCAGCTGCTTCACCCGCCAGCGCACCCGATTTTCAACCTCCACCAACCTCGATATCTCGATTGCTAACCAAATCTCCCTCAATACAGAGGAAGTCGCTGCCCTCGTCATCGACAATGGGTACGTTTTTCGCACGCTGCATGATCGCTCGACGTCTTTTTCCCACACTGGTCGTCACCCACCGTACCTACCGGTTTCGCGGCGATAATCCCTCGTTGCCTCTCCCCCCCATTTCCTGGCGTAAACGAGACGATATCATGCAGTATCTTTCTACCTGGGAGGAATAATGTTACTGATACATGGCCTGTAGTTCGGGTATGTGCAAGGCCGGTTTCGCCGGTGACGATGCCCCCCGAGCCGTCTTCCGTAAGTCATTAAACCCCGCAGAAGCTCCCCAAGGGGGTTCGAGATGGCGTCTATGCCCTTGCATATGCCTCCGGACCCCCTCATGTTTAACCTCGTGCATGTCAAACTGACAGCTTGATAGCGTCCATTGTCGGTCGTCCCCGTCATCATGGGTAAATATCCCCTCTCTCCCCCCAATCTTTGAACCCTCCGGTCCCAGGTCCGGGCCTAGGCTCGCCCCGGGGTCTGGATGCTGGACAATCCCACATGTGGACTAACAGCTGCGTAGTATCATGATTGGTATGGGTCAGAAGGACTCCTATGTTGGTGATGAGGCACAGTCGAAGCGTGGTATCCTGACTCTGAGATACCCCATCGAGCACGGTGTCGTCACCAACTGGGACGACATGGAGAAGATCTGGCACCACACCTTCTACAACGAGCTGCGTGTCGCTCCTGAGGAGCACCCCGTTCTGTTGACTGAGGCCCCCATCAACCCCAAGTCCAACCGTGAGAAGATGACCCAGATCGTCTTCGAGACCTTCAACGCCCCCGCCTTCTACGTCTCCATCCAGGCCGTTCTGTCCCTGTACGCCTCCGGTCGTACCACTGGTATCGTGCTGGACTCCGGTGACGGTGTCACTCACGTCGTCCCCATCTACGAGGGTTTCGCCCTCCCTCACGCCATCTCCCGTGTGGACATGGCTGGTCGTGACTTGACCGACTACCTCATGAAGATCTTGGCCGAGCGTGGCTACACCTTCTCCACCACCGCTGAGCGTGAAATTGTCCGTGACATTAAGGAGAAGCTGTGCTACGTCGCCCTCGACTTCGAGCAGGAGATCCAGACCGCTTCCCAGAGCTCCTCCCTGGAGAAGTCCTACGAGCTTCCTGACGGTCAGGTCATCACCATCGGTAACGAGCGTTTCCGTGCTCCTGAGGCTCTGTTCCAGCCTAGCGTCCTGGGTCTGGAGAGCGGCGGTATCCACGTCACCACTTTCAACTCCATCATGAAGTGTGATGTCGACGTCCGAAAGGATCTCTACGGTAACATCGTCATGGTATGTTTTTTATCCATTCTGGAGTGACTTGAACGATAGGTCTCTAGAACGAATCGCTGACGTATGCTATAGTCTGGTGGTACTACCATGTACCCCGGTATCTCCGACCGTATGCAGAAGGAGATCACCGCTCTTGCTCCTTCCTCCATGAAGGTCAAGATCATTGCTCCCCCTGAGCGCAAGTACTCCGTCTGGATCGGTGGTTCCATTCTGGCCTCCCTGTCCACCTTCCAGCAGATGTGGATCTCCAAGCAGGAGTACGACGAGAGCGGTCCTTCCATTGTCCACCGCAAGTGCTTCTAAGGTATGACCAACCCAGAGACTCGACAGGACCTGTCATGAGCTGTATCTGACCTTTTTTTCTTCCAGCAACTACAGCGGATAATGGTTTCTTTCGTTCCTTCGTACCTTTCCAGGTTGTACCAAAACGCAGGGCGATGGCGGTGGCGGCTGATGATAGACCTTCTCTGAATCGCAATGTCAAGGCGATATCCTGCATAGGGACAAAATTGTGGAACAGAGACGGGCTATTTGGAAGGGTCTTAACTCTGCCGGAGGAACTCCTTTGACGGTTGATCGATTCAGCGTAGGAAAGTCCAAGGTGTTGGAGAGGAAAAGTTGAAGATACGATTGAAGGCTCTTGATATTACTTTCAATACTCGTACTTGGCCCCTTTTACCTTACCCGATACTTCTTTTTCTTCCTATCCACGGAATCTGAGTTCCCGAAAAAAAAAGGACAAAAAAACTGTCAAGTGCGACTCCCGTTGACTACTTAGGATCCTATATTTCCCCACTTCTTTCTATCACACCCTGCCACCATGCGCCCCTTTTTTCTCACATACATCTTATACTCGCCCTTTTCTTTTCGCAAACAAGCAGCAGCAGACAAACCCGAGTATCCTGAATATTAGTCGAATTATCAAAAGTTGACCACGCTTCTGCTCTGTGTAGGTAATAGTATCTCGTAGCGCCTTTTCGGAAGGACTAGTCTGTTCGCAGGAGCTCGTAGCTAGCTACCTATATATGCACTCTGCACGTGCCGGCTATACTCTATCTACTAAGTTTCTACTAAGTTTCTACCTACCTTATGTTAGGTAGGTACCTGAGTAATAGCTATGACGTAGTTTTTCCCGTGTAAATGGTAATATCTACTCCGTTGGGTACCTTAGAAGCATGCATGTATCTCTTAATTAACCATTGAACTGAACTCATTTCTAGTTTAGGGACATTTCTACTGATTTGTATGTATGTATATCCGAACGGGCGTAACATCTTGCAAGTCTTGTGCGTCATCGTCTCCTTTGATTTCCTTCGCATTTGATCTCTGATTTTGGAACTTTTTTTATCCCTCGTAAATAAATGACATCTAGAGGATAGTGGGTAGTCAACCAAAAAAAAGGGGTAGATAGGTAGCTAGGAAAGTATAGCGTAACGTAACGTGATGTGACGGAACGGAAAATAAGGGTGATAACATGAAAAAATGGAAAAAAAAGGGAATCATTCTCGTTTTTTTTATCGAGGAAAGGGGAGGGGATCGAAATCACGCGTCCCAGCTCTCCAGACCGGTAAGGACGCAGCTCTCCTCGCCGGCGTTCTTGACGCGGAGTTCTCCGACTTGGTAGACGGTTTCGCCTTCCTGCTCGAGAACGGAGCGGACGGCGTCCTCGCAGCCCTTCTCGACGACGATCACCATGCCGACACCGCAGTTGAAGGCACGGGCCATCTCGGCCGACGAGACATTGCCGGTCTTCTTGAGCCATTGGAAGACGGATGGCAGCTGCCACGAGGTGACGTTGATGTGAGCCGTCAAGGTGGCAGGCAGCATGCGGGGGACGTTCTCGACGAGACCACCACCGGTGATGTGGGCGAGACCCTTGATGGCGGAAGGGGATGTGGAGGTGTGGGAGGATGGGGTAGAGAGGGCCTTCAGCAGGGGCTTAACGTAGATGCGGGTTGGGGTGAGGAGGGCAGCTCCAACAGAGAGAGGAGAGGAGGATGAAGGCATCGTGAAGGGAGCAGGGTCGTGGTAGCTGAGACCGGAGCGTTCCACAATCTTGCGGACAAGGGAGTAGCCGTTGGAATGGATTCCAGAGGAACCCAGAGCGAGGAGAACGTCTCCGGGCTTCATGGAAGAAGTATCCGGCAGGATAGGTCTGGCATTGTCGCCAGTGGTGTTGATGGCGCCGACAGCAGCACCAACGGCATCGTACGTATCCTCGACGAAGAGACCTGGCATCTCGGCCGTCTCACCACCGACGAGGGCACAGCCAGCCTGCACACATCCCTCCGCAACACCGGCGACGAAGGCAGAAGCCGTCTCGACGTCGAGGTGACCGCAGGAGTAGCAGTCCAAGAAGAAAAGAGGCTCCGCACCCTGGACGACAAGATCGTTGACGTTCATGGCAACAAGGTCGATACCGACAGTGTTGTGGATACCCATGACGTGCGCGATCTTAAGCTTCGTGCCCACTCCATCAATAGCTCCAATTATGGTCGGGGAGTGTGGGTGATAGGCTGGGTTCGCAGCAGCAAGAGAGAAGGTACCTCCAAAACCACCGATCACTGCGTCGGAACCGGGACGACGAGTGCGGGCCACGGAGGTCTTGATGCGGTTCACCAGCTCGTTACCAGCGTCGATAGAGACACCTGCGGAGGCGTATGTGAGGCCCTCCTCGGTCTTCTGTTTCTGAGAATCTCTGAAGGCACGGTGGGCAATGTCCTTGCGGTAATGCATGCCCTGGAAGTGGATCGTGGAGATACCGACGTAACTCTTGCGAACGGCCTCCTCCAAGGTCTCAGCAGTAGAGGTAGCGGCGATGACACGTCCACCGGAGCTCTGCAGCTCGTTGCCAACCAACGTCGTACCTGCGTGGAAGATCATAGTGTCCTCTGGGGTAGGATCCAGAGTAATGGGGCGTCCCTTGGCGTACGAGCCAGGATATCCTTCTGCGACAGCGATGACAGTCGTAGCAAACTTGGGCTCGACTTTAATGGCGACACCATCCAGCCAGTGTTCCGTACAAGCAACCATGATCTCAGCGAGGTCGGTATCCTCGCTGAGTAGAGGCAGAAGAGTCTGAGTCTCAGGGTCACCACCGCGGACGTTGTATTCGAGAACCTTAGGTCCATTCTTCGTCATCATGAGACCGGTGAAGAGGATACCGACGAGAGGATATCCTGTTCTAGTTAGACTCACAGGGAAAAAGAAAAACAGAACAAGAGGATTTATTTCTCACCTTCTCGTCTCATTCCATCAATGGTAGGCTTGACGATAGTCCGGTCAATTTCCTCCAGAACTGCCTTTGAAGCAATCAATGTAGGAGCATAGCAGCCCATTCCTCCTGTGTTGGGGCCCTGATCGCCGTCAAAGATACGCTTGTGGTCCTGCGCCGGGGGCAGGGACTTGATCGTGTAACCGTCACTGAAGGTCAAAATACTAAGTTCGTCACCGTCGAGGTACTCCTCGATGACAACTTCATCCCCAGCTTCACCGAATTGGTGGTCCAGCATGATGTCGCGCAGAGCCTGGTGGGCCTCCTCCTTAGTCGTGGGAATGATGACACCCTTGCCGGCTGCCAGACCACTGGCCTTGATAACAACCTGGTGTGAAACAGAGTCGAGGTACTTGCGGGCGGCTTCATAGTCGGTGAAGTTCTCATATTCTGCGGTTGGGATGTGGTGGCGCTTCATGAAGTCCTTGGAGAAGGCCTTGGAGCCCTCCATACGAGCGGCGGCCTTGGATGGACCGAAGCATCGGATACCGACTGTGCACAATCAGCAACATGTCCAGCAAAACAGCATCCGGGAAATAAATTGTATCTACATACCCGCCTGGAAGTAGCCTTGAATACCATCCACAAGGGGAGCCTCGGGGCCGGGAACGACCAGGTTGACATTGTGTTTCTGTGCCAGAGCGACCAGGCCGGGGTAGTCATCGACTTTGACGTTGGCGTTGATGATTTTCGACGATGTTCCTAGACCAGTACCACCGTTTCCTGGAGCGACATAGACGGCGTCGACCAGGGGAGACTGGCTCAGCTTCCATGCGAAGGCATGTTCGCGACCGCCGTTGCCGACGACGAGCACGCGCAACCGTTCCTGGAGCATCTTCAATGCGGAGTTCCTGATTCAGATCTGAATCTGTTAGCAGTTGAATCACGGTAGATATAATATAATGCTAGCAATCGAATTGAGAGTGTGATGGTGGGGGGTCGTGTCTGCCAAAATCCTCAACATGGACCGAACGGAACAAGTCCATTGCATCGTCCAAAATTGAGCGATCAGAGAGATCTGGACTAGATTTTGCCATTATTCTTGGAGAATCACGTATAACAGTAATCCTTGAAACCAAAGGCTGATCCTCAGATCAAAGCTCCTCCAATTGTTGGATTGGACAGGACCGACAGACTGATATCGAGTCATTCATGGAGGGGCAAGCGATTCTGCGGGGTTATTGAAACCAGAACTGGTCGCAGAACGCCAGAACTGCAACACAGGGAGAGCATCGTGAAAACCAAGTCAAAAATAAGACATCCACACTCACCTTACTCGAAATCAAGAACGGATCGCTGTGACAGACACTGACAGTTGAGAAGCAGAGCGTCTTTGAAAAGCCGCATCTGGAACTTTTTTTCTCGGGGACCGTCATCGGAGTGCGCTTTCTCCGACCCCACAAGAACTCTAAAGGACAAACCATTCAGCGTCGATAATAATGATATGGGCTCGATTCGAACACGGGCAATGCTACTGGGACTCGTCTGGTTCGTGAGAAGGTTAGATAAGTGTATGTTCTCTGGATTAGAGGAGAGCAAGAGGATACACAGGAGGTCGTGTCTTTGGAGTCTATGCTTCCTCTGACAGCCTGTAGTTAATTTACTCTTCGTGCACATTAAACAGGATGCCATATAGTGGCTCATGTCCAATGCTGGATATTAAATTTTCAAACGTAGTATATTATTTTCTGTTTACTAGCAACAATTGAACACCAAAATGATCACTGATATGTTGACCGTGCTCAGGAACAAGTAGCAAGTAGTAGTAAAAAGTAGTAAAAATAAGAATTCTCTTACTCTATGGCGACTTAGGAAGGCGGTGAAGGCGCGTAGGGCGAAGCCAGAAAGCCGAAGCCGCGCGCATCAAAAAAGTCCAAGAAGCTGGCGAGGCCGGCAGAAAGAGCTTTGTGGCAACCCTTCACCTGCAACGTTCCCTTCAATTCCTCGTTGCTTGTGTTGCTCGTCCCTTCTGCTGTACGTGGACTCATCTGCCTGGATGTTTCGGGCCTCTCTGCGGTCGGTCTCAGACCCGTTCCGCGATCAAGTATGTTTCGCCTGTCTAGCCCGGAGGTCAATCGTCGAGAACTCCATCCGGACGTCGCCGTTCTACAGGACATACTCGTCAGGTCCTGATCACGGCGATGATGAATTGGGAGCTCCACCGCAGCCTACGGATTCCTCAATCCGTCTTCCAGGAAAGAAACCGGTATGTGGCCTCCTTTATGGGCGTGACTGTCCCATTGCGTACCTCTTCCCCCATGCGCCTGTAAGGACGTTTAACTGAGAATATTGCCTGCTCATAGGTGAAGCACCCCCGGCCGCCAGTGACGAATAGACCACTTGGACTACCGAAGGAAATCGTCCACAATCCTGGTGTACAAGTCTCCAGCCCGGAGCACGTCCAGAATGATCAGCCACCTGAGACACAAGCACCTCCGCCAGCTGAAGCTGCAAATGCTGGCATCAGCAAAGCGAAGCGGAGAAAATTGAAGCAGGCTGCTAAAAAGTCGAAAAAGGCTGAATCAGCGGTGGAGAGCGAGTCACAGACGGAAGAGGCGACACCGAAAGCAAAGCCACTTAAGATACGCAAGACTAAAGTACCGAGCAAAAATGCTCTAAGAAAATCGTTAGACAAGCTAGCAGATACTGTGAATGCTCTCAACACGAAGAAGGCAGCCGCAAAGGCCGCGGGTGCTGTCCAGGAGGATCCGGTCGCTCACTTAAAAGGCTTCGTTTCAGCTAAGCAGACTGGCACACTGGAAGCTGGGAATTTGACACTTACTCGTGAGTATCCTGGCCGCCGGTATACTACCCTTCGCTGGAAATGCTGACAAAAGCGGTCTCTAGCATTGGATGTCGAGACCGGGCAGGTACCGAATCTCTCCTTTGGCCTCGAGAGAGTCTTGTTCAAGTAAGTTACTCGGCCTCTTATACTACCTGTCACTGTACTAATTGATCGATATCTAGTCCCGGTGTTTACCATCTCCGTGACCCACGTTCTCGAGTTTATAATTTCGATCCTTATCTGGGAGAAATCATGCCTGTTACGGAATTCGACTTCGACGCACTGAAGGAGTATATCACGTCTTCCAAGGATGAGACGCTGCGGAACGTAGCCGCGCAGCAAGGCAAAAAATACGTTGGCTCCTCTTCGAGCATGACCTCGGTCCTTGCGCACTTCCACTATCTCCTGTCCAATTGGCGGGCTGTCAACATATCAACGATGTCTCAACTCTTTCCTGACAAGATACGCAGTTTCACACGGCTGCTGAGGGCCCCTGCAGCTATGTTCCTCCGCTATCAGGATGGTGTCTATGCGATCGATGCGGACAAAGAGTTTGATAGCGCTAATATTCTCATGAATCTCGGCAAGTCAATGGAAAAGCTGCTCACATTACCTAAAGAGGAGTTTGAGCGTTACCGCAGGTCAAGCAAAAATAAGATCTCTGCAGAGGAGGAACAGGCCATACCAGAAGCCTACCACTATTCTACGCTGGGAGACTTCATCATGCGGTCTCAGCTTGATGCCTACGATCCACGACTCCCGGGCACTGGCATGTTTGATTTGAAGACCCGAGCAGTCGTGTCTATCCGCATGGATGCTAAGAACTTCGAGCATGGCTTGGGTTACCAGATCAAGCATCGATACGGGACCTACGAGTCTTATGAGCGCGAATACTATGACATGATCCGCGCTGCTTTCCTCAAATACTCATTGCAGGTGCGTATCGGTCGCATGGATGGTATCTTTGTCGCGTTCCACAACATCGAACGCATCTTCGGGTTCCAATACGTGAGCTTGCCAGAAATGGACTTGGCTCTGCATGGGCAGACAGACACCGCACTGGGGGACACTGAGTTTCGCCTGAGTCTTTCCCTTTGGAATACGATTCTCGACAAGGCGACCGCCAAATTCCCCAAGCAGTCGCTGCGGTTCCATTTCGAGACTCGTGACACGCAGATTCCTTACATGTACGTATTTGCGGAACCTGTGACGGACGAGGAAATACATGCGATCCAGACCCGGAATAAGGATGCTATCGACGAGTATCAACGACGGGTCTTGAACCTTGGGCCGGAAAAGAAGGCCAACGAGACCAATGAGCCTCACAGACCCGAGTCCTCCGTTTCAGAATCTAACACTCAGCCTGCTGCGAAGGATACAACCACCGTTTCCCAAAGCGCACAGCAGAACCCTGCTGAGGAGTTCGACAGCATGCATGGCATTAAAAAGGAGCCAGAGCAGGAACCCCGCGATCTGCTGGCGATGACACTTACGGTCCGCAATTTCGTCAACGGCAGACCTGTTGCGCGCCCGTTGAATTTCACTGCGAATGACAAGTGGACCATTGAGTACGAGCTCTCTGAGATGAAGCCCAACCAGACGCATGCGTTGTATGATGCACTCCAGAAGCGCCGCCGGAAGGCACTCTCTGGCCGCGGCGAAGATGAGACCGACCTGGCTGCGAATGTCTACATCCGCAGACTGCGTGAGATCAGCAAGGAGGGCAGAGAATGGCGTGCAGAGCAGGACAAGATCGACAAAGAAAAAGGCATCGTCGTCCTGACGGATCCTCTTCAACGAAGCTCATAGACACCAAATGCGACGTGCGAGAAGTTCCAAGAACCCTAATCGATCTTTGTATATCATCATGTATATCCGTTATGATTCCATTAGTACCACGCTACTCTGATATCCTGACGTCTGAAAAAAAGTGGTCTGGCTGCTTATCTTTTTCCTAAATTTAGGGTTCATTGGTAGACTGGGGCATTTCGTACCAGATACCACTTTTGAGGATAAAGGTGTTTCTTCTCTGTTTGAATCAAATCTTGGGGAGTTCTACGGATCTGTACGAATTTGAAAAGTGGGCCTGTATAAGTACTCTAGTCTTTCTTCTCCTGGAACATTGATAATGGCATGTTTGTCCACTTGTCCTATATTAAGTGGGGGACTCATCTTATCCTGTTTTCTCACAAGTATTTTTGTACCTTAAATGAATTAATCCTTGCGGAAATTCGAAACCCCTAGCGCCATTTAACAGTTCCCGGGAAAAAAAGAACATACATACCCTTCGTACATGTACCAAAGCGAAGACCATTACGGAAATCATTCCATACGACGCGGCTTTCCCTCACAGCGAAAGATAAAACCTCAAATAGGACGGCGCAAAAAGGTGGTATCCAACCCGCAGGCGCAACAAACGGAGAGTATATAACGTAATGGAAACAGGGACGGGCCCTTTGAAGGCCCATTTCTCGAACTTCGGATCCAGCGAGCATCGGATATTTCTGGTTAACATGACATGGATAACATAATAGAGACAAAAAAGTTAGAGCAGAGCAGAGCATAGCAAAGCAAAGGGATATCTTTCTTTCGTCCACGGGCACCAATTGCGGCCTAGCTAGGCTATCATGAGACGCGAAACCGTTGCTTTCGAGCATGAATTGCGTTTCCGTTTCCCGATTCATTTCCATTTCCACCGTCAAAAAACAAATATAGGACTCGTATTTGTGGTTGATTTTCATTCTTCTAGTCAGAACTCCTCCTGTTCCTTGAAGAACATGGAGAAGCTGATGATCGTGCCGTAGATGAGGAGACCGCCGAGGATGGACATGACCATAGCAGGGATCTCGATGGCGCCGCTGTGGGCGAGGACTGCTGGGAGAGCTGGAGTAATTGTTAGTTTATACATGTTTGGGTCTGGATATATCTAAGGGGAGCGTGGTAACAGAGTCTTCCTCAAGCTTCTGTATCATCTTTGAGATGAGAAGGGTAAACAAATGCACGTACCAATGCCCATCAACACGAGGAAACCCGTGAGGAAGCGTCCAAAGTCAATTACAGCATTGCCGGCACTTTCCATAAAGTCATCTGGGTTGGCGCATCGAGCGCAGATCCAGTTAGGCAGCGGCGCGACAACGTAGGTTGCGACGACGATAAGCGGTAGGAAGTTGTGCCATAGTGCAGAGGAGAGGATGACTAGGAGGAAGCCAATGGCGAGGACCTGCGCAGAGATGTCAGTACATAGTTTCGAGACGAACGGTCTATACCTGGGAGTCGTACGAATGAGAGCGCGATGATAGTCTTGAGGCCTGCCGCCATGGTTGCGGAGACGGGCAAGCCGGCGGTTTGCGGGAGAGAGGATGGGTTGAGGTAGATTGGGAGAATCGAGTTGAGGTGCTAGATGAGGAACAGGTCGGAGTCAAGTATAGGACCCGGAGACATCAGCGCTGGCGCATGAAGCAGATTGGAATGGTCTTGTCCGTACTGAATAGCGTGAAGGTGCTGGATACGGAGGTGACGTTGGAGTCGCAGACGTGGACGGCCTCAGGCTGCGATGCTTGGCCCAAACGGGGCTGGAGCTCTCGCGTCGTCGTCGCTGACTGCCTGTCCAGCTCCATCTCCGCCAGACCTCCAGATCCCCTCCCACGACCTCTCTTGCGCCTCGCCCTCTCTCTTCACTGTTCAGGCTCGATATTTTATTGCCGCCCATACTCCCGTTAGAAACGCCCTTCTTTCTCCTTCTCCGTCCTCCCGGCTGCAGCCATGTTCAGAAACAACTACGACAATGATTCGGTCACCTTGTCAGTATCTAGCTCCATGCCAAGATCGATATAGCTTCTAGATAGCTAATAAGCACTGGAAACAGTTCACCGCAGGGTCGGATATTCCAGGTGGAATATGCACAAGAGGCTGTCAAGCAAGGTTCCGTCGTCGTCGGAATCGCTAGCAAGACGCATGCTGTTTTGGTCGGCTTGAAGGTCCGCAATAGAAGCCCCGATCCCCGTTGCTAGGGATGTAGATATGGTTCTGACAGACAATACTCTCTGATTAGCGAAATGCCGAAGAGCTCTCCTCGTACCAGAAGAAGATCATCGCCATCGACTCTCACATGGGCATCGCCATCGCTGGTCTGGCATCCGATGCCCGTGTGCTTTCCAACTTTATGAAGCAGCAGTCCCTGGGATCAAAGATGACTTACGGCCGCGCCATTCCCGTCGAACGTATCGTTTCGCAAATCGGCGATCGCGCTCAGACTAACACCCAGCACTACGGCAAGCGACCCTACGGTGTCGGGCTGCTCGTGGCGGGTGTCGACGACTCTGGCCCGCACCTGTTCGAGTTCCAGCCCTCGGGCATGACGCACGAGATGGTTGCATGCGCAATTGGTGCCCGTTCACAGATGGCCCGGACGTACCTGGAGAGACATCTGGATGAGTTTGCGGACTGCGGACGGGAGGAGCTCATCAACCATGGCCTCAGGGCTCTCAAAGAGACCTTGTCCCAGGACAAGGAGCTGACGCTGGACAACACAAGTGTGGGTGTGGTGGGCAAAGCACCAGAGGGTGCTAAAGCCAAGCTCGAAGCCTTTAAGCTCTACGATGGCCAAGATATCGCGCCGTTGTTGCAGGCGTTGGAAGGCGCAGGAACGGGCGCGGAGGGTGCGACGGAAGAGACGATGGAAGTGGATTCATAATGCAGCAACGTTTGACATGTTATAGATATCAAAATTCCTTGGTCTTGACTCCAGGCTCTATTATCAACGGGAATATGGAACGGATAATGCTTGTGCTCGTCTCATCATTTAGCAGTTCATCGATTCGTAGCGGGATCTATCTTCTTATCATATATAGCGTAAATCTGTAGATTATGTACAGTGAGCCGGGACTTCTCAATCTATATTGAAGTTCCCCGGATCCACGCATCTAGATCACGGCCCTTTGAGGTTGAATGGGTTATCTCGAACCTGAGCACGTCATTCCCCAACTCCACAGTTTACTCTTGTCCCCATTTCAACTGCAGTCGCCCTTCGCTCACTTTATAATTCCTCAACGCCTCCAAGACCTGATTGACATCCTTCGCTTCGACCAAGATGTTTGAATTTGCCTCGCTCACGAACCCTTCCTTAACTGCGTTCCGCACCCAAGCCAACACACCATCCCAATAACCCCCCACATTCAACAGCACGATACCCACGCGGTGAATGCCGAGTTGATTCCACGTCGTCATCTCCATGACCTCCTCCATCGTACCGAAACCACCTGCCAGAGCGACGAACCCAGACCCAGGTCCTCCCTCTAGCACTTTCGTCGCCATCAACCTCTTGCGTGTATGCATGTCCTCGACGATCGTCGTGATCCCATAAGGTGTCTCCTCAACCATGGCGTCCTTGCCTGATGACGGAAGGATTCGCTCTGGCGCCTTTCCGCCAGACCGCTGTTGGGCGATTTCAGTAGCCCCTGCTGTCGAGGTCGCATTGCTCTCCTTGTATCCTTCTTCAACTGACACGAGAGCGCGAGGGATCACGCCGTGAACCGCACGCGGGCCTGATAATGAGACAAGAGTACGAGCAAGCTCGCCCATAATACCGGCCGTGCCACCGCCATAGACTAGTTGTACGTTGTTCTCGTGAAAGGTGCGCGCGAGGGCGCGCGCACTCTCGAGATGAACTGGATTGTTGCCTGAGATGGCGCCGCAACTAGCAGGAAAAGAAGAAGAAGTCAGTTCACTACACTACGCTATCAAAGTAGAATATGTAGAGGAAAGGGAAGTAAAGAAGACCCAGATCGTTCACACGTACAATACGCAAACCACGGCGGGTTTTGTCTGCTGAGGAGTCGTCATGATTCCTCGAACCGGGGAATAGTCTCGTCTTGAGACTTGAGATATAATGTTATATATGACTTAGTAGATGCAAAAGAAACGGAACAGGATTCCAAGCACGGAGTGCAAGCAAGCAAGTAGTAGTTAACGTCCTGTTTAAAATGAGACAGGTCTAACTACGTTATACCGGTAGGTTTCGTACTCCACTTTTCGCTCACCCAAGAAGAACAGGAACTATCGCCACCTCCAAGGTATTATATGAGGATTGAAATCTAATCTATCAACTGCCAAGTTTTCGAGAAATAATTTCTTTGTCTAGAATCTATTTCATTGGGATGTTCTAGATAACTCACCGTCGACGAGGGGGCAAGCTTGGTGGGGTTCTAGAATGTCAGCCCCTCAGCGGTTATATACGGAACAATCTGATTGTATCTGGACTACAATTGCTGTTGTTTGAAATAGCTTTCATGAGATTACTTGTAGTTTTCTACAGTACATCTATATTTATCCATAGAGCAGTAATATATCCACTTCAGTTTACTCTGCTTGAAAATATCCATGTTATGTGTACCGCGGGGCATCTCGCCGCCATGTACAGTATGGTATGTAAGGAACGGCGAGTTTATTACGTCAAGAATCTTCAGTAGAAAATATGGTAGGTTATGCCATAATGATTATCCTCCCCGGCCAATTAGAGATCTCTATGAAAAGGAAGCTGATTATGGTGTTTGCTGTTGCTAACTTCACTCTAGTCTTATTCTTGATTTTGCACCTCGAAGTGTTTTGGTTGTCTCCAACCGATATAGCAATGTAACAACAATGCAATTTTCTCTAATCATCAGACACAGGGGCGAACAGCCATATTGAAGTGTCTATCAGGTAGTTACTCGCTTTTCTTAAAGCTAGAAGATGGAGCGGGTTGGGTTGACCATAATTGAATTCTGGACGCTAAAAAGTCTTTATACATTGAAGTCCATAATGTCAAGTTTGTATCCAGCCTTGAGAATACAGAAATGCACCTGTTGTTTAGGACCATGCATTTTCATCTTGTGGAACGCTAATAATAAATGCCGAAAGAACCAATCTATAAACGCCTGAGCTCCTGGACCTTTTCCCTCCATAACAACACCGCATGTATGCAAAGTTAAAATACACAAAAAGATTGCCAATTCACAGAGGGTATCATCATGGGGCAACAGTCCCAACTCTACTCTTCTTCCTTTTCAACTTATTGTCTCCATCGGGCGTGCTAGGCGTCTTTTCTTTCTCTTTCTCTGCAGCCTTTGGGCCTTTACCCGCATCAGCCTTGCCGAAACTTGGTGTCCCTACTCTCCCAATGGCCCCCGGAACAGGAGTAGCTGGTTTGTTCTGCTGTCGAGCAGCTGTCGTATCGCTTGATCTCGTCAAGATGAAGTTCCCAGGCTCACCAGCGAGGGGATTCTCATCCATGTATTCATCACCATATTTTGAAAGCAAAGAAAATGATTCCATGAGGTTACGCGTATCCTCCCATGTGGTGCCGCTCATGGCCGGTCCTGCCAAGGATGCCTTGCTCTGAGCGTTTGCATCTGGCATAGGGGTATTCTCCTTGCTCTGCTGCGGCTGCGCAGCATCTGTAGATTTCGGGAGGGGAGGCATATAGGTGTGTCCGTACGAGGCAGAGAAGATCGGGAGTGGAGAAGCGGTATTCAATAACTTTGTCAGCGACGTCACCGCCGATAGCTGCAAAATTAAATTAGCTCTGCACTTGTGTATAGAAACGATGCTCTAGGCATACCAGTCGATTCCCCACCACACTTGCTACCGAAGGTGCCATGTAAATAGTGTCACCGACTATGAAATACGTCGAGAGCACTCTGACCTCATCGTCCATGCCTGGCCGCTTCCGCCGGTTCTGTTTCCTGATTACCCAGATATTGGACGGTTCATGCGCAAAGGTACCGTCCGTCTGCGCAGCTGCTTGTAGCGGATCATACGATACGATGAACTCCAGCCCCTGCATTGTCTTCAACCGCCCCTCGAAGGCTTCTCGTGTCTCGACGAAATGCCGGAAAGTCTCATTGTAACTGGCCTGGATGGCTAGGGAGGCATTGTTCGAAGTCGAGTCGAAGAATGGAGATTCCGCGAAGTAGAATAGGACTGTATATGGTAGATTAGCAGGGACCTTATATCATAAAATGAATGACCTTCATGGGTGCTTAAGAAACTCACTATTGTTCGAATGCAGGTAGCCTCCCATCATCTGCACGTGTGGGGGAGACCGCCAGAGGATCTCCTCGAGCGCCGCATCTTGCGATTCCGCCATGTCTTTGATTGCCCGCTTGGAACTTCAGGTGTGAATTTAACTCTCCAAGAAGAAACGAAAGCTGCGCAGATCAAGCCGGAGATAAATGCAATTCTGTGGAGAAGACGGACCTGGAGTGCGCTTTCGTATCGTGTCTTGGTTGTATTCAATTCCGCGGAACAGACAATGTTTGGTCTGTTTGCATCCAAGATTATCTATGTGATCATTGATAAGACTGAAGACTCTATGAGCTCACTAATTTAACTTTTATGTGGTCAATAGAACGAAATATACCGAATATAGAGTTACCTATAAACTACATCTCAGTATCACTAAGACGCTTGATTAAGAAGACTGCGGAGGGGCCTCCAGCTCGTTAGAAGGTACCCTAGGTAGGTATCTAACTACATCCCTGAGGACTACAAAGCTCTCCTAAAGACGCATTTCCTCGGAGCATTCATATCTAAAGTTTAATTATTCTGCCCCATGGAGGTGGAAAAAGCAATGGTGAGGAGCGTCAGTAACACCGGGCGTCGCAATGGGATGCTGTCTGTGTCATCATACTTCTGCAGTAGACGAGTGATCCCATAACCGGCTTCGATAAGAGAGAAATTCTGCCCTAGACACGTATGTAGTCGGTCCAGAATTGAAAGGTAAATATTTCCATCCGGGCTATCAGCCAATTCAGCGGTCAGGGTCAAGTTGGTCGGCATAGACTTCCCTCATGCGATGTTTAACACAAACATAATCGCCAACCTCTTGTCATAACCGACTACTCCACTGAGTCTGTTCTATGAAGTCCTAGGCGAAACACGTGCTAGAGCTCTCTAGTCTTTTAGGATCCCAGAAGAAGCGAAGAGTATGTGCGGGTATTCAATAGAGAATCTATGACCCGTGAGACTCGATCGTTAGTTACAAGTATCTTCATGTGTACCAAGAAATGAGAACTTTCCCTATAATTATAGCATCGATGTTAGCAATAAGTTGCATGCCCCACACACATGTGTCAGCTGATCTACGATGTTAAGGGGGAAGCTTTCCGGACTTCTGCGACTTGATTCTTGGTGCAAATATGTCTCAAGAGTCCCTCAATATCTTTCAGATTCGCAATAAATATGAGAAACCTTACTAAAGAACTTCGCATTGCCATCAGTAATGGCAAAACCGATGAAGTCATCCTGTTATTGGAACAAGGAGCGCCAATGATCATTGAACACTTTGTTCTTGCGACGCAGATGGAACTTTATGATGTCCTCAAATTATTTCTGGATCGTGGCTGGGATATCAACACTGATGTCGATAAACTTATACCATCTGCTCTTGTGTAATTGCCTTCCGTGTTTCTTGCACTGTTTCTGGAAAACTAACGTAAACTACCTAGGTACACATTTCATGATATGACGCTTCTAACATGGTTCTTGGATCATGGAGCCGACCCAAATAAAAGATGTCAGATGCGCGATTGTACGCCGTTGTCATATGCTATTGTCGAAGCACCATTTGGTATCATTGAATTGCTTTTCAGATATGGCGGTTCTATTGATCGAGGCCAATTGCTCCACTATGCTGCAATGCGCGAATGCTCGGACAATTTGGAAGTCTTGAAATTCGTATATGATAAAAGTCCAGAGGTAGGCGCTATGAAAGTCAATAAATTGCTGGACGAAGATTGTCCCCAAGACTTTGCAATGAATTTCAGAGCAGGTTTAGGTACCCCACTTCACTATGCTGCACTCACGGGGTCATTGGATTGTGTGAAATTTCTGGTGGAGAAAGGAGGAAACCCTCTCATACGAGACCCTTACGGACGAACTGCGCTAAGTCTTGCTATTTACAAGGGAAACGATTTAGTGGCACAGTTTTTGCAGGATCTAATAAAAGCCCCTGTATCAAAGCAAGAGGCAACAGGGCATAGTAACGTTGGCATAGCTGTTTGATTCGGAGCATCTTTGAGGAAGCATCTTTGAAGACTTACGAAAATTATGGCTGCACAGTTCAGGGATAGCCGCATAAATTGTATCTTTGTATTAGTATCAACTCAAGATGTATTATTCCAGATAATTGCAATAAAAGGCGTGGGTCTTTAACACTGTGTCAGACTTACACATCAGAAAGAACCTTTGGGGAGCCTTAATACTTAGCCACTAGTTAAGGAAGTTCTGGCTATAGACGTACAATAAGTGATTCAATTGAAAAGCATAAAGGCTACGTTAATCATCGTCCCTTTCCGGTCTGGAGAAGTTTTCCACTCGATAGTCTGAACGTGTCCCCCAAAATAGTCTTTGGCTTCAAATAAGTGGTTGATTTACGTGGTACAGAACACTATCAGCAGATTTGTAGCATTAGGGTAGAATAGCTAAGTAGTGTAATACATTTTATGAGATAATGAGCCGAGATCCATCTAACACACATAGTAAGAAATAAGCCCTTTCAGAGGTCAGCTCACACAGAAAAAGCACAGCACAGTCTCTCGAAGATCGGTCTCTTTCATAAGAATTCGTTACCTCAACGGATATCAGTTAAGAAAATAAAGATAAATACCATCGTGGTTCGACAAAGGTGCAACTAGAAAAGGGTAATAGTCGCACTATGCAGGTTCTGAATCTCCTGCAAACATGCAACCGCAGCGATCCAAGCAAAGCTGTGAAGTTTGAGGTCTCGATGGGACGGTTCGTTATGGCTCTGTACAGCGACCCAAAAGCAGGCTACTGAACGTTCTAAGGGTTCCCTATGATCAGAGCCTCGGTCAAGGATCGCGGAGACGGTGAATTCGACCAGGTCATCATATTCTGGTGCGGATTCTTTTTAGCAGTAGTCTTAGTTTATTTATGAGAATTTGTACTTACCCTCTCGCATGCTCTTAGAGATCTCCTTCTGGCGCTTGGTCAAACGGTGGCTTTCTCCCATGATAGTCCCGATGAACACCTCGAGCTCTGTCAAGGACGATTTCCACGGTGTGGCAGAGAATTGGTGCATCAGGTCACGCAGATTATCCTCATACCTAAAGACATCACAATTAGCAGGTATCATGGTGTTGAGATTGATCGGATGTTAGAAGCCATACACCTCCTTGATGGTCTGTCCCTCGACGACGTAGTGATCCCATATGAATCCCGCTGTCTCATTCTTAACGTAGTCCCACAGCTCATCCAAGAGGTTCGATCTTTTATCTTTGGAAGATGACTGTAACTCCTCCAAAAATGCTCTTTCATCTACAGCTCGATACAGGTGGCCCAGCGCCCGCTGGCTCTTATAGTAGCGGATTCCCGATTGTTCCTCTTCGTCGTCGGAATCCACCATATACTGCTCTTTGTCTTCGAGGATCGAAAAACTATCTTCAACTCGGATGCGTGGACTTGGAGCCATGAAGTCGGGCCGAGACCGGGGGGATCTCGGTATGAGACGCACATCAACCTGAAAGTTTCTAACGTTAGCGAAATGTTATCATCATATGGACCTTGGTTTCAACATACCGGTTTCCCCGTTTTCGAAAAGTCAACGGCAGTGGAGTGCAGTTGAGCTAGAAGAATGCAGACTGGATCGAATGTGCCCATTTCCTTTTGATCAGCAAGGATCTGATGAACTGTTGCTATCCGACCCAGTTGATCCTGTTTCATAAAGTCTATAAAGAAGTCTACAACATCTTCATTAGACACTGGGCGGTCGAGAACGTTTTCTTTACTGCGAGCGTAGTCCGCAGGTTCTACGATCCTCTTTGGTAGTAGTCGGTCATCGTAAATGATATTGAAGAGATCACCGTCTAGATCCCCACCGCTCAACTTGCTCGCCAGATCCCTTTGCCCCTTCTGACTGAAGACGACGCAGTTATGCAGCTGACGAAGTATGGAGTCTTTTGGCACATCTACTGCATTAACGAGCTGGATGTCTCCTGGATGCAGTGCTGGAGACCGAGTTATCACCACGTTATCGCGAACAAGGATTTCGCGGTGGGATCTTTCGTTCAAAACCGGACAGAAGATCTCTCCCTCATTCAAGTAACCAGTCTCATCCATGATTCCGTAAAGCGTCACTCCTTTGACAACTGGAATTCTGGCGCGGTATTTTAGGTCTCGAAGTTTGATGATGACTGCAAACTCGACTGCTCTTCGCAGAAAGTCATCATTCATATGATCAAGGTCAAGGTTCTGAAGGATCCGAATAAGCCAGGGCAAACGGGTAGACTTAGATATGTGAGAACTTTCTATAAACCTTGCAGCTTGCTCCGCAGACTGTGTGGTTGACCTCAATCTTGCAATCTCTTCCTTCTGCAACTGTAGGAACGAGTCCAGTGTCACACCCAGATCTTCTAGCAGTTTTATTATCTGCGCGTTGAGGTAAAAAGGAAGAGCATTTATACCAGCTCCACAGATCTCGATATTCCAGTCGTTCACAGCGTCGAATTTGATCATGGACTTCCGAAGTCTCACTTCATCGCCTGGTATAGACGTATCTAGTGATAGCATGCCCTTTGCACCTATGAATATATATCTTAGCAAGGGTAGTTGCATAGTGTTTGCAAGTGTGGAGCTCCTTACCAGACAATCTGACCTGGAAAACAGTAGGCTTAACTCGGGCACGAAGCGCGTACTCTCTGCGAATCTTCCACAAGATCCCTTTCGATAGCGTGCCACATCCATCGCTGAACACTCTCCCATTTCTTTCTACGTCCGGAATCTGTCGAACTGAGTCTTTCTTGACGGGAATTGAGGTCAACGTGTCTGAGAAGGTCTGGCCTATCCGTGCGGCATATTTAGCAGGGGAATATATGTGTCCAAATTCGCCGAGTTTTGGAATGATAGAACGCGAGTTCAGGCGCTCTCCGTTCTCCCAGATGAACTCAGCCACGAACCAGCAGGACTGCGCTCGAAGAGAAGAGTGAGAGAATCCTAGGAATTCGAATAATCTTCCAGCAACGCTGATACCACTTTTCATGATACTCTTAAAGCGACCATCATATATCTCGTCTAGATTAGATTTTGGGTCAAACCGTATTGGGTCTCCAGATTCGTCCATAAACTCAACCCGCAAGAAGTAATCACTAAATGTCGAATATTTTCTCAACACACGGTTCTTTGTCTCGCCGTAGGGTCCATACAAAAAGATCCCCGTTGGCGTTACACTGACTCTGTGGATGAAAATTTGGTTGTCGTTAGTACGTCCAGGCTTTCCTGACTGAACGTAACTCCCAGATTCGATCTCGGTCAGAATCTCAATCAACCTCTGAATACAAAACTCAGAGCTCTCAACTTCGGGTCCAGGATACTCTAGATTGTTGGGAAGTTCTTGCAGCACCTTAGCTGCCATTCCCACACCAGCCCTTGACAAAAGGTTGGTCACAAATGGAAACAGCCGAAGGACGCTTTTTATCGGTAGAACACCGTTCCAGACCAGCATCTGGAGTTGATACTTTATCTGGAAGGGAAATGCCTCTGTGCTTAGCACAATCAGGAATCTCCCAAGTTGTTCAGAGTATGACATATCTGGGAAAACCTTCACATCATGCCATCGGTCCATTCTGGGGATATGTCTCTCTTGTGAAAGGTTTCTGACCTGCTGCAGGTCGCTTGCATCTCTCAGGAAGAAGCGATACGTGAAACACGTGGACACAATGATATTATGCCCGTCTCCAAGTTGGCTGATCCTTCTCCTCTGTGACTCTCTGTTTCCCGGCGCATTTGATAGTCCCATCAAGCTGAAAACTTGGGAAAGATCGTCTGGTGGCTTGTTATAGAGACGAGGAGCACCTTTGCATGAGAAAGTCATCGAGGGGCTCATACTCCCACCTAGATAAATCGGCATTGCAAAAGTCGAATAATCAAACTCTACCTCGAAGTTACCTTTCAAGTTTGTATGAGGGGGACATTTGACTGTTGCCCTCAGTGCATGCTTTCCGAACGTGATGCTTCCATGTTGCTGCAAATTGAAGTGTTCCACAAACACGGGAGTGTCTCCAGCATAATCGAAGACACCGCACGATATTGAAATGATGAAAAACGAACGTTTCTTCTTGGGAGCAACACGGTTTTCTGATGTCGATGTCCTCTGAATCGCAAGGTTTCGCCTGTTACGCTCTTCTTCCTGAAGAGCGGCGACAAGAAATTCATCGACTGGGAACTTGCTTTTCTGAACGTAAATTATCCGATTCATGATCTTCAAAGTCTGGTTTTGAGGCCTCTTTTTTCCCATCGGCCCACTGGGATACATGTTTAGAAATGCCTGGGCTTTCTCTGCGTCAGGGACGGTGAGGGTCGCATGTCCTCTGCGCGAATGTGTACGACATGCGAATGTATGGATTCCAAATTGACGAAGAAGTGGCCTGAACTCATTTTCGATATGCTTCGCGTGCAACTGGTCCGGTAGATGATGGACAAATATCTCCATTGTGAACGTGTGATGGTAGCACACCAAGGTGACTTGGTGTCCCCAACTACTCGAAGACTATTGGGGGAACGTGACTAGGATCAGAAGCTGTCGAATATCCGCGGCTCTTGTCCAGAGTAATGAAAAAGATATGTGTGCCTGGATTGATGGATTGATAGATGATAGAACTCCTGGTGATGGGTAAGTGAGAGCTGCTGTGAGTGAGAGATAACTGGAGAGGGAGAAGCCGGTAGCTCAGTCGAGCCCACCAGAAGGAGTCGGGATTACCATACTAAACAAAAGGCAGCAGAGCGGACTTTACTGACAAGGTGGAGTCAGTAAGTGTTAACTCCCCCAGATAACCGATTCCTCCCGGTTGCTAGAGACATCTGTTTGCCAGTGCTGTAGCTATGCGGCAGATGCATGACCCGATGGGTTAGCATGAGGCTAAACAAAGAACGCTGTGCCCGTGACAGATACAGTAGGGATCCTTTCAAAAAGATGCAGCGTCCTTGCAACGATGAGCCATATCCCTCCTGACTTGCAAATCGTGGCTGCTAAATTTTGAACCTTATATCGAGTCCTAGATGAACAGATAGACTATTTACAGGTTTCTCTCTCTGATTTTGTAATAAGACAATGTCTCTTTAACGCGCCAAAACACCAACGCTAATGTTGAATAACTTTCCCATGCGATATCCAGCCTCGTCATACACCGGTCCTCAAGATGGACGACACGGGCCATCATCCAGTAAGTAGTGCGTGTGTTGAAAAACCTGCCCCTCATGAAACTCCACGAACGACCATCAAAACATAACAATGACATGCAAGTCCAGAAATTGCTACTTGCGCACCTGGTTGGAAGGTGTGAAGATGTTCAATACCGTCCTCAATTTCGTTATCATCTCATCCCATTCACCTTCTGCTGTACTTAAAGTGGTGACTGCTCCCCCGGCACCGACACGCCATATTTGCTTATCATCCGTGTCTTGGGAGTAGCTGAAAGCTGTCCGAATAACAACAGAAAAGCTACCTCCACCTCCTAGGTCGAGATATCCCATGACTCCTGAATATATCCCACGATTGCGTCTCTCAATGGAACCAAGATGCATGCAGGAACGCTCTTTAGGTGCCCCAGTCATTGACCCCGGAGGTAGACAACGCTGCAGGGCAGTGATTCCGTGCATAGACATATTCGAATTGTGTCCCTGCAGTTGGGAAATGGACCTGACCCCGTGTCCTGGATTCTGATAGTCAATGTGGCCTTTCACATGTGTGATCATCTGAAAAACTCGCCCGTGGTCTTCAACCTCGAGCAGCTTTTCCACATAGACTCTCGAAGAACCACAGATACCGTACAGGTCATGACGGATAAGATCCGCAATCATCAGATTCTCTGCCATCTCCTTTGTCGAGCCAAGAATTTCTTTGGCCTTCTCTAGGTCGATACCAGGCGCCTTCTTGACTGTTCCTTTCATCGGCTTCATCTCGAGCATGGATTTCCTATCCCAGTTAAGGAAACACTCGGGACTGCTGCTCGCAATCTTAACATCCCCAAGTCTCGCGTAAGCACTGAATGCCGCAGGATTGTACTTTCGAAGCTTTCGATAAAGCAACCACGGACGCAAGTTGCGATCTTTTTCATCTTTGTTTCCCTCCAGAATAATGGGTGTCTCGCACGTTAGACAGAGTTCATACGACTCCCCTGCTTCAAGCTGAGCTTGGCAAGCTTTAACCTGTGCCTTGTAATTCTCCTCGTTCGGCAGGATAATCTCTGCATTTTCGAACACGGGATTGAGTAGTTCGTCTACTTCCTGAGAGTTGTCAAGCTGCGGAGAGTTGGAGAGCTGCTCAAGCTTGTGTAGTGTCGAGATAACCCAGTCCTCGTCATCTTGTACCGTTGATTGTACGTATGTTCTTCCGGTTTCGTTGTCCACGACCACACTTCTCTCGACCCAAAGTAGACCCACATCCGGAAGATTATCAACAAAGGACTGCCCGTCCGGAGGCTGCTCATGGGACTGAGATTCTGAATGAGCAAGGCCAGCAATTCCCATTTCATAAGAAAAGTAGCCCAGGAAACCGCCCCAGAAAGGGATCTCATCACACCCAGCGCTGACGCTTTTAACCTTCATCAAGTATCTCAGCATGTCCCAGAATTCGGAGACTCCAAGGGATGTCTGAACGGCAGTCGTGTTATGTTTCTGCCCGTGACCAATCGAGTTGACGGATTTAGCGTCACATCCAGATTGTAACTTTTGCAGGATCAGTCTCTTCGTAGACACGTAAAACTCCAACCTCCAAGATCCGGGACTTGGCACCGAGATAATGCTGTATCTTCCATCCGACTGGAATAAGACCGTTGGCGACCCTGGCTCGTTGAGAGCTTCACATATCGTCTCTGGCGTAAGCTTTCCGAGCGATTCGGAACGACTGACAGAAGATTCCGATGTGGATGCGCTCCATTGCAGCATGTAGGACACGACATCAGGAGGAGAATAAAGCAAGCCGTTAGATTTCACAGCCTGTTTTATAGGTTCAGGAGATATCACCCTTCGAGTTCTTTTATTGAACTGAAGGGATGCGTTCCACCAATTTTTCAATAATCTTGTGCAGACATCTCTGTCTGACTTACACGACTCTGGGTGGAACTGGAAGCCCCAGAAAGGTTTCTCTCTGTGACGTACAGCCATCGCAACCTGCATCGAACTGGTAGAAGACGGCTCCTCAAGGGAAAGCCAAGCAAGAAACGAAAGATCATCGGGGCTTGGGAGCTTCCGATTACTACTTCCGTTTCTCTCGTTCTGGTCCAGCTTGCCTCTGCTGCCATCCGTAACTGCGTACAGCGAATGGTAAAGAGTCACTTCGAAATCCGGGACTCCACGGAACACGTCGTCGTCAACTGGCGTGATATAACGAACCTGACCATGAAGCGGATATGGAAGTTGCTCAATAGGAATCCCATGGTGAAAGCATAAGCTCTGAAACCCAAGACAGATGCCTAGAACGGGTACCAGGTTGTCTTCGATGACAGTCCATAGGTCTTTCATGATACCGACATCACCAGGAGTAGCAGGATTTCCGGGGCCCGGCCCCAGAACAACTGCGTCAAATTGTTGGAGAAATCCGTTCATGTCCCCATTCGGCCATTCGGAATCAATCGTCATCACCGTAACTCGGACCTCCAGGGCCTCTTCCAGCATGGCAACAACATTATAGGAGAAAGAATCATAAGCATCAATGTACAGGATCTTGTGAGAGTGCGATGTATGCACATCCTGCTGACAGGAGCGAGGCTTTCCCAGCACCGCAGAGGGCATGGTCGCAGGGTGATGGGTATATATGCGTGACAAAGTAAACAAAATAAAATGGAAGTAGATAATAATTAAATCTCAGAGAAAATCGAAAACACTGCCATATCTGAAACTTATCTGGGAGGCCGTTGCGATGACTATCTTTTTTAAAGTTGTAGTCTGACGCAGAGTGGCGATCCGCCGCTTTCCAGATATTAGTGGCTGACGAATGATGTCCAACCTCTCAGAATGTTAATAACATAGGAGACAGCTGCATGTTTTGGAATCAGACGGGTCACGATGAACAAGACTTGTGACTCTGGAGAAATAATAGTTGTGGTGAGAAAAAGATCGACGAGCAAAGGGAAAATGTGGCGTGCCGCATCGAAAAAAAAAAGCATAGATAAACTTTCCGAGCGACTGGAAAGCGACGGGAAACCGAAAAGTTGGGGGAGCATCGCGCGCTAAACCGTGGCCGGACAGTTCGGTTGATCTTCCGGCACTGTGGTACAATAATAGTCTTAAGAGATATAAGAGATAATATTGTTAGAGATCCAGCTACGACAAACTAGTTAGGAGCTCTCCTTTTTGGTCGACTAGCAAAAGCCATCAGATACTAATCACTCCAGGCAAATTGTACTGCTAGCATCATCCCACAATCAGCAAGCGGAAGTTGTCTATATTAGTCTAGCTGCCCATCACCATCTGAATAACCAATCTAAACCCACATGCAACGCATCAAAAGGTCGACATTGATACACCGGGTATATGTACACTAGCATACACATAATCGATATCGTAGAAAAAAGGGTATGTTGAAAAAGCGCAATATAGAATGGTGTTAAATGCAAATCTCATGCGGATACGGATGGGCTTGCGGAGAGTTTAGCCACAACCTTCGCAAAATATTGAGCCACAAAGCTCTCCCTGGTATCCAGTTAGTATCGCGACAAATATAATTAATTAGAGAAGTGAACTCACGTGTAATAGCTGTGGTCAGAACTGTGATCTGCGACCAGATTATGTGCCAGTTCGTGGCACAGAACCACCCACCAATAAACTAAAGCTTCCGCTCGGCTGCTCCCTAGATTTTGAAGCACTTGTGTCTGGTGTAGCTGCTTGAAATAGTGGTAGTTACAGAAAAGACTACCTCCACGGTTGAAAGCAATTGTCTTTCCGCCTGGATCATAGAAAATACTGATACTGTCGAGGCGGAGCGAAAAGACTCCAGCACAGTCTGCCAATATTGAGGCAAAGGTGTTGATCCCAAAACTGTTTTCGGCAAGAAATGCGCTTCTATCACCGGCTGACTTCGCCATAAGGAAGTTGATACTGGATGGGAGCGTTGCGGCAAACTCTAAATCGTGGCTCGGTCTCTCGTCACAGTAGGACTTGCTTTCTGTGACTTGGTTCATTTCTGGCCGACTGTACACACTGGATGCTCCGTTGGGACGACAAGATTGAATGGCAGAAAGGAGGTTTGATTGCAACATATGCGGAGACGTGACAGCCTTGGGTTCTTGTGGCTTTGGCTTTTGAGGATCTTCGGCAGTATAGGGAGGCGGCGGAGTGTCTTTGCTTCTCCCATCCGGAGTATCACTAGATGACTGTCCCTGAAGGAAGGATTGAATTCCTTTGCTAGTCCGGCTACCGTCATCGAGACCAAGGCGTCTGGTCAGGTTTGAGAACAGACCCCGGGGGCGGTAGTCACGGGAATCATCAAGCTGTTCATCCTGACCTCCATGTGTCGTTTTCGAGTTTTGCGGAGAATCTGGGAATAGTCCTGGCATCGCCTCGTGGTTCTTCATCTCCTCTGCCTGCTGCTCTTGGGCTCTTCTCCATTCAGATTCCCTTTCTTGCAGCTGCTTGCGTTCCTCTTCAAGTTGCTTGTGGCGTCTATCCTCTGCCAGCCTTGCCTCTTGCGCCTTTTGTTTCAGAATACGTTCGACATTATACCCTCGAGCTCTGAGCTCTAACAAATCGGTCTTTAGGAGCATCTCTAACGTAAGAGTCGAGTGCAGCTTTGGTCGGGCTAGCATCAGGTGGACAAGGGCCTGGCTTATTTGGTAGAGATCGTATTTCCCTGGACAGATCCATAGGATATAATCTCTCGCCTGTTGCGTAATAATAGCGCTCCGCTTCTGAGTATGCGATGCTCGCCGCCCTCGAAGTGACCTTCGGAGAGATATAGAGTGGACAACTTGGACGCTAAGGTGTTTTTCAAGCCACCTTGTGTCATGCTTTATGGAATCCGGAGATTGGTCGTGGAGGAACAGTCTCGAACGCTCAAGGATCAGCTTCTGTAACTTCACGGCCGGCCTTTGGTCCGAAGAAACACTGCCCCAATGTGCCTGTTCTTCGACAATGCTACTCAAAGGAGGAGCGCCCAACGAGATATAGAAGTTCTCAAGCACTTCCTCCTGAGGAGCAGCAAGCACATGTTCCTTGAACAGACTGTAACTTTGATAATCATCCACAACAACAGCATCTTTTGCCATTGTCAGTTGCCACTCTTTTATGCTCTGTTCTTCCTCCGCGTAAATATCTTCTTCGTCCGATTCAGTATGCCTCTTCACATCATCCTTCTTTTCCGGGCGTGAAGCTTTCGATGGCAACTCTCTGCTGGCTAGGACGAAAGGGGCCTTCTTCATTTCACTGTAAAGTTCTCTGTCTTTCTTCAGAACAGACACATGCTCAGCCAGACTCCTGAGAAGTTTGAGATACTTGTCAGGGCTCTGAAATTTCGATGAGATCCTTGCTGGTTCCTTTACCAAGATACGAGCAATTTCCACTTTGGTTGGTTCCGGCTTTGAGCCTACTGCCATCAAAAAAACGTTGGCTTCTTGGCCAAAGTCAACAAAGTCAAATATGTCACCGTAGTCTTCACTGTCCCCTAGGTAGCAAAGTTTGGGGGCAACGTGTCGAACACGAGGTATTTTTTCAGACACCTCATCATTCGACACGGGAATAATGGGTGCTGAACCAACGCGATCAGCATCTGCTCGACTAATTTCTCCTACCCTACCGGCCATGTAACTGAAGATCGATCTGGCGTCTCTCTTTGTGGTAGGAGGCTTCTTGATAAGAATGTCCAGGCATTCACCGATCGAGGGATGCTGCTTAACGCCAAGCTTTGAAGCGTGCGGATGGAGACCTCTTCGGAGGATGCTAAAGCCAAAGAGAGCTGCGCCATCACTTGTAAAGCAATCTCTAGGTGCAACCATACGCTCTGATCCTTCCACAGGCAGGAAATGGGCGATCACCTTAGTGCAGTCAAAAGCAGCATATCCGTTCAAGTGATGCTCGCAGATGAAATAAGACAATGCCTTGCTGTGAAGTGCCATATTACCTTCCACTGCAGCGTCAACCATCAACTGGATGATCTCAACTGCGGATGGATAGGCCTTTAGCCCCAGCATGTTGAGAAACCTACCCTCGACGCTTCCAGATTGATATTTTCCGGGCCACTCCAGTAGTGGAAGCCCAAGATTGCGGAGGGAGTCCTTGGGTTCGTAGAGCTCAGATACTTGATAGCGCACACGCTTGTTTTGGGCAGACTGGCCCACAGATTCAGCCGTACAAATTTTGGTGTTTTTAAGTTTTTGGATATCGGCACTCGGGATATCTTCCCTGACAGAAGCAAGATATTTGATCAGATCAACATGGCTCCATTTCTTCTTCGAGGCATCATCTTCACCCGCTGTGTCGGAGTCGTTCAGAAGTCGTTCAAAAATGACGCCGAGTTCCACTGTCTTACGGACACCGAGAGCCGCCAAGAACTTTTCTTTAACACTATTTAGACCGTGGACTGTAGGTAGATCGTCGAACAGCCGCACTGAAGTGAAATATGCCTCCGGAGGGCGCCTCATTCCCACCTTGGTAGGAACAATAGTCTGGGGTTGCAACAAGCCCACTATGGTCTGCTTCGAGGACTGAGAAAGGCCGTCCCATTGCTTGGACAAGACCGGCAAAACCTGTGCAGAGAACGACGGAGTCCGAGTCATATCCTGTTCGAGCTTGAGAACGCTGCGATCTCCAGCATTCTCAATTAACCACCGGATCCAGGGCACTGTCTGCAGCTCTAACCACCCCAGGGCATCCAGCTCCCGTTTCCCCAAGGCTTTCGTATACTTGAAAGGCATCACTGAAGCAGGTAATGGGAGATCTGCAGGTATCCGTTGGGGGTTAAGGTAGCTATCGATTTCCGCCAGGACCAGTACACCACTGGGAACACCGGCGGAACTTTCGTCATTCGCAACCGCTACACGTAGAAGAGCCTTAACTGTTGCCTGATCAAGATCCCCTGATGCTGCTTTCCGACTAATCCATGCAAGGAACTCGCTGAGCTGTTTCGAAGTTAACGCACTCGCCTCAAGCTCACGCTTAATGTCAGATACTGTCACGTCTGTTACCAGACCGAAGTCTGTTAATTTCCTGACGAATTCTGCAGCGCCTAGGACGAGTTCTTCTGGAAGAACAGGTATTGAATCCATAAAGGTCAGTTCCTTAGGTGCTATGCGAACCTGGTGGGTCGGGAGGACCCCGCGGCTAGAGAGGACCTCGATGTAAGCATTCTTGTTGCACATCCAGAATGCATCCTCTATAATCTGACCGAGTAGAGAGGACGGCGTCGACTCCCGGAACGCAAATTGATTGGTAGTATGTATGGCTTCAGGAAGAACACCGGCGATATCCTCCTTCCGCACCTTTGAACTGCCGCCGGTCGGCATAATTCTAGATTTTAGAGATGCCATCTCAGCAGACCACGCAATACGACAGACAATACCGGCCGCCCTTAGCATCTCGTGGTTCCATTTGCTTATGTATCGAGTGTTCAGATCAATGCTCTCTCGCTCCACTGTGGGAATGACTGATGGCGCTGATATATGAGCATTCAAGCCGGTCGTCTGATGAGTAGGAAATCCAATGAAAATCCTGCCCGATTTCGAAGGCAGAACTGAAGATAGAATCTCTGACTTTGTCACTGTAGCTATATTCGCATCATATGAAGGTGTCAAAATAGCCAGACTCGTCTTTTTGGGTGGCGGTTTCCGTGTCGCTCTCTCGAGCTCATTACTAAGAGACTGACTGACAGATGCTTGTACAGATGCAGTGTTGATGTGCAAAAACACAGACGCTGTGGAGATCTTTGTCAGATCATCAGTGTCTGTCACAGGCTCAGTTTTCTCTGCGTTGGGGGCTTTGTCTGGTGTATTTTGTGAAGAGCTGGTGAACCTGGAAAAGAAAGTACGAAGCGAGCCTGTCGTATCCCTAATGCTGCCTTCAAGGCGCGCTGCGACGGCCGATTGTTGTTTCCACTCGACAGCCCGCATCCAATTCGCATCGATCTGAGCAACTTCGCGTGAGACACTTGTCACCTTCATAAGGCCTTCCGCTGTTTTCGTTTCAATATCCCGAGGAAGGACGACATTCACACTGGGTGCAGTCTTCTTGGTAAGCTTTAAAACGTTCCAATCATCGAGCCAAAGATCTATGCTTTCCAGACCAACGAAAGTAAGACTGGTAGCAAGGAACTGAGCTAGTTGCATCAGCGAAGGCACCGGAGAAGAGTCGTTGCGGTAGTCAAGCACGAAAGTTGTATCCGGGTTTGCCTCCGCCTCTCCAACCTGCAGTCTGCGTGTGAAAAGAGCGTTCCCTTTCCAGTAAAATGCCATAGCTTGTCCTCCGGAGGACACAAATGGCTCTTCACAGTCATCAAACACACTGTAGAACCCTACACCAAAAGCACCGATTTTGGTCTCATCAGGGTTGCCATCCGCAATTCTCTTCAACCTAGCCCAGTCCTTCTCACTGAACGGCGCACCATTGTTCGAGATCAAGAGGCGCTTCAAAGTATGATGCGATATAGTATGTTTTAACAAGGTACTCGGATCAGCTGGATTGGGCAGAGGTACTGTAGTTGACGGCAATGTCTCAAACTTGATGGTCACCCGAGTGGCGGACGCATCAGCAGCGTTTTGGATCATCTCTCGAAGAACCGTCCTAAAGGTTGTATACGATTAGAGAATCGTCCTGAAAATATGCATATACAAGCAGTAGATTTAACTTACCATTTTCCTGAATACCGTGAGAGGACTTTGGATATCAGACCGCGCGTGTCTACAGTGACCGCCTCCTCATCATTGCTGGACACCATGGTCCGCGCCTTCAGCGCATTAAAATCAATAGCCGCCGCCATCTCTAGGCGTAGGCGTATATCACGAGCGACGAAATAGATCCCATGTATTAGAGTGGCGTGTTGCTCAACCCTGTAGAGCCTTGATGACAGAGTCCAGCCGCAGTCAACAAAGGCGCAGTGCGGGACACCTGTTTCAGAGACGTAAGAAAGACCGAATTAAGAGGACGGGGATGTCCTAAATTTCAAGCGTAAAGAGAGTCGCCAAACAAGCACCGCAACGAAAGACGTGAGCGGAGAAATAGACAGACAACAGGAAAGAAATGTAAATAATACACGAAGCTCCCTCGCAGCCTCGCCACTGAGACACGGAGACTGCGGAGAAACCGAACTTATCGCCTTATCACCGGATTACCGCCTGAGGTGTCAACAGCCCTTCACCGCCTTTCCGGCAGCCTATAGCGACCATCCGCGCAGCGTGACAGGGGCAGTTTGGTCCACCCGAATAGTTAGTCCGATATACTCGTGGGGATACATATATGTTCTTGTCTTGCTGTCGTCCCGGGTGTCATCGAGCTGCTATCCGTTCATGAGCCCTTTGCTCCTCTGTCTGCTCTTGAATGGAGGCTTGCGCAATGTTCCTTTCCCTTATGTATGATTTCTAGAGCCCCTCCAATCTTCCTGGACGCGGTCTTGGGCGCAATCACGGACTGCCTCCGCTCAGCGGCCAGATGCCACCATGGGACTCGACCCTCTCTCCCCTATCGCCCCTGCGCGTCTGCGAGCGCTTCTTCTTCCTGTCGGCAAGATCAAACGCTCGCGTTTCCTGAGCTTTGCCGCAAGGCTACAGGCTGAGAATGTCGTTCGACTCGGGGACATCAGCCCGGACTCGCGGCCCAACAGAAGTACGTGTCCAACTTACGGCAGGATGATATTACGGGGGATTTTTTGAGGATCTATGAGGCTTATTCTGGTTTACGGCAGACATGTTTTCTCCCCTAGCATTCCCCACTGGAATGATAATATACGACCTTTCTATTTCGGTTCCGCCGACTTCTCATCTAGAGCTATTCCCGTTCGAAGTATTCAGGGAACCTTTGGTTGTAATAGGAATTGCGGATGGCACTGAGCTCCCTGGGCCGTCAGAGATCTCGAATGGCGCCCCGGTAATACCGTCACAAGAATCCGGTACGCTCAAACCGCCAACCCCTCACGGACTCGAGGGTCTATTGGAGGAGTTGAAACTGGTCAAGGAACATAATCCAAGAGCGCAGGTCCACCAGTTACTTGTGTTTGATTATCATGGTCTGGATAAGCTTGTTAGTGGTCCTGAAGAGGTCACATGGGTTCCCCGGCCGGAAGCCTCGAAGGCGACAACTATAAAGACCGTATTGTGCGACATTACCTCACTTCTTTTGGGCGAGCTTGATGAGTTCGCAAAGATAATGCAGAGTATACCCTCAATTGAATCCCCGCGGGCATCTTCCTGGGGGCCTCGGCGGAATCCAGAGCTTCGTCCGCGACCAGTAGACAAACTCTTACATCGAGTGACTATGCCTGCACAGCTACCGTCCACACCAAACGGTGCCCCCGATGGCCATCCAGCGTCTGGACGCAGTTCACCAGCCTCCGCAGATCATGATTCTCCCACCACGTTCGATGAAATCACTCGGTCCATACAGTTGGCTAACCGTGCCAGTTCTCTGGGGAAGCCTAGTTCAGCATCTTCTTCCAAAGAGCACAGCCGTGACCGGATGTCAGTGCAGGGGTTAAGTGCAACAGACCGGACCAAAAATCGCATTAAAGGACGGTTCGGGGTAGTAGTCGGTACCCTGTTTCTCCAGGCTGGTCGGTGGCCAGACGCTCTGAAAGAATTAGTTGAGGCTGCATCTATGGCAAGAGCTAGCAGTGATTATGTTTGGCACGGAAAAGCACTTGAGTCTATCCTTCTTTGTTTATTGATGTTTGGCTGGGCCGGGATGGATTTTCAAGTATGGCATTTCCCTGGCTATTCGACTCTGTATATAGGACCTTCATTGCTGACACCTGACAGATACCCCCCATTTGCTATCCCGTTGCGGATAAATCGAGTTCTAAGGCATCATACTATACGGCATCTGCCCCGGGTATCGACACATCTACTCTGGGACAGGCTGGCCCTGGAAACCGTATCGTCTCTCTACAGAATCTAGCTAATTTGCTACCTGATCTGTCAAATAACATCCTGAACCTGTATAATCGCGCTGCCAACATAACTGACGAACCTCTGCCCCAGCTCGTATATTCAGAGACTGTCATACGTCTGGCGAGACTACAGACGGCAGTGAGAATACGAGATGGGACGCTGGATGACAATGCCCTGCAACATGTCGTTATGAACGAGCCATTGGTGCCTGTGCATAATCCAGAACGCCCCGTTGGCGCGACATTATTGCGCAAAACTGATATATCCAACTTTTTGCTTCGTGCTCTGCCTCTTTCTCCTGGCTCTGAGCTCCCAGCGACAGACTCGGTGCCCATCCTAGTCGGTATAGCATCGGTTCTCGGCACACTCGATCTACCGAGGAAGAAAGCTTTTATCTTGAGAGAACTCCTATCCGTCATGGTACCAAGCCTAGTTCAGGCTAGAAAAATTGGCGCTGCGGAAATAGGTATTCATCCAGCAGCAGGTCTCTCATCTCTAAGCGATGCGGCATTCGACATAAATGCGCTCGATATGGGTCCAGGAAATATGGAGTCTACCGTGCGTACTCTGCTTGCCTCGATTGGAGAGACATATGGCGTGCAACCATCGGCGTCCCATGAGTTTGAGCGGCACCGACGTTTGTCGGCGATGTCGAACCTCGAGGGCAATACGGAATATGATTCAGTGGCTGCGATTGTCGAACGGTCGTTCCGCCACGTGGCTTTGAATGGGTATGGAGACCTGGACTTGAAGATTGATGTTCTCAAAGCATCGATCAACTTTTGTGAGGCGCTTCCTGATTTCGAGGGAGTCCTTCGGTTCACCGTGGAACTTCTGCAGACTATCAGAGGTGATTTGATGCTCCCCGAATACGATCGTCTTACGCCGTCACTGTCCCCTGAAGAACAGATTCGCCTCCTCAACAATATTAAACGAACGGTGGGGGCTGCTCGTAAACTCGGGGCGCCAAATCTGGAAGCCGAATACTGGGATGACTTTTTGATCCGTGGAGTTGAACTGCTGGAGTTACCTCACTTCAAAAGGCCTATCCGCCGAACGAAAAAGGACTGGAATGCAGCAACAGCTAGCAGCGATAGGTCCAAAAAGGACCCGTTCCTGTACAGCCCTTTTTCAAAGCCAAGCAGCAAGGCGTCAGAGCCGCTGCTTATTGCCGGGGAACCAGCCTCCTTCAAAGTCACTCTTCAAAATCCGTATGAATTCGATGTAGAGATCGAAAGTCTGAGACTTGACGGTGAAGGCGTACCACTGGACGCCGTCGCGCAAGGAATCTGGCTACCTCCACTCTCGATTCAGGAGGTTATTCTTTCAGGTGTTGCACATGATGAAGGTACACTGAACGTCACTGGCTGCATTGTGAAGGTTCAGCATTGCAGGCAGCGAAAGTTCCCTATCTTCTCTAAACTGTGGAAACCTGAACCGGAGACGAAGTTCAAACGGACAGGGCTCTCCGCAAAAAAGCCGGTTTGTGAACGCCCCTTTTCCTGGAGCTCCACGACTTCAATAGGAGGAAAGTTACTTTCGAAGAAGGGCCCTGAGACATCGTCGTGTCCGATCACTGTCATAAAGAAGCAGCCTACCGTCCTTGTACAATCAGTGTCGCTATCGCAGTCAGCAATCATGGTTCTGGAGGGCGAGACAAGATCTTTCGAAGTCACACTCCAGAACACCTCCTCTTGCCCTGCTGATTTTGTCCTGTTCACCTTCCAAGATTCTACTACCAGGCAACTCCAATCTGCTCTGAGCAATAGAGATCTTCTCCCTGCCGAGATATATGAGCTAGAGCTCCAATTACTGACCAAGCACCCGTTACGGTGGCGCCGGAAAAATGCCGATGCTAGCGATTTATCTATTCCACCGGGCCAGAGTGCTACTTTCACGGTTGAAGTTTTTGGAAAGCCAGGCTTACAAGACGCTATTGTGCAAATCGACTATTGCCATGTTGGCACTTCTTCGTCGGATTTACCAGAAGTCTTCTATACCAGGCAAATGCTGCTGCCGATTACGATCACTGTTAACGCCAGCATAGAGGTAGCTCGTTGCGATATACTTCCGTTGAGTGGTGATCTAGCATGGTCCAACATTGGTGACCATAAGTATGATACCGATGGCGATCCTTCCGGGACGGCGAATGGACCCTTGGTGAGCACTTCGAAGAAGAGTGACGAACAGTTCCCATCGCTTTTCTCTCGACTTGGGTTGTCCGAGAAAGCTTCTGAGCATTGTCTTCTTCTGCTGGACCTTCGCAACGCGTGGCCAGAGCCAATATCTGTATCACTCTATTCCAGTGAAGAACCTGACCGAGTACCGACGGACAGCAATATTGATCAAGCTGTTGTCACTGGAAATCTCCAACCTGGCCAGACATCGCGTTTCGTTCTTGTTATTCCGCGCATCTTTTTGGACGATCCTCATGCTTCGATTCCTGTTCTCGATACAGGCTTAAAGAGACAATTTGTGGTCAGCGCTAATAAACTATCTTTTGAGGCTGAAGCCGCTTCCAGAGAGGCGTTCTGGTACAGGGAAGACCTTCTCAAGCGCATCTTTGGGTTGTGGAGAGAAGAAAACAGTGGAAGACAGGGTGAGATAGAATTCCGCAATATTCGTCTCAGCCCACGAATGGTGGATGCGATGCGAATGGAGGATGTTGATATTTCATTCTCCTTGAATCCTATGAACGTCGGCAGTGGCGACGGTGAACAGGGCGGCCAAACGAACGCTATCACTCGGGTCGGACATGCGAAATACGCTGTCAGGACGGACGACTTCCTCACGCTTTCTGTGAAGGTCCACAACCGTTCTTCAAGACCTATCCACCCTCTACTTCGATTACAGCCTGGTCTTCGGAACCAGCCGAATGCAGTCGCCCTCGACCTTTCCCGGCGCATGGCTTGGACCGGAATGCTGCAGCGCGTATTGCCGATAGTGAAAGGCGGGGAAACAGCAGAGGCGACATTGAGCGTAACCATCCTTACTAGAGGAGAGTATGAATTCGGAGCCAGTGTTGAGGAAGTTAGGGTTCTGAAACCTCTGCCTCGCTCAGCGAAGAGCGATCAAGATGGACAAACGAGGCGTGCAACCTTCTCTGAACGAGAAGATATCATCGAAGACACCTTCGGCGTAGGGGTAACCAAAACCAGACGCATATGGCATGCCAGAGAGACATGTGTATTATCTGCCCATGACTAAAACCACAGCCCTCTTCTCAACTTCTTTCCGCTTGCTATCCCACGACGAATCCGGAGCGGGAGCCATATCTCTCTTCTCCAATTGAAAGTTCCAAAGAACATCATGATTGCAATATTTTCAATGACGCGTATCCCGCATTTTATTATCCTTTTTTTCTCCCTGCGCGAACGCGGAGACACGAACGAGTACGGCTTACGAATTGTACATAGAGAAAGTGCATAGGCTTTCAACATTGCGGTTCTCGAGTCCCCAGCTGGGGGCTATCTACGGAATTATGGTGGTTCATGTAATGCATAGTTAAGTCTACCTTGTTAGTTGGGGTGGATTGTTATGTCGTTTCCGTTGAGACAAGGTTATTTTTGGGTCTTCTCTGTGTATGATAATATATTTGTTGAGTAGTATCATCTACTGTCCATTTATTGTGAGAATCTCTTAACCACATGAGGTGTCGTAAATAGCCTGATGTGGTAAAGGTGAAAAGATGGTAAATCCTGTATCAGCATGAGAAGCTGCGCTGTCATGGCCGACTAAAGTCCCATACATGTCGATACCAGACACAGAGAGAAGCGACCCATGCTCTTCCATGATTATTGTGTTTTCCGGCGTAAGCAGGGTAGCACTCGATTGTCCTCGATCAGCTACACGGAGCTGTCAAGAGTCATATGTGCGACGACGAATCACGCCTTCTCCCGAGATCGCACGAGACGACAAGCGTACAGCTTGTCTTCCATTCCTTCTGCCTGCATAATCCTCTTCGCCCTGTTGTGGACAGCTGTGCCATTTGTTGTGAGAACATTTGGATAAGTTCCATTCTGACCCTAGTGGTTGCCTCTGCAGACATAATAGTCGAGGTCCAGGCCAGCAAATTCCAAATCTGCGTAGTTGGCAATCAGACCCTAATGGCGTCGCGAACTTCCACTATCAGCAGCGGAGGGGTCTCAATTTGAGGATTCTGTTTCGATCTATGGCAATCCAGACGGGTATGAAAGCCCCGTCGAAGTACCTGAGCCATCAAGAAATAACCTTGAGGGGGCATCAGATCGAAACTCGCCGAGATAATCTCCTTCGCATCAGATGCACTCAAGAACAAGATCAACAATGGCGAAGAAAACATCACGGTCCGGTTCAGCTGAGTCTAATCCGAGACCAACAACGAGAAGTCTCTTCTCATTGGGGTTTTTCATGACGATAGCACTCGCGATCTGGCGCGCATAGAGTTGGCCTACGATGTCATGCCCTGCAGCATGACCACCAAGGATTGATGTCGTTGTCAGATTAGTCATTGGTAGGAGACTATCATCATCTCCATCGGAAATCGTGTGCAAACCGTCAGTTCCAGGGTTCAGATTTTCAAGTGGTACATGGAGCTGACAAAGAGATTAGCGTATGACAGGTATGAATCAACGCTAGAGCTCGTACCCAGTGAGCCAGTTTTCCTTTCTGCGAAACGGTGACAAGGATCTTGTCCGCAAAGCCAATCGACATAACGTCTGTCTTGACCCCGTTGATCACTCCGGCAGTTTGCTTGGTAGTTGCGGGGAAGGGAGCATTGATGACCTCGTGGAGATTACTGAGGTCAAGAGGATCGGCCATCTTGAACTAGGTTGTCTTGTTCTAGAGATAAATGTAGATTTCCTATCCGTATATTCTTAGAAACAGTCTTGGAGTGCAAGAAGCATTGAGAGAGCTATTAAGTGTAGATAAACTCGACATCGCGCAGTCCACAATGATTGCGGAGAGCGAAGGCGGTGAAGGTCTGTACACACCGCCTTAGCGGCAGAATATCTCCGCCGCTCTAATTCCGCCCAACTTTTTTCGGAAATCTCGACGAGGAAGAAAAAGCTGCACCGCAGGCAAGGTTCCTTTGTGTCGACTTCTCCTGTCGAAGCTTGCCATCGGACATCATGGCGAAGCCCAAGCCTCGACAGCGCAAGAATAAGCACAGACAACAGGAGAATGCTGGCGCTCAACAACAAGACACGAATGTCGTGGAGCTGTTGCCCACTTCTAAGGCGGAGAAGGAAGAAAGAAGGCGAAAGCTGAGAGAGGAGTTGCGCGCGTCGCAACCGAAAATCTCTGCGAAGAAACAGAAGCGTCTCGATAAATATATTGTACGGAAATTATCAAATTTTTCTCGTGTTGGGATAATACTAATCCAACCTACAGGAGAACAAGCTGAAAAAGGAAGAAAACCTCGAGCTTCTGAAGAAACTCGCGCAGACGAAAGTCGATACCTCTGTCTTCCAAAGTTCTAAGAATATCAATCCAACTTCAGCGAAGCGCAAGAGGGAGGACTCTGAACCTCCAGTATCTCAGCCTGGGCCGGTCAGTGATGCTGGAAAGACAGTCGAAGATATTGATCTCTCCGGTGACGAAAGTGACGAGTCCGATCAGAAGCTAAAGAGTGGTACTGGTTCCGGCCGGGGTGTGGAGGCAGAGAAGAAGGGGCCATCAGCTCCAACTCCGGCCGTTGGAAGTGGCCTGAAGAGACCTCTCGAAGTTGGACCGAACGGATTCCCAATCTTAAAGAAGCGGAAGAGAGCACCCAAGTTGAAGCCAGTTCCTGTCGAAGAAATACCATGGGAAGGGTTTGGTTCTGATGAGGATGGCTCTGAGGACGAGGAAGACGGAAAAGATGATGAGGTTAGGAGCGAATCGTCGGGCCATTCGGAAAGTGACGAGGATGGAAACGATGAATCCGGTTCGTCGAGCCAAGACACGAATTCTGAAGATGAGGATGAGGATGAAGAAGAAGAAAATGAGACAGGATCTGAGACTGAAGAACCTGAGCAGCCTCGGAAATCCGCATTCAAGGCTTGGGCCGTACAGCAGATCAATGAGGTTGTCGGCTTCAAGCCTACGGAAGGTCCAGTTTTCACACATATCACTTCTGCAGAACTCGCGGTCCCTGCGAATAAAGTACCGAGAAATACTGTTGAGGAGGACGAGCCTTTGCCGCAGGAACTACTACCAACAAAAGGAGACCCGTACCGAAAGGCCTTCAGTGTCCAGGTCGACAGGTCTGAGGAAATACAGAACTCACGACTTGGATTACCCGTCGTCGGCGAGGAACAGAAAATTATGGAAGCGATCCATAATAATCCCTCCGTTGTCATTTGGGGAGCCACTGGAAGTGGAAAAACAACACAGCTACCGCAGTTTCTGTTCGAAGCTGGGTATGGACATCCCGACAGCCCTAATCCCGGAATGATCGCTGTGACGCAGCCTCGACGAGTGGCTGCTGTCAGTATGGCGAAGCGAGTAGGTGATGAACTGGGACAATATTCTGACAAGGTCTCGTATCAAATCCGCTTCGACAGCACTGTCTCGAACAAGACAGCCATCAAGTTCATGACCGACGGTATTCTTCTTCGAGAAATCGCTCAGGACTTTGCCCTGACCAAGTATTCTGTTATAATTATCGATGAGGCTCACGAGAGAAGTGTCAATACCGATATTCTCATTGGTATGGTGAGCCGCATAGTTGATCTGCGAAAAGATATGGGCAAAGAAGATCCTTCAATCAAGCCGCTGAAGCTTGTGATCATGTCTGCTACTCTGCGAATATCGGATTTCACGCAAAATCCAAGCCTTTTCAAACATGGTCCTCCACCATTGGTACAGGCAGAAGGTCGCCAGTATCCAGTTACTGTTCATTTTGCGCGACGGACTCACCGGGATTATGTTGAGGAGGCATTCCGCAAGGTCTCTCGCGGCCATAGAAAGCTACCTCCTGGAGGTATGCTGGTCTTCCTAACTGGCCAGAACGAGATAAAACAGCTTGCCAAGCGACTAAAACAAACTTTCAAACCAACACAAAGAGGGGAGTCGACACAAGGAAAAGTCCAGATGGCAGCTAAAGATGCCCCATTGGAAGCTGAAGATCTGGAGCTAGGCGGTCCGGAGGTGTCAGCCCCTGGGGATGTAGCTGATGACGACAGTGACATGGACATCAGAGGACTCGACGATGACAGTGAGGATGACGAAGGCTTTGACCTAGAAGAAGAGAGCATGGACTCCTCCACCCGAGTCCATGTCCTACCTCTATATTCTCAGCTTCCTACGAAGGAGCAGCTGAGGATATTCGAACCACCCCCAGAAGGCTCCCGACTTATTGTCTTAGCGACGAATGTGGCAGAGACAAGTTTGACTATACCAGGGATCAAATACGTATTCGATTGTGGACGGTCCAAAGAGAAGCAATACGATTTGGCGACTGGTGTTCAAAGTTACCAAATCGGCTGGATCAGCAAGGCAAGCGCAAACCAAAGAGCTGGACGTGCTGGACGAACGGGGCCGGGTCACTGCTACCGCCTGTACTCGTCCGCTATATATGAGGGCGAATTTGCGGAATATACCGATCCCGAGATCCTGCGGACTCCCATTGAGGGAGTCGTCCTGCAGATGAAGAGCATGGGTCTGCACAACGTGATCAATTTCCCGTTCCCGACACCTCCCAGCCGCCAAGGTCTTGCTAAGGCAGAGAAATTATTGAAAAACCTGGGGGCCCTCTCTCCAGGTGGCCAGGTAACGGAGATTGGTCACCGCTTGTCAGTCTATCCTTTGTCTCCTAGGTTCGGAAAGATGCTGCAAATCGGTCACCAACATGGGTGTATGCCTTACGTTATTGCCCTTGTTTCTGCGCTGGCTGTAGGGGATATCTTTATCCCAGAGAGTCAGCTAGACCTGAGCTCCTCAAATCGTGATGAGAAAGAGGTCTATACGAACGCTGAACGCTTGGAGGATACAGCTCGAGAGAAGCGCCGGAAGGACTACAATCGCGCTCATCGTCTCTTCAGCAAACACGATGATACTTCTGATGCTCTAAAGTATATGTCGGCTGTCTGTGCTTATGCCTATGCTTCGGATGCGGAGACTTTTTGTGAGCAGATGTTCCTCCGGGCCAAGGCCCTGAAGGAGATTTCTCAACTCCGCCAGCAGCTGACAGATATTGTCCGTGCCAACAACCCCGGTCTGATCGGTGCTTATGAGACTCGTCTTCCTGAGCCCACCTCTAAGCAAGTGAAAGCACTGAAGCAGATTGTAACAGCAGGTTTCATTGACCAAGTCGCCATCCGTGCAGACCTGGCTCCTGTACCTCCTGAGATATCACGCACGCCTAAGAGAGCAATCGATGTTCCCTATATCACGCTCTTCCGTTCAAGAGAAGGAAAAGCGAAGGAACTCAGCGAGAAGGCTGTCTATGTCCATCCTTCATCGCTGCTGTCCCAACTCACTCCAAAGGAGATGCCCCAGTATATCGTCTATTCTCATTTGCAGCAATCCAGCGCGTCCCTGGTCTCGGATCAAACACCGAAGATCAGAATGTTCCCTCTTGCAGCACCCAGCGGACTCCAACTCTCCGCTCTCGCCCACGGCACGCCGCTAGTCGAATACGGAAAGCCGATCGGGAAGATAGAGTCTCTTGGAGGCGTTCCGGAGCGACGGGAATGCTGGGTCGTTCCATCGCTTGTTGGAGAGGCCGGAACTACAGGTTGGCCCTTGCCCGCAAAGAAAGTGGTGCAGAAAAAGGACTTGAAAGAAGGTTGGGTCATTGAGAAATTCCTCCAGTAAAAAAAGTATCTTTTTTGGAGTTACCATAAAAGGGCCATTGCAATGGCGGCGTCTATGGGTATATGTATATATCATGAATTGGTAAAAGCTTTCCACATACTCGCATTGAATAACTCTTTTTTTTACAAATATGATCATCAAGTAGTATTTCCTTTTTCCCATAGAAAAAAACTATATCCCCCTAGCGGAAATTTGGGACACTGCACTTTAATTTCAACATGAGGAGACCCTCCCAACAAACGCCAGAAACAAAACCATGAATGACGGATGTTCAGTATCAACTAGTCAGACAATCACTCCCTAAATCCCTGTGAAGCGGCTCTCTCACGATCTCTCGGCCTCACGGGCCAAAGGTCTTTCTGTCTCTGGCTCTCCTTCTCCGCATACCGTCTTCCATCGGTCTCTGCACTCTCCCAATCATCCCGAATCCCCAACGCCCTCCGCAACCGCTCACTCTCCTGAATCTTCGCCTCCGCCTGCTCATGCACCTGATAGGATTTGAACTGCTTCCTCTCTCGAGGCGGCCCATCACGTCCCGGACGTCTTCTCGATCGAAGATCATCGGCACGATCAGCAGATCCTCCCTCTTCCAATTCCCGCAGTAATCGCTGTCTGAGCTCTTCGCATCGCTCATCGATTTCTTCCTCTGAAAGAACCTTCTTCTTCTTCTTCTCATCCCCATCATCATCGTCATCATCGGATTTCTTCTTCCCTTTACTCTTCTTCAGTTCCTCTTCAATGCGCTCGTTCTCCTCCTCTAGCCGTTCTCGCTCCTCAAGGACTTTCACTTCGATCGCGCGTTTTCGATCATGATCGAGGATCTGCTGGTCTGGTTTCCGTTGCTTGAATGATGGTCCGTTTGATCCAGATACGGGAGGATAGGGCGCGCCGTAGCCGGAATCGCGGGGCTTGAGGAAGGCCGAGTTGCGTTGGACGTATCCTGACGTTCCACTTCCACGAGGCGTGGATAGACCAACGTTAGATGACATGGTGAGGTGGTTGTTTTTTTCTTTTTTAAGAGGATGGCGAAGGGTGGCTAGTCGAATAAATGCAGTCGATGTAATGTCTTTCACTCCGCGCTCATGATATGGATGACTCGGAGGACCATTCGACGCTCACGGCAGGATATCGAAGGCCGCGATTGTTTCCACAATGATATGGAAGTTAAACCCTCGAGGAACCTTTTTGCGCCCCAGTCAAAAGATTGTAAGGAAGCTTGTTTCTTGTAGCAGTGTTAAAGCGCGTTGAAGCGTAGCTCTTCGGAGGCACGATCTTATCAGTCATGTGACCTTACCTCACCGGTCTCTTCTACTCCATTAGGGGAGTTATGGCCGAATCGCGAATGAGTAGAGCTTAGGATCCTACAATCGTGCGTTAAAAATGGATTCTGTTTCGAGCAATGAGGTTCTCGATTTCGGACCCTCCGATACGATGATAGGGGAACAATGGGAGAAGGAAAAGAAAAAAAAGAAAGAAAAAAAAGAATCGTCTCTCCCCCGAGCCGGAATCGAGCCGGCGACCTTTCGGTAACAATGGAAAATCCTATTACAGCCGAACGCCATATCCAACTAGACCATCGGGGGTTTGTGAGACGTCCTATTAAAGCCTATCCTGATATACATTGCAGACTATACGTACAATTAATCATTGCCCCAAGCGTTGTTACATAGAAAGACAGAAATATCGAACTCTTGCTTAAGGTATCGAATTCCCCTTCTAATATGTTGACATACTGCTATTAAAGATATTTTTGAGTGTAAATGAAGCTTAAAACAGAAAGCGTTGTTTGATAAGTTTGCTGTCGCAGCATTCCAGGATATTTTCTGGTGGCTAACACGACAAATATATTCATACCAAGATCCGATCAGCCCTACTGACTTCTTCTCCGTGTATGTTATTGGAGACTGGAAATTCGAAGGCGATTCAGTGACAGTATTAACTGAAGCGCCAAATACACGCGTGGAAGGGCCTGGATCAAGTTATCAACTAACAAAGACGCGCTTTGGGAAGATCGCTTTTCGCGCGATCCATACAAACTGCTAAGGCTTCGAGGTCAGGCATAAGTGTATCTCAGCTAGAGAACTAGTGTCAGGACAGACAAGCCTACATATTTTGTAAAAGGAACGGAGATGCCTTAGACCTTTCGAAATAATTCTATTTCATCCCGCCACATCAAGTTCTCAGAAGACGACCATAAAAAGGGCATGCCGCAGCCCAACAATAGCTTCGCGATCGAGGCCTAAGTCGAGAGATGGCACACAGATACTCTTTATGAAATCGGTTAAGCCTTACTGGATACAGTAGACTACCAATTCGTCTCGATATAGCATTAAGGAATGGACAAACATCACTTCCGAATAAACAATACTTGATTTTGGATTAACTACACATGGAATAGGAACCCAGGGTGCAAGAAAAGCAACTCGAGGTAAACCATATAAAAAAGAAGGGGAAATTCCATATGTAAGTAACATTCAATAGAAATATGCATGACACCGCGATAGACCCCATATTCGACGCCAAACCCACGCCGACTGGCCCCGAAAACAATAATTATTAACGAATATCGATGCATATCTTCATTTCATCAGTCTTTGGAGACAAATGACACGGAACATCAGCCCAAATTTGTAGAAACTGGGGATATGAGCAAAGCCGAGGTTTGATGAACACATATTATCCCTCTTCTTATCTTTGTTTTGCGCCTTCATTTTGTTTAGATACCGGCGAAAGAATCACACAGGTAATTTGAACAAGGTTAATCCATATATCCTCCGAAGGTCCTGTATGTATACGCCTTGATGAATAAAAGAAAAAGTGAAATATTCAACACAAGGTAGTTAAGCGAAGTTGAGGTTCATGAAAAAGGCCCCAGATAATCTAGGCCCTGGAGCCAGAGGTGGTCGAAACATCGCCAGCTGCAACAGTGTCTGTCTCAGAGACAGACGTCACAGACCTGGTTGCCATGCATTTGCAAGTTTCAACGCCCCCATCAGTTGTGCTTGCAGTATCGGTGGGTGGCGGAGTGGGGGGAGCAGCACCAACAATAGGACGGCACGCTTCAATGTCAGTGAGCGACCTGCGAGAAGGCTGAGGAGAAGACTTGTGTGATGCAGGAGGCGTGGTAGACGAAGCTGCATTGACAGAAGAGCCCGTACCAGTGCTGGGGTCAAATATGAGCTTCTCGATTGCCACTATCTGCTTACCATAGCTGAATTTCTTCAGCTGGCTAAGCTGTGGTCTGATCTGCTCGACAAGGCCTTCGCGCTCATCACCCTTCAGCTGCCCAAGAACTTTCTCTGTATTCGATGTTAGTAAAAGTAATAGACGGACAATGTGAACAAAGACTTACGGATGACGTAGTTTCCATATTGATCACGCATCAAGCCCAAGAGCGGGCTCTCGCCTCGTTCGTTGGGCGAGGTGAGGAGGCGAATTATCTCGCGTCTCTGGCTTTCCTCACCGAACTCGATGCTCTTTTCGACGACGTTGCTAGCAAACTTATGCTTGGAAAACACTAGCAGCTGGGAAAGGACGATGGAGATGATCCTCGATCGGTCCTTCTCCTCGCCATTTTCGATGACATGCTGGATGACATAGTTTCCAAACTGATCCGGAATGAGGCTTGCTGTGCAAGCGTGAAGTTCAGCAAGAATGGACTGGCGATCAGGCTCTTCGCAATGCTCGAGCATTCTTTGAATGACGCGGCAGCCATAGGGATGCGCGGCAAGCCGGTTGACCTGTCCCTTAAAGGCGTTGATAATGAACTGGACATGCTGCGACGGAACCCTTTCAATGGCTTTCTGAATGACATGGTTCCCATTCTGGTCTCGAACGCACTTCAGGACGTGGTTCTCGAGCTCCTTGACCATGGATGCTTGCTGATCCGTCAAGATATGTTCCAGCGCTTTCTGTACGACTCGACATCCATACATCTGTGTCGACAGAGCCAGAATATGTCCCTTCATCTGGTTCGCAAGAATCTTCTTCTGGGACTGGTTGCCGTGCTCAAAGAGCTTCTGCACGACATAATTTCCGAAAACATCTGTCATCAGCTGCAGCGAGTTCGGCTGGATCTCACGGAAAACCTGTTCTTTCTCGTCACTGTTGGCAGTTTCTAACTTCTGCTGAATGAAACGAGAGCCATGCTGGTCTCCACTGAATTCGACAATGTGGTTGTATATATCCTTCAATTCGTATCGCTTGTTACCCTTGTTGTTCGTCCTGAACTCCTCTAGCAATGGACTCCGAACCACCTGCGTCGGGTCGTGGTCACGATGCGGAGCGCGGGGAAGAACACCGGCGGCACCAAAACCAGCGTAGGGGGCCATAGGATAGAAGGCCGCAAGGGGGTTGAGCCTGGCCGCCTGATATGCGGCAAAGTCGTAAGCAGGAGGAAACTGAAGACGAGGCTGGAGTAAGTTGGCCGCGTGCTGAGAGTACTCCTGTTCCTGTTGCATTGCACGAATCTTCCGATCCAGCAGCGCAGTCTGCCCATCCGGGGCGGGGTTAGCAAGTCGAATACCTCCGGAAGGCGTGCGATATTGCGTCGTAGGTGCAGGAGTCCCGCTAGCTTGGTAGAAAGGGCTATTGATGCGACCGTAGTCGACGGGAGAACCCGAGCTGCGATCCGCCAATCGAGAAGCAGCCGGGTGATATCCAGCATGTAAATCAGAGCCGTCAGGGGTGTAACCACTCACTGGCTGGTAGTTGCCTTCGTCAGCAGCCAACTGGTACTTGAATCTGTTGAAAGATCCATCGTACGAGGCATGAGAGACGTAACCTGGTCTCTGCGCGCTTTGCTGGGAGGAAACATTGTTATCATTCAGCTGCAGCTTGTCCAGTCCGGCGCTGATGTCCATTTGACTGTTTCCATATCGGTTCTGGAAGCCCTGGCTGTCGGAGTGAAATGATGGATGGGCAGAGTGGCCAGGCCTCTGGGATGCAAGAGACAGAGATCCATGGGACAGATGATTGTACGGACCAGCAACCGCAGTGCGGCCGGTCTGATTCATCGACTCAGTAACAGTCTGAGGGAATGCCAGGTTGATCGAGCTGATGTCCTCTGCTCGTGAGACCTCAACCTCTCCAGACAGACTCCCTCTGCCCTGGAAAGTCGGTCCTACTGTGTTACCACTGAACGACGAACTGATTTGACGGCGGTTGGACTCCTCGTTCCTAAAGCCGCCAAAGTTCCCAAACGAAATGGAATCGCCGCCAGACGGGGTTAATCCCTCAGATGGCTGGTTCAGGTAGGTCTTTTCCCTGGCGGTTGTGGATCCTTGCCCGATGGCTGAAGGTCTGGGAAGCGAGAAATAGGACGTCGTATCCGCCTCAGAAATAACAGGAGCACTTCGGTCGTGGGCGCGCGCTTGTACGGGAGACGTGGCAATGCTCTTGCTCTGTGTCATCGACAATGAAGATGCTGAGCTTACAGTGCTCCATGGCAAGTTTGGCCGGCCGGTCCAACCCTCAGATTCAGAAGTGGACAGCAGGGAACCTGACCCGGATTTGCCTTCAAAAGCATGCTCCGCTCCGTTCATCTGCGTTTGGTCTAAACCGGGGTCAGTTTGATGATAGGCTACATGTAGCAAGCAGAATTCCGTACCTCTGATCAATCCAGTGTCCGCGGGACCATCCGTGAAACCAGTTCCGAGGTTAGTGTTACCCCAGATATTGTTATTCCATCTGCTCTTTCCAGAGCCAAAGCCCTTGGCCATGCCATGATTATGTGACGCCCGAGAACGGTCGCCGCTCATGCCTGAGGTCCCCATATTCGAGGCCCGATCTGATCGAACCTGGACAGCACCATCAGTCACCTGCACCATCAACCAGAGTGGGCCAAGGGAAGAATGGCCTACATTATGCACAGCTGCCGCGTTTGCTGCCATGGCGGACGCCATCACAGCGTGGATGAGAAGATGCGATTAAATATGTACTCGAACGTGTTGCGAGGGTATTTGCAAGTGCCGTCGAGGCTACGTCAGATATATTAAATGACAGGTCGTGGGGTTAACCGTAGATCGATGGGTAATCGCACGAGCACCAGGCAGTTGGATGCGTGCGAGAGGTGTGAAATATATGACTGTTGGCGCAGCAGTCAGCCCAGCAGCTCTCAGCAATGGAGGATCACCGGTACCTGGAACCAGGCAAGGAAGACTCACCAAGGGAGGGGAATGAAGTCAAGAGAAGGGCTCCCTTCGGTCTAGTGACCAGGCCAGGACATGTACAATTATACAGGACGCGAAGGGCAGCGGGGGTTGTCGGAAGAAGGGAGGGAAGGGCAGGTGAGGGCGAGAAATGCTGAAGAGAGGCAACGGTTCTCGGGGGGGTCTCGGGCGGTGTCGAAGCTTGGATGCAAGGTAACAAGCAGAAAATCGGGCAGTCCCCTTCGTTTGCCCGTGCAAAAAATCAGCAGGCAGCCGTCGAACAGAAAGCCTGCATATACCACAGAGGTTCTTTACGCTCCGTGCATGCCCCAGGAATCCCGATTCCCGCAGATCGTCCTCATATGGGTTGTGGAGAGAGCGGTGGGCGCTGGTGAGCTTGGTTGATTCGCGGAGGCAAGGGGTGGATGGATTGCGGCCTGCGTGAGAAGAATGCTGTCCGTCGCGCAGACAGAAGAACCGATGTGATTAGTCGACCGGATTGGACTGGAATGGGAATGTCGAAGAGACACAAAGGATCGATGGTATCAAACTCCTGCAACGGTCACACAGAACGAAGCAGCGAGTCTGGGGAAGAGCTGCCGCTTCTGGGAACGAGGAACCTTTGTCTCGCGAACCTTGTCCTCCAGGGATGGGAAAAAAGGGAAGCAATAGAAGGGAGATAAAGAACGGGTGATACGAAGGAGGAAATACAGGAAGGAGAAGGGAAGGGAGAATGGGGAATGAGAAAGGGAAAGGAAGAAAAGAAAAGGTCACGGTTGATGGCGGGCGGAATTGATGATAAGGCGAGAGGCTGCGTGTTCTCGTCTTGTCTGTAACTGCTGTGACGGGCGGTTGGCGCCCGCTGTTGGCAGACGATCCACGGGTACCTCGACCCTGCATAGCTTTTGCGTGGTGATCCGGGTACCTTTTGATCAAACGCAAACTGTATGCTGCTGATACGGTCTGGTCTGGTATTGAATCTGATCTGACGCCGCGCTGCGCCATCCAACATGCCTAGAGGATCTAAACTTGGGGATCTTCCCCGGCGCTTGTCTAGTAGCTCCATTGGGCGCTCTCTCTTTGTCTACAGCTCGTCGTCCAGCCAGGGAGGAGTTCACTGCACAAGCCTCAGCATGGCGACCGTGGCACCGTGGATGCGCTTCACTTGATTTGATTTGATTTGATTTGACTTGACTTGACTTGACTTTCCCTTGACTCGGCCACAGACACGAATTCCTCCTACTGTACATAGATACACTTCCCGAAACGACGCTGTTCCCCGTCGTCCATTGCGCCATGACAGCCGTATCAGATGCTGTCATGCAGCTCTTCTAGAGGCTTGAAGGCCCGTCAAAGGCCTCCGTCTTCTGGCCAGATGCCGTGATCCCATTGTTGCGTACCCCATGCGACACCTGGTCGATCCCGATTCTCGATCTTCCTTAAGTTAGCTAGCTTACCACGCTGTTCCCAGATTGCTGCCAAGCCCTGGATCCATGCGCAGCATTATTGCTTGTGTTCAGCTCGGACATGACTTCCTGGCCCCCGCTCGAACAGCTCTGTGGTATGACCGATCGTGACCATGGCGCGTGTCATTGCTACAGTACATTTGCGACTGCGTACGGTGTTTCCCAGTGTTGCAGGTGCCAGGCCAGAGGACAGCCTAGCTATTTGAGATGCTGCTGATGTTGCAATAATCAATAATAATAATGGTCTGACGTACTGTATTACATACTGGACCTGATGGCTCACCTTTTAACTAAGCCATAAGAGCCCGATAAGACTAAGAGAAACGCTAATAAAGGTTTCTAATCATGGCAAATCTCCGACGACAAGCACGATCCATTTCCTACCTCTCAGATTGACAGCCCCGCTTAGCAGCACTTGTTCTGCAACCTTGTCCATGCACAGATCAGATAGAACCAAGTTTCATGTCTGACCATCTTCTTCGGCGCGCCTACGGCTATCTAGTGGTTGTACTGTAATAGGCAGTTCCCTTGTGTACCCGACACGATTCCTTGCCCGGAGGAGAGAGCGACGAGTCCCACAGTTCCCTTCGTCGGCGTGTCTGTCAATAGTTCAATCCTTGGACCTGATGGCTGCTGACAATTGTGGGTAACCTTATGTTGGCCGACAGGAGGAGTTCGTTAATTCCTGGCCACACGATCCGCGGCTCTCCGAAGGATTGGGGGGTTTCCCTCCCCAAGAAACGCTTCTCACCCTAGCTTGTCCCAGGTATTTCACATTCTCGAGGAAGAGCTTGAAGGATAAACTTACTGCTGTGACGCTGCAGCTTTCTCTCAGACAGGGAAAAAACACATCGACCGTCCATGGTATGTAGGGATGTCACGACGTTTGTCAGAATGGCTCCACGGGCCGCCTCCCGTCTTAAAAGCTTTCTGTGTATCGATAAATCCACAGGACTAGTAGGATTTCGACTTAGCGGCCGAACCCAGGCGTCGATCTCGAGTCTGACGGCTGCCAGATCTCCCCAGGTTCGCTTGGTCCTGCACATCACGGTTCCGATTGATATCCAAGCTGTGCTCTTCTTGTCTTGAGAAGGTACAGTAAGTACATCGAGTGTACAACATGACCGCTCTATATTTAGTCTTTTGCGCACCCATGTATTCGAATAACACGTCTGGCGTCTCCCTCCTGCGCATATGATATTTTATTTCTCTCAGCGATCTCCGGCAGAACCAGTGGATATCGCGAGCTGAATTGGGCTCGCATTGACCGCCGCTCGCGCTAACATTCATCGCCTGGTTTGGAAACTATGGGAAAAAGAAAGTAGTACTCCTTCTTGAACGCTAGGAACAATTCAATAATATTCGAGGATCACGAAGAAAAAAGATACTGGATTTCCGGAAATATTCCCCAGATTCTTTTCAGTTTATCGAAGTTACAGAGTTGCCGCCTTGCATCCTCTTGATGGAGCCACTTCAACTAGCGCAACCCCATTGGGTGGGGACTATTTGTTCGCCCCATACCAGCAACACTACTTCAAGATTCACGATGGAGCCAAGGAGGCGAAACTCTGAAAAGCGTCTGCCCCTTGGTAATCCTACATAGAAGACATTATTATTATTATTATCGCGCCCATTCTCCTTGGCGTTTGCGCCTATCCCGCTGGAAGTATGTCTTGGCAGTGCTTGTAGAAGCGGTGAAGCTTCATTGGAATGTTCGTCCTCTCATCGAGATGAATCTAGGTCAAAAAGCCTCGCTCGTAGCTGGCCGGAAGGCATGGAACGATGAGCAGTCTAGATGCTGCTCTCGCGACCCATGGGAGAGATCTACCATAAGTGTACATCACGACTAAGAGCGCATCTACCGATGGATTATTTACCTCGAGCTCTATCACAAATCCATAGACGTATTAGTCTAGTGTATATCTGAATGCTTAAAGGGGCACGGAACAGACTACCGTGGAGCAGAACTAGAGGAACGTGCATATCACTAGTACCATAATAACTACTCGGCTAAACTACCATAGAAAACAGCTCTAGACTAGAGAAATGATATCCCTGCCGGAAGTTCAAAGAGATGATTACAACCAGTGATCACATTATACTGTGTCATTGACTTCCCCTGGCTATATTGAATTGACAGAGTATGCGATCGCATACTCTCGCACGAGCAACCAACATCCCAATCTGGACCTCGCAGCATGATGACGACTCTTAACGGTCCGAAGCGGCTTCAACCCCTCGTGCCTGTCGGGGGGGGGGGGGGGGGGGGGGTGTCGGACACCCATGGAACTGCGGACCCAGTCCCCTTGTGGCTGAGAGTCACGAGAGGGGTATAGTCGGTAGGTAAGCATGAGAATATGAAGGTGCAGTCATTTGTATTTGCATCTAATGTGTCTTTTACGTAGTGCATCGTAGTGTATTCTCTTATAAACTATTAGCGTGTTGCATAACAATTTTCAAATCAAAAAGAATATTCGATGTAGTTATACGTTTGGATTAGAATATACATGGTTCAGTAATAGTATAGACATTGGGTTATACATACATATATATCTATATATACTTCTGTCCGGACTGGGTATTGACATGAAGTAAACACTGTAGACTCTCAACTTAAACCACTATAAACATTCATGACATAGACATTCTCGACCGCACAATACAAAATTAAATGACGGCAAAAAGAGCTCAAGACACAAAAAAGTCTAGATAGAATAATTACCCCTCTTCTGTTCCCCGGCTCAGAAAAACACAGCATCCAGCAGGATCAAAACTTTATCATCGACACAACTGGCAGATTCTAGACGTTATCAATGATACAGCCATAGCATAAGATACGCACAATATAACGTACTCTATGAGTACCTTACGCTTTAATTACAACTCCAATATTATCTAACAGAGCGGGGTTGATTGATGATCACTTACGTAGAGTAGAAAAGCATAGAAGCTTACATCAGCCGCACAGATCGTCCACCGGGTTTTGTCTGACTTCATCTCTTCAATCTCGCAATGCTTTTGCACACACTTTGATCGCTGTAAATTCTCCAGGAGAAGGGGATGCTTTCCATATCAGGGAAAGAGACTAGATGTGCTGATACAAAATAGGCTGTTCCATTTCTCCTCGCCGTACATGCTATGTCAAAGGGCGAACGAGGAAGGCCCCGAAGAGGCTTATTCCAGAAGAGGAAACGAGAGAACCTTTCCCCAGCTCATAGTGAGCGTATGGGCCCTTCTAATCGTAAACACTCGCAGTATACATACTCCCGTATGGTTTATTCCACATATTATGGCAATATTCTATTTGCTCCGACCGCCATCCCGCGAGACATAAAAATACCACAACAAAGACCCAATGCAGCCTGGAACGTATTTAAAAAAAAAAAAAAAAAAAAAAACAAAAAAACAAAGTAACAAACCTTCTTCAACACAGCTTCTACTAGAAAGTGTGTTTATACACCATTTAGTAGAGGCTCTTTCACGGAAGGAAGAATAGCGATTTATCGACGACCTGTACAGTACATACTTACCCTCCTTGGTATTTGTGTTTTCGGTTACCTATGGAGGGCGTGTGATACAGGGACATACATGTTGAATCAGCTACTGTTTTTCTATGATACTTTTGATACCGGTAGGATATTATGTGGGAAATTGAGATTGTGCCGTGTAACCTTTGGTCTAGGGTTATATATGTTAATTAGGAGAACTATGACTTTGGACAGACTCATTCGGATATCGATTCCTCGCCACTGTCATTTCAGACAAATTTCACTATGAAGCCTGGCATAAGCAGATTGTACTGATTTTGGTAGGTGCGTAATTGTGGACGGGACGTCCAAGAATATGCCTCACGTCCTACTTGTATAGAAAATCCAATCCGAGGCTGTGAGGATGATCCACGAATGAGCATTATCACATCACAAGGTTTACCCACATAGAAGAATCTGAGAAATAAGTGTGTGAGATGGTATATGGCTCTAACAAAAAAGAGAGACCTGTCTCGATATGACTGTTGGTGCTTACAAGTAACAGGGGTAGACATGTGATCTTGAAACCCTGAGCAGACACGGTAACGTGTTTCGAAGGTAAGCTGGAAGGTGCAGGGTATATATAGTATCTAGAACGTGAGAAAGACGCGTTTTGGAATCTCTGGTCTATTGTTAGAACCCGGTGACGATATCTTGATGCTGGTATACCGACAAATGGATATAAGCTCCCCAATATGTCCCGAACTTAGCAAGTAGAATTCTTCCTCCATCTCATAGATTTGAAAACAATACAGCGCTTTCTATCTCTGATTCAATAAAAGTGAGCTGTCCTGATGCCGCTTCTAATCTGTGGACTCCCGCCTGCCTAGGGTATCGCATGGGCCATATTCAGCACACGTCGAGTTTTCTCGAATTAGTAGAAGGTAGATTGATTCTATTTCAGATATAACTGCATAAGGCTCATTCTGACACAGAGTCGGAAGTAGCCTAATTGCAGCTTTGCCTTGCCCCGCGTATGCTTCATAACGTAAAAACAGTAGACGGATCTACACTAGGCTGGCGCTTTGCAGTTTGACATTCATACTAGCTACTTAGACAAAGCAGAAAATCTACAGGAGCAGATACTGTCGGCAGAACGTAGCCTTCTTGTCTTCCACATACAGTTTCATTCTCATCCACAAAATTTCATTTGACAGATCCATCCATTACACCATTCTATGATCACTGCCTTTACAGTATGGGACAATTCGAATTCCAGACGCAATACAAAATGCTGCCATGATGGTGGCAGCCGAACACCAAAGCCATGACTCAGAATTTGTGCATGAATACATTGATGAAGGCTTCATAGTCGAGGGGATTTGACGGATACGAACATACAGAAAAGCTGGGAGAATGGCGCCTATGCTTATCGCAAGTCGGGAATGAAACACGGTCCATTAAGTCGGAGAAGGGGTATTTGTTCATTATCTTCTCTCCAGATTATTGAGAATAATTATGGAAATCTACTGAACTTCTAAAATCCCAGTAGACAGCAGAGCCGATTACCTCCAGCCGTGCTGCCCGACTGTCTGGTATATGAGCTACTGCGATGCAGATCAATGTCTGAAAGGAAGTTGAAGTCGAGAATACAATCCGTGACGTGAAGTACCAATATACCTATATTGATATATGCGTGAATAACGCCGCCGGTGTAAGTTCTTTGCTCCAATTATCTCGTCACAGTGACTGTTGGCGGTAAGAATACGGGTGTCCCAAGATATACTCCCATCAGCTCCATGAGCCTGGACGAATACCGGTAGATGGATGAGGTCCACAGTATTGGCAGCTTCCTGATTATGCGAGCTGTTTCGAGAGTAATGCTGGAGCAAGAGCCTCGGATGGTCGACCGCTCATGTAGTAGAGGCTCAGTTGTGATTCTCACATCGCTAGCATCCGAAGGCGCTTTCGCCGGTGTGGGAAACTACATTGCGGCAAACACGCAGTCAAGAAGATTTTACAGACTTCTGCTAAGTCATTCTTGCCCAATCCCCAGTCCTTAGTCTGCGGCAGATACTCAACCCACCATTTTGGCCATGGAAATGCTCCCTAAGGTATCCGGGTCAATGCCGTCGCAACTTCATACGTCTCTGGTCAGATGATTAACGGGTTCCTGGACGAGGCGCATGCAGAGAAGAAGAGTGACTTTTGCTGTCGTGGTAGCTGAAGAAAGTCGCGCAGATTGATATCTCTCAACAGCCTACTGTAGGTAGTTTTTTATGCGAGTGGTGCACTGGTGCAAAATGAACAAAAAGCATTGCCGAAAACAGAATGAGGATATGAATTGGCAGCTCGTCTAGATATCCTTGATCTACTCTAGGCTGGGGTTCCAATCCTACTGCAAAAAAATGAAGCTCTAGACGGAATGATGACCTGCTAAACTGGATCGGTGTTCTATGCTCATAATAACCAACAGTGCTTCGCCGCTGCAGCAAGGTAGTACGTACATACTACATAGCAGCAACCCAGAAAATCCTGGCTGACCGTTACGATCATCGTCTTCTGGTTGAACTGAAGTGGGCAGATCCAAGAATGAGAGAAACAGTGAAACGTCGAGTTAAGGAGGGCATTGAAACATTGACAGGAGTAGGCTCGGCTTTTCTTGAGTTCCATTTTTCATCGCCTGGGAATGTCACGAGAAGATCGGCAGAGGGGTGTTTCTGAAACAGAATCCCTCTTCTGATTCTCTTAATTATGATATATTAAGCTATTCTTCGAGGGAATCATTTATGAAGACGGACGTAGCTCTGGAATCTGGACCACTATACCACATGGCATTATTTATGCAGACTTGTCCGTCCGGTCTGATAGGTCGACGCCATCTGCCTGCCTTGGCCCAGTGGACGCCGGATAGCGTGGGAGTCCCACTAGGGATCTTGGAAGTGGGAGAAGAAAATCCTGCAGGGAAGTAAATGTGATTTGATCCTCCGCATCCCATGGATCCGAACGAATATAGGTCAACAAGGGAGGGAGCATACTATACAGGAAGCCATTTGACGGAAATACACCTGCAAGGCCGGAGAATAAATAATAATCAAATAAGAGTTTGTCCCTTGACCGAGTGGCTCGCGTGCGTTATGTACGGGGTAGTGTGTGCAATGTGCATTGCCGTAGCTGTAGTGGAGATCCGAACACTGTCAGACCATGCGAGCCGTTTTAGCCAGGGGTAAGTAGACATCGGTTAGATATCCAGACTGGAGAGAGTTCCAAAACCACCATGGCTGCTTCTCCTGTTTAGTTTGGATATCGTATCTCTGATGTGAGGCGGTCTGAAGTACCTCGAGTCTTCGTGTTGACGGTGCCACCTGTGAACGGTCCAGAACAGAATCCTGATTGAAGTCTTTTAAGCTCGACTTGGTTGTGATCCGGAGCCAGAAGCATTATTTGGTGTGTATCCAAATATGGAAAATCGATAGCCTGCGCCATGCAGCGAATAAGGAGTGGGATTGAGTTGACGGCGCGAGAGACGGCGCGTGCAGTGGAGGCGCCAATTCAGGTACAGAAACATCGTTATAGGTGGATGCAGGAGGTGGGAAATTGCAGATGGCGCCCGCCAAGCGGTTCAAGTCAACAAGCGTGTCAAACAGGGCAGAAAGTAGAAGATAGACTACGGACGAACGAGTTAGACACAAACGACGTGGGCGAGCTTGTTGTGCTGGCGTCGTGCAGCCTGGCCAGCGTTGAACGGGCCCTTGCGCTCTCCCGCGAGGCCCCCCATTCCTTGTCTAGACGGCCTTGCGTCTTCCTCCTTTATCCTTCTTCACCACCTCCATACTATCCCTCTGCATAGGGTATACCGTCCTCCTTCTTTCCCTTTCCACTCTTTCGACTCCCATAGCAGGTGTCAGCTTCATTCTTTCAGCTGTACACTGTGCTGTCCATTCTTTCCTTTCTAGCAGTCTTGCTACGACCGTGCCGACCTAGGCAAAAACAATCACGTTGAACCGACCAATATACCCTCCCTATCCCGAACAGGATCCATTCTTTCCAGTCCCCGTGGGATCTGTCGAGTCTTTGCTGTGAGTAAGCGGTGGAATTGCGATTGCGTCTCATTCTGCGACCGTGGTGGTTGATGGTTGTTGTGCCAGTTCTGCCGACATACAGCCATTGATAAACGTCTATTTCCGGCAACATTCCGCACGACAACAGCATCCCCGCGTCGCGATTGATAAATCCTTGAGCTATTACCGATCATCCTGTGAAAGTGATGGACGCTCTCCGGACTCTGGTTACCCGCGATGACGGTAACAACAACGAGGAGGGACTCACCCCGACTATGGTCAACCTGTTGATCTCTCTGCTGGTCTTGATACTGTTCGGACTCTCGCTCGTGGGGGCCCTCTTAGTCCTCCGTCGCAAGCGCCAGAACCGCTCCCGATCAGAGCTCCCCATCCACAACGGACAGTGCAAGTCCAACCCCCGTTACACCATTACGTCCAATGGCAAGACGGAGTCGGTCTTCGTCTACGACGAGAAGCGCAATCTTATAGAGAACTCCTCCAGCCCTCCCAGCAGCCCCGTGCCTGAGATCCGCATCACGTTCCCCGAAGAGGAGGATGAGGCCGGAAAGCGCAAGTCCGGACGGGTAGTCGTCGTTCGAATCAGCGAGACCGGCGGCGTGGGCTTGGAACCCTGCCATGAAGACCTCCCGCCTTATCAGTCCAATGACGCTGAGCGTTTCCAGTCCCTGGATCTGGAACGCATGGGCGGGCTGAAGGAGAAGCAAGATGCGAAGAGATGGTCCTAGAGAAATCAATCCGTGTGGTTACCCCAATCAGATGGATCGTTTTCGTTTTGCATTCCTCTTTTCCAATTCGATTTCCTCCGTCCTCGATAGAATACCACCATCGACGACCTTCTAAAATGACGAATACTCGGGCGAAGACCTAATTTCTATTACCGTTCTTATATCTCGAACGACTCTTTTGGATATTGCAACTTGCACATATGCAGACTCATAGCCCGTGCTGCTATCGACGCCCCCGACCGCCGTTTGTTGTGCCTTTAATCTGCGACTTCTGTGCGCCTGGATCGTTTGCTACAAAACCAATTTTGGATCTTTCCGGCCACGTTCGCGGATGCGATCCGATCTGGCTACGGGGTGTACCGGAGCCGGCTTGTGTATAGGAGAGAGCTGCTTGCTTTTTTTTATTATTTGGAAACCTTGTTTGGCGTCCATTTCTTGTGCTTGGCCACATCACCACCCGTTTTCCCTTCGAACCCTGCCACGTTACTAGGGCTGGAAATGATGTTGCGCGCAACTGTCCATTTTTCTTCTCGATTCTTTTTCTGCTGCCCTTCAATTCTCGCGGTTCGTCCTGGGCTGCTCGGTTCTAGTAGCTGTGAATAGTGTTTCTGGATAATAACCCTCCTTGAGTGCCCGAAATGCATGTGCATCTGCCATTGGATCTGCATCGCGTAGCCGTCCTAAAAATCAATAAATGAGCGCACAGCTGCTGAGCAGCAATTGATCTCCTCGATGAATATTGATTATTAGTATTATTATTATTATTATTATTATTATTGAATTAAATAGTTAGTAGTATCAATTCCTCGACGGAGCTTAAAGCAGAAGTAGACCAGGCGATCGGCCTGCCGACCTCCAACCACGCGCGGGCCAATCAATCGGACGCGGGCTCTCCTGACCTTCTCCGGCGCTCCCACTCCGTCCGTTCCGCAACGTCAGGAAGAAACAAATTTGGACATGGACGCTCTGTGATCACTCTCCTCTCCTTGGATTCTCTTCCATCTTGAAACTCTCACTACTTGTATTCTCTTTTTCCTTTGTTTTCGTGTGTTTTTCTATCAAGTTCTCAAGTGGATAATGGCCCCAGTGCTCTAGCCATGCTTGTCTGGTCCAAATCCACCCGCACTCTCGCATTTTGAACACTCGTCCGGATAGAACGGATTACCACGGCAGTTCGCATTGGAAGAACACACTTACAATACGTTGGATAGCTTCTTCTCGATCTCCTTTTTACCAATGTCCACCAATTGAATCCGCCAGATCCGTACTACTCTCCCTTTTCTCCACTCTTCCTCGAAATCCCCACGAATATCAATATTCCCGCTCCCACGCCCCTCTCCTGGAAGGGTGCCCCAGGAAGCGTACTTCTGTACCTTCCGTCCCTTATTTAAAAATAAGTGATCGCTTCGACTGCTACGCCCCTCAGAGATGCTGTCTGCGAAAACTGCCGGGGCGGGGGACAGTCATGTCAATGGCGCCGCCGGCCCTCAGCGCACTCTCACACCCTCCCCGAGAGGTCTACGGACTCCCTCCATCGAGCATCTGAGATCACAAGGGTCAAACCCTCAGTCGCGGTCGGGGAGCCCATCCTCACTGGGGAAGAGTGCAAGGGCAACGGAGGAACTTGCAAGGACGGCGAAGGCGAGAGAGGAGCAGCGGATGAAGGAGCAGGAGGCGGACTTTAAGACGAAGCATGTGGGCGTGATTGGGGTTTTGGGGTGGATACTGTGAGTTGCTGTCGTCGAAGTGATTGCTTGTTCATTTGAACTGCGGGACGAATCGCTCCTGGATCATTTTTTTCAAGGCGAAGTATGTGATGTGCTGACGCTTCCCTGGTACAAACAGTTTCTTGCATGTCGTTGGTATTTATTTCTTTACAAGGGGTTTCCTGTTGACCCGGCTGGTTCTGGAAAGTAAATCACAGTGTGATGTGCTTCCTTTCGACGATACAGTATTGCAAAGGTCTACATTGTCAAGGACTGGTTCGCCTAGTGACGGATGCTGGCACCCAAAAACTTTTGACAAGGCGATCTTTATCATTATTGATGCTCTGCGCTACGACTTTACCGTTCCTTTTCGCCCAGCCGCGGAGAGCGAACAGCCGCATATCTTCCACAATAATATCCCGGTTCTATACGAGACTGCGATTGCATCTCCGGATAATGCCTTCCTTCTTCCATTCATCGCTGACCCTCCAACAACGACGCTGCAGCGGCTGAAAGGATTGACCACGGGGACCTTGCCAACTTTCATCGATGCTGGTTCGAATTTTGCGGGAACTGCCATTGACGAAGACAATCTCGTCGCGCAGCTACACGCTGCCGGAAAGAGCCTGGTCCACCTTGGTGATGACACCTGGCATGCTTTGTTTCCCCAATACTTCAATCCGAATCTGACCCATCCATTCGATTCTTTTAATGTTTGGGATCTCCACACCGTCGACAATGGAGTCAATACACACTTGTTCCCTCTGTTGCACCCGGATAACACGACCAAGTGGGACGTGATATTTGGTCACTATCTAGGAGTCGATCATGCCGGACACCGCTATGGACCGGATCATCCTGCAATGGCCGCCAAACTACGCCAGATGGACCAGGTAATCCGTGACCTGATCAAGCAGATCGATGACAGTACCTTGCTCATCGTAATGGGTGACCATGGCATGGACGCTAAAGGCGACCATGGCGGTGAGTCTGACGACGAGGTCGAGGCTGCCTTGTGGATGTATTCGAAGAAGGGGATATTTGGCCGCACGAGCCCTGATTATGTGCTGCCACCGAAGAATGCAAAGGAGCGTCCTATCCCACAGATCGATATCGTCCCGACTTTGTCTCTGCTTCTGGGTATGCCGATTCCGTTCAACAATCTTGGTTCACCGATCGAGGAGGCATTTGCGGGCAAAGGAGGCTCTGATTTCAAGAACCTCGCGACCGTTAACCGCCTGACATCCGCCCAGATCAAGAGGTATCAGCATGAATATGCGATCGCGCGAGGTGTTGATGACAGCCAAACTTCCGGACCACTTGCTCTCTGGACTCACGCGGAGAACGAGTGGCAGAGGTTGTCCAAGTCTAGCAGGCCCAGCACTGCTGCGCTTCGGGAAGTCTACGAAGCCTACAGAGAATACCAGCGGGACACCCTCAATATATGCCGTGGTCTATGGGCCAGATTCGATGTCACGAGTATGGCTGAAGGCATTGCAGTTCTTTTCGCAGGAATTGTTGTGGTCATCTTCTATGCACGCGGGCTCAGGGCAGACCGGACAGAGCTTACATTCCCTTTGCTGGTCCGTGTTAGCGCTGGTTTGGGCGTGGGTGCTGCTGCTGGTCTACTGTCGGGCCTAGTTGGACTGGTGGAAACACCCATTCTGGAGCAGACGGCGCTTGCTGCGGCGACTGGAAGTATCCTTGGTGGACTTTCGACAACTCTTTCGTTCCCTGGGACCCTCACATCCCCCCTTCCAAACTCCCTATGGGGCTGGCTTGCCGTATTTTTCACTGTCTCTCAATCGATTGGCTATGCCTCGAACTCGTACACCATCTGGGAAGATGAGATCATGCTGTTTTTCCTCACCACCTTTGGTGTCCTCGCAGGTGTCTCTTCGATGCGTCAGAAGTCAACTTCGGATCGGGTCCTTGGAGTTTATCATTCTATTCTCTTTATTATCTTAGGCCGCCTGGCGTCCTTCTCTCGTCTCTGCCGTGAGGAGCAAATGCCTTTCTGCCGCTCTACATACTATGCTTCCGCCACGTCCTCAACCTCGGCTCCATGGCAACTCGTCATTCCCTTCCTGCTTTCGCTCTTCTTGCCTGCTGTCGTTCGTTCTTTCTATACAGGCTCAAAATCATACCAGGGATCAGCAACGCTCTGGATCGGAATCGCTTTCCGTGTCGGGCTGTTTATTGCTGCTATCTTCTGGACGCTCGATGCTGCGGATGATGGTGAGTGGATGTCGATCAGCAAGGAAACACTGAAATCTGTTCGTGTTCTCCTTGCACAGATCGTCCTTGCTGTCGCTTTTGGTGCCGGAACAACCACATTTATTTATTCCAAGCCGTGTGTGAGCATCAGCGTCTCGCAGGGTGCGCCAGAAAGCGGAACCAAGACGACAGTTACCATCCTTGGCTTTGCGAACGTCCATGGCTCTCGTTTCTTCCTTCTCGTCATCAACTTCTGTTTGGCTATCATTCTCATGCAGAAGCCTATGGGCCAGGGTGCCATTGGCTTGCAGCTCTGGCAGATTCTCTCTCTTCTCGAGATTCTGGATACGAATGCTCTCTCCATCGGCAACTCAGCCATAGGTCCAGTTGTCTTGGGTCTTCTGGGTTCTTTCCACTACTTTAAGACCGGCCACCAAGCAACCCTCAGCAGCATCCAGTGGGAGAGTGCATTTATTCCTCTCTCGACGATCAAATATCCTTGGTCCCCCCTCCTTGTCGTCCTTAACACCTTTGGCGCGCAGATCCTTGCCGCTGTGGCTGTTCCACTAGTCGTGCTATGGAAACGCGCCGTCGATACTCGTGGGCGGATACCTGCGCAGACTGCTGGCAAAGCTGACTCACCTGTTGGAGCCCCCAGCCCTGCGATCAGCCTTCTTTCAGACGTAGTCCAGGCCGCATCCACCCACATTCTTTACTACGCTACCATCAACCTTGCTACGACGATCTGGGCTGGACATCTTCGTCGCCATCTCATGCTATACCGCATCTTCAGCCCGCGATTTATGATGGGCGGTGCTGTGTTGCTTGTTGTGGACGTTATTGTCATGCTTATTGCCGTGGGTGGACTCCGCTGGAATACCGTGAGCGTCGGAGAGATCTTCGGATGGTGATGACGGAGAGAGATCGACCTTACGCAAGAGAAAAGACGTCCCTCTGTGCAGATAAACAGAGTGCACTGCGCGCACGTCAACTGCCTATGGAGACAGCCCATATCTCTAATGTTCGCGTCCAGCTCTAGAGTATATCAGCATATGCTGGTCGACTCTTTCCTCCAACGAGGAAAACAACCGGATTCTGGCACGCTAAACCATGTTCTAAAAGTCAAGTCTTTGACTTGAGCATAGAGTGTACTTCTACTATATTTATATATACCCTGGGACTTCCAAACCCGGAATCCCAAAATCTGAGAGAGAAAAAAAAAGGGGTCGAATTTCCATGCTATTTGAAAAGCGGGAATTTCAAAAAGATGCCCTCATTAATTCTCACATGTATGCTTATTAGCTCTCATCCTACCTACCTTTGTCGCTCGTGCGCTATATGATAATATATCCGATCTTAACTAGTTACCGTTTTCATTCATTTTGCACTTTGTGCAGAAAATAAATAGAAAAAATAAAATAAAAAGGATGAAGACCAAGACCCGAGACCTAAAGACATAAAAGCATGCTTTGCTACTAACTGGCCTATGGACTAGTGTAAATAATAAGATCTGATAGTCCAATGGACAAAGGCCAGCTCGAGTAGACCTGATGATACACGGTACTTACAGGACGTGATATGCACAATGTATTCTTGATTTCCTTCTCTTCGAACCATCGAGAGTGTCTAAATCTATAGAAATCCTACTTAAATCAAAATGCAGTACCAATTGAACAACATTATTTGCTCTGGCCTTTTCTTCTCGTGGTTAGATTTTTTTGTGATTATATAGATATGGGAGAGTAAGTACACTGTAAGGAGGGGGGAAGAAAAAGTCGTCGATCCCAACGCCATTCCGAGGACTAGATAGTAACTAGAAGTTTAAGACTGATTCTTGACAGAGATTGCTTGGAAACTCTGTTTGGTATACACTTTTTGGATCCCATCACCGATAGATTATGGAAAGAGACGAAGAGGAAATACAGATTGCATTTTTTTCTTTCGTATAAAAGTAGAGAAACCTCACAATAAATCACATAACTTTTGGGGGGTATTGGCACATATTACATAGCTATCGCCGACAAGTCCATCAAGTTGGTACAGTAACGTCAAAATCATAACGATCGTCAGTAGATAGCTGGTCGATTGACCTGCCCAAGGAGAATCAGAGAGACGAGTTGGGTCATGAGACCAGATGATCCCGCGGGTCGTTTCAACGACTCCAACGAGAGAAGTCCAAGTTTTGAAAGGTGTTGTTTTCCGCCGCGATGTTCCAATCGGTAGCAGCATCTGTTTGCACAATAGGTCGGTCCTGAACCTCGTCAGAGAACAGATTCGGCTTTGTGTTGCGGCGATGCCCAGGATAGGGCCCTTCAGTATTATCTGCATTTTGCAATAGTTGAGCAGAGATACGTTCGCGAAGTCTCTTGATTTCACGCAGTCGATTCTTCCACGAGGATACATGTTCACCGCCTTCTCGATTCCAGACAAGCGAGAAGACCGAGGCATTGAGTGCGAGGATTCGGACAAACGCAGCGAGGTTCTTCCCCGAAATGACTTTGGGAATTGCAGCAGGCGTCAATTCTGGGAAACCAGGCTTACACATCACTCTCACAAGATAAAAATATTTGTCAAAGTCCGGCGTCTCATGAATTGCATCATGGTCCGCAATACGGGAAACGGGGCTGATGACGATATTGACGAAGTTGAACTGCGATGGTATAGTTTCAAAGTCGAAGGGCAAGTTTGATCGATTGAAGATGATGTTGACGAAATCGTTTCCGATGTGTCGCTTTTTGTTCACGCAGGCGGGATCAGCTTCGAGATCAGTTGGCATCATGGTCGCAACGTGGTAGACGATCTCTGTGACGCGGTCGCGCCATGCATATGTATATTCTCCATCAATGTCAGGATGAAGACCCTGAAGGTTGAACTGGGCACCCCTCAGCTGTACTTTTGTACCCAGGCCTGATAGGAAGTGCTCATAATCGGGACTACCGCTAGAGTTTGCAAGAATCTCAGCTTCAGTCGTTTGATTCTTGTCAATGTAGACCACACCAATCTTGTGACCATCGACAATATCATTGCGGTCAAAAGAATTTATCGCTCGACGTGTCATATCATCATCTGGAAGTGGAATTGGTTGCATGACTCTCGGCATCGGGAAAGCGGTTGTCGTCATCTGTAGCATAACATGATTCGGCAAAATGGCTGTTCGCGTTGATGGATCGGTTAAGTGAGAATCGGATGTTGAAGGGACCTGGTGTGGAAGCACTGGTGCAGTTCGCTGCTGATAGACTGCATAAGTTGTCCCTGAAGCTTGCCGCTTGGTGATTTGCGTCAGACCGGACACTCCTGCCGTTTCAATGGTGACAATGCTCATCCCCACAATCCACGATTTCTTCGTTACGGGGCCATCTGTTGGAGACGGCGGGAACGTTTCGAATGGAACAGTATCTCCTAGGTCGGAATATGTTACTCGCTGCATTAAGTCGATAAACACCTGGCTTTGCTCCTCGACAACTTCTTTGCCCGTTTCATCCATGAAGATGAGTCGACTGGTGATCCAATTAGCGTGCTTTGAGCGGTCCTGAAGCTTGAGAGATAAAAACCAGAAGATCATAACGTGATAGGTCAGCGTGTAGACATATTGCGAGACATCGTCCTGCCGTGGTACATCGGTAGTCTCCGACTGCGCCGAGGCCAGCTCCCGCAAGCCACCGCTGAGTCGACCCGAAATCGAATTATTCCGTGAGGTTGGCGACTCGGATGCTTTATATCGCTGCTCTCTAGATGTCTGCAAGAAGCGAACACAGATACCGAAGACTGTGCGAATCTCCTCCTCTCGAAGGTTGACATACACGTCGGGCAACCTTGCAAGCAGCGCCAAGAATTCCAGAATGTGGACCGCGATATTAGACATCGTGATTACTTTTGACATTTTGTCAAGGATAGCATGCAGCGACTTGGTCACAGAGAGAGGAATTTCATGACAACACACTGATAGGGCATGAATACATCCGCGAGACGTTCCATCCCATGAGCCAATAATGCCCATCATGAATGCCCGAACGAGGTCGTCTTCCTCACTCTTGGCAAAATGTTCATGATAGCTGATTAGTATGGACAAGGAATCGAAAATGCACACGGCAACATCGGCCTTTTTGACTCCTGTCCAGCTCGGCGGCTCGTGGAAGGACTCATTTTTGATGTGATCGCAGAGCACGCTGCGCAGCAACTTTATCTGAGGCGTGGCATTGCTGAAGAAATCTTTATTGCTTAATTGTTGTCCGAGGTGAGCAAGGATGTAGCTATATACGTCCCAGTCCGCTTCACGTTGCAAGAGTGCAATAATGGTCTCCAGCCACATATTCACTTTCAGAACTGTCTTTTGCTCAACTTCCGCCTCCGACATAGTGGAATCGTCGGGAGCTAGAAAGGCATAGGCGTAAGGGCTGGCAGAAGTTGGAGGCTCCTCTGGAAGGCCTTTCGGTCCTGCATAGGTCCAAGCGGGAGGTGTCCACCTCAAAGTACGGAACTTGGACGATTTGGATAGAACCGACGTGGATTGTTCCTTCATCGAGACCCTCGCTGCATGGCCAAGTGCCTCCTCAGTCCTTGAACTGCGCTCGCTTGAACTGTCATCGAGTATGCTTTGAGCCTTCGATCCGACATCGACAGTTCGACAAAGGACTGCAACGAGGAAATCATTTTCGGAGGGCGAGATAACAATAACAGATCCTGAGGAGTCACAGCGGAGTCTGAATAGCAGCTTCAATGCTGTTAATCGGGAGTCCGTCGGCCTTCCAGGTGATCTGGCAACTTCCAGAAGAGCTTCGAACAAGATAGACGTCCTGGAGGACGACTTATGCAAATTTCGCAGGAAAATGCGAACGAGTCCAACCGTGCACGCATTCGACATAGACGGCTCCAAGTTAACCGCGGACGAACGACGAGAACCAGGCTCTAGTGGAACGGGCGCAGATATGCTCTCTCTCTTTGGATCTTTGCTCATAGGAGAGCTGAGAGTATCCACGAGGAGCTGGAAGGTATCACTATCACTCAAAGCCGAAAGGTCCACGAGAAATGAAACCAGAGAGTCTAGATATTGCAGGTCGTCCTCGCCGGAGAAGTCCTGCAGTAGAGTTTCAAGTAGACCCTCAGATTTGAAAAGGTTAAATCCATCTTGGTTCAAAAAGGCGGCTTTCAATATATCAAGAGAGTTGAGACGGACGTCAGGCGCCTTATCGCGAGGTAGAATGAACCCTTGTATCAGGTTCTTTGCATGGGACAGCCAGTCCGGATTCTCAGGAAAACAGAGTCGTTCCGTCTTCATAAGATCCAGGAGAAGATTAGCTTGCGGCTGTTCGAGATGCTGATGAAGTTCTTCGAACAGGCGTCCGGTATCCAACTTTTGTTGTCTGCTCAAAGTCTCCCACATACCTCCCAACGCGGCCGTTATTCTCGCGACATTGGCTAGGATATTAGAGCGTACGTCATCTGGCGTGCTAGTTCTTGATGGTGATATATGACGATCGGGAGACTCTATCTCAGAAGTCTCAGCCGGCTTATCGATAATTCTGCGGGAGCATGTGATGATGAGATCGATAAAGTCAGACCAACTCTCCACTTGCAAAGAAACATGGATGAATTCGCCTTCCAGCATACTCAAGCAGAGTTCGAGGGTGTCCGCGTCAACACGGCCTTCATCTCTCTGGACGGCAACCTGCAGGGAGTTTACCAGCTCAGGAAATGATATTTGTGGCATCCCTTCCTGACCGTAAGCGCGGATCAGATCGGTAAAGACATATATTGTTCCTCGGATAACATTGAGATTCCGGCTTTGGTTACTCATGGCCTCCTTCAGAAAGGAATACAGGGTCTGGACCATGTCATTCTGTCGCGGTGATTTCGCAAGATTTCGTACAGCTCTCGATGTCGGCCCAGATAAAGACTTCACGGAAGCATGGATACTGCAGAGGACCTCGAGCAATCGGACGAAGCTTCCATCAGGTACCCCAGAATAGAGGATGACGGCGTCAAATATAGCAAGGGAGTTCTTGATGTCTGCGGCCACACTGGTTCTCCTGCAGACGAGTAGAACTGCTCCAAGTAGCTCCTCTATTTCTTCTGGGGTCGGAGGACTGCGTTGTAACGTGATTAAATCGACGACGAAATGAAGCAGGTCACCGAAATGTGCCTCATCTTGTTCGAGTCCGTTAGAACGTGGAGTCTTGCCTTTTCTGGCCTTCGCCCGAGCTGACGCGACATGATCGTACAGCGGAACAATGCAGGATGACACGACCGGTAATACGGAGCAAGTAGCGAAATCAAGTTTCCTTCCATGATCAGATAACGCTGTCAAAGCATTTATACGAGCAGGAATGACATCGGGAGCCGATTCCCGCGCGATAGATTCGAAAAGAGCCTGTCTACCGGCTGGTGATAGATCAAGGCGATTTGCAACTGCTTCCAACAATCTTGAACCACTCTTTCTAGCCTCCGGTGAGACGTCATTATGGATGAGATACGAGGCGGCCTCCCACAAAGCAATTGACTGTTCGGGAGTGAACCATTGCAGCGAGCGAGCAACATTTTCAGCTTCATCAATAGCTAGTGTGGGATTCTGCCTCTGCTCCAGATTTCTCAGTGAGACCTCGAAGTCGGGAGCACTCGGAGGGTCCGAGTTATTGGAGATGATGCTACCACGATGCATTGACTCAAACCCGAATGTGACTCGGCTACCTCGTCGACTATCGATCCCATGTGGTTGAAGTTCACTTCCGTCGGGCTGCTGTGATACGGGCGAGAGCGATTTTTGACGGCCTGTAGCTAGTGTCTTGAAGACGTCGGCGAAACTCGAGGTAGATGATTTATGCTGAGGAGCTGGGCGTTCATTGTCAGAAGACATGCGCCCCGTTGGACGAAGAGAATAGAGGGAATGGAGAATCCGTAGAGGATTTACTGTTTCTGTGGAGTGCCCAGAGCTAGCGGTCAATCACTCTTCTCGATCTAAAGAAGGAAGCTGTCGTTTTCCCCGACAGAGACACCAATACAGCCGTACAGAACGGTCGGACAGGTTGGACCACTATATAGTAACGAAAACAGAAGACGGAGAATGGCTCACAATCATGCACCGTAGAGCCGCATAGAAACGGTTTGCCGCGAGTATGCGTAATGTGGAACTGTAGAGTACTTGACTGTACGGGGTGGATGAGGTGCGGCAGAGCACAGACCAAGTATTGACGTCTGCTTCCAGGAATCTGCGGCAGGAGAGAACGCAGAAACAGAGAGAGGATGAAATGCAACAGCTGGATAGGCGGGCAGCACGCGATGAGTCAGTCTCGCGTAACAAAAGAGAGAGTTATTGACGGTCCATCTATCGCTATCCGGGGAACCTTGACGGCCAGACGATCGGCCCAAAACGGCATCGGCTGGCGGGACCACGTTTCTCCGATATGCCATCACGTGATGGGCAGAATCACCCCGCCATGGGCTCACCGCCTAGAAATCGCAACGCCGACCCGCCAAACAAACTGCCTGACAGGGAATCAAGCTAAATTTACGACCTTCTCGCCTGGATTCCAAAAGGCAAGGACATCAACGCAGACACGGAGCAGCGCTCGACACAGAGCGGACAGGATAGAAAGGTTTCTCAGCTGCAGTACCATCCAGCTTCCTTGAATAGTGTGCTTATCTCCTGTTTGTTGACTGTCAGCCACTCCGTCCTCCGCCCAAAATGGCTGACGGTCTGGGAGCTGTCGCTCAGATTCTTGAGGCGAGTTTAGACCCCAGACAGAACAAGCAAGGTAAGCAAGACATGGAAAGTTACACTTTGAGTTTGATTGGTCATCTAATTGCTCTTGTAGCCGAGATTGCTCTTCGTCAAGAGGAGAAGAAGCCAGGCTTCTCGTTGTCGCTTTTGCAAATCACAGCCTCTGCCACCTATCCTTACAACACCCGTCTTGCAGCCGCACTGTGCTTCAAGAACTTTATCAAGAGGAACTGGACGGATGAAGATGGGAACTACAAGCTCCAGCTCGATGAGGTGGCCACCATTAAGCGGGAGCTGATTGCTCTGATGATCTCGGTTCCACCAGGAATCCAGACTCAACTGGGAGAAGCAGTCAGCGTGATTGCTGACAGTGATTTCTGGGAACGCTGGGACACGCTGGTTGACGTACGGAAATCCGAAGTCAAAATTTCCTGAAACTTTTGCTAATTGGTCCTCAGGATCTCGTCTCTCGGCTCGATCCTACCAACCCTGCCGTGAACAACGGCGTTCTACAAGTTGCACACTCGATCTTCAAGAGATGGAGGCCTCTGTTCCGGTCAGATGAGCTGTACACAGAGATCAACCATGTTTTGCAAAGATTTGGAAACCCGTATCTTGCGCTCTTTGAGGTCAGTCCGCGCTTGTTGGCGTTTGCCTGGGGTATTTTATTGACTTGTGACATAGGGTCTGGACGGCTACATTGAGCAAAACAAGTCGAACAAAGAAAACCTTACGCAGGGGTTCACCCAACTTAACCTGATGATCAAACTGCTGTACGATCTATCCAGCCATGATTTGCCTCCGATGTTTGAAGATCACCTGTCCGCGATCGCGTCGCTTCTGCTAAAGTACCTCACATACGACAATGCCTTGCTGCACACCGACGATGAGGCGGACTCTGGGCTTTTGGAATACGTCAAGGCTGGTATCTTCGAGGCGCTTACACTCTATGTGCAGAAATACCTGGACGTGTTCGGTCCTCACGTCCAGCAGTTTGTAGGAAGCTCCTGGAACCTCTTGACCACAATTGGACAGGAGACGAAATATGACATCCTTGTTAGCAAGGCTCTCCAGTTCCTTACCTCGACTGCTAAGATGCCCGAACACGCGGCCGCCTTCCAGGATGAAGCGACCCTTGGCCAAGTTATCGAGAAGGTCATCCTGCCTAACGTGAGCCTCAGAGAATCAGACGAGGAATTGTTCGAAGATGAGCCTATTGAATTCATCCGCAGAGATCTTGAGGGATCTGACAGCGAAACAAGACGGCGTGCCGCTACCGATTTCCTTAGGACGCTGGCTGAGAAGTTCGAGGAGGCTGTCACCAAGGTCGTGCTCAAATACACAGAACACTACCTCGCAGACTATGCAAAGAACCCTGCATCGAACTGGAAGTCAAAGGATACATCTACCTACCTGTATTCGGCCATTGCTGCCAAGGGAGTTGCAACGGCCAGTCATGGAGTTACTATCACCAACCGCCTGGTCAGCATTACCGATTACTTCCAGAACCACCTTGCGGCGGACCTGGTTGCAGACACCGGAGCCCACCCTATCCTCAAGGTGGATGCGATCAAGTATCTGTATTCCTTCAGAAGTATCATTACCAAGGAGCAGTGGCAGGAGGTGTTGCCCTTGTTGGTCAAGCATCTTGCTTCTTCCAACTACGTCGTTTATACTTACGCCGCTATCGCAGTTGAGAGAGCGCTATATCTCTCGGATGCTCAGGGGCAGCCGATAATCGCACCGAGCTCTATCACACCGTTGGCGAAGGATCTCCTTGAGCACATATTCCAGCTGATCCAGAAAGACCAGGCCCCTCAAAAGGTGCAGGAAAACGAGTTTTTGATGAAATGCATCATGCGGGTTCTGATTGTGATCAGAGATGGCGTCATCCCGCTCACTGATACTGTCCTGCAGCATCTGATCAACATCACCCAGATCATCAGCGCCAATCCCAGTAACCCAAGGTTTTACTACTATCACTTCGAGGCACTGGGCGCTTTTATCAGATTCGCTGCCCCCGCGAACCCGGACAAGCTGGAGCAGGCCCTTTATACTCCATTCGTGGCTGTGCTTTCCAATGATGTGCAAGGTATGATTAAAGATCTACTGTTCTTGTATAAGTGCTTACTCTGTCCACAGAATTTATGCCCTATGTCTTCCAGCTTTTCGCTGCCCTGCTGGAAGCGAACCGTTCCGCAACTCTTCCGGACTATTACCAGAATCTAATTGCTCCAATCCTCATGCCCGTGATGTGGGAGTCAAAGGGAAATGTCCCCGCTCTTGTTCGCTTACTGTCTGCTATCATTCCTCGCGGTAGCCAGTTTATCATCCAAAACAACCAGATCGAGCCTGTTCTCGGAATTTTCCAGAAGCTCATCTCTACCAAGGCCAATGAAAGCTATGGATTTGACCTACTAGAGACCGTTGTTGCTTCCTTCCCTCCGTAAGTGCTGCTGCAGATAATGTTCTTTCAATATTGGATACTAATAAATCGACAGGACCACTCTAGAACCATATTTCATCTCAATTATGCAGATCATTTTGACACGACTGCAAAACTCAAAAACGGAGAACCTCTCTATTCGATTCGTCCGTTTCTACCATTTCATCTCTGCTCATGATGACAAAGGCTACAGCGCAGACTTTTTCATCCAGGTCACCGACAAAGTGCAGGCTGAGTACGGGTGTCTCGTAATTTTATATGTATCTGTTCAGCATTATACTAACCATTGTCAGGCTTTTCACGCCCATCTATTTGAACGTCATCCTTCCTGAGACGCAGAAGCTTGCTCGCCCGCTAGACCGGAAGACGGCCGTGCTGTCGCTTACGAAGACGTTGGCGAACTCGGAAGCGTTCGCAAATCGGTACAAGAAGGGATGGGGCTTCACCTGCGAGGCACTTCTCAAGCTCCTGGAACTCCCCCCTCTTCCCATAAGCAAGGATGATATGATCGCGGAGAATGACGTGGATGACATGGCCTTTGGTGTTGGATTCACGCAGCTGAACACTGTGCGACCGCCGGTGAGAGACCCGTGGCCTGAGACCGGAGCGGATCTCAAGGCGTGGGTGGGCAAATATTTGAAGGAAGCGGACCAGAAGCATGGCGGACGCATTGCCGGCTTCGTGGAGGAGCGACTGAACGCTCAGGCAAAGACCGTCCTTCTCAGTTACATGACTGCATGAGCTTCCCTGGCAGGAGTAGGTCCTTGTTGACCATCTGAAACTGTCAGTCTACATTTTTACGGGCTATGAGAATACGGTATTGTGTGGAATTTTGAGGGCGGCGGATGATTTCTCCTCTTTGCGATGTCAAGCACGCCGAGGAAAAGCATCGAGCGAGGCTGGACTTACATGCTTTAATGACCAAACTAGGCATCACTCAAAGTTCTATCGTCCCGAGAGCATTCGAAAATAAGACAAAAAGTTATTTCTCGCTGTCTGCTGATGATATTACACCGTAGAAAACTGTAAAGGTCCCATGCATGATGTTAAATCGCAAACCCGTAAATCCTGATATACTCAAAAAATGAACCAGTCCATCTGTCTCTTATACATGAACACTCCCAAACTCCACTGCAAAGTTCACGAAACGCTTCACAGTCTTCCGTCGTGTCCCCCAGCGCCCTCTTTCTCTTCATTCACACCCTCTCCTTCCTCACTATCTTCCCTTTTCTTCTCTTCCTCCAACGTGCGATACTTCCTCCGACTCTTCTTCATCTTACTCGCCTTCTTCTTCCGCTCGCGCTCGGCCTTGATGGCGGCGCGACTCTGCTCCCCCTTTTCCAATTGCTCCACTTTCTCAGCGAGGATCTGGCGTGCGATCTTCTGGTTCTGAGAACGCGAGCGCGTCGCTTGGGACTTTACCACGATCCCGGTGGGTTTGTGGATTAGTTGGACGGCCGAGTTGGTTTTGTTCTGTCCGTGGTCGTTAGTATAGAAGGAAAGAAATGAAGAAAACAAAAAGAATGAAAATGGCCATCAACAACAGGGGCTAATATAAATATTTGGATGTCCATGTGTATCAAAAAATACGGCTGGAAATGACAACAACTTCAGAAAGGATAACGCGACATGTAAATCATATCGTGTCCAATCCAGTCCAGATTCACCAAATGGAAAGGATTATTAAATAGAAATTTTAAATCCAAGTACAAAAGCAAAAAGGGGAGAAATCTTTTTCCATACATACTATTTTCTGCCCACCCGGCCCTGTCCCCTTCAGATATGTCCCCGTGATATCAGCATCGTCGAGTTTAGGTCTGGGCGGCATTGGCTTCCCCAGCAGCTGTGTCGTGCATGAAAACGGCCTGATGGACCGGATGCAGGTATTGATTGCCCTTTTCATAGGGCTAGATCGAATGGTGGAAAGCATGTCCGGAGAACTCCGCTCGTTGTTCCTGGGGTGAGAGGATGTACCTATGGAAAGGTCAGGGCTTTCCCTTTTCCACCGAACTTTTTCTCCTGGACAATTGGTTGATCGCGCAGGAAGCCAAGCGAGATTCTACATTTATGTACGGGATGGTGAAGAGTTTGAAGTTCTATGAGAATGGAGTCATGATCGAGAAGTTGTGCATAACGTGGTGAGAATGATGTGCTGCGCTAAGTACAGTACAGTACAATATTGTGAATTTCCAACAGAAGCTTGGGTGTTGCAGAAAGTCTTGGCGTTGACGTTGTCCGACCAGCGAGATTAGATGGACGGCTTTATGGCAGCATTCTCGACGAAGCTGTCTGCTGTGCAGTGTACTTTCTTACATGGGACAAGTAAAGTGTTATAAGGACATGTCAAGGGCAGCAACTGCTCGGATTGACTTGAAGTCGTCGAGGCGACGATTCCAGTATATGATCTACGTGGCTGTCGCTGCTGCCATAGCCATTAACTTAACTGAAGCAGAGTAAATACGGAGTAGAGTCTTGTGCTCTTCTGATTATACGCGCATGAAAGACGCATTAACGGTGCCACAGACACTATGGGTTGTGTTTATGATTCTTTGACGCGGGTATCTGGCATAAATAAATCTGTGGTCGCAACTATACCTAAGTGCAGCCTCTTTACTTTGAAGATTTAAGAAATATGTCGGCATTTAGATCCCCAATTCCTTAATTAGCCGATCTGTAAATATTGTAACTAAGACCTTGATGTACTCTATTTCTCTATAGCAAAGAAATTTCTAATAATAGTAACAAAAGAGTACTCATTGGATACTCATTGTTGGAGAGAGAAAGTAACCCACACGTTCAGGTCGCACCGCCATTTACCCTCACTACCTGCCCTGTAATCCATTCACTTTCCTTGCGCCACAATAGACTAACTGCTGTGGCGATTTCATCTGGCTTTCCGAGTCTTTTAAACGGGCTAAGGTCCGCTAGCGAGCGAACGACATCGTTGCTATTGTAGATCAAAAATTGCTCGGTTTCTGTAGCTCCTGGCGAGATTGCATTGACCCGGATGTTCTTCTGTGCGAGGTTTTGTGCCAAAACTCGCACCATCTGGTTCAAGGTGGCCTTTGTAGAAATATAAAGTAGGTAGTGCGGCGGTAGGGTATTGAAATCGGTCAGATCGGATGAAATAAAAATGATCGTGCTTCCTGGCGGCATATGTGGAATGGCTTTCTAGAAAGGCATGTCAGTCAGTATCATTTCCATCAATATGCTTATATTGGGCAGTAATTGGAAGGGTCGATAGCAAGCTCTGTATGTGCCATCAGATACTTATTCAAGCAGAACATACCTGCACAAGAAAGCAGGGCCCTTTAACATTGACTCCAAAGGTTCGATCAAATTGGTCTTCAGTAAGAGCCTCAATGTCACCCGCAGGCATGTACACTGCATTTGGAACGAGCACATCAATCTTTCCGAACCGAGACACTGCAGAATGAACCAGATACTCGACTTCTTGGATCTTGGAAATATCGGCTTGGACGGCCACTGCCCGATCAGCTCCAATTTGTGAGACTACCGAATCCGCCGCTTCGACGTCTGACAAATAATTGACAATGACTTTGGCACCATCTGCAGCTGCTTTCAGAGCTATAGCTCTGCCGATACCTCTAGAAGCACCGGTTATGAGAACCACAAGGCCATCCAAACTCATGGTATCGAACGATAATGCGTTTCTATACCATTTATTCCGCGCCTCAGGAGGTGACCGTGCAGACCCTTTATATATCTCTCTTCTGAGGCTCTGTTCGATGCGATCTGTATCATTAAGAAATCCATTTGTCATAAGTCCCCCACTGTGATAACTATTCAATGATATCTAGACCGCATTAGATCTAGGCATAGGATGAATGGTAAGGTAAGTCTCCGATACTACTAGTCCACAAAAACTAGGAGCATTATGCCTCAATCTAATGATTTCTAGAAGCTCAATCTACGCTCTATAATAATAGTTCTCCGAGATATAGTTCCACCGAGGAACGCTTGCGGCCGAAAGATATTCCTATTTAGGAAAGTAGCCAATTATTTCTCCGGTAAGTTACCACCACTACTGCTAACTAATGCATTGATGATTGTTTGCATGTAGATATAATTTAGTTAATAGACGTCTTCTGCGTTACAGCTGCAAGTTAAACTACGAAGCAGATATCGTAGCTCTGTACTAACCACCCCACTGAACTCGACGGATCCGATCGGTCTCGGAAAATAATTGGGATCACAATCTCGCATTAATGAACTAAATTAATGTGTCTCTAGTCCCAATATGCTTCTTAACCCTATAGATTTAGATATAAAGTTATTATAATGTGCCTGTATGTCTGGTTTCTGGCTATTAAGTTGCCTCTAGTATATGACTTTGAGACGTGCAACCCTACATGTTATTATATTCTGAGAATTTAACTGCGGTTATTTTTTTCACAGTTTAGGAAAAATAATTGCCTATTGGTGGTTAAGGCAACAGGGCCAAGCCTTGAAAGTAAATATACTAATAGCTTATTTTTGTCTTGTGTTTTTCTTATTAGTTAACGTGATTGGCCAACTTCAATGCTGTGCACATTATTGACTGTGTAGCTTTTGCGTCGCACTTGATTAAGATGCAGTATACGGGTAGCTCACGCCGCTTATTGATGAATAGTTGATTCTCTGTGCTTTTCAGGCTCATATTGCCGCCACGGACTACGAATGCTTCGTTACACTCGAGCCATCCAACCTCCAATACGTGAAACCTTGTTCCCTTAAGTACGACATAACTAATAGTCATCGTTTCCTAGTCCCTTTATAAATGCTCGTTTAGTTTATGGCATCACATTCTAAATACTTATAATTTAACTTAGCATTATCTTGTTTCACGTAGATTCTTTCAGTCTCTTTTATAGGCTGGCGGCAACCGCTTGCTGAAGTGCTATATCAATTTGCGCCTAAGCATAATGCATAATAGCCAAGGGCTAATATTTTTACTGTTAGACTAATCGGGTGTAACTGGAATAATATTTCTTCCGCATTGAGGAGCCGAAATGAGTGACTTGAGACTTATTAATGCAGTTTGGTCTAGGTACCTGGCAGAAGTCGTATTTGAACTCCGTGGCTCTCCAGATAACTCAAAAGATCACTACTGTTGATCTAATATTAATAATACGACCTATGGTAGTAGTATGACTCGTAGAGGTATACCTTCAGAGGTCTATTCTTTCAGACAGTACGGAGTATGCTGATCGGACATGGTAAACTTGAAAAGCCGATTTTTTTTCTTTCTGACGGCCGTAAGAACTTCTAGACAAGGAAAATTGTCGGCGTCGGTTTTAGGCTCAGCCCGTCAGATTCGAATTATCCGGCTACGGACCTAAAGTCGGCCTACAAAGTCCGTTTTCTGTCATCATGAGCGGATAGCATGTAAGTATAGTACTTACCAGGCGGTTTGCCGTCAATGATCGGACCTGGGCGCCACAGTAGGTACAAATTGTATGGTATTTCCCGTGCAACACGCATTTGCCCAACGAAGGACGATTCTCGCGACACAAAAAGAATCACAATATAGATGCTCGCAGAGACCAACGTTAGTCCTCCACCAATTCCCCCAACCTTCTCGGCTGCTCATGCGCACTGATGCGACAAAGAAGCCGAAGTTTACAACAGTCGGCCTATATCTGACATATTATGAGTGTTTTGTAGGGAAAATATACTCCGTCTATCATTCATATTACCCACGATGCTTATCCTAATTGCTGGAATCACTGGCTTTGTTGGCATTCCGTGTGCCAGGGCTGCCTTTGCACGTGGTCACAAAGTCCGAGGTCTGGCTCGTAATGCCAACAGACTCCCTGACGATATTTCCAACCAGCTTGAAAGTTTTGAGACTCTTTCCAACAATCATGATGTTGCTGCAATGGATCGGGCAGTGGATGGCATTGATGCGATAATCTGTGCCTTTGCCGGCCTTCCGGAGCTCTTTATGGAATCACAAATGTTGCTCCTTAGGGCAGCGGAACGCGCAGGAGTCAAGGTACGCTTTATCGATGACACTATCTGCTGCTGCAAATTGCTGATCTCTTCTAGGTGTTCCATGCCAGCTCCTGGAACTATGACTGGAGACGTTCCCCCGGCACACATGAGATTTATGATGACATCAGGGCTTTCGCTCACCACGTCGAGATCAGCTCCACCATAAAGCCAATTTACATGTTCACTGGCGCGATTGCCGAGTACTATTTCAGGAAGAGCCCAGCCGATTGGGACTCGAAAACAAAAACATTCAATTTTCATGGACCTTCTACGCAACCCACTCGGTATACAACGACGAATGACATCGCCAATTACGTTCTCGAGGCTATCACTGCTCCGGACGCGTCGAGCGGAGGCTATATCTTTGTCCAGAGCTTTGAGGCTTCGCCAGAGGACATTGTCAAGGAATATAATGCGGCGAGGGAAGGCCGGATCACAGCCAAGCTTAATTGTTTGGGAACATTGGATGATGCAAAGGCTAAGCTGGATCAAGGGAGAGCTATGTACGAGAAGAAGGACTGGCCCAAGTATCTCTGGTATTGCTACCAGTACCACATCCCGTCTCGCTCTTGGGATTACGAACCAAAGGATGTTTCCCGATTTCCGAACGTCAGACAGACGAGCCTATATGAGTTCTTTCGCCAGAACCCGGACGTGTAAGCAATAAAGCGAGGTGGTCACGAGCCGGTTTACCGAGTTTCTCATTCCGTAAAAAGACTTCAGAACACGGTCATATTCAAATACGTACAGTTCGAACTGCAATGAACTAGGACATGAAGTCAAAAACTTGAGATTATATTCCTGGAAAGTACTGATCAATCTGACAAAGAATGATTTACTCTTGTTATTATGTCAGACTCGACTTCTGGAAGTTAAGAATATACGGCCTTAAAATATCTGGCTGCTCACTGGTCTACCGCCTATAGTAATACGCATAGAATAAAGTTACCAGTATGCAAGCTACTTTAAAAATAAGACACTACCTAGTAATAGTAAATTTACTAATAGGTACTCCACTGGTGAATTTGCATATTTGTCAGAAAGCCTCTTTAGGACTATCAAGCCGAAAATATTAAGAAAGGTAGCTCTTCTACAACTACGTCTTTAAGGAAAGGTCATGTATTTATTATCTGATAGTAAATAGAGAAAAGTGCCTCTTAAGCAAGAACTAATCGTTGGTAGAACAACTGATACAGCTTTTCTCGGCCGATAAGTTCTAACCCTGAGTACATATACATCTTTTATCATTCGATACCGTCAGAATCCAATTACGATCAAATGCGGAACATCTAACAACAGCTAGCTAGGATCGAATCGAAATGTTAAACAGGGCCCACGTACTCATTGAAAGGCTGTAAGAAAAGCTCATTTATAACGCATGAAATCCTCTCTCCACTTACGTAGTAACCTGCCTCAACCGTGACTTACGGAACCTCGTTTAGAGGTCCGATTTCCTTCAAGGGAACCACAGGAACCCGGACAAAATTCGAATAGCCACCTCCGACGTGCAGCGTATTGATAGCATTGACATGGTACTCTTTCGCCCACGATCTCAGAGGGGGTGGCCTGTAAGATGGAATGTCCGGTTGGGCTTCCGAAGGAAGGATGTCGACTCTCAGCCGCCAACCAGATCGGATTCGAGCTGCAACTGGGCAAATTTCGACATTCACCTCACAGACCTCTTCCCGTTGTAGAGGTGCATAATCCTTTTCCAAATGAGTGTGCCAAGGTCTCCAAGGCAAGCTTTTCTCTGGATCTGTCGCTCGATGACTGGCCCTTAGGAGACCAGAAGCGAGCGGTTCAAGATTCGGCCCAGTGCAAAACTTCACCACCTGGTCATTTTCATCTATCGCCCACAGTGAAACAACAACATCGGCATCATGTGATGTCGATGAAATATTGAGTGTTGCGGTAAAATGGCCAATCAATTCTATGTCTTTTCCAAATGGTTTGGAGAGGAAGCTCACTCCTGCCTTTGCGGATTTAGGTTCAATGTCTGCCATATATGAAAGTGCCTTAACAGGTGCCCCAACCGGTGTTTCGGGCCTCAGACTGCCATCAGGGTAAAGATGCCAGTCGATATATTTCGTTCCGGGGATTTCCCAGTCATCTTCAGTTCGCCAATACCATTTCCCGTCGCCGATCCTCATTTGGATCCCGACCTTCTCCAAGTCATAGTTGTCTAGTCCTTTCAGATAACGTTCAGTGAAGCGCAGCAACTTATGAGCCGCAACCTCATTTGGCCAGCTGAAATAATTGGAATCAACAATCTGTAGATGTTTGTTTGTGGAAGAAACCCGTCGCCATGCTTCGTAAGGACCTCGATGATGGAAGATGAGCATTTGAGCAGCTGCCATAAATACCGGGATATCAATATCCTCAATCTCGCATTGCAATCTCTCCCAATAATCATCATAAAAAGGGTGACCGGCAAAGGTAGTCACTAGATCCTCGGCTGCTGGCCACCGGGGCGATGCGGCGTTGATTCCATCACTCCAGGGGCGGAGATAGTTCCACGCGGAGATACCCCCGACATATCCAAGATCCCGGTACAAGTCAACATCCGCTGCAAGCTCGACGTGAGTATTTTCATACACAAGGAAAAGAGGGAGTCAACTCACTTGCATAAGGAATAATAGCTCTGAGTCCTTTCGGTTTTCGCACCGCAGAAGGCCATTGGCAATTGGCCCCGTACGAGTTTCCGGCCAAGCCGACATTTCCAGTGCACCATGGTTGTCTTGCAACCCATTCTACGACATCACTAATGTCACTCGACTCTTGGGGTGATACGAGAACACCTCGTGTCCCTGGTGTTTGTGAAACCCCCCGAGGATCGATCTTAACCATGGCATATCCTCGTGGAACCCAGTAGAATGTATTGAACGTCCCTATTGTCTCATAAACTCTCTGTTTAGTCCATGTTCCAAACCAAGGGCCTGTGTTCGGAATATGCAGGGGCGTGTCGGCAGAAGTTGAATGCCAGTCATCTTCTGCCTTTTCGAAAGCCGCTACTTCGTCGTAATCATCGCGTCTTGGCCCGGAATACACTACTCGTTTGCCGTAGACTGTTGAACTGACCAAAGCTGGAAGTCTTCCCTCCGGAGGCAAATATATATCTCCAAGGACATAGTTTCCATCTCTCACAGGAATTTGGATGTCACGAAAGACCCGGAATCCTGCGATAGCTCGTCGAAGATGGTTCCGAACATGTGGTATGCTTTTGACCGGTATTCCAATTTCGGCACCAATTTTCTGGAGGACCTGGTACACGTCTCTTGTGTCTTCGGCATCGAGATTAATCTCATGAGCGTAGTTCGAGACAGTGTGTTGAATCTGCCGGAGATTCTATCATTAAGCATCAAGACGGAGATGATATAAATTGGTAATTGTGTGTAACTCACGTCATCATTTATTTGTATGGCTTTCTCAAAACCCAACGACGGAGTAAGGCTGAACAGTAAGGCGGCCCTGTTGAGAAGTTTTGGATTGCTAAGTGAAGGATTGTCGACCAAGTCGAGGACACTCAGTCTCTGCCGTCCTTTAGCTACACCTAACTGAAGGGACCCGATAGAGAAGGAGATGTCATCCCCATCATAGTATTGAAATTGACCGTTCGGGCTAGAAGTGGTTCCGGATAGATCGCCACATTTATATGACAGCCCAACTGTATCGGTAAAAACACCTGTTGAGAATGAAGCCATTTTCAAACAGATAAGTTGCTGAAGAACACAGAGTTTGACAGAGAGACAAGAGATATAGCAAAATCAGATTTCCGAGAGAGTACCTAGTTATTGTCGGAGGAGCGTTTATCTACTAACAGATTGTCTGCTCAGCTCTTAATTGCGAATTTGATAGATAGCATACAACGATTCTGACCTACCTCTAAGTAGAGACATTTCACTTAGGCTATGTTCGGCAACTCACACAGCCTTTTGCACACCATTGCCGATCGGAAACATTATGCTGATAACCAGAGCAAACTCAGCCGATTGCTCTGACGTTGACCGCCTACGCACGTTTACGAAGTAGCATGATCAGGTTCTTGGGCTGGGTTTTCTGGCCGCTTCTCTCAGTTGGGTGAAATCGTGTAGAAGATGTGTACAATTTATCTTGAGTTCGTAAGCCACCAGCAACGCCCTATACTGTATTAGCTGTCAGTAATAATCTCCCTATGCTGACCAAGATGTACAGGAATAGTCTTTTTTATTTTCGAGTTAGTTGGAGACCAAGTCCGCTATCTGGAGGTCTCAAGAGGTATCCCTGCTACATTCTTATTCCAACTATTGTTATGTCTAGAGCGACACAAGTCAAACGTTACAATAAACTATGTTACCGAGGATTGACTGTTGTAGTTCGTATACAGAAATAAACGGTTTGTTTTTCTTATCGAATTGCACTCGAACGATTTGTAAAGAAATTCCAATTCCAATCTTCAGTGAGCTTGCACGAAACGTATGTACATTCAATTGTCCATGTAAGGTGTCTGCCATCTTTTAGATTGCCTAGTTGAAGATTCTTCCATCACTGCTGTCAACCAGAGCTCCTGTGGCAGAACGATCCTTCATGGAATAGATGTAGGCCTCTGCTACATCCTCTGGCCAACCCAATTCTCCTGTCAGCAGTGTCTTCCTCCAGTTTTCTTTCGCTTGTTCAGGGAGCCTGGCCAGCAATGGTGTCTGCACAACACCAGGCGCGACAACATTTACTCGGATAGGTGCCAAGTCCTTAGATAGCCCAAATCGCATACCCTCGGTTCCGGAAGCGAAGGCTGCGAGGACTGTCCAGTCTGCCTCAGGTCGCCGAGTCATGGATCCACTAGTAAGAGTAATTGAGGATCGATTCGAAATACGCATATATTTCGCAGCGAGCTTCCCTATAATCAATGGCGCAAGGAAGCGAACAGTACCGGACTTGAGAATCGACGCAGGTGTCGAATCATTGAGAGGGACAACCTTGAGAGTATCACCAGCCGTGAAGATAATATGGTCGATAAGCCGCTTTTCATTTGGTAATCCACTCGAGGCCAGTTCAAACAGTTTCCGCAGGTTGTCTTCCAGCTGGTCGGAAGAGCCGAGATCGCAGGGGGCTCCAGAGATGCGATGATGGAACTCACTACTATGATATGTAGTTTTCAGCTCAGTTATCGCACGCTGGACGTTTTCTTCCTGGGAACTCGTCACAAAAACGGACGCTCCGTGTTCCAGGGCTGCCGCCGCAACGGAGAGTCCAATGCCCTTAGTTCCCCCGAAGATGAGAACAAACGAGCCATCGAGTTTGTTGATAGATTTGAACCTTATCTCACTCATTTTAACAGAATAGTTCCAGTCACCGTATCAATTCTTTTCGCTTTTTCTTTTGTCACCTTGACTTCTGTTTCTAGTTCAGCCAAGCTGCCAGATATATCATAACTGCTATGTTGTCACTTCAATTCTTAGTGGGATGTGTATTAATAATTAGTAAACACCATGTAGCCTATATTATAAGGCTAAGGGCCGCATTATTAACCGTCTCTTTCGTGCTGGGCAGTCATGCCTTGATATTATTGCACTGGGAAGTAGAGAATAACCGTTGCCTATATCAACCATAGCCGAAGAGCTATCCATAGTAACGCAAAGAACGGTTGGTCTCCGGAGCCTGAAATAATGCTTCCGGCGTTAGCTTCATATTTGTAATAGTCTCTGATCCACCTTTCAACGAAAATAGTCTCCCTAACTATAGCTTGTGCATATGAAGTTAGGAAGGCACAACCCGCTCTTCAAGTCAGATATGCCGACTTAGAGGGCTGCTCAAGAAATCAATCGGACAATTTGAATTCGAGTCAACACTGAAGGTTGTAAACTTATGGACGGCAAAGAAAAAAGAAAAGAAGAAAAAAAGAAAAAAAGGGGGAGCTACAAATAGATGCTTTGCTATTGCCATGAGACTATAAGATTCTTAAGGTTTATTTCAAGATTAGCCTGCGACTTCGGTATTTCATACATTTGATATAGTCCGTTCTTTTGGTTTTCAGGAAGGCTGTAACTACTTCTTCTGTGCGATATAGGTCTTATTTTCATTGAAACCAAGAACTACCATATCAAATAAAACATTCAGCATATGCTCAGTAATCAATGCATATACTGAAGCTTAAGATCCTTAGGATACAACAGGTAGATGCCAACAACTTGCCAGATCAAAAAAAAAAAAAAAAAATAACATTCACTGAATGCTTTTTCCCAGCAGTCGCCCCATTGCTTTCCGCAGCAATTCTTTATGGCCAGAAGATGTATCTTCGGCCTTCCACGCAATGAAACCATCAGGCCTAATGAGCAACGCCATACCCGTACCTAATCTACCCTTGTTTCTCAACATTCCGCTATAGTCACGATACGGCTGAGATGTTTCGTGTAAAGCATAACTGTCAATCTGGAAACTGAGATTCTTGGCAGCGAGGAGCCATGGAGAGGCAGTTTCAGCAGCCACGAGAACAAAGTTCTGCTTGATCAAGTCGAGACTCGAGATGTGTGTCCCACCTTGACACTCGAGGGGGATGTGAGGAAACCTAGAACCTGCAGAGCCACTAGGTGTATGTGGATCTTCGTAATCCTTGTCAAATGTATCGCACTCTGCCGGTATGATGGCTCCAGCATTATAGCGGCATCCAAACTCGACGGTGTAATATGGTTCTTCTGGTACTCGAGGTATCGTGTTCATGATCCGATTCCGGAAGCGACGGGTGGCTTGGTCAACAACGAAAGCGTCTACGGGCTTTCGCTCCGCCTCATAACTGCGCAACAACGAAGGTGACGCTCTCCCGGTTATAACATATGCCAACTTCCAAGCAAGATTGTGCGCATCCTGTGAGCGTCAGGAGGAGCATTCCTTGAGACCACCAGGGCAACACTTACATTTATCCCGGTATTTCCCCCGAGTGCACCTGTCGGCGGCATTATATGAACAGCATCTCCTGCAAGAAGAACTCGACCTCCTTTAGACGTAAACCTTTCTGCTATGTATGATGCCAGTGTCCAGTGAGCAAAGGACAACAGCTCCATATCTCCCTCCCTAAAACCACCGCACTCGTTGACATAGCGCTTGGCATCCTCCTCTGTCACGGAGCCGGGAGGAAACTCTGTTTTCCCATCGATACTGTTTATCCATAGGAGTCCTCCTTCGCCACGGTTTTCCTGGCGGAACGCACCGGTAATGTGAGGTGTTGTGATGTACATGACTCCATGTCGGCTGCGTGATCCCAAGAGTCGTTTAATATCAGCTTTGAATCTGATATTGAGACTGCTGCTGAGAATCCCATGTCCGCTCAATTCAATACCCTCTTTTCTGCGAGTAGAGCTCCGATTGCCATCACAAGCAACAAGATATTGTGTCTTGTATTTCTTGTATTTCTGCGTACGGAGCTCTTGAACGACAACAATGACACCATCTGTTTTCTCTTCATAATGGACTATTTTCGTTTCGTACTGCGGGGTGTATCCAAACCTGGGTGCGTACTCCAGCAAGATAGGTTCCAACATGGCCTGATTCATCCAAAGCCAATTGGACGGAGTCACCTCCGCATCTCTTTTAGGATCATGTTCTTGGACTTGTTGGATTACCTTACCGCCGATGAGCTTTTCAACAACGAGTAGTCCGGAATCGATATCGAATTCACGGACGCTTTCTGCCTGACAGACCTTCTCCAAATTTATCTGTCGAAGGATTTCTGAAGTCCGGAAATTCAGACCCGTCGCACGTGGGTGGGACAGGATCGTGGCATGGCGGTCGAAGGAAGTACTTTTAACCCTATGCGGAAACAACGTAGGTTAATTCTCATGTCAATGATGTATACAGATATATTGAGAATACAAACCCCCAGTGACCCAGAAGTAAGCCCATGATCATGCCAACCAAGCTGGATCCCATCATTATGACTGGCCATTCTTCCTTCTCAAATGGAATAGAGGAAGCATCAAAACCATCCAGAATCAAATCTGTAGCTGCTGGCTTTGAGGCGTCTATTCTGTCATCCACCTCCTCCAAGCCCTTCGTCGTGGTACTAATTTGCGCCATGGCTCGGATACTGGCTTTGTGGGACTAGGACCAGGACGAGAAAAGAAAGCCTCAACTCTGCTATGTGAGGAAAGTAGAGAGAAAATAAGGTAACACGAGAGAGTTGAGTTCTTAAGATCTTGAATCGTAGTCCTTGCTCTAATAGTGCCCTTTTATTTCTCTGAAGTCAAGTCTGAGAAACCACTCAATCTTCAGTCAGCCCACCGAAAAGCGATATGAGCCGAAGTTTTGCAGGCATATTGTTTAGGCGAAGACCACCTATTGTCTGTAACGCACCTGAAAAATGTACACAAAGGTCTAATTCGTAATAACTGTCCGGATAGTTGCCCGGCTACGGCGCCGTAGCCGCTGTTCTAACGGTAGAGGCATTGTACTCCCGAGGTTTGCTTACCCACAGGCTAAGTATTGCTTCTGCCGGTCGGTCCACATTGCAAGGAATCTTTCAGGGTCGACAAAAATGGATCAATGTGTCAAGAAGAGATATTTGCACTCACTTTAAATATCAGATATCATGCGCCTCACTAAAATCAGTGTCGTTGGTTTTTTTTTTATGCGCAAGCTTTGACATATAGCTGTCTTCTCTACATTATTTCTTCCGTCAACCATTGAATAATGTCCGTGATTATCATTGTTCATCTATATACAAAAGATTCACCAGAAATGGTGGAAAAAGTGCATAAAACACTTCTTGAAGCGGCCCAGGTTTACAGACGAGATGAAGGAACTGTTGCATGGCTACCCGTGCAAGACACTGCAGATCAACGAGCCTTTTCAATTTTTGAGAAGTTCGACTCGGAGAATGTATGTTGAATCCTATGTGCTTTTATTCCGTTATTATTTGCTTTCAATTCTGGAAATAGAAGCAGTGCACTAGTTTTCTGACTGCAGGAGAAATAGAGCTTCAAAGCCCACCGTGAAAATCCATATCGGAACGAATTCCTACCTACTCTCACTGCACTCTTAGACCGTCCGGTGCAGCAAAGCAAATACAGAGAATTGTGACATTATCGTCAATTCCTTCATTCCTAAGCAGTTCTACTAGGTACTAAAGTAGTTAATGCTAGGATGTGGTTATGTCAAAATATTGTTCAGGAATTAGTTCATCTAGTCACACCAGACCGTTAAGCCCAGTTTCTTTCTCCGAAGACTCACTATGCCCAACCAGGCCACGAGTCGTAGTATTTTCTTTACCCTTAGTGTTCAGTCTCTCCCATATGCCGATTTTATCCCCAAAGAATTGCTTGTATCTGGGAATAGCACAGAATATCCGATCCAATTCCAATAGGCACGAAATAGACGCTTGCTTCCTTCTGTGGATCAGGTCTTCTTCGTATGTTGATTGCGTTTCAACGGAATGAAACACCATAGCGGATAAGATAATCATCTCCCTTGACAGGGAAAGGTCAGAACACCTTTTTTTTCTTTCATAGATTGGAAGACAGACTCACGCGTAAATAGGAAACTCGTTGGCTTCGAAGAAGTTCGATATGTCGGTGGCCAGATCGCAAATCTGAATCGCAGCATAAAAGGCCAAATGAGTAGAAAAATCACGTTCGTCGACAGAATGCTTCGCATCATTGAGACTTGGTCGGTGCAAAAGTAGCAGGACTTGGTGATGTGTCAAAGACAATAATAGACTAAATCGATTCCGATTCAAATCTCTGTTGTACTGCATACAGGGCTCGAGCCCTGCTTGCCAATTTTGCAGTTCCAAATGCATCTGAGCTTCCACATCTTCCTGTGGCCGCTTAGACAAAGGTACTGGTGAATATTTGTAGCGGACTACATCAGTCACTGTGAAGTTTGTTAGCTACCCCAGTCAATGTGAACTGGACAAGACGCCCGAGGTATGAAATTGCGCTGTACCGATCTTAGCTAATCTCAACATAGAAATCGTAAAATATGCTGTATACGAAGACTCGCCATCGATAAAATCGTCCCTGGTAAGTTCCTCCACGTCGCAATCCCGTAGGTCGATCATTAGGGGTTTTCCGATTCCGAGGGCGAGCTGACGATCACGAATCTACAAAGGTTAGTCACTAGACGTAGTCAGAAATAAATGATACTGGGGGATAGTTTACGAAAAGGAGCCACCAGATCTTCTTCCATAGCCGTCTATCTTCTGCGGAGATCGTCGTATTTCTCGTGCTTCGATGCATTCCAATTGTTTGTGCCACACTGATAGCCATGCTCGCCCACCAGAAACAGTCTCTGTGACTGGGAGTAGGTCCGAACCGAAATTGTAGCATAAATGTGGATTGAACAATCGTGACCCTGTCCAATTCGACATCATTATCATATAGGTGCCTAGCCTTATGGTAAAAATACTCCGTGGCATCCTGTCGGGAAGAGAACCCTGCGTTTGTAATGATCGATATTGGCGCATGGAGAGCCCCAATAAAAAATATGGTTTGTTTAAGCAATGGAGAAACTTTACCGGAGATCCATCTGTTTATGAACTTGTCCTTATTCAAGATAGGATAAAGAGGAAGAAAGTTCTGACAGAACGAGTCAAGCAAGCACTTCTCCAGCCTTTGAGACTCAATTAGACGTTTGTCGTCGCCGGTGATCTCAGAAGTCACATAACCCATATCGTTGAGCCCAAGTTCGATTGTTCGATGTACTTGCTTAGAATCCAGTCGGTCGCTAAGCAGCCAAAAAAAGAGTGAAGACTCTCCTATATGTACCATTTGTCCACAATCTGCCATGCTATTTGAGCAGCGGCCACTTCCGTTTGGGTTACTCCCTGAGCGAATTTCTCCTCTCGATACGGTTTCAATATGAGGTCGAGCGAATGGTTCGTAAGGAGGCGTCGTACTGTCATTAGTGACTTGTTGTGATGGTGTCCCGACGTGCTGCTGTGAAGGCGTCCTTCGAGTACCGTTTCTCTTCGATATTTCAAAACGACCATGTCGACCTCTAACAAACACAGGAAAATTAGCGATCAGTCTAAAAAGGCGAAACCATACGTAAGATTCATAAACGGACCTGTATCTCTTAGAGTCAATAAAGGAGCATTCTGCTGAGCGCACTCGGCAATTAGAACAGGGCAAACCACGGCTGGCAGCATCACAGCGGACACGTTTGTCGTGACAAGCTCTACACGCGATCGAAGACCGTTTCCTTTTTGTTTCCCTACTAGACTTCACAACTGGGGATGGAGATTCAGGCATTTGAGTCTGCTGGTCTGCATTGCTTGCTTGGGGTTCGGGAGCAGTAGCAGAGTTGTCTATCGTTGTGATGCAGGCATCATTGATTCCCGTAACTGGCTGCAGAGAAGCTAAGGCAGATATGAAAACGGCATCATTTCCGAGGTCTTCATTGTTTTCAGTAAAGCTGTCGATATCGAATTCAGGAAGATCGAAGAATTGGTCTTCTGCAGGACCGTTGGAGAGGTTGGTGCGTTCCATGGACAGGTCTATTCGTATAACTAGATTTGCAACAACGATTAACACGACGAGGTTTGAACAGTGAAGAACAGAGCCAAGTCACCAGGATACTTAGCCTGAGCACGTAGTCTCAGACACTCCGTGCTAGGCTCTGACAGATTCTAAAGCCCCCGCATTTTCGGGTCCAGAGTTTGGTAATCGAGACAGCGAATCAACAGGTATTGCGGTATCCTGAGCTCTAAGTGCGGTATGTAAGAGACAAACCTCATTGTTTGCGAAACACTTGTATCTCAAAGAAAATGGGGCATTTCTTTCATAGCAAAGCTCGATATATCATCAACTTGCCTCTAGCAGCTAGCGAGATAAAAAAGGAGAGCACGCCATTTCTGATATGAAAGCCGGACGCATAGTACAGTATATCGTACAGTCCTGTTTGTTTGTTTGTTTGTAAATCTCATAATGCATGACTAGGACTTCGAATACAAAGATAGTGAGGTGCGTCGTAGTTCCTTGCCTCCTCATATGAGAGGTATTAGTATCTTGCTACGGTGTGGAACTCATATCCCAAACTCCTATGCTTCTATTACCTCAGGAACTATAGGACAAACAATATTCAAATAAGTAATCAGAATTTATTCGAGAACATTTTATTAAATACAAAATCCGTGTTAAAATATTGTCGTGGTTGTAATTATTGACCTATGTACTCGTGAGCTGTCTAAAAACATCTATCCGAAACTGTTCCGCTTCTACTCCGCTTATACCTAAAATGGGATGTTTTTCGGCCGGTGCGGAATGTTAACAAATGCGCAAGACCAATTATGCGAAGATTAGCACGTCGCTTTCATTAGTGCCCACTACGCAGAAGTCATGCCAATGCATTATTATAATAATAAGCTGCGAACAGCGTCATCGAGGGAGCTCACCGTGGATAGGAAATTGTAAGAAGCAGCTCTAGGGGTTCTAGTTGAACATTATAAGGGGTGCCAGCCTGTGATAACCGCTACACTGTGTATAGTCTTTTTGGCTGACTTCCTTCAAGATGCACTATCATAGGTTCGAACTAAAATGTAGCGAGATTTTCCCGAATAGTTTGCTGAAGGGGATAAGGAATTACCAAATCCAGAAAGTTTTTCGGCCGGTGCTAATGCGCATTATACTGAACTATACTGAGATCCACAAAACATCTAAGCTTTGCATGTATTAATATGCCTTATAACTTCACACAATGTACTTTCATAAGTGGGGAATCCTATCACATTACGGCTATATAAGAATCTACTCATAAGAGACTTTTGACTCCAGTCCCAAAATGCTATTCCGACAAAATTAGCACCAAACAGTTTAACAACTGAAGATGCCATCTCTCGAGAAAGTAAGCAGAGCCCCTGCAATATTCATTTCACATGGCGCCGGTCCGTTTCCTCTCCTGAATGAAGACCATGAGCCATGGAGGAAGATTATGCAGGGGCTTGCACATCTCCTCGAAAATGCCAAAGGCATCATACTATTCACAGCCCATTGGGAGACATACCAGCCTCACGTTTCTGGTTGCGATGATGCGCGCCTTTTCTATGACTATGCAGATATGGAGGAGGTCAAATCCTTTATTCCGAAGGAAGCCTACACGATCCGATATAATGGTCGGGGTGACTCCGCCCTTGCTACGAGAATCTCAGAACAACTTCGTGGTGTTGGGTTCGAGCCGGTCATTGATAACAGTCGGGGATGGGATCATGGTGTCTTTGTCCCAATGTCTATTTTGAGACCCAGCGGAGATATACCGATCGTACAGATGTCAGTGCTCAAACGAGATAATGAGCATCAGTCAACCAATGCAAATATCCTCCTTGGACAAGCAGTCGAAAGTTTTAGGGATGAGGGTTATGTGATCTTGGGAAGCGGTGCCACCGCGCACAACTTTGAGGAAGCAATAAAGGTCTACCTCAGCGATGATCGCAATCCGAAGGTGTCTGCTGAAAACGAACAATTTGCAGAGTTTCTTCGGCTTACAGCGTCTTGTTCGGACCCGCATCGGAGACGGGAGAAACTGTCCATGTGGAGGGAAGCTCCGGGTAGCTTCATTGCACATGCTCCTGGAAGTTCAGAACATCTCATGCCATTTATGGTCGTTGCTGGGAGCGGCGGACATGATACGGGGAAGAGAATGAATGTATGGGAGCTCGCTGGAGAACCAACTGCTTTCTATGTCTGGAGTTAGAGCTGCTGCGATGCATTTTAATTCTTGTGGTTCCTAAGATCTCAAAATGAACTATTTATCCAGTTAAGATGATATGTCATGTAGCTGCATCTTCTGCTCTCTAAAGACCGAAAAAGGTAGAGTGAGCAAGACGAACACGCGGTGTTGTTTATCTATCTCATTTGTCCCCTATACTTAGTAAGAGCACTGATATACACTGTTTCGAGATCCTTCTGTTCTGGGGTACTATTACACCACAAGCATAAATTCTTTGAAGTACTGATGAAACTAAGGGCGGAGAACATACATTAGGATCTATTAAATTCTTAGATCCAACACTGTTCTATTCCCTGATCTTCAACAACGATGCCACAGTGTCCTTGATAGACTCCCGCAAAGTGCGATATCTCAAGCCCAAGACATTTACCGATTTCGAATTGTCGTACTGATAGATATCCTTCGGTAAATCTCCGGGAAGATTTCTAGGAGGAAGGACCACAGAAAGATGAGGATATTCTTCCCGGATAATGTCGACAATCTGCTTGTTATCATAATGTCCTGCAGTGACGAAGAACCTCTCATTCTCAGTACCCGTTGCCGTAAGTGCCCGAATGTGAGCACGTGCTAAGTCACGAACATCAACCCATAAGTAAAGATTAGTCGGTGGAATTGCATCCTTGTATTCTCCTTGGATGATATCCCGTATCCTAGTGTTCGACGTATTGATGTCGCGCAGCGATTCCACGTGGTGTATAACAGGACCAAAGACGAGTGGAGGACAGAAAGTTGTCAGGGAGAAATGGGGCTTCTCCTTCTCCATAAAATCCCATGCTGCCTTCTCAGCAAGCTTCTTGCTCGCTGGATAGGTGACGGACGGACGCAATGCATCCTGATATGTCATTGGATTCCAAATGCTCTCCGAGTATGTGGCTGGATGACTATCGAAGTTGATCATTGCTGCAAACGAGGACGTGATGATGAATCGTTTCACCGAGGGGGCATATTCAGTCACGGAACGAAGGATTCCGATAGTTCCTTGGATGGCCGGCTGAAGTATTTCATTCTCAGGGTCATAGGGGTTATAGAAGTAAGGACTGGCAGTGTGGATGACAGCATCAAATGGCGCATTCGCCTGAAAAGCGTGATCGAAGGCACCTTGTTTGACGAAATCGTCGATGACAACAAATGACACCCTCTTGTTTGCGGCATCGCGGTCGTGGCGATCAAGGATCTGTTGGCCTCTACTGGTAGACCGAACGGCGAAAACAACCGTGTGTCTTGATAGTTAGCCCACACACATAGAGAGGGAGCGATACACAGAGAGAGAGATACAGAGAGAGAAGATAATAGAAAGGAAGCCAAAAGAGAAAAATATAGAGCTGCAGAAGTTCTAGAGTGATCGGGATCCATACCCATGGTTCAAGAGATCATTGAGAATGTGGGCTCCAATGAAGCCACTCGCACCTATAGCAATAGTGCTATTCTCAGTGGGTGGTCGTCTAAGTTATCGATCGGTAGAAACATACCTGTTAGAAAAACCTTGGTCATTTTGTGTTTCAACTCAGCCTGTACACCCTGAAACGCGCACTGTGAAAATGTCTAAGTATGATTCTTCCCACCGCGGTGATCAAGTGCCATCCTCCAGAGCCTCTTATAGCTTAACGATGCATGCTTTGTAGTAATTTTTGGTACATTTCTTTAGGGGTGTTTCGGTTCGGCTCGGTCACACACTTAGGCTATCTTAGCTGTCGGCATACCTAAGTAGGTATGTACTTAGCCTGTCATGTCTTCTGCTCGTGAGTATTAGACGTTGCCACGACGGAATCTTCCCGATCCTTGGAATATAGGCCCTTTCTGTATGGTAGTTACGAGGCCAATAGAGAGTATGTATATAGTAAAGAGGTTCGAATGGAAAGGCTCTATGCGAAGAGCGCGATGAACCATGCAAAGATGTGCAGCACAGTGCATATCCATATCTCAAACGGTACCCTTCCACCATGATAACCCTATTGTAGTGATGATTCGATCCTTGGATGAACAGAAGCGAATCACTCCGTTCTGACCACGACAGCATTTGTCTCTGGTTATAGTTAGTTGTAATTGCTCATAAGTATTTACTCGTTCCAAACTAGGAAAGACTCTCGGCCGCGTCACTTCCTAGAACGGGTTAGTCGAATCCAGATAATTTCGAGGAATGAGTAATCCTTTTCTGCCTGAGGCTTCAAATGAGATTACATAGTCATTCGAGATCGAGTTCTCGAAATCGAATCCTCGAATGTTTATTTGTCACTTGGTAATCTCACGGTCGGCCAGATGCTCTTTTCGTGGCCAGATTTTGCCTCTTAGTAACTGAGCATCGCCATTGAGGATGGGTTTGTAATGCAAATCCGTGTTGGACATGGAAGTTGCGATACAGTTACTACTTATGCATGTAAGAAGAGGATGCTCTGGCCCACGGCAGTCGACGGCTTCACGACTCTGCTGCGTTTACCATGGCTTCTTACAGGGGTGCTAGACATGACGAACATCCTCCCTCAGATGCACCGCGCTTTCTCCGTCTTCATTTGGATCGCCCAAGGCTGGCGAGGAATCGCGAAGTGCAAGCCTGCGAACAATGTAGGTTAAGAAAGATAAGGTGTGACCAATCAAAACCACATTGCGAAAGGTGTAAGGTCAATAGCCGACCCTGCGTCTATCGACCCAAAGCTGCCACGAAGGCACGACAAGTCGGGCTACCTGAAGGTCAGCCTTCGGGTACGAAGCCTTTCCATGACCACATACAACAATCAGATGGCGAACGAGAAGAAGGACAGACGATTCGACTCAACCAACACGGTCATCTCAAAGCTAACAATGGACTTCGACTCCGGTATTATTCCAGCTCTTCGTGGGTGGCATCTGTGGAAGAATCGGACGTCTCGATGCCGCTGGATGATCCCTTTGCCCTCTCCAGTCAAGGTCTTCTGGGTTTCAATAACCCATCTCTGGGGCTCTCAACTGGGGGTATCGATCGTTTTATCCAATCGAATGAGGTTGATCGACTCATCTCGTGGTACTCTCAATACTGCCATTTCTGGTTTCCTCTCGTCGAGATCGCAGAAGTCATGACTAGTCTGCAGGACCTACGCCGTCATAAACGTTCTACCCCTGGGGCAACAGCTATAATATCTGCTCTTTGCTATACAGCATCATGTTCTGCATCTGCCTCCAAAGATGTAGGGTCATCACTGAGTTCCATCCCGTCATCATCATGGAGGAACGTGGCAAGTCAACTTCTATTTGACTCTGGCTATCCCAGTCGGCCTAACCTGAATACTATCAGAGCAGCATTTCTCCTTGCGGCGCCTAGTATGACAGAAGGAGCCTCACATCCTGACCCAGGCCCTGTTTGTGTCCTCGTGCGAGCTGCTCAGTCTCTCGGCCTGCACCGGGAGCCTATGTTGTTTCAGTTGTCTGCACATGAGGCGGATCTTAGCCGCATCCTCTGGTGGTCAATTCGTGTGTTAGATACAACCTATGCGGTGGCTCATGGTCTCCCACTGTTAATACATCCAACGTCTACAGATGTCCGAATGATCGATTGCGAGGGCAAACTGGAACGCAAACTACTGAAGACTATAATCCGATCGGGACTATTGATCTCCAGGGCTTTTCATGATATTTACGGCGTGCGTCAGCCAACCTTCACTGATATACAGCGATTAGATGAGGAGTCCGAAAGGATATCGACTGAAGAAGTCTCCGACTCGAAACACCCACAAATGACGACTTTGGAAAGATTTGTCGCCATGAGCCGGAGAATGAGTTGCTGCAAGATGCTCTTCATTCTCCACCAACCGTATCTACGAACGCCGCAATGGCCACAGAGCTCCAGGATAAAGGCCCTTAATGCCTGCCAGGATTACATCGGAGGGTTCTTGACAGGAGTTAATGACCCCACACTATCTCCATACAGATGGGTGCTCGACCATTTCGACGTGATTCATCCTTGCGCCATCATTCTTCAAGATCTGATCCAGCATCCTGGGTCCCTGGAATCAGACACCCTCCGCAATTTAGTAGAGACGTGCTTCTCCACTTTCTCGAATGATTCTCATCCAGACTGGACGCGACTGGAGGCATTGCGATCCAAGGCCTGGACAGCAAATTGCTGGAACGTAGACGAGCAGGGAGATCTCAGCATTCCGGAGGGTGATGTCAGTCTCGCAGATTGGGATCCTCTTTTTGCATCTTTCATTTGGGAGGAGCTTTTGATATGATTAGAAATAGTTTACTGTACATATCATCCAAGACCAGATCTCTACTTGATGTCTGCCGTTGTAGGTTAAATTGACGTCTTTGCGTATCTCATCCGTGGAGAGCCCTGAATATCATCGTGCTTTGTCATACCCAGGATACCACCTCGTCCGTTATATGATTTTTACCTCACACAGAGTTAAAAAGCACCAAGCCTTATAAGCTTACTTTACCTTGTTACATAACCTTGATTTTAATTATATTAACTAGCTATTTATTATAAATAATACTAGGACATCTTACGGCGCTAGTGACATTTTCCGTAAGACAAACGTTGAGCGTTCATAACTAAGCAAGCTAGAAACAGGTAACTCTATGTAGACTGAGAGGAATATCTCTAACAGATCCTCCTATAATCTTTAATCCCTTATAGCAGATCTAGCAAATCTAGCTAACCTGGTAGAACAGCCCCAGCTAGGTTGGTGGTTCAGAAGTCGCCTGCCACCCGGGCGAGAACCTGACGCTGGATGGTTCCGATGACTCTGTTCATGTCATTGTGCTCAAACAGATGAAGAAAATCGCGTTCATTACTATTCCAGGGCCAAAGAAGTTCTGGAACACCAAATTATAGAGAAGTGATATCATAATGCCCAGCTAGTTTTTATTGGCCGTTGTAGCTTACATACCATACCATACATTTGTCTCATGGAGTCACCGATCTAGAATCAAGGCCTATATTTAGAGCGGGGTGGGCAGAATCACTACTACATGCCTCCTATCTATTGGCAGATAAATTGTATTAAGCTTGCCAAGAATGTAAGCAATTTGCATTAGTGGCTTTTTTAACATCGACCCACCAAATTAACACTCGCCTTAAAATGTGTATATAGGGACGACGAAGTTCTTGTGTCAGCATCTTGCATCCCGCCACTCACACTATTCGGTCCTTTAATGCACCCAGTGGAATCTCTATTATTGTAGAGAGCTGCGTATTCGGAGCTGAAGTGCGAGTGACAATGGCTGATGAGAGAACACCTTCGGTAGCATCACCATCGAACACTGCCGAAATCGAATTGGCGCTAATGCCACAACAATCCGGCATTCGCGCGTCATCTGAGGATTGGACTGGTGTGACAAATCGTGCCAAAAGAAGAAAACTGCAGAATCTGTTGAATCAGAGAGCATATCGTGAGATCTTCATTAAATATTCCCTATGCTTACTCAATCTACAGTCTCATACTTAGCCAAGTTTTCTCCATGGCTAACATTACATCATAATATAGGTTTGAGGCGACAAGACACCACAAACAAAGCAATCGATGGGAAACGAGAGCGCAGGAACAATAGGAGAAAATATAAACACGACGATACTCTAACGTGTGGGAGAATAACCAAAGACCCTCAGATTCACTGCCCCTCAGATTTACAGGAACGTATGCATCGGTTTGAGGCTCTTGCCATCCAAAGCTATCTCAATGCATCGCCAGATCTAAGTCATCTCATTTCTCTCTGCAAACTCAACGTCCAACGTGCCATCCATGATAATATTTTGACAATGGGCATGACAAAGGAATGGCTTTGTGCAGACGAAATCGTATCCATTTTCAATCAAGCATCCTGCGGCTTTTCTGAGGAGTCGATCCCACCGAGTCTGCGCCCAACGGCGCTCCAACGAGCAACACCACACCATCCTTGGCTTGATACATTTCCGTTTCCCCAAATGAGAGATAATCTGATCTCGAGGACAAGTTACTTTGACGACGATGAGTTGTGTCATGATTTGATGGCTTTCTGGGATACCCGCAATACAGAAGCGACTCTCTTAGTCTGGGGTCCGCCTTGGGATCCATCTAATTGGGAAGTCACCGAAGCATTCGCTCGAAAATGGGGTTGGATTCTCAAGGGATGTCCAGATCTCTTAATATACACCAATCGCTGGCGTGTGCGAAGGGGGGAGAAGCCACTAAGTTGGAGCCAGATTCTCATGCTGGGAAAAATCACAACACAGGATGGAAAGACCCAGACTTCTTAGAACAGTAACAGAAAGATAAAATAAAAACTGCAATCCAGATCTAGCCGGTTTACATATTTCCGCGTTTCAGTGCTCAGATCTGCTCATGGGGAGTTAGGATTACCTCTGTTAAGGAGAACTTTGTGGGCCCTTTTTTTACTTCACAAAATTGACCAGAATCTCCATCATGGTTACTGTGACTCTATTTGTCTATTAAATTCATGCCAGCCATCTAAAGATCTGTTCTCATATATCTTCATGCATTCTAGCATTCTAAACAAGTTCCATAGGCAAAGTTGCATGTGTTATAGATCCCACACAGGCCATCACCCTACACGAAGAGTCCCATTCCAACCGGAGCAGGTTTCATTTGGTCGTCCTGAATTTCCTGCAGTAGTATATTCCCCGGATAATCTTCAAGATCAAGGTCTATGAAACCCCGTGGGACCCACTTCTTTGCTGATACAAAGAAAGAATGTCCGTTTACACTAGAATCACTTAAGATTCGTAGAAGGCACTGTGCAGCATCTGCTGGGTCGGCAAATTCCACACCACTCCTCGCCACACGTGCAAATATCTCTTCCGGAAGAATGTTGGTTTTGACATACCTATCTCAGTCAGTTATTTGGCTCGTATTACCATTGCCACAAATCAGAATATCGCATACCATGGAGAAATGATATTCACCCGACTTCCGTAATAAAAAGCGGTCCTTCTCAGGGAGTGCATGATTCCTCGCATAGCCCATTTTGTCGCACAATACTGAGGAGTTCGGGGAACGTCAACGAAGGCTGCTCCGGAACCGATCAAAATCAAACATGTGTCCTTCTGGCTCTTAGACGGCTGTTGTCCATTCTGGCTGACGAAGTAATGCAGTGCCAGTTTCACAGTGTACAAGGATCCAACAAGGTTGACATCGATTGTAGATAAATCGGGCTTTTCCGGTTCCAGCTTATTGCCAGAGGGTTGGAACACCTCATCTGGCCGTGAAATACCCGCGTTGGCAACGACGTAGGAAATATCTCCTGTTGGCGAGAAGGACTTGGCTTCACGAAACAGCTGGACCTGATCGTCCCACTTCGTTGTATCACATTGGACAAACTTGATGCTTGAACCGGACACAATTGTCAGCATCTTCTTAAAACACACACACATTATGCAATCTAATCCGAAAAAGGCCATGGTATACTTTGAAAGCTCAGCTTCTAATCGTTTTCCCTTTTCAACGTTGCAGTCCCCAACACAGACGTTCGCTCTGATGGTGATGTTAGTAAGTTGTGATCCGTTACGGCCAAGTTGGTACCGTGGATGTAGTACCCCGCAGCAACAAGAGCGCGAACATAAGCTTCGCCTAAACCATTTGCGCCTGTTCATCAAATATTAGAAGGTTCTTGCATTTATCGACTGCGTTGAATCTACCTCCAGTTATGATCGCAGTTTTGCCCTTGAGATTTGCGGTATCAAAGGGCACATCACAGTCCACTGGACCAGAGTGTTCATAGCCAGCCATTTTAGGTCAGAAAGAGAAAATCTGAAATCGATCAAAATATGATAAGTTGAAGAAGGTAGCAAGCATGGCACTATGAGAAATCGTAAGGTCTTTAATACCGAGGTTGGAGGGACTGTGTAGCTCGTCATTATTTGCCTTTTTCATGGTGATTGCAGATAGAACTCGATTTCACATGTTTTACTCGCGCTAATGCAGCTTGCTTATTCCAGAACCAGCCACTAAGCTGACTGATGTTAGATTACCCCCTTGGGTCCTCCTCTTGGCGCCCTGGCAGCTAGTAGTTACGTGACTTAGGATAGGATATACCATAGACCTGCTCGCTAGTGATCAGGCAAGCTTCCACGGTGGCAGCGGGTCCAACGGTGAGCGTTATGAGTAGCAAGAAACCAGCCTTACGGTTAATTGGGAAGCCGCCAGCAGTCAGGGTGCTCCATTGCTCCATAGACTAGAGGTGGCGGGTCTACTCCCTAGAAACTAGTTGAAATTGGTGGAAGATGCTCGATTTGCTCCCCGCTCAGAGGGGCTACAAGTGCAAAGATCTCGTTACAATTGTTCCGGAACTCAGGAGACGAAGCGTTTCAGACTCTGGGTGATTATTATCCGGATATGCTGCATTTTTCTTGCAGGACAACTTATTTTCGTGAGAAAAGGAGTATAGAGAGGCCACTAAATATGGCCGCGAAATATCCCTAATGCCATAGCAGTTTTGATGAGAGAACATGATATCGACTACGAAGAGGCAAAAAAGGCGTTCTTTGGCACTGATTCGCGAGTATGAGACTAGATATCTTGTGAATCTACGCGTTGCTAGAAACAGCACAGACCTGTCTGTGGACCTGAAAACGTACATGGAGGCGCTTCAATTTACATCCACTGGGAATGCTCTCCGGAGTCTTACGTGTCCGAGATATCATGGTTTGAGCAGTGAGCAGTGAGATTCAGTTGGAATCGGATCTCTTAGGATCATGTTGTCACAGAAGTTGCATAACTATAGGAAGCGTTGAATTGCTAGGCTGTTTGATCCAGATAAGAGTGATGGTAGTGTCTATCATGTTATAAGGAAAAGAAGACGTAACTAGCTAGATCAATTCCTAATCCGGAGACGTAAATAATACTAGATCAGGAAACCGATTCAAGTTAACTTTGCGTCAGCAATTTATATAACCATTGTAAAGTTGATAGCTAGGGACACTATAGTTACATTGATCGCTTATATATCAGTTATGAACTAAATATAAATCTCGTTCGTCGTTTTCACAGCTAAATCCTTTGAACTAGACTAACATTCTTCAATTTTCATTTCGCCTGAGGTTTGTCCGAAAGAACTGGGTGAGTCTGCCGAATGGGATGAGGTCCACACGATCATACAGATCGACATGGCCAGCTCCTGGAACCCATAACAGCTCCTTCGGTTCAGCAGCACGCGCGTAAGCTGCTTCGCTGAACTCGCGCGAGTGAGCCTGGTCGCCCGAGATGAACAGAAGTGGACGCGGCGAAATCGTCTCTATATCTTCGAACGGATAGAAGTTCATGAATTTCACGTTACTGGAGAGCGTTGGGTGCGTCGTAAGGTTCGGTGACGAACCAGCAGGTGTGAACTCGCCACGAGATGTACGATAAAAGTCATAAAACTCTCGCGCAACAGGAGGTGATTCGGGCGTGATATGACTGGGAGTGCCGCTGGTATACTGAACCTCGCCGCCTTCCAATTCCGTCCAGCGTTGCTGCGCCGCGGCAGCAATGGCCTCCTTGCGCTGCTCGACACTTTGAGACCTCCGCAGCCCGTTGCGATTGACAGCGCCCATATTGTACATGCTTGCTGTCGCGATAGCCTTCATGCGCGGGTCAATCTTCGCCGCACTGATCACGAAGCCACCGCTGGCACAGATGCCCAGGGCACCAATACGCTCACGATCCACGAAGTCCTGCATCCCGAGATAATCGACTGCTGCGCTGAACGCCTCTGCGTAAAGATCTGGCAGCACTGCGTTGCGTGGTTCACCCTCGCTGCCTCCCCAGAAGCTAAGATCGAGCGAGACTGTGACGAAGCCCTGCTCGGCTAATTTCGTAGCATAAAGATTTGCACTTTGCTCCTTCACGGCGCCCATAGGGTGGCTGACGACAATAGCAGGCAATTTGGCACTGACATTAAGATCCTTGAGGGTAAAGAGGTTGCCCGCGATAGTCATCTGGTATTGATTCTGGAAGGTAATCGGCTGGAGCGTCACGTTGTTGCTGCGGTAGAAGTTGTTGGCTCCGTACGACATGTTCTGTGCTGCCGCTGACATCGCACTGATGATTGCTATCATGGCGAGAGCGGCATTGCTGGTTCCTACCAGTTTCATGATGCTATTCTCGAGTATTGGTCAAGTCTGATGATAGAAAAATGACAGAGAGTCTGGTAACGGAAGGATACCTGTTTGCAGTTCTCATATTGCTGCTTTTATAGTTCTTCGATAGACAAGATAATGACCTTGCACTGCCATAGCCTCCGTCACCGACACCGGAGATTAGAGATTGTCTTTCCAAAGACGGATTGAGGCCGCGTATTGCCAATGCTTTCGGCGTGAAGTCGCCATTATGCCAAGATACATGGTTCGTAATTCGTGGTGAGTTGGTAGGACCTGATTACATGTTTCTATTAGCAGTGGAGAAGAGTCTTATGGATGGAAAAGCAAAGACCTCAATGGTAGATGGCTTAAGCTTCCTTAACTGGCCGATGATATCAGCGGCAAAGCGACCTAGGCACAAGTAATTGCTTATAGGAAAAAGCCCTTACTAACCTTGGATACAAAGTGCCAGTGGGCCCTAAATGCAGGTTGCTGATGTTCGGTACGACCTTCGTGAATCCCACTTTTTATACAGTGAAAGCTTTCATACCAGAAACCCAGACAGATAGCACAAGGTTATAAACTCCGGCGCTTATGCAAGTTGCTTATTCTCTGGCCTTGGCAGGGTGGCTGAGGTGCTGATCGATCGACATGATGAACTGGGGAACTGGGGATTAAGTACGAGACTTATCGTTACCTGTCAAGCAGCACCGTGAACGCACCCACGTAGTCAATCAACGTGGGCAACTTGATGATTCCTCGAACGGACCTTTAATACATTGACTTGACTAATCGATCCATGACACTTGTCAGGAGCGATATAGATGCCTTTTTAATCTCTGGGAACCCAGACTCATGCACTCCGATAGATGCAACGATTCTCAAAAATAACGCTGGCGAAACCCTTTCCTCGCAGAAGAACTATTCGATTTGTGTCCTTGGAACGAAAGAGAGACATGAATGTATTGTATTAATCAAGCTCGAATAGGATCAACATACTAAGACTTCCCTTTGGAAAGGAGAACGGCCGAAAGACTTTCCGTATTCGGAAACAGATGATGAACAATTTGTATATAACTACTTGACTGTACCATGAATCAATAAGTAATTCGTCTGCCATAACTACAATCCTGTCTCCCGTTCCAACGACATCTCTGCTACGCCGGAAATATTTCACGGCCGAAGGTAGGTACTCAACTTAATCAGTCCTTCCAGTCGAATTCCGAGTATCCGTGTTTTATCAACCTGGTCTTCCTGAATCAAGCGACTGACTGAGCTCCGCATCATAGGAAGAATCTGGTCCTACCATTTATATCACAGACTATGGCAAACCCTTCCCCTTCCAAGTCTTCTGCCGCCGCGAATGTGGGCAACGATGGAGAACCAGTGGACAAGATCCAACGCGGTAACTACACATTCAGCACCGCAGGGACAGCAACTTGGATCGGCCTCCGGGTTCTAGATCCCTTCATCCAATACAATCTCCTGTTCCGGGGTGCAGGTGACAACATCCTAACCCGCATAGGTGTCACAACCACCAGTTCTGTCCTAGCTGGCTCATCCTCTGCTCTATCTAAACCCCGTTGTATCCTCCTTGGCATGTCAGCAGCCGCAGTGGCGAAGCATATCTACTGGATTCTTGGGCTCAATCAAGAGTATTTCCCGCCATCATTCGCAACGTTCATCTCAGCCTTCAACCTCGCATTCGATACGACAGCTACTTTCCTTCTGCTTTCTTCCAAAACCTCTGCTGCTCTTTCAGAACCTCAGATCAGTATTCCCTACACCAATGGCCTCTCCTTGCCTTTGAACGTTGTGGTCGGAACGTTGATGTTCTCTGCGGGACTCCTGGTCGAAACCGTGGCCGAAGTGCAGCGGAAATGGTTCAAGAAAGATCCTAAAAACAAAGGAAAGATCTTTACTGGGGGACTGTGGCGACTGGCGAGACATATCAACTATGGAGCGTATACAATTTGGCGCGGAGGATACATGCTTGCTGCAGGTGGATGGGCACCGTGCGTGATTCTCATGGCATTCTTGTTGCGGGATTTCTTGAGCAATTCGATCCGGGGAATGGATAAGTATATGGGGGGGAAATATTCTGAACAGTGGGAAGAGTACAAGGCCAGGGTTCCTTGGTTAATGTTTCCGGGAATCTTTTAAAAGAGGCGTTCATGTTGGAGATAGGACGGTGTGTATTATGTGTCTGCTTTTCGGGAGAATCAATACCTTCACCTTGACAATCTCATCAGCTTGCACTTAAACCCCATATATGCAGCTCTCCACAATAAAGATCCTAATAGGGTACATAAAAGGCCTAATAAGGTGTAAGTAGCGCTGTGTAAAATGCTTACTCCAATAAGTAAAATAAGTAAAACAATCCATAGCAAGGTCCACGTCGTCCTTATACTTACACACGTTAAGGAAAGCGTTGATTCGAAAGCCACTAATGCAAGTTGCTTATATTCTTGGCAAGCCCAACTTTATTTATCGGCCAATAGGAGGTATGGGGTTCTTCTGTCTACTCAACCCGAAATATGGACCTTAATTCGAGTGAGATGTATGGAACACATGTTGCAATGAGCAGTATAACGATAGCTGAAAATTATGACATTGTTTCATAGGTTGATGCTCCAGAACTTCTTACTGTGGCCCTGCAATATCGATGAAAGTGAATCTCCCGTAACTATTTCAGCATAATGACATCAACAGAGCACTCAATCCCCAGGCTTGAACTGTCTCGCTAGTTTTACTGCGTAAGAAGTTAGCTTGGCAAGGTGACTGAGACGAAGTAGGGAAAGGATACTATCATTTAAGCACACATACATCGAAAAACGAAAACGGAGAGGAAATAAGAACCAAATGAACTAATCGAGATTATAATACATTAACAGATCTCGTTTTATTGTCGAGAATGCAGTAGGTAGGTAATTGATCTCATCCCATCGGATAGTCACTATCGTCAAAATTGCTGCCGATGTCAATATCAGGTTCACATGCAAATATCACCCTCTCAACCTTTGCTTGGCTTTCCAGTATTCTTTCTTTCTGGCTTTGGGCGATAGCATCTTTCTCTGTTGCTGCTAGAGATCCCAGAAAGAGGTATGCGCACAGTAAGGACACGAAAAATAATGCGTATATCCTCACTAAAGGAGTATGAAAAGAATTTTGGCATCCATCATTAACATTGGAAAGATCCTCCAGGTGCCATGCGATGTTCGGACATATGAGGTCTTTTATTTCGTCAAGTATGGGCTCCATATTCAGGCGGCGAGAGCGTAATTCACGAAGGCTTTCGCTGGATATGTCCTTCTCTCTCGCATATGATAAGTCCAAGATGTCGGCTACATCATCACCAAACGGGGTATCATAAATGAGTGACACCCAATCAACATCTGACAGTACGCTTTGGTCCTGTTCGCATATGACGAGGTAATTTCGATATGGATGTCCTTGAGGTGTACAAAATTGGTCATCATCATTACTTCTAGATTTGTCTTCTAGATAATAATTTTGGCGAGCATCAGGGTCGATAGCAGCTGCCGCTGCTAATAGCGAAATCGAAATGTTCACAAAAATCAAAGATGATAGTAACATAATAGTTCTGTTTTCCCGTGTCGAAGAGATGATGAGTAGGTTATCAAAAGACCCTGTAATAACTTTTGATTGAAAGAACAGACGTGCAGACGTAGGATAACATTTATGCTCAGAAGTCAGCCCAAAAATCGTTACTGTAAGTGACTAGACTATTGATTTTCATGATGAGGGTCTTACAAAGACCATAAAACTCGGTCATTTTCAGCAGCGGTTCCTGTGGAGACTCAGTGCCGCATGTCAAGCGAAAGTTATCTGTAAGCAACTTGCAGCGGCACTGCCACAAAGTGGACGTCAGCTAGTATTGGAGTTATTCTACGAAGTTTCTGCAGTGCCCCTGCAAAGTTTGGTACGCAAATGGCCCATTTCAGTGGTAGTGTCACAGCTACCACCGTAACGGGACAGACGAAAATTTGAAGCCAAGATTGAGACTTTGCCGCAGAACTAGGGATACACATATAAGATAAAAGGTATTATCCGTGCATAATTCCATAATGACGAGGTAACGTTGAATAAGAGAATGTAGCGTGCTGTTTTTGGCTATTGCTTTCCCAGAAGTGAATCGCTTTCTAAGTGCCTATATGGTCTTATCGGCTATCGTCTCTAGAAACATAATGCTCTTAGGTTTTCTAGTTGACTAGAGCTATGGTATGTTGGTAAGTCCGATTTTCTTCGCCTGAAAGCATCTCTTTCGGATTCCGTTACTTATCTCCGTCCGTTAGAATGCCAAGTAAGCACCAAGCTTCTAGAACAGTATCTCCTGATTTCGAATACATGCCACATCAACTGGAGCCATTGTGGCTATGGCAATAGATCATTGAATGAGTTGAAGAACGTTAGTCTCTACTCACGAATACACCATGCTTGGCACAACGTATAAACATTGGTACTCACATAAGTTGTATAACAACTATACGTTGTCAGTCGTGGCTGTGCAATAACCAAGAACTCACCGGATCAAAGTCGAATAGAGTCCCGGAGTCGTATATTTTTTAAGAATGAAGTATATAGCGTATCCAGCTTCAATATAAGAACAGATGTCCCCCAACAGTTTGAAACAATGATCATCACTACGGCCTAGATATTTACAAGCATGGAAATACTTCGCTTCTTGGTTGTCGTTATCGGTGCTACTCTTCTTTTTCCGGAGTATGCTCGGCCTTTTGATATTACTCAATCAGAATATGAAGACACCAACAATCACCTTTTAGCTCTACAAGATGTCATTATCGAACCTACATCTTATAGGGTCGATGCATACTCGGACTTCAATATCACCTTCAGACTTGCGCCATCTTATCAGACGATAACGCTTAAGTTACAACCGAGTCTTGATATAATAGCACCAGATGCTTACATTCGACATCTTGACAAGGATGGGCGGTCGGTACACGGAGGTCCAATTGAGAGGTCCGCGCATAAAGTTTTCAAGGGGATCGTTTTTGTCGAGGCCAAGGAAGGCAAGCTGAACGTTGGTTGGGCACGGATATACATGATAAGACATGGAGCAAAACCACTGTTCGAAGGAACTTTCACAGTCTATCATGAACAATACCATGTTCAACTTGCTTCCACCTATTCTCAGTTCACAAGAGGCCTGGACAGGCCGGGATTACGATTACGACATCGCGGTCCACGACAAGACGATTATATCATTGCTTATAGGATAACCGATGGAGATAATACCGAAACAAAACGATCCCAGGACGAAAGTATCTGTCGGGTGAATACTTCACCAGCAAGCACCTATGCGGACACCGAGACCAGCGAGTTAAACGATTCTCTTTTTACACGTCAGTGGGGTAGTCCCCAGTACAATGATTTCAGGGACCATATAGGCGGTACAGCAGGATGTCCGACATCGCATCGCACGGCTTTAATTGGTATTGTCACAGACTGCACATACACTGCATCATTCATATCAGCCGACGCCGCTCATCAAAACATTGTCAACGTGGTCAATTCTGCATCAGAAATCTTTGAGCGAAGCTTCAATATATCTCTCCAAATCCAGAATATCACAATCAGCGATCCAGAATGTCCGCGCACAGCACCGGATAATGCCCCTTGGAATTTGCCATGTGCCGCAAGTGATCTCCAACAACGACTCAACCTATTTTCATCGTGGAGGGGATCGATCAATGATGATCTTGCATATTGGACTCTGATGACAAGCTGCCCAACAGGAGGTGAGGTAGGTGTGGCATGGGTTGGTCAGCTTTGTAGCCCTCATTCCTCAAGATGGAACTCGCAATCAGAAACAGGGGCTAGTGTCGTGGTTAGAACTAGCACAGAATGGCAAGTTTTTGCGTAGGTGGTCCCGTCCTTGACAGATATTCTAGAATTGAGTACTAAGGCCCGTTGTATAGGCACGAATCTGGCCATATCTTTGGAGCTATTCATGATTGTGAGTCAAGTACATGCGCCAGGTATAGTGAAGGACAATGTTGCCCGCTTTCCACCTCCACATGTGATGCAGGTGGGAGATATTTGATGAATCCGGTTTCAAGTCGGCGGCTATCACAGTTCTCTCCGTGCACTATCGGGAATGTCTGTTACATGATGGGCAATAATTACATCAGAACCAGCTGTCTAAGAGAGGGTGGTAACAACACGACGTCTACAAGAAGCCAATGTGGGAATGGGATAGTAGAGCCTGGCGAAGACTGCGACTGCGGAGGGGATGACTCCTGTCAAGATGCTTATGGCAATTGCTGCAATGGAAGGACATGTGGATATACGAACAGCTGCGGGACTGATTCATCGGGTACAAATGACGGCGGCGATAGCAGTGTGCCATGGGTTGATGACCACCTGTCCCTGGTCATCGGGCTTGCCGCTGGGATCGGCGGTGGCCTGCTCCTTCTGATACTTGCTTGTGCTATCATCAGTTGCCGCCAAAGACAACTCAAACGCAAAGCGCGGCAGAAAATCATGCCTTTGGTTTTGGCTCAAGATATGAGGCCGGTAGTGGCAACAGTTTCTCCGCAAGCTGCCAGGCCAGCGACTCAGGTGTCAAATTAATGACTGAAATTGTATCTCCGTACATGTATGTACATACACTGTGTTCTCTAGAATCGGTCGCCAAGAAAGGTAAATGCTGTATGTTACATTAAGAATATTGAAATGGATAAAGAGGATAGAGAAGTAATACTACTTACCGATATATCGAGTGAATACTACTATGTAGTGGTATAAAAGGGCGACATTTAATTATTTCCAAGGAATGAACGTCTTGTATTATTCCTCAATGGAATGTTTAATGACGAAGTGCCCCGCCTGGCCATCAAGCATAAGACGTTAAGTTAAGTATTATTGCGCTCTACCACTACCCTAACCTTGTAAGTCTACAATTAGTTCAACTTGTAGTTAGTATTTGAAGGAATCTTGGAAACCTTGAACGGTGAGAATGTTGCTTGATTGAACTATTTAGTGAGCCCTATATAGGGTCGCCCAGATCACATGACACTAGTGAACACGGCGCCCAGCAGGAGCCACCGAGCTTCGAAGGGGGTGTCTAACATCATTACTGTATTATCTATTATTATTATCATCGACCTGAACAGCTTTCTCCACAGACTGCACAGTCAATAGATAATCAGAAAGCTCGAGACACGGAATCCGTGGAGATGTGGTGGAGCGGGACAGGTACGCCATCTCTCGCCCGCGAACAGTGCACCACCTGAAGATGTTTTGTTATTGGACCGGATAGAAGTGTCGGGGGAGGCGCAGTCGATCTTGTCCTGTACTCGTGTCGTCTCTGCAGGCCTTTCGGGATTGGAACCACCCACGAGTCGATCTCACGGTGAAACAAGGGACAGCCAGACATGCGGGTGAGAGAGATGGGGAGAAAGAGGGATGGCGATGGTTTTATGTTCCAGCCTGTCAATGGATAATAATAATAAGAATTAGCTCTGGGCTCTTGCAACTTGAAGTAAGTCACCATACAGTAAATAATCAGAGCGCTACTCTAGCGTTCCTCATGGGCCCGTTGAATGTGAGCCATGGAAGATCGTTGGGGCCCGTCAACGTGGTCGAGGCTTCCATGTCTCCAGCCTGGCCTCTACCATAGGAAGGAAAGGAGTCGTCGAGTCGACTTGGTGATACAGTTAATTAGTTGGCATAGACTAGACCGCTTGTTTGCTGCTCTCCTTTCACCTTTGTTGTCGACCGCCACTGGAATCCAGCATCCAGATCGCTCAGAATCGTTGGCCTCGTGGAGATTGAAAAGGTTCTTTTGACCCTGCGATTAAAATAGACCCGGGCCCTCGGCTTTTCCCCTCTCGTCCTAAGAATATCCCCAGCGGCATCTAACTACTACCATACACGCTTACTCTAACATCCACGCGGGATGCAGTGACCAGGCGATCACAGATCAACATTGCGCCTTCACTCCACCTCCTTTTCCATAAAGGAGAGCTTTCATCTCTGACGAGCTAGTCACGTTTCAGCGCTATCAGCAACTGGGCTACGAAACTCTCTTTTCCGTTGCCTCTTCCTTTATCCTATTATTTCTTTCTTTTTCCCTCAACAGAAAAAAAAAAAAAAAAAAAAAAAGAAAGGGCAAAAACAGGGAGAGATCGGCAGGCAGCAGCATTCACGATCCTACAAGTCTACACCCTCGCCAACTCGCAACTCGCCATTCAGGCTACGAACACCTGTCGCTATTAACCATGGAACTTATTTTCTGGATGATCAGCTCTCTGGTCCGCTGGGTTCGACTGAAGATATACCAGTACGAGGTCACCTTCGCGATATATATGCTTACTCCTACGGAGAAATTCATCTTCAGTATGTCGCACGTGCCCTGCTACTTGTCAATGCCGCTGGCGAATAGGAGGGAATCTTTTCGCGATTGCCGGCGGTCGCAGAATGCAGGCAGAGAGAGAGAGAGAGAGAGAGAGAGCCTTGATGCTAACGTTGTCTCAATTCACAGACTCGCTACTTTTGAGCCTCGTTACTCTCCTGTCCACCGCTGCTTATGTCTACCTGCCCGACCACGTCAAGAGCATTTGCGGCCACATCTACTACTACTGGGCTGGCGATCGCCCAATTAGCGACTACCTCCTGTCGCCATCTGCTCTGCTACGCGACAACACCACCAAAACTCTAGAGGTTATCTACGAAACGGCCCAAGGCGCGGCGGCAGCAGCGGCGGCGACTGTAAGAGTCGCGGATCTGTGATGGAATGGCTACACACGGCGATTGAGCGCTCTATGCTCGTTATGCTTTTCCGGCACGGGAGCTCCTGAGGGAGCTTGATTATAGTCGCGGATCCCATCGCCGTATGCGGTCGAGATACCACTTTCAGTTCTGTTCAGATGAGCGAGGGCGCTTGGGGGCGTTGTGTGTTTCAGCTAGACCGATTCTTTCCTTCACCACGTCTTGGGAGCAACTTGTGTTGATTGCATGGGAGCGGGCGCATGATGGATATTCCCTTTTGCCTTATTGTTATTGCATTGATACCACCGCAGCGCACTGAGCGTAATTTTTTTTTAAAAGCTTATTGAATATCTTACCTGATCCCATCGAGGTAACTAACTCTTGATGATTCTGTCCAATGTTCAGACTTCGACATGTGTAAATGCAGATGCAACCCGCGATGATACCACGAGGAAAGGAGAATTGTCTCAATTAAGAGAGATGTACATATAAGTCCCAAATAAAGAATAACTCCTGTAATGCCCAGAGCAGTGATGGTACATGTTGACATCCACCCTTTCACGGAACGGATGAACTGGCAGAACTTCCCCCTCTCATCCATGTCTTCTTTTCATCCTGCCATCATAAAATCATATCGTTCCTCTTCCTGTCTCATTTCTAAATCCCGACAAGTTTCCATATATGATACAACCCACATCCTCGAAGCGAATCCCTTTCAAACGCTGGGGATTTCTCTTCACTCCCGACTCTCCGCCTGCGCCTGTGCCAGCGCCTCTGCAGCCTCCCTCTCCCGCTGCCGTCTCTCGCGCTTCACACTGTCCACGAGCCGCATACGCGCCAGCTCGCGATCAATCTCTTCTTTGTCGGTGGGAATCTTGTGCGATTGTTCGGCGCTGGGCCAGAAGCCGGGCACGGAGAAGCGTTCTTCGAGATTCGTTCCGAAGTAGTACATCCAGCCGATGGGGAAGAGGATGTACATTCCGAACTAAATCATAATAATCAGTTTGGTTAGAAAATCGATGGGGAGATAGATAAATGGACGGATATGGGGGTTTGGGTTGGTTTGATATATACCTTGAAGACTTCAAGGTTGCCGCCTTGCAGCCTGCGGAGGATGGCGGACATGGTTGCTATCTCTCGAAGAGTGCTAGATCCGTTGATTATATTTGCGTCTCAAGTATAGATCAAATCAATAGGGAGATCCGGAGACTTTGCGGAAGAGAAGCTGAAGAGGCCGTTAAATCGATCCGGGGATTTCCCTTTTTTCTCTCTCTTCTTTTTGGATAATCGTAGTTGCGGTAGATAACTAGGAGCCGTTCCACGCAGGTCTGGAATGAATGTCGAATCTATGAGATAATGTATATATCAAATAACTGAAGCGTGAGTCCACCGCGATATCAATCACGCATCCGAGTATCGCAAAAGGGATCACTACTACTTCTCAGACCACCTCCGTTCTGGATCGCCGCCGCCAGTTCTTCCAAACGCCGAATAATCCGCGAGCTGATTGGCAAACAGAACAAACGCGCGGCAAGACTCGAAGATCACATGACCTGTCAGGGTTGGGGTCATCTGACCGCGCGTATCGAAGCTGCCGAGGTCCGATTTCATTATTAGGAGATGGAGATGAGATTGAGGAGCTTTGTGCCCTGCTCCGTATTGCAGCAGCTTGCTCAATTTAGTTGGGTTTATCCGAGAGATTTATCATCCTGAGTTTGATCATTGGGGGAGCTGGCATCTTCCGGGAGTCTAGTGATCTGTGATCTAGGTAGGCTGTTCGCTACTTGACTATTCGTTGCTCGTTCTGGAGTAGATCCCTCGGCTTTGGTGAGTATCGCTTGTAACCTTAGTCCAAGCGTCGGTCTTCACTACTGCAACGCATTTATCTGTTGATAAGCTGCCTTCTTCTACAGTACTGAGGTGTGCTTTTATTTGTGAACTTGACTCTCTCTGATTTCTTCATCGCTGGAACTACCGTCGAGCTTCCAGCTCATAACGCTACAACATGGCTTCCAACGAAGAAGTTGTCACTGTCAAATACCAGGACCGCATTGCCATAATCACACTGAACAATGCGTCGAAGCTTAATGCCCTTACTCAAGACCAGTACTCTCTCCTGGGAGAACGCATGCGCGAAGTCGCTGCAAGAGATGATATCTTCATCACCGTCTTGACTGGAACAGGACGATTCTTCTCAGCGTGAGTTTTCTTTTTGCACATCATGTAATGAATATAAAAACAAAAAGCTTAACTTTTTAATCTCATAGTGGAGCAGATGTGAATGCCAGCCGTCCTGGAGCTACCCTCAGCTCTACTGATCGTCGGGACGTTCTTCGCGGCTTCGTCGTGAACAATATCGACCTCACGCGTACTTTCTATACGCACCCGAAGATCCTCGTAGTGGCACTCAACGGTCCCGCTGTTGGACTCTCTGCTGCTCTGACTGCCTTTGGAGACTTCATCTATGCTGCTCCGCATGCCTTCCTACTCACGCCATTCTCGTCCCTCGGCCTGGTCGCTGAGGGTGGTGCTTCTCGTGCGTTTGTCGAGCGGCTCGGTATCTCAAAGGCCAATGAGGCCTTGATCATGAGCAAGCGCATTACTTGCGACGAGCTCGTCGCAACTGGCTTCGTGAACAAGGTTCTCACCCCTCAGTCCGGGAAGAAGGACGACTCCGACGGATTCCTGAAGCTCGTTTTGGAGGAAGTCGAGGAGCGACTGGGTGCGCATCTGAGCCAGACCAGTCTACTGAAGATCAAGGAATTGATCCGTCGGCCTGAGAGGGAGATTCTAGATCGTCAAAATGGTCTCGAGGCCTTTATGGGTATGGAGAGGTTCCTCCAGGGTATTCCGCAGGAGGAATTCAAGAAGATTGCGAGTGGACAGAAGAGACATAAGCTATGATGTAGGACTTGATCTGTCAGATCAGTCGGGTTGTACAGTACATATGTTGCTGCGTCTAGCAGGGGTTTCTCGATTGATTGTTTATGTCCTACCAAGGTACATGGAGACGGACGTCGTCGGGACTAACATAGCGGCATCGCCAGACGGCTGGCGTAGCTTCTGACCAATACATCCAATATGATTTCTGAAGCATAGGCCCTTAATGAGGACATAGAATACAAAAAAGAAAAAAGAAAAGCGTGCATCATATCTCATTCGCCCATCTTTTGAAACACCGAAATTTCCCTTTGAAAACATTCACCACTGGTCCATAATTCATTACCATACAAAAACATGTGCACATGCGAATAACTTAAGTGTCCGCCTTCAATGATGTAGACATCAATCATCATCCGCATCACTCCCTACTTCTTGATCTTCTTGCATTCTCTTAGCCAGAATATCCTGCCACTGGCCCATAAACTCCTTCATACCCCCTGGTCCCGCTCTGGACGCATCCACCACTTCCCGCGGTAGCTTATGCGCCGAAAACTGAGGTGTTGAGAACGCATACGCCTCTGGATCATCGCGCTGAACGAGCCGGAATTCCGGGAACAGCGGCGAATCCTCATGATCATGGACGGAATGAGCAGGATCAGGTGATGGAGGCTGCTCTGGCTCTTTGGAGTCCTGTTCTTCGGTCTTGGGTCGTGGTTCCGGTGCGAATGCAGCTACGGTCGTCTGGGATGGACGTATGGATAATCTCACAACGCCCTCTTCTAGACCTTCTTCTTCCTGCTCTTCGTGCTCGTCTTCTTTGATTCCTATCGGATCCTTCATGTGTAGGATCTCCATCCAGCTGAATAATAACGGATCCGTCCTGATTGCCCAGGGATTCACATCAATGAGCCACGCCCGCTCATGAGGCGGGGGAATGTATACGTCGAAGACGAAGTTCGGATCGGGAAATGTGTTCTTTAGTTTCTCATCGAAGAAGGTCTGGATTCTCGACCGCAGGGTGTCGCGGAGCGGGAAGAGGAAGTCGAAATGGTTGAGGTCTCGTTGACAAATGCATAGTAGCGTTCGATTACGCACGAAGCAGCGGAATTCCAGGGACGGGTTGAAGTTGACGTATTTGCGGAGGATGAGGTGGTAGGGAACCTGTGGAGGGTCGGGTGTTGTGGCTTCGACGTCTGGGACGCAGTCATCGAAAGCGTGTTCCAGGTCATGAGTGACGAAGTCGCTGCTCTTGAGCAGAAGATATATATCGTTGGCGGATTGGCATTGGAGATCATTTGTAGCTGTGATCCAGGTTGCGTCTTTCGGGGCGCTCCAGTTCAGTTTGGGAGTCACTTTGCCGCCGAGCTCGGCGATCGTGGCTCTGATCTGCGAATGGATTTCTCTCCACTCGGTAGATGGATCATCCTCTTCATCATCTTCATCTTCGGATGCTTCGGAGAAAGAGTATATCCCGCTGTCGTCGTCTGCGAGGCCGGATCGTGCGTTATCCTCTGGTGGGAGGACAATACCGTCCTGACGGAGGTATGAGAGGAAAGGATCGGTGAGAGGGATTAAACGGGCCTTTGGGGTTATTGTTCGGTATCTGTACCATATGTTAATATGATAGTATCCAAGGGAGAGTAACTGGATTGCTCCTACAGTGGGTGCCAGAAATGATATGAGCAATGGAGGATGTGGGAATGAGTAACTGGAGGAAACGGGAGAGTCTGCAGTTCGCCTGCAGACCCAGCGGCTTCTGACTCCATCAGCGGCATTACTAACTTCCTATCTGAACTGGTTCAATCTGACAGCCAGAAAGGATTAGAAATGATAGAAAAGAAAAAAGAATTAGTATGTGGTGCTCTTTCTCAGTTCCCAAGTTGAGTGCGGCGTTGAACCGGGAACTTTTTAAGCGGGGCAACTTTTTCTGATAGCGGCGAACAAACAGCTAAAGAACTCTCTAGCCAACTCTTAGCTCAGTCTCTAAACTAAGGAACGATATGACGCACCCCGATCGTTTCTAACTAGTTAACTGGATGTATAACTAATAAACAATTAGCTTTGCAACTTTGCCCTGTCGGAACTAGAAAGCCAGATTTGGTCCGTGCACCACGCGGTGCCTGGCCTCGAGCTTGTCCCGACCACGTTGCTTGTCGCGGAGATCGCCCTCTTACGCCGTATACCTGCAGTGCTCTTAATTGTGTGCGCTTGTCTTCTTCAAGATGGCTGCTGCAGAGACTCCAGATCCGCAGAGCCTGAAGTCATGGCAGGAGGCGTTCCAGTATCCTGTGCCCACCGTGCGGCGCGTCGAGCAGGAGCTGCGACGGGATATTGCCAGCAACAAAGAAAAGCTGCGTGCACTGGTCGGGTAAGTAAACGTTGTCTGGAAAACGTTGGCGTGCTCCTGTACTAAAAAAGTCACTGCTGTTACTAGTATGAGATATCGCGACCTCCTTGGAACAGCTGAGACGATTGTCGAGATGAGCGGAGAGATCGAGCAGGTCGACTCGCATTTGACGGACATTGGGCGGAGATGTAACCCCCGATTGATGGAGAAGAAAGCTGCGCATCTCACTCAGGTTAAGCGGGATGCATCAGGGATCGGTATGGTGATGGTATTGGCATGATAGTGGATTGCATCACTGACTGGGATCAGACGTAGAGAGTCGAGCTTTCGCAGCCCAGATGGCCTTACAGCACCGTTGCATCTCTGCAATCTCGAGACTACTCAGAAAAAGTGCCGCTCCTCTACTCGTTGTCAAGATAATCGTCATCGCCAGATCGCTTGACATAACTCTGTCGCAAAACAAAACAAAGCCACCGTTTCTGGAGACACTGCGGAACCAATTGATCTCCCTGAGAAGGACGATTGTGAAGCGCATCGATCGTCGTCTTACCTCTGTGAAATCTACAGCTGATGATATTATCGAGACACTGGCAGCGTTCTGCCTGGCAACTAGCTCGTCTTCCGAAGATGCAATTCGTCATTTCCATCGTGTTCGTCTGAACGCCATTGCCGCGCAATTGGACCTCTGCGATCCTTCAGGCGCAAACATCCTCAAGGCTCTAAGGCAGTATATTCGGACTCTCCAAATCACCAAGACGCTGTTTTCGCGTCGACTCTCTGATTCTCTGGGAAGGCTCAAGGCCCGGCCAATTTTGACTGATCCTGATGTCAGGAAGCTGGACGATCTGGACCTTGAAATATTCGAGCGTTGGGTGGCCAGCGACGTCAAGAACTTTACACCATGGATCAAACTCACCGACTTTCAGAAGTCTGACGCAGAGAAATCGATCAAACAGTGGTCGAAAGAAGCATTTGAAAGCTTCATGAAAGGCACACAGAAGTGCTTGAAGGATTTCCACAATTTCGCCGAAGTGATCTTACTCCGCAAGCAAGCGTTCGATATATGGCTCTCTGCTAGGAGCTCGACACCCACGCATTCGTCTTTTAGCATCTTGGAGGGTCTTCGCAATCTGTTCAATGGCCAGTTAACGGCGATTATACGCGCACAAGCAAGGAACCTGGACTCCATTGGAAAGAAAGCCTCGTCACTGGTTACGGATTGGGATAATAAAAATCATGACCCTGCCCAGTCACTTTGGGATCCTGCTTTGACCTCGCTCGACTACTCAGGAGGTGCTTCAACTTTCAAACAGGCGGTTATGGATGTCCTGCTAGGCCGCGACTCTGATATCTCTAGCATTGAGGAGAGCTACCATGCTTGGAGGAGCTCAGTGGAGACTACCAGAAACTTGGTAGAGGAGCTAAAGCGAACGCGGTGGGAGGACACCTTTGACGAGGCAGAAGACGAGGACACGGCGGTCGACCCGGCAGCCCTTCTCAATGAGGATGATCCTGCCGTTCTACGGGAAGAGCAGAATTCTGCCGTTTCACAAGCCTTCGTCGACCTGCAATCTTCCTTCCGCGATATTGCCAGAAGCTTCGGGGCCTCGAGCCAAAGTGAAAAGGCTGCATTCATGCTCCGACTCATTAGAGATATCCGACGAGATGCACCTGACGATTATCTCGATGACAATTTCATTTTCGCGCAAGAAATCGTGCCAGGACTGCAGGAGACTCTTGCTACTGCAGTTGCTTCGCAAGTCAATCCATTGACTATCAAGCCGCAGCTAAGTGGACCAGGCCAAAAGGTTCCTGGCCGTACGCTCTGGAAAGGAGAACCCGAATTACCAGTACAGCCTACCCCGGCGATTTTCAAATACCTCCGACGACTCAATGCTGCCATGGATCACTACGGTCCCGATCTATGGAACCCTTCTTCTGTAGCAGTGTTGAAAACGACACTCGTCAAGCATACAGCAGAGTCACTTCAATCTACGTACAAGTCTCTAAGTGCCACGAATGAAAGCGCACCAACTTCGAGTCCTCCCTCAGATAACTCGAATTCCGAAGACTCGGAAACCAAGGAACAGAGCTCTAAATCCTCCGAGTCAAATGATCCATCACCATCTCCTCAGCTACTTCGCGACTGGAAGATCCAACTCATATTCGACTCTATATACCTGCAGAAAGTCCTCGCGATCAAGGAAGTCTCAGAAGGATACAAGGATGAATTGTCTGCAGTCGCAGAGAAGATCCAAGCCGACGTAGACCCGAAGAAAGAATTCTCCAAGGGTCTAACGAAAGCTGCTCAGGAATACTGGAAGCGCACTGAGTTGCTTTTCGGATTGCTGGCTACTTCATAGGTTGGCTCAAGGATTCCACATGGAGAGAAGAGTTTATACTGTATATAGAATTTTTAATATGATATCATGACATTTTTCTGAAAGAGAGTTTTGTCCCTAGTTTATTAAATCGCAAGAATTCTTATTCATCAATGCGATAAACAACCAAAATATACCCGCTGAACTGTCTACGTCATACTCAGTGAACAACTCCTTCGTACGCTATCATATCTAAACTATCTATTAGTTATCTGATCGCAAAGTACACACATGGTATTGATTCTCGAATTGGACTCGTTGCAATCAGATAAAGAGATCGTAGGACCAACGTAATGCTCGTTTGGATATTGGAACTGTCTTAACAATGACATACACCCACGCATCACAGAGCTTCACATGCTCTGGCGGGTATCCGAAGACATACTGACTCTTCTAGCCCTTCGATGCCTTTTTCCTCTTTCGCCCCTGCCTCTTCCATCGTCCTTTTCAAAAAATCTCTTGCTCTCTTTATGTCCGTCGGCAGGAGGTCTTTGCTTGTTCGTATTCCGGGTTTTCCGACGTTTAGCAGCCTGTCCACTTGGGCTCTTATCAAATACCGAGCCCTACAAGGTATTTGCCAGTTTCCAAGAATCGAATGCCTCTGTGTCAGCATGGCCGGGCGTAGGATGCGCCCAGACAGAAGCTAGGTCGGGGACTTCATAACGTCAGATCCTCCCGCAAGACCGGCGGAGTCGATCGAGTGGTCGGCTATTCACGAGGGTTCTCTTTTTCTGTATCCATTGATGAATGTCTCCCACTGTCAACCGCCCACCTTTCCCTCTATGCTTGCTCACTGTCGGGTACGAGGGGTCGTGTTTATGGAACGAGAAGATAGGACTGAGAGATGTCACGGATAGGAGTGCTGCGATGTCTGTACTTCCATCTGCGGCGAGGACACCAATACTGTCTTTCTTGGAGTCTGTCAACTTGTTCGACTTTGCCGGTGGCATGAAGGATTCTTGCGATAATTGCATGAGTCTCGAGAAGGATCGGATCCGGAAGTTCGTATCGACTATCGTGATTAACAAATTTTACCTTGTTATCCCTTTCTTTTAGGATCCAAGTGTCTTTATGGTTGGGTTTATAGTTCTTAATCTTGTATTCATGAGTTTGATCGGTAGCTTCGAAAGCAATTGCAAACTTGCTAAAAAGGGTATGCAACGATTTGTCCATGGTCATGGCATTCCGCGGATCATTAATAAAGTGTTAGGTAGATCCAAACCTATGCAACGACGGGAAGTATCTGTCCAACGTCACCCAAATTTGGGATTTTAAATAATATTCTGAGTCAGAACGCCAAGTCCCCATTGAAAAGAGGATAATATGCGCGCATTCGGTAGATGTTACGATCTCACCTGCAATCTCTAACTGGGAATTCTCGTCAGGCAACTTGGTGAGCACGCGGCTATAATTATCTCTCGATAGGCATGCCTTTCTTAGCCACTCCTGCTCGTTGCGAGTATAAGGCTGTATTAGCTGCGAAGCGATCTCCTCAATCGAGTCCTCAAGTCCAGGGCGCGAGGATGGAGTAATAGTCTCGGGTGTCCGTGGACGCGTCAGCATTGGGAATAGTACTCCGTCAGAGAGAGAACTCTGCAATTCATTGTTGTGGGTTTTGGGCATTTTGAACTCTGTATTAAACCAGAAAAGAACGTGAATCAGCAAGTTTTTCACGATGGGCCCATGCCTACGGCACATGTTAGCGAATAGACCAAAGTCTGGGAATAGTTCCTTCGCCATCGCTCCTGTGAGCCGCTTAAAGCATTACTTATATTGGTCATTACTAAACCTTGCCAGGAAATTCGGTCTGCGGTACCATATCTCAATAGACTGTTCTAGCAGTACCGGCTTTTTCAACCGAGGCCAGTGTACTTCGAGCTCTTCGCTTTCCTCGTTGTAGATGAAGTCTTTTGCCGTGACGCCGTAGCGGTATGGCCATTTTAACTCCGGCACGCAATTATAGTCCTCTAGATCTGGGTAAAACAGTTTGGTAAGGTCACTCTTCAGGCGAGGTATAGGAAACTTAATAATCTCCTTAACATCCTCCGGCGTGGGAAGAGACTTCTGTTCGCCGAAGACTCCGTTGAACCACAAGTTAAATTCATTGATCTGGGAAAAGAAGAATTGAGTGCGTCAGTATGGACGAGGCTCAAAATTCCCTTATGAGAGAAATAGAAACTCACAAAGTCTAAGCGACAGCTGCTGGCGGCATATGCGTTATTAATGGTGAACTTAACATTACCCCACGGCGTACTGTTAAAAGCCACCTAAGCGTTAAAGAGTGTCCGGTTCTGTATAACAGGCCACCACTTATCATTATTCTTCAGGTTGATCACCACTTTGGTTCGGATGAATTTGATAAATTCTTTCACGCTTTTATACTTGCCTTGTCCTCTTTCTCGGCCCAATTGAGCCCACGCTGAGACCACTCGATTGAATTCTTCGCCCTGTGTCGCATCCTTTTTCGCAACGAACCGGTTCGCCCGTAGATAAACTCGCAAGTTATTGCAGATCACTATCGTTCTCACGTGATTTGATGTCGTCCATTATATGCACTAACCCATCCTCCAGTAAGTTATCAAGAAACGCTCGTAATCATACTGTTATCGTATCATCGTTTGAGTCTTGCGGTGCGTAATTGTCAAGCTTGAATAGGCACTCTTGCTCGACTATAACCGGATTGTTTGAGCTGATAGTACTCAGGGTATCACTGCAGACATCCTGGGACTCTGCTGCCATTATTATTGCCGGTTGGTTAACAGAAAAGCTGAAAGTGAGATGCAAAAATGATAGAGATGATGTGAGCGAGGGAGTTCGAAAAGAAGTCCAACACGAAGTTCAAGATGAAACTGAAAGCTCAAGATGGACCAAGAGATAGACTGAAATAAAACAAGACGAGGAACCAAGGGAGACGAGAGAGGAAGCAAGAGAGGAAGCAAGAGAGAAAGTAGGAGATGGGAGGGTTGTTCGTGGGGTTTCAGTCCCGCTTCTACCAAGAACTGTGGTATACAAGCAGTGAAGGGGACGAAAGCAGGTGCAGCATTAACTCACTACTAGGGAATCAACCTCTGTAGCAGCGTTGTAACTACCAACGAGTGAAGGAAGAAGCAAAGAGATAGAGATATCATCCAAAGAGCATAGATGGCGTCTGTCGGCCACTCTTGCCCGGACCCGCGGGGGATCGACACAACGTCACGCCCGGACCAGGAACGCTTCGCCGCGGACAAGTCACGGGCGGCCGATTGCAACTCCCATCTTGCATCCTCCATCTCCCAATGCTTTCTCTCTCTTTATCTCTCTCACCAGATAGTTTCTCGTCATGACGGCACCAAGGCTTCCCTTCCTATATCCAAACATCGTCCGATCCCTACGGTCGTGCGAGCCAGCAACGTACCGCTCTCTCCGTCCTCGTTCCCGCAGTCGCTTTCCGCGCGCAGATTTCCATACGAGCCAGCGATGCGAGCAAGAGACCTCATACCACCGCCGCTACGGTCCAGCTGTGGAAGCTAAACTGCCTCCTCCAGAGCGGCCAAAGGCCAAATCTGGGGACCAGTCTTCGCGCGAGGCCTCGTCCCAAAGGGACAGCTCGCAGGACCAGCGGAGTGATGCTCAACCGGAACGAGCGCAAGCGCAAGATTCTAACAAGACAACTGAGAAAGGACAATCCGGTCAAGAGAAGAACCCGGCAGTTGATGCAAGCTCGACCAATCTTTCAGCCGAACTCCCACCTCAGGAGAATGCCAACCCGGATGAAGACGTAGATGATGTCGAGAACAGTGATCCTTCTCTACGACAGCGCAAGGATGAGGCGCGCCAGACGCAACCTGCCTCTTCTGACGACAACCCTCTACAAGACGTCTTGCAGATGCCTTCGCCTTCCTCTTATTTAACTCCATCTGGAGTCTCCGCCGCCAATGGCCAGAAGCCGCCGCATCTGACACCACCCCCATACGTCCATCATTTCGACACATATAGCTTGGTGCGGGATCTGGCAAAGAGTGGCTTCACAGATGAGCAGTCAGTTACGATGATGAAGGCGATCCGTGGTATTCTGCAAGACAACCTTGAATTGGCCCGGGAAAGCCTGACCTCCAAGTCGGACGTTGAGAATGAGTCATATCTGTTCAAAGCTGCCTGCTCGGAGCTTCAGCAGTCTCTCCAGGCCTCCAGAAATGCAGAGATCCAGCGCCAACGCACTTCCAGGACTCAGCTACAACATGAAGTGGACATCCTATCACAACGCCTGAACCAGGAACTGACGGGTCTCAAAGATGACCTGAAGGGCATGTTCAACGACCACAAGATGACGACAAGGGAACTCCAGCGGAGTCTGGACACCGCAATTCAAGAGCTGAACTACAAGATCACTGTATCGCTGAATAGCGACGGAAAAAGTGAGGCTGAAGGGTTAAGATGGATTCTTACCAGAAGAGCAGCGATGGCAATCGCCACAAGTGCTAGTAAGTAGCCTTCCCCTCCACCCCCAATCATTCTTACACGGAGTCTGACATCCTATTTAGTTATGATCATCCTCTTCCTCCGATACTATTCCTATAAGACTAGCCAGAAAGAGTCCAAGAAGGCCAAAGAAGCAGCTGCGAAAGAAGCCGCCGAGACCGAAGTCAAGGACACTGGTGTGCAAACGGAAGCATCAATCGCGGAACAAGTCGCTCCCGAAATCCTAGGATAAGGGCCTACAACAACTGCAACGACCCTCGACCATTCCTTACGTTAATTAGATCGCCATACTGTACATGGCATCATTCATCCATCCCTTCCATTAGAGCCCCCAACAGATCACCATTCTCTGTATCACGCACAGCGGTTTTTTCTTTTGTCATGTCACTGTACGTCTAGAGCGCACCTGAAACATGCACGCGCTACTGTATATGGGTCATTTTCCGATACCCCCGAGTTATTCTTTTCTATATTACTGTTATTAACATAGTTCACCACATCATCAATAGAGATGGCACATCACGTGTAAAAAGTTATTATCTTTTGATTTATCTCTCCTTTACATCTGCCCGGTCGACGCTTTCTGTGATAGATAATGCGGCCTTGTGATTTAAGACGATGTATCTATCCATCGATGTGAAGCCCAGATGGGAATGTCTGACTAATTAGCTGGAGAGACATAGTTCGAATATTATTAAATACATTCATCTAAATAAATTATCTTGACATGTAAAATCTGTCTTTCTTGGTTCAGTCATGTTCTTTCCCTCATCAGGCCCAGCCCGTTGTGAGCCCACATGCTAGTTATATAAGACCGTTTCACAATACCATACATCGCGACAGAGTATATCTTGAGGAAGAAAAAAAAAAGAATAATAATAATAAGAAAATTCGAAGAAGGTCCGGAGGATCATCGTTATTAAAATGTCCCCTGGAGAAAGTAAGTAGCGTAGGACTAGAAATCCATCCGTAGGGCGATACTGGGAGCGCTCTTTTTCTCCTCAGCTTCTGACACAGCCGCTCCATTGGGCACTTGGCCTTGTGTAGCTCCGACGCTTGTGCTTCGAAGAATCTCCTCGGTAAGTCCCCTCTGATCGGGACTCATGCTCGCTACAAGAGCTCTGAAGGTCATTTGGTCGACCTTGGCCAGCTCAAGGAGTCGGGCTGCTGTTTCTTGGTAGACGCCTGGTCCTTCGCGTTTGGCACGGACGAGGAGGGTTGATACAATGAGAGCAACAGCATTGGGTAGCCCATCACGCGGAACAGCTGCACTGGCAGTGTACGAAACCAGAGCATGTGCGATTGCAGGGCGGCAATTTTCCGGGTCATTTGCAACGTCTCCCTCATTTATCGGTGTTCCGACGACGAAAGCAATGAGCCGTGGAAAGAGATAGCGGATCATGACTTCATCTGTCGGAGATTTTGGACCCGGGGAGAGCAGGATGGACCGGAGACACCCAGCCACAACGGTCGCAAGGCCAACATCTTGGAGACAGTCAACGAGCTCCTTGAGGGTGCGTACAATGAGAGGATCCTGGGGTGGGATGGCGTGACTGCTTGTTGTGAGCAGTATGGTGATGGCTAACAGCGTGTTCTTAGCGCAGGGCAGGGAAGTGTCAGACTCGCGCCGTTGTGCGATAGTGAGCGTCGTGAGGAAACGGGTAAGGCATCCACGTATCTGGAGCGAGAGTGCTTGGAGGGTCTCCGGAGAGAATGAGCCACCCTGCTTAGGCTGGGTTATGCCTTGGATGAACCGTCTGAAGATAGGTAGCGCCTGAGGGACAACCTCAGCCTGGCATAACCCTGTAGCTAAGATGGTACTGAAGATGTGTAAGATGCATGCGTTGAGATCGTGGCGAATTATCGACGGGAATATGGCGGCCACGTCGACCAGGGAAGTAAGTGCTAGACGGACAAGAACTAAGGCATCATCGGATGTGACCTTGAACCGTGCATGAGGCGTGCTCTCGCCCAGATTTGGCAGCAGGCCAGCAATAACCAAAATGATGGTCCGTGTCAGCTCGAACAACTGCTCGATGTCGTCCGAGAGATTTTCGCTACGGTCTTGACCATCTTTCGCAACGAGGTGGTCCAATGCTAGGTTCCTGGCTATTTCGACAATAACTGTTTGGATGTTGATGCCTTCTGTCAGAACCAGACGGTCTAGAGTGTCCATAGTTTCGAAGAAAACAGCATCCTGGTACACAGCATTTCCAGAGACGACAGGCCGCAGTATCCTCTTCAGAGCCTGGAGGATTTCTAATCGCTGAGATGTCAATAGTGACTGGTCAACGAGAGCCTCGAACGCAAGTCCGAAAAGCACGAAGAAGAACGCAACCGGCTCGTCACGATAGTTGATATCATGTCCCTTATCGGCTTTCCCGTTGACGAGAGTATCTTCATCCTGATCGGGCTTCTCAGGATCAGGCTGTTCGAACTTCCCGTCCAGAGCGTCAAAGACGAACTCGCTGTCCTTCTCTACGAGACTGGCGATGGCGTCCACGAGGTTCAACCAGGAATCTTGATAAAACTACGGAATACCGTGAGCTTATGTCCGATAAAGCAGGTGTATGTAAGGGTGTGCATACCTTCAACAATGTCTCTCTGTTCAATGCTGCGTAAACCTCATCCAGGTCGCCGGAAAGACTTGTTCCCAGACTACCGGAAATATCGGGCTCAAAGCGTAACCGCGCAAATTCCTTCAGGGAAGATAACCACAGCGGCGTAAGTAAAGCTAGATAAGGTTGGACTACCGCCGTCAGATATTGCTGCTCATTACTAGCCATCTGCAATCGTGCCCAGGCAGAAAATAGAGCCAGCTTGACCATGACTCGAGCGTTGGAATTGAGGCCTTTGAGATCCCCAATCTCCGTTGTTTTGGGGTTTTCTGCGAAAAGTCAGAGGTGTTTTCGATGTACTTTAATAAGGGACAAAGCATACTCGCAAAGTTCTCCAAACCAACAACAAGAGGCCTGAAGATTCTGCCCATCCTATCGACATTTGTAACAATCCCTGTGGCCACGAATGTAGCACAGACATTGATAGCCTCCGAAGCTAGCTCTGGCGACGAATCTGCCGCAAACGCTGGAGTGAGGGCTGAACCGATCTGCGCTTGGTACTGCTCAAGAAGCGAGGCCTCACTGAAGTCTGGATCTGGAGTTTTACCAAACATCTTCCGGGCGCGTCAGTTTTATCTCTCATACCAAAGGAGGAAAGACATACCTTCAAGACCCTATCAATAATTTGAAGACCAATGACACGCAATTCAACGACATTAGCGGTGGAGGCCGAGAAAGCCATTCTGACGACTTCTCCCACTTTCCGCTGCAAAGCCAATTCTGCAGGGATGGTTTGATCTGGCAGGAGTTCGTCATTAACCATTTCGAGGAGCTCCTTAAGACACTTCATAGCGAAGTAACGTGTCTGCCACTTGAGCAATTCTTGACCGACGGTCGTTTCGGCAGCAGAGTCTGCCTGCCCGTCACCTGCAGCTGCAGCTGCAAAGCCTGCAACTTCATCGTCCGGCAAGTCCGGTGCGGCACTTTTAGGAATAGCTGTCTGCGGTATATCCTCGACCTTGAGCCGTGTTTTGGTCAAGACGCTTTGACACCGGTGAACCCACAGCTCCGTATCAGTGAGTGCAGTTTGTTGCAGCCAGTTGCGGATCATGCTCCGAATGGATTCGTTTTCAGGGGTATCGTCGAACGCCAGCCACAGCTCATCTTCAAAGCTGTCACTAGCAGTCCGAATTACAGACTCGGCATCACGCTTCATAAGATTGTTGAGTCCTCGAATGGCTGCGTCTCGCATAAGTGGGCTCCGCGATGAAAGCTCACGCTGAAGTCGTTTGACGTAACCTGCGAAGTCAACGTAGGCAGGAGCATAGAGGGAAAGATGGTCCAGGCACTTGGAACTTTGTGTGACAAGAGCTGGATTCTCCTCTAGCTGGAACTGCCTAACCAGGGTGAAGATGAGATTGCGGGTTTTCGAGATCTCTTGCAAATCAGGGCCGAGAACGTTGATGAGTGAGTCTACACATCGACTGACGCCTACAGGCGTAGGGAAGACCATTTCAATGTTGGATGTCGCCAGCGACGCCGCCTCCTCGTTATGTGTATCAGCGATATAGAGTTGAGCCAGCATTCCGAGGGTCCCCGATACATAGGCTGAAAAGGTCAAACCGGCGGAGTCAACGACCCTTTCAAGGCCGTCTAATGACCAGAAGTGCACGAGTGGGTGAGGATCATTGCATAAAGACATTAGGACCCCAATGATTGTCTTGAGATGAAATCCGGCTGCCATGCCGCCAACCTGCGAATGGATAGAGCCCAGAGCCACAGCACAGCCTGCACGTGTGTTAGGATCTCGATTTTCCACAATCGTATCTATGAGCCAATTGATTTGAGCGCTGGTCAAAGTGTTGCCGGAACTATTACAGAGTCGACCAATCCCTTCAAAACCAATAGTGCGAACTATAGGATCGGGATCGACCAAGAATTTCTGCTGATCATGAGCCAATGCGTATACAGGATGAGAGAAGGTAAATACCGACCTGCAACAGTTCCTGGAATATTTTCTCAGATGCTGCATTGAGCTCGCCACCTGGGCCATCCGACTCTCGAATTGCGACCTTCAGAGCATGAAGTAGCGCTACTCCAACATTGACAGTAATGGCGGCTTTTCGACCAGGGTTCCTTTGAAGATGTGGAGAGGAAAGGAGCGTGGCAATTTGTTCTACGCTACTTTCTTGAACCTTAGGCGACTGTAGAGGCAGAGCGAGAGCAAACAAATTCACGGCAGCATTCACGACTTCCGTTGCGGCTGGATCAGCACTGGAAGCATTCCCATCTTGTGCGCAGTACAAAAGCACGGAATCATGTTCGCTCGCTTGGCAGATTGGGAATGTCAACTGGACTCGATCAGTATCATAACTCCAGGCCCACAGTCAGAATTGAAAAGAAAGATAAAACTCACCACATCATCGATGGCTTGATCTGCTGATTCAACCGCAGACCGCGCCGGTACAGTGTCCTTCTGCCGTTTTCCAGATAACGTCTCAGTTACGTATGAACGAGCGAGACCAGTCACACCAAATCCGAAATTATCGCAGAGATCCCACAAGTTGTCAAAATGAGCAGGTGAACTTGCAATGGAACTCTCGACCGGTTTTGCATGGGTGATGTCAGGCTCTGCAAAGGACGAGATCGCAAGTCCCAATAGTCCTGATTGCGAAATAACGTCCGTGTGGCCCGGATGGTTCAGGGTGACTAACTTCGAGAAACACTGCAAAACGCGACGACGCATCATTGTAGCAAAGTCGTGCAGTTGCAAAGATGGAAATAGCCGCTGAGAGATATCATCCATGGCCTTGGGGCGCGGGAGACCTTCAAGGAATGTGATTGTGTTTTGGAGCATTGATGCGATGCGCTTAGACCCATCCACAGTGACCAACTTGCTATTATATTCTAGGAACACTAGGAGAGAACCTAGAGCACACTCTCTCACATGTGCTAGAAAGCTCATTTCGAGGGTACCCCGTTGAGACGTATTTTCCTTCCCAATGGGTTTAGGAAGTGCGTTCTTCCACAGCAACATTAACTGGGACAGATGGATCTTGACAAAACTGGGACCCAGAGGCATTAAACCTCCGATCAAGATCCATGCCACTTGGATCTGAGTGCTTGCAACACGTAGCTCCGAACTGCTACTGATCTTTAGTAGTTCAGTCGCCTGCGACAGGACGCGGGAGAAGACGTCAACCGAACCATAGAGCGGCTGCAGACGGGATGTGCTTAGCATTGCCGAGAGTCCATTTGCAAAGCCGACGCAGCGACGAGCCGACTGCCTTGGCGTCGACAGCTGCCCGATCTCTCTGTTAAGACTATTTAGACAGATTGTGACACAAGGGAGAAGTTGATGAGGACAAGCAAGCACAAAGCTGCGCAAGCACTGTGCAGCATGGATCTGCACGGTATAACTCGGATGAGGTAGGACTTGCAACAGGGCTTCCCGACAGGTCTCTGCAAAAGGCGTAATAGCTGGTCCCAAACCAGTGATCAGAGACGTCAGCGCACTCAAGGCACTAGTCAGAGCATACTTGCTCGGTTCCCGACGTTGGGGGATAACCTGAGGGTAATCCTTCAGGACCTCGTTAACCAGCCACTTGGCAGCGTTCAGCTGGCTATTCTCCCGAAGAGACTCATGGCCCACTGTATCTTCCAGGATACTTTTTATGAACTTCCTTGTCATCAACAGGCGAAAACGATTGTAGGTCACTGTAGGATGGTTCAACAAATCGAATATGAGATGAGTTGCGATTTGGCCATATCTTTCCTCCACAACATTGTCACCGAGGTTGCGCACCACATGTTTATAGCAAACTGCGATTCCAGCCCTCGCATAGTTTCCAGTCGAGCTCTTCAAGTACTGGGTAGAAAGCTGCTTGAGCAAATCGGGTAGGGTGAAAGACAGCCGAGGCTCTGTTTTTTTGGTGACAGGAGACTCGGGTACTGGAGTCTCCTCTTCTTCGTCACCAGAACGCGGCGCCGGCTTCTTGGACTGTCTTTTTGGCTTCTTGATCTTAGGAACAGGCTCGATTCGTACTTCAGGAGCGTGCGCCTTGACCAATGCTCTCGCTAAACAAGCAGCAGCTGCGTGCCGGACCGGAGCAACGGGACTGTCGATAGCTTTCCAAACGACTGATTTGAGATTATCAAAATCATTTGCATTGTCAAAGTAAGGTGTGTTCTTGACGAGTTGTTCCAGACATCGGCACGCGTTCACCTGAACCAACGTTGCCTTGTCGCCAGATGCAGCGTTCCGTGCCTGCTTCCAGATATCTCGCGCCGTCTGTTCGTCAATCGCAATACCGATACCAACAATGACTTTTCGCAAAACAGTGAATATAGAACCACGGAGGCCAGTATGATTGCTCGAAGACTTCAGCAGCTTAAGCAGGCTAGAAGCCACGAGGCTCGATTGACCAATTGCGCTTTCTCCAGCGGCAGCGAACACTTCTCCCAGACAATGTGCGGCGGCGAACTTTGTTTTCAATTCCGCTTCGCTTTTTCCAGCATTGACGATCCCAAGTAGCTCACTTATACTGTCGTATAGTATACCACGATCTCCCCTTGCAAGTATCACGTTGAAGCATCGTCCTATGTTGTTGCGGAGAGCTCGAGTTAGCGTCGGGGATGAGAGTCTGAGGATCTTAAATAATTCCTTCTTCAAGGATTGTTGCTCTGAGCATAATTGTGTCTTTTCGAGTCCGGAGACATGCTGCACTAGATCCGATGTAAAGGTGAGAAGGTATAGATCCTGCTGTTCTGAAGGGAGCGCGTGCAGCTTAGGGACGTCGAGTTCGGCGTGGGGTACGGCACTGTCTGAGCCCCCGGACGACGTTGTCGTAGCGGCGCCGGAGGTCGACATTGATTCAAAGTATCGAAAACAGGCGCTACCGGGAAAACGCCTTTTCGACTAAGTATCGTTTCGTTTGTGGTAAAATGGCTGTATCGACTTTGTTGTTTCATGTAGTTGCGCAGTTGTGTCCTCATCTCCGTCCGGGGGCGGATAATACTCGGCCCGATACGTCAACTATGAAGCTCCGCGTCGAACTCCGCGGGAATAATCTCTGGCCGGGAGTATGTAAAGAGTCAAGACGGTCAATAGCGGAGATGGCGAGCAAGCTTGGGCTGAGGTTATTTATGCGGCCCCAGACAGGGAGACAATGGGTCTGCGACTCCTGTCGTGCGTTCAGCACATCCACGCCTCTCTTCTCCGGCCATTCGCGATGGTCTACGATCAAACATGATAAGGCGAAGAATGACAAAGCAAAAAGCAAAGAGCGCGCGATCATCTCCAAGGAGATAATCAATGCGTCACAAAGTGAGTCTCTGAATTTCGCCAGATATAACCCAGGCTAAGCACGATTTACAGTGTGGGGTCCTGATCCCAAGTTCAATCCCCGCTTGAATCTCGCAATCACAAATGCAAAACGAGCCGGCCTTCCTAAAGCGTCAATTGAAGCTTCCATAGCGCGTGGGCAGGGAATAAGCGTATCAGGAGAGGCTCTTGAACCGGTTACAATCGAAGCGATGCTCCCCGGGGCAGTCGCAGCGGTTATAGAATGTCTGACGGATCAGAAAGCGCGCGTGCTGCAGGACGTGCGCTTCATCATCAAAGATGCCGGAGGAACAGTGACTCCGACGACATTTCTTTTTGAGAAAAAGGGAAGAATACTCTTCGAACACAAAGACGGTTTGAATCCCGACGACTACCTAGACCAGGCTATCGAGGCGGGAGCTACCGATATCGAGACCGACGATGAGGGACGTCTGGTGATGTTCACTGAGCCCACAGAGACGAAGAACGTGGGAGAAACATTTACGAAAGCAACAGACCTCAAGATTGAGAAACTAGAAATTATTTGGGACCCGAACAAAGACACTCTGGTCAAGGTAGAGAATGAGAAGGATGTCCAACAACTCGAGGACCTGCTGGGAGACATACGCGAAGAACCGAGCATCCACGGAATATACCTGAATACGGCTCAGAAATTCTAGTTCAAACCAGCACCCCCGGACGACTCGTTACAGATACTCCGATATGAGCAGCGGAAAGATCGCAAAGGACGCGTGACACTTTGCAAGCTTGGTTTGAATGTACAGTGACTTGTATTATAAGAAATGTATGATATACGAATAGAGAACAGAATTAGCCAACCTGCGCCTTTCTCGTGAATTTTGACTGCAAGGAGCAGCTTTCTGAAAGAATAATCTCTGGTATGCTAATATTCCGCACTCTAACGCCTCTCGCGTTATCCAGTAGCTGTGATTCGCCTGCAAGAGTTGTATGGATGAAAGTCATAAGCGCAAAACCATACACATCGGCTATCATCCCTCGTTTCTCAAGGCTTTCATAGTGCGTCTCATTAACTTTGCGATTCCTTCGCTCCCAACCCCATCCAACCAGTCCAACATCTGAATCCGATATTCTTGCCATGTGATCTTTACTCCTCCATTCTTCTCCAGTGCTGTCAAAGCTTTCTGGGTGACCGGTTTTTCCAACCTGGGCTGGTCCTCTGCCACCTCCTTTTCCTCTTCAAGCTCCGCAAAACAGATAGCGGACATAAGGCACAAGGCAATGTGATGACTCAGAGAAAACATCGCAGGGGTGGTATAGTGAAAGGCGTCCTCACGTGCTCTGGTGCGTCCTGCCTCATTCAAGTCATGAACATACTCTGTCAAGGCCTTTACTGTGGCAGGGTGGATCAAGCAACCGAGAGCATTTGGGTCTTCTGTGTTAAGGCCTCGGTTTCTCCATATCAGATTACAGATATCCATAATGTAGCCATTAAACCTGCCTAGCTCTTCTGGCGGATATAGTACTCCCGAGGGTACTTGGGACTGGAGCTCCTGTGAACTTAGCGAGGCTTCAAACGCAGCCTTGTAGTCCGCTAGGGCGGAGCTTAAGAGGGAAATGTGCGTAATTGTGGGCGTAAAGGTGAGACTGTAGACGGTCGGCGGAAGAGGAATCGTGAGGCGAATATTGCCGTTTAGAGGGGCGTGAGAGAAGACCTTTGCCAGAGTATTATAGAAGTCGACGACGGCTAAGGTTGCTGATTTCGGCCTGCTGGCATCCTTCTCGAACCCAGATGGATGTTCTAGGATGGACAATGCCAGCAACTCCGTGTGCGTTATCAGCCCTGTCAAAGGAGACGTCTCTGGTCGGTTTGAGACAGACTTCTGCGTTCTGAGAGATGAACCCCATTGACGAATGAGCGAAGAATAGAAATTAAGGATAGTGACTTTCGAGGAGACGGTATAATCTAGCACCGCATCCTCAAGAGGACGAAGGATGTCTTCTTGCAGTTTCTCAAAATGGGCGATATCTAAATATTCGAGAATTCTCAGGATTTCAGTTCGGTTATCCGTTCCATTCCATAAGTCGATGTATTTTCTGATGAAGGAACGGATTGCGGATGGAATAGTCTGCTTCCTGTTAGCCAGGCTCTCACAACGAAATCAGAGCCTTACCTTTGTCGTTCGGACATATCCCACAGTCGCGCCCAGCACATAGTTCAGTGCTTCAGGATCTGCCTCGTCGCCATGGAGAATTTTCTCGAGTTCATCATTCAAGAAACTTTCCAGCCAATCCTCCAATCGACGACTCGCATCTTCCGATTTGGTGAGAAGGAGATACTTTTGCGCTAGAGGATCTGCCAGAGAAGAAACTATTTGGTTAGGTAGTTCAATCTTATCGAGCCTCTCTATAAAGTCGTTCACACTGCGTAACTCTTCCAAAGACGTATGGTTTCTCTGCACTCGTGTCGTCTGAACATCCGGGATAACAGCTTCGACCTTGCTTCTTTTCACACCTCCTCGACGAACAATCTGGAACGTCGACGACCCAGACATCCTCAGCCTCTCTAGATGTGCTTCCTGGATAACTTTAAGATGGGCGGTAAATTCAGGATCCGGGTGCTTGAAAAAGAACGTTGTTCTCCTTGACCCTCCGACGTCTCCAACGATAATATCCGGATAGTAGTTCTTGAAGATTCTCAGTAGACCCATTAGTTCCCTTTCATCATCTCCGACATTTCTTAGTAATTCCATAAGCATTTGTATCCGGAATGGCTTGACATGCTTTCTTCTTGTTATCATGGACAGCAGCTGACAGAGTGGCCGCCTCAGACTGATCATATCCAGATGGTTGAAAAGTACAGCATACAGCCTGGACAAATGAAGCGGTTCTTCGACAACATCGTAGATAAGGATCAGCCATCTCAGGAGCAAAGCTTGTGTAGCTGGAGAGGGCTTCCCCTTGCTTGGTCCGAGGCAGCCCACAATTCTTGTGATAACATCGGACGGTACCTTGTCCACAGGGTACAGGTTCTTCAGGAGAGTAGTAGTAGTCCCTTGGTCTAAATGATTGGGCTTTGTGATAACGTCAATGAGACGGTCAAGGCTATCCAACGGGATCCCGCTCTCATACGCGTCCGAAGCAATTGTCTTGGCTAGCTCTGAGACACTTGTATGTCTTTGCTTCGGAGGCAGATAAGCGACTAAGGCGTTATGTTAGATAACCAATTACTGGAGAAAGGATTGACATCTTCCAAATACCTGATTCCAAGTGCTCGATGGCATCTCGGAGACTTTTTGACCGGTCCCGGCTTTCTACTGAGAGATTAGCATGACAAACCAATATTACATTTTTAGAAACAACTAACCTGGAGCTGGATCAGACGACATGATTTACATGGAGTGCACTCTTCTGCCTGTGTCGCTTTGATGGATTAAGTACACGGAGAAGCTCGACCGCATGAAGTCCTTGAACTTGTAGGGTCCACTCCAGACAACTGTTGTTGGACCTCGACTCCGTGCTGCGACGGTCTAGCATAAACAGATGCCTCTGTCGATGATGATCTTTTATGCCGAGTCTTGATAGAGGCGTACACGTCTACATGTAATCATCTATTGCACTTCCCGTTGGCATAGACCGAGAGGCGCGTCGCGGTAATGTTTGGCAACGATCACCGCGGGCCAATCAGAGACCGGCTTTCTTGACTTTCCGCGAGAATGGCAAAAGACGTTCAAGAACATTAATAAGACTAAAGCTAGAAGGATCTTCTCTACTTTACAGTATTGATATTTCATTACTTAAAAAAAGAAGAAAGAAGGTAAATCTCCATTATCTATGCAGTTCTTTTGGAAAACCGACTGGATCTATTACACTCGTTGCAAAGCGTAAAGCTCGAACATATCGTCTATGAAGAGTATCATATCATTCTCAATACATCGTCGAGTGAATAGGAGGATAAAAATAAACGAGGCAATCAAATTACCACGGTTTAGACGGAGCGAAAGACCTGACGACTATCGCCTGAGCCGAAAAGAGCGTCATTTTCACTTTCTCCTGCGCGCAGAAGAGCTAGGGGCCTCTTTCCCGGAAGCCACCTTCGCCGTCTTCTTCTCAGCTTCAGTCGCAGGTGCTTCTTTCTCTTCCTCCTCGTCACTTTCGCCTCCCTGGCCGAATTCATTAACACGCGTGTAGTCGACCTTGTACTTCCAGCTTTGGTAAAGCCAGATGAAGAAAATAATATCGTCTCTGACCGTCGCCAGCCTGTGGAGCCACGGCATTTTGACGGTGAAAGCGAAGAGATCATCGATGAAAGTGTTCAAGAACTTGTATGTCAGGGCTTTGCCAGGCATGTGGGCAACAGACTAATAACATCCGGTTAGCGAAGAAGGTAGTTAGTATGGAAATCCTTGAGAACAAACCTTGAGACGATAGTTGATGTAGAGACTAGGCACCATCATCAGGAAACCATAGGCGTAGACGCTTCCGACAAGGGTCTCGATTATGTAAGAGTACCACGACTTGTGCGTCTTGTACAGGAGGCTGTAGATCGCGTACGCTCCCAGAAGGGGAACAGCAATGATATAGAGCCACTTGAACGCAATCTCATCATATTCCTTGGTTTTCTGCTCGGTCTCGGTGAGCTTGTGTTTGTCCTCAAACACAATAACGTATGGAAGAAAGGAGAACGTGGAGCCAGGCTGAGGAGGTCTGACGCGTACGTCGACCGTCTTCGTGATCTTCCAGGCTTCCAGAACAATACCAAACCCTTGACTGGCGAGAATCATCCAAGAAGTTCCCTCGCTGTTGTCAACAAGGTACAAGAAGATAACAGTCTGCATGAAGACGTTGGCAAGAATAGTGCGAACTGAGGTGCCGACAACGTCTTTCTTCTTGCGCCAGTGCGACTATGATATGGTCAGCATAGAACCTCAGGTGAGAAGATATGATGGAGCGAGAACTCACAATATCGTTCTTGAAGGCGAGTGTCTCAAAGATCATGTGTAGGATACTGACAACACCAGTCGTGGCCAACAACCAGACGCTAGTGTCCAAAAGGATCTCCTTGGCAACTTCGAATTCGCTTCCATCACCTCCAGCGGGCATAGGCCCTCCAGTTGCAGCTTGTCGCGCGTTCTGCTTCATGCCCTCGTCGATACTAGCCATAAGGCTAAACTTCCAGTTCTGCAGATTGTTCAGGGTAATACGCAACGGGACAGTGTCGACGGTGGAGTTCAGCTCGGTCATATGGCTTCTAAGCTGCCAGAACTTGTTGAGGAAAATAACGGGGTAATACCATCCGTTCTGTCCAGTAATGTCTCTAGCACCAGTACTCTCGAGTTCCAGATGCTGCCGAATTGCGGGAGCCATCATTCGAAACTTCTGAACGCCAGTATCAGGGACAACAGAGACAGTGAAGTTCGGGTGGTAGTAAGAAACGATCTGGATGGCAGGGGTATCGTCCTCCGGTTCTTCCGCATCGTCCTCATCAGTAAGAAGATTCTTGAGCTTCTTGGTTTTCCTCTTAGGAAGATATTGGTTGAGAGGACGAAGGAAATGGTAAGCCTTTTCCGGAGAATAGTCCTTTGCCAAGGGATCAAGCTGACTACCGGAAATACCAACGTAGAAGTGAGCCCAAAGAGTCCCGTTCTGCTGGGCCTCTTTGGGAACCTTAATGGTAGTATCGATTTCTCGAGTATCACTGTAGTTACCCATCGTGAAGTTCTTTTCCTCAAGGACCAGTGCATCTCGTGGAATGGCATTGAAAGTTGGCAGTACGGTCGAGGGCGAGACATAGATACTCATGTCCAGGGAGCTGTTCGTTGGCCATACCGGAGCAACATTATCAGGAATGAAGCTGTAGCTCGATATCTCGCTTCTATCGGCTCGATCAGAAAACGCAGGCACAACTGCGTTCTGGGACGAGCCGCCTTGCTGTTTTCCAAAGAACTGGCCGACAATAAACTGCATTAAGAAGAAAATACCGAGACCCTGGATGGCGGCTTTCAAGCCGGACTGCAATGGCAACATCAGTACTCTATCCACGCAAAAATCATGGATCACTCACGTTCTGCTCCGGCTCATCTCTGCGTTGCCTCTGCTCAGGCATTTTGTACTTGTCCACGCGAACCGTTAAGCATGGAGCATAGAGGAAATGCGAAGTGCCAGCACGACGAGAAATAATGACACTACGCGTCTCACGGCGGTCGTCGGCCAGGCTTGCCGCCTTAGCGCGGGCGCCCCGAAGGTCTCGCCCGCGGTCTTGCAACCCCACGGTTTCTATCTATCGCGAACTCCACCAGCCGTGCTGCCTGCGCGGAGACAGCTTGCTCCTCACAGAGACGACGATAGATCCGCGATGGGTGTGCTAGGCACTCCCCTGACGCTACTCTACCAATGACTGACAACCCGCCCTCTCCGACTTCTCCTCGCTCCCAGTTCCCCTCCCATCCAGAGCCGCGGGTTTGGGTCATTTCTTCCGGAGATTCGCCCATTGGCATCTCCCTCGCGCGCCAGGTTCTCGCGCACGGAGATTATGTTGTTGCAGGGCTGGTACCGCAACAAAGCGAACGTGATGAGATCCGTCGGGAACAGTTCAAGGCTTTTCTGGAAGAGGTGGAGACGCATGACCATGAAGGATGGCGACAGCGTCTAAAAGGAATTGAACTAGATCTTAGGTGGGAACTCGGTTCCAAGGCCTCGTTAATTGAAACATATTGTGCAGCTCGCTTACGCCATTGATACAGGATGATGGGCGAGTGTCAGGCGGTAATCGCAGAAACTGTCAGCAGATTCGGGAAGGTTGATATACTGGTCTGCTGCACGAGTCAAGGTCAGCCGTCGAAGATTCCCAAGTCTTAGAATAATCTTCTGACGTCTCTTATCAGCTGTCGTTGGAACTGTGGAAGAGCTTGCGGCATCCCAACGGACATTGAACCTTGTGCGAGACCAGTTCGAAACCAATTATTTCGGTCCTGTGAATTTCATGAAGGCAGCACTGCCGCAATTACGGAAACAGAGGGCAGGTCATATAATAGTACTTTCGGGCATTAGTGCGTATGACCAATCGGGTTTGCAACGATTATACTGACGCTTGACAGCCGGGCACATAGGAACCCCAGGACTCGGTGTTTATTGTGCCTCAGGGTGGGCACTTGAGGGATTCTGCGACGTATGCGCAACGTCCACTTCTTTTGCCATTGAATGTATACTAACAATACGGCACAGAGTATCGCCTACGAGATTGCCCCTTTCAATATCAAACTGAGCATACTCCAAGCCAGCATCGAAATCGGCATTCTCTCTAACTTGGTGACGAGCGTTCCTCCCATCGTACCTGCCTACGCCCCTGCGCAGAACCACGCACCACTATTTCGAGGCATCCTTAACGGCATTCTGACTCGCCTCTCAAACGAAAATGGCGAATCGGCTGCGGGTGTTGAAGGCTCGTCCGGGTCTAACGTAGATACCGCACGAGGGACCGGTCCCCTCTCAGCGCCTCACGTTGTTTCAATGTACCCTCCGCTTACTCCAAGTCATCTGGACATTCTTACGGCAGAGACGGTTCACGCCATCACTGCGATCGCGGGTCATGAGAATCCGCCCTCGCGACACATCATTGGCCAGGAGGGCGTCGCAAGCGTTAAGGAGAAGCTCAAGACGGTTAGTGAGGAGTTAGAAGATTTCATTCAAGCCAGCTGCGCTGCAGATATTGCAGTCGATGACGACTCTGCTAGCTCGTTCAAGGAAGATAGTGTAGGAAGAGTACATATATGACATACTAAGTGAAAGAATCTTCGCCTACGGCTTGGGGAAGGTCATTTTTAATACTATTTGCCCTGTGATAAGCCATAAGGTCAAATCTTGGAATAAGGAACTGATACTGCATTAATTTGTAGTAGTACATGCATGATTGACCATTTTTACCAGCAAGTAAAGAGTGCATGCGATGTATTAGTCACATCAAGTTCACAGTAAGCCGCTCATATGATGAGGATAAACCCAAGGAGAGACCTCTATTCAAAGTATGACAGAGATGACAGCAACTCAAAGAATGAAAAGCCTAGTGTGTCTTCAAATACCAAGTCTGTCTCACTTCCCAGAGACTGCCCATGTCTTGGTTGTTCCTATAACAGCGAAATTGCTTCCATGCATTGCCGTTAGGCGGATTCTTGATACGGCCATCAATCTCCAGGATCTTGCTGGCCAAAGCCTGAGGTCCAGCAACATTTGGAAAAATGATATCCTTAATCGGTTCCGGCTCAGATGCTGGGACTATGGGAATAACAGAAGTTTGGCCGTTGGATCCAAGTGCTGCTGGCGCGGTTGAATCATACTCGGGAGCTCGATCGGGAGGCGCGAGAACGTTATCATCAGCAGCATCTGCAGGCGGCGGGGACGTAGTAGCAACCGTCTGTTCGGTTGCAGGGACGACGATTTCGACAGAGACTTTTGGTTTTTCTAGCACAGGGGTTTCTGAAGTAGAAGTTAACCCCGACTTTGACACATTTTCCACGTTTGAGTCGGGGTCGGTCTTGGTTTCTGAAAGCGGTTCAAGTTCACTTTTGGGGCCATCTTCCTCTTCATCTGTATTAGAAGCTTCAGTAGCAGTTAAGAAAACTCTCTGTCCGGGTGGAATGGCGAATGTCAGAGTTGAACCGACGATATCCACGACCTAGAAAAGAAAACTTAGAATTTTTGACCACTCCTTCAATAAATTGGTCTCACCTTAGCTTCCTTCTCGACCATTATCTTCTCCGTTTTCCCGAATACGCGGGTGAATTTCCATACATCCCCCGTCTGGATGATACCATGCGCGATCAGACTATCGAGCTTTACGCTAGAGCTCTCTCCCGCCAGCGCACGATAATCGAGCTTCTGTTTCTGGCCCCAAAATTCCTCGAATTCCTGTTCCTTGAAATTGTCGAACTCTCCCTTGGCTCTTTCTTCCATCGCATTTGCCGCTTGGCGCAGCCATTCAGGGTCGTAACGGCCGGCTTCTAGATCTACCTGGAATTGGCGTACTCCTTCGCGCCATGTATTCGAATATCGCAGGAATTCCTGCGGTATCGGGGGTATCTTCGCATTCGGGTCTTCAGGATCAGGCTCAGGGTTCGGGTGTACATTATCAGGAAGCAGAGATAGGATTTCTTTCTTCTCGTCCTCGTCGAGGCAATTCCATGCATCCGGGTGGGCGAGCACTTTCTAAAGCATGAGAGTTAGATGCTGCATATGTACAGCATACAAGAAGCCCATATCTGCTTACAACGAGATCAATATGGACAAGAGGAGACTCTGAGCTTGTCAAGAGGCTCTCTTCATCCCAGGGATCCTTCTTTGCCCCTCTCTTTGGGTTGCGCTTAGGTCTTTTGTTCGGCGATTCTTCATTTTGAGGCATTGTTTTGGCCGGTTTGGCAACATTACTGGGCTCTGCTACAGGAGTAGTAGCAGCGCGCCGAGGCCTGGGACATCTTCAGCACCCCGTATAATATAATCAAGAAATTAGAGATGCCAGGAGAGAGATTCCTGGGGTATTCAATGCATACCTGAGTAGACGTCGAGGAGCACTGGCGGTAGTGGCAGTACTGCCATCGTGGACCGCCTTACGTTTAGGCGGCATCGTTCCAGCCGCGGTCTGGCCTGTTTTGACGGGCAGTAACAGAGGCGGGCTCGACCTAGCCCGACAGGGACGCCAGAATAATACCACGTTCTGACGGCGCAATTCGTGGAGACTCTCGAGGCAGGAGTGAAAGGCGGTAGAAGACACGAAACGACACCCTCGAAAGGCTTTCAAGATGGTCAGATCCACGCAGATCGCGAGACTAGATGGTAAGGAAGCTTGTCGAGATAGGAACCGGAGTGTTGCTGACGTTGGGGTTGATCAAAGGTCTCATGCTGGCAGCGTCTGTCGACGACGAACAGGTACGGTCTACCTTCATTCACTGCCTCGAGCCGCGCTAAGACTAGGATGGGATATTCTTTGTTAACACTTTCCAGGCAGAGGCAGAACTCTCAGAGGTCAAATCGCAGGCGAAGATGATCTTCCGTCGCATGAGTCGCAACTCCGCTCCAGAAGCCAGCATTGAATCAGGTGTATACAGTTTACAGTGAGCTCTGCCCTGTCGTGTTTTAACCAATCGATTCCGGGCCCCAACTGATCATCTGCAGCTACCTAATCAAAGACGACATTTGTTTCCTGTGTATATGCGACCGATCATACCCTCGTAAACTCGCCTTCACTTATCTGGCCGACCTTGCAACTGAATTCACAACCACCTACTCCCCTGCTCAGTACCACTCCCCTAATCTGCGACCCTACGCGTTTGTCGAGTTTGATACCTTCATTCAGCGCACCAAAAAGACATACCAAGACAGCCGTGCCGCCTCAAACCTTGACAGGCTGAATGACGAACTGCGCGATGTGACAAAAGTCATGACAAAGAACATCGAGGACCTCTTATACCGTGGCGATAGCCTCGAACGTATGGGAGAAATGTCTGGGCGCTTGCGGGAAGATAGCAAGAAGTACCGAAAGGCGGCTGTGCGCATAAATTGGGAGTTGTTGATCAAGCAGGCAAGTGCCCCGTACCCTGGTGTGAAATAGAGGGTCCATGGAACTAACTGCTCTTCAGTACGGGCCATTCGCAGGATTCGGTTTCCTCATGCTTATACTCATTTGGTGGCGTTTCTTCTAGCTGCGGGCAGTGGAGGTTAATAGTCGTTTTCTTCTCTGTATGGATAACGATATTTTGTTTCGAAATTGTTGAGACGCAGTCCGATGCAGGACGCGTTGTGGATTCCACTTTCCTCCCATAAGGATTGGACAGGACTCGAATATCCAATTTCTCGGCTTCATGCGATCAGAAGAGTCGACATGTGCAGTACCTTTTCGTGCCCAGCAGCTCCTCTGCAGACGCCCACAATACCAAACGTATTATTAGGCTTAAATATACTGCCAGAAGCGATCCTCTGGCCAGCTTGCACATGCAGAGCTAGCACCATATCGAGACCAAAGAATCAGAAACCGCAGCAAGTATCCCAGGGCTCTTAGCTGCGGTCAAATTTCATCCTCCTCTTCATCGAAATCATCTTCTTCGCCCATGTCGTAGAGAATCCGTCCCCCTTCTCCGGGACCATCGCCGTGTTGTGCGTCGAAATATGGCAGCACCACTCCTTCTCTTTCCCGCCGCTGCCTTTCCGTAAGACGCAACTCGAACGTCGAGCCTGGTTCCTCTTCTGCCGCATTCTCCTCCAGTTCCTCCGGCCGCCGGTACAACGGATGATCGTCTAATAACGTGACAATTTCTTTCGCCTGCTGAGGATGGTATTGCGACGCAGGTGGTAGAACATACCACTCCACGACGCCTCGACCACTCTTTCGCCTGTGTTCCATTTCCAGCACAACGCCCTCCGCGCTCTTGTCCACTCCCTTCACGTGGTCCAGCCGACCAAGGATCACACCATCCTGTTCCTCTTCCAGCCCGAATACCGGTGCGGCAAGGCTGCGATCACGGGCAGCCTTTTGTGCTAGGATATGCGAGAGCGAATGGAGTGTAATAATACTCGTTGCGAGGTACGTTAATAACGAAAGTGCAGAAGGGGAATATGGCTGCGGGTTTGGCGGCAAGGGAATGTCCTGATGGTAAGTCACAACGAGCGATGCGTGGACCGGGTTTGCTGTGGGAGTTGTGGGCGCGACAAAGGAACCCAAATAGCTGGGCAAATGCACGGGATGTTCATTGCCACGCGCACTGAGAAGCGGGTGGATAGAGTCGATTAGGATAAGCCTGCCTGTGGATGGTCAGCAACTTGAGAGGTAAAAGAGCTCGACCTTACATACGGCGCGGTGTAGTTCCAGGTGCTGGAGTGGGATATGCGTTAACAACTTCTTTTGCGATATCTGCTGCTCTCTTCCGTCGACAAGATATGAATGCATCGACGCCTTCCGGCCGTTGCAGGGTCTCGAAAGCTACCAGAGTGACGTGTACCTTGGATAGCTGTGGGACAGTGAGTTAGTCTTTTGATACAGCAAGCGATTTAAGCACATAACATCAAAGTCGTTCGTTTGATCGAGTGCAAGTGGAAAATAAGAAGAGTGGTGTAGGGCCATGGGCTAGAGTCGTATTGGCGGAAATTCAAGACAATGAAGGGGCGAACAGGTTTTCCACTGGCTCATGGCAATAACAAGGCATTTTTTCGAAAAGTCAAATAATTGGCAGGATCTCATTTATATCTGACCTTCGCTCTCCGTATATATTCCTGAATCAGAGGCCTTGCCGGTTGTTCCAATGAGTCCAGCAAAAGCGTCAACGGCGACACTGTATCTCGCAGGCTGAGAAGCTTCGAGATCAGAAGGAGATTATGAGTTCGTCGATGCGACAAATTCGTCGGGGCCATCTTGCTGGTATGAGATCGCTGCTGCTGCGTCGACTGCGGGGCGTTGCGGCTCAATGAGGGGTCTTGAGGATTAGGTGCAAAGATTTCCGAAGCTGTTGATGATCTTTACTCTTATCGTAATTAAAGTTGAGGCTCAGCGGGACGGGCCGTTCGAGAGAAAGTACTGTAGTGGATCTTGGCATATCGAGTAGTTGAGCCTGTTGGGGATGTTGGATAGCACTTGCCAAATGCTCCTAGACGCTGAGAACTTTGTGATAGGAAGCGGATCACGAAGTTGTGAGAGCAGTAAAGGCATTGCGGTAGCTTTGTGTTAAGATGATGTGCTGAGTAGGGCTTAGGGCTAAGCTGGCTCCTACTTTTGTGCCATACAAATTTGAGCCGAGGAGAACTCTAGGAGGCTGGAGCCAGTCTCGGAAGTCAATGGAGATCAATTACCTAGGTAGTCGTAAGGTGCACGTTTTTAGAAAGCAGGCTTGGTCCTGACTCCTGCGGTCAGGTGATAAGGCCCCTGGTACCAGGCAGAACTAGGCAGAACTTTTCTGAATTGCGATTAGCGCGCTATACACGAACTTTACAGCTTCTTCCGCTGTCCAGGCTGAGCTGAAGATAGCAATAGGCCACCATGCATGATACACCCACATAAACCCCTTAAAACCTAGATTTTATGTGATCAGGATGTGCGCAAGAACTACCTTATTCATTATATGCAACTTTTTCCAGCTCCGAGCTACTCAAAGTGCCTAAAATCTGTCATACGAAAAACCTACAACTCTCAGGACCTTTAAATCGATTTTGTAATTAACAAATTTGAGCCAATGAGAGACTCTCATTCACAATTTCACGGCCAATAAGAAAGGACCCGACTGAGAGGGTCATCGAGTCTAGACCAGTCTGCCAGATCTTACCCCACATTTGGGTCTCGATCAGGATCCGACTCCATGGGTTGATCCAGTCATTGGGGTTCTAGAGCTGTTCTCCACGTTCTCACAGAATTTTGGACCTTTAAACCAGTCTTGCAAACTGCATTTGGACGGTCACACCTTCGCCCCGCGCCAGAGCGCCTGTCGCGAACTGCCTAATCTGGAAACCCCGTCGCAAACAGCCCGATCAGGACATCCCGTGAAGCTGTTTACCCTGGCATGTATCCCATTAACATCGAGTAATCTGTTACTTGGGCATAATATCCATAATTTGCTTCTCCATCCCCCTCTAAGGACAAATATTACCCCCTTCCAGTTATTGACTATTGGCTCAATATGTGAGCCACTATCTGACCATTATAATACATCTCAAGATCATGGATATCTTTATGTCTGCACGTCTGTGAAATACCTACGCGCAGCATAGGTCGCACAGGCTTCGTCGACGTCCTCAAAATTGACTTCTGAACTCTGCTTTCACGCGTGTAGGTGTCTCTTCATTGTATAATTGCACAGCATTCTCCAAAAGTGATGCCTTTTTTTTTCCCTTTCGGAACATGCATAATACAACAAATCACATTGAACAAACCATCTCTAACCCGTTCTTCAAGTGTCAATTTTGCAGCTTTTATTAACCATCAGTGGCTTATATTATCCATGAGGCAGTTAGTCCTTAACAGCCAAGAGTCCGTATCGATGACCTGTCACCCCCATGAGTCTATTGACTTGGCTAGCCCGTCATCCCCTGCTGGATATTTTCATGTTCGACTAGATCTTTGTATACGCACAAGTCGTTTCATTAGGACAGTCCCTTCTTTACGACGAAGTAAAAGTAAACTGAAGCCTCCGTTCGCTCTAAGCTGATATAACTGCCACGGGATATAAGCTACATATATGAAAGGGGAAATAGTTGGACAAGTGCTAAGAGAAAGGACGCCGCATCTCCAACTATCCAGGTGGCATAAACAGGATATGCAGTCGCCTTGTGCCTTTTTCTACGAATCAATGTTCCACAGACGCGATACAAAATATCAAGCATGTCAATATGAGCTATTACACGATAACATCTTCATATTGAATTGAAGGACGCGATCCAGGCTTCGTTAATCTGATAGGGTCTTACGGCGATACGGTGGCACAGAGACATCTTGAATCTGCATTCCTTTCGCTAGCACCTGAGTCAAGCGTAGATTAATGTTAGTCTGTGCAATGATTCAGGGGACATTCAGCAATATAGAGACGTTGTTCTTGTCGCTATGACGAGTATACGGCTAGGTAAGGTTGACTGTAACTAGTCTGCACCTCTTCATCACTACAACGCACAGAATCATCGGCTCGTTGTCGTGAAAAGTGTCATTGGGCTGTCTTATATACTCGACATCGTTGCAAAGAATCGCTAGTGAGGATTCCCTTGTCATGACGGTATATACACTCTTCACATTCGTCGAGTGGCCGCTCGAGTACTCCCACCCTGCGAACTGGGAACGTTGCAGGATTCCATCAGCTGCATAAAAATGATATTTGATTCCACTACACCATCGTGTACGAAGCATAATGGATGCTAATACTAACTTCCTCCGCTGATGCACGGTGAATGCATAATTTGCGAATTTCTGAATATATATATTTGTCAGTGCGGAGTCACCAAGTGGAGGCATCTTTAAGACCTGTATCGGAGTAGACGAATTTAGAGTCGTAAGGCGCAATACATCTGCCTATTTCCTAACCTTTCGCTTTATCGAGAAGAGAGCTTGCGACTCTACCCAAGCAGAGTGTAGTAGTTGTAGTTCCTGCGTCTAGTTGGGCGGTAACCGTTATTTGCGATGTGGCACCTTCGGCAGAACTGGGCGACCGTAACAAACTTAGGAACGAGTCCGTTCTTGCAGCTACAAGCTAAGCGGCATTTCAACTGGATTTGCGACCACGCTCGGAGCACAACCTACAAGAAGGTTAGATAGGCACTCCCAATTTGCTCCCCTCTGAAAATACATTTTCGCTCTGCTACGCATCACGTCTCCCTGAGCCAGTTCCTGAGGCACTACCGCGCGCGTTGGCCGGCGCGTCAACTCCACCTCAACCGGGGAAAATGACAGAACCTCCAACGAAACGGGCTCGCCGTACAGACAGCTCTGCCATGTGGGATATGAATGACAAGCAAGCGCGGTATTCAGAACCAGATACGGATTACGATCGATCCTCACGGCGGGAGCCAGCAAGCAGGGAGGAGCGGAACGGTACGCGAGAGAATCGCCGCTATCGCTCTCGTTCGAGAGAAAGAGTTGAAAGAAGACGTGAAAGGAGCAGGTCAAGGGAGGCTTATCACCGAGACAGAAATGGCAGAAGGGACAGAGACGGACGAGGTGCAAGGGACAGGGAAAGAAGCACGAGTAGGGACAAATACCATGGTCGAAGAGGTACGCCTATCCCGCAACTATGAATGATCTTGGGACTGAGCTAACTGTTTCAAAGGGTATCCGTCAAAACCAGATAGAAATTATGATCGGTCTCGATCGCCTGGGCGCAATGGCGCGAAGGCTCGTTCTAGGACACCTCCACGGGGTCCTCGCATGGATCGAAGGGACGATCGTAGAGACGGCAAATTACGAGAGGATGCACGGCATACTAATGGTGTATCTGAGCCAAAAAGGCCTTCGCGGGTAACCGATGGAGATGATGAGATGGATATCGACGTGCTGGACAGCGAGGACCCAGACGATCTCGAAGCGCTTATGCGTAAGACTATGGGTTTCACCAGGTTCCGAAGCACGCAAAACACGAAAGTCCCGGGAAACGACGTTTATGGTGTGCGCAAAGAGAAGAAGACAGAATACCGACAATACATGAACCGAACCGGCGGTTTCAACAGACCTCTCAGTCCGTCGAGATGAGCTCTCACTCCTGGAAGGATCTTGCGTGCTTGCATTACACAAGGCTATTTGATCTATTTCTTTCTATCTGCGAAGCAGCGCTTTATCAAGCGTCATCGCCTTGGCGCATCATCGGAGTTCAGGTTTGTCGCTGAGAGTATTTATTTATTCTTTGGAGCGCATTATACACTTTAACTTTGTATCTGCACATGTATAGCTTTCGAATGAGAAGATAGTCTACTATTGAAGAATCGGATATTGTATTGGAAATTTGTCGTGGAGCCATGACTTTGTAGTGTTTCTACCTCCAAGGGTAGCTTGCTCGTTTCTATGGGTTCGCCACATAGGTTCGCTGACGTATGCGTACGCTCTTACGAACATTTAGATCACAGCTTTCTGCACTCCAACATTTGCCTTTCGCTGCAGGTTCTCAACATTCTGGCTGCAATAAGATCCCACATTTGGCGCTTCACATCTCGCTGCAAGATGGCTAGCGCAGACCGAGAACGAGAAATTGTCATCGTTGGTAAGTGGCCCCCGCATCTGCACTGGCACCCCGCGTCCCTCTGTCAACGCGTGCAACGGAGTAGATAATACTGACAGATATTCTCCAGGAGGCGGGATTATTGGATGCTGTTCTGCCTACTTCCTGACGAGACATCCCTCATATGACCCTGCGCGCCACAAAATTACAATCTTAGAAGCTACGGAGATCGCAGGGGGAGCCTCTGGAAAGGCCGGCGGCCTCTTGGCACTATGGGCGTATCCAAGCAACATCGTGCCACTGAGCTACAAACTGCATGCCCAACTGGCTGAAGAACATGGAGGCAAGGCGAGATGGGGTTACAGAGAAGTCCACTGTGGTCAAGTGGTCGCCAACGGACGTCCCCTAAGCGATAAGTCCAAGGACATGGCAGGAGCCAAAGTGGGAGGGAGTTCCGTGTCTCTACAAAAACGTCAAGAAACCGCGAAAGGACAATTGAGAGCTGCTGGCGTCCCTAGTGACTTGGACTGGCTCGTCCCCGATCTTGTAAGGGGTTATGAAAGCATGAGCGGGCCTGGGGAGACGGCTCAGGTTCATCCATATCTCTTCACCACCTCGATGGCGAAACTTGCTGAGGAAAAAGGAGCCAAAGTCGTATTGGGTTCTGTAACCAACATCGATCGCACCGTGGATGGTGTGAAGTCAGTTACCTACACAGAGAAAGACAGCGGAGAGTCTCGCACAATTCCTGCAACAGATGTGCTTATAGCCGCTGGCCCGTGGACTCGAGGTGTCTTTCCGCCAGCACCTATCTCAGCAGTACGCGCCCATAGCGTTGTTATCCGCCCTACGAGACCTGTTTCTGCGTATACGCTATTCACCAACATCTCGCTGCCTGCTGGATTCGACGGGTCTAAGAAGCGAGCCAATGTGGTCACACCTGAGATCTATGCTCGTCCTGATGGTACTGTTTACGCTTGCGGTGAAGGAGACCGAATTGTACCGCTCCCAAAGACGACCGCAGATGTGCAGGTGGACAATTCACGATGCCAGGATATCATTGATTCGGTGGGGAGCATTTCTGATGAGCTCAGAGGGGGTGAGGTCTCCGTGTGTCAAGCGTGTTACCTGCCGAACGTAGATGCAATGGGAGGAGGACCATTGATCGGACACACTGGCATTAAAGGACTATATATTGCAGCCGGCCACACATGCTGGGGCATCCAGAACGCCCCGGCTACTGGAAAGCTCATGAGCGAGTTTGTGTTCGATGGCAAGGCGAAGAGCGCTAAGATCGCATCGTTAGACCCCCAGAACTACCTGTAAATGGAGAGCATTAGGGTTAATGGTAATAGTATATAGAATCGATCCTCAAACCAATTTATATTGCAGCTAGATGGTAAGAGTCTAACTATATAGATAGGATGAATAGCTTCCGTAGGGGCGTGTTGACATGCCGGGACAACGCTCGGGCCACGTAATTTGATCGGAGAAGCAACAGGTTGTCCGCAGCGGGTATTATTATCGAGAGCTTCAAGCTAGCTTCCACATCAGCAACAACATATGCTCATATAAAAGAGAGGCTCTGTTAGCTTCTCTGTCGATTGATGCTTCTCTTTTGAAGATGCATCTTTCTTCTTGTCTGTCATTGATTTCACGGTTATGCATATACGTCCTTGGGCTCAGCGCAAGTGAAGTGCTAGCAACAGGCGATGCTTCCGTATTGATTAATGAGGTTTCGAAAGCCAACAACCAGTCCTTGCTATGGGGTCCATACAAGTCGAATCTGTACTTCGGGGTCCATCCCCGGATTCCCAAGAGCCTCGTGTCTGGGTTGATGTGGGCAAAGGTTGACAATTACGCGACCGCGCAGGACAGTAAGTGTTTATGCAGGATTGCTGATGACAACGTACCAAATTTCCACATCATAAAAGACTAACATCTCTTTAAGACTTTAGGCATACATGTGAGCAACATTCAGGGATGGCAGGTTATGGATGGGACGAATACGATATCCGGAAAGGTGGCAGACAGACGATACATGATGCGGGGAATACTATAGACATAACAATCGATTTTATCAAAGTCCCCGGTGGGACACACGGAGGCAGTTGGGCAGCTCGAGTCAAGGGAGTGCCGCGAGAGGACGCCCCTGATGCGCAGCTCACAACGATGGTATTCTACACTGGTTTGGAGGGTCTAGGCTCCTTAGAGGTTGCCAACGAGCCTGACCCTCTTGGCTTCGAAGGCGACGTCAAAATAAATGGGATGACTCCGGATTTGGGAGACTTCACAATTGATATAACGGCTGGACCGGACAGCAATGAGCATCCTTACCATAGCCACCCAAGCTATGAACAGAAGCCTCTCGACCGAACGATGGTTGCAAGTCTGTTCATGCCTCAAGAGTTCCTTTGGCAGACTAAGAGTATGCTCGAGCCTAAGTATGCAACATTATAGTTGCTGACAGCTATACAGTAATTCTCTTTACCCATATGAAGACTGAAGTCGACGCATACTTCAAGACCTATGGCACAGACAACCCCCCGCCGCCTCCTCAGGTCTTCACCATAGCCAATGCGCCGAAGGAAGGCAATATTCATCTGGTGCAGAAAGTGTTCCAGGGAGCCTTTGAGGTAGGCCGGTATAGTCCCTGTTGTATTCCTTCACTGACAAAGTTAGTTCGATATTCTTTTCTCTTCAGGCTCTGCCCCTGAGCCAGTGACATGTAAGGACCATTCCGTTGAGATAGTGAAACCATTGGCTAATACTCGTATCAAGCTGAAACTCTTACGAAGGCAATCGACAGCACATCACTTTCGTTCTCTGACAGATTTGACAAGATATTTTCTCCTAAAGCTCCCTTTGACTCACCAGAGTACACTGAGTTCTCCAAATCCATGTTGTCGAATTTGGTTGGAGGTATTGGCTACTTCTATGGTGGTGGCCTCGTCGATCGCTCTGCTGCACCCGAGTACGATGAAGAAAATGAAGGATTTTGGGAAGAAGCAGCTGAAGCAAGGGCACGCGCGCAGCTTATAGACGAAGAGCCAAGGGAGCTTTTCACATGCGTACCTTCTCGGCCGTTTTTCCCTCGTGGATTCCTCTGGGATGAAGGTTTCCATCTCTTACCGGTGATTGACTGGGATACGGATCTTGCGTATGTTTCCCTCTCTCAATTAGATACTAATTGCTAACTTCCGACAGGCTTGAAATCGTTAGAAGCTGGTTTAATCAGATGGACGAAGACGGATGGATCGCTCGCGAGCAAATCCTGGGCTTGGAGGCTCGTAGTAAAGTGCCTCCAGAATTCCAAGTCCAGTATCCTCACTATGCCAACCCGCCAACTTTGTTCCTCATCCTGGAAACTTTCGTCGATAAATTGAAGTCCAATGAGTCTACCCCGCGTGGTGAGCTTGACCGTGATGATTTGGCCGATAGTCTCCGTTCAGCTCATTTGGAACATCCCGAGCTGGCGGATAGTTACCTCCGTTCTATCTACCCGTTGCTCAAGAGGCATTATTTCTGGTTCAGAAAAACTCAATGGGGAGACATCAAATCATACGACCGCCAGGCGTACTCGATGAAAGAAGGGTACCGTTGGCGTGGACGTACTCCGCAGCATATTCTAACTTCAGGCCTTGACGACTATCCTAGACCTCAGCCACCACACCCCGGCGAGCTGCACGCGGACTTGATAAGCTGGATGGGCATGATGTCTCGGTCCATCCGTCGTATCGCAGAAGCAATTGGTGAAACAGAAGATGCGGAGGAATTCCAGGAGTATGAGACAGCTATCACGCGAAATATTGATGATCTGCATTGGGACGAAGAGGCGCAAACATACTGTGATGCTACCATCGATGACTATGAGGAAAGTGTCCATGTATGCCACAAGGGATACATCTCTATTTCCCCATTCCTTACCGGAATGATCGGTCCCGACAGTCCTCGACTGAAGCCGATCCTGGATCTGATCAGTGACCCGCGCGAGCTCTGGAGCGACTACGGTATTCGAAGCTTGAGCAAGAAGGATAAGTTTTATGGCACCGAAGAGAACTATTGGAGGAGTCCTGTGTGGATCAATATGAACTACATGGCGTTGAAGAGTCTCTATGTAAGCACTGTTCCTAACCTTCTGGCATATTCTAGCTAACTTGTATTGTTACAGGACGTTGCTACCGTCCCTGGGCCGCATCAGGCACAGGCCAGACATATTTATTCCGACCTTCGGAAGAACCTGGTCGAGAACGTCTATAGGGAATGGAAGGAGACGGGATTTGCCTGGGAGCAGTACAATCCCGAGACAGGAGCCGGCCAGCGAACCCAGCATTTCACCGGCTGGACGAGTTTGGTGGTTAAGATGATGGTTATGCCTGATTTATCCGCGAGCACCGGAACCGCGCATGACGAACTGTAAAGTGTACCATATAATCATCGAGGTGTAGGAAAACAATAGATATTACCAGCCAATCTATGTTATAAACAGGACCATAAACACCGTAAACACCATCGCTATGCGGAACGCAGCATATGGAACATTAACCATACGGAAGGGTAGTATCAATGTCGACGGCTGTGACTTCGATCTCTGCCACTCCGTCTATGAGATCCACGATTATCTGGGGAGTGATCCCTCCCTGACCGGCGATACTTGTCATAAGCATCAGCACGTCTTCCTTCTTTGCTCCGTTCACGGGATTCTGACTTCCGACGATAGTCTCGATCTCTGGATGGAGATCTCAACCTGTGTCGTCGTTCATGACGATGGTATTCACGATCATCACGATGATGATGTCTGTGATGTCTTCGTTCCCTCTCTCGGTTTCGGTCACGACTTCTGTCGCGCCGCCTCTCAGGACTGCGGCTGCGATCGCGCCTGTCTCTTCGACTAGGACGCTCATCAAGTCCAACGCCCTCTAACTTGTCAGCTTCCGGTCCAAGACGCGCACCGGACGCTCTACCCCCGTAGGATCCAAAGCCGATCCCCTTCCCTCCGTCTTCTGCGTCACCACCTGTTGTTTCTTGAATTGCCCTCTGTACATCCTTACTACCCAGAGGTGTCAAATTTGCGTTCGTGCTCCTTGGCGGAACAGGAAGACCGAGCGCGCGGGCCATTGCCTCTTCCTCAGCCTCCTTGACGCGCCGAAGCTCTTCCTCGCGTTCGGTTCTTGCTTTCTCGGCATCTTTATCCTCAGCCTTCGCGTACCATTGTAGATCACGACCATTCTGCCACCGGCCCACAGGAGCCATGAGCGAGTGGCCGAGATAGTTCTCGCGATGCTGCGATTGTTGGACATCAGACCATTTGAAGGAATCGCGGCCCCCGCTGGAGAAAATGTTAATGAATGGCAAGGACAATGAAGTGCATCATTGCGAAAAGGCGACTTACCGACTGCCTTCCTTGCGAACACCAGCGACTAAATCCATAGTTGTTGTGGTTGTCGCTTGCTTGTAGGTTTGATGATGTCGGTGGGGAGTGGAACTCTGGGGTTGAAGGAATGATGCGGTAATTAGGTGTAAGGTAATTACGCATTGTATATATATTCGAGAGCTCTCAATGAAGAACTCGCAGTTCGCCATGGTGCCTTCAATTTCTACATTTATTGATAAATCTTTCATCATATATCGAGTGGAATTTGATTTACTGTCTTGAGAGCCCTTTCAAGTCAGCTATGGAATTCGAGCTGTTCTGTTCTATCTGTACTGTAATACATGACGGAGGCCGTTACAAGTGGCACGTGCGCACGCCGCTTCCGACATATCATCATCTTCCTGTTGTATATTCAAGTTCGATTGTATCATCACCTCGAGGGAGAACCAACTAACTGACATGTAGTTTTAACGCGCATATGCCCCCAGATCCAATTATATGCTGATTGGTCTTTCCATATGTCTACGGGGATGATGGGGTTGATGGTCTGCCAACTCTATGTGTGACCACTCCATCGTGCAACGTACCGAGTTCTATTTGTCCATTCTGAAATGATAATATTCACCTCTCGTCCCACTCACTCTTCACACCTGCCTTTGCCTCAAACACTATGACAGACCCTATATTCCCAGTAAACCGGCTTGACCTGAGACAACTCCAGGCGATCTACGAACTACATATGGCGCCCACTGGGGTCGCTTCAGGAATGGAACCTGAACAAGAACTCCTCACGCGCAAGTGCGGCATGCGAGATGATTTGCGTTTAAAACCGCTTAATGTTGAGAGTGGTCGTGAGAGAGTAAGTGTTCCACCCCAAAGGATAAATTATGCAATTCGTTCTAATGCTACGTTTCTAGTTTGCTGAGTATGTTGAAATCTGCGATGTCTGTTTCCTGGTTATACTGACCTCGACATGTTAGGAGGGAGAATGTATATCCTCCCCGTTCTGCAGCCTGGAGAAGCAACCTGGTAAGTATATCATACCGCTTGTTCCATCGTGAACGATCCAGGCTTATTGACTGATGGTAAACCGAAGACTGCGCTTTCTCAACGTCACAATTTACTCTTTGTTGCGTACAGCCACCAGATTTATGTATGGGAACCCGCTGGTCCCTGGCAGACTCTAGGTGCCAAACCGTCCATGATCATTACTCCTGTGATGAAGGACCCAGATGCTGAAGGATTCATTAACCCCGATTTTCCCCATGCTATCAACAATATCATGGTCGATGACCTGGGTCGGGATGAAGTCCTCATCCTCGTGACAGACTCCGGGAACGTTTCTGGCTATCATGTGGAAGCAGTCTTCTCTGCAATTGAACAGGCCTCCCAGGATGGCCCACAAAGGCCCATCGATGGATCCAATATCGAACCTTTTTTCACTGAGAATGTCTACGCCAGTGCTTGGGGACTTGCAATCCACAAGTATGCCCGTATGATTGCGGTTTCAGCGAACACCGGTCTCATTACGGTATTCGCATTCGCGCTAGTTGATCCGACCAAAGAAGCTGATGAAGACACCGACGAGAATCTGAATTTTGCGGACGGGTTCAATAATTACGAGCAAAACTGGCTTGATGTCCAGACACAGGATGAATTTGTTCAGTTCCGCCGTCTCATGCCAGATCGTTACCGCTCGCGTAATGTCCGGCTTACGTATTCAGGTCATTTTACCAATATACCATGCGTCTCGTTTCTGAACTGCGATCTCGATCCGAATGGATGTTGGATGGTCAGCACTGATATTGACAACAAACTGCTTCTGTGGAAAGTATGGGAACTGCAAAGTCCATTCCAGGCAGTGCATTTGAGCGATATAACTGCAGAGCCATTTCCGCACACCCTGCGTAATGAGTGAGTGCGCACTTTCCCCTTTGATTTTGATTTCTTATCTGCGTGCTTACATTGGTAGTGAACGTGGTTGGAGCGTTCTCGCCCTCGATCCGCGTACGTTCCGACCATGTAGGTCATATGTCGAGGCATGTGGTGGCTGTCCGACGCAGAGAATGAAGAACGGGAAAACTGTTCTTGACCTGACCAGCCTGAGTAGGCGAGTCCCGGATGCTTCCCATCTTTACAGTTACTTCCCACCAGCCGTTAAAGGGGATGCTACAGAAGAATTGACCTTGCCTGACATTTTCGACACCGATTGCTGCATCAGTAAAGAGAAGAGCTCGTCATCAGATAGAGAGTCCGGAGATGATAGTGACACATATTCCGACTCTATGTCGGATTCTGATGATGGCGATCATGATGCAGACAAATATGCTGACGCCCCAGATGGTTCTGGGCGCGAACATGCTTTCCTGGCTGGCCTAGACCGACCTGAAGGGAGTCTACGAACAGTGGATGCTCAAGTCGGGAGTATAAGTGAACGCAGCATGCATGTGGACGAATCCCATACAACTCAAAGTGCTGCAAATTCTAATGGCGACTCCGGAGACCCGTCACTGGAAACAACTGGACCGGTGCGTGGTGCGACGATGCGCACTCTCGCCCAAGGCTCGATGGCCGCTGCTGAAGCCCTCCAAAACGCGTTAGAAGAAGCCTTCGACGAGCTATCTGGTATAGAGTCTGGTCCCATAGAGTCTTACTCCGATGACGAGAGCTTCTATTTCGCCCAAGACCACATGGATTACATTGAAAGCGATGAAGATGACAGCGACGACGGCTCAAATGTTGACCATAATCCGAATGCTGTCTTGTCGGGGCTTAATGATCTGGATCATCTGCCAGAACCGCCCACTCCAGCCTGTTCCGATTTCCCTATCCTTCACTTCTCACAAACAGACATTCGCCTCTTCCCTAGTCCATATTCACTATCTCCTACGGTGGTCTGCGGAAATCCACTCTGGCAACCTTTCACGCATCCTATCCTCACAATCCGTGCCTGTGACCGTTTCAACATGGTCAAGTACGTCCCCGAGCACGGTATCGTCGTTGCCGCTACGCAAAAGGGCCGCGCAGCAATCATCGCTCTTACTGAAGCACAAAACAAGGGCCTTGCATTCAAGATCAATTGGATTGTACCACTAGAGAGCCAGGAGAAATACGGGGAGCGTCCCCTCATTCCACTCCTTGGGATGGCAGTTGGTCCTGTTCAGGGATTCGAACTACCGCCTGATGTAGCCTACATCCCTCGACGAGTGGTCAACGAAGACGACATCACTTTCCACTACAGATTTACTGATTCTCAGGAAGGAGACAGTTCAAATGCAGAATCAGGGCCTGATGATGGCGTTCATGACACAGCAAGCACCAATTCCAAAAAGAACATCCATCCATCAAGTATCAGCTCTGACGACAAAAATGCCACTCAAACATCAGAACATAGCGGCCCTAAGCCACTTACTCTCCCCGAATGTCACGCAATGGCATCTCGAATCTATCAACCCGACGAGAAATGGCGGGGCTGGAACCCTTCTCGTCGTTACCGCTTGCTGCTGACCTACGCCGATAACACAGTCATGAGTTACGAATTCTGGTATGAATGGTCAGAGGCAGTGGTTGGCTCTGATTATGATGGTGATAGGGATGATTTTCTCTATCTTTAAATTAAATTAGGAACACTCGACATTCATATCCCCTGTATCGTTAATATGTTTCTTTTCGACACAGCATTGAAATTTCGCAGATGCCAGATCCATCTATGTCCTGCATAGGGAAGCTTTCGTTTCATTTCCGACTATTCCCTCGCGGGAAGAGTAATTAAAGGCCTAGTAACCTGCAACAGGAGTTTCAAGGATTGGAGCTGTCTCGTACGGAAGATGTATGTATTGTCCAAGTGCTACAGAGTAACATGGCATAGCAAAATACAAGGATAATGGAGACGACAGCTATCTTCAAGAGGTAATACAAACCGAGTCATTTCGAATAGGTGGGAATAAATGGTGAATGAATGAGAAAGGAAGTCTATGGTATGGTATCACTAATCGGCTGGAAAGAAAAAAAAAAAAGGAGAGGTAGTAAAAAAGACAAAATGCATATACGCTCGCTAATGTGAGACCACCAGGCCATGCGTAATCGAGTCCGTGTAGAAAGAAAATGCAAATGAAAGAGAATGATGCAAAAACAGTTATTCCTCGTCCAATCGTCCCAAAATATAATCTGAAGGAGAAGACAGGCTCAGAAGTCCTCATCTAACTCATCGCTATCCCACTCGTCTTCCTGGTCATTTCGGACCAGATCCAGGAATCGTTGGAGAGCCGGCCTTCCGGCCTGCTGGTCCTGGACTCGGCCATTTTGCGCGGCTCTCTGCGGCGGTCGAGGTGCAGCTTGTCGAGCAGCAGGACGATTTCGAACTTGAGCCATTGCTCGTGCTTGTGCCTGCCGCTCTGCAGCGGCAGCACGACCAGCAGCGTCTAGGCCATTCGCGTTACGAGCACGGTGGGCAGGGTCGACGGGTGGAATGACACGAGGTGGTGCGGGAGCCGGTGGAGGTGGCCGCATTTGACGATTGATAGCTTCATCGTCGCTCTCGCCATCAAACTCCCACGCGGGATTATCATCGCTAGTGTCGCTCTGGTCGTCGAATTCAAGCAGCTCGTCCGGTATTTGGTGGAGAGCTTCTGCTCCTTCGGGGTCGATACCATCGCCGCCTTCCAAGTCCCAAAGACGATTAAAGCACTTACTCTCCAAGTCGTTGAAGTGGCGATAAGGATTGTCTTCTGCAAGCCAGGCCGAGCAAAGGTAGCAGAAGTGAGTGTCGCACTTGAAGCATTTCATGTGGTTGCAGCCCATCAGCTTCTGACAAGGGGCGTTGCAAGTCGGGCATGGTGAAGTGTACAACTTGAGATACTCCTCGGTGGCTTTCTCCTCTGCAGAAAGTTCTGCATCTCTTCGCGGGAAGCAGCGCACAAGCTCTCCGTGCCAGCCTTTCTTGCAGACACTACAGAATGCATAGTTGCAGTCCTCGCAGATAGCTACCCGGTCGGCCATAGGCGGCAGCTGAGATTCGTCTCCCAGAGGGTCAAAAGCCACTGCAACATCCTCTTCCTCATCCGAGCTACCGAAGTCGTCCGATATGGGGTCTGATGGTTTCGGATGTCGTTTCGATCGAGCAGCACCCTGGCACCATTGACGTGGACAGTAGACAGTGGTCTTGTCGGCCTCGAGCTTCTTCTTGCGCTTCAGAAAGACGTATCTCTGGACTGTCTCCTGCTCTAGCGGAATCTGAAGGAGTTCGCTAGGACTCAGTGTGCGATTCTGCTTCTTGCGCTTCGTCCGAGACGAATCTGTCGGTTCCTCCTCACGAGGCCCGGGTCCCTTGCCGCAGTCAGGTGCAGGACAACGGACACTCTCGACATCTCCTTCCGTTATACAGGTATTATAGAAGTCTTGGAGACAAGGAACGCAGAAGACATGCGAACATTGTAATAACCGATAGCAAACAGTTCCCTTCTTGGGTTCAAGGCACACACCACATTCGAATGTCTCCTGCTCAAACTTTTCCCTTTTCGCCTTCATATCGTAATCCAGAAGCGCAACTTTCAGGCTGCGGGGAAGCCGCACTTCACTCCCAGAAATCTCAGCAATGTCAAAGACGTTCTCCGCCAACTGCTGAAGATGATCGATGTATGTATAGACAACCAGATCCCTGCCACCTTCTTCCCACAGCTTGCGTCCATCATCGATCAGTTTGCTTATATGCGACGAAGATAGCCATGGAGGATTGGTGAAGAGGTTGAATATAGGAGGATTTTCGGAAGGATAGCCTTCTGGAAGCTCAACCTCCAAGGTTACCGGCGGTAGGTGAGATAGATAGTGCACGTCAGCTATATTATCGCCGGAAAGGTCGATTACATCCTTGATGCGAGTGTCAAGGTCCGCGTCACTGGCTTCAAGGGACTTGGGTGGCGTCAGGATTGGAGCTGCAGGCCCGCCATCGGACACTTGCTGAAATCGAACCCGCAATGGCGAGGCAGGTGTCACGGGCAAGGCAAGGGATGCTTTCAGCGGAGTAGAAGGATCGATACTGATCTCCGGGTAGATAGCTTCGATGGAGGAGAGTTCGACTATCCGGTCATCTTCTGGGAAGGACATGGTCTCCGCCATCAGTGCGCACGAGATTCTCCCCGATCTCTCACGATGAATCGTCGGCGTTGAAGATAGCTATATGTCCCTAGTTTTTTTGAGAGTAGAGAGCGGTGGCGATGATCCGGTATAACCTAGCTCTTTGTTCTCGTAGGCCGGGCTGGTTCCTAGCACTCCAATGCAACCATATTATTGTTCCATCCCCCGACGGCGTCTGCAGCGACTGTCTCGAATCGATAAGATGTAGAAGAGAAGAGTGTCGTTGGTGAAAAAACAAAACCGTAGGGAACTTTTCGGCCTATATCGGCGTATTATACCTGGTAGAGAATAGCTGGCGCGACCAATTGAATCGGAGCCGATATGCGGTAGAGTGGCGGCGGAGAGGATTGCGGGATGCCTATCGGTGTTGCGAGCAGCTGGTGGCCACAGCGATCATGGAGGTAAAGAGACCGCGTCGACAAAGGGCCTGTGAGAGCAGAGAACGTGGTTCCTGTCACGCTGTTATCGTCCAGTAGCCACTGGATAAGATGGATCTGTAGAAAATTGTAACTGGCAACTGGGGATTGAAGCGTAGAGATAGTGCGTCATGATTTGATGGTCGTGCTGCCTGCTGCTGCGGATGACTCCGTCAGATTGAAGATGAAAACGGAGGAGAGACGGCTAAAGAACATTAGAAAGAGAGAAACGACATGAGGATGAAGAGCTGTGAGAATAATGAATTAACGGGCATCAAACTGTGCCTGACTGGATTCCATTTCGCCTCTTCCGTCTTCCCCTCCCCCTCCTTTCGCCTGCCGGCTGCTTTTGCGGAGAATCCTCGGGTGTAAAAGCAGCGGTCTCTGCACGGACTCGAACCAGCTTTCCAGCTTCAACTATCTATCTGGGGTTGCGCAGCAAATTGTTCATACCATTCCTTTCGCATCACGGTACCGATATATAGTGCTGGTGATCTTCATCCATCTGCACTGGCTGTGATCTGTGGTGCAGGATGTTATTTGACCGTTCTTGATCGCCCTGTCTCCTCGACGCGTCCGCGCATCCAACAACTACTCCGGTCGAAAGCCATTATTGTTTCCTTGCCCTTCTTTTATGATTTGTATGCTTTAGACCTGTCTATCTTGGAGTCCTCACAATGGAGGGACCGCGGTTGGCCTCGTTATCCCTGACTCATGTACATTATGTGAGTTATCTTGTCGCTCTGGGGAGAGCCGCGTTCGACGTGTTCATTGCTGATCCAGCGCTAATAGAACCCTGATGACCCCGTTTCCTTCGTTTCGGCCTGGCTCGCCTTAGTTCCGCAGGCTTTATGTGTCGCCTACGTCACTCTTATCTGGGCATCGAGGGAGGTGGAGGTGATTCTCATGTTCGCGGGGCAGATGGGCTGCGAGGCATTGAACTTTGTCCTCAAGAGGCTGATCAAGGAGGAGCGCCCGAAGCGTATGTGACACCCATGTCTGCGGGATCTCGTAGCTAACACGCAGACGACAACAGAGATGTACGGCAAGGGATATGGCATGCCCTCATCCCATTCACAGTTTGTCAGCTACTTCGCGGTCTCTCTCATCCTTTTCCTCCTCTTCAGACACCTCCCGACCCCGTCGAGCACCTCCGCTTCGCGCAGTTACACAGAACGACTGATCATCTCCGTACTCGCATGTATCGGTGCGACTAGCGTCTCTGTGAGTCGGATATACCTCAACTACCACACCCCTAAGCAGGTCTTGGCGGGATGCGCTGCAGGTGTCGTCTATGCCATCTTTTGGTACTGTTTCACAGCATATTTGCGACACGCAGGATGGGTCGATTGGGCACTTGACACAGAGCTGGCTGGACTTCTACGCCTTCGCGATCTGGTGGTGAGTGAAGACCTTATTGAGGTCGGCTGGCGACAATGGGAAGCGAAACGGAAGCTGAAGCGACGAGATAATAGTGATTCGTCGCGTAAGACCGAATAGTTTGCAATGTTATAGTGAGGCACAGCCCTTCTCAGGTGGATTGGGAACATCTCTTGTTGGCCGTAGTCAAAATATTAAAGTTAATAATATACCTTCTGCTTTGACCTCCGGATGTAGTATGCCATTGATTCTACTCTATATTTTACAGCTTTACCATACAGCTAGTGACCTTGCATCTTCGTGTACTGCGTACCGGCGTGGCTCTGTATTTCTGTCTTCTAGTTGGAGATCTAGACTCTCGCCCTGACCCTAAGCCCTTCTTTCCTGATTGGGTTGCAGATATTCTAGAAACTCGATCATGTGATCTGGGGGAACGGAGAATCAACTTCTCCGGAATGCCGTGATATCACAAACGCTCCCCAACAACATACATCCAGACCGCCAGTGACATGGCTTCTCCACTATGAAATGAATGATGAATACCGTATGTCCGTTTCATTTCGAAATATGTCAATTTTCATGATTTTGCAGTTGGGCTGAGATACCCTTGATGTTATTCACGAGACACATCTGATATTGTTTCCCACTACCTCCAGAAACGGAGGTCTGCCCATAAGTTTAAGATGGATACTTCATCCGTGCCTGGAGATGAGGATGTCTCCGGACATCACTTTGTCAAAGCCGATGAGGTTGACCAGACGGGGACCGACATATCCCCGGTCTCTGACGACCAACTAATGGCCGAGGTGGCTGAAGGTCTCAAAGAAGAAGCTTCCCAAGTACTCAAGGACCAAACAGAGAGCGGGTCTTCACCTGGGAATGTCCAAACGGCACCAGCCTCGCGCCCTGAGTTGCGTCGTGATTCCGCGGCTCCTCCACCTCCGCTGCAGCCACCACCACCGGCACCCGTCCAGCAAAGCAGGGAGGAACGTACAGACTCTCTGAGTCTGGGCCAGTTGAGGCGTATTGTGCAGGAGCTGCCGAAGATTGAACAGCCCGCATATGCTTTCAAATATGCGGACTCTCAGCCGTTCCCAGATGAACTGGACGAGTGGTTTCAATATAGTGAGCCCGACCGAATCATGCTCCTGGGAACAAAAGTGTCTTTCGAGTATAACTGGAAGTCTTTTTGTGCACGCAACTGTTCATCGCCAGGGGAAATCTCCTGGTTATCTGCCAGTCGCGATCTTCGCAAATCTTTCATAAAGCAGATGCTCGATGGCTTTCACAATTCTGATCTATTTGCCCGCATTGAATCTCTGGAGGCCGTCTGCTACGCCATGCTAGGGGTATGGGGACTCACGGCCGGAAGAGTCGCAGATGATTATCCTGAGGAGCCTACTCCCCATGAAGCTGCTGAAACACCGAGAACGAAGTCAATGCAAATCAAATGGGTCGAAGAAAACGTTCTGCTCGTTGAAGAATGCAATGGTATACCTGCTCTATATGAGTACATGAGAAAGGTCTTTGACAAGGATAAGACCTCCACTCTTGGTGTTGATGTCAATGATGTGGACAATGAGAACAGCACATCAGCGTACTTTGCTGCTCAGGAACGTGAGAGCAACCTAGTCCTCACGGCGCTTTATCTTGTCGTTGAGGTAGGTCGCCGGCTAGAAATTTCCAATCCACAGCAGACAACCCTACGAAAAGCCATCGCAGACTTGACACCAAATCTCCTGGTTTTTCTGGTTGAGATTATTTCCCGGTTACGATGGGATGATTCAATGAGTATCCCTCTTACAAGGACAATTCTTCTGTTCTGGAAGTCCTTACTACTTCTCTTTGGCGGCAGCCAGAGCTTGGAGAGAGCGAAAGAAGTCCTAGAACCACCGCTGGACGCAGCGAATGATGGGTCACATTTGCCTTTTCTTACCGCTTCTCCTCTCGACTATCACTCCTTCCGTCAGGAGATTACTTCTAAGTATCCGGCCTATAACCCGCCACCTCCTGTCATCCCCTTTGAGTTGGACAACAATTCTATTCTGCCACCGTTACCACAACATCCAAGCAGGATAGGCTCCTCTAGCAGTCTCTTTTCCGGTGTCGGTCCATCGACCGCAGGTGGAAACGGATCCATCCTGCACCAATCTGTTCATATCGCTACGCCCGCCCCATCCCCTCCACCTTCTCCTGCTGGCCCGGGAGGAAAGGGGGCGAAGAAGCAGAACTACCAAACGAACCAGAATTTTCCATTCATGTATCCTCCTCTGGATGACACTAGTAACAATATTGGTGGAAAAGGCACAAGTGATTTGCAGGATCAATTGGTGGGTAAAAGATGGGAAGGGAGCGATGTGCCCGCCTCAATCATTGAAGCTGGAAAGCTCTTCTCCAGTCACGTGAAAATGACGAGAGCAATGAAACAGCTTTGGGAAGAGCGAGAGCGTTTCATGACATACGATCGTGGTTGGAACGCAGACGATTCTGCCGGATTGCCTGATCCTCAGTTAGAAGACGAACCGGATGAATTCTCGCTGGACCCCCAGGAGAAAAAAGAGAAGGCTACTTCACCTGTTCAGCAATACGTGAGAGAAACGGATGATGAGGACGTGCAGAGGCGGCTTGACGCTGTCGAAACGTTCTACGTTAGTCATTCCCAGGTCATTAAATCTCAACAACGCTGACATGCCTTTAGAAGCAAGCCATGCCCCACTTGCAGTCTGTTGTCATAGTTTTCTTAAAGGTCATTTTGACGAATGTCAGTGCCATGGTGAACCAAGCCAATGGCCAGAACGCGTATGTTCTCCTACCCTATCTGTGATCGGTCACGTGCTAATATGGCAAGCAATGGCTACAGGTTCCCGTCCGGACAGAATGGTCTATCGTCAGAGCTTGACTCTGACGCTGCAATCGAAGAACTCGACAACATTAGACTACGTGAGATCACTGGAAAGGGTGTCTCTGGATCTCTTTTGTTGATGCTGAAGTGGTTCAAAAGATCTCGTAAGTCGTAACAAGTGTTATTACTTCCATGACTCTGACTTGTTATAGACATTCTGAAATTCGAGTACATGACGCAGTTACTGCTCGATTCAAACTATCTACCTCTCATACTGAAGATGTTTGCTCATCAGGATGTGGACCAGGCTGTTGCGCAGCCAAACGACCGAGAAGACCTGAGGTACGTATGCATTATGGGATACTCCGTCTAATATACTAATCGCCAATAGCTTCTTCCACTTCTGCCATGTCCACTCGGATCAGCCACCGGAGCATCCGCCGTCTTCGGATGCTGAGTCTTCTCACAGTGAAGATGAAGCCGTGCCTCCTCCTATTCGCCGCCAACCTGTCTTACAGAGCTTCCAAGGCAGCTCTTCCGTGCGTGGCCCATCTCCGGAGAAGTTTTCTGAGGTTCCAGAGGGTCCTACGCGACCCGAAGTTGACGAACTCGGCTATCCGACGGCACCCCTTCCGAAGGAGCCCATCACGACATACTCGTTCCGTAACTTCTTTTCTTCCATAAACTATCTACATATCATGCAAAAGATCACGAGAGATAAGGCGCACAGGTGCCTACTACTTGTCCAGTACAAATCCAGCACGATTCTCCGCAAAGGGCTAAAGATCCCAGACCCCCATCTTCGCCTTTATACCCTCAAGCTTTTCAAGTCACAGGTCCCATACTGTGGCAGGAAATGGCGCCAGAGCAATATGCGCGTCATCACTGCCATTTATCTCTACTGTCGCCCGGATCTACGAGATGACTGGCTGGCAGGCTCTGATATTGATGCAGAGGTCGAGGATGCGCTACCCCTCGAACAAGCCTTGCGTGGTCTTACGCATTGGTGGCATCTGCGACGATATAAGGATGTTATGGGTGGCGATGAGGGCGCATCTATTATGGATGAGGAAAGAGACTTCTTCGTCCGCGAGCTGGAAGCAATGGGATGGGGCCTTATGGGAGACGAGATGCTCAACAGTATGACAGATGAAGGAAGCATGCCTGGTCCTGGGATCAACGGGACAGAATGGGATGGAGTTCCGTTACAAATGGAAAGCTGGTAAGGCCTCGGCTGTGAATGCCCATCGCGGCGTTCGTATAATTTTCGAATTTTCACCATAATACCTACCGCATGTACAGCGATTCTTCATTCGAGCCTACGTGGAAGTGTGAGCTGGTCTGAATCTTTGATCGTGAAATGTATTATGATGAAGAACTATTGAGACAAGCGGTCTTCCTCTGGCATGGGATGCCTATTCCAACCGAATTATAGAGTTATTTTTGGAACGCTACTGGACGTGATCAGATTTGAGACTAGTACAGTGGTCTAATTGTTACATTTCGTGTTTCTGTCCCTATAGACCTGACCTAAGAGTTCGTCTGTACGCTAGTTAGTCCCGAAGTAAATCTGGAATGGAACGATATCGGGATGCCATTACCAGGGCATCTTGGCCCCAAGGTCGTGGAAAACTTGAGCTCAGTATGCTTTTACTTTCACTTTGCTGGTAGCATTTACTTCAGGAGTATCGCGGATACTTACGACTGCTAATAAATTTTGAGTATCTAACTAACCACAAGTGCAGAAATGAAGAGTAGTATGCAATCCAAGTTTCAATGTATCAATCCAATATACTCCGTATAATGCAATAAGTATCACGACCAACAAACAGATCTATATGCACCAAGACTGACAAAAATGCGTTGATGAAATGCTGGAACCTATCTCTGTGAAAGACGCGACCCGAGAATGTATGGGGGCAATGATGAGTGCAATACCTAGATTCTCGTAATTGAGCGTGTCGGGCATTATAGAAGTCTTTGCTGCCGCCACACTCTGCGCGCAATTAATCCGGCCTCTCCAGCCGTGATCGTAACGTTCTGTTCTAGAAGCCAGGAAATAAGAAATCATTGCAAAATCATCCAATGGAAACAACGACAGTAGCAGCGAAGTATAGTAGCAAGGAAAAGAGAAATAGTCCATCGCCCACATCACTGAGGACGTCCCAACTGTCCACCCGGACTACCAGATCCACCAGGAGACTGCTGCGTCGCTGGCGCTGCTGGATTCTGCATAGTCAGGCGCTGATTCTGCCGACGCGCATTTACAGCATTTCTCAAATTATGCCTAACATGCTCGACCAACGCTCCAAGACCCGTATTCGACGGTGCGTCTGCCCAGTATCCTTCAGCACAAGCTCTCGTTTCGGCATGTTGCAGGAGATCGCACATGCGGTTAAAAGGACGATGGCAGACGCGACAGTCGAATGGATTGTTGAAGGCGATTCGGTTGGAATTTAGGAACTCCACCGTTAGTGTCCGGACGTCTTCGCGAGTTACGCCCTCAGTGCATTTGCCGGATTCGATGTGGCTGAATGTAGAGGAGAGGGTTGGGAAATCGCGGCCGCATAGGATGCAGAGTGCACTGCGTGGACGGTGTGTGGAAATGGCATGCTGGTGGAGAGAGAATTGGTAAGTAGTTAGCTTGACCAACTTATGCATGTAGAGCAATGACTACACTCTATTCTAATGAATAGGAGCAAGAATGAATTGAATAACTCACCCCGTTCAATTCGTGGATATTAACAAAGTACCGATTGCATATACTACACATATAGTGTCTGGAAATATTATGCTGTATAAGACCGGTCTTAGATGGCGCGAACCAGTTGCAGACTTCGCAGTATAAATGGTCGTTTTCGAGATGATCCTGGAGCTGGTTAAAAGTTTCAAAATCCTTCCTAATCTGCGTGCAGAGATGGCATATATTGTGGTCGATTGATTCGTGGAAGTGGCGGTTGATGGCATCTGCCGATGGGAATAGTAGACGGCATCGGCGGCATGGGAACCCGGAAGGCTGGCTGCGGTGCGACGACATTTTATATGGGTCTTGTTTAGGGGCTATTGTTTTCTGCTTGTTCTGAGGTGTATATTGGATCTGAGAAGTGGAAGTAGGTAAATCTGCAACTGATATATAGTAAAATAGGGCAATAATGTAGTAGTGACTTGTCTTGTAGTGAAATAGGTACTATTTGCAATGAGAGCGATGATGATGAGGGAAGAGAACTCCATACTGGATCAGTTGATTTATTTATATCCCATTAAAAATACAGAGGATATGGCAATACTGAAGACGTGAAGAAAATACGCCCCAGCTATGAGGGTATTGAATAAAGAAGATAAAGGAAACAATATACTGCCTTTTTGGACGGGAGATTTCCAATGAAATCGTATAACGAAGCTCTTTGAAAAGTGTATAAACAGATTCGTGATAAAGAAGACATCATAAAGCATCTATAAAGCAAATTGTCGCGGGAAAGATAATTATAGCAACAGAGTTGAATAGAATTGTTACCTAGAAAAGCTTGAAAGATTTGTATACAATGCAGAAAGCCTTTATAGGGCTTCATCATGGAAACTGTGAGCTGTATTTAGGACAGTAACAGTGATTAGAGTGCGGATTTTCACTGCACTATTGAATTAATCCACCCTATTTATTTGTGCAAAAACAAAATCTCGCCAATTAATGTACTACAACAAGGACCAAAATGCTGCACTCTAGATTATGTTTCCTGAAAGCTGATTAGATGAGCGATAAGATGGGGCTATCGATAAGGGTCACGTGATGGTGTTCCCGCAGCAACTTTTTTTCTGCAACACCGAATGGGCATCTCGACTTGTGGCACAACCCATCCATCTACGCCCATCAGATCTCCAGACCCTGTTACGGGTCTCATTGATGCAAGATGTCCTCCGATGAGATTGTCTGGCAGGTCATCAACCAGCAGTTTTGTTCTTTCAAGCTAAAGTAGGTCTTAGAACTTTTTTCCTGCAAATTTCTTTGTCGATGCTAACATGGAATCTGCCGCACAGGACCACGAAAGGACAAAACTTTTGCCGCAATGAGCATAATGTTACTGGTCTCTGTAATCGCCAGTCTTGCCCGCTGGCAAATTCCCGCTATGCGACCGTCCGGTCTGATCCTGAAACCGGCGCAATGTATCTTTACATGAAGACAATCGAACGAGCACACATGCCCAGCAAGTGGTGGGAGCGCATACGACTATCTTCCAACTACGCCAAGGCCCTGGAACAGCTTGATGAGCGACTGATCTACTGGCCGAAGTTCCTGATCCACAAGTGCAAGCAGCGTCTTACCCGACTGACGCAGGTTTCCATCCGCATGAAGAAGCTCGCGAAGGAGGAAGAGCGTCTTGGAGAGAGAATCGTGCCGAAACTTGCCCCTAAGATTCGGAGGAGGGAAGACACGAGAGAGCGAAAGGCCGAAGCAGCTGCTAAGGTCGAGCGTGCCATCGAGCGCGAGCTGATTGAGCGTCTGAGAAGCGGCGCGTACGGCGATCGTCCACTGAACGTCGAAGAGAACATCTGGAAAAAGGTTCTCCGTGGCCTCGAACGTGAGGGTGAGGGCGAGAGAGATGAAGATCTTGATGAGGGTGAGGAGTATGACGAGGAAGAGGAGGGCGTTGGAGAGGTGGAGTATGTCAGTGACCTCGACGAGGATGAGGAGGACCTCGAGGATATTGAAGACTGGATTGGCGGAGACTCTGCGGATTCCAGCGACGACTATGATGAGGAGGAGAGTGATGAGAGCGATGAGGGCAGTGACGACGACAGCGAGGGCAGCGAGGCTCGGAAACCTGCCCCTGGCTCCAAGCGGAAGCGTGCTGCTCCTCCGCCCAAGCCAAGAAAGAAGGGTGCCCGGATCGAGATCGAGTACGAGACGGAGGGTCCCGCAAGAGACAGTGTTCTCGCATAATATTTTCATTTTCTGTGACAGCCTCGAAAAAGTACTTGCATGGCGTTTTGTGGATATCGGTTTTCGCGAGAGCTTAATTGAGTCAGGATCGGGCAGTCCCATACCCAGTCATTGCCGACTTGATAGTGATTCAAATAGATCTGTTTCAAAAGTCCGTATACCTACAAATGGGGTTTAAAATGTGATATCCCTTGTATAATTTTAGAGATCCCTATAGACATAGACTTGCAGATGCAAGCTTCATCACCTTTTCCATCTAAACCGCGCGGAGCCAACTCGCTTCGATGTGCACCACATTTAACTAGAATGGTACGTTCAAGTTTGGAATCGTCCAATCGAATAACTACCGCTTGGTTCTTTCTAACTTCGCCCACTCAGTACCGGTTCCACACTTCCGGTACTACACTATGTATACAGAGACAGCGCATTCATCGATACTTGGCGGTTAATTATCCCCTCCCCTCTTAAAAGACCAACCTTCGCAAGTCAATTAACCACAAAGTCCATCTATCGCAGTCAGAGACGAGAGAGGTAAGCTCCCATGTACTCGTTCTCCTCCATCCCCCAGAGTGAGATGCTATTTTCTCACCTTGACACTTCTGTTGACTGTGTGATTATAAGAATCTTCTGTGGCTGGATAGGTATTTCTTCGAATAATATATTAACCGAGTTTGCATCTTTTTATTTAAATAATTAGGGTTAGGAAGGGTATCTCATTAAGTACTGAGAGCTGGGGCATTGGAATTAGATAACCCCTTGACAGGGGAGAGGTTGTAAGAAGGAAACAAACTATATTGCTCGACTGATTAATCGCTGAGTGGAAAGACATCCTGTTTCCCGGTTATGTGAGACGTGAGAGCCGATAGTATTTGTTCGCACAGTAGACTTTGCTGATGAAAGCTGTATTCGAGGGTTGGGTTGCAAGAATCGCCGCAGTTGTGAAGTATATCTCTATTGTTGACAGAGTCGTAACTCGCAAATCGCCCACTCGAGAAATAGTCGATTGCGGAGCTTGTAACGTTACGCCTAATCCTTGTTACTATTTCTTGTAGATAGCAGAATTGACATCCTTTTCTACATCGCTCGTGTCTCATAGTGTTTATTTTTGACAGAATACTATATATCCCTAACATGCCACATTCACATATACATAATTTCATCATATATCCATTCATTCAACAGCAACAAAGTCCTTCAGCGACTTCTGTAAAGCCTCCTTGTTACGTGGGATAAATCGAGCCCGATATCTTTTCGGCATGGCTACCAGCGCCGTTGGGTCATCCATTCCAGTGACTGGGTTGTAGTCAACATCGTCAAACTTGTCAATCTTGAAAGAGTTGAGCAGACGCATGAAAATAAGGTAAAGTTCTCGGTTGGCGAGGAGGGAGCCAGCACACATCCGGTAGCCCAGTCCGTACGTGAACATGGGTGCGTCGGGGTGCTGGAGCCAACGCTCTGGTCGAAACTCGTCGGGGTCTTCCCACACTTCATCATCTGCGTACATGTCAGCGTTGTGAGGGGATTTCTGGCTGAGAAGCATAGTTACGTACCCATATTGCATGCCCAGGCATTGAGGAAAACGACCGTGCCCTTTGGAATGCGGACGCCATTGTAGACGATGTCTTTGACAGAGGCGCGAGGAAGAGCAAGACGAAGAACAGTATAGTATCGGAGACACTCGCGAGCAAGTGCGACGATGTATTCGCATTTCTGATCATCCAGGGGATCACAAAGAGGAGCATCATTGCCGTAGTGCTCCTTGATCGCCTTCAAGGCCCTATCTTGGATATCCGGGCGCTGCGCCAGCATTGCAATACTCCAGGCCATCAAAGTCGTGAGAGTATCCAGTCCTCCAGATAACATAGTAAGACTTATCGAGATGAGTTCCTCCTTGTTGAGCTTAGCTTCTTTGTCTAGGATGACGTTCGCTTGGATGCAGGGCTTGTGTGTTCCGTTGGCGATGCGCTCGTCGAGTCCGTCGTTAAGGTCTTTCAGATATACATCTCGACGATTGCGCATCTCTCGTGCTTTAGCAGATCCGAAATTGAACGGGTTCAGACGAAGAAGTGGCACGTAATCCTGAAGGTTCCCCGTTGTGCTGCGGAAGCGACTAATGTGTTCCTCGACATGCGTGATTTCGTGGAAAAGATCATTCTTTTGAGAGTCCATCCGAATGCCCCAGTTCAGGGTAAGCGCAAGACTGAGAGAAAGGCGCTGAATCATCGGCATGGGGTCGATAGGGACTTCACCTGCCTTTCCATAGTCAAGTAGTTCCTCGCAAAAGGTCTTGGTCTCAATGTCGAGGTGAGGGACATAGGTCTGCACTGCTGGTCTGTTCAGAGCAGAAGCAGCGCCTTTTCTCCGCCTCTTGAGAGATTCACTGTAGGGAGACGTGCCAATAGTCGTTCCAGAAGTGTTTGACACAACCTATTTTTATCAGTTCAAGCGCTCATGTGATTCTGCATGTGCGGATTCCGTACCTTGTGGAAAGTATAGAATTCCGGCCTCGAACTCAGAGCCTGCGCGTTTTGACCGAAAATGACTCTGGCTGCCTCTGCCGTATTAACAACGACAATGGGAATATTTCCTAGCTGAATCTGATACACCCCGCCATATTTCTTCGCCCACCTACGGTACTGCTCAGCGGCATTTGTCCGGATCTGATGCAGATTGCCAATAAGGGGCAGTCCTTTGGGGCCATTCAGATTAGGAAGGCGGGCTTTGCTGCGAACGACCTCATTTGCGATCACATAGAGGAGAGGAACCCATAAGAGTCCGATTAGACTGTATTGGATAGCATTATCGAGTAAAGTGTCTTTCACGACGAGGAAAAGGTTCACGATCGCCATCTTTATTAGTATCGTGGATAAACTAGGTAGAGATGCTGCATGAACGATCGGAACGAGAACGAGGAAAGGGAGAAATCTCAGGCTCTTGACAGCATCCCCAGATTACTCAGACTTCAACCGCACATTCTCTCCACAAGAAGCCTTTTATAACTGGGGTGATATAAGTGTGTTGGATATGGGGTAAGACCGAGCGCGGCACGCTGAATTCCGCACTTCGTGGGGATGATCCGGGGATGTGACCGGCCAAGGCAAAGAATATGGGGAAGTCCTGTCGGGCTATTCTATCCTGTGGTTACAAACTTTTTTTTGGTGCATTGCTGTAGGAGCGTAACTGAGTACGCTTTGCAGATGGAAGTAACGCCTATCAGCATTGTAGAATGTCAAGTTAGGATAACAATCTTAGATCTCATGGCCGCGCGACAAATCAAACGATAACTCAGATTTATTAGGAAACATACTGCATCCTGTATGAATGTGTGTGCTTTCACTTATAGCGTTTCTTCTGCGCATAGATGTTTCTCACTGATGATATCGAGTTTCTCCTGACATGCCTCAACTGAGAATGCTCTCAGGCAGGCTTGTCAAAAATCGCATCAGCCTTACGTTCAGTACTATTCCATCAAGACTTCGAATTATTATAGCTACCACTGGTCACTTAATTCCTAGGCAAGCTCTGTGATCAAAGTCGATACCTAAATAGATGGTATTTACCAGTTTAGGCTAGCCGAAAACGGCAGGGCGGGGTTCCGCGCGGGGGCGGAAGTGCGGCGAATTTCCGCGCGGAGTTCCCCAGCATCCCGGGGCGCTTTCTTTCCTCGATTCCGCACTTCGATGTTTGAAGAAAAGATAAATATGAAAGACACAGTAATCGCTCCATTCATTGACAGGGATACTATATCGAAAATTTATTAGAGATTTGGATTCATCTGTCTTTATGGCCAGTTGCTTCCCCACAGAAATAGGGCACAATGATGTCTAGAAAGATGCATTCAGAGGATCAATCGTAAACCAGTTTTTCAAGGAGAGAAGAAATAATAGGGGAAGAGAGTGAATTGTACTATATTGCATAGTAAGGCTATCCTTAAATACCGGGAGCTGCCTGCTTAAGGACATATCCAGTAACCCATGTCGCAAACGCAGGATTAAATGCAGTGGTGATAAACCATGTCTGCGTTGCGAGAAATATAACCTAGATCAAAGCATCCTTGAGGGACGTCCTTCCAACGGTGTTAAGAAGGCCCTTGAAGAGCACCAGTTGCATATCGTTCGTCTAAGAATCTTACAGGTGAATAATCCCCGGCGGCTGGTAGCCGCACTTCGTGGGCCCGACAAGTTCAGTTATAACTTCAATATGGCCGATAATGAATAATGCCCTTCAGACAATGGGGATACGGCCCCACGAACCAGACGGTGAGCCGATCCAGCCATTGCCATTCCAGATCGCTGACCATCGCCGTACAGCCCCATCATGGAATATAGATCCAATCATTGTCACCTGGGATGAACGAGGCGTATAGCTGGAAGCGTACAAGGAGGAACGTTGTCTGGTCTGTCTGTTCATCCCAGTAGAGAAATCCGTCACCTAGTACCGTCCATATTCGAGAGTGCGACAACAAGTCAGCCTTCTCGAGGCCAGTGGTCAATATTGAGATGCGGATAAAGAATTCTTCTGTACACTTCGGGTACGGACGGGGCTCGCCTTGTCACCAATATGGCCAAGGATACTGATGGCTTTTGCCAGTCGACCAAAAAGGAGAACCGTTCATTTTGACATATACCATCAGGGTACTTGTGATAGTCACATCAAGTAAGTCAATCGGTGCTGATATTATTTTACCTAGTGAACTCCTTATGAGACCTTCTCTACTGCGCATTTCGCAAGGTAAAGTCTAGTCTATACAAGAAAAAGTGGCGCGAGAATTTCGCCGAAGATCTGCCGGTGGACCATCATCATCTACGGAGCAGACAACACCGGCCATTTTCACCAGGATTTCTCCGACGATGCTCCATGGCGATCACCAAGGGAAAAGGACGGACCAACAGTGAACAGTACTCCGTATGATGAACCGGTTATTTCTATTATTTTATCAGCATCCCGTTTCACGTATGTTGAACAGCTCCTGTCAAGCCAGACACCGAAAGAGTCTCGGGAGGTCCCGTGGCTGCCATTTCTCCAACTCCCGGGATCGGAAGACTGGCCTGGCCGATCTAGAAGATCCCGATGGTTTACTTCACAATACGCACAAGTTGGGCCGGATACTTTGTTCTCTGAAGGACCAAGCACGGTCCGTCTCGCGGTTCCGCAAGATGCTTCTGCTGAGGGGCAGCATTCCCCCATCTTCCAGCACGGACCGGTCGAAGGTCTGGAGAAACAAGGATAACGGAGACAATTCGGCACAAGAACCCTTTACAAGAGCGCTATGGCACGGGACGTTAGGCCAACACAGGAGAAACTGTTACTACCGGCCATCGAGCTCGGATTCGTAACTGGTGGAGCGTCCCGAGAAGGGATCCGCCGTTGGTCGAGCTTTGACGCCGGGCATTTTGGCTCGACTGGAGTCTCCACGGGGAAGCAAAAAATCTTGTGGAGGCCCGGCATTTCTGTGGAGGACCTGGGGTTGCACGCTCGCTCAATTCGGTCAACTTCCGTCACGAACACCATGAGTTATGACAGTCATCTTCTCCCCCATTATTATGGTTGATGGGCTTGTTTTGACGGATTGTTATGAGGAATGTACTGTACATTACCTACTCTAGAGTCTACGGCAAGCCGGGAAGATTCCAGAAGTCTATGTGCGATGGCTTCGATTGAAGCTTTCTTGGATGCCGCCAAGATTGATCTGCACGGTTCTCTTTCACATCAGCTAACGGAAATCAAAATCCGTGAATACTGCTAAATCTTCCAATACAGGCTTCGAGCCGGCGGTGTTACCACATGTGGCTGGATGGACCCTTTTCATTACACACGCGATGCCTATCCCCGGCCCCTTGGCGGACTAGTACATAGTCTGATGCCCATCAGCCTAAAGGCGTCACTGGTATTATCTACAGACAGAGATCGTGTTAGCTGCATCCCGCATTGCTCAGTTCCACTTGCATTCTAGTGCCGACATTATCACTGGTCGTTTACACTTCCCCGACCAGGTGATCCTCAGACCCCGCGGCACGATCGAGCGTCTTTTTCTGATCGCCCTCTTCAGAGGCACATTGCTATATTATGTGACCCCTCCCTCTGTCCGGCGCTCTGGAAGTCCGCGGCACCTGATTCTTGTTCAATTCATTTCTCCCAGTTCGACTGGACCCCAATAAATAACCTGACTTTACAATTGCCTTCCAGGCAGGATCATAGATCACCATTGGCTGGATCTATTGTTTGCGCTGTCACTTGTGCTCAGCATGGCAGATCCCGCCCCCAACCCAAACAGCCTCGAAGCCCACATGGAGAGCAAAGGAAACGCCATGGAGCTGGACGATATCCATGACCTTCCCTTGAAGGATGAAGCAGCTGTCAATGAGGCGGCCATGGACGCTGAACTCGCGCAACTGGAGCAACAGTTGCAGGGCCACAGGCGATCCAGGTTGCAGTTTGACTTCTCGCCGAGATTCTTCTCTTGGATGCTGGTGTTTTTCGCATCCATGGGAGGTCTACTCTCGGGTCTCGATCAGTCGCTCATCAGTGGTGCCAACCTATATTTGCCGAAAGATTTGCATCTCTCGGACTCGAGAGCCAGTTTGGTCAATTCTGGCATGCCGCTTGGTGCAGTTTTGGGCGCATTGATTCTGTCGCCTGCGAATGAGTATCTCGGTCGTCGAATGGCCATTATCGTCTCCGTCATCCTCTACACAATTGGTGCAGCATTAGAGGCTGGCGCTATCGACTTTGGCATGATATTTGCTGGCCGCTTCATTCTAGGTACCGGCGTTGGCCTTGAAGGGGGCACTGTGCCTGTCTACGTCGCAGAATGTGTGGACAGCAAAAAGCGCGGAGGCTTGGTATCTCTCTACCAGATGAACATTGCTCTGGGAGAAGTATTCGGCTATGTGGTCGCAGCCATATTTGTCAACGTGGAGGGCAATTGGCGATATATCCTCGGATCCTCTCTAGTGTTCTCAACCATACTCTTCGTCGGCATGATCTTCCTCCCTGAAAGCCCCCGATATCTGATGCACAAGGGAAAGACAGTCGAAGCCTATGGTGTCTGGAAACGCATTCGAGGCTTCTCTACCCTCGAATCCAAAGAGGAATTTCTCGGCATGATCCAGGCTGTCGGCTCTGAGAACCAACAACACGTGACCAAGAACAGATATGCCTGGATGGACTTCTTTACTGAACCTCGCGCACGAAGAGCTATTATTTATGCGAATCTGATGACCTCAATCGGCCAACTCACGGGCATAAATGCAGTTATGTATTATATGAGTGTTCTGATGTCGAAGATCGGATTCAGTGACAAAGACTCCGTCTTCATGTCTCTAGTTGGTGGAGGGGCCCTACTATTGGGAACTATCCCGGCTGTCCTATTTATGGACAGTCCGAGATTCGGAAGACGCTACTGGGCCAACCTTATGCTTCCAGGGTTCTTCATTGGTCTGGTCCTTGTCGGCGTTGGCTACCAGATTCCCATCGAAACACACCCTGCGGCAGCTGAAGGCATTTACTTAACTGGACTGATCCTGTACATGGGCTTCTTTGGCTGCTACGCATGTCTCACATGGGTCATTCCGGCAGAGGTATTTCCAACATATCTACGCAGTTATGGCATGACCACTTGCGATGCCAACTTGTTTCTCTGTTCGTTCATCGTGACATATAACTTCACGGCCATGATGAACTCGATGACGCGGATTGGTCTCACGCTTGGCTTTTACGGAGGTATTGCTGTGCTTGCCTGGTTCTATCAGATCCTCTTCATGCCAGAAACCAAGAACAAGACCCTTGAGGAGATCGACGAACTCTTCTCGAAGCCTACATCTGTGATTGTGAAGCAGAACATCAAAGGGACTGTGGAGGTGATGAGAGACCTTGCGGCATTTCGCTGGAAGAGAGTCTTCTTGCCTTCCTAAGCAGATACGAAACATTTTACGTTCTCATGTTTGGTGAATTGTTCTAGCTCCTCTCAACCCCAAACATGTCCTGGCCATGGGCAATACTCACGGTTATCATGAGATATTGAAACAGCTCAATATTTATCGATGTGTTAGATAATTACGAAGGAATGTAAATCATGAATCGGAATTGTTATGAGTCATCACAAAACTAGAGAAGCTCATCAGCGCTACCACGACCCAGGAGGGCCTCAGCATATCAAGCAAATATATGACGTACTCTGCGCTCTCCAATTGTAGAAATGCTTCTTGCGCTTGGGGATGTCCGGTGCGTTTGTTTTCTTTCCCGAAATCAGTGAGGCTATTCTACTATTCTCGATGTTCAAGCGTTTAGGCTATGTATACACAGAATTTCGAAATAGAACTAATTGTTAAATGATATTGATGAATTTGTTTGCTATAGTAGATATGTCTCCTTCTAACAGTTAATATCTTAATTAGGTATAGTGTCAGTCGTATAGATCTTGTGACTTCTTGTATCGGCGCACCCCCCGTTCGTATCAGGTCCCTGACATGATAGAATCCGCGAGATCCTCTCTGGATCTGGATTCATTGTCTCATTAAGAGGTAAATATGAAGGTCAACTGCCTCTACCTAGATACAGAGTCCAGCTAGCAACTTACCAGGACGATGGTTGAGGTTTGAAAAGATCGTTATAGAAAGACGGTGACTGCTGGTGAGGATTCGAGCAGCGATCATGGTGGGAGAGCTGTGGCCAGAGTCAGGCGGTGTTCAGGGCTGCAGGAGGTGGTCCTGAAGACACTCCCGGAGTACGGCAATCTCATGGTATCCGGGGTCCGCTCGAGTATAGAAGGACCTGAACCGACAGATGATGCTCTGTGAGATCAAACGCAGCTCACCACTTCTTCACAATCCTCTCCAGAGACTGGATTGTCTCGCGGGGACCTCCACAGCACATGTCACTCCTCAAAATTGAAAAGACAGAAGGGCCAACGACTACGACTACGAGACGCTAGATCGAAAGGATGCTTTCGGGATCTACGTGGAATCTGAATCCAAATACTCTATCTAGTGGCTCTCTCGCAACCAACCTAAAACAGACCGAGTGTCTATCGCCTGCCGTCGCCACCAACCCACCATACCATGAACAATCCTGGTCATGCAAGGCTCTGCGTTGAACCGCCCTTCGCGCAATAATTATGAATCGGCGCTGCTCTCTATCACGCGCTCCGCTGCTAACTTGGTCGCACAGTAACAATCTCTAGGCAGCCGATAGTTAACAGGTATCGAGTCGTCTTATCTGTGACTAAGGGGCTCACCCGCACTTGTTGCGCTCGTACCTTCACCCGCGCTTGAAAATATTTAAACAACATACCTATCCTTTGAATAGTCCGCTCATGAAAGATTTCACCACTTCCCTCTTATGGGCTGAGTGCAGCATGCTTTTGCAATTCCTCACCATCCGCCGCAATCCTGATGGATCGAATTGCGATATTAGAAAGGTTGCTTCTAGAAGAGCAGCGCCGACGCGAAGAAGCCGAGGGCCGGGCTTTGGATGAACAACATCGCCGTGAAGAAGCCGAAGAAGTCGCGAAAGCATCGCGGCCACAAACCCTCAAGGCGTACCTCGAGGCCTGTCACGCACTCAGTCTTGCCATCAAGGTCGTCACTGCTCGTTCTCTGACTACACAAGGCGACACAACTAGTCCGACTGGTCGAGTTTACCCACGACGACTCATACCTTGGGATGAATTCCCGACAAGGCAGGAAGAAATCTGGGACAAGCTGTCGGAACCCTCATTCATCGACCAACACCAATTTCCTTCCCAACATCAACTAGACTATGTGCAGTCCTTGATTGGGCCCATCAGCAGCGAGCATGGGCTCCGACACTTCGAGCGCGACACCGTTGAAAATGCAGTACAGAAGTTGGTTGATGCGGTATACGAAAACCCGCTCCTACGAAACAGCCTCGACCTGCGCGGGACCGTGACGTTCGAGAGCCACACAAATCTCGGCCAAAGCGAGAACATCTCGGAGTCCTTAGGACACATGTCCCTCACCGACAACGATCTCGGGGGCGCACCGCCCGCCCCGACAACACCTGCACGCAGGGCACCTCGTAAGACGAAGGGCAAGGGCAATCGCGCAGATCAATTCTACATATATAGGATGTCAGATGGCGCAAGCGTTCCAACGATGGCTATTGAGTACAAAGCGCCACACAAGCTGAGCCAGGACGAGGTTGTTACTGGCCTGGCCTCCGAGATCCATCCGGAACGAGACGTGATCAATAGGGACGGTGAGGGCTTTCAGTTTGCGTCCAGGGCGCTCGCCACCGCCGTAGTCACCCAGCTCTTCTCCTACATGATCGGCAAAGGCATCCAGTACGGATATATCTGCACAGGGCAAGTCTTCATCTTTCTCTACATCCCTGACGATCCTGCCACCGTTTACTACCACGTTTGCGTGCCTAATCTGGACGTTCTCGACGACGACGAGAACAGACTTCATCGCACGGCCGTCGCACAGGTCTTTGCTTTCATCCTTCAGGCACTCCGTGCGGCACCGCCACCATTATCATGGCACGACGCCGCCGATGGGCTTGATACCTGGGTTGTGGAGTACGATGATGTGCTGAGCAAGATTCCCGAAACAGTACGTAAAGGCAAGGAACCTCGCGCTTCTCCTTATAAACCTCAGCGCTGGAAGGGCTTCAAACGGTCACCAATTCAAACCCGCTCGCGTTGCACGACATCTGATGCCCAACCCATTCGCCGAGGCGATAGTGGTGACGACGACGACGACGACGACGAAGTGACTGGACCCCCTTCACCGACCCCGTGTCGATTGAGTCGTTCCGGCAAGAAGGCAAGCGCGTCAACAACTTCGGGCGGGAGACGAGGGCGAGGTGATAGAAGGGGGCGGCAGGGCGAGAGCACGCAGGGAAGAATACAGGATAGGCCGTACTGCAGTCATCAATGCCTCCTAGGGTTGGCACACGGTGGTCCGATGGACAAGAACTGCCCAAATATTCATAGTCACGGGCCAAGGCACATTGGCCGAACGAAGTTCCTGCACCTTCTTCGCGAGCAGCTAGCCGTAGACCGCGGCCACGATGCGGATTCTATGCCGCTCTCTTTGTCAGGGTCGGTCGGATCACTCTTCAAAGTGAGACTGTCCGCTTTCGGATATACCCTCGTCGCCAAGGGCGTGGAGACGGACCACGTTGCCCGCTTGCGACATGAGGAGAAAGTGTATGATCAACTCCGGATTATCCAGGGAAAGTATGTTCCTGTCTGCCTCGGTATGATAGATCTGGTGCTACCATACTATTTTGATGGTGGTGTGTTCGAGCACTTCCTATTACTGAGCTGGGCTGGGAGGCCTTTGCCGTGGTGCGTTGGCGACGTCAAGGCACCTGTTATCCCTGGAATTACAACAGGCTACAACGAGTTACACCGTCTGCGAGTTCTCCATAACGACGCTGAAGCACGCAACATCCTCTACGACGGAAGTCCAATGATAGTGGATTTTGAGAGGGCAAAAATCTGCTGCCGTCAGCCTCTGGGCCTGACAAGCCCGAACGGGCAGAGTCGGAAGAGGAAGCAGGGCAAATCGGGAGATCGAGGAGCAGACGAATTTGCGAGAGAGCTAGAATCCATTGTGGAAAGCGTTTCGGCATGCATTGCACGCAACTCCAATGCGTCTGCGCCACGGCCTTAACCTGATTCTTGGCAAGAGTGGGTGGATTTGCTCCTGGGGATTGAGGTAAGTCAAAGTTTCCGTCTGTCCTTCAGGCTCCAGGGGAGGGTGACAGCGGCGTTGGCGGGAAGCACGAATCCAGCCATCTGGATGTGCATCTGCTACCGATCAAGAGATTGTTCGGCGTCTTCGAGGGAGACTGCAAGCTTAGGGAGGCTTACCAACCTCAGAGAAAGCAGAAGAGATGCCACAGTGGCTGCCCCCGCCGCCGAAACGAGGACACCTTGAACGACCCTTGTGACCAGAACCGGCGGAGGATATCGCTTTCCCTCATTATCATGAGTAAAGACCGTATCGTATGTAGGAATTGGTACCTCATACAAAATGGTGTTCTAGGATCGGAGAAACATCCGTACTAGATCGATAGATGAAATCCTTATGCTTCTGGCCACGATCATGGACTTCATTCGGGATGATTTGGATGACTAGATGACTAGCGAATGCTTTTATCATTTGCTCAAATTGCTTTTTAGGGTTATATTTTACATGATAATAATATATTTTATCTAATAATAAGAACAAGAATAGCTAATTATTCCATAGATTAGCACGTCCTAATATCCTAGAGTCCAGCAAGCAACTTAGCAGTACCAGCTAGAGAGAGGTTCACGACAAGACTGCGCCATTTAGGTTGGGATATTTTCTACGATATATTGTTATTCTAAAAATAATAAATATATAGATTGGTGCTCTAGTTTACTAGATCCGAAATGGTAAAGCCCCACTGGTCGGGGCAATTACGCAATTTAGGTACTGAGAAACGGACCGATGGAAATATCAACGTCGAACCTCTTTCAACTCAATCAATTGAGATTGCAGACTATCATACAACCATTCGAGATGGCAGCGATCCTTCCCCGTGCCGGCCTTCGTGCTCTGCGAGCCCTGCCCCGAGCTACTCCTGTAGCTACAGGATCGTTCGCATCCACGCTTCCCCGCACTCAGCGGCCTCTTGCCCAGCCCATCACTCGCCGGTTCCTGGCGACTGGTATCCCAGAGCAGCCTCGTCTGCGCCTTGGATCTACTGGTATGCTTCAATCTCTCATTTTGATTCTAGCCGAGAATCCCTCTCGTTGCTAACGTTTGCGATGCAGCTCCCAACTTCAAGGCCCTGACTACCCATGGAGAGATCGACTTCCACGAGTTTATCGGCAACGACTGGGCCATCCTCTTCTCCCACCCGGCCGATTTCACCCCGGTATGCACGACGGAGCTGGGCGCATTCTCCAGACTCAAGCCTGAGTTCGACAAGAGAGGTGTCAAGATGATCGGACTGGTGAGTTTGTACCCGGATGGTCCGGGTTAACTGTCTATCACCACTAACTCCTCCATCATAGAGTGCCAACGACCTCAGCTCCCACGGCGATTGGGTCAAGGACATCAACGAGGTTGCCAACACCAACGTCGAGTTCCCCATCATCGCCGATGCTGACCGCAAAGTCGCCTTCCTGTATGACATGGTCGACCAGCGCGACCTTGACAACATCGCCGAGAAGGGCATTCCCTTCACTATCCGTTCCGTCTTCATCATCGACCCGGCCAAGAAGATCCGTCTGATGATGCTGTATCCGGCCTCGACTGGCCGCAACTCTACAGAGGTGCTGAGAGTGATCGATGCCCTCCAGGCCGCTGACAAGAAGGGCATTGCTACTCCGATTGACTGGAACGTCGGTGAGGATGTCATCGTCCCGCCATCAGTCTCCACGGAGGACGCGAAGAAGAAGTTCGGTGAGGTGCGGGAGGTGAAGCCCTACCTGCGCTACACCAAGTTCTAAACGGCGTCTGCCTGTATAGTATGATTGTATGATAGATCATAACAGTAATGGAATACAACTGCCCTCTGTGGTTCATGATAGGCGTCGACACTGGTTCTTCGCGTATACAAGTTCCCTGGCCCTGGATTACATTCTTCATGACCGTCGAGATAACCCGAATCTGTGTTTAAATTAGAGCTTGTTGGTGCTATAAACAGCAAATTAGTATCGCGGTATCCACAGTTAAGTACCGGACGAACGAGCACTGCAGCATTTCCGATCTGCAAGATGACCACTCGAGAAACTTAGACTAAGCCACTTCAAAGTGAACTGAAGGAACTGTCTTGCTCATAATCCAGTTGAACAGACCAGGGCTCTTTAGATAAGTGCTACAGGTCGGCCAAGGTCCTTTCTAAGTCCCCTTGTCGGCTGATCGTTGAAGGCTCAAAGGAATCATCTGATATTGTTGGACGAGCTTTAAATAGACACTGCTAGTCAATTTCCCCCAAATCAGAAGGTTAAAAAGGTAAGTGTCTGGCATTGCCATGTCGTATGTGGCTGTGGCCGATAGCGATCAGCTGCATCCCGACCAAGCCTTTCTTTACTTAGACGGTGGCGGTGGATCATCCAACGATTTCCCTGGGCGACGATCCCCGACTTCTCTGCTGCAACGCGACTCCTGCCCCTTCAGTTTCAGAAAGAAGAACCCAATACAACATTAATTGAGCAGCTGGTTCTTCCAGCTGCTCTCACCAATCTTCTTGACAGAGCCAGTTCTCACAATACCGGCGCATTCTCGATCACCCCGCGCTCCCTTATCGTCTCCCCCCTTGGGAACCTCACCGTCACGACAAACCCCAAACTTGTTGAGATTGCAAGCGGTGCAAGGCCCGACACGATACCATGACTTCCTACTTTGCGTCTTTAACATCGTCGAGCGCCATCTCGAACCTCGGCACTCGTTTCAACTCTCTCCGTCGCGCCATCAGCTCCGGCGACGAGGTCGACGACACCGAGAATGAAGACTGCTCCCACATCTCGAATGTCCTGCGCGCATATTACATTGAGAAAGGACGTCCATTCCCCGGATGGTTGCCACCAGATCCCAAGGCTCCAGCTGCCCCTCAACCTCGGATGGTCGCGACACAGGCAGCTCTACAACAAGGCGGTTACGGACAGGCACAAGGACGAGGAGCGGGCTTGAGTGACCTGTGGGGAGACTCGACGGCATCGCAACCACCACCACAACAGCAGACGTTAAGTCTTCGTCGTGGACGTTCACAGGCTCCCGCTGGAACACACTCGCTCTCTACATCCCCGAGTCCTGGATCGCGACCATCAACAGCAACTCCTCCACCACCGATGGGGGCCCGACCCCTCCCAAGTCAACGCGGGGCTTCATACCAAAGCACACAGTCTGCACCACAAGGCCGTCTTGGACTCGACCGTGCTGGCTCGGGAGGAAGCTCTGCCTCGGACAGACTACGCGCACGGCTACAAGGATCTTTTGGAGGAAGCTCACCGAGTCCACCGCCAGCTCAGTCTCCTGGAAGCGCTCCGATGGGCTCCAGTCGATGGGGGTCTACAGACTCTGCAGCATCTGATAGCGGTTACGGATCCAATCCATACGCTGGTGGAAGCGCCGGAAGTGGAGCAGGATCGCGCAGACCAGTCGGCCTACCTTCAGGACCCAAACTGCGTGGTCCGCGATAAAGGATTCCAAGGCGGTCCCTGTCTCTCTTCATGGATTCACTGCTCGAGGATCGCTGGTAGATGGCTCTGGCATATTGCATTTGTGATCCGGTTGCATTAGTGATTCCCCAGTCTGTTGTTGTATAAGAGCATTGGCCTAAGCACTACATCTCGCAAGGCGTTTGGTATTATCTGTTGCATCCATTTCAATCAGTCGTCAAGTATAGACCTGCACTGTACATACGCATTAATAATGATTAGGACAATCTTGAGAGCCTCATTTCTGTGACTATACTATCAATAAGTAGCGATCGTAGTAGAGCCAATCCACATCGTCCGAAATTAGTCTCTACATCGAGAAGTCAGCAGATCAGGATTCTCTAGCAATACTGAGGAAAGTAGACGAGTGATAGTAGAGACTCCTTACTCTATATCATGACGAAACTGACTTCCACCATCTACGAGAGACCTCAATCAAGCATCTTCAGCATCAGCTCCAAGATCTACTTTGGATCTTGCCGCGGGGCTGACTCGCTGAGTCCGCCAAGTACTTAATCGCCCCTGTTATCCTTCCGCCATCCAGGCAGTGGTCCAATACTCAAATCAAGGGTCGCCATCAACGGTCTGGCCATTTGCTTTTAGTTAGACCAGCAACACAACCTAAACGCCATCAATTTCGTATCAAATTCTTTTTGATATGTTCTCATTCGTTCACTTGTGTTTCCGGATGATATCATTCATCACGCGCCCACTTTTTCTCCATCCCTTCCAGCTGCTTTGCGATGTCTTTTTCCCAAGCAGTACAGAAAGACAATTAGAAGACGAAGAAACAGGACAGATTGGTGAAGTATTATACCAAAATCATAAGCGCTTCTGATTCGTTACTAAGTATTTTTAGGGTGATACGCCAATCGTCTCGACTGAACAACAATACGACCAATCTTCTCCAAGGGAATGTACCGAAAGTCAAGGACCGCAATATTGCGACAACCCCTATGCAAATCTTCCAGTTATTGGCATAGGCATGACCGGTAGAATCCATCAGATCGATAAAGATCGTGTTGTAAAAGTGGCTAGAGTCTACTCCCTTGAACATCTCTCCGAGCCTGATCGTGGCGACACGGAATATATTAACGAAATGAACCGGGAGACTATAAGACACGAGATCTGTGTCTATGAGCGCTTAGGAAGCCACAGAGGGATCATATCTTGTCTAGGGGTCTCTGAGCATGGAATCGAGCTAGCCTTTGCAAACCAGGGCAATCTGGGATCCTACATCGAGAATAATCCAGAACCAACCGAATCTTTCAAAGCCACGTGGATATTGACTCTTACCGATACTTTATCTTACGTCCACTCGCGCAAGGTCTTTGTGGATGAGATTGCACTCCGCAACTTCTTAGTAGCTGAAGGACAGCTCAAGCTTGCGGATTTTGGTCAATCTATTCTATTGCCTTTAACTGCTGACGTGAATACAATATCCGAAAATGATCTAACGGCAAAGATTGAGATACTTCATCTCGGCTGGGTTATTTGCTCAATCGCACAGTGGCGCGTTCACAAATACTACTTCTTTGACACAGAGAAACCGCAAGAAAATCCTTCTATGGGCGATCTCTTCTGCCGAGATCTAGTTCAGAAATGCTGGAATGGTGAATATGTTAGCATGGATGCTTTAAACAAGGAAGCGCATATTTTATTGGGTGAAATGACTTTAGGAGGGCCAGTTTGAAAGCTCCACCAACTGACAGGTTGACGCGTAGCTAGACATAGGATTAAATAGACTAAAAAAGATACGCTCAGAAAGCTTGGGATTCCTCGAAATACCAACTACGAGGCTCGTGGCATGCAGGCGAAACCAGAAGGCTTTCTTGCTTTCTTCGGTCGAGTCATCATCTAGGCTTCCAGGGTGCGTGAATCATCCCTCGAGCAACAAAACATGCTGTGTGAGCCACCACAGATTGTCTTGGGCATTAGAAACGAAATTGTTCAGAAGAGCTGCTATTACCTTACGAAGAGTGTCTATCTGATATGATATCATTAAAATGTAGAATTCGATAAACATCCAGTCAATCCCCGCACGTGCATAGTTTGAATTAGCAGATCGGCCATGACCCTCTCTCCATCCTAGATATCAATATCAGTTCATCGCCACAAAACTTCATCAATACCATAGAAGAGACACGCCCTCTCTAAACCCCACACATCGCCAAAATAACCTGATCCGACCCTTCCTCCCCATTCACATCTCCTATATACCCAACACACCCTTGTCCCAAATTCTGAAACGCCACCGGCGTCTGCTCCCTATTAACCGGCTCCGGAAGGAAGACATGCGACTCGACTACTGAGTCCCTCCCGGGGAGATACAGCGCCACTGCATTATCGACATTTTTTAGATGCACCGCCTTTTGCGAGTAGGACTGCGGAAGTCTCTCTTTGGCCAGATAGCGATTTGTTGCGGATGAAAGGACCGCACGCTGGTTTAGATATACGGTTGTGCGGTGATAGTCGCCGAATGCCCAGGGGAAGTTGAGTTTCGTCCGCATGAAGCGGTTGAAGGTTGGTGCGTTAATGAAGCTGGAGAAGAGACAGCAGAAGATTAGGACGCCGCCGGAGCGCACGTAGGTTAGAACGCTGTCGAGGGCGCGCGAGTTGGAGGGATCTGTGAGACCAGGGTCGGTTGCGAGGATCGCGTGTGGGTGGTTGGCGCTGAGGTAGCGGACTGCAGCGTCGGAGTTGGAGGCGCGCTGGATTGTGGCGTGTTGGAATAGTTTGTCAACGAGATAAGAGTACATCTCGTCAAACCAGGGTTGGGAATCGATAGAGAGAAGGAGGACGCGAGGTCTCTGGGGAGTGGCGTCTGATGCTGATAAGGCAGCCATGGTGGTTGTATGGTTGGTGTAGTGGTGGTAGAGTAGAGTAGAACGAGACTTGAAGTTACCTGGTGGAAAGTACAATTCCACTATTAATCAATATCAGTTTGTCGCCCAGCAGTCAGAGGCTGGCTTGCAGTGAATCAATTGACTTTATTGTGTGTCAATGGGGTGAACGAACAAAGAATCTGCTGAAGATCTCGTACCTACCAGGTATATAACAGAGTTGTAGTTACTTACTCCGTCGATTGTATTGGAATTGAACGAATCGCGGGCTTGTTTATTCTCCGTTTACGGGCTTCTATAAGTAAGTATAGGTGTCAACACCACATAATTCCGCGAAATGTCGCGTGGACCCTAATAACATCTCAGGTAGTATCTTAGAAGTTAGAAGTCACCCCACTCGCTGACCCCTATGCACCACAGATATCAGATAATCAGATGGCACATACTTACCCGGGCCGAGTAATCTTAGCAGTTATCAGTGGAGTCTGTACTTTTTGTACGAACCCTAAGTACCTAGTTAACCATAAACCAACAGATTAGACAAGCGGTTAAAGGAGTCAACTAATATTAACGGTTAAAAGTAGTTACTACAGCATTATTTTCTTAGGAACAGATTAAGAATTCTGCCTTTTCTCCTTACACTATACTTGCACGCACCTAATTATATGAGCTTTACATACAATAGGTACTTAGCGCCTTCATATAATACTTGAGATAAGTAGGTAGTTAATGTAATAAATGGGGAGCTACATCTTACTATAAGTACTGTACCTACTTAGGTCTTGGCGATAAAACTAATTTGGCTGCCAAATATTATTATGATTTTATAGTATTTCTTCCCGTCCTCGTACGCGATCATCTAACCCCCTTGCCCCTCTTAGATATCTAGAGTATCCCTCTACCTCAAGCTCCTAGCAATTGCATCTGGAATTTCAATCTCGTATGGTGGGTCTCCTCATGCTCCTTAACTCGCTGTCTCAGCGACGAGTTCTCCCTGGTGTAGCCTAGTGGAGTCACGATAAATGACTTGAATGTAAGTATTATGTATCGAACAGGCCTTTTATAGAAGGTTGCGGATCACGATAATAAGGAAATACTAGAGATGTAGTTGCAAGAAGTATATATGCTCCAAATAGTGAGAGATATTACGAGACCATGGAACGTCCTCTGCAACCGTAAAGATAAACTATATTAGATGCTTCTGGAAATTAAAACAAGAAATAACATAACCACCCAGAGAAGAAAAGCAGGTCAAGATTAAAACGCAAATAGGATAGAACTTAGCACTAATAACAAATAAAGGGTATCTGGAAATAAGATTATTAAAGTCTCAGCATACAACCTCTTTGTCCTGTGATGTTGAACCACATTCCCATCCACTAGGCGTTAACCAGACAGTGTGGCCGGTGGGCGAGATTCGAGGCGCGAAAATTGGGCTTCTTCTGCCTGCTTATGGACATGACTCGTTCTGGATAGTTCGTGATAATACCATCCACTCCATGCTCGAGCATCTTTTCAACCGTAGCTTCGTCGTCGACGGTCCAAGGGAAGATCCTCATGTTGAGTTCATGAGCACGCTTGACTACTTCTTTGTTTATCCAGGGAACATAGCCGGGTGTATTGACGCTCGCAGTCCAGGGATCTCCATGGGCTGGTCCCACAATCTCTGCTCCGATGGACGCAGCTGCTGCAATCCAATCTCCCTGAAAGTCGGCAAGGTCGATACCCCCAAGCCATGGATAACCACCATCAACAGGTATGATACCCTCTGGCTCCACAAGTGCCACTATCACCATGTGGGGAAACTTCTGCTTGATCCCTATCAGAGTCCGCCAGTCGAACGACTGCAGCGTAGTGCGGGAAGCAAAACCACGTCTCTCCAGCAAGGGCACGATATCATCCACGTATTTCTCCACAGGAAACGTCTCGTTTGGCTTTAGTGGATCCAGCTTCGTCTCGATATTGATGGCGACGTTCTTGTTCTCATAGCACTCAATAAGATCCAGGACCTCTTCAAGAGTTGGAATGCGGGTATCCTCGTAGACTTGGTCTCTTCGTAAGTCACAAGCCATATGGAAGACAGTGGATTTCACAGTGTACCTTGAGCCTGCGGATGTTCACTAAGCTGTAAATCACAGCTCATCGATTTGATCTCCTCAAGAGTCAGATTCGCAACGAAAGCGCCGACATGGTCACCACGGCATTTCTCAGCTGTGATTTCATGCTATAAGCATTTTAGCATCTTCCTCCGAAAAAGCTGCTGCGGACACGAGCTCACATCGTGCCAGACGACTGGAATACCGTCTTTGGTGAAAACAACATCCATTTCCAGAACGTCGATTCCAACTTCCTGCCGGTCATTGTCAATTACCTTTTAGGGGTTCCTGGCGAGTACTGGGCCACAAAACCAACCATCGCATATGCAAATGCCTAGACATGGCATTAGCAGAGATCTTCAGATGCGCATTTCATCATCCTCAGGAGCGGTTGGTTCTACCCAGAGGCAATTCTCGGTCCTCATCCCAGTACCGCCCCGATGGGCTTGGATCTCCAAGAAGCCTTGATCATGGTGTCCCCAATCTTGCGGAATCGAGCCGATACCGACAAACGAGACAGCAGCGCCCAGAAGAAGCAACGATGACTTGACGGTAGATTTTACCAGAGTAGGCAGAGAAGCTGACAGACCCTGGGGTTCAAGCAGATACTCGAGTGATGAGGGTAGATATTGGGCGAAGTTTTGCGACAGACTCTGACCACCTTTGACAGCAAACAATTCCCAGGCCATCCTAGGCCCGTCCTGTGTACCAGTCAAGTGTGCGCAAGCGTAGCTAACTTGAGAGAAGGAAGAAAGAAGATGCTCCTGATATCAAGAATGCTAGACAGCTGCTTTTATCATCCCTTACGGACTCCCCAGAGACGTAACCCACGCCAAGTAGACAGTCATCGCGACGCCCGCAGTGGGACACGAAGATCGTTATCAAGGACGAATTACGTCTTGGTAACGGCCGTTATCTGCACCTCCCATCGATGATAGCCATGACTTGAACCCATCCGTTGTTCTTTGTTTGGGTCGGTCCCCGCCGGAGGCTCACTAGGGCTGAAGATCGACAGCGCATTTGGCACCGGCTTTCGAACCTCGAGCGCCAAAGGTGACGTCTATACGAATAGCAGCCTCGTATTTCATGGAGTCTGGAGAACCCTCGACGCTTGGCTGATGGAGGGGTTATCTCCGAGAACGGAAGGTTATCATCTCTATCACCAGCCGTTCCGCTCTTGGCTGATCTGCGCGCAAGTTGATATCAGCACCCCATGTGGCAACCTTCTTATGGAGATGCTGAGGCGCGTCTAAGTATGTGCCGTATGAAGATCGTTATATTTTTTTCTATCATAAGAAAAAAAAAGATAGATGCTGTTTTTGTTCATTTTGTAGGCTGTACGTACCACATGTCTACAATATACTAACCACTCTGTTAGACCATAACGCGACAAGTAGTGCGCTTACTCAAGGAGTCATACTTAACTGGATGACCAGTATGTGCCGTTACGCAGCTCGTACTCTAGCCCCTTACATATATTCAAGGTTGCTTTGACACTTCACCATGCGTACCAGGATAGACTAGTTGCAGAACCCAGACATCCCATGATCCATGGCATATGCCGGCAAACCATAAATGAGCACCAAGCCAGATGGTAACAGACGATCGTCCCCTTCGTCAAGATCCAATAGGTATATCATATCCAAAAAGAAACATCCACTACAGACCTCCTTGCTTCCCCAGCTCGTCTCCCAGCAGCTGTATAGTCCTCTCATACACTCGAGCCCCCTCCATTTCCCATCGGTCAGGAGCGTCCACATAATCGTCAGTACCATACACATCCTCATCCTCGTTCTCGTTCTCATCCCCTGTCCCATCCACATCCATTCCGTCTGCTTCCTCCTCTTCCGTGACCCGGCTATCTTCACGATCTCTAGCTTCAACAACTGCAATACGACACGCTTCAGCAAGACTTTTAATCCTGACTTTCTCAGTCATGGATACTACATTGCGTCGGTTCTCAAAGCCTGAAATCGGAGCACCTGTATCCGCATCTTCTCCCGTTAAGAGGGATGCGAAAATCGCATCTAATTTCTTGATCAGACGAAATGTAGACCGTGGAGAAAATGGATATTCTGGCAGATAGCTATTGACGAGACCAGCCAGAGATATCAAATATGGTATTTGAAGAGAAGCTGAAAAGAAAAAACAGTTAGCCATAAGCTCCTTCATATATCTAGACCCAAATAACGAGACAGGGAAGAGGGAGGGAAACATACGCGTCCCGCTAACCCAAACAATATCAATTATAGCCTCGAGGTCTTTCACGACCTCCTTGAAGCTCTCATAACCTCTCTCCGCCTCGGGGATATCCTGCTCGCCAATAGCGCTGCTGAATTTCTTCGCATGCCGCCGATTCACCGTCAGGATACTTTTGTCGATATGATTGATCAGAGCCGTTTCTTTGATAGAGCCAGCTTTTAGCGGATGAGCTCGTTGCCGTGGTAGACTTGATGGTGTTGCAGTAGATGTGGAGAAAGACGAAGGAGCTGGTGATGGGAGGCTTGGATGAATGAAGCCTCCGGGAGGTCCTCCAGTGCCGTCTGGTGAGAGAGCCATTTGCGGCTAGGTAATGATGCTCAAACAAATATCAAACAAATATTAAATAGAAATTAAGATATGTTATATTCCAAGAAATGGTCCGTTGGGTTTCGAGTCACTCGTTAGATTGAATGAGTTGCGCATGATCCAGTCATTATTATCCTCCTGTCCGCGTACCTGGCACTTGGAGTCTCGAGCAAGTAACCTGCTGGATATCCAAAAAAAAGAAAATATCCACATATATTCCAAGGCGGTTAAGTTTATATTTTGGTTGTTTCCTTTACTCGGGTTGCGCGTAGAGCCAACGGTAAGTTAGTCTGAGTGGTAGACCTCTTAAGATGTCATACGAATGCCAAGACCCGGAAATTGTCGCGTAGACTTTCCGTAAAGGGATTCAGCAGCTGAGCATGAGATGAGATATTTCAATCTAGGCTTTACATGTATATATACTCTGAGATGGATAAGCCCGGGGGAGAAGTTCGATATTGCACGAAATTGTAAGAGACAATGCAATCCATGCCAAACACTCAAATGGAGACAGCGTTCTAGGACTGCTTTACTTTTCCGACCTCGCTTCAATATGATAATGCACAATAGACCGATAAGTCAAAAAACTTCTCAGACATCAAGGCAAAAGGGGGAAGAGAAATCCAGACACACTTGGACCCCTACGGCATCTGCAGTTTTATACAGCATCCTTATATACAATCACTTTTCCAGCTCAAAACGCCCCTATATCACGATCAAATCAAGCAAATCAGCAATGCCCAACTAAGCAGACCCACGAAGCGAAAGAAATGAAAACCCAGTTTCAGAGTGGTGAGAAGATTTATAAAAAGCTGGTGTTTGAAGGCATGGCACAAACGCGGGAGATCCCGATTTATGCTGCTCTGGCCCCAGCGGACTCATCAGAGAAATAAAGGGTCCATGTTGATCAGAGGGTTGGTATTTGCAGAGATGCACTTACAGAAATGCAGAGTCTGCATCTATCGCGAGCAGAATATCCTTTTTCTTTTGAGATCCGTCATACCAGTAAAGCCTGACTCCAGCAACGCCTCGCTAACCGGGTAGTATTCTATGCAACTTTCCATGATTATCTGAGAGAACCTATGATTCCGGCTATAGACAAGTCAGTATCGCGTTCACGGCAAGGGAAAAAAAAAAGAAAAAAGCTTCAGAGATATAATAGAAGAGCAGGAATGTCACTTACCCTAAGCTTTCCTCGCTGCTTCTTCATCTCCTGGATCTTCCTCTTATCCTCGTCGAACTTCCTCAACAACTCATTCTGTCTCTCCTTTCTCTTCTCGCGCGTCTGGAATCTATAGAAGTCTCCCAAACCACTCTCCTTCTGCTTCTGTTTCTCAATCAACTCCTTCTCCTCCGCCTCGCGCGCCAGACTATTCTGCTTCGGTCCGCTTGTAACGGTGATGAATCCATCCTCATCCGGCTCCTGTGCCTTGCGGGCCGCTTCGCGAGCGCGCATTTCCTCAACCTGCGTGAACGCCGTCATGTAGTCGCTGATGGCGCGGAGAAGGTCCGCGCGCGCAGGGTACCTGAGCCGCTCGTGGGTGGTGTATCTCTGGAGTCCAAGCGGTGGCACGCGGCCTTCGATCCCATCACCCCAGACGATCTTGGTCCGGTTCTTGGATGCCTTTCGAGCGGCTTTCAGACTCGCTTCCGCGCTGGGCTTGTCGACGAAGACGACAATCGCGTGCGCACCACTCTTGTGCAATTTCCTGTCCCATGTAGACGGGACCCAGATATCCTCAAGCTGGCTTTCGAGATCGTCTGCAGTGACGCGCTTCCGCTTTTTACTTTTCTTAGCGAGACTGTCTTGGGCGAAGGCTCCGACGCTTTTCTTCTTTGTCGGGACATCTTCAAACTCGACTCTCTCGACTCGTCCGGCAGAGAGCTGAGCGCCGAAAAGATGCTTCAAGTGAGTTTCTGTCGTATCTATGGGTACATTGACCAGGAAGAGAGAACGAGGCGAATCGGGATCGGGAATTCGAGGCTCGTGAGGACGGATGTAGATGTAATGCGTCGCGGATTGGGGAAATGATGATACCGCTGGCAGCTGGATAGGTAGGGCGGTATACCCTGCCACTTCTAGAGTTTCTTTCTTCATCTTGCTTGATGGCAGCGACTGCTCAGTGATACAGTCGCAAAAGTTGTTGCGCGGGGAAGAATAATTATTTCGGAGCTCGATGGTTAGCAAGTTCGGGCGGAAATTTTACGCGAGCTTTCATAGGCTGAGCGGCAGGCTAATCCTGCCGTTTAAGTAGGTATACTAGCACTAGCATCCACTCGATCGACAAGCAATATTCGTACAACATTTCCTCTGAACAATAATAAATGCAAGTGTCTCCTGCTCAAATAGATCATATATGAAGAAACTTCATACCATACTCTACACCTTGTCCGGGTCATTGATGCCGCCGTTCGTGATCACATAAGTCGCTTCACGCTCGGGGCAATCTGCTGGACATTAGCTTGCGACCCGATCTATCAAAACAATAAGCTCACCAGGAGAATCCTGAATTTTAGCGACGCGTTCATCTCCTCGACCTTTGCGTAGCAAGACTCGAGTAGTGGAAGCATGAGCGAGAATATGTCCACCAACAGGCTTCCGGCCGTCTGCACCAGCAAAGAGAGCGCTAGCGCCAGGGTCACTCTGGACTTGATTCGTCTGATGATCTATGAGAAGTGGTCACATAGACAGACCGATAAAGAGGGTCTTACCATCAGCACGCAAACATTGAATTCTACCAGTGTCTGTCAGCAAACAACCGTCATCCCTTGTGGGGGAATAAGAATACCTTCTGCCATGTGCGCAAGCTTCATCAGGAACTGATTGAGCTTCTGCTGGCGGTCCGCAAGCTCTCCACGGCCGCAGTAGTCAACGCGAAAGCAATTCATAATGCTGTCAATTATCAGCAGTCTATAGTCACCAGCTGCAAATTCCTTGGACAGAGTATTGAGCAATTCGAGCTGATGCTCGCTATTGAGTGCTCTGGCATAGGCAATATTCTCTTGAGCGAGATCAGGGTCCATTCCGAAACGTTCAGCTATCTGGGCAATACGCTCGGGTCTGAACGTTCCTTCGGTGTCGATATATGCGACCTTCCCTTCCGCACCACCCATTTCCTTGGGAAGCTGAGCCATAACAGACATGGTGTGAGATAGCTGAGTTTTACCACAGCGAAACTCGCCATAGACCTCACTGATACTCATGCTTTGGAATCCACTGTTCAAACAAAAGAAAGACAATGTCAGATAATTTAAAACTCAGGATGAGCAGCTTCACCCACCCTCCAAGGATAGCATCAAACTGCTTGCTGCCCGTGGAGATCCGGACAACTCTCTTCCTCTGGTGACCCAGTTCCATAGCCGTAATGAACCCAGACGCAGAAGGCTGGATAAGTATGAGTAGAAAAGCAGACTACCAAGTGAAATCATAGAGATGCTCATACCAAACACTTCTGGATAGCTTCCTTGATTTTCTCAACCTTGACTTCACTGAATCCCTTAATCTTCAAGAGCGTCTTGCGTGTGGCTCCATGAACAGACTAGACCACAACAGGACTTCCATTAGCATATCCTGTGGATAAAAAATTTTGTTAGAGGAATCAAATACAGCAACAGTATAGAACCCATTGGCTTTCAGCTTCGTGATGTCCGCCACTCCAATCCCTGTCCAGTTTCATCAGCGGATGTAACTTAACAGCAAAGAGAGTAGAGCAAACAGGGAAGGCTCCTAGGAAAAGCGCACCATGTGCTTGGATACTGTCGATGTCAACGATAAAGCCCTGATGACAGGAATGCATCATGTTAGAGGCTTGTATTTGACAGGCCCTCTCTCAGAGGATCGGGCAGTGGACAGATTCTCCTACATCGTCATCAAACTCGCCGCTTGCGTTTGAGGCAGGCATCTTGATACGTTCGTATACTAGATAGGAAGATAAGTGATGGATGTGATTAACTTAATCCAGATCAATAATGCCTGGAGAAGAATACGATGAAGGGCAGGGTGGGATTAGGGAAACGGTACCAAGGAGTGTCACGGGGTTAGATGGCTTTCCACAAGAGGAAATTCCGCAATGGCTCCGAGTCTGCCCAGATCATGGGCGGCCTGCAGCTCACTGGGAATGTGACAATCTGATAAAGGCTTATTATATGGAAAGATAATCGATGTCTTGTCTTCTACCCACCTTCGCCAAGACTTCTGGTGAGCAGCATCGAGTCGTATACGGGAGATGATAGGAAAGGCCACAAATACGCGTAATAAGTCTCGAGTATATTTTTTTAATATCCCAGATATGATGTGAGCGAGATGAGAAGACTGTTGAAATGAGAGGTTGCCACCGCGCCAGGTGCCTCACGATAGATTTTTCTTTTCTGATATTCAACACCGACAATCAATCCATACAGCTTGAAGCCAAGACCACACGAGAACACCATCGTTCGGTCCTTCGCCATCTTTCCTCCGCCCCGATTAACCCTCACTTTCTCGCCTCGTCTCCTCCTTTTTCCGGTAACGCTTTTTTATCATCTCGAGTCTGGAGATACCCATGAGAGAACACTAGACGCCAATCATGAGGCTTGAGCCATGCAGGGAATCCAAGTCGTAGGAGATCCTGGGACTTCGTGAAAACTTTTTGTCGTCGTATACATAACAAATGTCGGTGCCGAGAACCTGAAACAGGGGCATGATATATGCAAAGGGAAAAAAAGCCTATAAAGGTGGAAGGTTAAAGATCGACCGTGTCGCAAACCTAATACAAAAGGAAGAATGGTAATAAAACGTCCTGGCGGAGAAGTATAGACTAATCATAGGCCCATTTAAGCAACCGCGGTAGTAGGAGCAGCCACCGGGGGAGCAACAGCCGGGACCTCAGCAGTAGTCTCAACGACGGTAGCAGTAGCGGTGACAGGAGTAGCGGTCGTGGCCGGGGCAGCAGCGGGTTCAGCAGCTGGCTGGGCGTTGGCCTCGTTGGTAGGGCACTCCCGAGAGATGTGGCCAGCCTGGGAGCACTTGTAGCAGACCTTGCCGGCAGAGCTCAATGGGCCACCGTTGGGAGCCGTGCAGTCACGGGAGATGTGTCCCTGCATGAAGTATGAGCAAAAGCTGGCGGTCTATAGGAAGCAGAAACACTCACAAGCTTGCCGCAGGCATAGCACTTCATGGCCTGAGCCTGGCAATCGCGCGCGAAGTGGTTGGGACCACCGCACTTGTAGCAAGTAGCAGCTCTGGGGTAGCCGCCATATCCACCACGGTAGCCGCCGTTGAAGCCTCCACGAGGAGGAGCAACTCCACGACCGGCACCCTGGACAGCAGGGGTAGTGCAGTTGCGCTCCAGAGATATCAGCAGTTATTCGAAGGAAGAATCGAGGCGCCAACATACAGCAAGGTGACCAGGCTGGTTGCAGTTGTAGCAACGGCCACTGGCTGCGCCACCGTTAAGGCGCAGGGTAGGGCAATCGGCCTGAACGTGGCCTAGACCCTGGCAATGATAGCATTGCTTCGCTGATCCGGGGTTAGAATTCTGTCGTCCCGCCTATCATCAGGTAGGGTTCTTACTCTCGGTGGTACGAGGACGGGGGCAACCGTTGGACTCATGTCCTATCCGCTCGTTAGACGAACTCGTGCTATATCAGGGGTACATGCGTAACCAAGCGTACCGGGTTGCTTGCCTGCAGAAAGTTAGCGTGAGATCGCAAGGAATGCGTGGATGACGGGGATCCACCAACAGTTGTAGCAGAGACGCTCAGAGGATGAGCAGACCTCTAGAATGAAGTCAGATATCTCTCCATTCCCCACGGAAATTAATAGTCCATTGTTCTACTGACCAGCATAGTGGCCAATGTTACCACACTTGTAGCAGGCACGACGTGACAGCAACATCTTGTCGATTGACTACCATCACCATAGTCAGTCCCCATGAACGTCCACCCATTACTAACATTATCAATCCATCCACCCGGGAACATCATCGCAGGCAATTTAATCTGTTCAAACTAGACCAGGCTGTGAAAGCGACAGCATTCCGTGCTGAACGAGCGGAAACCAGAATATAGTTGGGATTGGCGTTGCCGTTGCTTGCCGCGGAACAGGCCGAGCGAGGGGAGATCGGACGAAAAAAAGGACGAAACCCCCACACAATCATGACAGCAGGCGCACGAAACGAAACGAAACGCATAACCCCCCAAGGTCCTAAGCCTTATTTTTGCCAGAACGAAATAAAAGACCACTCACAATTCCGGACAACACCTAGTGACTTCGGGGCTCCTTGTCGATAACTCTATTTGCCCGTCAGCTTGAGAACCTTGGAGGAGGGGAAACAGCAGATCGCAACAGCCCAGTACCTAAAGTGTGGGCTGGCTCTGCGAACAAGAAGGTACTCACAACGCAGCACACCGTACTTAACCCTCACAGCTCTCCAAGCCCACCGGACCGCAGGTAGAATCCTTCCCGTAATCCTCAAAATGATACAGAAATAAGTAGTCGATGCCAGCGCAAGAGGAGAAAGAGAAGAATTGTGAGGTCTTCGGAACAAAATTGAAAATCTTTAGCTCCCGCGCTTTTCCGCATTGCGTAAGGCCCACATCCCCCAGATTAATATTGGCAGCGCACGCACGGCCCAGCTGTATCTGCACGTTCCTGTCGGACTCTACTACTATGTACATACTCGAGGAATGACAGTCGAGATGGGCATTGTTGCCGATGTCAGATTAGAATAGAATAAGATACAGGCGTTCATGAAAGATTACTGATATACTCGAGGTACATATCCTTTTTCTTTGTTTTTCTTTGTTTTTTTTACTTGATATATTAATAAAGGTGTATCGATCGACATATAGTACTTAAAACTCCCCACCCGTGTATATTTAATGCATAGCAAGACCTTCGCTTGCAACATCATGCTGGGCACAACTTGCGAGAAAATATGATCTACGCGTCAGTCTCCTTTTCAATCACTGCGGGAGCTTTAATCTGTCGTCCCTTGAGGAATTCCAGTCCCTCGCCAGCCTAGAGGTTTGTCAGTTAGATAGCAGTCAGGAGGTAGCAGAACAAATATGGACTTACGTAGCTGATCAACGGAGACACCTCAACGCCAGTCGCCTCGCCCTCCGAAACAACGACACAACCAGCATTTTCAATCCAGCGCTGACCCTGCTGCATAATATCTCTCTTGCTCGTGTCTGGGTCGTCCTCCCCGGTGCCCCTGGCGTTCTTCAAAGGCGAGAATTCGTCCTCGCGCTTAACTTCAATGCAAGCGAACTTGTCCAAAGGAGTCATGGGGAAAACGTCGAAGACGAACTGCTCCAACTTGACGCCGTTGGGCTTCTCAGGCTTCACAGACTCGCCGGTTTCGGTGTTGATGTGAGGGATCTTCTTGCGAGCAACGTGGTGTGGCAACTTGTGCGACCATGTCTCGATAGACTCGAAGAAACGGAAAGAATAGTAGTGGTTGACAATGTTGGCAGCGCGGAACTTGAGGACATCAGGCTGCTTGGGGTCCTTGGCTTCCGCGGTCTCCTTGTCGATCTCAGAGTATTCCACGACATCTGGCTTTCCGTTTTTGAGGAGGATAAGGCCAACCGACTCAGAAGCACTGCGCTTTCTCACGACCTTGGTAGCGATATCGACGTCCTTTGAGGCAGCAAAACCAATGAAGACAGGGTCAGCAACCTTGACCAAGCAGTTGTCAACACAGTAGGCATGAATGTGCTGAATTCCACGGTCCCTCATATCCTTGCGGACACCGGAAGTCAGAAGTGCTTGGTAGATACCACCGTTTCCATCAGGGGCGACAGCAACCTAGGCTAAATTAGCATGGAGTCGGTGGTTTTTAGTAGTCCCCGTCTTAACTGACCTTGGCCTTGCTCTCCATGAGGATCTTGCCATCATTCGAGATACACGGCAGAACACCCTGCTCGAAGATAACAACGTTGCTCTTTTCCAAGCCAAAGTACTTGTGCTGCTCGAAGAATTCCTCTGTCGGCTTGCGGGTCGGCCCACTGGTCATGACATACCACGGGATCACCGCTTTCTCCTTGCCATACGCCTTCTGGGCCAGAAGCTGCACCTTGGCGATACGCTCAGCTTGGATCTGGAACAAGGACTTATGGCTAGGAAGACCAATATCGAAGCAACCCTTGGGAGCGGAGCTTCCCAGCCGGGTGCCCTGTCCACCAGCCATGAGGACAACTGCCACCTTGTTCTCTGCCACAAGCTTCAATCCTTCCTTATAGTATTTTTCCAACTCCTCGGGGTTCGAGTCAATTATCGAGGCTGTCGCCGTCTCCGGTAACGGTTCCAGGCTGGTCTGCTTCTCCTCAGCGGAAGCCTTCGGCGGGTTCAAGGCCTTGTCCGCGAGTTCATTGATGCGGTTGGGATCGAAGTTAGAGAGCTGGTGGAAAAGCTGCGTCTTCTCAGCAGGCTTCAGTTCTTCGAGAAACGCGAAGACCTGGCCCTGGCCAGCTTTCTCGAACCTCTCCTTGAGCTCGTTAAACTCCTGGGGAGAGGGCTCGCGGGGAGCATCCTCTGCCTTGCCATGGAACTTGTCCAGGATACCGGAAACTGTGTCTTTCACTGCGGCTGCCATTGTTTGCCCTTTGGATAAGGAGAAAAAGAAACTAGACAGGGAAACAAAGCTATTGTATAAGAGCTGGTCGCAGTGGCGCGGACTCCCGCAATTTGTCCAGTAGCGGGGTGGAGCTGAGGACTTGGAGGGGTGTCTTTGAATGTCTCACTTGCTCCGCACACCGCCTGGCCGCTGGCTGCTCGTGGGGCTTAGACGACGTTTTCGGAATTTGGCTACGTGCTAAGTTTACTTGCCCGCCGACTAGTCAACGGGTTAGGACACATCGCGTTGGTATAAAGCAATTTTTAGCTGGATCCGACAAGCTATTAATATTATTATCGCGCCACGCTGGCCCAGCAACCAGGCCGGCAGAAGCGCGGATATCCGTCATCGCCGCAGAGCCGGGTGCGCATGCCACGCCTAAAGCAAACCATTTGTTGACCATGATGCTACTAAGTTGTAACGTAGAGACTAGCAAGTAGTTATATGGATTATAGTTCTTTTTAACGGATTCTAGAAGACTGCTGGGAATAGCCTCTCTCACCAAGAGCTGGCGCGAAATATTCGAAATAAACCTCCCATACCGACGACGCCTGCCGCCAAATGCATTCAAAGGATAATATAGATGTGAACTCAGGAACAGCAGGTATAATACAAAACAAACATAGTATCTCATCGCCGTCGCCGGTCGTAGTATCGGTCATCCCTCGAGTCGCGATTGCTACGCTCGTTGCGGCGATAATCGTCATGCCGTCGTTCACGAGGTCTATCATTATAGCCTTCTCTCCTCCTGGGACTCCGGCTGCGAGATCTGTCGCGTCGAGGGGGCTTATACGACTCACGCTCGTCAGGTCTGCGCCGCATCTCCTCCCTGTCGAAAACCATGCCATAGTCGTCTTTACGGCGATGCTCATCGGAAACCCTATACTGGCGTTTCTTCTCCAAGCCCGATATACCGCCGAAGCCTCCTCTCTGGCCTGCGCGTTTTGAATTGGTGGCATTGCGCCAGCTTTCGGATAGTTTCGAAACCTGCGCGAAAGTTAGTTAGGATGATACACCACAGCTGTTGCTGGAGGGCAACGTACACTCTGAGAGAAATCCACGTGGATACGGTGATCATCAATCAGCACCCCTTGCATTTTGAAATAGGCTTGTTCGCAGTCCTTCTGGTTTTCAAACTCGATAAAGGCATATTGCAAGCTGTCACCCGTTCGCTTATCCCGTATAACCTCACACGACAAAATTGGCCCGAACCGGCTGAAAATGAGATGGAGATCTTCGTCTGAACCTTTTGTCAGCTCCACACCACAATCTGCGAGATATTTGGGTTACGTACCTTGGGTCACGGGGTTAAGCTTGCATACAAACAACACGTTTTCAGGCGGCTTTACTTCGGCAAATGGGAGATCTCCAACCATTTCCAGTGTCAAGGCCTGAGCCCTAGCTTCACGTTCCCTACGGAGTTTCTCCATTGATTCCTCGTCCATATTTTCGTCCAGTTCTTCGTCGTCAGCGATCCTGACGGTCGCCAACTGCGCCTTGGAAGGCGGTGGGCTCTCAGGCGGTTCGACCAGGCCTGGGGGGTCATCGTAAGGGTCATCCAGAATCACCGTATGGCGAATACGGATGTCTTTAAGAGGTCGTCCATTATCGTCGATAAAGGCTTCATTGATTTTCTCAAGGACGTCAAATCCTTCAACGACCTTCCCAAAGATCACGGCTTTCCCATCCAGGTAATCGAGATTATCACCGAGCGTAACGATGAACTGGCTCGCTGCGAGACGCTCATCGGGATCTGTAGGAGACGGAACGGTTGCCATGCTCACCGTACCCCTTTCAGTATGCTTCAATTTCGGCGGCAGAGGCACGGAGAACGTTTTCTTCGAAGGGCCTTCCAATAGACCCCATATCGACGATCCGCCATCGCTCTCTGGGGAACCAGGACCGATCGGATCACCTGTTTGGAAGGTAAAATTCTTTTGGACACTATGTACCGGCGAGAAATTATAGTATTTCACTTTGCAGAGCTTCAGGAAGCTAAACCGTAGCCACATATAAATCTTAGTTTCACGTTCAGCCACTCACCATATCAAAGGGCCGACAGAGAGAGGGGACTTACTTCTCACATGCTTTCGGGGAAGCATCAACTAGGAGGTCTATCACAATGTCGCCAAGCGATGTCTCGAGGAGCACACTCATGATGGTGCACGATCTGAGCGCGTCGCGCTGATGACGAAATGGACAACTCTAGTCGAAAGGCACGTAGATTGGATTGTTTTTGGAAAAAAGGGTATACTGAAGGATTCTATAGTCCGACAAACTGTTTTTGTAGAGCCCTCACGGAAATCAAAAGTAGACTCGACAGTCCAAAGCTGTTGCGACACAGAGCAAGGACATGCGACAGGAAGTTCTGCGATGTTTCTCCGCGGCAGAAAAGTGGAGTGCAGGGCGGCGAGACACCAGCTGCCCGAATAGGCATCAGACTACTAGCTCAAAAAGCTCCACGCTATTTGGTATCAGAAAAGATCCCAGACGCATCGAAATAATCATATTAGAGCAGCTTCTATTCCTCCAGATCATGGCTTTGAGATATGACCGCAGAGGGCCTCATCACGTGCCTCCCGCCAAAGCAAGGCACGACAAGAGTGACCATGAGGAGTACTACTCCTAGTTTACGACATATAGACCAGTACAACCTTAGTACCACCTGGTTTCAGGCACTCGTCAAGATTGCAATGTCCGGCTTATGCTCCCGATTAGTTGCCTTAGATAACTATGGTATGTCTTTGCACAGACCCACCGGTTTCGGTCACAGATATGCTTATTGAGGATCATCAAGCATACGCAAGACACACGCCATGATTAGACACAGGCCAAATGTGGAGGGCCTCATTGTTTGTACTATTTCCAGTGGTCAGCTCGAGACTTGTCTTCGGGATTATTCTTCTCCTCTATCATCGTGAGTGCACTCCCCGCGACTCTTTAAAGGTGAGAATAGTACCGATCACACTGGCAACTATTGATGTATTCCAGGACGGGAAGGCTAGGAAATGCTTCAAAACGCAGGTGCGAAACTCCAACTTTCGCACAAAGAGAATCTGTGAGAAGATATTGGTCTTTTGAGTAATCCTGAACTGAACTGGTAGCCACCGGCAATAACTCGAGCACGTTATTTTTTCACCACTCCACGGATATCTAAACAGCAGTTGGGGAGTTACAGCAGAACATTATTCAACAGTCTGGCTGTTTCCATGTACGATCCACATTGGGGAGTCACTGTTGCAGCATGATGATGTTTTGCAAGAGCTACACGTATTAGTTAGTCGGTCTCTAGGCTCGCATTGCACTCCGAAGAATTCTTGGTGCAACCCCAATTCTACTATGACCAGATATCGGACTTGCCGCATACATCCTGTGGGGGTTACGAATGCAGCAAGAGCAGTGCCTCATGTGGTAACAATATTCCGTCATGTCGATAGCGGTGCCGTATCCTGCTCAAGTGCACCTATCCTTCTGGAATCTGGATCCTCGTTCGAACCCCTGAGGCTCATAGTGCATTCGTGGGCATTCCACTCCTATAAAGACGTGTTATGAGACAGGTATAATTCTTATGTCGAACAACCAAGCTGCTGCTTGTCTTCGCTACCACGGCTTCTTAGCCTCCGGCTGCCGTCCAGCAGCGCAGGGAGTCCATTTCAGCATCTGGGATATTCTACAACGAGACTGTTCCAAACGAGGTTCTGGAATACGAGGCGAATTCTGGACTAGGCAGCTTTGCCTACTGAGACAGGGATCTCAGAATCGACGAGACTACCGCAGACCTTTCGAGATCATTTCGTTTGCGAGCAGTCCTAGGCCACGCTGGTCCGGACAGTGCCTGGTTGCCACACATTTAAAAATAAATTCTTAAGGCTCCGGACTACCATGGATGTGCCTAGACAATACAGGGAGGCGAGATGGTAGTCGAACTTGATGGGCTCCCAGGAAGTTTGCTCTGATTTCAATTTGCAGAAATAGAGGCCAATCAGCTTATCGAGGAGGTCAACCCTGGAAGCAAACACCGGACTTGGCGACGGTTGTTCAACATGACTTTCCTCAACAACCTAACTGACAGGTTCGTCTATTTCAACAATTGCAAACGCGTAGCGGATGCTTGCTCTGCGGAAGCTACCCAGGTTCTCTAGGCTTGAGGTCCATGATTCCTCTACGGTGGCTTTACCAGTGTCTGGACCGACACGAGGGAATGCTTTAGATCCTATTAATGATCCAGAAGCCCAGATTTATCTTCTATCGTTTGCCTCTTTCTATCCCAGCAGCTTGTCTTCCTTCTCAAGAACTAACCTCTTTCTGTGATCGACACCAGGGATCCTGAATGGTTTATACGTGTGACGTTACTCTGTGGAACAGGAGATCCAATCCAAGGCTTCTTACGAATTCCCCTTGTTGTCCATCGACACCGTATTCTATGCTTTCTCACTGTTCTTCTCAACCTGATGGGGCGGCTCGTTGCATGACCCCTGTGTACAACAAAGAATTTAGGTGCCAAACTAGCCCAGAACGATCAGTGGAGCAAATGAATTAGCGAGAGAATGCTGGTCCTGCATATTAGAAACTGGTTATGATTGATCTGATTATTGACGCCCTGGAAGAGAAGATGTTCTTGGAGCAAAATAATAAGACAATCAGCCCGCTTAGTCGCCATATATGACTTAAATGGGAGGCATCCTGGAAATACTCTACATAATGCTTGTTACTGTACTTTGATGCCTGTCAGACAGCTTGACTATGCTAGCTTACTCTTTTCCAATCGCATGATATTCGTATCTCGAGGTTAAATAAGTCCTGTGCATGACAATCACCTTACATATGGTCACAAGAAGATCTTATTGCCCAGGCTCTTGACTTCTCACTGCCCATTGTGTGGGCACATCCTAACCTGTGGCTTTTATCTCTTATCTGAATGCTGGATGAACGGGAATGATGGCAAACCGTTCTGATACACGTCAAGATGAGCCTGATTTGAATCGCCGATCAAAGAGGAATACGCCATTTCTAGGTCCTCAATTCAGGCGCAAAGGTGCCAAAGAACCTTTCAGTCGAAAGAAAGCTGGGAACAGTCCAGCTCCTAGTGACGGAGAAAACAAGAAGCGCACTGGTCCACAGCGCAGAAGGATTCAAGTTGCAGTATGTGTCTGCCACTATATCACCCAGAATATTGTACACATACTAATGTTTCCAGTGTAAACGGTGCCGTAGACGGAAAATCAAGTGCAGTGGTGATCCAGGCGATGGTCAAGGGTGCTCGAACTGCAAAAATTCGGGTACTCCAGACTGTCAATTTCTCAGGGTGAGTGAATACCACGATCTAGTTGTCTGGATTGTATTGACCAGGCCCCTCTGTTATAACTTAGGTCAATTCATCCGAACTTCAGCCTAGATCAAGTTATCCTAGCTGGCTATATTCGGCATCGAGTACACCTTCCCTCCTGGGCTCGACTTACGGTAATAGTCAGCAGCCAGCTTCCAAAGGTGCTACATTATCGACGCTCCAAGCAACAAGTTCATCTCTGCGTCAACCAAACTATGGACTAGGGACGCACGCCGAGCGTCGTTCATCCACGAGGAACAGCTTTGCCGGCAGTGTCCGGGGAGACTATGAAAGTGACTCCATGGCCGCACAATCGATGCAATCGCCCGCGTATCTGCTGCCGCATTCCAACTCGAGTGCAATGCAAAGATACTGCGAGTACCCGGATATCACTCGATTGAGCTATTCTAGTCCAACTTTCACGAGAGCTCAGGTCGGAACACTCTATCCAGATCACGATCTCTTGAGTCCGCTAGCGCAGACAGAATATTCATACCCTGAGCCTTCCCATGCTTCGCTATCTGCTGATATTCCTCCTCTCTTTCCTGCACTTGAATCTTTGTCCAGTGGTCAAGGATACGATCGAACCTTGCCCGATCCTACTAGCAGAAGTCAGCTGTCGACCAATTCTATGGCGACTGCTTCATCATCGGAAATACCTCCGTCATCGTCATCACACTTCCCATCAGAGATAAATGGAAAGTCTAGGAACCGGTGGCTATCTCAGAACGAGGCGTCACCGAGAAGCCAGGCTTCGACACGGACTATCTCGAGTGTCACTGGTATCGTGAACCCTATGGACCACATGAAGGCAGCTTCAACTGCTCATGACGTGATTTTCAAGTACATGACGATGGGGAGCAGCGTTCCTCCACCTCCAGTCGCGTCCGATACGTTCAGTGAGGATAGAGCAAACACCGCCGATGACTATCGCACACATGCAGATACCGAGCTTACCAGAAGTCTGTCCAGAGATGATGATTCTCTGCTTTCTGTCGAGAGCTGTAGCCCACAGATGTATGGCTACAGCACCAATGAGAACTCTGGACGTCGCTCTCGAATGGAAGCATCCCCTTCTTCAGCTACCTTGGTGAATGGACTGCAATATACTCGTGTTAGGCGGCCTGACAATCCCAGTCTTTTGCCCTATGGTTTGGTTCATTCTGAGACTGCATTGGACTTCCGCGCCCCCTCAGATATCCACAAGACATCCATACCTTCAGTCAGTAATACCACCGGTTGCTAGATTGTCGATAACAGGAGAGCATCGGCTGTTCAATATGGCTCATGCCTATTCAGTTACTCTGCAGTCTGATCCGCCTCGATCTACGGTGCTACCGAGCCCTTACATACAAACCTCTGAAATCCACGAGCAGGAATGGATGCTCAGGAAGTATGATCCTCGCCGTTGATATGCCGCGAGTTTTCATCATCCTTTAACCCTTCAAAGTTCGCGACCTGGTGATGCGCACTACATCATCTGGACTAGAGGAATGCCTCATCGCGATAATTGAAGTGGATTCGAGATCGTTTATCGGTCTTTTCGGTTCTTTCGCAGGATATATTATCTATGAACGGATACTTGATTTTGTCAGTCGAAATTTCACCTGGGTGAAACACGCTTGCTTTTTTCCAAACTGCATTAATCATAATTCTCATATTTCCTCCTCCTTCTTCCTTGTTTTTTGTCCCTGCCATTTTCTTCACAAGATCCTTGATATCCATTCTTGGATAATATTTTTCCCCTTTTTGTCTGATTTTTTTCTTTTCGGGTTGCACAGGATCCATCCACGATCCATCCAGTCTGCCAGGTTTGGGATTGGGATTGGGCTTTTCATCCCATCTCATCTCTATGCATTTCTCTTCTCTGCTACCTGAGGGCGGGATATTATCAAGTATAACTTATCTGTTCTTAGAGTCTTATGGTCGGAAATAATGTTTTCTTTGCTCTTTCTTTCTTTCGTTCGCATTTCCTTGGCTCCGATATTTATTTTTTTCGGAATATCTACAGTAGTCTAGTACTCCTTTTTTTCTTTTTTCTTTTCTTGTTTCTTGATGTACAGTACAGCGAACCTTCCCAGTAGGTAGCTTACCTTAGTTTAGCTTAGATATAGGAATGATAATTTAGATAGATAGAGTTACTGAACTTTAGTACCTGTCTATGGATCAAGACTGACTTTGCAGTTGTGTTCAAGTAAGGTTTGAATTCAATGAATTGTGTGTTGTACCTATGTGTAGAGCGCTTGGACCGTTACTAGCATATGCAGCAGGTTAGTTATTTCTATTTTTGGCAGGGGATGGTGAACAATGTTCCCTGTGTGCGCTTTGTAAGGGGACAGAGAAATTGTGCTCGAGTAGTACATGGGTGATTTGCGTGATGTGATATCATCTAGAACAGGGGGACGCTGGGCTATAAGACTACGGTGCTGGATGGACTTCTTGGGTAATCGGGAATGCCGTGTCTACAAACATACTTAACGGCATATGCAGTGGTGGACAAATATGTGGGCTGGGCTTGCAGGGAAGCTGGTGGAGGCAGAATAAGGAAATGCCCCTGTCATATACTAGCTGCAGTACAGCTCCCAGAGCGCGTTGGGGACATATATATGTTTCCAGCAAAACATGCCGCGGTATTTGCTTTTTTGTATCCATAGAAGTAAGAGTACATCGCTGATAACCGATGCTGGAAGGATGATGATGATTCCGGTGACTGGTGGTTTTGGATGATGCTGATGCTGGTAAGAAACAAGAAATTTGGTTAAGAAATATCATCCAGAGCTTCCGATTTTCGACGTTCCGCTCTTCCTCTCCGTCATCGTCATGGTCATGATAAAGGGTATGCCACCAATAACATTTTGCGCCACCGGTACTACCGCTATTATCAGATCCAGCATCATCGGCCCCCGGCCGCCTCTGACTCCAATCCCATCTCCGTCCGTCAGCCTGCAGTCGTTTAGTCCTTGCTCTTCTTGGGACCCTTGGTCTTGGCAGTTCCGCGGAACTTCTTGGAGCGGTTCTTTCTCTGCTTGCCTGTATGAAGGAAGAGATTAGGTTAGCTTCGTCTCTTTTCACATTCGACACGTCCCATCCAGCATAGGGATGAAAAAGCTGGCGTGGGCGCGAGGAGTAAAACATACGCTGCTGTCGGCTGGCCTTCTCGATCTTGGCAGCGGCACCAATGCGGACCAGACGGTAGTGAGGCTCGAACTTCTTCAGGGCCTCGTGGGAGTCGTAGACCAGAGCGAAACCAGTGCTCTTGCCACCACCGTATTGCGTACGGAAACCGAAGACGGAGACCTGGTCCTTGTTGGCCTTGTAGAGGTCGGCCAGCTTGTCACGGAGCTCATCCTTGGAGACGTTGGGGCGGTTGGGGTGGAGGACATCCCTACACGAAGAAAAATCATCATGTTAGATATTGCAGTCTGAAAAAATAGTCCCCGATCCAGGCCACGCATATCCCCTTGATCCTCCTCTTTCTTTGCTGCGCATTCCTCCCTTTCCAACCGGCGCGCTGGTGATGTTCATCTTGGTTTCATGATGGGGGATGCTTACACGACCATCTGCTTTCTGCCGAGCAGAGGGTTGCGGATGAACTTGCGCGTCCGCAGGGTAACGGGGGCGTCGGCCATGATTGCGGTGAGTTATTGACGGAAACGAACCACCGGCTGCTGTGAGAATCTGCGTCGACAGGGGCAGATACTCGTGGGACGATGGGTTGGCGAAATTGATGTCGCTGTCGATGCCGTCTAAAGATTCAAACGTATTTTCAATTTCGGGCTGGATGGTGTGCGGGCAAGTCAGGTGTGGGCTCGGCTAGGGCCTGGCCCACGCTAAGCCCGATCGGGCATACTCCCACCACGGCCCTTTCGGGATGAACGAGGAAGAGACGAACATCGCGTCGTTGTTCTCGCTTGGCTTCTTTTACTGCGTTCCAGAGACAATAATCCTGCGGTTGTCGACCAAGATGGCTGTGGATGATATTGATGATGAGGCATGCATCGCAAAATTGGTTGCGCAGTACTTCCAGATGGTCGAGCCACGCGACCTCTGTGTTCCCTCCGCCGAAGCCATAGTCCGTCCGGCAGCACAGACGGCCATCTATGAGCAGATGTTTAACGAGACCACGGTGTGGCCATTACCCCCGGTCAGTTATCGAACAAGGGTCTTGAAAATGATCATATCACGAATTGAAGAATCGATATCGAACCCGGAGGAGGATGTATGATGCCCCTCCCCGTGCCTGTTCTGTTTTAGCCAATCATACTTGGAGCCTTTGACGTCTCTCTATGTCGCTTCTTACTCTACACGCGCACATCTTCTCTTCCTCCCATATGCGGTCGATTTCTGTTATATCCATTCTTTCTAACATTATCTTTCTTATTCTTTCTAGGAGATCATAGAGGATCTCATGAACTGCTGGGGCGAACTTATTGCACAGCCAAAGCAGTCCCCACTTGACCAGGCTCAACAATTGTCGTATGTCAAATATATAGCACCCAAGTCTCAAGTGAACGAGGAGAGTCGCTCTGTTGTCACTTCGGAATCTAGAGGTCTCATCTTATCAGCTGGTACCACAGGGTTCCGCACGTGGGAAGCCGCTCTGCATCTAGGGACATTTTTATCTACTTCAGAGGGCGAATCTCTTGTGCGCGGAAAGAGAGTCATCGAGCTGGGCGCCGGTACCGGATTCTTGTCGTTGTATTGTGCGAAGTATCTGAACGTAGAGAGCGTTCTAGTTACTGATCGAGAACCAGCTTTGATCACTAACATCCAGGATTGTGTGAGCCGTAATGAGCTTGGAGGAGCCCGGATTTGGCCTGCGATCTGGGAATGGGGCAGCAACCTGGAAGAACCATCCAAGAGCCAGGAGCCAGATGAACCGTGGCGTTTTGATATTGCGTTAGGAGCTGACTTGGTACGCGAGTCTATACTCATTCCGTGTATTTATCACTAACTTGGACATGATTTGTCGACTGCTGCAGATTTACGATGTCGACCTCGTCCCTCTTCTAGTGTCCACACTACGTGACATGTTCGAAAACTACCAACTAAAAGAGTTCCTTATCTCTGCTACTCTCCGCAACCAAGACACCTTCAAGGCGTTCCTCAACGCCTGTGGTAGGTTCCCTCCTTGCCTTTATGGGGTTGTAGTCGATATCTTCTGACAAATACCACGCAAATTGTACGACTTGCTAACCCCGGACTTTCTGCTGCAGAAACAAATAGCTTCCAAATCAACAAAGTTCCCTTTGAGTCACCTCCCGCGGAGGCTCAGACGGGGTTCTTCCATTCAACGTCCATCCCTATCGAGATTTACAGGATCACACCTCCGTCCGAGACGGATCGGTGATCACTGCGATTACAGGGGGTTTCGTTGTTTTCAACCTAGTCTGCAGGTGTGCCATGTCTGTATCACCTCATCTTGACCCAATTTAGGGCGCCGCCGACTCCCGTCGATACCGTCTGGTGTCTCAGCTTACCGATGCAGATGATCTATGGTTCTATTTACTTTCCTGGTCTAGCTGCGGCATGGATAATGGAAGACGAGGCTTCAACCAGAAGTCTTGAGTTCTGCACGCTTGCGGACTATATTGCCACGTGTGGTATCTTATATCCAACCGGCCAACCATGAATACGCTCTTGAATTGCTATCCTCACAGAACAGTATTAGACTGAAACGGATAAACCCTGGGCTCGTGTGGTCCTGGTCAAGATATCGTCGGTGTCGGGATCCGATTGGTACAGCCATCGCAGCACATTGCTTATGATTGCCTAGTGACTTCAATGTCGCTACAGTGTCCGAGCACCTCTCATCGTAACAGTCCGTCCCACTTGTATTAATCTTATCAACATGATCAGACAAGAGACCAATCAACCGGTACAGCTAGAAAGAAGCCAATTTCTATGAAGGGGATTGTAAATCCAAATGCATTGAACAATATGTGCAATCGAATAAGGGAGCCTGATGCTTTTTTCGCTCTTCCCTGGAACGCCACGGTGCAGTTATACAATTCACAATGCTAGAAAACGAAGGACAGGTGACAACGTCGAATCATTTCTCTTTCTTTTTGGACTTTGACTTGGACGACTTGTCCTTGTCCTTTTCTTTCTTCTCCTTCTTGGTCTTTGTTGTGGGAGGCTGCGCGTCCGCCTGTGTCTCTTGAGGAGCAGGGCCATTCTGCTCTGAAGGTGCCGAGGAGGGGGCGCGGGCAACGCCGCCTGACATGGTCAACGAGTCACCTCTGCGATAAGAAGTGATGCCTCTCCGTTCATCTGCGGCCAACTTCTCTTCCTCTTCAGGTGAGAGCATAGTGCCCTCGATGCTGATAAACCCGCGCTCGCGATCAGCGCTGGGGATGACATCAATGTCTCGCACGCGGAAGCGGATGGTACCACGGACACGGTGCCCTGAGGCAGACTGGAAGTATCCAGTTGCTGTCGAATCCTCCGTGTCCATATCCTGTCCCTTATCCTGAGTCTCGACGCCCAAAGGAAGTCTAACCGGGGTAAAGTGTTCTTTTTCCGGGTCAAACGAATCTTCTTCATCTCCAGAATTTTCGGCAGAAGTAGCAGCCGATTTTTTAGCATCTGTGCTGTCATCTTCTTCACCTGGTGGGATCCACTTCCAGTCCGCTGGCAGACGTCTCCGCTCAATGCCCACAGAGAAGAGATTGTAGACAACGGCTCCCAGGAAGCCTTCGGACTGAACGTTGACCCATCCCTCCAGAACCTGACCGCGCTGAGGTCTGAAAACCAGGAAGGTTGCCGTCAGGTAGACGTAGAGCACTCCGTATTCGTTGGCGGTGGTGGCTAGGGTCAAGGGCTGCGGGTTATCGCTGTCCTTCGCTGGGTTTGAAGTTGGAGGTTTGCTAGATATCGAGGCATTCGAGTATGCCAGAATAATACCCTTGAGAGGAGGATAGTATGTTAGGAGAAGCGGAGAAAGATGCTCTGCCAGCAGAGAGGCCAGTGCATGTGTGGGGGATATCGAAATCGGTGACAAAGGCAGGTAGAGGGTCGAGGTGACGAGGTTGAAAGGCGAGTCTGAAGGTTCCTGTGCTTCTGAAGACTTTTCCTTCTTCTTGTCCTTGGACTTTTTCTCCTTCTTTGACGACGTCTCTGCGGAAATCAAGTCTGCCGCATCGGCATCACGGTGCTTCCGCTTCTTTGCGGGCGACGCATGATCCTTGTTCTTGTGCTTGCGCTTCCGTTCGCGCTCCACCGAAGTAGGCGCATGATCCGAATCAATATCCATGGCGTCGGCCGACATGGTGGGCGCAATTGGGGACTCCGACGAGTAGGCCTGGGAGACTGGGAGAATCGAAGCCGGCGATCAAGTTCAGCGTCCGCGAACTTTTTTTCTTCGGTGTGGAGGAGAAAGCAGAACAGGAAGGCGGTGAGGCGGGTGGACAACCCAGATGATCCCCCAAAGCGCTTAGATTCGCTCTGCTAAGTTCATTGATAGTCGCGACGTAGCATAAGCAAACTCCGGAATAGGATCACGACGCAGTGTTTGGGTTTTATAATACCCATGGGAGGGGTGTGATTTTACCTGAGCTGACGTGATGTCGTCACTTTTGTCGTTCGCTGGCTGGGCCGTCCTGCCAAACGTGAGTAGCCCCGGTATCTAATCTGTATGCCGTGTCTACAGTATGCTTCGGGATGATGAGTGCTCATTGATTACTTGGATAGTATGCCACTTCGTTCCTGCAAAGCGTCTACTATGGCCTCACCATCCGCGCTGGTGAACCTCGGCCCCAACCGCCGTCACCCCGCTACGAACGGCACCGCCGGCGCATATTCATCCTAGTAGTGACCAGCTATCTCCTGTACACATTGTACGAAACCTTCTTCCAGGTCCGCCAGGCAGGGGACTTTTATCGTGTCCTTGGAGTCTCGCCGCTGGCGGATGAGAGGACCATAAAGTCCCGATTCCGTCGACTCGCAGCGCAGCATCATCCTGACAAGCTGCAACATGCTGATGGGATGTCGGCCGCGGGTTCGGAAGCCTTCTTTGTATATCTGAAGCTAGCACAAGACACACTGGTTGACCCTGTGCGGCGATTCGCCTATGACCGGTTTGGTCCTGAGATAGTTCAAGGGAAAGAACGCAAAACTATACAAGAGTATGCCTTTGCGGCGCTCTACGGATTGCTGCCACAGTACGTGGTCGGAGCTGCGATGCTTGTTTTTATGAGCGTGGCGTGGTGGTCTTCCTGGGGTCGTTACGTGAGTGTTATTCTCTTGGTCGTTGCTTAAAGCTGCTCGCCTGCTAACACGATTGGATTATAGTGGCGCTTTTACTCGTTTGCGCTCCTGGTGACGCTTGAGATCGCGTTGGTAACGCATCCGTCGGCCATCCTCATGCCGGCCTCTTTTCTGCCCCCGGGTCTTCGATCACTGCTGGGCATTTCTGTCGACCAGCCAGGTTTCTATCTTCTGCCTTTCCAAATCCTCACGCTTGCCCGTCGTGCCTCGGTCACGCTGCACATCTTCATCTCACAGATCAGCCCACCGGAACCGAAGGCGTCACCCGCTTCGGCTGGACTGAAGCCGCGGACTGTGCAGCAATTAGGTCAGCTGCAGCAGCTCTCGCGCGTCACGGATGCGGAGGCCACAAGGCTGCTACAACTTGGGTTCGCGCCTTACCGGGGCGACAAAGAGAGCGTGGCGACGCTGCGACGGGGGATGAAAGAGGGTTTAGTACTGGGTGCAGTGAGACAGAGTCCGGAGGTCAAGGAGGCCGTCCAGCAAGTGATCGAAAAGAGGAAACGGGAAGCCCACAGGGACGAGTAGAGGCATTGTTTTATTTTAAATGCTCTCTGTATTTTGCATAGAAGCGACATCTGGATATGAGTGCGACACATCTTCCTTTTTGGCACAAGTCAATATGTATACATCAGCGTGCATCATAACTAGACCGGGACATCATCTCTCAAGTATATATAACCTGTGGCATGGGGTATGCTCACTCGATTGCCTAGCGAGTATCTCGATCCTGATCGGAGTCATTATATATGTATCCAGGGCTATTAAAAACTGCTGTACCAAATTGAACCGACTACTCTTATCTAAAAGCGCAGATTAAACACAGTGCTACCCCCCGTACTGTCCCTTATCATGGTCTACAGACAGGTTTACAGTTCCCAGCGTCGTCAAGTAGAAGAAGTACCTGGCGTCATAGAGGGCTTGGCTTAGTTAGTTGTCCACTTTTTACACTCCCAGAGGCGGCGTTCGGATGATGATTGATAATAATTATGATGCGCAATCGGATCCCAGTCAACCGGGGGAGGGGGTTGGACGGGTCGAGAGCCTTCCAAAGTGGCCTTTTCCGTGTTGCCCTCTTTTTTTTTTTTTTTTTTTTTCTTTTGTGCCAACCTGCGGCGATTCGGACGGATCTCGGTAGGTCTTTTTTTCAAAGAAAGGAAAACGGATGGATGCGCTGCGATGTCTGGTTGGGAGTCTCTTGGCGGGATTTATTTAATTAATCAATCACGCGTGAGTATAGTAGAGTGTGAATGACGATAGTCGAAGTAGAAGTACTTGTTGTTGTTTCGCATATACGTATAGTTAGTTACACGTATACATTTATATAATATATTATAACAAGTCCAAGTCTAGAGTAATAGTTATGGTATATGTATGGTACTTATGAATGCATCTTTTCATTCGCAGCAAAATGACGAAAGAGGAAACCAAATCTCAAAACGGGGGAAATAATATTTAATCGATCGCCCCCCCTTGTGGCATTCGTAAGAAATTCCCGCACGACGGAAGGTATCTAGTGGAAGCAATTCAGTCGTCGAAAAGTCTAAAACTCGACCCGGGTATTAGCTTGTTGGTCTGTGGTGAGTGAAGTAACTGCTAGTGCCCCGGCGGGACGGCGATCCATAGGAAGGAGAAGGATGGATGGGCTTTGGTTTCTGGATAGGGGAGTAATTAATTCAGTCATTCCGTGAATTGCAATAATGCGACTGACAGGGAGTGGGCCAGCTGATAGGAATGGTATATGGTATAGTCAATAGAGCAGAGGTCAAGAGAATAACTGGCCAGCTAGATAGAAATCAATCTGAGGCTGCTGGTTCCTGGATAGAAGAATAGTAGTTAATACTAACTAATATTATTTCAGCTGAGAAAGAGAAGAGAAGATGCGCAGGTTGTGTTCCTGTATGTGACGAAACGGTATGGTACGGTATGGAAGGGCCGGAAGTATATGTCGGCCACGCAGACGCGGTGGTAAAATACAGACTGGCGGTACCGACACGAACGGGATACGATACATACCAAACTCACCTCATCATCTCTCCATCGGCCTCCCTGACCGACCGCAGACTCTGGTTTCTCGTCTAGCACAATGAAACCAGCAGACGCGCCTCGCCGAGCCCTCGCCTGGCTCTCTCTCCATCCCCATCCCTTTCTACTCCCTCCCTCTTCCTCCCGGCGCTTCCTCTTCTTCCTCCTTCTCCTCCTCCATCCCTCCTGACCTTCCCACATCAACAGACTATGTCACCACCCTCACCATCCAACATCGCCGTCCGCCAGACTTTTGCCTCGCTCTGACCGGACTCGCCGCACCGCTCATTCCTCACCCGGCCGATTGCCTACCACCAGCCTGACCGGTCGTTGACACACCACCAAACCCAACCCCCGTCACTTCCACCTTCAACAACACTTCCACTTCACAGAACACTTCTCCCTCTGGCCTCACCACCGGGGAACCAGGCATCCGACAGGATCGTTCGACTCTTTGCAGGACAACACGAGTGAACATGCCGGCATCTACGACTACTTCGTCCCCTACCTCGACCAACGGCCGGATCAGCCGGTCGGAAAAGCCCAACAACAAGACCGTCATCCTCAAGCTGTCCTCCGGTCTCTTGGGTCGGTTCCCGGGCTCCTTCGATGACAAGGAGAACAACGGGGTCAAGGAGAGTAATGCGTCGTCGCCCGTATCCACTGCAGACCCTGCACTTCCAGCCTCCTCCGCCGACAATGCATCTGACGTGGGCTCAACCACGCCGGCCACAATGAACGAGGCGTCACGCCGCAAGGGCGTCCCGGGTCCAAAACCGGGCAGCAAGAGAGGACTGCACCAGGTCGGCGAGGTGCTGCCCAAGCCACGGGGAAAGCCAGGTCCCAAGAAGAAGCCTAGACTGTATGTGCCTCTGCAATTTCTAAAAAAAAAAAAAAAAAAAAATTTGGGGGGGACGAATTGCTAACTGATACAACAGGGAGGACGGTACTATCGACCACACCAGGCTCGCTCCCTCTGCGCACAAGCTCGGGCCTAAGGCCAACCAGGGTGCCATCAATGCAGGTCTGCGCGCTCTCGATCGCAGCGGAGCTGCCTGTCGCAAGTGGGAACGTAAGCCCTTCCAGCTCAAGAGCTTCACGGGCATTGTCTGGCAGGTCCCTACTTGGCGGACCCCGAAACCGAAGGTGGAGAACGGAGAATCTCAGGACGGCGTCGCAGAGACTGGCGACAGCGACAGCAAGGCCAACAACAGTGCCATTCCTAGCGAGAAGAGCAACTCCGGGGACGACAACCTGACGCCCAACCCGATGAGCAGCATGGCCCAATCTCCGACTCCTACCATCTCCATGACCGCTTAAGGCGGGAATTGATACACAAACGGATTCCTCTTCTTGTACAGTACTTTGATGTCATGGTTGTTTTTCATTTTCTTCCTTTTGCTACGGAATATGGCGTATGTATCTGGGCGGGGGGTTCATGTTGCTGTCGGTTCAACTTTGTGTTATTCGAGGGTTCGAGGGCTAAAAAGCGGGAGTGAGGGTTTACGTGCAATGGGAGCGCGTGTGCTACAATATGGATGATGGAGCCGAACCGGACTGTCTCTGGATGCGCAAGCCTTGGGTCTGTTCACTTTTTTTCTGGCTGATCTGCATGGCTGTGATATGCTTTTTTTGTAATAATAGATTTCTACGCCAGTCACGGATGGATAATGTCGACGACCTCTTCCGACGTATCCTCCCATCTCTCTGAAAATATGAGCGATTACTGGTCATTTCCTGACATTGTACACTCCAGTACTTCTACTTGACCTGCATGCATGCTATGGAAGCAATAGTTTGATTCGATTCTGTGCTTACTTCTGCCGTCTAGCCAGCCATATACTCGATCATGGTCATTGGCCGTTACCTCACGTGCCCTCGGCTCTTTACCATCAGCTGAGATTCCCTGCTGATGGCTCTTTGTTTCCTCCAGCAGACCAGGAATCAGTTACTCTGTGAGACATGATCCCAGGATGTAATTTATTTGGCAGAGATATCTATCCCATGCATCTGTCCTACAGGAGAGGGTCGACCTGATCCCAATGACAAGAGGAAGAGCAATCCAACATTGGCACCAACTCGGATCCTGCTCTCACTGCTGCTGTCAAACCCCAGGATGCTGATGCTCACTGCGGGGTATGTAAGAAGCTCCTGGCTCGGGCAAACCCGACTGGTCTTCACGAACAGACGCCACATGTCGGTTATGATCTCGTGTGCCCCGAGAAGAAGAAGAAGACTATCGTATATCACCTGCTTGTGTTCATGCGGGGGTTACTTATTCTCTTGGGGATACCTTTTTATTAAGAGACTAAGGATGCGAGATGTCTAAAATAGGCAGCCTTCTGCCGTAAGTAATTAGAGTACCATAGATTGTTGAGATTGAGAGATGGGCTGGAATGGATGTTGGACGATGATGCAATAGTTATCCAGACAGAACTCCTGAGGAATGCGAACCAAGTGTTAAGATCCGGAATCTGGGGATGAACCCGCATAGAGTCGAGTAGAGTTAGTTAGTTAGACAGGCTGACAGACAGACAGACAGACAGATGCAGAGGATTTAACTGCAACGGTTTCCTCCAGCATCCCCTTCCCCGCGTTGCAAAGCAAGAGGCCCTGGTCGTGTTCTCGTCTCGTCTTTCTTCCGTCTTCCGACCCCCTCAAGTAGAAGAACGTACGACCAGGACTGGGATGTTCGTTTCATCGCCATCTTCATCATCGTCTTCTTCTTCTTCTTCTTCTTCTTCTTCTTCTTTCTTTCTTTACTTCTGATTTCAGTGGCATCCATCATGCTGGCATCTACTGTCTTGTCTTCTACTGAGGTGGCCCAGAGTAGCTAAGTACAATACTAGCTTGTCTGCTTCCTCTCTCTTCTGGGGTTGCTTTTTCTGCTCCCGGCCTCGACTCGCCTCCGTTTACGGAACGAGGAAGAATAGAGCGGACCACGAGGGGATTCGACAAGAAAACGAAAAAAAAACCACCTGTCTGCTGCAGGCCAATTTGATCTCAGCTCTGCCACTGGGTAGAAGGGCAGTTTCATATGCTCCTCCGGGGCCGTCGGTGGTTTACTTGTTCCTATCACGGACGACGACAGCATGACCAATGCTCCTTTGCCCCCAGGGTCCGGTGGAGCTCCTCCAACAACCTCATATTCCGGCCCAAGCATTTCATCGATGCCACGCCGTTCCTCCTACGCCTCCGTCGTGTCTGGTATCGCCGCCTCGCCACAGAATCACAGTCATAGTCCCTTCTCGCACCTGGCCAGCAACGGCATCGTCGCCAGCTCCACCCCGGCCAGCTTCTCCTCCTACCCCCCGCAATACTACCATCCCGACGGCACCATCAGCTCCAGCAACACCGCCAGCCGCCTTGCCCGGCACGCCTCCGGCTTGGATGCAGACATGCAGATGAATAACGGCGGAGGGAGCAGCACTCCCTGGAGGAGGGCCGGTGGCTCGCTGCCCGCCTACTCCAGGCAGTTCGCCCAGCATCCCGGATACGAGAGCTTCTACAGCGGAGCGTCCATCGACGACGACTTCTTCGTCCCCTCTTACCTCCGGAATTCCCGCTATATCGCGCGTCTCGAAGCTGCCCATCGCTCAAAGCTCGCCGCTCAACGAGAGTCCGTCTCGAATCCGCCGCTCTCCGCCTCCTCCAGCCATGTGAATCTACACCGTATCGCACCCTCCCACCGCGGAATGACGTATGATATTATCGAGAAAGAGCCGTCACACGAGGTAGACAATGTGATGCCGCTACCGTCCCGATGGAGTGAATCGGACAAGTACGCTGGTCTCGAGCTGTTGAACGACGGCCTCGAGGTCCGGTACATGGGACCCCCAAACAAGCACGACCATGAGGCCGCCGCGGTGCGGGCGGACTACCCTATGCCCCCGCAGTGCGGGATATACTATTTTGAAATCACTATATTATCCAAGTCGAAGGAAGGGTAGGTTGAGATTTTGTTTGCGGGTAATGTGTACTACCGGGACAGACTTTGGCTGACTGGGATACAGGATGATTGGAATCGGGTTCTCAAGCTCAAAGGCCTCCGTCGAGAGACTGCCGGGATGGGAGCTGGAGTCGTGGGCCTATCATGGAGACGATGGCAAGTCATTCTTCGGCGAGAGCCAAGGCCAGGGTCGACCCTACGGACCGACATTTACAGTCAACGATATAATCGGCTGCGGTGTGAATTTTTCGACAGGATGCGCCTTCTTTACCAAAAATGGCGTTTTTCTAGGCAATGCTTTCCGGGAGTTGCGAAACGTAAAGCTATACCCTTCAGTTGGGATGAAGAAGCAGCCGAACGTGCATATCAGCGTCAACTTCGGACAGCGTCCGTTCATGTTTGATATTGATGGCATGGTTAAGGTATGTTGAGGTTCTCTGGCATATGTCTACGATCTACTGACTCGTTCTTAGAAAGAGAAGCTGGCGATCCAAGCGGAGATCAACGCAACCAGTGCGGCGGGTCTCCAGCCTCCGTTGGACGAAAACTCCCTACTCCAGGAGCTGCTGGCGCAGTTTCTGGCTCATGATGGCTATGTCGAGACGGCGCGGGCTTTCGCCGAGGAGGTTAGACAAGAGTCACAAGCACTGCAGAACGGACGAACAGAGCCGCTGAAGCAGTATGCTCCGGAGGAAGACTTGGATGCGGCTAATCGGCAGAGTAGGTTCTGTCGCTTTCTTTTATTTTAGGTTCCATGCTGACTCTTTAGAAATCCGGGCGGCCATCTTGGATGGTGATATCGACAAGGCTTTGAAGCATACAAACGCGTACTATGCCAATGTCTTGCAGGACAACCCTCATATCCTGTTCAAACTCCGATGTCGGAAGTTCATCGAGATGATGCGACGATGCAACGAGCTATCCGTCTCACACTCGAAACGGTCACGATCGGCCAACGGCGCGGCCGAGGAGAGTGTCTTTGATCAATACATGGATGTCGATGACCAGGCAGTGGATGACACTGATGGAATGGACACGGAGGAGTCAGACTCGACGGCCAAGTTCCAGGAGCTGCTGACGGAAGCGGTGCAGTACGGACAGCAGCTGCGGATGGACTACCCGACGGAAGAGCGAGGCGGCGACAGTAAATTGCTGGACGACATCTTCTCGCTGGTCGCATACTCAGATCCGAAGTCGTCAGTGCACGGTCACTATCTCGATCCGGCGGGCCGGGTGGCCGTGGCGGAGGAGTTGAATTCGGCAATTCTTGGTAAGTTTTTTTTTACGTCTTGTCATTCAGCTCGGGTCACACTGGATTACTGACGAGACAACAGTGTCGCTGGGCAAATCGTCATCGGCCGCGCTGGAGCGGCTATACCAGCAGACGGAAGTGCTCGTCAACGAAATCAGTGAAGAAGGCGGCGCTGGGGCGTTTATCAATGTACGGGATGATTTCTTGCAGTGAGGCGAGGTCGGTACGGGATATGGGAAACAGATCATTTTCTTTTACTTCATTTCACTTTCTTCTCTTGGTCACATATACCGGCGCATGTACCCGACGATGATGTCCGTCCAGGAGCCCAGATCATGTGCATGGGATTTTCTTTTCCTTCTTTCTGCTTGAGCGGCATTCATAATTAGGTTTTTCTTTTCTCTTCACTGTGAGCTCTTCTCCGGTTTTGTCTGGTATGGTCTGGTCTGGTCTAGTCTGGTTCGGTGTTTCGTCTTGCATCCAATCTACCCATAGCCACCCATAGCCTATCCATGAGTTAGCTCTCTATTGTATCTGTAGAGTAGCATAGGTCTGATCTTCCTTAGTGAGGATGAGATGAGAATGAGAATGAATAAGATGCATGGCGTGAAGTAATATCTTTGCTACTGAACAATTGGATCGCGATACTAGTTCGTGGATGGGGTTACATAGGTAGTTAGCTGTATTAGCAGAAGGCTAGACGAGATCGTGTCCGGATTATCCTCGACTCGAGAACAATTGACAGCAGAAGAGTCTCGATTGTGTAATTCATTAAGCAGATGAATGAGGAAAAGTTGCATGACTTAGATCCCTTTTTCCGCATTTCTCTCTGCGTAGGCTTATCTGAAGTTAGCTTCTGACCTGACTGGACAGTTAACCATATTGATAGTTTGCTCACGTGGACACGCACCCTTTGCAACCCCCTGGTTTAAGTCGCACGCACCTCTTCTCCCTGTGATATTCTGCGGGAAGACGAGACTCAAGCGGACCTTTTCTCTGGTAGGTATCCAGATATACAGATACCCCTCAGGTACATACATACAATGTTGCTGTTGGGGATACCTCGGACGCGTCCGGGCCGCCTGCTGCCCAGGAAGTCCATGTCAATCTTACGCGCACGGGCAACAAACAAGTCCTACTCAACAACAAGAAGTTCATCCTCAAAGAACTCGATAAAATATATAGCAGCTACCGGAATAGCTAGCTCGTCAGGCCTATGGTGGCTGATTACTTCTTCAGCTCATGATGATGTCCCGAATCTTGAAAAAAGACCACTATCCAAGCAATCTAGCGCTGATCTTGATCTTTCCAAAAAAGAACAAGTCACGAATATAATATCACGAGAAGCATACTCGTATCTGGTTCGAAATATCCCCGGCGTTGACCGCTACGATGGCGCTCAAGTCCCTTCCAACAGTCCCTGCGAGGACGTGTTCATCCACGGTAGCTTTCCCTCTCCATGCAATGATGGCAATCAATGGATGGCCTGGGCGGTTCTCGATGGACACGCAGGTCGACAAACGGCAGACGTACTGCAAGAGAAGCTGCTGCCTTTTGTGCGACGCAGTCTGGAGCACGTCGAGTCAAGTCCTCTTCAGAATCTAGGTCCCGAGGAGACCGTCCAGCGTGCTATTTCCCAAGGATTCCTAGATCTCGACGAGACCATTTTCAACACGGCGCTAGATGCGGCGAAGAGCAATGAACCATTATATGAGAAAGTGGACAAGTTGCTACCTGCTTTTTCCGGGTCGTGCGCTTTGCTATCGCTATACGATCCTATCACGAGTACATTGCATGTAGCATGTACTGGCGATTCAAGAGCCGTTCTAGGCCAACAGAGACCAGATGGAACATGGGAAGTAATGCCTTTATCGATAGATCAGACTGGTCGTAATGAAGAAGAGATCGCTAGGCTCTACAGGGAACATCCCGGTGAAGAAGACATTGTCAAAGACGGACGAGTGCTGGGTCTAATGGTCTCGCGAGCCTTTGGCGATAGTCGCTGGAAATGGCCCTTGGAAATACAGGAGGAAATGAAACGGAATTTTTATGGTCCAGCACCGCTGACGCCAAAGTATGATGTTCGAACACCGCCATATCTCACTGCTGAGCCTGTTGTGACGACTCTGAAGATCGATCCTAGCAGAGCTTCGTTCTTGATCATGGCCACAGATGGTATGTGGGATATGATGTCTAACCATCAGGCTGTTCATCTAATAGGGGATTGGCTGGATACGCAACAAGCAGCAGCGGAAGAACAGGAGAAGAAGCATAACCAACCAGAACCAGCGCACGAACCGATTATTGGTGACTTTGGTCGACTGAATGAGGTATTCGTGGACGCGAGAAAGACAATTCAAGATGATAATGCTGCTGTGCATCTTGTGCGCAATTCCCTGGGTGGAAATTGTCATGAGTTGATAGCTGGTCGGTTGGCTTATAGTGCTCCGCATTCTCGGTATTTACGCGATGATATAACTGTGCAGGTGGTGTTTTTTAATACTCGAAATTTGAAAAGAGGATAAATAGATAGATAGATAGATAGAAAGTGTAAGAATTAGAGGATGCGCAGTGGAGTTTATTGATTTTTCATTGTTGATAATCCCGATTTCTAACTACAAGAGAAATGCGCAGTTAACTATAAATCACTTCCTAATTCCTCATTCCATAACCAGAGCCACCGTCGATTCGAATACGAAAGTAGAAATACCAGAAAATCATTACTCTTATATGCTATAATATAATACAAGACATGACATTAAGTCATCCGACTTCAAAATTAGAAAGTACAAACTTGCGGTGTAGGGCGGCAAGGTCCGGATATCTATCGGTGTGGTTTTTTTGTTCTTTTTTCTCCTTTTTCATGTTCGTCATGCGATCTGTTGGGATCTATTATTGTAGTGATTACTTCATAGAGCAGGACTTTTAACTAAGTAGAGATGTTTGAGAGCATGTGAGTCTTTTACTTTTAGCCCTAGGCTTTGCGTTTGGTTGGTTGGTTGGTTGGTTAGGTACTTGGTTGTGAGCCGAGGCTGTATGCAGGTGGTAGATGCATACGTACCGGTACGGTTAGTTGATGAGGCGAATAGGTACTTGGAAAAGGTGGGTTTTGCGGTTGGGTTTCTTCTTGTGTACCTACTGTGTTAATTCTTGTACATTGTACGGTACTTTAGGGATTGGAATTGGTCTGATCGTACATATGAAATATATATATATATATGTTATAACCGGAGAAACAAGTTGTGTTACGCGATACTATTATCGTAGTATAGATCTCTAATATGTATTTCCACTTCAAATTGCAGTAAAACTAGTTATACTACAACTTTGCAATTAACCAGTACTTAGAGAGATAATTAATATTAATAACTAACTAATCTCACACGCAAAATATCCGACCTGCGGAACTTCCAAAGACCTATCTTCGAAACAGTTCTCTCGAACCTGCGATAATTATAAAACCACCAACGGGGCGCACGCATGCATACGCATACGCACATACACACACGTGCATGCGTTTCGTTTCATTTTCTTTTTTTGGTCTCCATTTCCCCTCTCCCCCAGCCATCGATTAATTATAATTAAAATCTCTCAAACCTCACGCGACCAAGGCGATCCGATCGGATCTTGCACGCCCTGAGAGTGCGTCAAGCTGATTGGATAAAGAAGCGTTGAGTCATTGCTCTCTAGAGCCCTCTAACTTAGGTACCTGACTGCGTTGTACTCCGTACTGTACCTGAGGGAGTATAGTAACCTGAGGCGAGGATGAGTTGGCAAAGGGATATTCGAATAAAAAGCAAAAGAGATAAGTTAAACTTCCTAGTGGTTAGGGAAGGATGGATGAATGGAGATGATAGGTAAGGCGGATAGGAATGGGACGGACCATGCGTTCAACTTCAGGGTTTCCGATTCTCCGCATTTTGGGACTAGGGATCCATTTTGGTTGTGAGTGGATGGGAAAAGGATTCAACTAGAGATGATTTGAGACTAGTTATGAGCTGTAGATACTGGATAGGTACTAGGAAGAGAGAATTGTGTCCACCGCATGGATCGAAGAAGTATGGGAGCTGTCAGAGAGAACGGTATCTTACGGCGATCATACAGATGTGACGCGTGGTTGGGCCAGTAGGAGGATCACATCCACAGGCGGTGAAATCTGCCCAGAAGCGATTCTCTGCCATTGTTTGATCAGCCGGACAGATGAATACCAGGCAATACATACCTGGTATGTCAGATACCATCGAACTAACTAACTAACCCAAACCCCACCTGCGATCGCTCTTCTTCTCTTCTCTCTTTAGCTCCAAATCATGGACGTTGCTTGGATGACGGCACGTCTCTCTGGCCGAACAACTCATCTTCCATACGGCATCGAACACATCAGCATCACCATCGACTTTTCTTGTTTTGAAACACTCCTCTTGAAACATCCCGATCGTTTTCCATGGTCGACGCTTCCAGGCCCCGTTGAGAGCTCCGCCGCGGAGCTGCCGGCACGAAGAGGTGCCCAACGCAGCAGCTTCAGTAATTAACTTGACTTTGGCTTGTCCTGTCGCCAGCCAGCCATGGATTGCGATCCTCCCGCCTCACATGCCGCCAACATACCAGACAAGCCTGTTCAGGCTCACGATGAGGCATCGTCTCCGCTGCGCTGCTGCTGTGGACGCAGCGATTGTGCATACCTGCTGCATAACTCGGCCGCCCTCGAAGGGCTGGAAAGGGACGTGGCTACCGCGGCCGTCTTGGGTCAGGTACGTTGACATGACTGTACAATGATGATTAAAGCCCTTTTTATCGTTTGCCCCTCTCCTTGCCTTAGAAGGCTTTTTTTTGTTCTCGTGTCTTCCAAGCATAATTGGACTGCCGTTTCCCTCTCATAGGATGGTGTGTCTGGTCGTTCCATTGCTTTTCTATATCTGTCTTGTTTTCCCTCTCATTCCTGAGTCTGAGCCGTGTTGTGTTACCTGTACATGCCGCCGGACGGTCATTGTACAGCTGCCAGACACGCTTCGCGCCCTTGTTTCTTCTTTTGGAATCCCACCTTATTACGATCATGACCTGGTTTCCTTCTGTGGGCTCTGCCCCTCAGGAATGGTCTCCTATCCTATCGCACTGCACGCGAGTCTGTGGCCAATTCTTCTCCATTTCTGACGCAAAGAAGAGAAGAGAGCGCCAACTCGCTCTCTTCCTCGTCCTGCGCGGCTTCAAGATCATGTCGTCGCTAACCTTTGCCCTGCAGGCCCTGCTCCACCGCCATGAGACCTACATGGCCGAGTCCGAGGAGGACCGCAACCGTCTTCTGTCCAGTGTAGAGCAGCTCGAGCGCGAGAAGAAGGAGATGCAGGCGGAGAACAACCGGATCATCGAGGAGAACCGCGGTCTGTTGGAGCAACTCGAGGGCCTCAACAAGCAAGTCGCCGAGTCCGATACCACCATCAAGTCCTTGACCGCGACGCTCGAGACTACCCAGTCCGAGCTCAGACGGATGACAGCCCAGGCTGCGCGTGCGGAGGAGCTCGAGGCACAGCTAAGCGCGATGGAGTCGGAGCAGACTCTGCTCCAGGATCAACTGTCCCACGTCCAGGAGGACGAGCGCTGCGCGGTTCAACGCTGGAAGAAGGCCGAGTGCACGCTGCGAGACCTGCACGACCAAGTCGACCGCATCGAGAAGGAGGCCCGTGAAGAACGCGAGAAGCACATCGAACTCATGGAGCGCATGGAACGGCGGAGGGCTGTCGAGCGCGAGCTGGACGGCGCCGCCGGCCGCCTCAAGGGTGCTGCTGCCGCGTCCGGCCTGGGTCGCCCTCAAAATGCGCCCACAGTGGTTTCGAAATTCGTGCGCGATATCCTGCAGGACAATGCCAATCTACAGATTGGAATTGTCGAGCTGCGCGAAATGCTCCAGAATTCAAACGAGGAAGTACAACACCTGCGCGAACAGATGATGCTCCATCAGCCCCTGGCCGCCGCGACGGACCAGGACCCGAGCAACGACAACAAGTTGAAGCGCATCTCCCTGAGCGAAGAATTGGAAACGCGGTCTGCGCGCCCTTTGTCCCAGGAGTACCATGTCCATCATCACTATCACGCGCCGGCCACGCCTACCAATCCAAAGAAGGAGAAGGGTCTGTCGCGGCGCCTCAAGAAGAAGCGTCCTATGCTGCCAAATCCTACCGCGCCGCAGCCAGTTTCAGGACCGCGACGGCCTGCGCATCGCCATCAGTCGTCGTCGTCCACCTCGACTATTCTATCCCAGACATCAGTAACCGTCCCGCCGAACGCGGCGCACCGCTGGTCGGTGCAGTCGCCGGTGACGGCTGCCACCTCGTCTATCGCCAGTTCCCCAGGCTCGGGCTACCGCACATCATCCATCTTCGATCGGATGGAATATGGTGGTGTAGAAGCGTCGCTGCCGACGAGTCCGGAGAGCAATCCGTACTCGTCCCCGATTATGGCAGCACGGCGGGGAAAACGCATGTCAGACGCTTCCTTCCATTCGGTGCCAGGGCACTCTGGCGGCGAGCTGTCGCTCGAGGACGAACTGGCGGAGCTGGATGGCACTCTAGATGATATGTCTGGGGGAGAGAGCATCGCCATGCAGCCTCCTATTCCTGAAGAAACTGAAGAGTCGTCCAACGCGGACAACATGCCTACGCCGGATAGACAGCGTGGGTACGGACACCATTGTGCTCAGGATAGCTTCTCCTCGTCGGTCCCATTCAACGTCATGCATCGGTCTCTCTCGAACGACAGCCTGTTATCGGTGTCTGGAATGGATATCCATACGTTGAGGGATCGTCCTTCACAGCTGAAGGGGTTGCACTCGACCTACTTTGCTGCTCGGACACCCAGACGTATCGTCTCACCCAGTACGCTCACCTCAACACCCCCAATCATCTCCACTGCCAACATTACTGCAGACAGGGTGCCCGTCCGCAGCGCCTCGGCCATGTCGCCGCACTCGCTCCTGACGTCCGTAGCCCAGAGTCATCCACGACCAGCGACACGGCCGGCCCCGTCGTTTGTCTCCCAGGAGAGCAGCGATGGCGATACCCCATCAACGCGTCCTAAGACCAACTTCCGCCGTCGGGTGGGCAGCTGGGTTATGGGACGCTGGGGCATCGCACCGGTCAAGTCGACGGGCGACCTGCGCAACAAAGGCACCATGACCTCCGGGGCATCGACCTCGTCCGCAACGTCGGAAGTGTCTGCCACGACCGAGCCTAATCCTGCCCCTGCTGTCAAACCCCCGCTGGAGTTTGGACCGGCGATTCGACCCCCGGGTGTGAACCAGAAGGGACCTATCCCGGGACTGAGACCGCCGGTGCGAACGCCCAGTCAGGTGCATGCGAGGGGGTTGGATGAGCAGTTGCTTCGGGAGAGTCTGCAGGAGTGATGAGATTTCTTATTTTCCTTTTCTTTTCTTTTCATTTCATTCTATCATATAAACTTACAACAGATCTCCTTTTCTCACGGTCACTGAAGAAATTACGCATTGCCAGCGCGGTTATTTCTATGTCTTCGCATTTGCACTTGATCATATCACCACTTGATACCATTCGTTGTAACTTCCAATTAACCTGTCATGTGAATCCGCGGACCTGATGTGATATTACGGTATATATTGCCCATAGCATTGGGAAGGAGTTTTCTTGCTTCTGGAGTTTGTGTGTGTTCGCACGTCTAGTTGATACTATCGACCCATTGACTCGAACCAGCGGCGTTGGGTTGAGCTTCGTGGCCTTCATTCATACACTATATGGTCGCTGTCTCAGCGATGTCCAGTCACTTGTTCATTTCCTTACCAATTACTCTGGTTTTTCATTCTCTATTTTCGGCATCATTGCGATGCGATGTCCCATCACAGATGGAGTGGCTATGGTGGATTAACTAGCTTATAATTATAATCAACACGAGAACATTGGGTAGCTCGATTGAGTATTGACTCTGTCGTGGTAAACAATCCTTAACGAGGTCCTTGGTAACTACATAAGAGTATACCCTAGACTTTATCCAACGATGACATCATGTCCCAAACAGGCAAGTTAGGGCTGGGGCTGAGGGGTTTAGCAATCGCAGCTCTCTGATTGGCCAAGATGGAGCCAGTTGCTCTATCACTGCGACGTCACCGAGAAGAGAGAATAATAATGCGAACAGAAGATAACATTAATCATCGCGTATAAACAGGTAATATGAGACATCGGAAAAGCAGGAATGGTATCGTAATTCAGGAATCTTAGACAGCTATTAGAATCAGTTTCTTCCCCGTCCATGTTCTCTGCGTGAGGTTGAATTGGATTCCTTTGTACTGTTCTGTATTGTCCCATCCCATCCCATCCCATCCTATCCTAATCGTCAATCACAACGTGTCTGTTCCATTGGACCTGGTTATATCCCTCGCTTGGGCGTAGTTAATTCTTCGCTGTTCTCCAAAAGAAAAAGTCGAGTGGCTGCGTCATAACTTCTCTGAACACTTGAAGTGGTCATCTAGCTATATGCCCCGGTCTCTCCCCCGCTCGTCGCTGGGTCTAGCCTCTCGATTGAGCCCGTCTTCTTCTGCGTGCTGCTCCCATCTGTCTTCAACTGGATTCTCTTCATTGACTTCTGCTCGTAACTACACGGCTCATTTCCGCTGTCGCTGTGGTTGTCGGAATAATATCGTCTGCTCCTGTGCTTGCTGCGTCCACCCAGGTACTTCTCTTACCCCGCAGAAGAGAAGCTTCGTCACTGCTCCTCGCTTGACTACGTTCCGGCCGTCTTCTTCTCCTTATCCTAGATCGCCAATCCCCAGTGGTGCCACTGCCGCGTTTCTTGATACTAGTCCGCTATTATCATCCTCATCGAAGAACTGGACATTTACTACCCACGCCCGGCGTACCTTCTCGTCTACTCCAACAAACATGGCGAAGGAATTCAAACTGAAGGACATCAAGTCCCTGTCGGATGTCAAGGACTTTGAGAAGGTCGAGTCTGAAGTCGAGGGGGTGGAAGGAGGCAAGATCCTTGTCGTGAAGGTTGATGGAGTGGCTCATGCTCTCTCGCCGAAGTGTACTCACTATGGCGCGCCGCTGAAGAATGGTGTCCTTACGCCGGATGGAAGGTTGACGTGTCCGTGGCATGGAGGTGAGTTTTGGTCGTCAAGACCAGATTCTTAAGAGGTGGACGTGACAGACTGATGGTTGCGTAGCTTGCTTCAGTATCGGCTCGGGTGATGTTGAAGACGCACCGGCTCCGAATGCGCTGGCCAAGTTCGATGTCTACGAAAAGGATGGAGCCGTGTATATCAAGGGTGATGAGACGTCGATTAAGTTCGGTCAGAGAGATCCTGTTCTCAAGTGTCAGGCTGTGGGCGATAAGAGGGTTGTTATCATAGGAGGGTAAGTTATAGTATCATATAGTCAGCCTGACTGATGTAATGTGATGGCTGGATACTAATGGCTTAAACAGTGGGAGCGGAACTCTAGGAGCCATTCAGGCCCTGCGAGAAGTCGACTTCAAGGGCCCCATCACCGTCATTACCAAGGAACCCAACTATCCTATCGACCGTACCAAGCTGTCCAAGGCGCTCATCCCGGACTCGAAGAAGCTCGAATGGCGTCCGAAGGAATGGTACGATTCTGCCTCGGTCAATTTCGTCTTCGACGAAGCTACCGGTGTCGACTTCGACAAGAAGACCGTCTCAACCACGTCTGGTAAGTCGGTCTCTTACAGTAAGCTTCTTCTCGCGTCGGGAGGCACGCCTCGCAGCCTTCCTCTGCCCGGATTCAAGGAACTGGGTAACATCTTCCTGCTTCGCTTCGTGTCTGATGTCCAGAACATCCTCGAGGCTGTTGGCCAGAAGAACAAGAAGATTGTCATCATTGGCTCCTCCTTCATTGGTATGGAAGTCGGCAATGCCCTCGCGAAAGAGAACGAAGTCACCATCGTCGGCATGGAAAAGGCCCCCATGGAACGCATTATGGGAGCAGAAGTCGGCCAGATCTTCCAGAAACTGCTCGAGAAATCCGGCGTCAAATTCCACATGAACGCCAGCGTCGAGCGAGCCACTCCTTCACCCGCAAACCCAACCAACGTTGGTGCCGTTCACCTCAAAGACGGCACCGTCCTCCACGCTGACCTGGTCATCCAGGGCGTTGGCGTCCGTCCTGCCACCGACTTCCTCCAGAACAACCCGGCCATCAATCTCGAGAAAGACGGCTCTCTCCGCGTAGACGAGACCTTCGCCGTACAAGGCGTGCCCGACACCTTCGCCATCGGCGACATAGCCACCTATCCATACCACGGCCCTGGAGCTCCATCCTCTGGCTACCCCATCCGCATCGAACACTGGAATGTCGCCCAAAACTCCGGCCGCAGCGCCGCCACAACCATCGCGCACCAACTCGCCGGCAAAACACCCCCTAGACCCAAGGCCTTCATCCCCATCTTCTGGTCTGCATTGGGCCAACAGCTCCGCTATTGCGGCAACACCCAGGGCGGCTTCGACTCACTCGTCCTGAAAGGTGAGCCCGAAAACGCCAAATTCGTCGCTTACTACTGTCAAGGCGACACGGTGGTTGCGGTAGCGAGCATGATGATGGATCCGATCATGACCAAGTGCGCGGAGTTGATGCGTAGAGAGAACATGCCGACCAAGAAGCAGATTGAGGCTGGTGTCGATCCGTTGACGTTGGATTTGCCGAGTAGTGTGAAGATGTAACTGGATCGATTCTGAGATAGGGAGTGATTTCTAGTATTTCTGATAATCTGGTCAGGGAATGAGTTCGATATGTTATGTATACAGATAGGTAATAATGAATGACAATGAATATGAATGGATACAAATTAGTGCAGAACTGAGACAGACGTCTAGGCTAGTATAGTATCCTAGAATCGATTAATCTATCTGCCTATCTAGGCTGGAATTTTCAATGATTCAAAGATTGAAGCTTGAAGGAAAAGAAAATCTCTCAGAGTATTTCCTATAAATACTAACATTCTGTCAGATTAATCAAAAATTCAACCCCCTAATACTTACTGGTCCTTAGCGATCTGCCGGCGAACATCCTAACATTACTCACTATAAGATAGGATATCCAGCCGTCGCAAGAACCATACTTATACTAGGTACCAACCAAACCACATGCTACCGAGATACAATAATACTATTCCTCACCGCTAAGATCACATGTATCTAATAAGAAAAACAAGAGATATATACACACATATCCAATGTGCAGCCAGCATAGAAGGATAAAGTATTCAAACCCCCCATACCCCCAACGGATCTAACCCAGAACTCCCCCGCATCTCCTGTAATTTCCTCACCCGCTTGACGAGGGTACCAACACAAATCGGCCCAATAAGGGTACAGATAGATATCGCCCAAATAATAACCAAATATATATCAGATATTTCACCCGAAGACCCAGTTACAAATAAGCCTTGGCTTTGAGCGAGAGAAGCGATGAGATATCCGACTTCTCCTCTTGCGACCATTGCGAGACCGAGGATTGATGGTGGGTATAATGATTTTGGTTTTGGGGGGAATGGAATAATTGTTGTTGTTGTTGTTGTGGAGCTTTGGTTGGGGGTTGTTTGTGTGTGAGATTCTGGTTGAGAGTTGGGTTGAGAGGAAGGATTCTGAGATTTGCGATTGTTGATCTTTGTGTTTGCTTGGTTACCTGTGCGTTCTTCTGAGGGTTGAGTGATGGGTGTTTCGGTTGGGGTCTGTTGCTTCTTCTTCTTCTTCTCTTCTTGCAGTTTGTCGGACGTGCAGAAGAGATGGATGCGAGAAAATGGTCTTTTCAATTTATATGCGAAGCTCAACAGGGGCCGACGCAGTGAGAAACGAACGAGCCAAATGCCAGTGATTAATTTTCCAAATATCATTAGAAGAGCGTAGATGATACCACGCCAAATTATACTTCCTTTGAACATTTCAGTGATGGGAATTGCGAATCCAATCGATGCCTATGTATTCTTCTTGTTAATACTGTACTTATTTTATTATAAGCAGGGAGGTCAGAGGGGGATACTCACGAAGAACAGTGGTGTGAGAATTCGATTAACTGGCTGTTTGTAATATTTCTCATAGACCTTTTCACCTGTTGGTGTTTCGCCATGTTGTATATTACTTGTAGAAGATGCATTCGAGGTGTGGGATAGTACACTGAGACCAGGGGTGTCGTTGTCTTGGGCTCTGTTGTTTGAAGAAGGAGGGTCTGTTGAAGGTGTGTTCGAAGGGACAATGCCAGAAGGCATCTTCGACTCTATGACCATGCCATCAAACCACGTAACAATGACTCCTGCAAGGTAAGCTGCAAAAAGACTCGACGTGCCTGCATAAGTGGCACCGGCAACAAGTCCTATTAGAAAGAGTGTCTGGTATAAAAACGCAAACTGCACGCTTCCTATGAAATTAGGGACTTTGAGCTTGGCTGAGAGAACTCTCTTGGAAATCGGCCCGATGAAGAATGCACACAGAAGGAAAAGACCCAGTGCAAAACCAATCGAGACGAAGACGGGCCGAATGACCGTCAGAGCATCGAAGGATGAAGCATTCCCGCCTAGATTTGAAATGATTTGTACCATAACGAGACCAACGACATCATCTAGCATGGCAGCACTGGTCGTAACGGTACCCAGGCGCGTAGAGATCAGATTTGTCGTTGATAGGATTGTAAAGGTAGTTCCAAGGCTTGTTGCGCTTAGAGATGCACCTGCAGCAAATGCTTGTAATGAGGTTGCTCCGACTAACTCTCTTAGAATAAAGGACAAGCCCATCGGCGTGCCAATGCCAGTGATCGCAACGCAGAGAGAAACTATTAGGTTTGCTCTCACGGATTTGATCGATGTTGATAGACCGCCTGGTCGAGGATAAGCAATTGTTCAACTCGTACAGGTATGTACATACATAAGTACAGTACTTACCTTCATATACCAGCATAATCAGTCCAAGATAGCCCAGCTGCTGGATAACAGTTTCTGTCTCTTGATCTAGCCATTTTGCTCCAGGTGTGCCCCAAAGGATACCAATGAAGAGCTGGCCGATGAGCCCACAATATAGAATTTTGTCAAGGCAGACATTGACAAGATTCAAAACCAGGAGAAATCCAGTCTGGGTGAGTATGGTTGTTATTGGCGGTTCATGATAAGCAAATGCTGCATCTGAGCCATCCCCGGCCATTACTTGCTTGAAAGATAACCAGGCAACAGTCACAGGCTTGAATAAAATGCTATTCTTAGAGAAGTACCTTAGGTTTGAGGAGAAGATAAAGAAGAGGCAAACACGGATGTAATTGAGGAAGTGGCTGCGCCCGGCGGAAGTGGCAGAATCTGAGGGCGGACAAGTTCTGACGCAGGTCTTGATTGAGGAAGCTTTGTTAGGATAACCATTAGGATATCCAAGTCTATGGCCGCGTGAGAACTATACTACCTACCTAATTAGTCGAGGTATCATATTGCCATTCCTTACCGCTAAAATCATATGTATAATAACTTCTAGGTGAATAATAACATCCCATTCCACCTTTCACTTTCAACCCCCCTTTACCCTTCATCCCCATCTAACATTCATCCCCATTCCAACATTTGCACAATGATTCCATCTCTGTCATCTTATGTAGGTGCTCGCTAGATCCTAGTCGCGAGCATTATACCTACTTTAGACGACACACTGGTGGTAATCTAGTTCAGCTTCCTTGCACCTGCCTTCACTGAATTTCGAATCACGGTGATCGAGCCTTCCTCAGGCTGCCACTTTTGAGTTATATATCACTTAGTGAGAAGGGAGAAAATTCGATTTCTGTATATCACACTGTGCATAGGAGGGTTCTTCTCTAATGGATAAGATTCACGATGGACGACAAGAACGCAGAGGGCTGGGTCTCTCTGCTAAGGGAAGCAAATCAACTTTCCTTAAACGAATGAACGTGGTCAAATTACCTACACCAGAAGTTCCAGACCCGATCACTAGTCAGTCCGATGAGTTAGTCGATGCCATGGTTGCATCATTTATTGAGCCCGTCAATGACGCTGGTATGATCACTAGAACAAAGGCAGCCTTATAAACCTCTATTGACGATAATCCCTTGTACATTGATAATGTACATACGAGGGAAGCCTTTTTGTCAGAAATTATCACGCCATGCGGTTTGCCGACACACGCCAGGAGAGAGTGGAGCTTATCAAAAAGATAGAGCGTCTTGACGAGGAGTTGAAGAAGTTGAGACTAGACCACGATGAAGTTCATGCGGAGCATCGAGAAGCGATAGCAGGACACCGAGAAGCGATACAGCGCATCGAAGATATAACAGGTGGCGTTGGAGAGTTACGCAATCTATTCTTCGACGTGTACAAGAAAAACCAAATGGACCAGGAGAAACGGCTGAACGCGTTACACTGGTCAGACAACCCTTGGATTCGCAAAACGGAACAAACCGTTGAACGTGACTGCAAGAGGGACGCAGAACTTCCCTACTATAGACATATTGGTATGAAACGCTACAGGGAGTTATACGGATTTTTTTCCTAAGCAAGTACTAACTATTGGTGCGTATCTGACCCTCATAAGATTGCAAAGCTAATGCGTATATAGAATACGAACCAACAATTCGTACCCTCAACAAACATGCGTCGATTCTCAGTTCCCCGTTCATGAAAACTTCTCCGAGGTTTGATGAACTTTGGCGTCACTTTATTGATACACTTGCGGAGTCGGACTACCCCGAAAGATACTAGGCGAATCCTTATTCAAAAATCACACAAGCGTATAGGGCATTCTGGGGTTGTCTAGATTATGAGGTCGCGGAAGTGGAGAGGGTCGATATTGACGAGAAAGATCAGAGACTGTCCAACCTTAATCCGAGGCGCACATGGTATCAAATTGTCTAGCTGAGGGAACTGATTGCTTGCTTGCGTCCACAAATAATAATAATAATATCAATAACAACAATGAACTGGCTATTAGCTTTTTTGACGCTATCCAAGTATTTCAGACGTCTGTCTTTTCTGGTAATACTATCCTTACATGCACGATGTACTAAATTCGAGGGTAGGACACTATATAGCACACTCCAAAGTAAACAATACAGTAGCCATTCCTTTCTCACACCAAGCAAAAAGCAAAGCTAACTACAAAGGTATCTCAAAAATCAAAATTATCTCACACACTTCACTTCATCGTATCATTTACAATCATCCCCTTCATCGACCTCTCCGTCCTCGTCGTCGAGCAGGACCCCGCTGTGGACTGATGCTGCTCCCATCTAATAGTGCCGCTTCGTCTGTTGACGATCGAGTCTTTCTTCGTGTAGGTGGCACGTTTTTCTGAACCCAGCCCGGACCACGAGGAAGGCCTTGAGATCGTGCAAAGTCTTGGTCGCTGCCTTCATCGTCTGAGGCTGCGGGGCTTGTTTGCGTCAGATCTACGATTTCGGAGGCGCGGAAGGGAGCTATGTTGCGGTTCTCGTTCGTCGGTTCTGATTCTGCGCCAGGTCTGGGAGAAGGAGCACGTTGAGGAGAGGAAATCGCCTGTCGTTCTGCTGGTCGGGTTGATGGAGAGCGAGTCCTCGCTGTAGTGCGAGCTGGTGCGGTTGAGGAGATGAGCATGTCGATTGGAGGGAGATCGAACTCGGCCCAGTCGGTCTGTTGTGTCTCGTTTGGCTCTTCTGCTGCTATCCTGGGGATAGAAGAGTCTTCTTGTTGTGCGGCTAGACGTTCTTCGTGAGCGCGATCGACTTCGTAGAATGGATTAGGCACCATCGAGCTTCCTCTGGAGGTTACTTGGCTTTCGACCTGCGAACTGAATGGCATCGATGATGGGTCGTCCGAAAGGGCCTGAGCTTGATAGGACACTGGCACTTTGTAATCGTCGTCCGTTGGATGAGAAGAATTCTCAGCCTGGGTCGGCAGTTGGGGATGGTCTGCGGTTGACTTTTCCTGAGGCGTCGACTGTGGCCTTTCACTGGCAGAGTTGGCCTGTGAAGACGCGCCTCCGGACGGTTCGGGATTTCGATCTGAATGCTGCCGGGCAGAAGGGGATGGGGTAGATCGTTGGGATCCTGCTCGTTTTTTGCCAGCTTCAATATCAGGAGGACTCGAAGGGAAGCCTGTAAAAGTGGGAGACTTGACGGATGAGCTCGAGGAGGCGTGGTCATCTTGGTTATCATCCTGCTTCTCGTTCTGCTCTTGTTGGGAGCTGTCATCGAAATCAGAGAAAGGCCGCAAGAAGTCAAAACTATCATCTGACGCAACGAGATCAGAATCAATCTTCGACCGGAACCCAGCGTCGTTGATCAGCATGGAAATCTCGTTACGGGTCTGGGAGGAGACGGTAACCACGCCTGGTTCAGCTGATGTGTTCTGGCTTTCGTTGGATACGGCTTTATTGTCATCCAGGACTGCGGACTCTCTACCGATACTTGGTCGAGTAAGCTCGAGCACGGAACATAATGGACTCGGATACTAAGGAAATTAATGTACTGACACGCTGACTCCCTGCGCATCGCCTTCGCCTGCCGGCGCGGCTTGTAGCAGCTTGGGCTCGATGAGTTCCGCGAATGACAGTTCCCGAAAGCCATCATCCTCTTCCGTCTCCTCGTCAAACCCCGGCATCTCAAACCCGCTGTATTCACGACGGCCTTCCTCGTCCTCCTCCCCGTCAGTTCGCTGCTCCCGGTCCCGTTTAGCTAGCTGGACCTTGATTGTTTTGTCCTCCAGGACGCTGTCCACCCGTGCCACGCGGTACTCTGATATCTTAGGTTGCCAGTTCGTCGCCTTGGACATATCTAGTTGTTTAAACGCGATGATGGCACCATTCTGCACCTGTCCTTCAACCAGGTCTGGTAGAGTACCCACGTCCGCTGGAACAGTAGGGAGGTCGCATGGTTCCTCTGTCGTCCCGTTGGCATCTGTCATTGCATGGTCCTCACCGGTATGATTGGTTTCCTCTCCTTGAAGGTAGGATTCATCGTCGTAGTTGAGAGAGACATCGCCGTTCTCGCCATCCCAGTAGCCGTTACTATATTCCTGTTCCTGTTCTTGCTCCTGCTCCTGCTCCTGCGCCTGAGCAATCTTCTGTCTCTTCCGTCGACCCTTTCTCCTACCCCATCCCTTGCGTTCCGCGATAATCTCATGGGCCTCTTCGTCCCAGCGCTGTTCGAATGGGAAGGGAGGCGCCGAAAGCTCAATATCATCAAAGACACACTCCGTCGCTTTGATAACCAACTTCTCTTGCCAGTTCTCTTCCGCATCGCTTGCTGCTTCCTGATCCTCCTTGTCCGCGTCTTCCTTATGTGAGATGAACGTTTTAGCTTTGGCAGTCAGCTTTGCGCGCATGGCATCCGCCTCTTCCTTGGATTTCGGCGTCCTCAGTCCAAGCGACCCAAACAGCAGCCGCTTGGAGCTGGCCACGTCTAATGACCGTTTCTTCAATGGCTCATTAGCCGTCTCGTCAGGCTTCTCCTGAGGAGTCTCCGGAGCAGGCTCATCCTTTTTGGCTGTCTGTTCTGGGACCTCTCGATCTGTATAGTGAGCTGGCGGCACATTCTCTTTCTCTGACCACCCGTCAATATCCACCCCGCCAGTCTGTAGGTCTCGAAGCAGCTTCTGCCGCTTGGCTTCGAACTCGAGCTGTTCTTTGGACTGCGGTCTTGGCTCGGTCGCGCCCGTAACCTCTGTAAGAGGGAGACTGCGCCCATTCGCTTCCTCGAACGCTCTCAGTGCAGTAAAGTCCGCATCTGGAGGTAGAAGGCCGAGCTCCTTTAGTTTCACTAGCTTCCTTCGCATTTTATTGCGACGGTTTGTCTTCTTCGTCAGTACAGAACCCTTCCCCGGAGGATTAACTTTGGGCTTCTTGACAGCCTCATCCTCCGACTCAGACTCCGACTCCGATGTGGATTCTTCTGATTCCGATTCAGAAGTCGATTCTTCGTCAGACTCGGATGTCGAATCATCTGACTCAGAAGTGGATATATCTGACTCGGAGCTTGATTCCTCATCGGAAGACGTGATAGAACTGGAATCGCTTGCTGCTGTGCCCACCTTTCTATCTATTCCAGAAGCCTCTGATTCCGAAGAGCTGGAAACTTCCTTACTCTCCTTCTGGAATCTGACATTCTTCGTCCTCTTGGGGGATTCCGTCACACTCTCAGGACGACGGTCAGTGACTATGGAGGACTTGCGGACAGCAGGACTTCCAGTCGGGGTCGTCCCACTCGGTTCTGTTTGTTCAGAGCTTACACCTAACTGCGACACTCGACGGGATGATCTTCTGGTACGTATAGCTTCCGTCGTTTCCACTTCAGGGGTTTCATCTGGCCGTAGGTCTTCTTTCAACGCATTAAGCTCCTCTGCCAGGTCCCCTTCATCAATTTCGGAAGTATCCGCATCGCTGTCAGAATCCTGCGCTCCGGCGAGCTCATCAGGTGGGTGCCGGATGACAGTGCCTTGATCTGACGCGACATCATCCTGGATGTCGAAGAGAGACATCTCTTTCCCGGTGTGTAAATTCCGTGGCAAATCCCACCGCACATCTTCCTCAAGATCGTCACCGGCACTCCATCCGGAAAACGAGATGCGTCGACGCTTCCGAGGCGGGATATTAACCGTAGGTCTTGCAGAGAACGATCTCTTCAGATACGGTCGCCCAAACGGGACTCCATCAATCAAGTGTCTTCCATCCATCGAGATCTGAAGTCGGCCTGATATGCGCCTCGCTCTCATATCGGAGAGTTGTAGAGCTCGAATACTGCACGAACAAAGTAATTAGCCAACGTTACCTCTACACACGTAACAAAACTTAAATCAAATCGAGGAGTCGTGACTAACACAACCTCGTCCCCATCCCTCAACAAACCCTCCACTTCCATGAAATGCAGACACTCGAACCCATTCACTTCAACCACATAATCCTCTAGACCCCACTGTCCGATTTCGTTCTCTTCGCCATTATAATCGCCTCTCGCGCCAGTAATGCTTCCGCCCTTCGTCTCGAGTGGGATCACCTCGTTCACATCCTCGAGCAACTGCGCGATGGTGTAGTCATCATTTCCGTACGTCGCGTTCGGTGTTCGCGTCGATGTAAGAGCGGATGCAGACGATGCGGATCTAGGCGCTGGTACCGCCTGAGTTGATGGAGGAGAAGTCGTCCATAGGATTCGCGTGACGGGGAGCCCGTGTCGTTGGATGATGAGATGGAGACGCATGTTGTTGGTTCCCGTTTGTTGCGGGTGGATGCGTGCTTGGTTATGCGATGGGATTCATTGACGAAAGGCCATCGAGATGCTTCGCTGATTTTCAGTACTTAGGCGCAATGAAAGAAGAATGGAGCGCTCGCGGGGCCAGCGCAGAGCTTGAAAGCGCGCGGGAGCGTAACTAATGCGAATGGAAGGAAAAGTTCAAAGGGGCGCGGAAAGGAACCCGTTGCGCGTAGTTGGCTTGAAAACAAGTCAGGCGACAATAAAAGTCAGGAGTTTCTCGTAATAAAAACTTCCCGCGAAGAGGAAAAGTATTGCGTCGAATATTATCGCGCCAGTTAGTTTCGAGCAGCGGAGGTTTTTGCGGAATGAAATGATGATGCCAAGCGGAGCGGTGATTCCACGTGGTCCGGCGCGCTTTCGGTTTAAGTAGCAGCCTATAAACTACTATCAGTAATACTGCCTCATAGTTACCTAACTATGTTATTATCATGCACTAGATGATGATAGTTCGGTGTGCTTGCACAGCTCTTGACATCAATAGCAATTATTTCATACTCGTCCCTATCTACATATTACTCATCTCCCTTCGCCACGCCGACTTAATCCAAAGCGATCGCAAGGAGTCAAGAGGGGAATAATAACGGATCTCTAGACACCGATTCCTGGAGAAAACCGGCCTTTTCTCCACATGTAACACCGAGGGGGAAATTCCAAAGGATATATGAATGATACAACTAGGATCTTGAAAGCCATGACCAGTGACCCAACGCCAGATCATGCAACTTTGCTCAGGGAGTAGAAAAAAAAGAAGAAGAAGAAGAAGAAGAAGAAGAAGAAGAAGAAGAAGAAGAAGAAAATTAACGGGTCGTCGATAGTGTGTTCCTGCTCAGGGACACATCAAAGTTCTCATGATTATTATTATGCTCCTGGAGTCGGAGGCTGCTTGCCGTTTGAATGGCCTGGAACGGGTTTTCGATGGGGCACACCCAAATTCATGCGTAAATTCGTGTTTGACGGCCTCCGCTGAGCAGCATTATCGGTCGCTGAGAGAGGACTTAGCTGCGTTGGCATTGGCTGATACTCTGGTAGAGGTTCGTCGTGCCGCTGTTCAGCGGAATAGGGGCGCACATCAACCGGTGACAAGGCCGGACTCACGTTCTCAGGGCTGGAGTGCGAATCAGTAGGCGTTGAAGGAAGCATATCAAACGATTCGACAGAGGCATTGGAATGTATCGTGCCAACACTGTCGGGGAACAGTCTCTCCCTACCCTTCTCGTCCGGAGATCCAACACCTGTTTCTGACACTGTCCGTCTCCCGGAAATGCCATCTGGGGGGTTATAGTCACGTCGTGGACCGTCTACTGGGCCGAGATCTTCGGCAATAGCATCTTCATAGCTTGGAGGAGCGTCTGCGTAGCCATCTTCCGGATAGGCTGGTACTGGGGGAGCGGATGGCCTTGGGGGCATCGGAGGACGTTGACTTGGGCTTGTGGGTGTTCCTGCTGACTCGGCGGCTTTGCCATTCCTGCCAGCCATTGCGTCCAACAGAGCCTGTGGCGGAGCAACTCCCGAGTATACCTTGACTGGAATTCTCAGCGGTAGTACCGCCATAGTCAACTGCTACTGTTAGCAGAATTTCCTAAGGATAAAGAGACGTCTGTGATCCTGCAAAGAAGAGGCAGTAGGGCCAGCGTACCTTGGGTGCTCCTTTGATTCCGTGGCTCAAGCCAACGCGTACTTCCAGCTCATAAGTTCTCCAGATATTGCATGTTTCAAAAGATGGAGCGACAGAACTTGGAAGAGGTATCCGAGACCAGATTGCGGGATCGATCTTAAATTCTTGGCCAGGAGCGTCTTCGCCTCTGATTAAAGGCTGGTTCATATTACTGTGGCTCACTAGAACCCAGCTGCCACTTTCTTTCCTTGCCAGATCATGTGCACGGATATGTGTATATGCTATCAACTCAATCTGAATCATCTGCAGGTATATAGTCTCCAGTGTATCTGAGATTTTCGTTACCAGAACGCGGAGAGGGATTGGTTCGTTGATTGTTAGAATCGGAGGGTTTGGCAGTCTCGCATCGACGGAGAAACGAGGGCCGTCTGCGGAGGAGAGGCCCGTTGTACCGGATATTTTCTGAAAGAGACCTCTCTTTTGTGATGGGGCTCCAGGCCTTGTAAACTGATGTTGTCGCCGCGCGTATGTCTCTTCTTTCGGATCCCCCATTTTCGGGGGTTCGATAGGGAGGAAGTTGAATTCGGATATCTAAACGAGCATGTCAGTAGCTATACCACAGCTGACCGTGAAATCATGCAGTCCTGGCTCATTTCAGAATATTCATTCTCGTTAACGTTGGGGACATCCGAGAACATACCGATCGGATATTCTCCTTGTAGAACTGCGGCCGGACAATAGTCGCTTTAACATAGTACTTAATCTCCGCTTCTCCAGGAAACCCCCTCAATGATGGAGGCAACGTCTTCTTAACATGGCGATCAGTATCCCGTGCCACTTCGAGTCTCAGTCCAGTCATGTTGAGATTCGTCAACATGCTGTTATGGGTGCTGCATGAATTATTGAACGGGAACTAGAGAGCAGTCAGCACCCAGCTTTGTACTGAAGACGTATATATATAGCCTCAATGCCTGCATGTATTCACCTTAAATTTGAATGGGTACTCATGCACTCCAGCAGGAAGGGTATAAACTGCACTGGAGCCATGCTGATAGACCTCCGGACTGGGGAAAACCGTGGAAACTTTGTAAAGCAGCTGCAGACCCAATCAGCCCACTCCGGTCGATTCGAAATGATCGATGCGCAATTGTGCTCTGCAGTCAATATACAACACGTGGACGTGACCTGACTTACCTTATGAACCTCTAGTTCCGTCTTCTTCTTGTCCGGTCTAACATCGCCCTGATACCGCGGGCCCGCCAGCCGCGTCCGACTTTCACCTTCCAACTTCACCTGGATAGCACTGATCGATGTATCCGTCACAAGCTGCACAATGACCTTCCCGGTGATGATGTCCAGATTCGTGAAATATGCGTGAGGCCGGTCCAGATGGATCCTCGCCGTCATGGTGTCTGCGCACCCCCAGTGGATTTAGGTACTGGATCAACCCAGTGATCGGCGAACGCTGGAGGCGGGCAGCCTGGACTGAGTATTACCGAGTGCGGGGAAGACAGCGCCAATGATATCACTGGAGATACTTCGGAAGCTGGGGATTATAGACGAGTTTCTATGCACTCAAGAGGGAACATCCAACTAGTGGTTTCTCTGTTGGTGTCTGGGGAAAGAAAGGCTGTTGATAGGAAGAACTGCGGGTATACACGAGAGAAAGGGAAGATGACGTTTTCTCCGATCTTCTACTTAGAGCGCCCAACGGGGCCTAAGAATATTTTTGCGAAAAGCGCTCCGTGGGGCTGAAAACGATCGATGAACACTCCGCGGCTAGACTGAAACTTTATACCAGTCCGGGTGCTCCGGGATGAGCATTATTCTCTTCTCGTTATCGTGCTGTGCACTATTATTATTCTCTCCATCCTCTGCGCTGTCCGTGACAGCGCGAATTGCCGTATACGGGTTTTCGGATAGCTAAGCCACAGAATGAGCTGCATCAGATCCGGCACAGCCTCATTCACGCGTCTCCGCACGCTGGTGACTGGGGCCTATAAGAATTCTCAAAGCATTATACAGCAAATCAAGTTTTATTATATGATATTTATTCAGATAGAGCTATTGGGGTATATGTCTATGGATGCCACGAGATTCTAAGCCGTTGAGATCCGGTACGGCCGAGATGCAACGGTGCTTCGAAGATTGACTGACTATAGACCTTCTTTTGCAAGCATATCTACAGAGATACTAGTCAGCAAGCTTACACGGAGAGCGCAATACGTCACTGCTTACCTGCAATATCAAGATAAAATGCAATGGCATTGAAACTGCGAGAACCATGTTAGTCAGTGGCAACAATAACGACCTTTCACCCTTAATGGATAGCTTCAGGGGGGGTTACTGACTGCCTTTTCCTCCCGACAAGCTCACTGACCAGCCACTTGAGTCTGTTACTCCAGTTTATGAGGTCCAGGTGGCTCACGCCAACCAGAGTGCCCTTGTAGCTGCCCCATCTGCTGCTGGCGATGCTGACCAAACCATCATTCGGTCCTTCCAACTGCTCAAGAATCCGATGCGACTGGCGGAAGACTGTCCAAAATCCGGGGTTAATCATCGCTCCGTACGAGTAGTAGCTTCAACATGTTAGCAGCAACGTTCATCCCAACCAACTCCATAACTGAACACTAACCGAACGTCCTCTACATCAGGCGTGTTGGGATTGAACGTCCCTTCCATATACTTCCGTGTAAGCTGGTCGAAAGCCCCAGTATCAATCCTCATCCGGTTAAAGGCGTAATAAATCTGGGGTAGACGATCGTCTGAAAAAAAGGATGAGCTTGGTTTCGTCAATTTGACCATACGGACCACAAACCACCAATCCGCTCGAATATATAGTCCGCAATAGACGAACCTATATCTATCAGTTTCCGTTTTCATATTCCATCATGCGTGGACCGGCTGACCTCTATGCGGGGTTGCAATGGTCGTCAGCGACTTCACTTTGAACTCAGACGGCCTCAACCTGCTAAGCATGTAACGAGAGTCAAGTCCTCTTTTTCAAAACGATTAGCTTCGCGACTTGCGACACCGTTGTCCAGAGTCCTCACCCCTAGAAAGCTGGTAAGCCATTCCTGTAGTCTAAATCGGGAACCCAGAAAGCCTACCATGCTATGACTTTACACCGTCCATAATTAGCATGTTATCCAACAACCGATCCCTGAGAAATGGGAAAACCAACGCAATTATATTAACATGCTTCCCCCTCGCGCCCGCAGCAATATCCCTAGCGAGCTCTTCCGCACGCTGTTCAATCGATCCGGACGGAGGAACCTTAGCAGTAATAACTTCCACCCCTTTCATCGACAATGCATCCTTGATACCACGCCAGTATTGAATTGCCGGAAGAAGCGGCCCTGCTAGACGGAGCTCATCGAAGCCTAACAAGCCATGCGCAAGGACAATTGGATACTTCGGAGTCGCTGCGATAAGTAAAAAAACGGATCATTAGAACGTTTTCGAACAAGACAATCCATTAGGGAATAGCCAATCCACGCACCATATTGTTCCCTAAGAACTGCATATTCATCCTTTATCAATTTTCCAAAATCTTCAAGACGCGGATCGGACTTCGGTGCTGTCTCGTCCTTTTGCGGCGCGCTTCCGCGCTGGGAGTATCCGAAGTAACGACAAGCGTTGCCGCGACATGATGGATACAGTCGGTGGGAGGAGTGGCAGATTCCAGTTAATGACTTGACAGCGTTCGGACGGATTGTAGCGTATTTCATCTTTTGTCTGGAGATCCGCGTTACCATGGTTGGGAATCTGCGACTCTTTAAGTGCCGCGAAACGCCCAATGACGCAACGGGTTCCGCGCCGCAGCCATGTGAAGATACCCCCTGCATAGGTACTAGAGTAGATACTACCGACAACCGCATTCGATATCGGCGCATTCCAGGTCTTCGGCTTAGATTCGTAGAACAATTGGTACATATTTAAATAACTACTAGATATGCGAAATTGCACCAACAGTCCTGGCCTACCAGCTGCTCTTGCTTACAGGGCCCATCAATGGAATCAAGAAGACGATATTGCATTTACATTTCAGACAGGGATGCTAATAGAGAGGAACATGATGCGACCTCCCTCAAAACAAGTAACAACAAAGTGGGACGGGATATTCTCAAAGTATCCCACAAGCAATAACGAGCGCTCATCTCGCCGGATCTATGCCTTGCTGGCGATCTTCTCAGGAACTTCGGTCTGGACGTTCACCACAGCGTGGAGCAGATCTTCGACAACCTTGTCGCCCTTCTCCGCTCCCAGCTTCTTGATTTCCTCAAGCTTCGCCTCAGCTTCCTTATTAGCCTCTTCCTCGGCCTTCTTGTTTCCGCTCGAGTGCTATTTCGGGAAAGATATATCGTTAGTCCACCCTGAATACCAGTAAACTGCCAGGCCGCCCTGGTAGTTGGAAACTCTAGACATGAACAGCCAGCTCACCTCTGCCTCGAACTTCTTGAACTCTTCCTCCTTTTGCTTTCTGTAGTCCTCAATCTCCTTCTGTGCCTCTGTCTTTGCGTCCTTTACTCTCGTAGTGCGGTCTGGGTGACGAGTAGTTAGAATATGCCTCGCGAATGCTCGATAGGTGGAAAGAGGGGTAGAAGTCTGTACATTCTCTGGCTAAACATCCTCGTCAGTATACGTTGCGCTAAATAGACAAGGGGTAACCTGGTAACTCACCTTTCTGCACAATCTTCTGGGCTTCTCGTTCCGCCTGGAATAACCCATTAGTGAAACAGTTTCATTGTATTTCCTGAGTAGGTCGAGGGCCACTCACGTCCAGCAACGTCTGGATACCTGCGGAGTTCTGGGCAGACTGCAAGGAAGGTTAGTAATTTCTCTGTGCACTGTGATCAAGCCACCGGAAACATACCATCTTGGCGAATCGATCTCTATAAATATCAGTGAGACCGACGTCAAGAGGGTTATATCAGGTGGAGGTGCTGGAGATCGTGGAGCTGTGTAGTGACCGCAGCTCAGACACTCCGGGGCCGATCGAGGCCACGCCCATGCGGGCCTCGATTCTGCCGCTCCTCACCGCTATTTGAATACCTCGCAATCGCCGTGGCTTATCTCAGCAAGCTCAGACCCTCTAGCGAGATGCCCCCCCTACGGGTGGGCTTTTTGCTGTAATAGCCTATATTAGTGCATATACTAAAGACCTGGGCCAATAATATAATATAAAAAAACCCTCACTAATTTTTAGACTAATAGTAAGCTATATAATAAAAAATCTTATAAAAGGTCTAAAAATAATTAATTATAATTTATAAGAGATACTTAAATAATCTTATATAAAATTAAGTATTAATTTTTAATATTATATTTTATATCTTAAATTATATCTATTTAAGTTAAAAATAGGCTTAATTAATTTATTTTAATCTTCTTTATCTCTAATATTTAATATAGAGCCCTAATCTTATATAAAAATATTTTAAAAATAATATCTAGAATTGCTATTATCTAATATATCCTTAAATTATTTATTCTTACCTCCCGCAGAGATTATATTATTAAATAATCTTAAAATTAATAAGAATAAATATAAAAGGGCTTATACTAGGATAAAGAATAATAATATTAATATTTATAATCTAGAGGGCTTAAATAAGTATCCTTTATATTAGACTTAGCAGAAACTATAGATATTTATTAATTATTTATATAATTATTATTAGAGCTTTTAATAGTTTATATATATTTAGATTATATATTTTTTAGAGATTTAGTATTATTGCTATTATACTTATAAAATAAAATAAACTTTTTAAAAAGAGATATTAAATAAGATATTAAAGATTAATAATTAATATAATTTAGCTTCTATAGCTAAGATAAAGCTTAATAAGCTTATTAAATAATCTTATTTTAAGAAGTTTAATTATATTATTTTAATAAAGGATATTAATTTTAAAATTATTTTTAATATTATTTAAAATATTATTTTAAGATTATATAAGTTTCTCTATAATTTATTAAGAAATTACTACACTTATTAATTAAGTTATATTAATTAATATAATAAAAAAAGTTTTTAATAGCGCCTATTTATTATTATTAATATAATCTATTATTCTTAATATATAAAATAGTTAAACTATTTATCTTTAATATTTAATACTTATTTAATAGGCTTAAAAGTAAAATATTAAGTTATAAAAACTTTATTAGGTCTTAGGCTATATTATAATTATATATAAAGGAATTATTTAATAAAATAAATAGCAGACTATAAATAGATAGTTTAATTTCTATTCTAATATTTTATATAAGTAGTTTTAACTTTTATATACTTCTTAAATAACCTTTAAACTCCTAAATAATTAAAAGATTAATCTTAATTATAGTTATACTTATTAATTATAGAAAAGAATCTATAAGCTATTATAATCTATAATAATATAAATTTTAAAGAAATAATATATAATAAAATCTTTAAGTATAAAGCTATAATATATGCAGTAATTATAGTAATAATTATATTATATTCTAATATCTTAGTAATAGGCCTATTATAAAATATATATAATCTAACTATTTTTTTTAATTTTTATAATATTATTAAGTCTTTAATAATATATAGTAATAATAATAGTATTAAAAAGTAAATATCTAGCTTTCTTATATTAAATATAATTATAAAGATATATTTATCTTTTATTAAAAGAATATTTAGATTAATTAAGTTAATAATACCTATTATATTAGAATTAGATTATCTTACTCTAAATTAAATATAATTTTAATAATTTAAAATAATCTTTAAAGATAAAAAGATTATTATTAAGACTTATAATATTTATAATAATATCTTTTTTTAATAATTATATCTCTATATTTCTTAAGAATTAGGAAAGCCTAATAATTTTAATATATGCCTTTAATTTATCTATAGCAATTAGCTTATAGTAGAGTATATTTAAACTATATAAACTAAGTAATTATATATTAAATTGCCTTATAATTAAAGGTAATAGCTTCTTAGAGTTCTTATATAATTTTATATTTAATTAAACCTATTAAATATAATAATATAGATATATTTTATACCTATAATATTTAGTTAAGAAGCATATTATTATATTAAATCTAATATATCTATATAGGGATATAATTAAATAAATCTAAAGAACCCTAAATATTATTAATTAAAGCCAATTATTTTATAGAGTTTTATAATCTAAGTCTTAGCTTTATTTTATTATTTAATAAAGTATAAAAGATATCTTATAACTATTATTAATAACTCTCTTAAAAAATAATAAGAATATAATTAAGTTATTAATATTTTAGCAGCTATAGATTACTTATAGCTTATTAAGAATATTTAATTTATAGTATTTATACTAAATATCTAGAAAGAGATTAATCCCTATATAAAAGAACTTATCTAAGATATTAGATTTTATTTTATATATCGGCTATTATAAGAAATTAAGTTATTTCTTATTATTTAATATGCTATTAAATATAGTAATATTAGGCTTCTTTATTACTTAGTTAATCTATTAATTATTTATTTTTTTAGCATATCTTAATATAACTATAGTAATAAAATACTATATTACTAATAATATCTATCTTTAGTTAATAATCTAGAGCTATAATATACTATTCTAATATTAGGTCTTATTAATTAGCAAGGTAAGCTTACTTATTTTAAAGTAATTAATCTTAGCCTTAAGCATCTAAATATAAACTATAAAATTAAAATAAAAGCCTATTAAAATTCTATACATAATATAAATATTAGCTTTAACTAGGTTTATTTAATAAATACTTAGATATAGAGTTTATAAAAAAGGATTAAGTCTATATTTAATTAATATATACTTAATTTATATATTATAGCTTCTATATTAGATAAGATATTTTTATTAGCTTAAAATTTATTAATTAATAATCTTATTATACTAAGAGACTTTAAATATCTCTTTAATTCTTTAGCTCTATTTAACTTAGAGAATATCTTATAGATTAGAATAAAATAACTTATTAAAAAGGTTAATTAGTCTAATAATAGCTATATCTATTATATAGAGATAATTGCTAGTATATAGTCTATTAACAATAATAATATTAAGCATAATATTAGTAAATATACTATTATTATTAATAAATGCTATAATAGGATTTTTATTAATAATATTACCTTAAATATTTAATATTAGATAAATATATAACCTATTTAATAATCTGTTAACTTTTTATAGGACTTACTAACTCCCTATAAGATTTAGGCTAATAAAAGAATAAGTATATAATAAAATATATAATATTTAATTACCTTAAACTTCTAAGCTAATATTAAGAGGGTTAATATATAGATTATATAATTCTTTACTCTCTTAAACTCCTAAATTAATAGTAAAAGATTTAATATATATTAATTAGCTAAGAAGCTCTATTATCCCTAGTAAAATAAAATAAGGTATAATATATAAAGATCTATATTAGCTATTTTAATAGACTAATTATATCTTTATTTAGCTATACTTTAAATTAGCTCTAAAATATATTGCCTAAATATTATTATATAAAGATATAGAATCTAATTTTAGTATTTTCCCCTCTCTTATTTATTAATATTAACTTAACCTAATAAATATAGTATATTAGCTAATATTTATAATTAGGCCTTTTTAAGATACCTTAAAATATTTAGCTATATAGCCTACTAATTATTAAAGACTTAATTAAAGCTTACCTATAAAATAAAGTAATTAATATAAAGATTATTATATCTTTAATTAATACTTATAATTAAGCCCTTTTAAGATACCTTAAAATATTTAGCTATATAGCCTATTAATTATTAAAGATTTAATTAAAGTTTACTTATAAAATAAAGCAATTAGAAGATAAAGCTTACTTAATATAAATTAAATATTAGTATTTATTAAACTATAATAGCACTGCTATTAATTTTAAAAAAAAGAACCCCTTTTTAGTAATAAATATTAAGGAGAGAATAGCAGTAGCAAGAGAGCCTATTTATATTATTTATTTAAGTTATAGCCTTTAATATAAGCAGCTAAGTAATAATAAATATAAATATCTCTTAATTTATATATCTATTAAGTATTCTTTATAAAATAGACCTAATATTCCTTATTATAAAACTAATAAGCTATATATTTATTTGTCTTAAAGAGTTATTTACTTAATTTAATCTTTATAATATAGCTAATATAGCTAATATTATATTATTTATTAAGATTAAGATATTTCTAGTCCTTTTATTTAAAGGACTATTATTTTTTAATAGTTATAGAGATATATATCTCTATTATTTTGCCTTTAAAGGTCTATATTTAAAATAAATATAGCTAATTAGCTATTTAAGACTAATTATATTATTCTTATATAAAACTAAGAGTAAGTATAATAATATTTATTAAAGGCAGATTTATAATAATAAGAGTTATAGATATTAAAGATAAAGTTCTATTATAATAATATTAATATCTATTCTCTTTTAATAATACTATTACTTATAAAAATATTTCTAAATCTTTACTTAAAATAGGCCTAATAAAATTATTATTATTATTATTATTATTATAATCTATTTTAGCTATAAAAAATAGATTAAAAACTTATAGCAGACTCTTTAACAATAATAAGAAGGGTATAGATAGTAATAGACTTAAAGATAAAGAAGAGCTAAATTATATATTTAGTTATTTTAATTTAATTTTGCTAATCTACTATTATTTTTACTAATTAATAAAAATAAAATAATAGGGAAAGGCTAGAGATTAGATATATTAATCTTATTTAATAATACTTAGAGCTAGTATATTATATAGAGAAGGGCGAGGCTCTACTTTAAATTAAAGAATTTCTCTTAAAATTATTATAATAATAATAAATATTTCTATTTTATTAAAAAATATTATAATAAGATAGCTAAATATCTAGATTATAAGAGAATAGGCTATCTTAATATTTATTATTTTAAAAAAAAAAGAAAGAGTTAAAAATTTATAAGTATATTTATTTCTACTTAAATAAAGCTAATATCTAATAAATCTATTATATTATATTATATAAATATATATTATTATTAGCTAAAAAGAACTTAATACTTCTTAAAATTATCTAGAACTATTTAAAAATTATTAAGATAATTTAGAAGTCTATAAGATAATTTAGGAGCTAAGAAAATTTAGATATATCTATATAAGACTTCTATCTTAATATCTTTAATATTACTTTTTTAATATAAAAAAATTCTCTTTCTTAATTATTATTAAAGTTTTAATCTTTTTATTTTTTATTATAGGCATCTATATAAGCCTTTTATTAAAATTTTACTCTTATAAAGATTATTGCTTAATTAATATTTTTAATATTTAAGTAATCTATTTTTTTTAAAAAGATATTCTTAGAGAAAATAATAGCTTAACTAATATATTTATTACCTTTTTATTTAATCTATTTAATAAATTATCTAAGCTATTTAGTCTATAGAGCTTTAAAAAAGTCTCCTATAATAATATTATTAGTATTTAAACTAATAAATAAGAGATTAAATACTTTATTTATAATTTTTTAATTATAATTTATCTTATTAACTATATAATAAGAGAATTATCCTTTTATTAAATAAACTTAGCATATTCTTTTTTTATATTAAAGGAGATATCTAACTAATAAGTATTCTCTTATTACTAGCTTTAGTCTAAACTCTAAGCTAATCTCTTAATTATATATAAATTAGCAACTTCTTAAGCTATATACTATAATTATTAGATTAAATTATTATTATATAATTCTTTATACTGCTATTTTTAAACTAATAGAGCTTATATAATTAGCTTATTAAACTTTATATTAAAAGTTATTTTCTTTAAGCTATATAAAGCAGAAATTTATTATTAATAATCTTAGCTTATAAATATAGTAGATATTATAGGGAAATATTAATTTTAATATAGATATATTAACTCTACTTATAAAATAGCTTATTAATTAAGTAATTCTAGAGTAATATTAATATAACTCCTATTATATAATTTTTTTATAAATTTCTTCTTTAATAGAGATATAGTAGAGGTTAAGATTTAAAATAGATTATATTTATTATAACAATCTTATACTAATAAAAAAGATATTTTAATATATAGTAATATTCTATTCTTATTTAAATAAGATAAAAATACTTTTTAATAATAAGGCTTATTAATAATTTACTTCTAATAAATAGAGAGTTTAAATTAATATTTTATTTCTTTTTAATTCTAATATCTCTTTTAAGATATAGATTCTTAGCTTTATATAGAGACTAATAATAAGATACTTTTAATCTTACTAATATTCCCTAATATAATTAACTTAAATAATTAACTATTTTAAGATTATAGCTTTAAGCTTTAAGTAACTATAAAAGCTAATGCTTATTTTATAAGTCTATTAATACTCTTTAAGTTAAAGGCCTAATATAGAAGTATAATATAGCCTTTATTTATTTAACCCTTTTTATAGCTATTATATTCTATCTATTATTAGATATTATAGATATTTAAACTAATTAAGAACTTCTAGTTAATAATATACTTAATATTAGATATATTAATTCTTATCTTAAGAGTAATTATTATTATTATAATATATATTTTAAATAAAATAGATTTAAATTTATTAAAGCGGATCCCCTAGTTATATAATAAAATATATAATATAAAGGTTTAGATTATTATATTAACTAAATAAGAGCTATCTTTTATTCTAGAATACTAATAATTTAATAATAATAATATAGACTTTATTAAAAGCATTTAATAAAGATATTTTACTACTATCTTAATCTTCTAAATATTATCTATAAAAATAATTATTTTTAGTATATATTTAAGTATTACTTTATTATTTTTAATAGCAGTATTTAAAAGGAAATATAATATTTTAAAAGAAGATAACTTCCTATATAGAATAAATAAGATATAGATAAATATATCTATTTAGTTAATAGAGATCTAAATAATTTTAATTTAATAGGATTAATCTCTAATAGCTTTAAAGCCAGCTCTTTAAATAATTTCTTTCTTATTATTTTTAATAAATATTATAAAATAATTAAACTAAATAATATCTTATTTTAAGATTAACTATAATTTACCTAATATAATAAATTTAAGCTAGAATATTTCTTATTATATAATTAAATAGTATTTATTAATTATTATAAGACTAATCTTAGCTTATATCTTTAGCCTTAATAATATATCTAGAAAAAGCTTTAATATAGCCTATTTAAGGCTTAAAAGTATATATATATATACTAGCTTAGATATCTTAAATAAGATTATATTATTATTATTTAGTCTTATTATTAATAATATATAGCTTTATTTTTTAAAGCTTTTTAATATCTTATATTTACTCTTTAATAAGCTTATTTAAAGATATTATTTAAAGAATTATCCTTTTTATTATAATTAAAAATAAATAAAAGATAAGACTTTTCTTAAATCCTATTTATATAATAAGAAGAATATTATTATAGCTATATATTATTTATTAAAGATATTAAATCTACTCTAAATATAGGGAATATTTAGATCCTAGATTTATTACTTAAAATATATACTTTAAATAAGCTTTAATTATATAATATTAATAAGAAATACTCTCTTTATTAATAAATATATTAATTATTAATAATAAGTCTTTTAGCTTTATTTTTAATATCTTAGCTAATATTAAAGAGATAGTATCCCCTGCTAATATATTATAAGGTATAATATTCTTATAAAGTCTATATTATTAACTTTATTTATTTAAATCCTTTAATCTTATTATTTTTACTCTATAGCTTAAGAGTTTATTAATATTTAAATATATTTTTATTAATTAGTCTAAGAGTTTATAAAAGATTAAATATAAGATAAAATATTATATTTAAGTAATATTAAGGCTATAAAATAATATTAAGATTTAAATATACTGCTTAGTAAAATTAAATATAGCAACTTTAATATTATAATTATATATTAATAAAATATCTTAATATATTAAAATATATATAAATTAAAATAGAAATAATAACTAAATCTATAATATTTAACTCTAACTAATTTAATTTAAAGTTAGTAGAGTTATTTATTATTAAAGTTAAATAAAGCCTTAAAAAAATAATTAAATTAATATTATTTACTAATAAACTATAACTATTTATTCTTAAACCCTTATTAAAAAAATTTTTATTATTATTATATTAGGTTTAGTATAGCTGCCCTAATATTATTAGCTTAAATTTTTAAGCTAGTTTGTACTAGTTTCTAAATAGTATAGTTGAAGCACTAATTCTTTGGCGAGGGTCTGAGCTTGCTGAGATAAGCCGTGGCCGGGGTCTGAAATGTCCGCTCCGATTATAAAAACCAGAAATTCGCTGTATTTCTCGTATTGCAGTCTTACGAGAGCTCTGGTCATCATCGGAGGAGCCAATTGCTAATATCAGAGATGTCGCGAGCTTCGAAAGTGACCTTGGCGCTCACAACGGCTGCAACCGCGGGCATAGTCTACTTTGTCCACTGGTCCCAGGAAGCCGACAGAGCAGTAAGTGATGACGCCAACTCTTTAGCCCTTACTTATAGTAATCTATTCTATACATATTGTGCTGACTTTTATATCCCGTAGGCAATGCATGCTGGTGTGGAACGAGACGTCGAGCGGCAGCGCATAAAACAAGAACGGCAGGCCGAATTTGAGATGCAGAGAAGACTAGAAGAGGAGTACCGAAAGATTCAGACGGTATCTGATAGTGTCAATGATAGCTCAGAAGGAGGAAAGAACATAGGCCAGAGAACGTGACCAGGGGTAGCCGTGCAAAGTCCTGGCCCTTAGGTCGGTACCAAACAATATGGTTAGGATCTTAAAGCTGGCATAATGTCCGTGAGGTTTCAAATTGAAAAGGGTAAAACGGTTCAACTAATATCTTAATGAAGGCTGCTGACTCGTCAGTGACAGGATATATGCCTCAAATTGCACGGGCACCCGAAGTACCCGAATATCTTATATTCGAGATATACCCACATGTACAATATAACGAACGAATGGAGTCTTCTCTCTGCAATGACCAAGCTCAATCACACCATGGGTCTCAACTTGAAAATATCCCTGATATGTCAAATGGCGCATGTCTAGCGCCAATTCCATATCAATATCCGTCGGAGTAACTGATGGAAGGAACTGCCTGCTGCTCACCGCCTGCCCCTTGACCGGAGTTCTCCCATATAATTCCCTAACATTATCACCCAGCAACGAACCCAGGGCACTTAGCTCAGTCGGTTAGTACAACTTGGCTGTTCTGAGGCCTCTGGGTTCGAATCCTGGAGCTGGATGGGCCTCGCCAAAAAAAGCGAGGTCTCCCTCCAGGATATATAGTAAAATCCTGACCGCCTACAGAGTAGAGCTTGGGCGGGGTTTTCGTAGCATCCTTCCTCTACAGGGTGTGAGCTTTTTTGCTCTTTGTTCAGTATTTTCCTTTTTTAAATGAATCTATTGTATGGTGGTGGTTAGTTTGTACAGCTAAGCTGGGCAGTTTTGTCATCACTGAGCACGCTCTACAGGATAACTATGCTTACTACCTATAACAATATATAAACAACTAATTGAATACCAGCCTTACTCGTGCCCTGTATAAAGATTTTTCATCTACTGGTGTTGTATTGCTTGGGCAGCGTCGCTGCTTAAACAGGTTGTATAATATGTAGAGACTTGATAATCTACGAACACTAACCCAGGTGGCAGGGAATTAGATAAGTGACATCCAAGCACCTCTAGAATACGGCACCAGGCGCGTCTTTTAGTGTTACGCAGTAACAAAAGGATAATAGCCAGTCAGAAAATTGATGTTTAGCTTGCAGAAATCTCACGGGTTTACGCGATTAACAAAGACATCTGATTCTCCAAGATGCTCTCTGATCTTATCAAATCCAAAGTCAAGTGTAGAGAGCTTGACTAGAGCAAGAAGCAGGAAAGTAAATTAAATCCAGATTACTGACAATGGCGGATCATGTTTCTCAAATAGTTGTATCAACAGGAGCATCAATATGTGCTGGTATATCCTTTTCCTTGTGGCTTTCTATAATTAGCAACTGCAACCCAGCCCGACTTGCCTTGCCCAGGCTGTAGTGGGACGAGCTACCGGCTCAGATTCGCGGTTCTTGACTATCAGATATCCCACTCTACCATCCAACAAGGGGGCGGAGGCTAATGCGCTGAAAAGCCTCACGTCGTGATTGCCTTGATACGATGGACAGCGTATACACTGATAGCAAACCAGACACAGAATGCTCAACTGACATATAGCCAAGGAAGAGTCAAAGTCGGGGATTATATATGATCAGTTAATCATAGCGAAGCAGAAGATCCGTGGTTAGACCTCTTAGCGAGTAGGGAAGACCATTTATAATCTGGTCAGTTAGGAGACAAATGGTCAGGAGCCATCGACTAGATTGATAAATCCGCGCTTCTTCATGGAAGCGCTTGGGTGAGGGTTCTCCTACCCAACTGGACTCGAACATGTTCCTGAGCAGCAAGAATTGCCCTTCTGCGTAGGGCCTCAGCTGTCTGAGAGCGTATACCTCCGATCCTTCAGGTACAATCGTCCCTTCAAGGCTTTTGAACCACCGTAGATGTAAATGCTATCCGGCACAGAGGCAAGCACCGCCTTCGAACGTTGCTGATCATCTGTAAGGCTGCTAGAATAGAGCACTTCCGGCTCTATTACGCCACCAAGTGCGGCTAGGATGCCTCATGCCTGGATCCATATGAAGCCCACTTGACCGACTGGCCACATCATCGGGTGAAGGGATATCGACCGTGATCGGGATATCGGCAATTTCTCGTAGCCAAATCGCCTCCAAGAAGAGGTCCCCAGTGTTGGTCACTTCATCTCGCAAAGCAAGACGCAAAGCAAGAATCTTCAGTGATATCTCAGGCCGTAGACAGAGAAAGCTAGGAGAGATGAATTCGGGACTCCACGAGTGTACATCACCGCTTCGTCCGTCCTGCTGCTAGTCCCGGTGTCCTACTAGAGTACACCGACTCTCCTTTGCTTATCCTTCTGCGTGCGATGGTGTATCGCAGAGTATAGTTCCCTCTTTTATAGATCGAGTCATCGCCCGTTTTAAAACGCGCGGAAGGGGGTGTAGTCGATTTTTCTCGATTGCTCCGGGATGCATCGACGGGAAGAGATTCTTGTTTTCTGAAATCTATGTCACAGATGAGCTGGATTACATGGAGAACTATACTACTACTACTACCTTTGGATGTGGCCAGGCCCGAATTCCCATGTCTTCGTCTCGCACCACGGCTGACCTTTCTCCCAATGTTCGGGGAAGATCTTGTTCGCTGCCTCTTGTTGGATACGGTGATATGAAATGGCTCTGGCTGCTCGGGAGAAGAGGAGGGCTCCCTATATTCGGGCTGGAAATCACGATGAGCGACGAAGTAAGGCAGGAGTTGGCTCTTTCTTTTGCTGCTGTTCCTTCGGAAGGCTGCTTCGAAGATATCGTGATCATTCATGGTATTTTGCACATAGCTATACCCACGACCCTTAGATTTGGGTACTGTTGAGAGCTGACCAGATAACGCAGGATATGAGGTCGCAAATGTACGTGTTAGGAGTCTGTGAAGGGGGAATGGAAGGCTAGCATCTACAGTAGCGTCCGCGTTGCTTACCTAGTGCCAAGCCATACTTAAGCACATGGACAACACAGCCTTACACTGAACGAGATTGGCGATTCGTCAGAGCATTGCTGATGCGCATCCTTCAGCAGTCAGATGAGGTTTCAGAAATCTTTCAGTCATCGGTTCTGATTGGCTTTACTGAGGAAGCGTATCTGAATATTCGTTATAAGGAGATAAGTAACCCGCTATGATGATTTTCCGTAATCGAAGACGATCGGGCTTTAGGGGAAGATGTCAACAACTCAGGTGTTGTCGTCCCCACCTGCTTCTCCAACTATACGAGGTGCAACGACGGAGCCAAACAGCCCGGCAGAAGCCTCTATCAATGACCTTGGCCGCTTTGCGATACTGATACCGGACAATGGACAAGCTCGATTGGCGGTCGATGCGACAGTGCGTCTCGGCAGCGTCTATCATCAGCAGTTCATCAAGGAAGTACAGCGCGACGGCAAATGGGTTAACGCTTTCGAGTTTTCTCTCAGCAACCTGCCGCAATTCGCACATATCGGATGGCGAATAGGCCGAGGTCGCACGTCGCTCGAGAACCGGGGAGTGGACCTACTTCTGCACGTGGAAGATGATGCCAATATCGAGGAAGAGGATGCTGTTGCTGGCATCCATGCTCGCTTCAACTGGGTCAAGGGTGCTGGAGGGTTCTTCCTCATTGCTTCCAACAAGAAGGGCAAGAGAGTCATGTTGAATGGCGACGTGTTCAGACATGACCAACGACTCATACCCCACCAAAATGCCATCATGATCGGTGGATGTGTTTTCACTCTTAGGTATGAGCTGCGGAATGCCGAAGAGGAAGAACAGTTCCAAGTGGAACTGACTCAGTTCTTTCGTCAGTTCCATCGTGATGAGAATCCTTTTGTTCTTCCCACGCCAAGTGAGAACGACTCCCGATTCCAGGACTGGATTTTCTCACGGCCAATATCAAGGGGGAGTTATGGAGTGGTGTATACAGTCGTGAACGCTCGAAGCGGACAAGTAGGAGCAGCGAAACGTATTTTGAAATCCAGGCGAAATGCAAGACATGTGAATTGTGAGATCGCAATGACCAGGCGCATTTCTGGCCTCGTACATGTCAGCGCCCCCTCTAAAAGCCAACTGTGGTCTTCACTCTAATGGGCCTGAGCAGGAACGGATTGCAACCGCGCTCGAAATCCACCATATCAAAGGAGGCCCATCCAGGGTCGAAGTTGTAAGGCAGTTCGGTTCTTCGACTAAGCGAGCTATACTCATTTCTCTCCAGGAAAGAATCCGAAGCAATCTAGACGAAAAATGGCAGCCAACTCCTTACGATGTCACAGACGAATATCTCATCATCTCACCTCTTCTCAATGCCACATTTCGTTCCCTTTATGAATCTAACGTAAATACAGACGGCCGTGCAATATTCTTTGCCCAGCTGTTAGATGCAGTCGCCTTCCTTCATGAAAATGGTATCTGCCATCGCGACATAAAACCAGACAATATCTTGGTGAAGAGTTACGATCCACCTGCAGCTATGCTGACTGATTTCGGGTGCGCTTCGGACAAGCCAGTTATACTGTATGATTTTCCAGGAACTATTCCCTACCTTGCGCCCGAGCAAGTCGAGAAGAGGACACACGATCGTTCTGTGGATTACTGGAGTTGTGGGTTAGTTGGGCTCGAATTGACGCTGCGCAGAACATACGGACGGAGAATCATGTCGTCCGATGATCTATCTGAGTGCCAAAAACATCTTGAAGGTTCAGACTCGCCTACGGCGATATGCGCTGGCAGAATGCTTCAGTTAGAACCAAGTGCAAGACTGACAGCGGAGGAAGGCTTCAAACTACTTGAAGACCTGCGTAACAAAAACTCGGGAAAACGGAAAAGGTGCTAACGGTCGGCTGGAACGGCAAGATGTCGTATTACTTGTCATGGATCCCTAAGTGCAGTATCGGTTATAGCAACGCCAAGCAGACACAATATTGCTCATAGGAGTAACGAAGGGCACACACAACTATGAACAATACACTGAAGATTCCCTCAACAATGCAATCATGAGGAGTATTCATGTGTCAAATCGGCTTTGAGCCATAAGAAAGCAACTTGCCATTTGGCAAGGCTTGCTAGTCCTTTATTAGTCACAGGTGGTTCTGATAATCGCCAGAGGTCCTCTTCGTCAAATCTCATATATTAGGTAGTGAGATACCGAGCGAGCAGCCTATCTAGAAGGGCCGTTGACTGATATTACTTCATGCTCCCTTCTGAATATATTACCCTTCTTTCCTGAGAGGCAGCTATTACAGTAACCTTCTATTGGAAAGCTATTCTCTGTGGTTCAGTTCCATGATCCAGTGTCTCCATAAGATCCAGTGAAAGCGAAAACCATGCCCTCTGTTCGAGGGTTCAGCAAGTTGAAGAAACTGTTAAAACTGTTCCTAAAACGGTACCTCTCCGCCATCAATCTATCCTAATCAAGCCTTCTGTTGCCTTAGCCAAGGAGAATTATGCATTTCGAACTTACGAAGATTCTCTAAATTAATGCTTCTTTAATTAATAACGGAATAAATTACTATCTTATATTATTGTAGTCCTCGCGATAGTATCACTCCACTTATATCCAACTACGTTGTCAATGTACAAGAGTCCAGGAAGTTGGAACTAACTTACATCGACATCCGATAGTATATGCGACTACTTCTAGTTCCTTCTTTTATTGAATCGAAAAGACGGTGAACCTGGAACTAGTAGGTAGTTCGTATGATGCTCGGCGGACGAGCCGACAAACCGCGGATATCGTCGGAGGCCGGCCAAATTCCGGCCTCCGATAACTAACGAAGGTAATTTCATGGCTGGTGGAGTAAACGCTCGTCTTGTCGGCCAATCATGCCTGCTGCGTTTATAGATCGCGAGATATTCGAAGTACCAACTTACGGTAAACAGCTCCTCTTCCACCATAGTTTGAAAGAACTACCATCTAGAATACATATGGCGATCTTAAAAAAGCTCCCAGGAAGTATTACATTCCTTTTTAGCCCACCAAATTGATGTTGAACTGCGAAGATAAGCTATTCAGATCAGATCGGGACCAAGCCGTATTGGGTTTAGCTTGCATCTTCAAACCAGCTCCGTCCTCGATCTATATGGCTTCACTCCTCGATACTGCAGTTACTGTTCTGCTCCAAATTATCTATTGGAAGTCGATATAAGGGAGTAATATGTCGTATAAAGACCAATACTATAAGTAAAAGACAGATACGACAGTACTTCTGACTTGGATGACGGATCCACATGATACCATGATCGTTTGGGTAATGGCGTCTCTGAGGCCGGAATTGATACCGGCCTCTTTGAATATATAAGCTTGCTCAAATTCCCGGTCGGAATCGCTTGCTCCTGCGTCCTTTTCTAATCTCATATGTTCATAGAGAGTTCCACGCAACTTCTTTACTCCTTTTTACCCATACTTTTTCCGGTCCCTTGACCTAGACTGACGCTTTCCCTTTTCGTCTATCGTACTATACCCCTACCAAACATCAACGTCGCCTCCCATAGACTCTTGCAAGGATATATATAGACCTTTACAACATGACTGTCCCACAGCTACCCAAGTCTTCTACCTTGAAGACCTTCCCTCATATCAAGCATGACCCTTCCACCTTGCCATCCTCCCTTGACCCCTTTACTATCACGACATCCACTGGCTTCCTGCCTTACAAGATAGCACCTACAACTCTTCCTGAGGTCTTTAAGCCACTTGTGTCTCTTCTTGATCGTATGCCCGTTGTCAAGGCTGACGGTGCCCCTGGTCTTCTGGCGACATACGATCTGGGTGATGCTGTGAAGGAACTTCCCGACCTGACTGGAGAGGTTGATAAGCTCATCGCCCCTGATGGATCTCCTGACCTCTACACTATCACTGCTATTTTCAGGGACTATTCCTTCCTTGCTTCAGCATATATACTTGAGCCATGCTGGGAGAGATGGACCAAGAACCCTGACGATGGGTATGGATTGGGTAGGGACGTCTTGCCCAGGGCTATTGCTGGACCAATGTGGCGTTGCGCGAAACTGTACGTCGTCGTATATTACCTATAGCAAGTTGTCCTTCCTTCAAGCATAACTAACGTATCTCTATAGGCTTGATCTCCCACCCTTCATGTCCTATGCTGCTGCATATTCTTTGTTCAATTACACCTTGGACAACCCAGCAGAGGGACTCAAGTACGACAACTTGCGTCTCATCCGCGCATTTGAGCGTGGACTAGACCCCAAGAGTTCTGAAGCAGGCTTCATCTTGACCCATGTGGACATGGTTAAAGAGTCGTCATCCTTGATCAGTGGTGCTGTCAGGGTCCTTGATACTATCGAGCAGGGTGGCCGTAGGTCCGAGGTCAATGATGGATTTCGCGAGATACTCCAAGCTATGGAGAAGATTGAAGAGTGTATGGAAGGTGAGATGATGATCAACTTATTCTTGCCATGGTGCCTACTAACATGAACCTTTATCAAGAAATGTGGGCCAAGTCCAAGCCCGCTGACTATCTATCCTTCCGAGTCTTCATCTTCGGCATCACGTCGCAATCCATGTTTCCCAATGGTGTTATCTATGAAGGATGCGATGATAACAGACCCCAGTTCTACCGTGGTGAGAGTGGAGCAAATGACAGCATGGTAAGAGCACCTACGTTCCACTCAATTCTTTTTTTTTCTCTCTTTCAACACCGACTAACCTACAACCAGATCCCCCTCCTCGACCACCTCCTCCAGATCCCCATGCCCTCTACACCGCTAACCAAGATCCTGCACGAATTCCGCGACTACCGACCTCTGCCGCACCGTAAATTCCTGAAACATGTCTGTGAAAAGGCCGAGGAACTCTCTGTTCGCGACTTCGCTATGCAAGACAAGGAAACAGTAGTCTTGTTCCTCAAGGCGCTTGACCACGTGCGCAGCTTCCGCTGGAGACATTGGTTGTTCGCGAGGGAGTATATCATCAGGAGGACTCCCCACCCAACTGCCACAGGAGGCAGCCCGATCGTTACGGTATGTTCTTCATTCCAACCAGTCTTAGCCTTTGTCTGCCCTCCCCAGATATATGTTAATGAATCGAAATCCTTGCCCTGGGTATACGCATTCACTAACTCAAATTAAAACGGAAGTGGCTCCCCAACCAACTCTCTGCGGTGATGGACTTCATGATTTCCATCTACGAAACTTACCTTGCCCCAGGGGTTGTCACGCCCGTGACTGAGCACAGGAAATCCCAGAACGGCCATCAGGAGGCTCCATACCAGTACCACAAGCAGGTTGAGTCCATGATGGAGCGTGTTCGCGACCAAAGGGAGAAGTTGGCCAAAGAGGTCGAGAAATGGTGTCAGGAAAGAGGCGTGTAAATACCGCACACTACATTGACTGGGAGCGTCTTCGTAGAGTGTGTTCATGGATAGGTCTCATTCTATTTATATTTGCGAGAATGGAAAGTCAAGCGTTTCCTATAAATTACAGGATTGGTTACTCAAATTCAAGCCGCTGTAAATTCCACGATCAGACATAGCTCGCACAATATCCATTTCGTCAGACCTTCGAATCGAACAGAATAGAAGTCACGCTATTATGCAAAACGCTGAATATGCAACCCTATCTCTCATAGCCATGTCTGGAACTAGGAAAATACAAGGAGGAAAATGATTCGTAACATCGTAAATGCCATCTAGCGCGAAGGCTGGGAATAGTTGAAAGGGAAGAAAAAGATTAAGTTAGGTAAATATCTCGATCCCCCGCGCCCGTGCATATGCAATTGCATCCGAAGCCACGCCGTCGCAGCCTCTGATGTACAGATGCTGGATCTTAACCAGTTTGTTCTCAGATGTGATCACCGCCCCTCCTGCTTCTGCTTTTGCTTGCTCTACTCGTGCATCGGATAGAACTTTAAGTGTAAGTCCGCTGATGGGGGTGTATGAAAGATGTAGGCTTTTGACTTCTTTCAGGTTATAAACGAGTTTTGCCACGGCCTTATCGTCCATGTTGCATAGATGGGAGACATTCAGTTCTTCCAACTCGAGGGATTGGCAACAGGCTGCGATAAGCTCGTCTGTATTTCCGGTTAGACGCTGGCATCTGTCGACGTGGAGGATGCGCAGGGTCGGTTTGACGAGTATGCCGATCGTTGCGGGTGTTACCCAGTTGTTGTCTGTCAGGATGAGGGTTTTTAGGTTCGGTACTTGTTCTTGGGTGACTTCCGCGAAGGGGAGGTGACCGATGGGACGGCAGGCGTGAAGGCGTAGGTCTTCTAGACTCGAGGGTAGATCTGAGAATGGGGGTAGATCGACTCCGCTGAGGTCTAGTTTTCGAAGACGAGGAAATCCCTGATGATTGAAGTCGAACAGATAAGGGCTTCGGACGATGCGTGGGTTCCAACGCACACGGAGCTCTTCGAGATTGGGGATTGAGTCTGCGATTGTGCCCTGGATCTATAGGTCAGTTTTTGCTTTGTATGAGAAGGGGAGGTAGGTTGCAACATACATCTTCGATGCCAGGTAAATGAAGGGCTTGGAGATATTCGAAGACGCGCTTCACGCTATTGGCGCCCAGAGCTATGGCTCGTAAATTCGGCAACTTTTCTGGCCATGAGACCTCGGAAAATGGAGACGCATTGTTCGCATGGCATTCGATCCTCTCCAGGAGAGGCAGACTGGACAGAAACATCCCGACGCGTTTGTGATCGATGTTGATCTCATCCGACATGATAAGGGTTTTTAAGTTCTTGCATTCCTTGAACAAAGCATAGAACTTGTCCCCGCGGTACGCGACACGAGCTTCGAGGTATTCCAGACGAGGACACCGACTCACGAACTCCAGTGTCTTTTCCACAGAGGGAAGAGAGATGTTATCCAGGACAACGTGAGTGAGCATTCCCCTTGATCGACGCATGTAAGACCGGACTGCATTGCTGGTCACTTTTTTCCGCGCACGGGACAGGTCTATACACATCCATAACTCTTGTAATGAGGAAAGAAACCGTTCCCATTTCTTCGAAACGCGCAAGATTGCCCTGGAAGCTCCGTCAATATGGGTGAACAAATGTTGTTTGTCTTTTTGCGTTCTTGTGAGATCCAACGTACACAATTTGTCGGAAATCAAACTGCTTCAATACCATGACCGCCAATTCCAGTGGCAGATGGTCAAAAGGATCTCGAAACTGCGAGGCCATCTTCCCTCCCAGCTTGTCATGGAGTTGCTGTAGGAGCTGTCTTGAAGTTAGGGGGTCGTCTAAAAATAGGTTAAGAAGATGTGGACAGTGTACTAACGTGACGACGGGGATGATCCGAGACTAATGTTCTCAATCCATAAGCGTACATCTCCAGTGCCCTATCGGGTTTCTGATTCAAGATCAGTATTTTGCCGGCACGCAAGTATCCCTGGATATTGTTAGCACTGGATGTGTGAATCTCAGAGTAAGTACTAACCCGTTCATCGGATCTATCTGTCTTAATCATCTGCTTGGCGTCTCGTAGAGCGAGATCAAAATTTCCCAGTTTACAGTAGGTTGCTGCTCTGTTATCAAGAATCCCAACGGCATCTGGAAGCTTCATCCTCAGAGCCTGTATGAAATCAGACTATAAAATACACGTTGTGTTGTGAAGCTCTCGAATATTACCTGACTGAACACCTCGATGGCTTTTACATGGTCACCATGCTGGTAAAGTTTCTGGCCATACTGGTGGAAGCCAGCTGGGTCACCCCGTGCTAACGCTGCAAGAGAAAAGTTAGGCATGATTATATCTTTTGATCTGTGAGGGACGTACATGTGGGCATTATTGTGGCCTTGACCACAGGCATTATCTAGCGCCCCCTCTAGTTTGGCGATAGTTAATTGTTACACGACCTGCGAAAGCTCCCGTAACACGTCGGGCGACGCGAACGGCACGTGCCCAGCAACTAGAATGCGCACTTGGCGTCTTCGGCTCCCCACAGCCAACGGGTGTTTACTTTCTTCCTCTTTTGGTGAGTGAAGCCGACCGACCGGGATCAAGCTGGGCTGCGACAACCAACTCTCTCGCGGACAGAGAGGATACATACTTACCACAACAATGGAGCCCCAAAGTCTCGAGGCCGCGTCGACTTATATTAATAACCTCCTTCTCGCAAGGGGTCTCCTGAAAAATGGGAAACCAATCGATTTCGCGCGCCCTGAGGAGGGACCTGGTGGAACGGATGGCACGATGGCTAGGATCATCAATCTTGTCAACGACCTCGTGGTGAGGAGAGATGTGCGTGTAACTCGATGAAAACATACGAGCATCAATTGACGCCAGATCCACAGAGAGAAGCAGAGCACAGAGAGAACCTGGCCACCACTATTCGAATGTTGCGAGCCAACGAGTCGCAACAGACCGTCGAGATTGTATGTTGACATCCTCAACTGCGAGGGCTCCTCACTTACCATAGGCTTTTGCATGATATAGGAGAAGCTCAAGACGAAGAACTCTGACCTGAAACGATCCCTAGCTCTGGCGGAGGGCCAGGAGCGAACGTTCAAAACAAACATGCGCAGCGCCGAGTCGACTATTCGAGGCCTGAAGGAAAATGTACAGCGCATGAAGACCACGATTCAACAGATACGGGCACAGTGTGCGAATGACGTCCGCAAGAGGGATATTGAATTGCAGAGGTTGAAGTCGCATTTGACTGACAGGCAACGAGGGAAGCGGGAAGGCTTAGGAGTTACGACTATCAACATAAATCCAGCATCTGACAGGAGCTTGAGATCAAAGACGGTATCAAGTGATGACAGCGTCAACAACCCAGGATATAGCCTGAAACAAGAGACGACAGAATTCTTAACGGAGCTTTGCCAGAATTTGAGTGACGAGAACGATACCCTGATTTCACTCTCCAGGAACACGATACGTACATTGAAGGAACTGCAGGGACTCTCTGGCGTTGAGGAAGGAAATGGCGATGCGCCTGAGGTTTCGATCATGACTTCTCACAGTGCTAACACTGGTCCTGTTACCGCGCTTCCAACATCCTACGAAGAATTATCCTCAGAGATGGAAGTCGTTCTCGACCATCTCCGGAACCTGCTGACCAATCCTTCATTCGTGCCTCTTGAGGAGGTCGAGATACGCGACGAGGAGATTCAGCGCCTGCGGGAAGACTGGGAAAGAATGGAGATCAAATGGAAGCAGGCAGTGAGGATGATGGATGGCTGGCATAAACGGCTGTCTGACGGAGGAGATTCCTTTCAGGCTGCTGAGTTGAAAATCGAACTGGGAATAGGATCTGATATGAATTCAGTCAAGCGTTCAGTGAACGAAGGACTCCAGACAAATTCGACGCCCCCTATATATGAGGAAGAACAAGAAAGCGAAGGGGAAGAAGAAAAAGACGAAGAAGAAGCAGTGCCTGAATCGATATCGAGAGATGATACCCCTTCTACCAATGATAGTGCTTTACCCGTGAGAAAACCGAGCCTACAGCCTAGCCGGGCTCTGGGTGAGCGGAACAGAAATATCAGCTCCAAGTCTCCACGCAAGGTCTCTTTTCACGCAGATCTCATCGAGTCATCGCAGGATCAGGGAAAGGAAGAAGATGAAACTATACCAGTGAAAGCACATAAATCTGGAAGTGTCACTCAGAGACCAACCCGAAGACGGGTAGAACCGAAATCGCGACACGTAAGTAACCAAATCAAAGACATATCGGTGTATGTGAGTCTGACAGTGATATACACAGGGAACAAATCCTCGCCATATGAGCGTGTCAGAGAAACTTGCCGCTGTGGAAGCTGAGGCTCACGAGGCACTCGAGGCCAGAAAACAAGAAGAGAGCCGCAAGAGAAGTCGTGCGTTGAAGGACTCGAGCAAGCGACGACGCGAACGGCGGAGAAGTACGCTGACGAGCGACGAGCTTGACGAGCTGATGGGAGTGCCTTCCTTATAACCGATTTAGCGGGATTTGGTCTCTGAATTTGCTTGATACCCATCCTTGTGAGCGAGCAATCCAGCGTGAATGTATGACTATGTGTATTCGAAAAGTTCGCGTCGTCGTTTTGCATAGGCCAGATACAGCATTTAGTTAGACTTCGAAGACGTGGAAGTCTGTACCATCAACTAGTAGTTGAACTGACCAATCCAATCACCGGGATCGCGAGAGTAAATATGTTGGCATGCTCTTCTCATGATTTGCTCAGTGTTGATGGTGATGCTACCTGTCAACTCCACGTTCGTAGCGCAACCTCGGCAATTCTCCCTTTAACATGACTAGCGCGGAGTCCTGTGTTCCATATTAGACGACAGGCTCACCTCGTCAAGAAGGTATTCAACCAAGGCCGGAATCATTGAGTGCCAGCATTACATATACAAGTATCTTGACTCTTACTGGATACCACCTGAGCCCTAGGAACTTCCGGAATCCTGATAGAGTTGCTACTTTTAGTCCGCGCTCAATAGAGTCGGCCTCGGAAGTCGATTTTTGGCCAGCGTCACTTGCTATACCCCTGTGTCTATATACAAAGGAAGGCCTCCGGACTAATACATAATTATCCGTGTATGGTGTGTTTGCGAAACCTCGAGAAATCAACTCTCCAAGGCGGAAAAAGAAGGACCAAACAGCTGTTCCTCTCGGAGTCACTTTGGAATTCTTCTTGCAGACTAACTGTCGACCTCATTGATCTGAAGAAGTGACCATGTCTGCTCAAGCTACCAATTTCCACGGCTGGGTTGCTCACTCCGCAACCGGTCCTCTCACCTTCACCACATTTAAACCCAAACCCTTCACAAACATTGACATCGAGATCAAAATCACGCACTGTGGGGTCTGCGGCTCAGACATCCATACCCTCCGCTCAGGCTGGGGTCCAACAGATTATCCATGTGTCGTCGGCCATGAGATTATCGGGATAGCCACACGAGTCGGTTCTGGAGTGGCAACGCTGGCTTCTTCTCCCGCTTCAAGAGCCATCAAAGTTGGTGACCGCGTTGGCGTTGGTCCGCAGAGCATGTCATGCCTCAAGCCCGATTGTGAGGCCTGCTCGACCAAAAGGGAGAACTACTGTCCTCGTATTACGGGAACATATGCCTCGCGGTACGCTGATGGAAGCAAATCCTACGGCGGATACGCGACGTATTGGCGTGGACCAGCGCATTTTGTATTCAAAATTCCCGACGCATTGCCATCTGCAGAAGCTGCGCCATTGCTTTGCGCGGGAATTACTGTCTTCTCGCCCTTAGTTCAGTGCGGCGTCGGCCCGGGGAAATCAGTTGGTATCATCGGAATCGGCGGGTTAGGGCATTTAGGTATCCAATTCGCGAAAGCGCTGAATTGTGATCGCGTGGTGGCTGTCTCTCGGACATCCAGCAAGCGCGACGATGCAATCAAGGGCCTTGGAGCAGATGCATTCATCGCTACAGACGAAGATAAGAATTGGGCGAAGAAAAACTCTAGCACACTCGATATCATTCTCTGCACGGTCTCCTCACCGAAAATGCCACTGTCCCAGTACCTCCGTTTGCTCAAATTAAATGGATCATTCGTCCAGCTTGGTGCACCGGAGGATCCCTTACCACCTATCAGGGCGGGGAGTTTGATTATGAAAGGTGTCAAGCTCACAGGATCTAATATTGGGTCTCCGGAAGAGATTAGGCGGATGCTTGAATTGGCAGCTGAGAAGAAAGTTTTGCCGTGGGTTCAAACGAGACCGATGAAAGAGGTCAATGAGGCGTTAGTGGATATGCATGAGGGGAAGGCGAGGTATAGATATGTTCTTACTAATGAGGCAGATGGTGAGAAGGCGAGGTTGTAATTATAGCATTGTGAATAACAATACTTCGGACATACCGCTTCATATCTTAGCGTGCGAATATCAGTATATCAAGAGGCCACATTCCAATTTTCCCATTCTCATAGAGCTGGATGAGGAATGAACTCATACAGCTGGAAGATATGCCATCATTGCTCACACAACCTGGTACATAGCACATTGTCCATAGAGCACTTTCTTGCCTCAGTATCTCTCAATAAAATATATTGCCTATTATAGGCTCTATGTAGGAGATGGCTCACTGCAGCTTAATCTCGCGTCGCATTTTGGGCAAATCTACCCTGCAAACTCGTACTTTGGCTGTCCGCGCGCATCTGTAGGCTTAAATTTGAACATATGCCCCTCTCATCATCCGTACTGGCACTCGGCCGTCGATCCTTCCCACTCGCAACGAAAAGAATATCATAATACTTTCCACCCCAGGTTGGACAGGTTGGATTCTTGGTAGTAAAAAATGATATCTTTCAAGTGTCGCCCTTCGGAATTGAATACCATTACACGATTAGCATCGTACATGGCTATCCAACCTTGGTCTAAGGGTGCCTTTAGATTGTTCTACTACGACGATGAGCAAAGTTTACAGAGCTCTTAGGCAATGTGGTTACCAGTTGTTCATCATACTTGTAATACGCTCCATCCTTGTCCAAACAGGCAAGCTGGGTTACTGTAGCTGTTATTAGGCCGTGGATGCTACAGTGGATAAAAATGTTCACGAGGTAAAAAGCGTTGGGAAGGGTAAAATGTGCAGCTGAATCCACCGAAAGTTAGGATATGCAGGGTTTAGTTACACATATTAAGCGGTTGCAATTGATCGATATTGTTAACAAGGCTATACTTACCTTATTAATGTGAGGCAGCAAACTATGCTAAGTGAGATCCTGGGAGCACAGTACATGCCGTCAGATAACGCTATGGGACTCCACAATACTACGATGGTCATGTTTTATAAGATAGGTGGGGGTTGGGGGCTGTTACTCCAGGACTCAGGTATCTAGAGCAAGGATATTATTGGAGAGCTTGCTACGTGCTGAGCGCTTAGGCACTGACGCTATTTTGGCTATTATGCCTGATATTACAAGGTCTCAGTTTTAGAATTTCATTGGTAAATGATAAGAAAGCTATTTCGCGGAAGCACCGTGATAGCGCTATAAATAATAACAGGCTGTGCATGGGTGCTCATATTTCACGCAGTTTTAGCGATAATATAATTAATGGCATTGATATTTGTCATCTAAGCAATCTAACCAGTTGGATAACGCTCATACAAAATAGATCCTAATTATTAGTTACTATATACATGTGCCACTTGATAGGAAAAGTTACTATTTACTCTAATTAGAAATTTAACTCTGTGCAATTATGGCGGCTACAGAAACTATAGAACACTTTTACGCTTGCTATTCTGACTAGATGCCGTATTTAGTGACATGGATACCTGGACTCTTCATTGCCGCCCATAATATACCCTTGCATGTGCTTAAAAGCAGCCGTTGCACTGTGGCTGGATTGATTGGACCCTGCAACGCTGGATTCCATACTAGTTGTATATGCGCAGATAAATCGCCAGATACCCTGTTTCTCATTAGGCTATAAAGGGCCGCTACGGTCTCATGGGAATCCAAATTCTTAATACTCACGAAATATCAGAGATCAGCCCTTTCTTCCTTTTGACGCTCACAAAGTTACAAACTATGACAGAGTGTTAAATAATACGATCAAACTTCCATTCTCTTTGGCCATCTCCCACATACTGCTATTTCCAAGTATCAGAGGAGAACTTTTCCACTTTCAACTGAGCGAATGGAAATCTGACTGGTAAGGGAAGATTAAGCAAATATATATGCTGCAACTAACCATTACAAGAAAATGTCCCTCATTATTGACGACGTCCTTATGGCGCTTTGGACGAGAGCCCAGGAGCAACCCTCAGATGAATGGGCCTCTGCCACACTCTGGACTCATTTATGGAACAAACACTTCTTTTCGGAGAAAGACTGGGTCGTTTCTCAGGAGACTCCTCCAGAGGGAAGTGGCCGTCGACGAGTAGATATTACCATCGAATATCTGGGTTCAGATTATAAGCTGGCTGTTCTTGCGTTCCATGAAGCAAAAGCGTTGGATGCAGGACCTCAAGATGTCGAAGAGGCCGAACATCAAGCATTTGATGCTTGTATGAGATACCTTGGAGAACATTCCGAGTTAAATTTTGTGTATGCGTTCACCTCATTTGGCACGAGAGGTAGAGCATGGAGCTGTGGACCGAGTGATGATTACCTGATGCCGCTATTCGGCTCAGGCCAATTAGCTGAGCGTAGCGAGTACATTGAGGTACACAGCCCAGAGGCTCGGCTAATCACACAGGCTGTTAGAACGATGAAAAGTGTCCCACCATCTATGTAGGGCAATGGAAGTGCAGCGGCATTGCTTCCCGCCTTGAATATCTCGTTCTAGTGAACCTAAGAATGAACGTCTGCCTTTTGTATTTCTCATGCGCTGTATATATCCTAGTCATCATATGTGATGATTCTATCTCCAAACCGGCCAAACCACCAGACAATGGTGCCATGATTAGGCAGCCTCTGCCATTCGCCAGTCTGGAGGACGAGCTCAGGGTCATCCAAGCCACTCCGAATGTTTCTAATGTAGCCTCGTTCATCAATGTAGCCAATCTCGACGTACATCGGTTTTAAGATCTCTTCAGTCAGACCATGCTGCCAGCAGATCTGCCCAATGGATTCAATATGTCGGTCGCCATAGAATAACAACATACCCAGGCATGGATTGTGCGGTTTGGTTTTGTCTCTACAGACTTTTACCTTGACAAGGTTGCTCAGTGAGGCCTTCGTCATGTACCAGGCACTGCTTCTTGAGCCTCGACCGGAAGGGACTGGTGGAGGTTCGAAATGAGCACCCGTAGGCATCGGTCCTGCCTCGGCACAGTCTTGGCCACTGCAGGTAACCCCGAGCGCTGAGATGGATGTAGAGGTTGGATCCAGCCCATCATGGAAAATTCCGGAAATAGCACTGTCGCCATTGGTCACCAATGGATGATACTCGTATTGGTCGGCGATTTGTCCTGGATATTGCGGTCCGAATGTAACGGTCCTTCCTGTGGAGGTTTGGAGCTTATTGGTGAGTCATGGCAAGAAAAGAAAAAGGAATCATGGACCTACAAGTAGGATAGGATTGGAAGCCAGTCCACTGATAAATTTGAACTTCCGGACCCAAGCTGCTCTGATGTATTCATTTTCATTGAACGGGAAGTAGATCCATTGTCTATGGCTCTTACTTGTGCGTTGATGCATCAGATCGACGAAATCCCTGAAGGCTTTCGACGTACCCGAAAAACCGTGGATTCCCACAGTTTTGCCATCGGCACAACATACGAGAAGGCCTTGAACTAGAGCACTGAATTTCACATAGGTTAACCGCAGATTATCTCGGACGTGAAAGAAATTCCACGGATGAAATTTAGGTGGCGAAGGGGAACTCCAGATTCTGAATATAGGAGACGAATCGTCAGAAACGAGTCGCACGCCTCTCACGAAGAGACCCTAGCCATGTTAGTCACCGAATAGCTGCTAACCCAAGGAAGCCATACGTTGAATTCCACATTAGCCTCCAGACAGGAGCGTCCAGCTTCGAGAATCTCGTACCACGGGGATCCGTCTGGCGAGGGAACCGAATCATGGTCCATGAATTGTATCCCGCGCAAGCCAATGCAATCGACTGCCATAACAATCCGTTTGATATTACTAGTCGGTTTTATGCAATACTGACCGGACACCCCATTTGACCCGAGCGGCTTGTTGCTAAGTCTTGCTAGGTAAGAAATACCCCGGTAGCGTATTCGAGACATCCAGATTTCCCGTGTCAAGCTCAGTTGCGTACACTGGGATTCAGAAGAGGTTCGCAAGAGGCGGATCAGTCGATTGGTCTCTCCAAGCACGGTTAAGTACCAGCATGGACCAATGAACTCGGAAATGATGATTTGCACTTCCACTGGTAATTTCTTAAGCAAATCTTGACTAAAACTTTCTTGGATAATGCCTCTTGCGTATTTACTAAACAGCCCTTCTAATGCTGTGAGGCTTTCTTTGGATTCTTCACGCTGAGGTTTATAGAATGGACTGGTTGCGTTTGCAAACCTTTCCAACTCATCCGAAGTAGGCTTCTCAGAAGGCTCGAAGCTATCCAGCAGGACGTCGTAGCAGGTTGCATGGAACCAGATCCGCGGGTAGGGTGAATAAGAGCAGCCTGCGCACGGACTTTTGCACTCAGGGACTGTGAGCAGGTTGTTCCTTAAGTCTGTGAATCGTATATTAGCCTGGCATGAGCTATGAGCAGGGAGAACCCACCAAGGATATATGATCCGGCACTCGAAACTTGTCTACACAGCAGGCATGACGACCGACCAACGTGAACCTTCTCTGAACATATCATTGCGGACAGATTTCCTGTGGATGTCGGTACAAGGCCACGCGCCGGAACGAAAGCTGTGATGAAATAAGGGTTGTCTGCACTTTTATGATCGGCAGCTGCAGCGGGAGTGGTTGGATGGCCCGGTCGTCGGGTTACAAATTACCAATACTTACCAGTTGTTTCATTGAAAATTACTACTATTGGTAATTTATAACCCGACGACCCGGCCATCCATACAACAGCTGAGAAACGAGTCACGAGGTCTATAAAAAGTTCAAGGGGCATCGTAACCGTCCCTGGAGAATCTCTAACACAAGGAGCAAAAGTATCGTCCCAATGGTGACTGGTTGAACATATTGCCGAGATGCAGATGGCCTTGTCGGATGAAGAAGTAGTCTACAATTATGATGCCCGCAACCGGTCCTTGGAATACCGAATATCCGTCCAGAAAGCTGAGGAATCCATTGGCAGTCGATACATTCTCCTACATGCTTGTTTCAGGTCACTCCTACGACCTGACCGAGAGCATGACAATCGGTAGGAACAGAGTTACCAGGGCACAATGGCAAATGCAATGATTAGGCAGATAAACTGACCGTGCGATATTTACGTAGCGCAGAGCGAGGCAGGTGACATCCGCAGTAAAGGGGATAATGTTGCGTGCAATCAATGTGCCGGTGAATTAATTTTGTCGTCAAGACCCTTGATAGGCTTATAGGAGTGAGAGAGTCGAATTAACAATATATCTAGTATTGGATAAAACGTATGGCCGGGCAAAATTCGTAGTAAACTTAGAAATTACAAGTACATACAATACAACCAGTCTTATCTAACTGCCAGAACACCGCCTTTCCGCTAAAAACCTCTTACTCTGCTACAATTAATCTGTGAAATAAACTAATTGTCCTTTTAACTCTGCAATCTTCATCTCCTCGATATATGCGAGCAAGTTTGCACAGGCTCGCATCATCGAAATGATCGAAGAGCAGCACGAACAGAATGCGTTGTTCGTGACGAACATACACCCAGGCGGGCTTTGAAGTGATTTCAGTAGGACTATGCCAGAGAAGTATCAACGTTATGAGACTTGTCTATGTGTGTGCCTTCATTTATTTTCCAGATGAATCAGAGACTAATTGACTGAAAAAAGCACCGCGTAGTGCTTATAGATCCACGAGATCTGGCTAGTGCATTTGTATTTGGCTACTATCTCGGAACCAAGATCTAGTACATAGGTACAGGGCTTGAATGGAAGGCTTTCATCTTCGAAGTGGGACGTGAATGAATGGCTTGGAAAGATGGACGAGATTGTGGAGAGAGTGTCGAATCCTAAACAGCACGGAAGCAGGATTTGAATTGCTTGCTTGACTCTAGATCTAGGGGGGATTTGACCCCTTATTTATCTCTAGCATACAGGATCCAGTAGGTTCGATCCAATTCCATACGGGAACGTTGTGTAACAGATGATTGCAGATCACCTGGCGTTTGCTTTGTACGCCGACAGAGAGACTTCCACGAAACAAGGTTCGAAATGTTCGGCACCGTAAGTCATAAACCGGTGGTTTTAAGCCATAGCAAGGATCAATATATGTATATGTATTGCTCCGAGATGCTACTGTCGCAATGCTAAATACCTAGATAGATTATGGTCCATTAGAATATCCCTCTATTAATGATCTCGTGGGAGGAATTCGAATGAGGTACTAGCGTGATATTTAACGAAGATCTTTTACGAAATTCGGCATTTTGAAGAAAAATTGCATCTGTTGGAGCTCTCTTTTTCAATAAAAAGAGAAGAGTAGAGTTCGTGGAGTGGACGTTTAAACTACGAAATGTACTCCGTAGTGTGGGATGAGTGGGGAGTCGTGGGGACATGGGACATGTTATTTGTCCCCACAGATGTTGTTTACTGCAGTAAGTTAAGTTAGTAGTAGTTACAGTACTCCTTTTTCTTTGCGATCTCTTACCATTGCTGATTTCGATTGAATCGGTTTGTTTCAATACCATTCTCTATCAGACCTGTCTGCTAGGTGATGCAGTTCTATGCGAACCTTAACGGAGTAGATCGACACTTGAGCCAGCGGGACAGATCTGGAAACTGTTTACGACTGCCCTTAGTCAAGCCCCTATTATTCTTTTGACACTGCTCAGAATCTCAACTCAGGAACAGGTGATAGTTCTCCCTTGTTAAATTAGCCATCTCGGGCTAGACAAACTCCTGTACCTTGTCTTCTATTCCGTTTTATAACTAGATAACTAACTCAATCAATCACAGAGCTTTCTATATCTCCACATGTCGATCTTTCCAGTAGAACCTCGGTCTCCCCACTCATAAGACGTTGTCCTATAATAATTTATCCCAGTTGTCTTCGCTCTTCGGCTCAATGCCCGACAGACCTGTCGCTTTATTTGTCTATTAGTCTCGATCCCAAAAGTGCAGATTTTAGCCGGATCGTGCCGGGTCTGTTCCTGAATGAGGCCATGCGCCACTTTCGCGGCCATGTAACTACCTGCTCACTACTAACATGACCGCGGGTATTAATTAGATCCTGGATACGTGCAGACCACAGACCTTACTCTATGAGAAAGACTAAGCAGGGGTAGTTATAGCTGGCAATTCTTCTGAAAACCGACTGTACGGTGTGGGCTTATATAGAGATGGCGTCCCCACCCCCCGTTGAAGCAGTTCGCTCTCTATCCTCACCACCACACCCACATTCGTTTGAAATATCTCAAGATGCGGCCAGCATCCTGGATTGCTGCTGCTGCGGTATCAGCGGGCATTGCTCATGCTGCGACCCTCGATGAAGTCTGCACGACCTCGTATGCTCAAGAGGCGTTGCCCGCGGATGGCTTCTATCAGGGCGTCACCATCGACCCATCTTCTGTCGTCGTTGCACCCGTCAAGAACGCCTCAGTGAGCGATGATGTTTGGTATCCGGATTCGGTGTTCGACTATTGCGATATCACCTTCGCCTACTCGCACACCGCACGAAACGATCGAGTTCTTGTGAGATATTGGCTACCAGCACCAAACAAGTTCCAGAATCGGTACCTCTCCACGGGAGGTGGAGGATATGCCATCAACTCGGGCAACAGTTCACTTCCTGGAGGGATCATATATGGCGCTGTGGCGGGCGCCACGGACGGTGGTTTCGGGAGCTTCGATACTCAATTCGATACAGTCTGGCTACTTGCGAATGGTACTGCGAATTGGGAATCGCTGTTCATGTTTGGATATGAAGCAATCCACGAGCTGAGCGTGTTGGGGAAGCAGTTCACAAAGCAATTCTTCAACATGACCGAGAACGACAAGCTATACTCGTACTACCAGGGATGCTCTGAGGGTGGTCGAGAAGGATGGAGTCAAGTTCAACGCTTCGCCGATGAATGGGATGGTGCCGTTACCGGCGCGCCCGCTTTCCGCTACGCTTTCCAGCAAATCCAGCATCTTTACTCTAACGTGGTGACGCAGACTCTTGGTTACTACCCACCTCAGTGCGAGCTTAAGAAGATCGTGAACGAGACAATTGCTGCTTGCGACCCGTTGGATGGAAAGACTGATGGCGTTGTGGCTCGCTCTGATCTGTGCAAGCTACATTTCAACATCACCTCCCTTGTCGGCAAGCCCTATCATTGTCCCGCATCCGCAGCTTCTTCTACTCCTTTCCCGACCCCTGCCACGCCAGCGCAGAATGGCACGGTGACTGCTGAGGGCGTGAATGTTGCTAGAGAGATCATTAAGGGTCTGCGCGACAGCAAGGGTCGTCAAGTATATTTCTCTTACCAGCCTGCTGCTTCCTTCTCCGATGCTCTAACGCAGTACAACTCCACTACTGGTTCCTGGGAGCTGTATGTGAACAGCTTTGGTGCAGGGTTTGTGACGCGTTATCTGGAACTGGTGAACGCCTCGACGCTGGCGAACCTTGACGGAGTCACGTATGATACCCTCAAAGAGTGGATCTACGAAAGCTGGCAGAGATACGAGGATACGCTGCAGACGACCTGGCCAGATCTGACTGCTTTCCAGGAAGCGGGTGGCAAGGTCCTGCATCTGCATGGTGAATCCGATAGCAGTATTCCACCGGCCTCGTCGATCCGATACCACGAGTCCGTCCGCAGCGTCATGTACCCGAAGCTGTCTTTCAACGACAGCAGCATTGCGCTCGCAGACTGGTATCGTCTCTTCCTTGTCCCGGGAGCTGAACACTGCGCAACCAACTCTCTGCAACCGAATGGACCCTGGCCGCAGACAACGCTGCAGACTCTCATTGATTGGGTTGAGAAGGACATCGCGCCGGAGACTCTTAATGGAACTATCCTTCAAGGCGAGCACGTTGGTGAAAGCCAGCCGATCTGTGCTTGGCCTCTGAGGCCATATTGGAGCGAAAATGGAACGAAGATGGAATGTCAATACGACCAGGCCTCGATTGATTCGTGGATTTACGACCTTGATGCGTTCAAACTGCCTGTTTACTAAGACCAAAGAGAATCGAGGTAGTATTCATCGATCAATGTGGATCTCTGTTGAGGGGATTCATCAGTCGAACAGTAGAAGGTGGGATAGAATGAGGAAATCGATTCCTTCGGGCACATTTGCTTCGTTCGATCTTGCGTGGTGATGTATGTCATGCAGGACCTTTTTTCTTGAACCACTGTCACTATTTGTATATATATAAGCGTATTCCTTTTGAGATAATAGCATGACCGTGCTGTCAGGGGAATCCCCAGGCGTGCATTCATAGCGCGTCATCTTTATATGTAGGAACCTGTAGACGGACAGCTACAACATTCCGTGGAACACCAAAGCGCAAAGAAAACCCCAATATAAAGACGGACATGATTGGCGACAACTCTGCTCCAGTCACAGGCCGTTACACACATAAACGCCGATGTCTTAGCTTCGAATGGATCTCCGAGAAGATCTCCATGGGGGCTTGATGGTGAATTAGACTGGCGATGATCATTGGCAGATGCCAGCGCAAGTCCTCCGTAGAATCAGATAAAGGCGATCAGGTGTATCTCACAAGCCCCATTATGGGCCTGCACGCATGACTGACTGCTCTCGACAGGCATAGGCAAGAGGACAAGCTGCGGTGGACGATGATACCCGCCAGCCTTGTTGGACTGGAGATGCGATGAATGGGATGGCTGAGTTGGAGTGATACATGGCCAGTACTTGCTTGCTTGACCAGGCAGCCAAAACCCCGCCAGAGCGGCCCAACACGTGTTCTCCGCCGCTCGTTGGCCCAGCGAAACTTGACCAGCGCAGGTCAAGTTGGCATCGACAAAGCCTCAGATCGGGGATTTATCTACGTGCCGTGCGTTCCTGGTTGCGTGGAGTCTGTCTGGGAGACGCTGTCACCATGGTTCAATTGCTCCCAGAGCTTCCTCCGCTTGCTGCTGTCACTTATTGACCTACCTGATAGCTAGGTTCTGATCACCAGATACAACAATACAGAGATAATCAACGATCAAAGGAAGCCCCAAGGGCATCCAGCGCAGCAATGGAGTCTGCGCACAACCTGGGTGCCAACTACTGGGGCGACCTCATCAATCCGGATAAGAGCCCTGCGCCTCTGCTTGAGCAACTATGTCTAGGAATTGCACAGATCATGGTAAGCATTGGCGCTTTCTGCCACAGTACATAGATCTGGTGAGGTGGGCAACAAGTTAACGATTTCGTGTATAGCCCTCTCTCGAACCGTCGTCTGGGAACCAGGATCTGACACCAGAGAAACTGGCTGCTTTCTATCGGGAAGTGGGAGGTAACTGGGATATGCTCTTCCTCGAAACCAGTGGCCCGGCATTATCATTCATCTATCAGTCCTTAGGCTGTTTTCATTCCCTCCGTCCAACTCGAAATCCCTTCGAGGCGCCATCTATCCCCGCTCTATTGCCCCATGGCTTCGTGCGATGGCAGACCATTCAGATCCTGCTGAGCCCTGACGAGCACTCTCGTTATCTACAGAATGCGGTGATGCAATGGGATATTCCGCACCCCAACGGGGGGTTCTTCCCCAAAATGATACCCCGGGAAGCCTTTCCTGCCCATCCAGACCCTGATATGGTCGCATGGCACGAGTCGGTCGGCAGACGACTAGAGGACGATTACCAGAAGAGCAAGTCATCACGTCAGCCTTCACCGGAAGCCTCAGCGCGCAATTTCTATCCCAGCTGCAAAGATGCAAAGGCTGCTGAAGAGGACTACTTCTCCTATAGCCATGGTCGATTTCCTCCTTGCCGTGGACGATCCAAGACGGAGTCCTACGGAAACTCGTCCGGTCATACACCTATCCCGAGACGGAGAAGTGAAGAGACTCTCAGCCCCGGGAGTACCCTGTTCGATTCAGAGATAGATAGCCCGATAGTAGGGAAATCAAATACCAGAGGACCACCTCTTCGGCTTCCAACACCGCCCCCACGCGTTGCGCGCTCGATGCTGGCGAAAGCGAAGGAGCAGGCAGCCGTGCCCGGTCGTCCGTACGGTTCGAGGCTACAGTCAGAATCATCCGCCTCCGAGGCATCATCTGAAGACTCCATCATGGAGGCCCGGCGCGGCTCCGCGGATGACCGTCGATATGGTCGGCGACATGATCTCTCTCCGCCGCGCTCCTCACATACGCGGTCTCGCTCTCACGATGCTGCTGTTCCAGATAAGCACCGGCGAGATCCATCCCCACATTACTCTGGCCGTGCCAAGGATCGCTTTACGTATTATCCTAATCCGCAGAAAGAACCCGATGTCTACAAACCGCCGCGACACGGGGTAAAATCGCACAGTGACGGACAGGTACTCCCGCGAGCGACCAAAGCTCCTGAGCCCAAGTTTCGCAAATACGTCTTCGAAGAACCGAGGAATGGCTACCGCATCACCACCATTGAGCCCCCTGGGCGTCCTCGTCCAATGCCGCGATATGTTGATATGAGCGATTACTACACTCCGCGCTACCCCGTTGAGCCCTCTCCCGCAGAGGAGAAACGAAGGGGAAGCTACAGCGGTAGCAGCTCGAAAGATCGGAGTAGTAGCAGTAGCGGCAACGAACGCACCAAATCATACAGCAAAAATGGCTCATCTTCCCGGAAATGGGCAGGTTCATCTCGCAATATACCCGAAAAACGGTTTATCCCAGTAAGTGTAGCGGAAGAATACGAACCGGTTGCAACAACCATCCGAAGACCTGTATACGACCCTTACGACTGAGAACGAGATGTCTTCTTCTTCTCCTCCGCTCCCCCTGTTTTCTCCGCTTGTTTCTAGACCTGCATCTAGCCTTGTGAGGTTAATGATTCTGCCACGGCATCTAATCGGCTTTGAACGAAATAACGACAGTTTATGACATGACACGATTGATTGAAAAGAAACAGGGGTGATCAAACAGGACCTGGTTTCTGAGATGACATATGCTGACATTTATTACTTTCAATCCTCTCTCATATTTGGATACGAGAGCTTTTGCTATTTCTATTTAGTAGTTACTTTGGGATAATGCATGGTACAGGCTGCATCAGGAGTTTGAAGAATCTAGTGTAATGAAATCAATGCCATTCAGTGATCATGATTCCTCATGCTTTGCCCTGTCGACCTGTTGGCGGTCTGACTTCTTAGCTGGTAACTAGTTCCTATCAAGCCATTGACACTCTCTACCATGTCTATATCTACTGGTCTTCGCATGTCACATTGGAAAGAAAAGAAAAGATCTTGATTAGGTTAGGCCGAAGGTGGAAAGCGGTCGATACGGATCGCCGTAGCTCCGTTGCTATGGAACGCGAACGAGACCATCAACCATCCAACCATCTCAAGAATTCTGCAAAGAGCTCGTCCTGCTCCTCCATCCCACCTCAGGTTGACAACATGTTCAGTCGCGCATCCAACGCTTTCGCTGCTGCTGTTGCCCCCGCCGTCGAGCAGCCCACCGCAGAGCAGATCGGAGCTAGCGGCGACGACAACGCGCGGAACGCGTCCAGCGCGATCGCGCTGGACGAGACCGAGACCGACTTGACGACCGGCGTCCCCATTACTGGAGACCCATCGCACCAGATGCTGTTTGACGTGCACGCGACGACAAACCATTTTCTGTTCTCTGCATCGGAATACGCCCAACCTCAGGAAGACCAGGCTGCGCGCGACGAGAGCGCGGCCGCAGTGACGGGAGAAGAAGGCCTCGAGGGACTGTCCGGTGAAGATCTGGCCACAAGCGCGGACGGTAAACAAGGCGATTCTACAGCTCAGGAAGTGAAGGGCAACGAGAAAGTCGAGGACAATTCACACGCAGAATCAACACGCGAAAAAACTCCACCGACCACACCACCACCGACAACGGAGAAGTCTGCAATGGACGCGACAGCAACACCAAGCAGGCGATCGCAGCGCGCCACGCCTGTCGCGCCCAGCTCAGCGAAGAAACAGACCAAGTCGTCCTCAACGGAGAGCGCAAAAGATGAGACCAGCACCGGCGAGAAGAGAAAGCGCGGGCGGCCGTCGAAAGCCCCCGAGGAGGCTGACAGTGCGCAAGAAACTAAGCGGACGAAGGTCTCTGAGACTGATACACCTCGTGGCCGTGGACGTCCTGCAGGCACTACATCAGGATCAGCGTCTGCCAAGAAGCCAACCTCTACTCCTGGACGAGGACGCGGACGGCCTCGCAAGCCTGAGAGTGAGCGCAAGCCACCGAAGCCCGTCAGCTTGAACCCGGACGGTACACCCAGAGGTCGTGGACGCCCACGCAAGTCTGAAGGTGGCGTCACAAAAAAGACCACCACGCCATCAAAGGCCACAAGTGCTACAGCAAACGGAACCCCTCGCAGTCGCGGACGCCCACGCAAGTCGGATGCCGCTTCTGCAGCTGCATCTGTTGAAAAGACCAACGCAAACACAAAGAGCGTGTCCAAGGGTCCTGGCCGCCCCAAGAAAGCAGAGACTGCTGAAACAAAGGAGGCTACGGCCAACGGCACCCCGAGGGGTCGCGGACGGCCGCGCAAGAGCGACTAAAGAGCACATTTATGTTCTTCACGACTACTGGTTAATCAGAAATATTCTTCACTGGGAGGGTCGGTATCTCGGGCGTGCTGGATTCAGTTGACATTATGCGCATGGTAAAAGGGCCTTGCACCAGAATTCTATTCTAGATACCGTGTACTAATAGTGAAATCCCAAAGATGGGAAAATGGGCCTGGCCAATAAATTCGAAGATAACAGCATGACCAGATCTTCTGTAGTTTTTTCTTCTCGGACCTAAATCCCATGACTCAATAGAACCATTCGACCCTTTCATTCCAGTCACCCCTTCTCACCGGTCCTCGTTCAATGGCAACATTCATCCACTCCGAAATGCAAACAGCCGTAGGCAAATCTCCGCTGATAATGCCGAGCACAGGGAATGCACACGTCGTATCCAATATCCCTTCCCTTCTCCGCTTTCTGACATTCACATCTCTCAATGAAACAAAGAGGAACAGCCTGCTCTCAAGGAAGGGAATTGGAAATGGAGATCAAGGGAATGCAAGACCCCGCACCGGGACGGAAAGGTACAGTACATAAGCGCCCATCTTCGGAGAATGGTGGTCTCTCTCTCTTTCCAACTTTCTTATCATTTCCTTTCTACATCGTATATTGACCTGTTTCTTTCCTATATATCATCTCGCTGTGTATTGCTAGTGCCAGCATATATCAAAAAGCGAAATCGACAACAGAAGCAATTTCTTTCTTTAGAGGCTATATTATATTACTTCTTGAGATACCGGAAATGATCAGACCGAGAGGCGTGTGTCTGTTTTTTCATGCCCTGTTCCTGCCCCATGGGCCTTCACGCGCATCTTTACTCCGATTTTGGTCTAGATCATGGAAATTCTTGCATGCGAGATATTATACTGCTGAGGATTCCATCGACATTCTTCGCCTTGATATATAACCCTCTGGCATGTCTCCCATTTGCTCGTTGTCTTCATCTTTTCTGGAATTAGTTATGACCGCAGTAGGAAAGGATTTCGGCTTTTTTTTTTCAACTCTTAACTATATATACTCTGGCTCTGTCTACCAGCTAGTCGGCCGGCCTCGTTGGTAGATATATCGTCTCGGGTCGTGTTCTTTTTTTATATAATCATGTTCTTTCCTTGATGCCTGGTCACTTTATGAGTGATGATGATAGTCTCTTGTTAGGGGATCCGGAATTGAGCCTGAGGTCGTTCTCGCTACTGAATGTACTGGAGAATGCACTTATCACCATCAATCCTATGCCGACCTCCCCACCGCGACCCATCATAACATCAGGCGCTCTGCATGTCCCTGGCGAATTGGTCCTCACCATCGAGGGGTGAGTTGTCCTTTCTGGTTTCTTTAACGGTTCTTGCGCGAATTGTGTCTGGGGAGGTGAACCATCTCGTTGTTCGCTTCGTAAGTCCATCCTAACTTGTCTTATCTCTTCCTTGACTGATCACGTTTTCCATTCAGATAATGAAATCGCAGTCCACCGGGAAGTGCCATCAAGAACTCCATCGTTATTCACGATGCATCGAGTGAACGATCGTCATCTGCCAGTTCTTCGCTATCCACCGGCCCGATATGCACTATGACTTACCCGATTCGCCTCACGCCATACACAACTTCTTGAATCAACCACGCGTCTGAGGACTCCGGGTTCACGAAGGGGAGCCAAGAATTACCCTCCGAGGTTTCAAGACCTCGCATCCGCCGTTCCTTGCGGATTGCATTCGCCAGAAAGGCGAACAATGGACACCTGGATGGACAACTATTCACGGTCTTCATACAAAACAATCCGGTCAGAAGATTCCGGAGGTTTAAAGTACCACTTACGGTCTGTCGGCTGCCGAGAGCTCTGTCGCCATGTGGGGGTTGCGAAAAGGCCTGGTTGTCATTCTATTCTCCACGGTATATATCTTGCCGAGAATTCCGAGGGATATATATCCCCAAACTTTCGATGAGTTGGTGCACTGAGACTAGCTGCCTGTGGGCTGGCTGATGTTCTTATATACAAAAGTGCGCGAGACACATACTCCTTTGTAAGTGAGAGCAGTCTGAATAGAGGTGGACGGGAATACTGATATGGTATTAGTCGTACTCCAAGTCCGGCTCTGCTAGCAGCAAGGCTGCTGCTGTTGTAAACATGAGGCCGGGAACATGTCCTTTCTCTATATATATATCTCTCTCTTACCAGGTCCTTCATTACGCCCTGCTTGAGAATTTCTTTAGAGAGCGTGTTTAATGCTTCGATACTTATAGATGACTGGCATTTTGCCTTCGAGCCCCTCTGCGTCCGGTCCTGCCCCGGCCCCGGCCCCGTCGCCGAACCCCCTTTTGCTGTCTTTACAGACAGCGATGACGACATTTTTGGTCCTTTTGAGGACGAAGAAGAAGAAGACATACGGCTCGCACGCCCTGCGCCTCTGCTACCCGCTGAGGATAAGGACATGGCTCTGCCCTCTGGGCCTGTCGGCGCTCTGCCATGTTTGCGGTGCCTCCACAATGTGGAGTACCACCCCGAGCTGGCAGACTGCGCTTTTGATAGCGCCCAGAGGTGCACCCATTCGTGCCGCTCCGTAAGTGAGAAAGCGTTATTCCGCTACTTTCATCTTTTTTTCATCAAAAATATGTCGAAACTTCACGGATTATGGGCACGGGTTGCAATAACGTGATGGCAAAAAGGAAGACAAAAAAAATATCCCCAATGAGAGGTATGTTTCTTAATCTGACCAGACTGGGGCTCGATCCCAGGACCTTATCGGTGTTAACGATACGTCATAACCAACTAGACTATCCGGCCATGATTGAATTTTCTCATGACTAATTTCATATATGAGGGAGATCTCGTTGTGAGTTGCTGTACTCTTGAATTTGCGCTGCGATGTGTATACTGATGTGTGAGTTTCAAGATATCCTCTGGTACCGTTGCGGTGTGACTTTTTCTCGGCTCGCCAAATCTTCCTTGTGGGTAATTTTGATTCTACTCTTTTTTTGCCGGAGAATGTCCTAGGATTCTGGAACTTGAGGTCAAACGACGAGCTCATCAATGATGGGAATATATATATTTCTTCGAGTCAGCGGTATGCTACCGGCGGCCTGTTCACGGCAGATCCGAATGATTTATAGAACCACGTACGTCTTCCCCAATTCGGACTATTTTTTTTTTTCCTTCCGCAAAGGAGATGATTCTTTTCCTTAAAATATTAAGATTGGTGGTTACTGATACTCCTGCAGTCAATGACGTGGAACCATGGAGATGTCGCTATTCTGAACCCCCATTGGGGCACTGGGATCGAATCCAACCGTGCTCTCGATCCTGCGCATGCCACCTCCCTGATCGACGCGTTTGCGAAGGAGGGTGTAGGCCGATTTGAGACCAAGCACCGCATCCTCGCAATGTTTGAGAAAGAAGGGTCCAACGAACCCCGGGGTGCACAATTGCATTGCAAACGACCCCTTAGCAACCAATTGCAAGGCCGATGCCGGTGATCAGTTTGTTAATTAGTGCCGGTCATAGCATACTTAAACCCGTGGATCCCTTCTTGTCAGCGAATACACCTACGGTGCCATTTAGTCCGTACAAGCCGCGGTCGAAGCGCTCAGAGCAGGCGAGTTGCTCGTGGACTTTTTGCAGGCAATCTGTCTCAAATTCCCAGGAGTATACTCCAGCTGGGTTCCTACAAGGCTCCAGATGAAAACAACATTTGGCCAGGTTAACTATATAGCGCTTCCGGAGGGTGGCCTATCGACTTAGGGGGAATCAGAGAGGATGAACGCACGTATGGAGTGTAAAGCCAATAAAAGAAATGAAGCCTTACCATCAGTGCAGTTCCAGGAGGCGTCGCAAATAGCTGCATGGCTCGTGCAGGATCATCGCCCTGCAAGTGCTGCCATTGAAGGTGCGTGGAACATGGGTTCGACTCACCTCAACACCGCCAGTCAAGCAGACTGAAGAGAGCTGCTGATGCTACACAGTCAGCATCATCATATACAACACGAGTCACCAAGAAGGCCAGAAGTAAGGCTCCTGCAAGTGCACGGGGTATTTTCAGTCCCACTACCGAAGGAATAGATTTTTGTGCTAATATAGGATCCGTTGTCTCAGAATCTTTCTTGTGCCAGTCAATCACCCGACTTATTGCCCCCGATCTTATCTCCAGCAGCAAAGACGGTATACCTTCTGCTAAGTTGTTCAAGCTAGCAACCGAGGAAAAGAATCAGTCTGGAGATATCCTCACTTTCCATACAACCATCCAGTCAAACTTCACTGGTTCACAACCGGTTGGTAACCAGCTCTTGCTTATGGCTATGCGGAGATAAAATCTCATGCGGATGATTCCCCATGTCCCTGGACGGCTGCAGTTCTATCATACTCACTGGGGCACCATCAACAACTTGGAACCTGGCCGAGTTGGGGAACCCTACTGTGATTGACAAGAAAATCCTGGATATTGGGACGTGGGCGGAGAACCTAGTAGTACTGGTACGATAAGACCAACCGGCTCTTACTAACCAAAATGCCTATTTCCGCTGAACACGAAGCACCGGCTATCGATTTTGAGGCCCAGGTGACGTTAGCCACTCAATCTATGGGATTACAGTCAAAATTGAGCAGTTGCCGATCCAGAACACGGCGTGCTGATGACGGAGGCAAACAACCAGACTGCCATTGGGTAGGGTTCAAAGAGCATCGATAGATTCAAGAACATCAGATGATCTATCAGAGAGAGATTTGGAGAAAGAAAACAAGGTCCTTATCTCATGTGTCTGGTCTTTCCTTGTGAAGACTTGCCACCATCGTCCTTCGTTTCATGGACGAACAGAACGTTCCCTACGATATTTCGACTGAGGAGGTCGATCGCGGGAGGGACTTCAATCAACGTCAACTCTTCAAACCCTCGCCTACCGCCACAAGGAATGAAGATGTTGTTAAAGTTCTGAGGCTCCTGTGTGACGAGACACGGGAGACAAAATTCGTGGTTTACGCCGATACCTACGAGAGCCAGGGCATGATTCTAGAGCATCTCCGCAAAGCGTTTCCTAGCTGGAACGTCGCAATGACGCCCAATGGGGCATCCATCTGACAACGAATCACGCTTTGCCATCTACGATGAGTTTTGCTCTTCAGGAAAACAAATCCTCATTGCCTGTAGACTTATACTCTACGGTATCTTCTTGGATGGGTGTAACACCGGAGTGTTCCGCGATCCCCCTCAATATCCTCACCTCTTTGTACTGGCAGTGGGAGGGCGGGCAGTCTAGGAGACGAGTCCTTATACACTGGAATTATATTCTCATCATCATCACTCAAGATGAGAAGACCAGCATTGGCGACAGTTCAGCATGCCGGAGGCCGGAAATGCCTCAGATATCGATACCACGCCGAACGCGTACCAAGATAAAGATAACGCTGGTATGGAGGATAAACAGGTTATCTAGCCATCAGACGATACGCAGTCACATCCGGGCGCTTCAGCACTTATCGATCTAACCGATAGTAACGATACTGCTCCTATAGACCCAGATGAGTCATCGGTTATCTACACATCGACTAAGATGGAAAATGCAGAAACTGGTTATTATGATATGTTGTAAGTCGGTGTGGTCTGTCATTTCTGTGTATATCGTGCTGATTTCTCATCCAGCCTCAGTGTCACTAGCAGCCTCTGTGAACACGTACAGCCGCTATGCTTGACAGGACGAGAGCGGTTTTTCTCGCTTTCTTTATTTCAGTTGGAGAAAAGAAGAGGAGCATTCTCACAAAATCATTACAAGGGGAAATGGCAGCTGTACCCTCCAGAGTGGAGTATAACCTCAAAGGATTATATCTACTTACGATTCTACTTCAGGACCCAAACAGGCAGCAGTTGGAGGTAAATCCAAATTGTTCTATTCAGACGTGATCAAGGGCCCCTTGTCCTCCGATCTATCTGCATCTACGCCAGAAGTCTCGGTTCGTGAGTGTATGCTCTTTCTGCTGAGCAGATGCAATGAACCGGGCTAGATATGCCCATGGTGAGCGCCCCGCGCGCGGCGCACGCCGCCGCAAGTGCGAGCGTTGCTCGCGCGGTCGTCATGACTGTTACAATGCAAGTCCGCCCCTTTTCCAAAGACTTTTTGGTTACTAACGAGTATCATAAGCTCCCCATGCCGCTCTCCCGGCTGCGGCGCGTTTGGTTGTGGCCCGGTACACAATTCCGAAGGCGTTCTCGCCCTCTGGCTTTTTATGCTGCCCGAATCAACCGAAACGAATACCACGAGTTTCATTTCATTTGGTGAGACTGTCTCACTAGACACTTGAATGAGAGAAGAAAACAAAAGAAACTAAGAACCGAGGATTGTATACCGAACAGAGATGACTTATATCCAAGACGGCCTTCATTATGAGGCAAGGGAATTATACTTTCTGTTTATCACCATCTATTCAACATAATGTCAGTTCCCGGAGGATGCCAGTTCGAATCAGCACCAGAGAAGCCGTGGTCTTCTTTCTGTATCTGGTTTCGCAAACAGACTATTACTTTCCCGCAAGAGTTGGAGAGAGCCTGGTAAGAAGCATTTCTTAGGGACGGATGCTCTCCCGACGGCAGAGCGGCGTGGGCTCAACTGGGTCGGGAGAGGGCACAATCCCAGTATTAGAGTGTCGGTGGTTTTTATCAACTTTATCCGTACCAAGGTCGGGATAAACTTGAAAAACGATGAAAAGTGGTGGCCGACAATCCAAAACCGCACCCTTTTTAATACATGGGTGCAGTTTACCACCACGTGAACGGCCCATGTCCGCACACATAACAGGTTCCGCGAGTTCCTTGCTAATAACTTCGTCTTCAAAAGTGATGAGGAAAAGGTATTACCGATCATAAGAGAGGGGCCATGGTATGACGCTTGCGTGCGCTTTACATCTATAGAAACTGGATGTGGTATATACCCTCCCGCAATTTGGGTGCTTGGACATCCCTCTGTGGTCTCTCTTAATGAGAGAGATATGCTCGCTGATGCTGCTGCGATACCACGAGGAGCTCTACGGTATCGCGCAGAGCCATACCCTCACCTGTGAGTTTAGACAAGTTCCCGTGTTGTCGAAGACTACTGACTGGCCAGTATGTGGACGTTTCCTGGATTAGTTATTAAACACCTTCTATTCAGAGGTGTCAATAGTCTTTTTTTATAGCCCTCTCCAACGATGCATAGGGATTAGAAAAATATCTCCAGGAACAGAAACCATCAAGTCCCATGATGGTAAGGTCTAATTTCAGTTCGAATATATAGCAAGAGACTAATTTAGCGATTTCAGGCAATCATAGATCCATCCCAAACCAGACCTCAACCACACTGTTCAAATCCACGGAGAGGCCAAACACGGATGGCGAACAGTGCTGGCGCTCACTCGGTCTTTTCAGGGGAAAGATAGGAAGGATTTCGAAAACGGCCACGTCCGGTAAATGGCTTCTCTCTGAAGTGCGTGGCGCGGTCGCAAGCTCCGTTGCGGACAGATGCGTGGATGAAAAGGATTCTTGCACTGCGTACGGCAGAGCTCAAGGACGTGATATCAGTTCTGGGAAATGCCCGAGTGGCATTGTCCATCAGAGAAGCTGAAACCGTGCCAATGGACAGATGGGTTGAGTTGAAGAATGTGCCGTACATCACAGAAAACATACCTTTCCTCTGTGCGGCCTTCGACCTGCTCGAGTTCGTGCAGTACCTTCGCGGAGCTATCGATGCTCTGAAGGCAGTGAAGACAATGAATTGCGAAATTCAGACCTTGCAGCGGCTCGAGCGATGCTGGAACCCAGAGTCACACTCCCTTCCTTTATCCCTGACTTGATCCTCTGCTAATAACAACAGAGTTTAGTTATAAACATATCTATCTCCACCAATCTCCCCAATGAAGGCCCGACACGATCTGAGCAGGGTTAATAGTACAGACTTCTTCAGACTCGGTCCTAGACCCGCATAATATAATGCGACGCACCGCTCCTGGGCCCCAGCTACTAGCAAAGCAGACAGACCTAAAATTCGGGGATACTAAAAAGTTCATCCCTTGTCTATGGTATTATGTCTTTGGAATTTTTGGTGCTTCTCTTGTCTCGCTCACTCAGCTGATAGAGACATTAGGAGCCCAATAACAATCTACTTATCCACCGGCCCAACCTAAAGATAATAATAGGATTCACTGGCTTTCAGACAATGAGCTACTCGGCGGTGCTGTTGGCCACCACATTGGAAAGATATCTTGTTCACCGATGCTTATCGTCACGAATACCCTTTTCGGGAGGCAGACACTATCCCCCCCGGCACATACCTTACACCTCAATTCGTGTTTACAGAGGCAATACGATATCTGGATGATGTCTATATAAAAGAGACCTGTGTACAGACTATCGGATGACCGCCTCGTCTGGCACATGGGGCAATACAGAGAGCTGACGCTACTTAATCGGGACCTGTTTCTTGGCCAATACACGTCGTCACGCAAGGAGCCAAATGCGCATATTATACCATTATCACTGGATATACCCATGGTTGTTGTTGTTGTTGTTGAGAGTGGTTTGTTGTCCAAAATGGCAAATAAAAGTATATCTTCTTATTTAAGTAACTGCTTTTGGAACTAATTTCTAACTAGTTTAGAATGCTGTCGTGACAAGGAGATATGTGAACATTTCAAGTTGTTTGTGCTGAAGTTAGAAAGAGACCACAAGCAAGCCAGCGACTGGCTCGATGCCTTTGCAGAATTCGGGAGAGTATCTTCAGTCCGTCAAGAGGTCAGACAAACCGGGTACCAGGAACCTGGGGGTATTCGAGATTGCGTTCTATCAGCAACATACGGTCTGTCGACTCTTGGTGGGAGGAAGAGACTTCGGGGGAGAGCTCAGAAGTTGAGTAAGCTAGGTCTTTTTTATGGGCGTTATGATGGGTGGCTTTTCTCCGCTGCAGTGGATAGATAATACCCAGGTGCACCAGGTTCTACTAGTTAACAACTAGTTAATATTTGATTGACTATTTATAGAGTGTTGAAGGCTGCGAGACGAGATCTATTATGAATTATATTATTTATCTAGGAAGAATAATGCTACTATGACGAAATAGCTTTTGGGGAATCTGTCAGTATGTATAGAGTAGAGGACAAAAAGAAAAAAAAAAAAAAAAAGAAATATCATAAACAGGCCACTACGCGGCGGCCATCTCGATTTTCTTGCCCTTGACAGAAATCCACTGGACGGCGGAAGCACCGACGAGCGAGATGCACGCCATGGCGACTGAAACGTAGAAGGTGTGAGTGACGGCAGCATTGTAGGCGGCAAGCACAGCTGGGAGAAATTGCTTCGGGATGAGAGATTGGATCTGTGTAGCGCCGGTACTGACGACGATAGCCGGGTTCAAGCCGTCGATATGAGCCGCGGTGACCTTCGACACAAGCTGGTTCTCGAACACGCTCTGTGCCACGGAGATAAAGAGGGCACCGCCGAATGTCTGGGAGAACATGATGATGGCCGTGCCGACGGGGACATCCTTCGCATCCAGGGCAGCCTGCACGGCTACCATACTCTGTTGCATGCCAAAACCGACGCCGGCACCGAAGATGATCTGATATCCGATCCACTTCTCATGCGGAGTGGTCACGTCGAATGTCGACAGCATGGCTGCGCCAACGGCCATCAGCACTGAGGAGAGCAGCATAAATGGCGTGTAATAGCCAACATATGTAACAAGACCTCCGGCGATCATCGACATGATCACCAGTGTGAGAATCGTCGGCAGATTCATGATACCGGATTTGACAGCGGATGCAGCTTTGATCGCTTGAAACCAGATAGGGAGATAGTAGACCATCACAAAGAAGGCGGCGCCTAGCGATGCCGCGAAAAGGGAGCACGCCCACACATTGCGATTCATGAATACGCGGGGTGGCACTGTCGCCCTCTCCTGCTTCCAGATCTGCACGCCCACGAAGCCGGCGATGAGGACACCGAAAAGCACGAATAGCGCAATGATCCGCCCATTATGCCACGGGTATGTTGTGCCTCCCCACTGCAGCGCCAGCAGCAGGCACACGACGCCAGGGATGAAGAGCGCGGTGCCTTCGAAATCCAGCTGACGCAGTTGCTCTATGAGAGTCAGGTTGCTCTTGACCTTCTTGCCGGGAGTCTGGAAAAAGAAGATAATAAAAATCGCGGTGACGGCACCGAAGGGCAGGTTGATATAGAAACACCAACGCCAGGTGACTCTGTCCGTGAAAGCACCGCCCATGCTATATAGTCTTATTAGTGGTTGCCATTGGGGAGACCTGGGAGCTATGGTGAAGCGACTTACAGAGGTCCTGCCACTGACGCAATGCCGTACATACCACCGATCAGACCCATGTATGTCGGACGCTGGCGCAGAGGCACTGTCCGACTGATGATCAACATTGCGCCGGAGAATATACCCGCAGCGCCCAGACCGGCCACCGCACGGCCAAGAATCAGGCCGAGTGAGGTTGGTGTAATACCGCAGACGAAAGATCCCAGCTCGAAAATGAACAGCGCGACGAGAAAGGTCCACTTAATCGAGTAGAAGGTGTACAGTTTACCAAAGATAAGCTGGACGGAGCAGGTGGTGAGCAAATAGGCGGCTCCATACCAACCGACGTCGTCCAATGCGTGGAACTGATCAGTGATTCGGGGGATGGCAGTCGCGATGATTGTATTATCCTGTCTTCGTCAATATCCCGTCGTCTGTCGCACGACAGTTCATCGACAGACTTACCAAAGCCATACAAAACACCGACAAGCACAGCGCAATCGTTATCAGCGCCAATCGCCAACTCGAGGGATATTCCTCCTCTTTCTCCAGCGCATCACCATCGTTGTTCTTCTCCGCTGCTGCGCCGGCATCACCAGCATCTGTAGAGACATCCTGACCTGAGTGTGCTGACTGTATTGACGGTGTTGACTGTGTTGTCTCGAGCGGCCCCGTCTTGATATCCACAGAGGATCTCTCTGTGGAACCGTTCTCCGCAACCATCCCAATATTGTCGTCCAGGTATCCGGGAAACGCGGGGGACCAGATAATCAGAGAATTAATAATCTTCCGACGACATCCAACTGGTTAAATAGTCGAATAGTTAAAATATCCCCAACTGTTGCCTGGGCCTGTCACGTGCCGCAGATCGACCGCTCGGCTGAAAATCCGGACAAAAATTCGGACCAAAACCCGGATGGAAAAAGCCACGATTGCTCTAGAACGCTGTATGCCCTCTAGAACCATGTCTTTAGTCGTTCCAGCAGCGTACTGTATAGTCCTAGGGCTGATTTAGGTTCCCTGTGTGTGCTGCACCCTGGCGCCGACTTATTTCAAAACGCCCACTGCTTCAACCAGTTATCCATCAGCTGAGGCCCAATAGGTCCCAACGATTTCATCGTGGCACTAGCTTCGATAGTCTTCCTGACGTCCATCGGGGCTGACATGGCCTGGTTGTGGAACAAACTGCGGTAGAAATCCAGCAGCTTAAGGGCCGGTAATCTGGCGACGTCGTCGTCTGAAGGATGCTCAATCTTTTCGAGGTCATTTATCCATTCAGAAGGGTCAACGGCTTCCACTGCGTAGTGTTTTTGGACCGGGGCGATAAGAGAGGTCCAGCTTGCAGCGGAAGGATTAACGAGGTGGAATACTGCGCAACGGTGGTCTGCCTGCGTGTTGCGGCGCGTTGCCACTAGCTCCAGAGTGATCTGGGCGAGTGTATCCTGATCACGATTCGGTAACATTAGTACAGTAGTTCAAAGTCGACGGGCCGATTGTTGTTGACTCACCACTGGGATCCAGTCAATGGGCATATTACCCAGATTGCGAGGGAGTTTCCCAAGAGTTTTCGACGTAGCGATCAACGTAGGCAGCCATTCTTGACGGTTCCATTGACCGTCTTTAGAAGTTGGTCCTGCAATTTGTCCCACGCGATGGATGGTGGTTGGAACCCCAGCGCGAGAAGAAGCCTCGTAGCAGATGCGTTCGCCAACATGCTTGGACTCACCATAGCCCTGTGGAAGAACAACCGTGCTGTCTTCTATGGGTTCTTCTGGAACTGTTGGCCCATGACGAGGCTGCCAATTGCCAATTGTCCCCACAGAAGAAATAAAATGAATGTGGGCATGGTGTTTGCTCTTCAAGCAAAACCCTATCAAGTGATATACGCCTCGAATGTGAGTATTCTCGAACGAATCTACAGAGTGGTTGAAATTCACCATCCACGCGTTGTGGATTATTGTGTCGACGGATCCCAGCATCTCTTCATATTTTCCGTTTTCTAGGCCAAAGCTCTCTTCGCCCAAGGATACCGTCAGGAACTCTATTTTCGAAAGGTCAAGCTTGAGACCCTTGTCGCGAAAACTTTGCTCCTGTCGAGATTTCGCATCCGATCTGTTTAGACAGTAGACTTTGACAACGCTGCTATCGTTGACGAGCGAGTGAAGGAGATAACTGCCAAGAGATCCCGTCGATCCTGTTAAAATAACGGAGTGTTTACCAGAAATAGAAGTAACATCCAGTGTCTGTTTTGGAAGATCTGCGGTGTACTTCTTCACTAGAGTGCTGATTTTCTCTGATCTGACGGTCTCGTCATGCGCATCGTCGGCTTTATCGTTCACAGCGCTGTGTACAAGCCGAGAGAGCTGTTCCACCGTGGGATTCGTGTAGACTTTCTGGGGGGTAATAAACCCATACTGCTTCTCCGGAAAACGGAACTGCAGTGCCGCTCGGATAATTCGAGCTATCTGGATCGTCTGCAGAGAGTCAAGGCCTGCGCTATAGAAGTCCTCCTCATCTGAGACTGGTTTTTCCAATGTCTTTGAAACCAGCCCTCTGATGTACTCCCTTATTCCGGCCTCGTCCAGAGCATCGGGGAGCCCGCCGTGATCCTCGTTCCCAGTTCTCTCATATATCGTGTTGATCTCTGGTTCGTAGTCATTGTTGACCAATCGCCGCTGCGTTGTTCCCTTCGGCGTTGTCTTGAACGGTTTATCCTTGGAGGCGATTCCGATATAGGTTTGTTGAATTCTCGCATGAGCAGGACCGACGTGGTTCGCCTCTTCGACTGTTGGCCATATTTGATTGATCAGATCAGCAACGTCGTTTGGATTCGACTCATCGCCAGCCCACAAGTTCCAGTTCGGCTCTATTAGAAGAGCCGAATGAAACCTTTTTGTACCAACAACCAAAGCCCGCAACACCAGAGGATGTCCTTCAATGATCTTCTCCATTTCCACAGGATTGAACTTTTCGCCATTGCTAAGAACAATCACATCGTCCAGACGTCCGTGGAACTTCCATAAATTCGGTCTTGTCGGATGCGGAACAAACAAGTCCTTCGTATGATACCGCTGTATGTCGGGAAAAGTATAAAAGATACCTTGGTACTCGTAGTTCTCCTTTCGTGGAATGACCAGTTCATATAGATTTTCACCGTCACCAACGGGTTCCATTTCGACACCGTAAGATGGGTTCCATTCAAAGTACCCCCAATCCTCTCTATGGAGCGGAACTATGTTCGATATAAGACCGATCTCACTGGTACCGAGGGCGGTGCGAAGGTTGGTGATTTTTGATATCTTGTCTCCGGCTTCTGGGGCTAGAGGAGCTCCGCCGAAATAGATTTCTTTCAGCTGGGATAAGATCCGAAGTGCGTGAGGATCATGGCTTGCTTCTTCCAATAGAGACGGCGGGAGGAGAGCCGCTGCGGAGTGTGTAGCCTCGATGGTATCTAGGATAAGGCCAGTGGATATGGGCTTATCAGGTGCATAAGCAAACCGACGGTCATGAAATATCGCACTCATAAACGTCACCAGTCCCATAAGATGGAAGAAAGGACTGGGTGATAAGACAAGATCATTGGAAGTGAGATGGAACCATACTGAGCCCTTCCGATTCGGTGGAAGGGGGAGTGTAGATTGTCTGTCATAGGCGGCCACAAACCCGTGAGTTAGGGGTACCGGCTTCGGCATTCCTGTCAATTGCGTTATTAGACGCTTTCTCATGGTGCTATCTATGAAGCCCATAAGTGCTGAGAGACCAACCTGTTGTTCCAGAACTGTGAATAATATAACAGACCTCATTTTCCGCCTCTTCGTATGTCTTTCTGAAAGGATAGACTGTTGCATTGCCGGCAAGCATCTCTTGAAGGGAGGGAACTTCTAGCGCTTGAAGGCCTGGAATGGCGTTCTTGAGATCCAGCATTTTCTGCTGTCGTTCTGCTCCGTAAACCAACTTGGAACAGCCTGTAGCTTTGAAGAGGTGACGAAACGCCTCGTCCGAGTTCCTCGTCGAAGGAAGAAAAGGCTGTATATATGTATAAGAGTTAACATCCGGGTCCTCTTCTCTTCACTATTCTGGACACATGCCTTGTAGCCTGTCTTGTTGCAAGCAACGAGAAAGATGAGATATCGAATATCATTGGCCGCTATATAAGCCAGTGTCTCAAAATGGGAACTGCGGCCGATGTTCTTCTCGATCCACCAAGAGGTGTAATTGATCGCTTGAGCCAGTTCCCCCATGGTGAAATCGCGAAACCCGTCGGAGACCTGAGTCCCCTTAGGGATCACGAATACCTTCCTGTCGGGCTCTCGTTGAGCAGCGTCATCGATAGCAGTGGCCAGCAGCCTTCTGCCAGGTTTCTGAGTTTGGCGCGTCATCTGGAACAAGGGGCTGACAACAAAATAAGAGACTCGGACAAGCACAGTCGACTAGAGGAGGCCCTCGAATATTGTGACCGTTGCGAGATCAATTTTGTCCATATCTTGAAGCCAAACACCAGGGTTTTATACTTTTTATGAACAGAGAGCTGGAGTCGATCTGCAATTATCCCCCGCATCACGGGGGGGTAGATTCTCCTCCAGATATGTAGAGTATCGATGCACGGAACTGATTTATGAAACGGATAGTTGGAATGATGTCGAAGCAACTTATTTATGAAGAGAATCGGCGGAATAAAGACTCAGCATTATGTCGCACGTCCATGATCTGCGCTCCTTGCATGGGCCTTATTCTCCTGTTGCCAACCATCGGAGGCACCAAGGGGGGAGCACAACCAATAAAAATGGTGCCCATAGTCGAGAATAAACAGGGTTGAGGGCATTCGGCATATATCCAGCGATCCACTTCGCATCGCAAGAAAGACGCTTTGCCTCGGTGTTCACCAGGTCGCTGGTTGCCGCTACTGCCGGCGCGAAGGGCCCTTCGCCTCCACAGAAGACCCTGCAAGTGATTGATTCGCACCATGCTGCTTGTCCATCCTTGTGGTGTATCCTAGTGTTTTGTTTAAGGTGTGGTGGTTCTGGTTGTCTGTGGTAGGCAAGTAGGTTAGTACACCCGGGGAATCCGATAATTATGATCGAAAGCTTGTTATCGCCTTATGAAGCACAAAACGAGAAATAATCTCAACAATTAGACAGTATGGCCGAGTGGTCTAAGGCGACAGATTAGAAATCTGTTCTCTTCGGAGGCGTCGGTTCAAATCCGACTGCTGTCGAATTTCTTTTTTTCTTTTTCGGATTTTTTTATTGCAATCAGCCAAGTCAAACCCAAATAATTACCGCTAATTTCTTAGCGATACATGGCGTGGCTTAAGTATGTACCTAGTGTATTAATTATTCCATCCACTGCAGTTGTCTCAGTGTGCAGATCCGTCACGCCTGCAAAAATCTTAACGCCAACCTGGAAGCGAAAATCACGCAAAAGTAGAGCTCAAGGCAAGAGCTTCATGTATTGTAGTCTGCTCAGTGAAACAATTAAAGTCCCTTCATAGAGGGATGCTTCTCCCTCTACGAGGACTAACTTCCGCCCAAATCGGTTATACGGGATAGTTATCTCTCGCATCATATCTTATCAATCTTTCCCGAGCGGGAGCTAAAGGAATGGCGGGGCTGGGACAGCATCTGCCGGTATCGGTGTTATGGCATCAATATCATTATCGCGAGATAACCAGACGGTGAGATCCAACCATCTAAGACCTGGCAAAGGAGAGAGATGCGTTGAAGAACGAAATATCCCATCTGCTATGTAACTTAGTTACTCGAAGCCGCTTCCCATCATGCGTTGTCTCTGGGATTCCAGGAAATAAGGAACTACGTTGATGACATTCTCGATATGAACGAATCCCTGGCGAGAATAACAATACGGTCAGAGGAAAAAGCAAACAACAATGAAGAACAATAACAGTTGCCTCGCAAGGTCTAGTGTTCGACAAGTCACGCGCAAAACCGCTAAGAGTTACCCCGCTGTCACACGTGGACAACTTCAGTGTAATATATGAAACAGTGACTTCTCAGCTCAATCCCTCAGGTTTGATTTCATGTCGTCCTCCCCTCAATCTCTTGTTGTTTTGTTTATTATTTGTCCGATCAATCTTCTCAAAACCTACAGTCAAGCATTGCCACCTTGCGATAGACCTGAACCCCAGCAATGGAGGTCATAGATAACACAATAGCACAAGATACGGAACATGGCGCATCCAAGACTGCTACAGAGACCGCACCCCTGCTGGGCAATGCCAATGACACCGGAAATCTCGCAGATGATAATAATAACTCGACCTCCCCCGATGCCACCGCTGAACCCTCAACTCGCCTATCGAACAGAGACCGAACCTCCATTTTGATAGGCATCCTCATCATCGGCTGGGCCTTTGGGTTGGATAGCCTCGTCAGATCGACATATCAATCCTACGCGGCCTCCAGTCTCGGCGTTCATACGCTCTTATCCACGATCAATGTCCTCCGCAGCGTCATCGCCGCTGCCGTGCATCCCGCCGCATCCAAGATAGCCGATGCATTTGGTCGTTTCGAACTCATCTCCGTCTCCGTGGGCTTTTACATTATCGGAACCGTCGTTGAGAGCACAGCTTCGTCAATAGAGGTCTTCATCATCGGAGCAGTCCTCTACCAGATCGGCTACACCTGCGTCGTGTTTCTCGTCGAGGTTATCATCGCCGATATCACTTCCATGCGCTCCCGGGTCTTTTTCAGCTACATCCCTGCAATTCCATTCTTGCTCAATGCCTGGATCAGCGGTGCCCTCGCCTCAGCCGTGCTGAGAATCACAGACTGGCGTTGGGGCATTCGAATGTGGGCATTCATCTACGCCGCCGCTGCCGCTCCTCTGCTCATCGCCCTATATCGAGCTGCTCCTCTTCGCGGATCTCGCGAGACCAATCGCAACCACAGTCCATATCTCCTCATTCGTCTCCGTGACAAAACTGTCGAAATAGGCCAACAGCTGGACATCATCGGCGTCAGTCTCATGGTCTTAATCCTCACTCTCATCCTCACCCCCCTTACCATAGCCGAGGGACAAGTCTCCAAATGGCGCAGCGCAGACATCATCGCCCCCTTAGTCCTAGGCTGTCTCTGTATCCCAGCCTTCATATACTGGGAAATCCGAGGAGCCCGCCAGCCTTTCATCCCACGATACCTCCTCACAGACAGCGGAGTCGGAGCCGGTCTTGCGGTGCGATGTCTCCTGAACTTCGCCTGGGCCGTCCAAGGAAACTATCTCTACACCGTGCTCATCATCGCCTTCGACTTCTCCATCACGCTCGCGACCCAAATCACCGCCTTCTTCACCTTCTTCGGCGTCATTACCGGCGTAATCGTCGGCCTCATCATCTACAAAATACGCAGATTGAAATACTCCATCGTCTTCGGCACCTTCCTCTTCATGATCTCCTTCGCCCTCCTAACCAACTTCCCCAGCGGAACCACCCTCCACGCCCGAATCGGCATGCTCGCCTCTCAAATCCTCCTCGGAATCGCCGCCGGCTTCTGCACATACCAAACCCAAGCGTCCGTCCAAGCAGCCACGAAACACGAACACGTCTCCGCTCTCACGGGCGTGTACCTCGCCTCCTTCAACATCGGCAGCGCACTAGGAACTTGCGTATCGGGTGTAATCTGGTCTGAGAATCTCTTACCTCTTCTCAAATCAAACCTCGCCTTTCAACCGGATCCCACACTTGCAGAGCAGATTTATCACTCCCCCTTTGATATCATGCCAAGGTATCCTGTCGGAACGGAGATTCGCGAAGCAGTCATAAATAGTTACGGTCAGGTAGAGAGATTGCTTTGCGCGACGGGGTTCGTGATTTGTGTCCCGATGATAGGGTTTGCGTTGGCGTTGAAGAATCCGGTTTTATCTACGAAGCAGAGTCAGCCTGAGGCTGGGAGGGATCATGAAGAGCATGGCACACGTTGAATTTATCATATCTGTTGATCCCGTGCAAGCGAAAAGAGTCTTATCTATTCCGAAGTTCATCATTCGATTTCGCATCCAGCAACAGCATCGCTGTGGTCAACATATACACATGCAGATTCTACCGCTTCTGTATATATTATTCAGAATTAGATTAGATAGAGAAATACATTACATTACATTATATAGAGATTTGTCGCGGTACACAAATAAGAAAATACAGACAGTAATCTCATACTGACTCTACACATTTTATACAAATTGAGAACATATTTTTAATGTTATTCGTTATTCCATCACTATCGACGTGTATGAGTATCGTTGCTATCGTTGCCTAAATCCATCCACACTAACATCGAAAGGAAAGAAAGAAAGAAAGAAAGAAACATAAAGTACTGAAGATACTGTTGTACTGTACCGTACTGTACAAAATTTCCTGCAGATATATATATATATATATATATATATAAATGAATACATATACTGCATGTTGTACTCGTTGGCTGTTATTTATCTTGGAAGTGGATATCTGATATCTGGCAAAATTCAAGTACATAGAATCTTGAGTAGCCCGCTTTTGGTTTGTGGTTGGGGGGAGGGAGTTGTAAGTAAGTATCGAGGGGTATGAAAGAGCGGTCCGCAATAATCCGTGTTCGTTCCTCGATTCCAGTGCTGTTATCGTATCAATCTCGCCTGGTAACTCCATCAGTATGGCCGAAACGGCACATGTGTCGTCCTGAGTATTGAGCATGGTAATCAGCCTGGTGAGAGACCCGATGGGTAGCCGTCGTGACCCGCTCATGCTGGCTATCACCGATCGTTCGAGCAACTGGTGGATACACTTGATGGAAATTATCAATTACAGGCCATCAACTCCGGAAACTCCCCTGCTCTTCGCGTTGCGCGTGTCATCCCTGCCTAGGCTGAGACTCTCGTATCGCTCCAGCATATCGCAGAGACCAAAGCCTTCGTAATGCTGTAGTTTTCGCGGATCAACCTCACCGTGGTCAGCCCCGATACTAGGGTATCGGGAGTCCTCGTTCAACTTTTCAAGCCCACTGGCATAGTCGTCCCATTTGTCACTGTCCAGGTTTTCGGAGAACAGCTGTTTCAGTTCCTCCGGGACAGCATCGGAGGATCTAGCTTTCGCACCTTGTTCCTTGCTCCGGACGGATTGTCTGAAAATGTGGAACATGTTCCGACCCAGAATCGAACGAGATGCAATAATGTTGAAAGCTGAAGCCAGGGACAGAAAGTCTTGATCTAGAATATCGAATTTGCCGGCTGGCTGATCCAGCAAAACATAAAGCGCCATATTAATGGCATAGAGGGCAAAGGCGTGGGAACGGGACATGCTAAACTCTCTTCTGTGAATACGCATCAGGGACGCGATCTCTCGGGCACAGTGCAATTTGATCTCTTCGGGCCTGCCCTCGGGGCTCCCGGGAGGTGTAGGGGGCGACGAGCCTGTCGAACATTTGGCGGAACACTCCCGGCTATCGAGACACATGAACAAATTGATCAGAGTCGTATAGTAGCGAGCACTACCCAGTTGAGACACGTCAGTTATGGGAAACCAAAACGGGTTTAAAACAACAGTGAAGGCGATAAGAGGACGTACTTGAGAAGTAGCATATGCGGCGCAGGGTTCTTTTCCGGATTGAAAACGTCTGGTAATTCGCTCTTCCACTTCGTCAGCCGCTCGTACAGACGATTTGCAATCTCTTGTCGACCAGGAACTGGTGCCGGATTTTCTGTGTCCGAGAACAAGCTGCGAGACAAGTCCTGTGCGATCTGGCTGAGACTACAAGCTTCGTCAAAATACAGGTTGTAGTATGCTCCACGAGTACTCCTGTGGGTCGGATATGGTATCCAGACAGCGTTGTCTTCCGACTGAGTTAGCCGCCGTGGCCGTTCCAGACGCACATGGCTGATCCGGTTCGGCCGTAGGAATCCTATGTGAGATACCCTGCGTAGGAGTCAGCAAGGTGGACTACAAAAGAATATTCCGAGGACTCACGTATCGATTTGGTATAAGCCCCAGACTGTCCGTACCGTCGAATTGATATAGTCCTGTGAGCGGCCTTCCAGCGAAACAGTACCATCGTCTGTGTCACTAATGTAGCCTAGATCCTTCGCAATACTAACGGCCCGGTTGAGCATGAGGTAACCCAGATCATCGTCGCCGAACAGGGAATATCTATATTCTCATCAGCAGCGGTAACTTGTATTTTGGGTAGCATCGAAACAACGTCCGTCGAACTCACTTCGAATACAGAAGCAGCGTCCCTTGAAGTGTCGCCAACGTGGCCTTGTCCTTCTGCTCTTCGTAGAGTCGTTCTGCTTCGCGGAGATAATCGGCACCCTTAGTCATGACGTCGCCAGGAACTGCATATGCTTCAGAAAATTCCGAATAATGCTATCCATATCAATGTCAGCCTTGACCACATCCAACGACTGATTTAAAAAAAAAAAAGAAAGAAAGAAAGAAACATACGCAAGCGTTCGCTAAAAGTGCATTCACCAAAAACGGTGTACAGAACTCTGAATGGATATCCCCAATCGCCATGTGCTTTACAAACACTTCACTGTCGAGGAAGGCGTAGAAGGGATAATCCCACGTAAAGTACAACGACACCAAGTGCGACACGATCTCATCGTCATCCGTGACGGTTGTCCAGGGCTTCGCAGGCACCCGCATCGGAGGTGTGTCACACAGAAAGTGAACATCCATCACCTTTCTTCTAAACGACGGACTGGGACCCTGCAGGTTGACCATGCGCCGGATATCCTTCAGTTTGTTTGTCGTGTCTTTCGTCGCCGTATCATTCTCGCCGCCTTGCAGCTTTGCCAGTGTCTCATCGATATAGATGCGGATTTCCTCTGGGGTAGCATCGTTGCGGATAATGTCCAACAGTTGCTGTGCGGACGAGTGATTCGCAGAGCGGATGACCTTGAACAGATCGTTCAGCATATCCCGATGATAGTTCAACTCCTCCGCCGTACGCTTCACGGCTACCCGACGGCGCTGGTCGAGTGACTCGTCAAAGATGCATTCTCGATTTAACGCTCGACAGTTATCGCATGGAGGGACCCCGGAGCACTATACAATAGACCAGAAAGCCTTCTAGTCAGCCCACTCCACCATATACTCTGCGATAGCCATTCAACGCTGGATGAAGATCCTCACCTTGCGCTTCGATCTCTTGCATGCCAAACAGGCGGTTGAGACTCTCTTCTTCCACGGGGCGGGCGATATTCCGCGCGAGTCTCCTGGCGGACTGCCGTCTGGCGTCGGGCCCGGTGCAATGGGACGATATTGCGAAGGATCGGTCATCTCCCCCGATCTCGACAACAGACGATGGAGTTACCTGATGCTAGTCTCTGGCGTCTTTTTTTTCCTCCTTTAGTCACAAAGGTTACAGGCTGCCCACTGAGGTTCAGCATCGCCAGTAATGACTGTAGCCAAAATCCTGCCAGCGCCCCTGGAATGACGTAACGTCCATCGCCCACAAACAGGTTGATCTGGCCAGCAAAGAAAGCAGTCTACAGACAGACAATAATGAGAGGAAATAATGGGTGTCTGGTAGGTATCTGGATCAAGTCAACGAGTCTCTATCCACGGAAAAGAGTCCATGTTTAAGTATTAATATAACATGAGAGGAGTCTAAATCTCAGCTTCTCTTCTTCCCCGGATCGTCTTCCCTTCCGCGGGCACCTGATGCATCTGCGGAATAGCGTCTCCGGTCCAATTGTGAGCTCATCGCCTAACAACGTGGACTCTCGCTTCATACCAGTGGATTTTATGTGGCTCTCGTTCTACCCTACGAATCACTGTCGACGGATCCTTTATCCTACTAGTAGTACATATACAGTAAGTTAGTTATGTTAGTTCACAGATAAATAGTCTTATTAATCAATGCGCTCTGCAGTGGGGGGTGTGTGCGTGTGTTAAGTGATGATAATGTTATATGTCCTCCAGTCCGGAAACCAAACGGACCATAACCGGCTCGAAGCATTAAAAAATGAAAAAAAGCGCTTTAATTATTATGACCCCGAACAGTTTTGCAACGGACACCTGCAAATCCTTCCCCGCGGACACGTCCCTGGGATCCTTCTTCAAGACACACGACGCGATCCGATCCTAGAACAATCACGGCCCCCCTGGCAAATCCGTAGGCAGTCTGTTCCCGACCGCTCCACACTGAATAATCTATAGAATGGGGCTCAACAGGGAAATCGAAAAAAAGGGGACGATTAGATAGCTCTAAAGACGAACAGCTGCAGGGCCGTCAGGTAAATATAACCGGCCGGACGTTTAGTGCTCGAGGATTCTCAAGCTGCCCTGCACGACGCAGTTCTCCAGGACGGAACCCGGAGGGATATCGATCGTGCTGCCTTCTGTGGCCACGATGATGACGGTTCCCTTTAGCGTCACGTTGCGGCCCAGGTTGACGGCACCGGTGATGGTGAGGTGATCCAGCTCCACAATGCGGGGAATGCTGGGGATGCGCTTCTGGAAGTCAGAGACCTTCTTGAAGTCGGAACCCAGCTTGATGACGGGCACACCGCCGAAACGGTTGGGGTCCATGACCAGCTGGCCGTGCTCGAGACGGTAGAGGTCGGACTTGACCAGCAGCAGGTCAGAGCAGGTCTTGACGGGCAAGAAGCGACGACGGGGCACGTTGACACCGTGGGCGTTCTTGAAGTGACGGATGGCCGCACCGACGGCGGTCTCCAGCTGGTAGATCGAGATGTCGGCCTCGCCCTTCTTGTCAGCAGGGATCGACTTCTCGTTGGCGATGATCTCCATCTCCAGCTCGTTTTCCTCAACGACGCGCTTGATGGCACGGAGGTTGAGCCAGATGTTGTTGGTGTTGAAGTACTTGAATTTCTTGATGGACTTGAACTCGTTGACGTGCTCCTTGGGCACCTGCGCAATCTCGAGGAGGCGGACCTTGCCGTCGTAGTCGATGATGGTACCACCCTTGACATCAGCCTTGGTCTTGTCAGTCAGCTCCATGATGTAGTCAGACTTGGAGTCAACCATGTGCTGCAGAATGCGGAGATCGACAACAGCACCCAGGTTGTCAGCGTTGGACAGGAAGATAATCTCGACACCGCGCTCGAGCAGCTTGTCGAGAGTTCCGGAGTTGTACAACGACTCGAAAACGTCACCGTGGCCGGGAGGGTACCAGTCCTGGAGAGGGGAGTTGAAGCTCTTGGGGGCGGGCAGGAGGGAGTCCTTCAGGACACGGGGGTAGCGAGACTGGTTGAAGGTGATGATGTCGACGTTGTGGCCCTCGTACTTCTTGATGATGGACTGGGTGTCCTGGTCGGTGTTGAAGGAGTTCATGAGAACGAAAGGAACGTTGACGTTGTAGGTGCGGTTGAGATGCTCGATCTGGCGGACAGACAGATCCAGGAAGGACATGCCCTCACGGACCTCAATGACGGACTTGGGGCCAACGCAGCCCATGGAGGTACCCAGACCACCGTTGAGCTTGATGACAGCCAGCTTGTTCAGGAACTCAACGGAGGCGCTGTTGCCCAGCTCGTTGTAGTCAACGACCTGGTTGGGCTGAGGGGGAGCAATGCGGTCCCAGTTGACGACGTTGCCCTTGGCCTTGTCGTTGAGGAAACGGCGGTAGAGGGCGAAGAAGTTGTCCATCTCAGCCTCAAATCGCTTCTTCTCCTGGGGGTCGGGGACCGTCTCGGCGAGGGCGTTCAGCGCGTTGCGCATCTGAGAGGCCGCCACGCTGGTGGAGGCATTCTCGAAGGCCTGTTGCGAATTGGAGTGCCCAGTCAGTAACTTATCTCCGACGGTAGCATGCATGGTGAATTTGGTGGCTAAAGAACGTGTAGTCTAAAATGAAGAAACAAGATATATCCTTCAAAGATAACAATTGGTTGGGTTGTGAATTATGCAGTCAACGACAGACACTGTACTATGCGTGGTGGATAGTAGAAATACGGATGCTCGAATGCGTTGTTGTCACAACAGAATAACCATGATCAGGCATATCCTGGCTGGCAACCACGAACCGGCGCGTTCGTTGTCATGTCGCTGCACTGCACTTTCCACCCCCCAACACTGATTGTGTTCTCTCCCCCCCGAGTCCTCCGATATCAGGATGCGCAGTCACTTACCATATGCGACTGGGTCTTGCCGTGGTGCTTACGCTCGAAAGCGTTCTCCCCAGAAGGAGCATCTGCCGCCTGGGCTCTGAGGTGAGAAGGAATCGCCTTCGCCGCCATTGTCAAAGGTGTGTCCTTCTGGGAAAGTGTCGAGACCGGTGGAACAGTAGTGGAGAAAGATATCTATCTGTTGACAGCTGCGCGGACAGGTCAGTTTTCTGGCTGACAGACGATGATGGATGGATAAGAGAAAGTGAAGAAGAGGGAGGAGAGGCTAAAGGGGAAGGAGATATAGTCTTGGGTATGACCGCATTGTGAATGAGGGGCTCGCAAGGTGGCCACGCTGGGAATTGTCGATCTTCCTCCGGGCCAGAGGGGGAAGATGGCGACAGCGTGCCGTCATGGGCACGGAAGAACAGAACTTACCAGCAACAGATACAGCGAGTGAGATGGAGGTGGGAAGCAGAAGCAAAGGATGGAGAGACACAGAACAGAATGAAGAAGAGTTAGAGTAGAGAAGCAGAGTAGTTAAACTAATAACTAACTACCGTAGTTCAGTTGAGCGATGTTGCGAAAGGAGACGGTGAGCCGCAGCGTCGTGGAGACTGGCGTGAACGTGCGCTCCGAAACAGCGGGCAAAGTCGAGTCGAGTCGCTGCCGCCCTTACTTAGGTTGTCGTCAGCCGAAGTTGGCGAAGCAACGTTAATTATTATTATTATTATTGTTTTGGTCTCTGGAGTCTGCTCCATTTAATTAATTACCGTGCCATTTTTCTTCTTTAACCATCGATTAGTTCTCGTCCATCTCATATTGCGATGTCCACTATCTGTCGTGATGGGGGGTTGATCGCACTGCGGGATCCTGTCGGGCCTCTTCCTGCGCCCTCATGGCCCATTCTGTCGTCCACCAGCACTGACTAGAAGCTCAATGGCCTGGATCATGGGAACTCCCGAATGCTCTAGCGTTCCCGAATCTGAGCGACGAGAAGATGACCCCTTTTTCCTGAAGAGAACCCTAGACTATCCAGGAAGTGTTTCAATCACATACTGAAGCCTTTCCAACTAGTATCACCATCACCAAACATCCTATTATTAACCATCCTACCTATCCTACCACGGAGAGAGGAGCGATCCCGTGAGACTATGGATCTGCGCCAGCCACAAGACCCCTTTTTCCATGCTCCCAGAGAGCCCCAGTGGAAGCTCCCCGAGATTCCTCTCCCCCACCTCGGACCGGCGATGCTGTTCGAAGAACCCTCGAGCAGGCCGTCGACCCACGTTCGTCCATGCCGTTGTCCTGATTCGTCTCTGCGCTCATTGGTGCTGTGGTCGACAGCTCAGCAATCTGATATTCTGATTCCCGGAGATGACCTAGTCGAACTGCAGTCTCAGGAACGGACTGCGACGCTGCACCGCAATAAGCGATAATAATAACAATAATAGATACCTTTTCTGCGTGACAGCTGGCGCCCGCACACCTTCACCTTTCCATTTCCCCTCTTTGACGCCTCGTGGGGCCCAGTGTCAAGCCCATGATGTCGGCGCTCTGGCCAGTTCCTTACTTCCTCTAAGCTTCCTTGGACGGGCGATGCCGGGTGCCATGGACGGATCGCTTGGCACACGCACGCTGACGAGTTCTAAGTATATACCTCTCTCTCAGGACGATCGGTGGGGGAGATGTAGTTCCTGCTCCTGAGCCAAAAGGGCCCCGTTTCCACCTGTAGAAATACGGGAACCAAGTTCGAAATTTTCTTCTCTCTGCTTGCCGCTCGTTGCTGGTTCTGAGATTCAGCCTTACTGCGACTGTCACGATGGAACACCATGATTATAGCCGTTAGTTGTGGCGCTGAGCAGCCGCATCCACGTAGCTGCAGTGGCTGTCATCTTCCGTGACGCTATTGATCATGCCTAACAACGGCTTTCTGCTTGCTCGTATCAATGTCTCAAGCGGGGGCCTTGCTTGAGCAAAGTTCAGGGGCTGAGGGGCGACTCAACTTCGGTCTGGAAGACGTTCAGGAGTGTAGAAGCGAGAAGTGCAATCTATCTCAGCATAGTCTCCAAGCAATCAGGACTCAGGCCATACAGAATTAGCGGTTCAGTACCGGGGAGGCGTCAAGGCTCAAGCTTCGACTTTTTATCCGATACGGAATAATGAAGAGTTTTTCGATCTCCAACCGCATATGGAAACGGAAAGAGATGTGCAGATCCGGGTCCGCAGATCTATCTGATCTGCTCCCACATGGGACTCCGGATAGCATAAGCTGGTATTATCATTGCGTCGCAGTTGATAGAGTATGGTATTATTATTATCATCATGTTCTGAGCTGAGCTGTGAAACGTCCAGAGTTATGCCGGATACGGAAAGCGGTGGGGGCTCATGGACACCTTGAGCAAAGGAAGCTTTTCGAGTCTCAGATCCCAGAACCGTGAAACCAACTCCCAAGATGCAGCACGAACCAGCAGTCCTCCGAGCCTTTCTCGATGTTGCACCTATACTATCTATGCTCTAGCGTTGAACTACTTTGCCATTTCCACTCAGACCTCATCTCCTCGTGGCAGTCTCGTCCCACAATAATAATTAAGATAAGTGGCCTCCGTGCTGATATTATTACAGTATTATTATTAGCTATCACCTGCAGCGCCCGCCATGTTACACCCCCCACCAAATTACTATCCATAGTCCATACTAGCAAGTCCTGCTAATCTCCTTTCAGTCCAAGTTGCGGGATTCCAACCCGGCAAAATGCCCTAGGGAACAGGTTCGAAAGCGGCCCGGATAGATACCCTCTTTCTTCTTGGCTGGAAGCTTCCAGGAGACTTGGCGTCCGTCGCAGGGAGTCGAGATGGATCTTTGTGGGCTTCGGGATTAATAATTCCGCCGGGCAAGGAATGAGGTTTCAGATTCCAGAAAAGCGGCAGAGGTTACTAATAATAACCTGGTTTAATACAGACTAGTTGGCTACCTACTGGAGTACTGGTACTCTATGGTACAGAGAATAGAGTATGTAACTACTCCGAGTCTCCAACAGCATCCAAGTAAAACATGGGGTTAGATAGGCTAAGTAGAATGTCTTGGCCGGTTCACAGTCCAGTCACGCGAGTTATGATATGACCCATACGAAACTCCAGAACAATCCATTGTCTCAGCGCCAAAGTGATGCTAGATAGACTCGAGAAACGAACTGGCCTTTCGATATCTTTCGATATTAATCCAGAGTTAGGTAGAGACAATACTATCTTTCCAGTAGTAACCTACCAATCTTCTGGCGCATACGCGAATCAATCAAATTAAATCCGCAAGTAATATGTACTGAAGAATACTAGATTGCGACTCGCCGATATATCACACTAGTGAATTATGGAACCTGACTGGAGTTCGAGACGAGCTTGAGATAACGGTATCTATCTTATACGTTTAGTAGCAATAAGACAGATGGATATAGAAATATATACTATATATACCAGCCCCTTTGTCGAATTCTATCCTTTAGCACGGAAGCAAGATCTAACCCGAACAACTTGAATTATGTCGAATCCTAAACAGCACGGAAGCAGGATTTGAATTGCTTGCTTGACTCTAGGTCTAGGGGGGATTTAATCCCATATTTATCTCTAGCATACAAAGAATCTAGATCTTAGTAATCTAGTAGTAATCCAGCATAATCAGGATTTAAAGAATCTGCCACAAATAGATGATTGACAGATCACCTGGCGTTTGCTTTGTACGCCGACAAATTACTTGCTTGCTTGCTTCTAAGTCTAGCGGGGGAATTTAATTCTATATTCATCTTTAGTACACAAAGAATCTAGATTCTAGATTCTAGAAATCTAATGGGTTCTATCTTATAATTTAGGATTTAAAGAACCTGTCGCAAATAGATAATTGACAGATCAGTTGGCATTTACTTTGTGCTCAATATATTGTGTAAAGATCTAGGATCACGGAAGCAAAGATTCTGAGAAAGCATATGAAAAGGGAATAATCTCTGGATTGCTTGGAAAACTAATTGACACCGAAATCTATCAGCTATTTATGCTCAACGACTCTATCCAAATGCCTCGGCTATTCTGAGCTGAGCTGAACATCTAATTAAACTGATCCGTGGTTCTTCTCCCGTCTTTATTGATCCCATGCAGGTCGATGCAGGTGGCATCCCGTTGAAGCTGCTATCCGGTTTGTATAGGTGACACAGCAGCGGAACTCAGCAGGTTTGCAGCTCGCAGCCTGCGTATCCATACTATGGTAATCTGTATATTAACTAATCTATGTGTGTATAACCAAACTAGAAAGTAAGCAATTACCTGCAAACTTCATCCGAAAAAGGCTTAGTACAATGATAGTGGACGGGAGTTTCCCTAGAGTATACCTACGATCACTACTATAGTTACTCTATGCAAGCAGTGAATATTAATCAAACTGGACGGGAACAACCTCCAACTTCATCCAAAAAAGGTCTAGTACGCCATAGTAGGCGGCAGTTTCCATATCCAAGGAGTGAATGACCAAACTGGAAAGTAGCAATGACAGTGCTGCCTGACGGCCTACAGTACTACTTATAGGAGCTCAGAATGCTTTCCTTCTTCATTCTTTCTTACTCATCCATCCATCATCTCGACCCCCCACATCCTCTTCTGAAAAAGGTCTCGTCTACATTCCAGTATCTTGTTCAATATCGGCTTTCTGCCACTCGACCAAAAATGAGAACTCCTTAGTTAGTTGGCGAGACTCTACCTGCACCTCTAACATTCAACATGGCCACCACAGCAACTTCCACCCGTCGCAACAGGGGCTCAGAAGTCCTACTGGCATACGCCAGCCCTTCGGTATCTCCGCCTTCGTCTGAATCTGATACCTCATCAATATCCCCGCTGCGAGACGGGAGGCGTCGAAAGAACCGCGACTCCAGTAACGACGCGGACGACAGCGCTGAGCTTCCTGATGGGCTCGTCGATGAGGACTTCCGGGCTGGAGGTCCTTATCTCTGCCATGTCCCTGTGCGAAGTATTGAGCTACACAGATCATCACCCTTTTCATCCCCGATGGACAGTCGTGGTCTTCATCTTGTCCGAGTGATTTCTGAGATCCTCCGATCTTACGATATCCAACCTCAACTCCTAGACTTCTGTGGTCGCATATCCACGATAGACCCTGAGATGAGCCCCACCCCGACGGTGGTTGTCTTGACGGAGAATCGTCCATTCGGTAACAGGTGGATTGATGCGTGTCGGTCGATTCGAAGGCTTTTGGTGAGAGAGGGCTTATATCAGTATTCCGTCGAAATAGCCAGTAGGCGTGCCTTCCAACCTCCTTTTTATTTTCCCACCAAACATACAGATGCTATTTATCGCATGTGGCCTCACGTTCTCGATCGTATCCTGGCAATGGATATTACTACAGACGTCAATGCCATCGACTGCTTCCGAATGGGCTACGAAGAACGCCGGGATGATAACCCACCGACAGTCATCTTGTCCGTGGAAAGGAGGGCCCAGAGAAACTGGAAAGTACTGCGTGAAAGCATTGTACATCTTCTTAACAGTCTGGGCCTTTGGAGCGTGGGTGTAAGCATAGGGCCAGGCGCGGTAGTGAAACAGGTGGCTCATCCCTTGGACCTCTATAAGACTGGCGCACAAGCAGGAGTAAGCCTTGGAGTCCATGGATCTAATAATAATAATAATAATAAGGCTGCGGGGACATTCGCCGGTTGGATTGAAATCGAAAATCCCCGTACAAACCAATGGGAAAAGTTTGGCCTGACATGCTTCCACTGTGTCGACCCGGGACTCAATTCTGTCCCAACTGCTGATCAAGCTCGTGAGTAATCCATCTATCTATCTACTTCCTTCAGAAACGAAACGCAGTCAGGAATTGTTACTCACACACTTTCTTAGAGCTGAAGAACTGGTATATAAACGGCATACGTGCGGCAGACAACAATGCCCGAAGATTACTCCATGTGGACCAGCCCACAGAAAAAGATATCACCAGAGATTTGGAGAATCAGAGAAATTCGGTGACGGAAATACTGAATGACGCCACATATCGCAGGATTAAGAATGACTTGGATGCGAACAACTTCGTCATCCCTCCCGACATGAGAAAATACGAAGTATCCGTACGCCGCAAAGAAGAATATGAGAAACGGATCCAACGCATTCAGCAGTTCATGAGTCAAAATGAGCATAAACTCGGTTATATCTTCAGTGCTTCTGGATACAGACACGAGCCAGTGACCACCATCAAGCATTCTTCTCTAACGACATGTCTCGACTGGGCTCTCATTCAAGTGAGACCGCAGCGAGCTTTCACCGCCAACGAAGTGAGTAACATAATCCCATGTTAGCTGCCAGTACTAACGAGGCAAATAAAAAAAGGTACTGGCTTATGGTACACCTGTCATCAACCTCCCGATGGACCCCGGGGCTTCGAGCCTGATTCTGTCCTCTTCTTGGGGAGAGTCTATCCCTCATGGCGCGCCCCTCTTCAAAGCTGGCCGCACGACTGGATATTCAGTCGGCGAATACAATGGCCTCCATTCCGCCGTTATCGCAAGGACATTTGTGAACGGCAAGTGGGAAACGCATACCACACTTGAACACTCGGTGTGTGGACGCCACGGAGACTGGTTCTCCCAGGAGGGTGACTCTGGGGCACTGATCTTTAACAACCACGGAGGTGTTGTCGGCATGGTTTTTGGTGGGAACATGCTTCGGTCCATTTCTTATTTCACCCATATCGTTGACCTCTTCAATGATATCAAGAAGATGACAGGAGCTACTAAAGTGAGGATCTTCGGGGATGCCTACGGCGATTGGTTTCAATGAGAGTTCGTGGTTTTCGGTCTAGAGTTTTACTTTGGGTTGTTTGCTAGGTTCGCTAGTTAGTTACTCATTTCATTTGACTAGTAATGTGTCTACGACTAGAGCCACTAATTAACTAACAGTGTGCTATTTATCTTGTATGCAGAAGGCCTAGATAGGTCTTCGAGAAATACGGGTTTTATGCTAGTCTATGATTACTTTACTCTAAATGCTAATGATGTTCATCATGAATTGATTGTAATTACGCTATGCTATACGCTTTGCTAGAAAATGATGACAAAAGGCCGAACCTCAATGCAGGACGGGATGATTCCATTAGAAGAAACAAGGAAAAATAGGAAAAAGCGTCTAAAGGATATCATAGGACCTCCCGGCCAGCCAACAGACATAACAACACAAAACTAACTAGCGCTTGATCAAAAGGGGAGTCATAGGCGCAGATACACTGTATGTATCGTGGGATCCAATTCGATCCCACTTTTTTTATCACCTTTCTATCGCTTCAAAATCAAGCTTTTTTTTTAAAACCATCCCGCTCTTTGCTGGTAGCGAACAGAACAAACTGTCCAAACGCAGGAACCACGGACAACTAACTGTATATAGATAGTAACCTCAAAAGTCATTAGCACTCATTCAGAATAATCGCGTCGCTTTTTGCAGGCGACCAAGATTTATTGGCCTCCGTAAACGGAGCTGACGCTCTTCTTGCCAAGGAAGCTCCGGCGTCCAGCTCTCTTGGAGTCGGGACTGTCAGGGGCGTCAGAAGTGGCATCGCCGTGGTTGGAGTATGACGTCCCGGGTCTACCTCCGCTTTCAGAGGGAGTGAAACTACTCTTGACGACGATGTTGCCATCACCGACCCTGATGGACTTCTCCTTGCCAGCGACGGAGCCCTGGTCGTCAACGAAGAACAACGCCTCGCCCAGGACTGGGCTCGAACCAAACGTCACATGGTCGACCACGTGAAGCTGATACTGAGCTTCAGCCGAAGTGTTGGAGACGCTGAAAGTCTCCTTGCTCGCGTCGAACTGGACCTCACCAGCACTGTTGGCTTTGATAGCTTTCGTCTTGTGCACCTCCTTGGCGCCCTTGGCTCCAAGCGCCTTAACGTGCACACGGACGTTGGTGTTGGCAGGATAGCCATTGGCTGAGACAATAGTGAACGTAGCTGTACCGGCGTCACCCTTGCCGCCGACACCAAGTCGGTCGCCGAACTGAGATGCGATACTACGAGTCCGGCTGTGCTGTCGCTGAGTCGAACTGGACGTGGATTCTACCAGAGTGGCACCAGTGGCACCAACACCAGCTGCGCCAGCAGCGCCAGCAGCGGCGGCGGCGGTGGCAGCAGCAGCAGCAGCACCGTCAACTTGTGATGTATTGGGCTGAGACGGCGGACTAGGCGGTTCCACTCCGTTAGTTGTGCGGATCGACTTGGAATCATCTTCATCGACCTGTTCGGCGGCCTCCTTCTTGCGACCTCCGATGCCCATCACTCCGCGCTTGAGGAAAGAGGCGCCCTTAATGACACCACCTCCGACAGCAGTGACGCCCTTAACGGGTGCACCGACAATCTTGCCTGGAGTGGCGAACGTTCCAGAGAACGTGGAGCTTCCCATGCGCGAACGGGTCACGTAGGATGGCCTGAACAGCATTCTCAGGCGAATGGCACCAGACTTCCCATCCAAAGGCAGGGAAACCTCCTGGTTCTTGAATGGCTCCAGCTGTTCAAGGTCGACACCAGTACCACCCAGATAGTCGGCCTTCTCACCAAAGTCCCAGTCGTAGACATCACAGCGGAGATCTGCGCCAATGCGAGACTTAATGGGGGTCTCGAAGAACTCGTTCCAGGCCGGATGAAGAGTCTTCTTCATCACCTTGGTCTTGTAGACCTCCTTACCCGCCAGCTTGAATTTGCAGTAAGGATCACTGTAGCCGTTGCGGTCCGCAGATGGCAGATCGGCGGCGTCGAGCACGTCCACGCGGAGCGTTCCAGAGTTGTTGATACTCTCGCGAGGATCGAGATCCATCTTGACGGGGATGTAACGGAGGCTGACGGTAACCTTGCTGACAGCACCCTCGTCAGACCGGAGGGTAAGCTCCGTGGGGGTATACAAGCAGCGCTGCAACGTAGGCAACGTCTCTCCTGTCAATTTGGCAATAGTGTGATTATCATCGCCCTCCTTGTCGGTCTTCTCTACAAGGCGAAGAGTAATCTTGGAAGCGTCGAGTTCACGCACAAATGCGTCGCCGACTTCAGGATAGTTAGCAGCGACCACTATGAAAAGATCGGTAGCAGTGTAAACTCACAGTCTTCGAAGTTGACAGATTTCGAATGAACCTTAGCGGATGTATAATCAGCGAATAGATGGTCGTCCATAAGGACTTCGAGCTGCACATTGGAATGCGAAAGCTCGCCATGGATAATCTTGAACACCAGGAAACCGGACTCTGCTGCTTGTTAGCTCTACGAATCAACGTGTATTGCGCGGGATATAACATACGGTACTGAGGCAGATCCTGCGCAGAAAGGTAGACCTTTGGTACTGACTTGGTCGACAGAATCGACGCAGTATCGGAATCTGCATCTGTTCTGGGACTCGGGGGCTCCAGGCCGGGGCTCTTTGGCTCAAGGATTGCAGGACTCTTTGGCTCGAGGGCTGCCTGACTGTCACCATTGAGTTTGGGTGCCTCCGTAGAGACAGCGCTCTTGGGCCTCGAGACTTCACTGGGGTTCTTCGAGTGAAGGCTCTTGGTGCGCTTAGACTCTCCGTCAGTGCTAGAGCCATTGGGCTCTTCCGCTCCCTCTTCTTCATTCTCGGCTTCTTCTGCCGGGTCAACAACATGGAGGGCCGGGTAGAATGCAACCGTGTAGTTGAGGTAACCCTTGATGCCACTGCGGCCTAGAGTGAGTCCGCTCTTGATGAGCTGCTTCTCATCGTCGATTTCATACTCTCCAGTCTCGTCTTGGCGGACGTAGTCTCCCGCGGACAGGTCCACCAAACCAAGTGAGCGATCCTTGCCAAGAGTCTCCTCATCCATGACCTCCAGGGTAATCTTTTCACGGTTGTTGTGGATAGGCACGTAAACAACCTCATCCCAGTCAGGGTTGAGATTGTTCTTGAAAGTGACAGTACGGCCCTTCTCCAAGCCGTTGACCAAGACACGCACGTAAGGGTCGGATTTGCCCATAGTCTCCAGGTTCCGGAGGTCATTGGCGCTCTGCAGATGCAGCCGCATAACACCGATAGGGTCCATGTAACCAGCACCGCCAGCAATGCCTCTGAGCGCGACAGGCTTCCACTCAAGCTTCATCTTGGCGCGACCGGTCTTGGCGCCTGAAAGATGGAACCATTCGTGGCCCTTCGCCATCAGCTTCATCATATCATTGAACTTGATCTGGTAGCGACCAATGATCGGGTCAGTCACAATGCCTCGGTCGTCCTTGATGACGAGACCCAGTCGCGCGGACTTGCGATCAGTGACGAGGAATTCCTTGGACGCGTTCTGGAAGATCGGGTTGTTGGTGCGCTTCAGCTTGTTGGTGATATGGATCTCCTTTCCGTTGAGCAAGAGGACAGCGTATGGGTTCAGAGCGCCGACCATACTCTTGGAGCCATCCAGGTCCTTGGCCTGCTCGATCGTGAATCGTGCGATACCGCTGTTGAGCTCTGGCGGCGGCTCGAGTTGACCGGCGTCGTTTGTTCTTCCTTCCAGGACAGGGAAGAAACGGACATCAGCCATAACGGCACCTCGCGAACGGCCACTGGCCATGACTTCTAGGGTGACATTCTCATGCTCCGGTACCTCCTCCAGTTGGTCGAGAGCGAAGTTTGCCACTCCGAGTTCCTTGTCCTTTCGGAACTCGTTGAAATCGTAGACCTGAATCGTGAGGGCATCCGTGAGAGAAGTGACGATAACGTAGATTGTCTCGTTCCACTTCGGGTTAGCATTGCCCTGAACCGTCTTGGTGCGTCCGAGCGGAGTGCGATTATTGATCGAGACGACCGCATACGGATCAGGAGTACCCGCAAAGTTATCAGTGTTCTTTAGATTACGGGCTCCATGGAGGGTAACTGCAACGACACCAATGGCCTGGTCGACCGGGTTACCAGCCAACATCTTCGCGATTTCGACCGGGAAGACATTGGGAGCGTACATCATCGGGGCGAGGTTACCGTGGATCTGCTCCTTAATGAAGGACTCGAGACCGGGGATGAAGTTGATGTCGAATCCGAGGGTGTCACCACCGAGAGGTTTGCAAACGTAGTCGATGTCCGGGCGCTCCAAGAAGCAAACATCCACTCGCTCAATGTGCGGGAAGGGGATCTGCAGCTTGACCTTGACTCTCATCAAACCGGAGAAGGCGAAGTCCTCCACGATAACGTCGAGACCTTTGCTGACAACACCCTTTCCGACTCTGACCTCCAGAACGACCTTGGGGTTGACCTTGTCCTTGATCTGGCGCGCCGTCAGGTCCATAACATCGTTGGGCGTGAAGCTGAACTTCCAATCCATGATCACGGTGTCGACCTCGGTCTTGGGGTACGTCTTGACGTGCTCGAGACGCGGGGGCTTCGTGCCCAGGATAAAGGTCTTCAAGCGGAGACTGTCGAGAAATGCAGGAGTAGCGGTACTGAGCACCTGGTCGACCGAGTTGATGATGGTGTCGCAGAGAACCGGGGCGTAGATGGGCCAGAACTTAACCAGGAAACTGTTGATCCACTCCAAGCTTTCAGTGTCGGTCTCCAGACGCTGCTTGGCCATCTCACGGTAGACATCGTCGCGGAAGTTACGGCGGACGCGGCGAATGGATGTGCGGTAGTAAGTACTACATGCAGCCATGACGATAAAAACCCAGGCCAGTCCTCCACCGAGGACAGCGACCACCCAGGACATCAGACAGGCAAAGACGATCACCGCAGCATTATGGTACCAGTCTGTGATAACCCAGCGTCAGCATCATTGATCCAAACCAATGGCAACGGGCGCCTCCTACCTCCAAAGAACTTATCGTCCAGTTTACTTTCCAGGAAGTCCTGGTGGTCAAGTAACGTGGCCTCCTCTTCGCCCTCGGGCTTCTGGATCTCGAAGCGGGGAGCCCAGCCGGTACGGTCGCGCGCGTATCGCAAGTCATCTGTCATCTCTGCGGGAGCACCTTTCGCCTCTCCGTTGGCTGGCGTCGTAGGCGTGACGGCCATCTCAGCGCCTTTGCTGGGCGGTGGTAGATCGTACTTGTCGGGTGTGCCATCATCCTTTGTGATCCGTCAGCGGGGGGCTCTTGCGCGCAGAGGGCCATTGACACTCACGATATCTGTGGCTACAGCAATGCCTTTGGGTTTCCGATCCCTAAATCCTGGAGGGAGACGCTACGGGACGCATGTCAGTGAATTGTTTTGCTTGCTGGATATTTGCAATTCCCGGTCTTGCCAGCTTACCGATTTGGCCAGCGCGGCCTTCTCCTCTGGGGGTGCATCTGGATCGAACTGGAAAGCTGGCGCACCAGCTTTCCTGCTCTCCTCTATCAGGACGTTCTCGACATTTTCCGGTCGCACGTTGGATTGGGGATCCTGAGCGGCTCGTTCGGCGGTCTCAACCGCGCCCTGCTGTCTCAGTTCGCTCTTGGCGGATTCGATGGGATCAGCCATGGTGGAGGTTCGTCAGCCGTGAATGAATGGACGAGGAGCTCTCCCGGCGATCGTGACCCGGGGCACCTCAGCGTACTTGGATCAATGTCAAGAAGTAGAAGGGGAGAAAATCGGAACAGAAAAAGGAGGACAGCGAGGACGATAGCTAGTCTAGTTCACAGTCCAGGTGGTGAATAGTAATAATAGTCCGAGCTGGATAGCTTCGGTGTTTCCGCCTTGCCAATGGGGCTCGGCAGCCGCAACAATGCAGGCCCAAGGAGCCACTGACGCGTCCGGCGCCGAGTAGTCGCAAGGGAATGTAGAAGACGGCGAGAATGGGGTTCCCTTCTGGTAAACTTCGCGTCGTTCTGGAGAGAAACACAGAAAAGGGAGGGTTCATCGACTCCAGACGACCCAAACTGCGAGGTGATCTGGTTCGGCCAACTGGGAGCTGCCGAAGTTGCTACCGGGTGGATTAATTAGTATGATGATTGTGATCGTGAAGTCCCACCAGGGCGATTCCGCTCAACTCAACGGGAGAAGAATCAATCCTCGTGGCTGGTGAGGGACTGAGGGGGAAAGAGTTCTTGTTTTATTTTATCATTTATCAAATGTCGTTTATACGCCCCCTCGTGCGGGCTGGAACTGGGCCTTTTTGTGCTGCTGCCACTGCCACTGCTCCTCCTCCTCCTCCTCCTCGGTGTCGCAAGATTTATTCGCTACAGGGGATCAGTGACGTATAACTAGGGATTGACTCGCCAGGCTAGTAGATAGCGTCCGACTACGCTGGTCCGTTCTCTACGAACGAAGAAAAAGAAGCCCGACTGCGAATCACGATGCTCGCGATGGCGAATGGGCGCGGGGGGACGTGAGGCCCACGGTCGATCGCGCCTCCAAGAATCGGACCTAGTGGACGACGGCGCGAGATCTATCGATTTTCAGCCACGCTGCCACAATCCGACAGCGTGGACGAACGAGCAGGTTCCTCGGTGGGCCGGCGGACGGCCCGATCGCGTGCTCTTTTTTTCTCCTGTCTCGGGCTGAAGATGGAGGGGAAAAAAAGGAGCAGGGGAAGGCTGGAACCAAAGAAAACGAGCTTCGTTGGGATTATGGTTATGGAAAATAACGATGGCGAGGGTTAGAATATGGTGCAAGAAGGAGACATTATTATTGGGGAGGTCTGGTGGCTGATGGGAGCAAGTCCAGATAGATACTGTAAATTTAAAATAATAATAATATCCTCTGGGGGGAGCGTCATGCCATGGATGGCAGCGCTATCGAGATCCTGTGGCTGAGTTGAGGGGAGAAGTAAGAGATCCTCTGCCAGGGCCAATTGATGACCAGCAGTAGATAGTGACTCTGGCCAGATGAAATTCAATCCAAGTCCATTATTAGTTAATTATCATTATTATTGATTGCTCCAGAGTCCAGATGAGCGGGTAACAATAATAATATCCGCCAGCTCTCTATCTAGCCTCAATTGAGAAAGACAATCAAGCCAGAACAACTCAGCCGGGTGGCTGGTGAACTGCTCTCCTCTCATATCATATCATATCACATCACATCTCTCCTATCCGACCATGAGGGGGAAATCCCCAATGGGCACAACCCGCGGCTGAAAGAAGTTTGCGCCATCTCGTCTCCACCGTCCCCAACCTTCTCAGCCTGGACGCGCTGTGTATGGACGCTGTGCCTAGAGTAGACTGAGTAGTAGACGCAGTAGTCTAGTCCAGCAGACTAACTCAAGTCGAGCAGGGTCAGAAAAGAAAGAAAGAAAGAAGATGGCTGAAGTTGCAAGGGCCCGCCGAGAAAACACGGAACATGGAAGCGCAAGATACGAAGATCCCACTAACTACAGTATGTATGCCGCCGTCTCTACGTAAGCCTTTTTCCAGCCGCGAGATATTTAATATTAAGCTTGGCGAAGTCAGAAAGACTTTTACTATTATCCAGAGAAGGTATTTGAAAAGTTTGAAAAAAACTCGTGGCACGGCTCAATATACTTCAGTAATCCATTATTCCCACTTCCTTGGAAAAGAACAGAAAAAAAAAGATAAAAAAAAAAGATAAAAAGATAAAAAGAAAGTCTGCATCTACGCTCCACCTAAATAAATAAAGTCTACAACACTCAAACCCACAATCAAACACAATCAAAACCCCAAATCCCAATCGGGAAGAAAAAGAAAAGAGAAAAAAGAAAATCACCCGCGCGGGAGATTCGACGACGATCATGACATTCATTGACAAGGCAATATCGAAAAAAAAGATCGTCGTTCCCCACTAGCATCATCGCATCATCGCATCTTGCAGTACACTGTAGATTATAGTTTTCACCCATTCGTATATGTAGCCAGAAAGATCGGCACAAGTTTCCCTCCCCCGGTCTTTCTTTCTATAATTCGCTTCAATGCTGCAGAGTAAATTACATATACACTACTGCATATGCATCTAATATCATAGCCTGCCTACTTAATAGGGCAAGTTATACATATACAGTACTTACTTAAATTACACTGACCGACAAGGATAAATGCATGGGGACTGTGCTAGTAATATCAGGAGTAAATTATTATTATTACTTGCAGCTGTGCCCGACATTATTATTAGCAATCGGATCGGCATTATCTGAGATCTAGCCATGTATTGAGATTGTCTCGATAATGGCTGTGCTTCTTCTGTACATGGCGTGTAACTTAGTGGTAGAGAATAATAATAATAAAGACCATGTCAAGCTCTACCCGACTCGGTACTCATGGCCGAATATAGACTCAACTCAACTTAACTCAATAGATAGCACGATGATCATAGTCTACTCGTACACGCCTTCCAGTCTAGATATATAACTCGCATAATGCTCGGTAGGTCAAGTGAAGTGTAGGTAGCCATATGCGACAGGATGAGGCGATCTGAATGGCAGATATCCACCAGTAAGCTACACGCGGTGCAACCAGTATATAAACTAAACTAATGGGTAATTGGCAGACGATGCATTTATTCATCAACAGAGAAAGCGGATGGTAGAGATCAATAATATCGAAAGCGTTGAGTTAACAAGATTAAGATGGCCTAGTCTATACTTAAAGTGCACTTATCAGTCAGTGCGCTATCATTGATATTTCTCATCAAGTAAAGTATTCTCTCTGCCCACTTGGATTCAATTCACTATGTGTCCTGGATCTATGTTCCTCCCCTAGCTAGGTAGTGGATCTTGACACAAAACGCTTGGTCGCCGCCTAGATGCAGCATGGTAATCCAGGACAAGATAAGCAAACAATGCCCAGAAATACCTATCTTTAGCGGATATATGTCCTGATAATTTCTGTTTTTTTTTTTTTTTTTTTTTTTTTTTTTTTTTTTTTTTTTCGCTTGCGTGTCCTGAATTCCATATTGATTATTATATCTTGATTGTTTGCTTAATTCGGATGTGGTCGCTGGTCGGATAACCTGCCGAGAGCTGTCTAAACATAATGTAGTTATCACATCTAAGATTCTTCTAGACATGGATTATGATTTGCGAAATGAAGGCCAATTTTATTTTCATTCCAAGCAGCCAACCAATGACTTACGACGTTGCGGTTTGTGGTACTTCTCATATAACCCGTGTGTATCCCAGTCCCGCGCCAGAGAGAAGTATATACATTAGACGCATTTCGCGTCTGTTCGAAGATACAAAATAAAAAAATATAGAAAACAAGAAACAAACGAACCGGACTCCTCATATGCGTCATGCCACAGAAATAAAACATCATCGACTTCTTTATGAGCTCGTGGTCTCGACCTGGATGGCGAAGGTGGGCACGTGGAATGTGACATTGGAGCTAGAGGAGAATGCCTCAGATCCTAAACTCAGATGGCCCAGGTAGTCCTGCGTAGTCGGGTAATTCGCCTTATTGGCCGATATCAGGTCCGTCAGGAGAGGCAGGATATCGCCGTGGAACGACTCGGTGGTGGTTTGAGTGGCCCAGGTGAGCACGTTCTGTTTCTGACCGTTCTCTCCGACGTAGAGATTGCTGGAATTATAGTGTCAGTAAAACTTGGCCAGGAGGATATTCCGATGGGGATGTGACGTACAATACGGTGCCGTTCAAGGTCTTCGAGGAAACAATACCCTTATTGAGGCCGATGGGTTGCGCCGCATCACCGACCGTCGCGAACCAGATCATGACTTCGCATTTGGCCTCGGTACTGTTACCTGAAATGGCTTTATCGCTATCGAAGAACATATCTATGGCGACGTTGGTGTTGACGGATTGATCGGTGAGCTGTGCGATATCGGTGGTCGCGGCGGCACTATCGCCCACCCCGTACGTCCACTCCAGGTCGAGCATGAGGTGCTGGACATCACTCATCAGGACCGGCAGCGTCTTGCCTCCAATCTCTGCGTTGGGGAACGCATGCACAGGCTGCGTCTCGGGGCCGACGGGATACTGCCAGGTGACGGAAAATTCGGGCGCGGTGTACTTGGTGGGATAGGTCTCGTTGTTGAACGTAGTAACCTGCGATCGTAGCTGTCAGCACCTATGCTTCTGCCATACGGTCCGGGTCTGCTCGACTTGATCTACTTACGTTCATACACAGTGCTCCTGTCTCTCCAGCGGTCACACCCCACTGGTTTGGGTTCACTGCGGGCAACAGGGTCAATATCCGCACAACCGTACACCTTCATCACGACGACCGGCATCGCATCGAGGTCACTTACGTATGAATTCCTCTCCTTTCGACGGCGGTTCGATACCGTAGGACTTCTGGCAGTATGTAGTCGTGGTGACGCCGTTGTTACTGGGGACGCCAGTAAATCCACCACCGCCGCCGCCGGTGCTATCGCTGCCACCACTGCTGCCACCACCAGCACCAATACCGGGGATACCAGCATTACCTGGATCGTAACCAAACAACGGCGGTTGTCCCGTCGCAGCGCGATGCGCATCGAGACCGACAAGAACTCCAATTGAAGTTCCAATGGGGATGGCCAGCAGGCCCGCGTTGACCAGCCATCGGAAGGCTGCGGCCATGGTGAAAGCAGGGCAAGGCAAAAAAAAAAGAAGAAGAAAAGACGGCAACGAAGGACGAAAAAAAGAAGGTCTGGATATGCGCTCTCGCCCCCAAAATAGCGAGTGTGTTGATATGGGGGGGGGGACTGGCCGATATTTACTGAATTAATTAATGACTGAGAGGCAGAGATGGATGTGAAGGGTCATCGGGGATCAGCGGTTGCTGCATCGACAGAAGGAAGACTCTGCCCTATTGGGTCCCGTGATAAGTAAGGCCATCTACTAACTACTATTACTAGTTACTGTCATTCGACTTCCTAGGCTAACTAACTTGACCAACTTCAACCGCAAATGGATGTCCATATAATTATAGCACTGCAAACGGGCTTTTTCTCTCTCCCTCTCCACAGTGACGTTCCTGCATGGCCAACCACGACGATCAAACACGGCATAGTGCCAGGTCAGAGCCCTTGCAAATGTGGTGAATTGTATCGAGCGGCAACAACTGGACGACGATAGATACATCCAAAGCTTGGTCCACTTGACCATGGTTAGCCCGCCAGCCCATCCCCTCGATCTCTTCCACTCGCTGCTGCACAATATAATAATTTCCAGTTCCCGCGGGAGGTGCCTGGGGCGAAACAGCACTAGGCGACGCACAGACGGGTGACAAGAAACAGTTGCGCCAGACGATGTGATGGCTTCGAATGCCTGGAGGACCAAGCATAACTAGTTAAACAACGCTATGATGCGATTCCCCCGGAAAACCAGACCCCCGCTAGAGGCACACAAACGACCACGAGACGGGAGCGATAGAACCAAAAAGAAGAAGGGCAAAAAAAAGATGAAAACGAAGCCGGCCGTGCCTGTGCCTGTGCCTGGATATGGCATGCCGTGAATGGGGGTCATTACGACGTAGGCTGACCAGGAACCGGCCTTTCTGCATCAGAATATGGTACACATAATTTCTCTTAACTACGGCTGAGAGCGGAAGCCAACCGAGGACCGAAGATGTAAGAACAACAGCAATCTGGTTCTTGACGATTCTGGCTCCGCAATTGGGGCAAAGTGTCAGATGAGCCACAGCGATCCCCTCGACGATCGTCTCCGGTTCGTCCGACTGGCATAAGCCCTAGATGGATGGATCCATCAGAGTCTGCGGTGATCGATCCCCCCGTCGCCCGGTCACCGTTCTCTTAATATAGCCCCCAAAGAACTCTCTCCGTAGATACTCCGTAGTTACTCCTCCAAACCTCCTCAAGTCTGTTTCCTGGGAAATCTGGACATCCGCGCGTCTGTGATCGTCTGCTGCTGCCGCCGTTGTTGTGTTGTTGCCAGCATTCGGTCTCCGACACTACACTCGTTTAGTCGTTACGCCGTCGTCCCGTCATGTTCACTGCGTTGTAAAGACCTATTATTATTATCATCGATATAACTAATTCCACCACTCACACGATCACTCGTTTTTCTGTTGTTGTCGTCGTCTATCGTCTTTATTTCCCAGTCACCCGAGGAGGATGACCTACCATCCCACGACGATGAATGACCACTACGAAGATGGAGGTGAGATGGTCGATCTCAATGTCCTCCACAGCCCAAGGGACCATAGTCGCTATACACAAGAACCCATCACGCCCGTGACGGCGAGACCGTTGATCAGGGGACCGGCTGGGTTCTCGGAAGAGTCTCTCCCGTCATATCGCTCATATCCATCTGGAGTCTCAGGGCATAATGGACTGACGGTGAATCGGGGCTATGGCGAGGAATCAGTTGCCTCTGGTGACTATTCCCGTCCAACTACGCCATCCTTGGTGGTATGTTCTCGTGGATCTGCATGACAGGCAGAAAAAGGTACAGCGGAGCTAACAAGAGGTGTCGATGCAGCCATTTCATCAGAATCGGTCCAGTGATTTCAGCTACCACAGCCAGGCCACTTTGACCAATCTGGTGAGCAAGCCGCCGTCTCCCGTTTACGCGAAGGAATGGGTCGAGCCGGGCTCGATCGCTCGCATTGCCGATCGAGACGACAAGGAAATCTGGAGAGGATGGAAGCGATTCATCTTCCGCATCGTTCCCTTCCTGATCTTTGCTAACACGGCCCTGTACCTGTTGTACCTGGGTCTTCGTATTGCCTGTGTCGTCTTCGCTCAGCGGGCTCAGCGCAACACCTTTGCGGCAGCGTGGGTCTTCATCGCCATCGAAGTCGCGACGGCCATTCCGTCCCTGATGCACAACGCTTGGACCATGTGGGCGATGAAGAAGCGACAGAGGCCGAAGCTGAGACTGACCGGAAACGACGTCCCGACCGTGGATGTGTTCATCACCTGTGCTGGTGAAGATGACGACGTCGTTCTCGACACCATCTGTGGCGCGTGCGATGTCGACTATCCGCGCGACCGTTTCCGGGTCATCGTGCTGGACGACGGTGGATCGGAGACTCTGAAAGCGTCCGTCCACCATCTGACCACCACGACCTATCCCAATCTCTACTACAGGGCCCGTCAGAAGATTCCCGGAGTGCCGCACCACTTCAAGGCTGGAAACCTCAACTATGGTCTCGAGCAGACCTATCTGCTGCCTGGAGGACCAGGCCAGTTCATGGCTGCCCTCGATGCTGACATGGTAAATTCCCCATTTCGGTTCGTTCCAATCCAAGTCTTTTCCTAATTGACCGGTGATCTGCAGATTCCTGAGCCAGATTGGTTACGCGCCGTCCTGCCCCATCTGCTTATCGACGATAAGATGGCCCTTGCATGTCCCCCACAGCTGTTCTACAACACGCCTCCCTCCGATCCCTTGGCGCAGAGCTTGGACTTCTTCGTCCATGTCATTGAGCCCATCAAGGACGCTCTTAATGTCGCTTGGTGTACGGGATCCGGTTACGTTGTTCGTCGCGAGGCTCTTGATGATATTGGCAACTTCCCTCTGGGTTCCTTGGCCGAAGATGTCGCGACGTCGACCCAGATGCTTGGTAAGGGCTGGAAGACCGCCTATGTGCACGAGCCCCTCCAGTTCGGTACGGTGCCCGAAGACTTTGGCTCGCATCTGAAGCAACGTACCCGATGGGCCATTGGAACCATTGAAACCGCCATCAAGCTGAACTTCTGTCTGTATGGTGACAAGGTGAAGAAGATGACTGTCGCCCAGCGCTTCTCCGGATTCCTCTATGCTACTCTCAGTTGGTACACTATCCTGCTCACTGCTTCTCTGTTCGCTATCCCCATTATCCTTTTGTGGGGCAAGCCTCTCGTGGCCTTTTCAAACATGGAACAGCTGCGGTGGCTCATTCGGGCGTGCTTTGCCACGACCATCATGAACCGAATTTGTGAATTCGTCCTCTTCATTCCCGCTGGCTACCACACCGGCCAGAGAGGTTCTCGATACCAGCTCTGGATGGCACCGTATATCGCGCTGTGCATTGTCCGCTCGTTCCTGCTGCCAACGTGGCTAGGAGGCCAGACCCAGGCCTTCAAGCCCACTGGCTCTCTGAGCTCCGCTCTCGAGGAGCGTGACCCTCAGCGCCGCAAGAATTTGTTCCGTCGGCTGTTCACTATCCTTTTCAACTACATGGCTGGTTTCCACTTGATCTTCGTGTATGCCACCTTGGTTGGAGCCGTGCTCGTCTCGTATCGCTGCTTCTACGAAACGTCTGGAGTCAAGAATACCCTCATCTGCTTGCTCGTTCATGCCTTCTGGCCTCCCCTGACCTTCCTGTTCCTCTGCACGTCCCTCTGGACGCCGATCGCTTATGCCATTGATCCTCCTTCGATGCCTGACCGAGAGGCGCTGTTGAAGCGAGATCCCAAGACTGGAGTCGCCCATCCAACGGAGCGGAGCAAGAAGATCGCATTTGGAGCACAGTCTGCCTGGTTCGAGCTGGAGTACACTGTGGCTACCGCTTTCACAGTCGTGGTCTTCGTTTGGTCCTTCTGGTTGTAGTTGAGCCAACGACTGCGCTCAGCTCTTTCCACGATGCATATATACATTGTATATCTAACTGCCATGTTACTGGCAGTACTTGTCATGATGATTCAACGTTGATCAACTTGGGTTCTTCGCTCCAGGCGTCAGGTAATGGGACATTGCATCCTGGCTCACAGCCACATTCTTGTAGAATATTGGTATGCTAGATTTAATGACATGACGAATATATCTTGCTGCATGTTTGAGCTTTCAGTGATTATCTAGTATCTCATAGCGAGGCCTTCCGTAGACCCACAAGCAAGATTAATTGTGTGAATCAATCAACATGTGCAATCGTCCCTGCTAGATTGTTTCTCGATCTCTTTCCGGAAACAAGGCCCATTATACAGCGGCGAAGCTGACACGCGCAGCCACATCAAGGTGCTATTCGATGGTTTTTCTCTCTCTCTCTCTTTTTTTGATGGCGTTCTACGAGCGACGAGTATGATTTTGGTATTAGTCGTGCGAGGATACCGAGCAATAGAAGGATAGCCTCCAGTGCTGAAGCTGGAGCTAGAGCTAGATCTACAGTAGAAGATAGGCTTGGTCTTTGGGCTAACTTCCAATTCTAATATCCTCAGTCTAAAACTACTACGTCTTCTTGCTTTAAGTATATTAAAAACCAACTAAAACGGTAGTTATCGGAACGGCTCTTTATCCCTCTTTCTGAAACTCGTGGACGCCTTACTAGTTAAGTATTAAATATGTTCTATTCTCGTGTGTTTTTGCAGTGTTCGACTCCATCCCCAGTAGATAGATAGATGTCTAAGATGGATAATATTACCTCTAATCTAATCTAATCTAACTAGTTAGTTAGTTAATTGTGTCTCAGACTGAATAACCTCTGAAAGATACCATTGCATTCTATAACGATTTGCTTTTTTTCCCCCGTAGTATTATAGGATAAGTAATTTGTTGTGGGATAGGGTCGAGAGACTCAGCGTAGAGTCTCTTTGAGCATAAAGATATCGAGAAGAGGGATCGCAACGGTTAGGCTCGGAGCTCAAGGTAGAGCTAGAGGAGAAGCTCTCAGAGGTCTGCGGTATAACATAATGGCTGATACTGAATAATAACTGAAGGGTGTAACTGCTTATTCCATTCTGAAAAAAAAAAAAAAAAAAAAAAAAAAAAAATAGAGAAACTGAATCTTAATCACCAATCCATTTGTCAACTATTATCCATTTGACGAATAATCGACATAGGAGAACTCTGCTTACCCTTTTCCTCTCCTGGCTCTAATGGAGTAACATCTCTTTCACTCGCACTATTAGTGTCCGGCCCTAGCTCTGCGCAACTTGAAGTCAGCCATTAATTCTAACTTAAGTCAAACTCCCTTACCAATCCGAGCCCTACCTCTCGCGAATTCAGCGGAGATCTTGCGTTTCTTCCTAGGCAACTATAAGGTCGTCTTCTGCAATTCTTGCAGGTTTTTGTATTGTTTTTTTTTTTTTTTTGCTTTTCTGCACTGTTGGGCTCTTTCTCGCCTGGCAGCTTAGTCGATAAGCCTGGATTTTCTGTGTGCGTTGCCTGCCACTGCTCCAGATCGCGCCGGATCTGCGCATCTAAGCTGAAGGTATAAATACTGCCCAAAAAACTCATTGATATCGTCGACCTTTGTTTCCCAGTCCCACTTAGAAATGATGTCCGCTGCTTCGCGGAGAGCTCTTAAACAATTATTCCACTCTTCCTATACCTGGTCAAAATCTAATTTAAGTTAGATTAGTGGTAGACATACCTTATCGCGGATAAGATCTTGGTCCTTCGCATTGGTGCCGGCCTGACTAAAGAAATCCCCCCTCACCAAGATATTGATGAGGAATAATGCCCCAATAATTACCCCTGCAATGGGCTTCGAGTAGCGCTGTCTTTCCTGTTCAGAAAGCTCGTTGCTCCACCATCTAATCAGGATTGCCATCGTGCGCCCCCTAGTATTGGCCTTAAACGAATCGACTCGGTTAGCACGGAGTGCAGAGAGCAAATCGTTATCCATTGCATCCTCGTCGTATAGATCCACCGCCCAGACGTAAGCCTAAAGACATGTTAGGACAAATCTAATTTAAGTTAGAATAGATTACCTCGGGGCGAGGATGTTCTATCTTCTCCCCGTTCACATCTGTCGCATTTTTTATGGCGGCCGCCGCCTGACCTTCCAGAGCAGATAACAAAGCCTGCCGGCGATGTTGTCCTGATTGCAGAATCGGTTGCCTCTAAAGTGATTTCCGCCCACTTGTAGCCCATCTTGAATGTTTTCAAATGTGTTGTTGTGTTGTGTTGATGGCATAAGGACGGAGGACTTCAGAGGCGGATATTATGGACCTCTGGGGGGCATGTCTGCATCACGCAGAACATTAGACGGCTCGTTCAGCTAGAAAGCATTAGTCTAAATTCTAACTTAAGTTAAATAAAGGCTTATACTTTGTTTCAAGTCGTGCTGACCCCAGTACGTGCCTTCGTAGATTTTGTTAAGAAGCTTATTGATAAAGTGAGCAGCTGCATTGGGGTCCTCTGCGCTGAGGAATAATGTCGCCTGCAGTTTATGAGCCCATGTCGGTATAAGCGTTACACTTGAGAGGGAACCACTCGATTAGCTCTTTTTCTATTGCAACACGAGCTCATGAAAAAGATGGGAATGAGTATTCATCTCGGTGGCACATAATGGGACGCTTTTGGGTGGTCTGAACGATTTTCTGGTCAGTGGAAAATTGGTGCCTAGGATATCACAACCCTATATTAGTATTATATAGTTTTGCTAGCGCTCAACGATAATGCCAAAGCTGATAGTCAAATATCAGTCTGCCAAACCAGTCTAGAAGGCTCAAGTACCGAACGACGCTCACGATTGACCCTGTGGCAAGACTTGCATTTGTCCCACGGGCTCCATCGACAATAAACACATTGTTTCTTGTCCCCGGCGTTTCGGATAACACAGTCCTGGCAGGGCAGTCCGGTAATTGATTGCAACAGAGGATGCCGGGACTGCAACCGGTTTGGTATTTTAGGAGACGGGGTAGGCGTGATCAAGTCATTTAAAAAGTTGGCTTTGTCATTATCTTCAAGTCTTCGGAGGTCTTGAGCACGTATTTATTGCTCGTTCTGCAGATCCCGCACTCAAAAGCTTGGGCTCACAAACGGGCCTGATGTAGAACCTTGTTCAGGGTGATGAGCGGCGTACTTAGGTATTGGGATCTCCGAAGGAGGTACATGCGGCTTGCCGAAGAGCGTATCAACTTCATAGGGTCGACTATAAACAGCCGCTGATCTTGGTACTGTTGGCCATATCCATCGGAGGCTTCAGATGGCAGCATTCATGGCAGCATTCGCTGTGAAAAGCAGCATGCGGAGATCTCGGTCATTCGGGTTACGATACTAGTCCATGATCAGGCTCCAGTCAGCGCGACTGGGCTTGGTAACCACAGAGCCGCAGATGGTATCTGCGAAGTAGAAAAGTCGCTCGAACTCCGGACACCAAAACTATCACAAGTTAGAAGTCGACACTCAAAAGCTATTTATCATCCACTTACACAGTCTGGTTTCCGATGTGGCCTTGAGCTTCATGGACGGTCCTTCCTCCTTTATATAAGAAGACCCGCATTATGGCATTGTCGAGTGTTGGCCTGTCCTTCACAACAATCTCGATATGATTCTATATAGGGATTCTCTTGCTTTATAGCCCTATGACAGTACAATCTCACCAGCACGGCAGCAATAAGCCTGCATGAGGACGATACTGAGAAGGCGAGAAATATGGATATCCAAAGAGCGCCAACCATTGGTAAGTGCGCTTTGGCTGCAGGAGTTTGCCATCTGTTCGAGTGAGATAAGACATATACAGGATTGACCACTGCCCTCTTGTGATTTGGCCCTCCTGTCGAAGGCGATTGATACATGTATCCAATTTTATCCCGTGTATAACGATGGCATTTTCAGAGTGGTCTCGAATTGCAAATGGAGAGACTTTCTAGGTTGAGACACTTTCCATAGATGCTCTCGAAGGCTGGCCCAATTCGTGCTTCTTCTTGGCCGCAAGAGTGGTCATGAAAATCGCATCAAGCTGCGTTCGAACAAGGGGCCTCATTCTGCAGTGATCCAACCATATAAAGGCCATAGTCTCGTAATATTGATCCTGAGAACATTTAGCAAAGGAGCGGATGCGGATCCGTGGATACATGGAGGATGGGGTCTCACTTAGATAATCAGGAATGTATGTATCTTCGCTCATGCGGCTTCAGATGCCAGTCGGTGGGTTCTCCCGCATGCGGACTGATATTGAAGAGTGTGAGGATCTTCGAAAACAAGAAGCCACTCTTTTAGGGACACCTGGATGCGGGCTGGAACTCTGGGAAGGATATTTTCCATCGATGTTTCCATCTTGAATTTTGATGTGGATGAATAAGACACTTGGATGGTCCCTAGCACAGGCTCACTGCCGAAGGGTCTCCGAATAGAAAGAAAAGTGTCGGCATTACAAAGACATGTGCAGGTGATTGATCATATCATCCGCTTGCTGTAGGTTCTTTGATATGCACATACCGAATCCTTCTCATCTAAACTCTGTATATGCTAGAGGAAATAAATATGGGATCAACCTCTCACCTATATCTAGAGCTAAGCAAGCAACCTAGCTACTAGCTAGGAGGTTGAATCATACCGTGCCCTTTATGATTCGACAAAATATAGTACGGGAATCCACAATGCTTATTTAATAGAAGAGAGGCGCTGCAGAAACTGTCGCTGATCCTTGACTTCTCCAGCAGCTATCCAGGTAACGATGGCCATTTATACACTCAGGCGAAGTCAACCTTAGCGTAACTGTAGGAGAAACCCGATAAAGACATCCTAATTGTAGAGCGTCTCAGAAGATAAAGACTTGTGAATCAAGTACCTAGTTAATTCTGTGAAGAGGATATATTCGACTACTTTCACTTGCCCCAAGACATATTCCATGGGAATCTGGAGTAGGTCCTCTTGTGAATTACTCGACTCAGTCTCTCGGCGGAAGGTTTCATTCGGAGATTCCCTTCTTCGATGCATGTTTTCCTGCAATTGATCTATCATCAAGGTCTAGTGAAGGAATGGCATAGGTGATTAGCCTGCATGAGCTGGGAAGGTAGTCGTGACATAAGTTAATGTGACTCAATTCCATTGTAAAATGAATGATGGATCTCCAGAGAAAGCATATCATCTTCAGCCAATTGCCAATGATAGAACTGATCTGGAGCCCCCCAGAGCTGAACTATAGAGTCGAACCCACCATTGACTTGAATAGCACAATCATGCTCTTCAGCTCGTACTCTTCGGAATACTGCTTGTCAATTAAGTAGACCGGAGAGAAAGGGAAATGGTTTAAAGGCCCTGTTAAGAATAAAGCGTAAATAGATAATTCCTACTAGGGCATGATGATGTATTCAAATTGTCTTCCCTACGAATGTACGCACGAAGCTGCAACAGTAACTCTGTACTTAATATTGTCCTCCACCAACAGTATCTGAATAGTCTGTATCGTACCCAAGTCCAAACCGCCTATCTAATTAATCACATAACCACCATCCACAACCATTGCATGCCCCTGCACGAACGACGCTTTCTCCGAGACCAAAAACAGTGCACAATCCGCAACTTCCTCCGGGGTACCCATACGTCCCATTGGCGCAATAGCCACAGCTGGCTGTAACATCTCTTTCGTCTTTTCATCTGAAGTCGTCATAGGTGTGTCGATCACACCGGGACAGATACAATTGACTCGGATATTGTGTTTTGAATAGTCGATTGCGTCGGAACGCGTAAGTGCGATCACAGCAGCTTTGGAGGCGCAGTATGCGGCTGTTATGAATTAGTATAGAATGAATAAACAAGTCAAGGACATGGAGGGATATTATTGTACTGGACATACGAGCATTCGGTCTCCCTACTATCCCCAACTGACTAGCAATATTGACAATCGCTCCTCGCTGCTTCCGTATTCCGTCCTTAACGGGGTCTTGTCCTACCATGGCCTTCAACTCCGCCCTCGACGACAGCCAACATCCTCGATAGTTAACCGCATTGACTCGGTCGAATTCTGCAATGTCCATTTCTCCAGATACTAGAGGCTTGCCCAGTACTCCTGCGCAATTGACGGCATAATCGACCCTTCCGAAATGCGCTACTACTTGCGCGATGAAGTCTTCGGCAAAGGTGTCAGCGGCGATGTCGCCGGGGATAGCAAGGACTGTAGTATCTGGATAGGAAGAGAGAATTGAGGTGCGGGTTTCGTCGAGAAGTGAAGCGTTTATGTCTGTGATTGCGAGCCGAGTACATCCTGCGGCTGCGAAGGCGCGCGCAGTGGCTGCGCCGATACCTGTTGCAAGGGTTAGTAAGTGCGCATATCTTTTTCTTTTACTTCCATTGTCTTATATTGATAATTAACGTGAGAATACATATATTCAGAGAAATATTGCCCAAGCTATGCCATGGACAAGGCCAAGAAACGTCATAGTTAGCACGTACCTGTCCCAGCAGCACCCGTCACCACAGCTACACCAGGAAATAGCGTTTCAGAAGCAGCCATTGGAATAGATGCACGCTTGGATAAGCATATATCAACTCGCTGTCGTATTGGAGTTCAGAATGGTCAGCTCCAGGATCCTATCTCGGCCTATGTCTTACGCGGGGAAGAGCGGGGATCGCTTATCCCACTTTTGATTAGGTGGTGAATAAGTATCTAACTCAATGGCCATCCTATGAGGTCTTGAAACAGCAGACTTTGTTTTGGTTGTAGTCTAGAGTATCTGTCAATTAATCCATATAGTTCCAAAAGTGGCTGAAGAGTCGTCAAGTCTAGAGCTTGATTGTGGGTTGGCTGTATAAGGACATAATACTCCAACTCGCTGTATTTATGGTACGGTGGGATAAATAAGAACTGGAACAGAACAATGCATATGCTTCATTGACCATTGAGGTACATGCCGTAAAGGTATTGCATTATACAATACATATAAATAATGAAACAGACTGATGCCAAATACGTAGGGCCTCTGGTCACGTTTTTGGAAATTGATTAAGGAAAATATCGAGATCATCAATCGTATCCATGCCAACCCCATCTCGCGCCATCGCGTCATTTTTAGAAAACGTACGGCTTGAAAAGGAGACTTCAGATTTACCGACCCAGGCGAATGACACCGGCAGCCATCAGTTTCTGGATCTTCATCCGGACCTGGGCGTTCTTCATGTGCTCCTGCAGAGCCATCGGGTCGCTCTTGGCCTGCTGGAGAATGCTCTGCATGACAGGATCCTGCAGGATGGACATGATCTAGAGAATGAGTTAGCTCTTGTTCTTCATACGGTAGACGAACATGCCAGAATTGACTTACCTCAGGATCTCTCTGGATACGCTCGGCAGTCTCCTGCTCCGTCTCACCAGCGCGTGCACTGTACTGCGCCTCCAAGGCCTTCTGCTGCTGTTGTTCAATCTCGCGGGTGTGCTTTCCTTCCGTGTCGTGCTCCCGGGCCTCCTCGAGGACGTCCAAGGCCCTATTGTACTCCTTCATGGCCTGCAGAGCTTGGGCCTTGCGGATATAGGCGCGGATGAACTTGGGATCACGCTTGAGGGCATCATCACAGTCCTGCACAGCCTGAGGGAAAGCCATGAGCTTGATAAGAGCAGCAGCACGGTTGGAGAAACCACGGGGGTCGTCAGGAGCGCGCTTTGTCATTTCTGTGAAGGCATCAACTGCACCAGGCCAGTCAGCTTCCTGGAACTTCTTCTGGCCCAGTTCGCGGGCCTCCTCAGCCTTGGCCGGGTCAATGTATGCATCACGCTCGGCCTTGACCTTGGCCTTCTCGGCATTGCGGAGCTTCGTAAGGACATCAGGTGTGCGGTGCTCGGTGAGTGACTTGTTGTAGTACTCGATAGCCTGAGGGAGGTCGCCCAGCTTCTCGTGCGCGCTACCGATTCTTGCAAAGGCCCTGCCAGCAATGTCAATCCCGTCCCTGCCCCGTACGCTAAGGATCCAATACTTACTTGGCGATCATCTTGAAGTCGGCTCTCAACTCGCGGCCCTCGTCAATGGCTTGCTGGCACGTCTCGATAGCACCCTTGTAGTCTCCTTTCTCGAACTTGGCGGCTCCGATGTTGTTGAGGTAGGTGATATCCTTGTTCAGTTCCCATGCTTTCGTGTAGTGCTCGATAGCCTCGTCGAACTGCTTCTTCTTGTAGAAGTCATTACCGACCTTCTTCTCCGCATCACCAGCCTCCTGCGCCTTCTTCTTTGCAATCGTCTCCTCATCCTCTGGTTCAGGCTCGGGCTCGGGCTCAGGCTCCTTCTTGGTCTCCGCGGGCTTGGGCTGGGCATCCGCCATCGGCACATCCTCGTCCTTGGCTCCAGCCTCGGGAGGAGCCCCGAATTGCATGTCAATTCCCAGCAGCACACTCATGACCTGCAGGAAACGGGGGTCACGCATCTCTTCTCCGATCGCGTTGGGGTTGTCCTTGAGGCGCTGCAGCTTCTGCATGAAGTCGCGGTCCGCTAACAGAGCAGACGTCTTCGGGTTGCTGGCCAGCTTCTGAATCATCTGAGGATCGTTGAACATGCCGCCCAGTCCACCCAATGGGTCGCCCTCAACACCGTCCGCGCGAGCCTCCGCCTCAATAGCCCTCTGCACGGCAGCCAGGCCGTTCTTAGCCTGGTCGTTGCCGGGCTCGAGCTTCAAAGCCTCTTCATATGCATCGTGCGCACCCACTAGAAGCAGTCAGTGATCTGTGTCATCCAACTTGACAAAGTGTAGGACATACATAGATCTCCTAAGCCACGGTAAGCAGCACCCTTTCTGACCCAACCCTTCGACCAGTCCGCCTTGATCTCGGTCGCCTTGTTGGCATCTTCCAAAGCTTTTTGGTACTCTGACTGAGCGGCGTAAACAGCAGATCGGTTGGAGTACAAAATATGGTTTTGGGGCTCGATCTCAATTGCTTGGGTGAATTTCTCACTGCACCTCATTAGTTTGTTGTTCCTGCGAGCCAGAAGCCGCATAAGCGGGGCATACGTACACAGCTGTTGCGTAGTCCTTCGCGGAGAAGGCCTTGTTGCCCTCTGCTTTCAATGCGTCCGCCATCTGAAGAGCTCGTAGGTATTATCGCGATAACTATCCAAGTGTTCTGATCGTCGACAGCAGCTGGTAGTCGTGACGGCGGACGAAGAAGAGCTCACGCCGTTATGAGCTGTTGACCGCGGAGCTTCTGGAAATTTCGAGGTGGGGGAAGACATCAGGCAGAAACCAGGCAGCAACCAGGCAGAAATACCAAACACCTCAGGCACCACACAGGGCTTCCCACGCTAAACCGTTTTCAGCGCGCCACTCCCCGCCTCGGTGATTGTGACGATCGAAAAAAAACATCTCCGCCGCCATTGTTAACGGTCAAATTTCCAGCCGCAACACTTTCTTTCAGCTGTCAGCATAGCCCTATCGATGGCTCGCTAATAATAATCACTTCTGGTCCACATAGCCAGCTACTCGAACATGATTACATTCAGAGTTACACGGTGATCTCGCCTTCTCATCCAACAGTCCTTGACTCTAATCGCAATCCCCTCCCAAAATGGCCTCCGCGGGCTCTTCGCGCGGTGGCTCCAACGTCACCGCGCTGGCGTCGAAACTATATGAGGAGTGCCGTAATAACTTCTCGCCGGACCATCTCTTCTACCAGCAGGACCTGATCGGCTTGGGGATCATACCGAATAATGACTTGGCTCTGCTGCTCCAGTGCACTCAATCTCTGGTTGACCAGAAACTGTTCCGTCTGTTGCATGGAAAGGATGATCGTCTGGCATGGAAGGTGATCTCGCAGGAAGATGCTGAGAAGTAAGTATCTCGTGTTGTTTTCAAGACCCTCTAAAAAAATAATAAAGATAAAAGATTTGAATGCTGACCCGTCTATCACATAGACTCCAGAACCTGAGTCCCGATGAGTCCCTGGTCTACAATGTCATCCATTCCACTGGCCGAACAGGCATCTGGGTCCGTGCTATTGGAAACCGTACGAATCTGCACAAGATGATCCTGGACAAGTGCCTCAAGTCCCTCGAGAACAAGAACTACATCAAAGCCGTTCGCAATGTCAAATTCCCCAACCGCAAGATGTACATGCTAGCGGGTCTTACGCCCAGCGAGGATGTCACAGGAGGAGCATGGTTCACGGATGGAGTACTGGATGCGAATTTCATCAATGCCCTGGCCGGTTTCGTCGAGCTCTATATAAGCCGCAGAAGCTGGTACGAAGTTCCCTCCGAACAGCGCAACAAGAGACAAAAGACAAGCACGGGCGAAGCCATCACCAAGAAAGAGCCTACGGAGAAGGAATACTTGCCCTACCCGGCCGGGTACCAGGGATACCCGACCGTCACCCAGATCACCGCCGAAGTGAACAAGACCGGCGTCACCCCCGTGATGATGGGCGAAGAAAGCATCTCGCAGTTACTTCAGATGCTCTGCTACGACAACAAGCTCATCGCGATGAACAACGACCAGGTCTATAAAGCCGTTCGGAAACCGAATGCCATCAAGAGCGGCGCTGCAGCTGAGACGGCCGAGAAGGAGGGCCAACTAGGCAAGAATGGCATGACGGAATCGCCATGCGGACAATGTCCGGTATTCAAGCTCTGCATCCCCGGCGGCGCAGTCAGTCCTGAAACCTGCGAGTACTTCGATCCATGGCTGGAAAAAGCCTTCGGGTTCTAATCCACATCCCTGTTTATCTTCTCTCGGAGGTCTCTTCGTTCATCCACGTGTGGTTTGATTTTTTTTTGCATAGCGCTGGCGTTCTAAAAGGACTCTTTTCGGCTCTGTGGGCTACCGTGACCTACATTTTTAAAAAAAGTTACTGGTCGATCACATAGAACGGACGGGATTGTGGTCTGGCACCTTTTTTTTGTCTTCTTGTTTTGAATATTCTGAGCGGACATATCATGTACGAATACTGATATGAGGCGCGTGTTCATTAGTTATGTCTAGAGAGGACGAGACAAATCCCATGGATCTCAATGGATCCTTAATTTGTCATTGAGTAGTGGCACAGGTTCATCTCTGTAGTCTATTTAAGTCTCATGAGACTAAAATAAAGAAGAGTAAATAAAAGAAAAGAAAAGGGGTATATATCATACACAAAACATGCACCCAAACACCTAGCTCTGGAATCGAAGAATGCGAAGAGGCTGGATTTATTTCCCTAAAGTCTTCCGACACTCATCGCAATACCACGTCCCCAACGGTTCGCGCGTCAATCCCACGCACTTCCAATGGAACCATTCGTAAGGACAATTATCATTGTCACAGGCAACCATGTCTCCGTGACTGACGCTGCGGCAGGTACAGTAGACCTTTGAATCTTCGGCACCCTCGTCCTCTTCTTCGTCCTCCATCTCCTCATCAGAGCCTGCAGCTATGCGCACACGGGAAACGCTACCGGCTTCAGAGTCAGAGCCATCGGCGCTCGAGAGAATAGAGTCTTCGTCCTCCTCGTCTCCGCCTGAGGGCGACTTTTTGAGAGCACCGGATGGAAGCTTTATGCGACCACTGACGCTGGATGAACGTTTGATATGCTTTCCGTTTAGACTGGATGTGGCTTTTATCTTCTTGATCTGCTGGTGAGGAGCGACTTTCTTCGTTATGGCTTTCTTGGTCACACCACCCGCCCGCGGTCCTGCACTACCTGCGCGAGTCGACCCAGGAGTCCCGGCCTTGGGTGTTCCTGGCCCTAATGAGGATTGTCTGAGGTTCGATGATGCCGCCGGGAGAGTGCCCAATGAGGCGTTTAAGCGTCGACGCTTATTATCCACGGCACCAGCAGAAGACTCCCGCTGTCGTTGTTGCTGAAGATGCACCGCAGTAGCGGCGGGAGTGGCAGGAGCAGAACTTCGCCCACCGGCCTGTACGGCTAGGGCAGTTGCACTAGCGGTACGACTGATGGGATTTGGTCTCTGAACCGCGCTTACTGAGGTATTCGCGTTTCCCGATGTTGGGTTGAGTGGAGAGGCGTATGAGGTTGATTCAGAGGGAGTAGGGTCTGGAAAGAATATTTTCGGCAACTCGCGATACTGGTCCTTATTTCGAAATAAAGAAGGAATAGGAGGATCATTTGACAAGACGCCTTCATTCTGTAAATCACGGATCTTGATATCCAGCTTCTTAATCTGGCGGTCCAGCAGGACACATGCTTTCTCGCTGAGTTGGATCTTCTCATCTTGTAACTGCTGAGTCCTATCAAAGTTCTGCAATATCGTCTTGCTATACTGTTCTTCTTTGGGGTTTGGCGCATGACTCCCGTTGAGTTTGATGAATTTCTGCAAGCTGCTATCGCGCGAGTTGATGGTTGAACGACATTCTTGGATGATCTTGTCCTTGGCCTGTATCTCTTCCATCAAATGTGTTATTTCGGCCGGTAAGTTCGCAACATCGTGAACGAACTGTTCCAGTACCGTGGCGCAATCCTCTGCACCGTGAGCCATGACGGAGCGAGTTGTAAGTCTCAATGGCGCTTTGATTTTGGACTGTGACGCGACAATATCAAGGTGAACCCACTAAAGGGCCGATGTAATATGTAGTGTGTTATTCCCACCCTTTGGACAGCAAGTGGCGAAGATGGTTCGATGGCGGAGGGCGGGGAAATTGATGGATGAATCGCGGAGATGGAAATGAATTGAATGACTTTCTGGAGAGGCGTTTAACCATCACGTGATACTGTATGCGCACGGACCATTCAGTAGGGCTGATCCATCAAGCCACATTGTGGCGCATGTAACATGTGGCTGTGTTACATTCCCATTAATTCCTATCAACGATGCTTTTATGGACAAGTAGAGGGAAGATTGAGAGTAACTTTGAAATAGATGCAGGTATGCGCTGAATGGACTATACAATATTATTTTGTGGCATTATTAAGGTATCGTCCCCCACACTATACAGGACATGATATACACATTTCTCATATCCCATAGAAGCAAATGAACAACTCGTGATAAGCATCGTAGCTCATAAAAAAGCAGGTCGATATGGAAGAACCGGCCCTTCCCTTGACGGTGCATATATCTCTCTTTTCGCTCCTGGCGATTGCGACTCGTAGAGCTTCACGTGCCATGGCCACAGACAATCGAAAATCCGAAGAGCTAGTTCGTCCTAGTTGGGAGACTTTGTCCCTTCCACAGGCGGCTTGATCCAGCCCTTTAGGCCAGCCTTCTGTATGCCCCTGTACCAAACATTACCCATCTTCCGGTATCCCTCGTCTGTCGGATGGAGACCGTCCACAAGTTCCTTCGTTGTCAGCGCGTGACTGAAATCGACAACCATGACCGTTTTGCCCGCCCTGGCACGCTTCGCCACGACGCCTGGGACCGCCTTATTGTAGGTATTGATCCGAGCCATAGTAGTCGGGTTAGCTGCGGGGATGATCTTAGCTACTAGAACAGCGGCATCAGGGCAAGCAGCGACGATTTGATCGATCAGGCTTCCGAGACGCGCAGGGGCGCTATCCGGATCGTCTGGCTGGTTCATATCGTTTGTCCCAGCATGGACAAGAACGACATTTGGACGCATGGGTAATGAATAGTTCGCGTATGTGGCGATCTCGCTGATAACGGCACCGTTGTGTCCCTCATTCTGATTATCGCACATCGTCCCCGAGGATACGCTTCCGATCATATTGACCCTGTTTCCTCGGGACAGATCCTGTTCAAGTCTCCAGCGGTATCCGTTTCCATCGCTGCTCCTGTAACCGAATGTAATAGAATCACCTAACGGTAGGATCCGGAGGGGCGTGCCGCCGCCAATGGTCACCGTGAGATTGGAAAGTACCGCAGAGATAGGATTTGAAACATCGACAGCTTCACAGGCTGAAGAGGTCCGTGAGCCGATCCTTCTCACGTTTCGAATTGAGGGAGCGGACTCTGGCATACTGTCAGCGACCATGTCTGGTTGCGTGTCAAGGAATGAATGAATGTACTGTACTCATGCAGCACTAGGTGGGCACTCACCGCAAAACACTGTCAAGCAGCTTAATAAAACAAATGTATTATACATTATCAGCCAAGACATACTTGCGACGGGACAAGGAGGACAGAAGTAGAGGAAGGTCCGGACAGATGTCAGGGACCGATGTCAACTTAAACAAAGAGATCGCCATCTCCTGGACCCCTCCAGACTGCTCATTAGCCTTCCTTGCTTGGAAAGGGCGTACACGCATGCCACATGGTACTTTTTCTCACGTAAGTATTCATTCCAGGACCGCGGTCTTTCGCGCCCTGTGCTAGCCTCTGGCGCGTACTGTGACACTTTCAATCAAGGGATGGAACGCGATTCGAGGACAACGATTGAACTATTGACCACCTCCGCTCTCTAGCGCCTTGACGCAGTCCATCGGTGCAGTAAAATGGGAGTAAATCATCGCCGAGCTCTCCGAAGATCGACAGAGAAAATAAACTACGTCGATCAACAGGCAGTTTTACGGTGAGCGCGGGGCTTGTTTCGTGGACGCGAGCGATCGGTCCTTTTGTCCAAATCTCGGTGAACGCGAGCACGTGGAGGGAGATATGGCGACGATCACATCCTTTGGATGAATTATTACCCTGAGCTCAACTGGCAGTACTGTACCGGCCTCTAAGTAGCTATGGTAGAGTCCTACCCGGATTGCAAATAGGACGAGTAGAAAACGAGCCACAATGAAATTTGAGATTCCTGCTGCACCATTTTCCCGAATAGTCTTCGTCTAACTACACTGAATTCGCGGTGGAAAAGCTGATCATTCGGACAGATAAGATAGACCTGAGATCGCATGCTGATTGGATCTTGTCTGTTTGAACCATGCCAGGGCAAGATCCCAGTTCCAGACGGAAAAAGAGATGGAAATGGAATAGAATGCTTACCCGATCCTCCTGAACTTGGGCTCGTGCTTATGAGCCTATGCAGCAAGAGAGGAAACTGAAATAGGACCTTTGATTATTAGCTAAGAAATTATCCTTCAACTTCACTACTTAGTAGAGAATTGATATCTACATTGCCGTCTCAGATAGCCTCTATGTACCAAATGGAATAAAATACAACGGGGGAGAGAAAAGTTGAGCGAGCTGATCCAAACACGAACCCGCCTGCTGTAACTCATAAATCATCGTGATACGTAGCAGCACTGTATTCATACATGAATCGATCAATCAATCAATCATGCACGTTTCTTCCCAAGAGATTCTGGCGGCTCAAACTCTTCTGGCTCCGGGGCGACAAGCGATGATAAAAGAGTGGCATCCTGAGGAAGACCGTACGAGAACCAGTCGGGACTGACAGAGTCGATGTCCATAAGTGCTTCGTTTCCCCGCGCTGTTGCCGATGTTGATACAGAAGCTTGTTCCGGTATGGGAAATGACCATTGCGGCATGTCCAGGTCAGACGACAGGAAACCGACTAGTGGGACACGGTTTGCGTGGAATGGTGACTGCTGAGAAGGAGGAAGGTCAACCCATTCGGGACGAAAGATATCTTCTGCAGGGATGGCAATGTCGCTTTGCGGTCGATTCAGACGTTGAGAGGGAGAAGGCTGCTTGCGAGATCTGTGTCTCTTGGCCGATGGCTCTGGTTGTTCCACTGACGCAGGCGAGGATAGATCGCTTATGTCGAACCCTCTTTTGGGAGCTATTCGTCGAATGAACCCGTCGCAAAGGGCGAAGGCACGTTGGTATGATAAACTTCGATTGGCCATGTGGACGAGCCAGCGGTGCGCCTTCTTGGCGGCTGCTAAGACTGTCGAGAGCAGTGGTGCGTCGTCCATATTGTCGACAGATAGATGGATGAGGATAATGACGGTTGCCTGCATGATATTATGTAGAATACACCACCATGGAGACAGCCGGAAGAGCCAAGCGACGTCAGGCTCTTCTGGCAAGAGGCGAATAAGTGACAAAGCCGAATCGAGACAAACCTGCGCCATGTCATTGCCCAGCTTCGTGTGCTGGTTCTTGCGGTCGGATGAAGGAGACGGTTCCCTCGACTCTGGATGCGTAAGACATGGCCGAGTTAGGGTTATTTTAGCGCTGTAGTAGTTGATAGCAAGGCTGAAGCGTTCTTTTGTCCAGTCCTCCTTTTCAAATTGTTGGTCCTGCCCTTCTAAAGGGAACTTATAGACGTCTGGTACCTTGGAAAGCCAAACCTCCAATTTCGAGGAGAACCTGCTTATCCGCGAAACTGTTTGGGACCACCCATCTCTTACTGCGTTGACGGTATAGACTGTGTTGAGCACCGCATGTGACACCAACGTTAAGTCAACTAGGACGAAGAAGTATAAGGATGGGTTGGGGATTAAGGTATTCAGATAGTCTGCAGTGCTTGCAGCCTCGACGCGATCCTCGAAGAGCGTGCCTTTAGGATGGCATTCACGATAGGAAAGTTTTTTATAGATTCCACGCGCGTCTGGCTGTTGATCGGAGTTCTCCTCGAATGGGAGAGGAGGGTCTGTGGAGGTGGCACTGTCGCTAATACAGGACACTCGCCCTGTACTGACAGCAAGAAGGTGTTCGAGGCAATACAGAGACCACCATAAACACGAACGAGCCTGTTTGGACTCGTCTGTGGTTTTTCCATCGACGTTTCGAAGGTTTATCCCGAGCGCTATAGCAGAACGGATCGCCAGACCGGCTATATTCCAGGCTCTGGCGAGGTGTTAGTAGATCCGCACGACCGAGCTAGGTGAGTGTCAAAAAGAAAACTTTTCAACAGAAGCGATCTGCAACAGATAAGAGAGTGTTCCAACTCACCTGTTGACTTGACCAGACGCCAACAGATAAAGAGCAGTCAATGCCTCAACCTGAACCATTTGCAGATCAGCATGAGTGAAGAGCACATTATCACTCAGAGCCAACTTCCTGGCTCTTTGTAGATACACTGTATCTCCCCCCAGCGTTCCCTCTGACAGCTCGAAATACCTGAAACCAATGGCGAATATCATGTTCAAGATGGCTAGCCATTTGGCCCCAGGCTTCGACTCGGGATGTTTGAAGAAGTGTTGATATTGACAAATGAATGTCCTCTTTCGAATCATTGGAAATGAAGGATATACGTATTCGAGATACGTATAGAACAGCTTGTCGGCCGCTTTTTTCGGCGGCAGAGCGTATGGGTCCACGTCCTCATTACTCGCGATAGCGAGATCATCCAGATGATAGTTCATATTGGTGATCGAATACCTTTCGTCACTAGTTGGCAGTTCCTGGTGAATATGCCGATTCTGATCCTTGGGGAGATCGTGACCTTGTGCCCCCGTCGCTGGGTCGTTGTCATGCTTATCAGCTTCTGCTTCAAGTCTCTTCATCCATGTGACCTCAGAGTTCTTGCCCATAAACCCCGTAGCTCTTGTATTTGCGCTTCGGTTCAGATCCTCTTCCACGATATCAACCGCGTTGAGGGAACCGAGAGAGGAAGATGAGGTGTCCGAATCCTCCGGGTCGCTCTCCTCCCCTCCCTTTGGTGAACTAAGTACTTCTGAAGACTTTTTCTCCCCAGGCCTGTCAGAAAGAAAGGGAAAAAAGAAGAAAAAAGAAAAAAAGAGAAGGTCAGAAGGGCTTAATTCAGATTCCTACCTTCAAGACTCTTCGTATCCGCCTTGCGACATGATCGTCTACCTCCTCTGATATTTCGCGCATGAATCTCTCATATTGTTCGACCTTGCGAGTAAGTGACTCGAGTTGTCTCTGCTCCCGCACCCTTTTCCCTTCTGAATACGCACAGTGGAGATTCAGATCCAGACACTGCCTGCAGGATGGGGTTTCCGCAGTGCATTTGATCTTTCGCTGCCTGCATTGCTCACAGGCTCGAGGCGCTCGACGGCGGCGTTGCATCGCGGGTCCAGAAGTCGATATGCGCGGTATTGCGACCTTTACACCCATCCTGTTTTCCGGCGGAGAGAATGCAGATGTCAAGGAATGACTACTGGACGGGGGATGTACCGGGTCATTGCTCGACCCTCGACTCTGCGCCATATGGGAAGGACGCTGACTCGGTTATGGAAAGAAAGGTGGCCTTTCGAAGGAGAAGAGGGTCGTCTGAATACATGTTCGGGGACATCTCGCATCAGTTCGGCCTTCACACGTCTGGCAGTTATTTATCAGGGCCGGCCGTTCGCCCATTATTGTCCGGGCCCATCAATAGCCAAAATGCATATCAATAATGCGAAAAGAAGCGGCTTCTCCACAAAAGCCATCACTCGAAGAGGGTAGATTGATGTCATGACACCCCGCAGCACGAACATTCTGAGGGCCGGATATTATATACAGGCCATCCGCGCGAATAATCTACTCCCACGACAGAGCGGGAAATGATCATCATCCGAGGCACAGTTACAGAGATTCCCATTGGCGCTGTGCTTCTCGCCTAGAAAGACGAGTTCTCCCCTAAGAGTGCCAACCTTCATTTCAGACTCCTGGTACCTAGGATATAAGTAGAGCTGCTTTAGCAGATGCGAAGTCAGATAGCAAATACGCTCGAGAAGAGGATGCAAATCCGGAGCCCTTGTCGCGACATTAAGACTATGCCTACGAGAAAAAGATACAATATGTATAATTTCCCGAGCAGCATTTTGCCTTATTGTGTTACTCCTAACGGTTGTGGGATTTGATCGCGTCCTGAATTCTTCTTCATGGCCTCAGCCGCTTATCATCAAAACCTGGCATAAAATGCATGAAAACGTTTGTGCAGTGGCAGGGAGCATCGTAACGTCACCTACGTGATGAAGCTCATTAACTATACTCATTGCTTTTTATTATATCTGTAGTTAAGCTTCCCAATTATTATCGACGATTTCGCCAGTGCGGGAGGGAGATCCACGTACTATTATGACTTCCATAAGAGAACAATATGATGACACACCGTTATACCGTAACTACCTAACTACCCCTCATTAATAAAGTTTGATAATAGTCAAAATACTCGGGGACGACCCGACAGCATTCGCCACTCCCAGATGTGATGATACTTGATAGGAACCGTAGGATGGTTCGACCAGGGGCAGGTCTAGCGAGTCCGAATATATGGTAATATCAGCCTGTGATGGATGACGATAGACAATGACATGAATATAGACCCACAGTACAGAGAGTACCTGGGAACAGGTGAGTTCGACCTGCAGAGCTTTTCCCTTAATGGTATTGTCATAGCTCAGTGCGCTGGTATCTGGGATCTGCATCTTACCCAGGGTATCGGCACCAGCTGCATTACACAGATTGTGAAGGTTCAGCAATCTCGAAGTTTGCATCAGCGCGCACGATCTCTTCGTCAAAGTAAACGGCCTTCTATACATGATTCAGACCTCGCAGCCTTGACATCTGTCCATCACAGATTAGATAATTCCTGGTGGGCATGGCTTAGGCCTGATGTAGAGATACTCCCTCCATTTTCGTCACACTCGGCTAGGAAAAGGACCATATTTCGGTTCCTACTGCAGCCTTTTGACGTAAGCGCAGCCCTACAGCCTGAAAGCGGACACGTACTCTTCGGTGGATTCTGCTTTGTTGGGATTATTTGGATGCTCATTATTACCATAGAGCCTGTCTTTAGGCGAGACGACGTTCGCGGGCCAGGAACGTGATGACATCATTGGAACATGCGCTCTTTGCTCTTCTGGACACCGCAAGAAACACAAATGCGGTATCTGGATGCGAAATCCATTCTCTTTCGTTGCCTCTTCTTGATATGCGGTTTATTGAAAATGCCACGGATTATAACGAGGGGATTGTTCTCGCTGGGATAGCTGATAGATAAGTATGGTCCGTGTGTCGGAGCGCTTATCGGCGGCTTCTTATCCCCGCAGGAACAGGCTCACTCATAAGACGGCCTTGGCCTGTACTGTCACACTGTGTTATTATTGATGCTCTTCAAGAGACCCTCCTGGTCTCAAGGTGTCGCTTCCAGAGACTGAGGGATGGGTAGAATCGGAGGTGAACTCAAGGGGCCATTAACTGGGATTTCTATCTCGTTGAAGGATTCAGTGAAAGCTAACGGTTCTGAAATCACCTGGGGATATAGTTCCTTCGCGTAAAATTCCTATAGAGAAAATGTTTAGAGTGTCTTTAGCCTATGGCTCGTACCTTGAGCAATCTCACACATGGACGCCGTAGAAAGAGCTCTGGAGAATTACAAAGGAAACTACGGGAGAGGGTGGAAAGTACCAGTTATTGGAGGTGGATTAACTTATATCTGTCCCGGAAATAGGAAGTACACGTGAAATCCAAACACCCTCCGTTAGTTCTGACAGACCCATTACACCAACTCACAGCATATACCCTGCTTTGACGCATCTGGGCTCCCACAGCTGGCTATCGTCCTGAAAAAAAGGGGGAGGACGACCCCCAGGAGGACCAGGTCTTCTATCGTAGCCATTTCCTGGTCGACCGTAGCGAGGATGGTTATAGTGGGGAGGCCCTTCGTTCCTAGAATCATGAGAATCCGACGTTCTAGTTTGGAGCCACATGAAGGGCCACATCGGGATGAAACCTATAGCATCTATGGGTCAACACAAACATAACATGGAAAGCGAACTGCAGGACCAATGACTACTCACATGTCTCATCCCAGTGACATTTATTCTCGCAGCCTGTCCATTGATCTGCCCACCCGAGCCATGCCATGAGCTCTTCGACATTTTCTTTCCATTTGAGAATGTTCTTTCTCAATGAATGACTGGCGAAGGTCGGATTTCCGCTTTCTTCTGGTTCTATGATTCTCCTCGCAGAATCAAAATGACGGAACCATTCTCGCTCAGTGCCGAATCCAACATCGATAATGGTTCGGCAGATGTTGTCTAAGGTGTCTTCCACGGCTGATTTCAGTAGCGATTCTTCTGGATTGAGGTATGCCATTTGATCAGGTGCTAGGAGGCGGGTATAATGGAATTGACATCGTGAGTGTGTTTCTTTAGCCAGAGATGATATAGTTGACCAGGTATCATCATCAACGCGTCGAGGGTCAGTGGGGTATTCGAAATACGGGACTAGCAGAGTATGCGTGTTATGTCTGAGCATCATCATCCATTCTTGTAAAGCAGTCTGGTTGCTGATATTCATTTGAACTCCGCCGTCAAGTATCGACTTTAATTGACGGAGTCTTGTGTTATATCTCTGAACAATTTCTTCTGCAACGGTGGACCAGTCCGTCCCAGAGCAGTCCGATGTGACCTTGCGATCAAGACCGTGGCGGTCGTCATATCCCAGATTTCGCAATGCCTTTCCCGCTGCATAGTTCATAATCAACGCGTCGCTCTGGGTGATGTTATGAAGAAGATGGCTCCGTCGTCTGATCATTAGCTCCCTCAAGGCACGTTCTCGAGTCCCATTATTTCCAGGACCAAGCCAATAGCCGTCTTCCGTGAGATTTAACTTCTTTCTTTCTGAGGAAAATCGAGCAATCTGCTGTTCTGCAAACTGCGATGAATAGAAACTCAAAAAGCCGCAGGTCATCAGTTTCACTCGAGTTTCTCCCCTGCCTGGTCCCATGGCTGACGAGCCATAGTGCCAGGTAGCACTCTCGAACCAGCCCCAGGTCTGGCTTTCCAGGAACGGTTCCTGATTTTCTCGACGCCAGTTTGGTGGCCTCGGTGGATCAGGAGGATCCGTGGAATGATCGGGGTTATGAGTCTGGGTCGGTAGCGGGTAGTACGAATTTGATGGTTGAGTTTCAACCTTATCAATATTCCTATCCTCGATATCTCTCGACGAACCGAATCCATATGCTAACTGACCCGAACCGTCCGAAAGAAGTGGTGCAGTAACATTCAGCTTGCTCATCAAACGGATTGATGGACTGATGAAATTGCACCATATCAGTTCAAAGCCGGCGTTCATCCGGACAATGCCTTCCACTCCCCACCCGAGACCTCCAAGTCCACGATCTTGCACCCAGTTGCAGATGCTCGTGGCACGGGAATACTCATCGAAAAGCCCTCTCCAACGACCCTTATTTGGAGGGCCTGTCAGATTACCATAGATAAAGAGATCCAAGGAGTCCATCCGACCGGTTCCCATCAAGGTGGCAGATTCACCATCGAAGTAAAGGCATCCTACGGGCCGAGTTGTCTGGTAGGTCAGCAAATGTGAATTGCGGTCTGATCCCATAATTCCATAGGACATCTCGCTAGAAATAAAATAAATCAGTAGATGTTCCTTCAGCTTATCCAAAATAATGGTTAATTCACAAATGATCCGTATACAAGGACACATGCACATTCAGTCAACTTACACATCAAAGCCAAACCACTCCGGACTGGGAGGAGTGTTCGAGTCTCTTCTGCCATGATACAGACTGGTATAGGCCGGGATCTTGAATGTATTCGGCCACTCCTGCAGGAGACCGTGAAGAGAGGAGAAGATATGTGGTGCTGAAGAAGTGAAGTTAAATTTTAATGATCCTTTATCATTCTCGATTTGCTTGTCGTAGTTATGCTGGGTTTTGATATCCTGAAACACGACCTGCTGGCTTGCCACGGCTACGATCAAGGAGAGCAACATAGCCCGCATAGGCATCAAGGCACCCATCGTGAGTGGTCGTCTGCTATCACCGCATTTTTGCATCTAATATAATAAACATGTCGATAGCTGCTATTATTCGATTATCTTTGGGTCAAGCAGAATTCTCTCCTTGCCTTGTTTCCTTGGTGCGACTAGTTGACGCGTCAGCCAATCGCACCAATCAGCAACTCGGGATAATCCTTCAACAAAGGTATAGGCACACAAGAGCTATAGTATAGGAGGTACTTAAAGATCACTTGAAATAAGAGATTAGACAAGATAACAATAGATTGTGCTCGGTATGTCTGTATACCCAAACCCCGTCTCGCGAATGAGACCATCTTATAACTGCAGTTCTTGCAGGAATGCTTTGATGTCCTTAGTTTAGATAAGAGATCTCGAGTATACTTAATCGGCATGTGCTAATATGAGTGGAATGTCTATATAGTTACCAATTAGTTAACTACGTCCCTAGGATTTGTAAGCTGCCCACAAAAGGAGTTCCCAACCTTTGAGAGGACCGGCAACCACAACCTTTCATTGTGCTATCCACAAGTGTTTGGAGTGTGCGAACCAAAACATTCTGTGAGTTTGTAGTTATCCACATTATTTTTGAACAGTGGATATGGTGAGACCTGACGCCGACGATGTCGGTGACGATAACTGGTATCGCATACAAGACCCTCGTCTTCGAAAGCGGGTGCAAGATCGGCTAGCCCAGCGAGCTCGGAGTCAGTAACATTGTCGCTCTTTCTATTTCCTCGTGCTGTGAGCGAGATAGCTAATGTCAGGCTCAGGACGGCGACTGGCGGAGTCTAAGAAGAGAGATGGCTCTACAAGGCAGTCATCATCGTCATCGAAAGATAGCATAAATGACACGGAACACAGATCTTTATCGATAGAGATATACCGTCCGAGTCCCGCTGTCACTGGTGGGTCACTGCAGGATCAGGACTTACTGGAAGTGCCACGCTCGCCTAGCTTTTGTCAGGTCTTGATCCCAACGTCTGATCCCTCCAGAAGAGTATGCAATCAAGTCCCCATCACGGTTTATGCCGCACTGTGGGAGAATGGCGCTATGATGGGACTTTCTTGCTCGACGAGCGTACCAGCACGATCGTCCTCTGCGGGAAGCCATATCCCTGAACCGTTACAACCGACGTCATTACAACTGACGACAATACATCCTCTGTGGATTGATAGGTTCCCTTTCCCACGTATGCGCGACAACACCATTATGCTACTAGGCCTCATTCAGGAAGACGACTTTCTCCGCGATCTATTCTGTATGGATAGTTTTGAGATAAAACCAGGTGGTGCACCCTGGGATCCTACGGCATGGAAAATTGGAAAGAACTTCCAAGAAAAATGGGGCTATTTGTTCTATTAAGCCTGATTCTCGATTTGCAAGGCTTTAGAGTCCGACAATAGCCTTTTCAACTGCTTTGGCCAGTTCCTCAGGCATACTGGCATTGGGACAGTGGCCTGAATCCAGGAAGATCGTCGGCACCGGTTTACCGGATTCTTTCTCCAACAACTCGATGCATCCTCTCTGGTACTCTGGGGGAAGAGTTTTGTCTTTCTCACACACGATATATACCACCGGAATGAACTTGTACGCCGCATAGGTCAACGGTCCAGAAAAGCTAACTGCTGAATGATGCGGCATCATTTCGGTGACCTGGACTGCTTCCTCGGGAGGAAGATCAGAGAGGACAACTTTTGCCGCAGGGACAGGATCCAAGAACAAGTAGTCGCCCTGTTCCAACACATTATTTGTATTGATTGTCAACGAGAGAAAGAAGCGACGCACCTTGGGGGTCATAAAATCAGGCACCATCCCTGAAGGACTCGCCTTTCCTACTTCAGTGACGATTGATGTCAAGTACACAAGCTTAACAACTCCGCCCTTTCTGCCTTGGGTCTCACGATCTGTCTTTGAGAGACCCTTTGCGCTTTCGTTCCCAACCATGCCGCCGTATGAATGGGTGAGGATAACGACACTTTTGTCTTGATCGCACAGCCTCTCGATGATCTGATGGAAGGCAGCCGCATCCTCTTCCATAGTGGCTCCAGGTTGCGGCGGCTTGCATATGACAGACGGCAGTTCGCCAATAATGGTCTCGTAACCGAACTTGCGCAGATTCTCGGCTAAAGGCTCATAAAGAAAGGCGGGGGAGAAAGATCCAGGAACGATCACAATGGAGGGCTTAGTGGGAGCCATTTTGAATAGGTCGTGGTTGATATTGCAAGCAGTTGTTTGCACTTGTACCTGGAATTGAGATCATTTATCTCGTCTGGTCTTTCACGGAGGGCAAGTATGGGATCTTTTGCGGGAGGAATTGAAACTTATAACTTCCAGTCATCCCGAATGAACAACACCATTAACGATCAGAAAGTAGTTAAAGTCACACAAAGATTAGTAAGAAGTTCTGTGTAACACACCTTATTCCCTGAGGATTTCTCTTTAGAGCCGTCAGAAAGTCCGCAAAGGAGGGAGATCCCCTGTCAGAAACTTAACCCTTTTCGTAAATCTCCCTAGAATGGGCAATTCTTACTTGCAGCTGCAGTAGGAAGAAGTACGTTACTTTACCTGCATGAGCGGGGTAATAGCGTCGAAGGTTGGAGGAGAAGCAGTACTAAGCTTCAGAAATTGCACGTCAGGCCTCTGAAATTCACTTCATTCCCAGAATATCTTTTTATATTCTGAATTTACAGCCTCGCTGCCCCTCCTACTGCTCAGTTTCCGTCTACACCTTTATCTGTTGTATCCTCGTGGAGTCCGCCATACCTATTGGAACCTGTCTGCGTTGGCGAGTGTACACTATATACTATTTTTGTTGTCGCTTTCAACTACCGGACGATATCAAGGCTCCACCACACGAGGTACTCAACTATGAGCCAATATACAAGGAGACCTATACCGAGAACTTTACGCCGTTTAAGCTGATGTTCTATCATCTATTCGGGAACATTAGCACGTTGCTGAATGCTGATGAGGATCCGATCAAACCTATGCTGCTGCATATGGACATTGCAAAAGTACTGGCCCGCTTCCTGTAATCTACTTGGTAGATAGTCGTGGTGAACAGGAGTCAGATGTCTAAGAGCCTAAGAAGAGTATCTACTTGTCCCTCACATATATTACCTATATAAAGCTTGCGAATACCGCATTGTGGGCTCTCAGAAGGAATAGAATGGGGCTCGGTGGGAATCAGAGAGGCACTGATTAAGTATCTAAATATAGGATAATCACGAACCTTTTTTTTTGACGGTTCGGCATCACTGTTTTTCCAAGTCATGCGATTAAAGCTGGTCGAACTAAACGGGAGTGTTCATCGGAGTAAAGAGAGGAGGCGGTCGTTCTAAATGTGAGGGGTAACGCATCGCTTATATTCGGCTATCTAAGGACAACGAACCTCCTTCCTAGAACATATCACGATAGCTATAAGACGCTTTCCTCGATATATTATGACTATCTTACGAGCTGGTAGAGATCACCAAAACCAGACCTAAACTGCATGTCGTGACTGTTTCATTTTCTGAATGTGTTATAACGATGCCTTTCATAGAAGTCGCCGGATACCTCTTCCACCGTCTGCGACAGATGGGAGTCGGTTCAGTCCATGGCGTTCCAGGGGACTATAACCTTACATTGCTGGACTATGTCGAACCTGCTGGTTTACGATGGGTGGGTAATGCGAATGAGCTGAACGCCGCCTACGCCACGGACGGATATGCCAGAATCAAGGGCATCGGGGCACTCGTTACGACGTTTGGCGTTGGAGAACTTTCTGCGGCAAATGCGATTGCGGGGGCATATACTGAGCGAGCTCCTGTTGTGCACATTGTCGGCACGCCGGCTAGAGAGTTGCAGGATGCTCGAAAATTGATCCATCATACCTTCAATGACGGGGAGTACAGACGTTTTGCGCAGATCCACGCCCACTTGACAGTGGCTCAGGCTAGTCTGAGGGATCCCCGGATGATTCCAGAACAGATCGATGATGTTTTGAGACAATGTATCATCCACAGTCGACCTGTATACATTGAAGTGCCCGTTGATCTAGTGGACCAACGCGTGCCTGACGACAGGCTCAGTACTGCCATCAACATAGCTGCGACCATCCCCTTACAGTCTCACAATGCTGTGCTGGATCGAATACTGGGACGCATGTATTCGGCAAAGCAACCGATTGTTCTCGTTGACGGCGAGAGTAGAGCATTGGATATTCTCGACGAGATACAGAAGCTCATACATGCGACCAATTGGCCAACCTGGAGTACGTGCTTTGGAAAGGGCCTGCTGGACGAAACAGTGCCTAATTTTCATGGAATATACCGGGGAAGTTTCGATGATGCCGCTGTTCGAACATTTATCGATAAGGCCGACCTAGCGCTATGCTTTGGTCCTCATTTCAGTTCTACCAACACCTTTTCTTACTCCAACATCCCCAATGTTGACAGAACGATCTTCTTCACCGACACGGAAGTCACCTTTGGCAGCGATGTCGTTCGAGACGTTCCAGCAAAACACATTTCATCCCTCCTCATCGAGAGCATCGATATCTCAAAGATCCACCGTTATGACCCTTATCCTAATTTGCCCCGTGACCAAGCGCTATCATTCTTGGATGTCACTGGAGGCGAAAGAATCACTCAAGATCGACTGTGGAAACTTCTCGCGAGCTTTCTTCGCCCCGGTGATATTGTTCTAGGCGAAACAGGAACGCCAGGCTATGGTGTACGGCAGATGAGCTTGCCTAAGCACACACGGCTCTTTACGCCAGTTACGTGGCTATCAATTGGCTATATGCTTCCCGCAGCGCAGGGAGCCGCGCTAGCACAAGAGGAATTAGTGACATCTTCCAATTATAACGGCATTCAAGATGCGCGAACTATTCTGCTCATTGGCGATGGAAGTTTCCAAATGACCGCTCAAGAACTTGGGACTATTATCCGACATCAGCTGAATGTTGTGATATTCCTGATCAACAATGATGGATATACTATTGAACGATGTATTCATGGTCGGAATCAAAGGTACAATGATATTGCGCGGTGGAGATACCTACAGGCCCCTGGCTTTTTCGGTGCTCATGAAGATACGTTCATAGCCTCAGCGAGTACTTGGCAAGAGTTGGAGAAAGTCCTTACCAATGAGACGGTTAGCAGTGGAAAAGGGTTGAGGTTCATTGAGTTGCTTCTGGATCGTGAGGATGCTCCCGCAGGGCCATTGTCATACCTTTTAGAAAACCAGAAGACGGGCAAGCGTAACGTATAGAACGAGGTCTGGAGGAGGTTACTGCTGAGTGTAAGTTGTGCCGACGGTATGAGAAAGGGCGGGAAGTGCAGATGTTGACATAAAATCCATAGAATGGGCCCGAGCTACAATAGCCATGGACTATCGCTTTAGGATAGGCGTGGTTAACCAGAGAGAAACGGAAATCAAAGCAGGTGTCAATCAGAAGTATTATTATTAATGCAGAAGCCTAGACAGAAAGTCAAAAGTGAGCGACCGCGATCAGAGGTATCATAAAAAAGCAAAAGCTATATACAAGCTGTAACGGGGGATATGTCATAAAAGCGTTATATAAGCGATTCAGGCCAACACCTATCCCAGTGCTCCAAGAGAGTATCAGGATAGATACAACATGATTGATCCAGTGCCCATGAACAAATCAGATACATATAATGAGGTCCCTGCGGGCGAAGAAGTGCGTATAGCAACATTATTTCAGCTAAGAAGCGGTTGCCGTTCCCCTGGAGTGTCATCTCGCGTCCCTTGCACCGCTGCCACATCACTATATACCCCAGACGCCGCCATTATTCTGGCCTTCCACCAGACGAAGCTCACCAGAACTGTCCCTACAAGAAATGCCACCAAAGTAAGCATAGCGTTGATTGGTATCGGGTTTCGATGGAATGCTTTGAACGTAAGAGCATCCAGGCCGGCCTGGGCGAAGTTACAGATACCAGCAAGACATATAACCAGACCGTACACTTTGCCAAAGGTCTGAAAGCCGAACACCTTCGCTGAGTAGTCAGAGACAGCAGTGTAATAGAATGGTCGATAAAGGACGAAGAGCGCGATGTTAGCATAGCCTGCCGCTGGACTACCCGGGATGCAGCCTAATATGCCAATTAAGGTTGCAACGGCCACAAGAACCAGAAGTACGACTGGGGTAGTCGCCGTGTCAAGTATAGTGCCAATGAAAGGAACAGACAATAGACCGCCCAATGGGAGGAGTAGGTCAAAGATCCGGTTCAACTGGTCTGCTTGGCTAGGAGAGCCAAGAAGATATGTGTACTGCTGGCGAACCGTAGCAACAAAATAGTTGATCCGTAACATTTGAATGACGGTGAAAAGGGTGATGAGAATGAACCACGGCGACTTGATCTGCTCTAGTGCGGAAGCGCCATGCATAGCACCCCAGACGCCACCAACGGAGTGAGTGTTCTCGGCTGGCAGCGGAGACTGTTTCTTGACAAATTCCTGCTGCCGACTGGAAAACTCGGGATCAGAAGGGTCGAAATTCAGATCGGATATCTTGCGGTCACCAGTTCCATCGTCCAGAAGATCCCTAATCGAACTCACAACGCTTTCACGACGGATTCTGCGCTCGTTCCTCTGTCTTTCGCGCTCGGACTGATCGACACTCTCATCCAATCTGTCGTTAACCTCGGCCGCAATTTCCCCTTGAGCCTGCTGGACAAGCTCCCCAGCGGTCTTGTAAGAAGTTGATGGCATTAAGAATATCTCCGCAGCCAGAATGAAGAGGGGCACGACGAGATACAATGTGAAAAATGTTTTGACAGAGAAGCTTCCGGCTGTTGTTTCATTCAAGATACGGAAGATCAGAAAGAGAGCGCTTGAGGCATCGAAAGCACCAGTGAGCATTGACAAGATTAAGCCAGAGCGGGTCGGAAACGTATTGGAGAGATGGAACGACGAAATAAAGACAAATGGTCCACCCAAGGCCAGGAATAGGTATCCGGGCATATATCCATCGAATGGTAGATCCTGAGAGAACGCAAAGAGGGAAGCACCCAAAGCTAGACATATGCTCCCAATTATGCCGCTGACTCGTGGGCCATACACATCGAGAATTGTCCCGACGGGAAGAGCACAGACATTGGTGGCGACGGCGGCTACAGTAAACATTAGATTCAATCTGACTTCGGTTAGCAAGATGTATGCTAGGAGGACTTGGACCAACTGACCGAATTTCCTGGCCGTAACAAACCAGGTCTCCTCTTTGCAACTCTTCCTTCGTACAGTAATCGCGATAGACCCCCTCTCGAATCAGTACCGGCTTTATGGCAGCGAATCCAAACACGATACCAGCCGCGAGTAGACAATATATGACAGCGACAAGAACTTGGGCTGAATCACATGCTGTTAGTATACTGCATAACAATTGAGTGTGAATATGCAGTGAGGAACATGGCTAACACGATACTAGCGCGTGCAGGAGGGGAGCGCCTACCGATTCTCTTCCCCTTGTGCACCTCAAAAGCACCCGTGGTGTCCAGGATATCCCACTGCGCAGCATCCCGTGGAGGTTCATCATGCTCTGAAATCCCAGTCTCCCTTGAAACATCTGGACTGTCTCTGGTCTCTGCTGCCTCATTCCCGATGAGAGATTCCCTCTCGTCATCCGCGTCTCCATGCGTGCTTTCAGCCCATGATGGCCCAGAATAAGGATTGAAATTCAATCTGTTTCTGATAGAGTATTGACCGATTGAGGAGGGAAATGATGAAGCCGTCGATTCTGGCAGGTATTGGGTATCATTCTCTTCATCATGTGAGCTTGCATTGGAACCTCTGCGGCGGAGGAAAGCTGGCGGACTATGCTGCCATGACTCCAGATAGGAGACACGATGGAGAGACATGCTTCAACGTGTGTTCTCTACAGAAAAGAGAAATTGGGGGAAGGAAAGCCAGGCTAAGCTGTCGATGTGACCAAGTTCCACTCTTCCGAGATAAGCTCTTATCTCGGAAGTTAAGCTCGTAGTTGCAATGCCAAGATAGTCTTCGAGACAGTGCTGTCTAGGAAAGGAAATAAACCAGAGAATTATCAGGCCAAGCAAACTGAATCCAGATCAAAAGAACCGGCGAAAGCCAAGCTCTTCGCAGCAGTAAACGTAACTAGGCAACAGCAACACTAACAGTCCGATTGACATGCAAGAGATACAGCCTGGAACGGTTATCTGACGTTCTCGACAGGATCTTCCGTTTTATATACACTGGGTATCGCACGAGAGAAAGAGAGCAGAGACAGGATTGGGATAATAAAGAACCTGCAGGACAATTTCGCAGCAAGCTGTTGACCCCGTGACCGGCGACCTCCGGGCCAAGACTGTCGCCACCGCCAGCCAATCTTGCAGAAAGCGACCTTCTTCCAACTTTTTTGCCAGTGCTCAATTCTGATATCGAACTTTGTCGTCTTCAAAACTTGCCAGAAAGCCAGATCTCTGCTGCATCATCAGTCTTCACAGTCCGGTCGCAAACCTCTCACTAAAACCAATGACAGCATCGCATTCGGCCTTCTCCGCAGACGCTCGGGCACTATCCGTGCCGGATATGATAGCCTCTCGCACGGTGCCATGGGTGAGCTTTGCCATACAACGGATCTTCGTTGGCTTAAAAAGTGGACGTGCGACTGAGATCGAGAACAACAGATCTCATATAGAGTCTGCTAGCGGGATGAACATGTCATATCCAGGCAGACCAAACTAGAGGATTCTCCTATTTGGTCGAGTGGCCTAGCGCCAACAGAAAATATACACCGGAAAGGGATCCACGTACTTAATGTCACTAGATAGGCCTTTCACCCAGGGCTTGACGGCCATTGCTGGGATCGAGGAAGCTAATCAGAACCATCCTAACCTAATATTCAATTCCAGAGCGATGCTTGCACCGGTCCGAATCGGCCTGTATGGAACCCGACCGGCTCATTGATTGTGCCTCGATTTTCGGCAGAGAGATTACCTACCAATGGACAAGGCAGACCCAGCCGACTAAGTCAGCTTGCTTTTCTTAACTAACTACCTAGGTAGTTAACAATATGTCTGACTAAGTGTCATTATTCAGACTGAAAGAAAAGGTCAACAGATGAGCATGGCGGTTCATCCATCTCCTGCGAACTGTCGAACTAAGTGTTCTATTCCTCCGAGTTTAGACTGGGGATTTGGTGTATCCATGGATGAGCATCCGGTCCATCATCAGTGAGCAGATAGGCGTTATGTCTGCAAACAATGCCCGAACGGGAAATACCTCAGTCAGGTTGATTATCGCAGCTTTCCACGCCGGTCTCTTTAATCACCGGGGGCCTGCAGGAGCCTGGACTTGGGTTTGTCTGGTTTGGCGCTCACGCTGATTTGGACACGTCTGACGAAACGGTCAGCGGCTACCTAGGTTGGATGGGAGTGTCTATGCTTGTTGGAAAAGGTTAGAAGACATTTCTTGAGACCATTCTTGGATTTATACCCATTACCCTAGGGCGTGTTGTCTACTGCGGTATGTGAGGGTTCTTTCTGATACTCAACGCTCCCGACTAGAGAATTGTCCTGCCAGAGCAGTACAAGGATATTCCGGTTGACTTTGTAAATGAGCTGGATCAAGAGCTGCAAAGAGCATGTCTTCGATCTGCCGCAATTCACCTCGACATCGATTGTCTTGATACGACGCCAGGGAAAGCAAACGAGTATGCAACACCTGGAAGATTGAGTTCAGACGATATCTCTCGCTGTATGGGATTGGTTTTGGAGAAGGCCTCACCAGTAGCAATGACAGTTGCATCATACAACCCAAACCTCGGGGATCGAATTACCATTGCTGAAGCAGCCATCGATGCTATTTGCGAAGTTGTCGCTTCTGTTAAGGAAATATAGTCACAGTTAAAACCGAGTTTTCCTAAAGAGAACTAATTTTGTCTTTCCTTCAGACAACAGAGAAAATATATAAGGCGATGGCTTGGGAGATATACTCTACTATCCGGTGCATCCTCCTCCCTCCGCGTTTGCTACGGGCTCAAGTTTTGTTGAAGGAAGTCTTACTATGCTAATCACAGAATATGTCCATTGATTGCAGGTTACCTAGCCTTTGCGAACTTTGTCCACAGCGGCTCATGCAGCAACCTGTCTAAGCAGCTTGCCTCAACGCCTACTATGACTTCTATTCCACCATCTGGCAAAACCGGAAGTACAACCTGCAAGCCGTTGATAACGCCCACATGGGGGGCCCGTACAGAATCAATTCTGCCACCCAGCAGCGAACCCCAATCTAGAGAATATAGGTCGAATTTCACCCATGATGTCTGCACACAATGAGATCCCGGGACGTCCAGAAACGCTGTCGGAAAGAGTTGGTTCACATCTTCGAGTTTCTCAATAAGAGTTATCACGTCATCGGTGAATTGGTTATCGGCACGCTGGATCGCCTTGCGGATCAGAATTGCCAGGTCGGCAAGGTTGGCGGAGCTGAGTATTTCCCGGATAGGAGCTTTGACAGCGACATATTCGAGAAAGCAGCCTAGGGTGCTCTGGTGAATAGGAGGATCGATCCGCTCGCGACCATCAATAGCGATATTGAAGACAGATATCGGATTACCCTCCAACGAGTCAAGCGGCCACTGTACAGCCATGACTGTGCGCCAGAGAAGAGCCGAGAGAGCATCATTAGTCGAGATCCATTGCTGGTCAGAGTGTTGCTTTGCATTTTCTGGCGATGCCTCAGCCTTTAGCGAGGCCAAAGACTCTGGGGAAAAGTAGAAGACCTGTCCACGATGATCTGAAGACAGCATCTTGCGTAGCGCCACGCCAGGCGTAGCAGATGAGAGTGTGTACTCGGGGTGATCTTTCAGCAATCCCTGGTTACGACCCGATGGCTTCATGACGCGTTCTCTGTCGCTGAAGATAGCCCCAGGAAGCTGAATGGGCTCAGCAATTTCCAGGCCCTGGGCACGACGGCACTCTTCCGCCCATACTTTGGCCCAGGTGTAGAAGGCCGTGCCATCGCCAACCATATGGAAGATGCACCATGTCAGGATCAGGCCGCCGTCAATAAAGTTGGCCTGCACCAGGGAGATAGGCAATTTCTCTCCAGGTAATGCCCAGACAGACCGGCGACACAGAATCTCTGCGTCGAATGCCGAAAGTGGGAAGTTTTTCGATTTGAGCCCCGCATAAGTCAGTGGGAAGACGCCCTGCGCTCGTAAGTCCTTGACAACAATGTCTTCGATATCTCCATCATTCAGTCTCTGCAGCTTCAGTACCCCTGCCTGTTTCGAGCCAGCATCTGGCACGGCCTCACATGCCAGTACTGAAATCTGGTTCTTGGCGGCACTGTATCCTGTCTTTAGAACCCTAGCAACTTCGTCCATATCATAGCCCTCTGGAAGCTGGAAGAGGAAGATGTAGCGAAGGTAGCCCTTTGGCCCGATACGCTCCAGGTGCGTGAGAGTTGGAACATCACAGGGATATTGCACAGAACCCATTATTATAAAGTGCAATTGGGGGCCGTTTTAGAGTAGCAAAAATCAACAGAAAGAATAGTTACTCAAACCGCAGGGAAATAACTGACTAGACATCCTCTATTTATTATCATCCTCCAAGTAATTTCGCCGATCCATCATCCCCGCTCGACACGGTCCTTTCGTTTACACGGCCTGTGCGAAAGGATTAGAGTAGGTGGGGTTTCAACCCGATGGCCTGTGAGTGTCATTCATTCAATCATTAGTTTACTACGCCGTATCTAAGAGTCCCAGAACAGAAACCAAGCATAGCCTTAGTGCATTTTCATAAGCATTAATAACTCTTCAGGGCATTTAGCGTATGCAAAAGTTCGTATGTACATCTTGGCACCCTGTCAAGTGAAAAAAGAAAAGCGCATGACCATTTGGAATGAATACGATTTTTAATATATCGAGATAATCCTCTGGCTCACCATGAAGATTGCAATTTCAGGGTAAATACTATCCCCCCCTGTCCCTTTTCTTACTGTCTGTGTTGAATACAGCGGGGCAAAAGAAGGCCATGGATAAATTGTCATTGCTGGTTAGATCTTGCATCATTTAAGTAAGTCGAAAATCGGCATTTAGCAACCATCGAAAGTCCGTAACATTGTGATTGGTGCCCGCGCTCAGATTATGTAGCAACTATTATACTTAATTGCAGTACCATTAGAGGAACTCCAGTGCAAAGACCCCTGACTATATTGATAGTCTGACAATGTTTTGGGGGAATTTTATGTTTGAGCAGAAGGAATTTTGCGTGCAACAGGGGGACAAAAACATCCAAACTACCGCCATATTCCATCTCAGTCCTTGCGTAGGACTTTTCAGATCGAAGAGTAGCATACTACAGAACATCTTGTAGAAGAACTACCCAAAGGGAACAAGAAACTAGGTTTCTAAGTGCGGTGGATATGTAATATTCACTTCATGCACTAAGTATAAAGTGAAGGTGCATCTATACTATTGCTTTGAGGTTCCAAGACGGTGTTCAAAGTGAAGAGGCTGGCGCAATGATTACTCCGACAGAGTCAGATCGTAGTCCTGCATGTCATGGTGGCTCTGTAATTCGGCCAGATGAGCGGATTATGCGGCGCTAACTAAGTAATAATGGAGCTAAAACAACCAGGGATGCTTGTATGTATGTACATGAATGGGCTTTTTCTGGAATTCTTGGATCATGTATGTATAATACCGCCAGTTTGGGACATTGAAACTCACACTCACAGTACTTAGATGCATTCGCGACTATTTATAAACTCTAAGATTGAGCAACTAACTTTCTGATGTCGTATTTGCAATGTCCTTCCCGGGGAGCTTCTTTGGCAGTGAATAGTTAACACTTTTGGTGGGCTAGATCTAATCCCATTTCGGTGACCCTTTATGCTCCCACGACATACCGATCGTCTATCCTGTGAGCAGGATTGAGGATACTTTGGATGTTCGGTCAACCTACTTAGATTCACTTTAATCAGCGTATCATTCTATCTTTCTGAAGCCTTCCAATTGGGTTATGTTCTTTAGCGCGCTTGCAATAAAGAGGCCTTAGCTTCGCTGGTTGCTCCTAGCCAACCAGTACCAAAAAAAAAAAAGATGTTCGGTCCTGGATGCCAGTTAACAATTGGCGCTATCAAGTTTCGGACCCCAACGTACGAGTAAGCCAGTCAGCGACTGTGAGATTATGACCTTGCGCAGTGATTTTCATGATCGGCGTCTTCATGAGATAGCGTTCAGGGACGATCACAGAGTCAGTGCGGTTGATCTACAGTGATACCGATATAAAAAGACCAGCTCCATTTCAGCGCTAAAAGCTACCGATCGATCAACACTACAGGCGTAGATACACGGGCCGATCCGCCTACAAGCCGGATTACAGTAGTGGCCTACACAACTCCGCCCAGGCGCTTGCACTGAGCGACACTGTTCTTGTCTTCGGCGAGATACAACATTTCGTTCTTGATGGACGGGACGGGCTTGCGATAGCTGGAATCAGGGACCCAATCGACTTTAAGATGTTTCAGGTACACGGGACAAAATCAGAATAAGACATTGTTCCCAGCGCTAATAGGTCAGGATCATCGAAATGCGTCTGCTTCGTGTCGAGTTGCCGCTTTCCAAAGATAGAACAGTAGGGTACTGTCCTGGACTCGTGGTACAGGGATCGTTGCGGGAAGTACGTACACTTCTAACATCCAGGCTCAGGGGCCATGATGACCGATCACGCCGTTCTGACTCAACGACCGGGTCGACCTCCTTTCCATTCTCCACGAGCTTTCCCTACTGGAATACAGCGAGTGACTTCGTCATGGTAAGGTAAACGGCCGAGTCTGCGTGGTATCGTCCAGGACAGATACGACACCGAACCCGAAGACCATTGTATAGAGATCCGGTTTGGTGATATGGCCGTTACTCTGAGGAAACGCTCTGGTTTGAGAGTCATAAAATCAGGTATGTCTCTGGCTCGTGGAAAAAGCCCCTAAATGATAGTTAGATCGAGACGATCGTGAATCGAATTTATCGCACGTTTATGGCCCTAGACAGAGGGTCTTCCTCTAACTTACCACATGCTAGGAATAAATATGCACCCTTCGGGATGTGATATCCTTCGACGATATCATCTTCAGTGGTCATGTGAGCCAGTCTTATAGATGCCACTGAATGCCAGCGCAGGACTTGTTTCAGATGGCGCCAATGTAAGGAAGACTGGGCTGGTCGTCTGACCTGGAAGTCTAGCAGAGTCGATCACCCGATTAATCTCATCTTGGGTCTTTCGTCGACTTCAGGAAATAACGCCATGGCGAGGAAGAAGCATGCGATTGATGAGAGAGGTCTAATGTGACAGTTTGCATAACCGAACTCTAGACCTTCAACACGACTCTCCGTGAGAATATCATATATGCAGCGTATCGGCCACGAAATCTATTTCGGGGTGCGACTCTCCTTTCTGAAACAGTTCAGAGATAAATGAAGGCTTGTAGATTCTGAGTTTCATTTTCTGCTTCACATAGGAGTAGGGCTTTTGCACAACATCGTCCATAACTCTCCTCCAGCTCTGGGCGGTCTTCTTGAATCCGCTTCGCTTTAGGGCCCAGCGGTAGTGGTGCTTTTTGATGTCGCAATAACAGTCTTCGACCGATATAGCACAAGGATAACCTCAATAATATAGAGAACGAGAGAAGCCTCCACTATGACAGGCACTTGAGAGCAGGTCTAGGGAAGGGAATTTTGGAAAACATGCCCCGCGTCTTGCCACGGTGGAAAATCCCTAGTAATATAGACAGCACTGGACCTCCCAATGAAGCTCCATTAGGCTGGATATTTGTCTTGAGTCCTCAATTATTATTCGCCTAGTGCCATATCTCCTCAGAGTCGGGTGGCCAGTGAGAGCAGATCGATATGGATCCAATGCTGACATGGCGCACGTTGCTGACTACGGCACGGGGTATTGGTTAGGTGGTCTTCACTGCTGTCATACTTCGAGACATCTTGCGTGGCGCTTTGTATATGGATCAATCGTAGTTCAGAAAAAAGTAAGACCATGGGACTGAAGACTCCGTCTGTTCACGTGGACTACTAGAAGCCTTACCTCAGCCATTATATGACAAAGTAGGCCTCAAGGCGACAATACACAATTGATACAGGCATCATGGCACTTTTGATTGCGATGATATCCTAAACGTAAATATTGCAGCAAGGGATTCGCGGGACGGCAGAGCATGTTGATCGTATCGTTGTAGGAGAACATCACGAAACCCAGGGGCCGTAGATCAAAATAAATGTTCATCTCAGGAGATCGTGATCGCCCATAAAGGGATTTTGGACCCCGCGTCTTCAAATCTTCGGACATTTTCTAATGAGACGGGGTTGGTTATATGTGCATGTCATGTCGAGCATCCCTGTCCAGGCCCCCTTTCAGCTCTACGATCTGCAGGTTCATGCAACAGACCCTCGCGCAAGATAATCAGATACGATCATCTCATCTCTCCACTACAGGGAACAAGGAGGTCGAAATAAGGCGAAACCTGTCTCTGTTGCTGTATGTAAGGGATCTTGGTGGCGGCGGGGCCGGAAATCTCCTCTCACCACGAGGAGTGGAAGAAACTCGAAGAATGCCAGTCGAAAACCACGAGCATTCCAATGATTTAAGCTTATTCGGACAGCCGGGGAAGTGACACGCGGTGGAATGATGTGTGTTTCATTGTTATTGGAAAGTTGAATCCTTTCTTTTTGCGGTGTTCTTGCGAGAATATAGATGATTAGGCGAGAACTGCGTATACAACGGACGCATAGCAGAGGATTCAACCAAGTGTTGCTCTGTGCGCTTACTAATTATTAATATGAACTGCTGTTGAGAGAACTAACTAATAATAATAATAATGTCGCTGAGAACTCAGAACTAGTGTTCATTTCCTCGGCTCCTGCTTAAGTGTCGTGTTACTCGTATTGAGAGGCGCTGGCCGCGCAAACCCCATCGACATACGAAGGCTAGGCCTCTCTCGAAGGCAAGGAAAAAAAAAATCAAAAATCCCACCCTCCACTTAATTATCTTGCCTTTCCTTGCAAATCTGTGCACGAGACCACCCACTACTCTGCTCTGGTTGTCATCCCTGTTCGTTCGCGATTATGGCAGACATCGTTGGTTGTACCATAGGATCATTGACGAGGGTATGCAATTGCCTAACAGCGTAAGGATTCCGTCGGGAACTGGCGGCTGCTTCAAGGCCGGCAAACCGGGGCCGACCCGCAGGCTGGACGAAGTTTTTGAGCTCTAGAATTCCAAGACAATACTAAATAATAATAATGCAATGCTTCTGGACCTCAGCAGTCAAACCCCACCGTGTCCGGTACGGCGGCACGTTGAACCCGCTGAGGAGCCATGGATTTGGGCTTTTTTTTTTCTTACTGTCCGATGTAATAAGTAATGGATAATTACTAAAAACCGTAGATGGTGCTCGGCAAGATCGTAGAGTATACTGTTGGGGAAGTCGGATACGCAGGCAGACAAGTCGGGCATACGCACTCCCCTCCCTAGTCGCAGTCGTATGCCTTATCTCGCTTCTCTGGGATGTTACGCCCTCGTTGCGTGGTCGTGATGGTTGGTTGCCGTTGGTCCGCGATAAAGTCGCATCATGAGCTTTCGAGGGCCGATGTACTCTAGTTCGAGTGGTTATCAGCACTTAGAGAACCCTGAAGCTGCAACCCGCTTTCTAGCAGCACAGTTAGTGTCAAGTTGGCCGTGATATAGCATAGTATAGTATAGTATGGTATCGTCAAGTAGGGCGGCGGTCAACAGAGAGGGCGTCTCGCTTATGTGATAGTGAGATGTGACTCGGGGCCTGTCCTGATCCGAAAAAAAAAAACTCACCAGAACTACTCCGTAATTGAATACTTTTTCTCGGTGCGAGTCCGTAAATGATCTCATATTATAGGTTAGGGCGTTAGTCACCGCCACCAGCGGGAACCAGTTATATATATCACAACTGGAGGATCCACGTCCACGGCGCCACTTTTTGGGTTCCCGGAAGAACTCATGCGAAGACAACCGGGGATGAAGAGAGGAGAGGAATAAAATTTCTTCTTCTTTTTCACCGTTATCCAGTGTACCATAAACTCAAACGACAGGACAGGTCGTAAGGGTTTTGTACTTATATTGGCCGATCCAAAGGGATATATCAAGTCCCACCGGGATAAAGTAGCTTCGCAAATCCTCGCAGCTGATGTGCACCGATGAACACCGATGCCCATTGTGCTCTCAGCCTCTTCTGAAGTGGCTGGCCAGACCCACCGACGTGTTTTGGATCTGTGAGGCCAAGGAACACTCTAGATAAGGCTAAGGATGTAAGGAAAGACTAGTGAGCTGTCCGAGCCCTTCACGATATACATCGAGTAGTGCGACACCACCCCACCACGGCGCCCTGCCATGCGTGCTGCTTAATATAGCTACCGACAAGCAGCGAACTGCTGATTTGGACATGTTCGACTGTCAAACGGCACGTCGGGATACCCCCGTGGGCCGATCGAGCACGGACAAGGACGCTGGGGCGCGAATGCATCCGGTACGGACTGTTAATCCGAGCTTTTTTACAATACCTATCCAAAGATCTCGGCATCCTGGAGGACGAATCGAGATGCAAGGTGAGAGACACCGCCACCCCACTGCGGGTAAAAAGGTCTAGAGTAAAGTACAGTAGAGGCAAAGAACTACGTGGATGTTTCCATGTCGACTCTTCTGTTTGGTTGAATACAGTAGGAGGGTCGTAGCAGAGAGGGGAGGGGGCCTGAGGAGGTAGTCAGTTCTATTTCTCTCCCGGCATTCGCTGCCTGATAGTTGATGTTTCTGGTTGTTCGTTTTTTTCTTTTCTTCTTCCTTTTTTTTCTGGTAACCAAAAAAAAAGGCGAAAAGCTTCTTTCTACAGTTTCGCCTCGAGTGGACTGGGTCACTCGTTCTTTCGTTTCTTCGCTCGTTATCCCCAAGGTTAGGGCATGTAGGATTCATTCCGCTCGCGATTCTCATCAGCTTGAGTCGCACTGCAGTAGTCGGTAGCAGGTCACTGCCCGGGATGTTCTTCGCAAAGATGCAGCACTCAGTGCTCGTGATACTTTCGTTGCTGAGTGTGACGGCGCTATGTTGGCCCTATACCGAGTCGCTCGTTGACTATAATTTGAACGAAAATAAAACCGCTACGGGGCCGATTGATTACTGGGGTGAATGGCCGGATCACGATTATCATCCATCGCCCGATAACTGGCGCTTCCCAATATATACGATCTTCTTGGACCGCATAGCCAACGGTGATCCGACGAATGATGACATTAACGGTACCTCCTTCGAGCATGTGCTGGACTCGAATCAGATGCGCCATGGAGGCGATCTGGTCGGTCTGATTGATACGTTGGATTATATCCAGGGAATGGGCTTCAAGGTGTGTTTTCGTTTCGTATTATCTCATTGTTTCTGTTGCTGATCAAGCTAGGCCATCTACTTCGCTGGAACGTACTTGATGAACCTGCCCTGGGCCTATGATGGTTACTCCCCGGTTGATACCACTCTGCTGGACATGCATCACGGTACCCTTGCGGATTGGAGACGGACTATTGATGAGATCCACAAACGGGATATGTATGTTATCGTGGATAACACGCTGGCAACGTATGTATACATATCCCCAGAATCAAATCGGGTTATATTATAAGCTAACGCCATGGACTTCCGGCAGACTGAGCAACCTCATCGGTTTCAAAGGCCATCTCAACGACTCAGCCGATTTCAAAGCAAACGAATACGAAGTCGAATGGATCACGGACAGACAGTATGTCGACTTCAAGTTCTCAAACGAGTACAATGAAACGTGCAACTACCCCAAGTTTTGGAACGAGGACGGCTACCCGTTGACTACCGGCGGTGTCCAGGACCTGAAGGGCTGCTATAATAGTGACTTCGATCAGTACGGAGAACTGGAGGCTTTCGGCAACTTTCCTGACTGGCAGCGTCAACTTACCAAGTTCGCTTCGGTGCAGGATCGTCTGCGGGAGTGGCACAAGCCTGTTCGCGATATCATCACGAAACATTCCTGCATTCAGATTGCTAGTCTGGATGTCGATGGGTTTCGTTTTGACAAGGCCGTACAAGCAACCCTCGAGCCCCTGGGTGATATGACTGCTGTCTACCGTGAATGTGCAAAGAAATACGGCAAGGACAACTTCTTCCTCCCTGGAGAAATCACCTCTGGAAATACCTTTGGTAGTCTGTATCTCGGTCGCGGCCGTCAGCCAAATCAGCTTCCTGCCTCCGCTGGCGCTGGTGTCAAGATCACCAATGATTCAGACTCGTACTTCCTCAGAGAAGACGGGCACCAGGCGTTAGATGCCGCCGCCTTCCACTATACGATCTATCGTTCGATGACCCGTTTCCTAGGAATGGACGGTAACCTGGTCGCCGGTTTTGACTTGCCCACGGACTTCATCGAAGCTTGGAACGGGATGCTTGTGACAAATGACTTCCTGAATGCTTTCACAGGCGAGCTGGACCCGAGACATATGTACGGTGTCTCCAATCAGGATAACTTCCGCTGGCCGGCAATCAAGAATGGCACAGAGAAGTATCTCCTTGGTCTTTTCATCGTCACGTTGGAGCTCCCTGGAATCCCACTTATCTTGTGGGGTGAAGAACAGGCGATGTACGTCTTCGATGCCACTGCCACGAATTATCTGTTCGGCCGGCAGCCCCTGACATATCAAACCGCCTGGTGGACGCATGGCTGCTTCAGTCTGAACACGACGAAATTCTACGATTTCCCTAATGACAAGGGACTGAACGGTTGCAACGACATCACGGTCACGTACGACCAGCGGAACCCGGCTCACCCGCTGCGCAATATCATGAAGCGCATGTTCGAGATTCGGGAGCAGTATCCGGTGGCCAATGACGGTTTGTATTTGGAGACGATATCCCAGCTTACAAAGAACGTTTATCTGCCAGGTTCATCGGGAACTCCCACAGTGACCGGTCTGTGGTCGGTATTGCGAACCTACTTCCCAGGAGTCCAGAAGCAGGCTACCGGCGATAGCAACAGCACCTTTTGGCTTGTCTACCATAACGACAACAAAACAGTTACCTATGGCGGCGACTGCGACAAGACGGATACCGCGCTGTTGGCACCGTTCAAGTCAGGGACGAAGCTCAAGAGTGTGTTCTACCCTTACGACGAGATCACTGTGGGTGCTGGTCCCAGCCAGAACAACACCAATGACTACGGATGCATTTCTAGCATGAAATTGCTGCCATGGGAATACCGCGCCTACGTCGAAGCCGAAAACTTCGTTGATCCCGGTCCTACTGTCACCGAGTTTCTGCCCGGTCACGATGCCCGATTGCTATCTTCGACAGATAATGGTGAGACTATCGACATCCAGCTTGGATATTCACTTGAGATGGACTGTGACGGTATCACCAACGCAATCTCTCTCAACTCCACGACAGAAAAGGGTATCACAGCCTCTCTTGATACGTCAAGCGTCAACTGCACCAAAGTCACTCCGAGGACGACCAGTAACAATTACGTTGGAGAGATACCCACCGTCTGGACATGGTCCGCCAAGCTGAACAATGTCCATCACGGAATCCACCAGCTGACGGTCAAGAACGTCTCGACGACGTCCGGCGTCCACACGAATGCTGTTGATCGGTTCTTGTTCCGTGTCGGAAGTCAGAATAATCCCCTGCTGTCTCCGTTTGCCAATTACTCCACCAGTCTTGTACACAAATCCGACGATGGCAGTTTCTATATCGAGCATGCTGCCGCTGGAGCTGATCAGTTCCGATACTCCACTAATTTCGGTCTGACCTGGTCCGACTGGCAGGCATATAAGGGTGGCAACACGACCGTCGAGATCACACCTTTCACCGGTACAAAAGCTCAGAAGTGGGAGGGAACTCACATCCGCGTGCAGTACTTCTCGAAACTCACCGGCAGCAGTGATTATGTCCAGGAAGGTGATTATGGCTGGAAGGACGGCGTGCCACGACGATTCCCGAATATGTTCTGGAACGGTCCGTACAACCAATTCGGCTACGATGCAGGACTGCCTAACAAGATGAGATTCGACACCGAGGAGCGTCGCTGGAAGTTTGATTTCGTCTATGAGTGGCCGGCTGTGGGACAAATCAGTGTCTGGGGATCTGATAAGGATGGCACGCCCGATCAGACAGCAGTATATGGGGATGTCGATAACTCGTCGGTCGTGCAGAGGCTCCCCCCGTCCTATCTATCGTCCAACGTGATCAACATGACCCAGTTGCCTCCATTCCCGCATCTCGGCTGGACCATCTCGCTTGACGACAGCAACTTGAGATATGAGCTGATTCCAGTCGGGTCTGGATGGGCCCAACTCGTGCTATACGTTCTCCTCTGGGTCATCCCGGTTCTCATGGGTCTTGCCGGAGTGTTTATCTTCATTCGGACTTTCTACCGCGTTAAACTCAACCGGGATGGCAACGTGGCTGCAGAAGACAAGCTGCCTCTCTTGTTTTGGCGCAAAGTTCGAGGAAAGCTCGGCAGAGATGATTCCATGGACGGTGCATTGTCTGAGAAAGCTCTGCCGCCAACGGAAATTGCTATCGCGGCGGCCCCTGAGCGTCGGCGTACGGTGTTGATTGCCACGATGGAATACAACATTGAAGATTGGAAAGTCAAGGTCAAGATCGGTGGTCTAGGTGTTATGGCACAGCTCATGTCCCAGAATCTGGGCCACCAAAACCTCATCTGGGTGGTTCCGTGTGTCGGCGACATTGACTATCCTCGGGACTCTCCAACTGAGCCATTTGTGGTCACTATCCTAGACAAAGCCTACTTGGTCAACGTTCAGTATCATGTCGTCGGCAACATCACCTACGTCTTACTCGACGCTCCTGTTTTCCGCCAGCAGACCAAGGCAGAGCCCTACCCTCCTCGCATGGATGATCTCGACAGCGCAATCTACTATTCAGCGTGGAACCAGTGTATCGCAGAGACAATCAAACGTTTCCCTTCAATCGACCTCTACCACATCAATGATTTCCACGGATGTCTGGCGCCACTTTACCTGCTGCCGACGCGTACTATTCCCGTCTGTCTATCCTTGCACAACGCCGAGTTCCAGGGTCTGTGGCCACTGAGGAACCCTCAAGAGAAGAAGGAAGTATGCGCGGTCTTCAACCTACCTATCGAAACTGCATCCAAATACGCTCAATTCGGAAACGTGTTCAACCTGCTCCACGCCGGTGCTAGCTATCTCCGCTTCCACCAGCGCGGCTTCGGTGCAGTGGGTGTGTCCAAGAAGTACGGAAAGCGCTCATGGGCTCGGTATCCGATTTTCTGGAGTCTCGAAAAAATCGGCAGTCTTCCAAACCCCGATCCTTCTGACACTGGCGCCCTGGAGGCGGACCCTGACGCTGAGGCTCCTATCCAACCCTACGAAGAGCGCATCAACGACAAGCTGCAGGCACAGAAATGGGCTGGTCTGAACCAAGACCGCAACGCGGACCTATTGGTGTTCGTCGGACGATGGTCGAAGCAGAAGGGTGTAGATTTGATTGCAGACGTTATACCTGCTGTTCTAGCCTCCAGGCCTCAGGTGCAGCTGATCTGTGTTGGTCCCATCATCGATCTGTACGGTAAGCTCGCTGCTATCAAGCTCGAGCGCATCATGGCAATGTATCCCGGTCGAGTGTTCTCAAAGCCCGAGTTCACTGTTCTTCCCCCATACGTGTTTTCCGGTGCCGACTTCGCCCTGATCCCGTCTAGAGACGAGCCCTTCGGTCTGATTGCCGTCGAGTTCGGCCGTAAGGGTGCTCTGGGAATTGGTTCTCGCATTGGAGGTCTCGGGCAGATGCCCGGCTGGTGGTACACGGTTGAATCTGACGCAACCCGTCATCTCCTGCACCAGCTGAGAACTGCTATCAAATCGGCTTTGGACTCGTCACAGGAAACTCGGGAGTCGATGCGTGCAAAGTCCGCCAAGCAGCGTTTTCCTGTGCTTGAATGGATCCAGAAACTTGAAACGCTCCAACGCACTGCGATCCAGATCCACCACGCGAAGAACAAGAGCACAGTGGCGGGCCCGATGCCAGAGTCTCAGAGCTACTGGGAGACGCAGAGCACGCGTTCATCCGCGCCAGAACTTCCTCGATCAACTCAGTCGATGACGGAGAGTCTGGAGACGCCGCCAGGGGAAATGATCCAGCATGCCCAGGAGAGACTTGAAGAGATCCAGGCGGCTGGAGGAGAAGGCAAGAAGAACGGTCTGGGACGCAAACTCTCGCTCGGTCGACGAGCTGGACCTGGCCAGGGCAGAAAGCGTCTGAGCAAGAAACCACCACGCGAGAGCCAGATCTATGACGACGATGAAACCACCGATGCTGACGATGACGGCACTGCTACTCCGCGAGTGAACTATATCTCTCCCGAAGAGGCCATGGACGCTATCAACCACACTCTTGGCTCTCAGGATATCGGCACACCTCGCTGGAATAACAGCACCAACTCGTTGTCGCTAGCTGGTCCCCGGGCGTCTTACTTCACTGTGCCCGGCTCTCCGTACTATATCTCGCGGTCTTCGTCTCCGGCTCCCAGAACACCTTCCGAACTACCATACCAATACCATGCTTTCTCCGGTGACAACACTCCCCTGTCTCAGTCTCGCAATGTCTCCGTGCTGTCCTTGCCCTCGGTCGTCGCCGATCACAAGCAGCCCGTCTTCGAGCTGCAAAAGGTCGACCCAACCTTCACGGACAGCATGGGCCACTTCACACGACGCTTCGAGGAGATGCTCAGCAATCTGAACAAGAAAAACTCCACGACTGACTGCTGTATCGAGACATATCTGATGAAGAGCGAGCGCAAGTTCTTCAACATGTACACTGACGCCCAGCTCAAGAAGCAATCCAAGAACCATCCAGTGTCCGATATCACTGCGGACAGCTTTGTCGAGGATACGCAATACAACCGCGTCTCGCACACCACCGGAAGTTCAGAGTCGCACGAGGAAGCGGATGAAATGGATCAATGGCTCTCTCGTCTGGGATACAAGCGGCCGATGGTGATTCAAAGATTCATGCGACGCCGGATCGGAAACTGGCCTATCTACGCTCTATTCCTCGGTCTGGGACAGATCATCGCGACCAACTCGGCCCAAATCACCCTGCTTGTCGGCCAGGTAGGTGAGACGGCAACGAAGCTGTACATCATCGCGGCGATCTACTGCGTTACCTCGATCATCTGGTGGTTCATGTTCTACCGCTTCCCATCAGTGATCGTCCTCACGCTCCCGTGGTTCATATACGGATTTGCCTTCGTCATCATTGGCGTCTCTCCATTCGGTCTCTCCAGCCTCGGAAGAGGATGGGCTCAGAACGTCGCAGCTGGCGTCTACTCCGCAGCGTCTTCTTCCGGGTCGTTATTCTTCGCCCTCAACTTCGGTGACCAGGGCGCCGTCCCCGTGAAAGACTGGATGTTCCGCGCAAGTCTCATCCAGGGTATCCAGCAGATCTACACGGTCGTGCTCTGGTACTGGAGTTCCAAGGTCACAGCCGCGGAAATCGGAGGCGTCTCCAGCGCGGCTCTGAGATCATGGATCCTAACGGCCGTGACGATGCCCATTGCCGGATTATGCTTCCTCATCGGCATCCTCCTCGCACTGGGCCTGCCCAAATACTACCGTCAATCGCCCGGCCGGATCCTCTTCTTCTACACCTCTCTCTTCCGTCGGCGCATCGTCCTCTGGTTCTTCTTCATGGTCATCATCCAGAACTGGTTCCTCGCCGCTGAATTCGGTCGTAACTGGTCCTTCCTCTGGTCCTCCCAACACGCCAATGCATGGGAGGTCGCCATCCTGGTCGTCTTCTTCTTCATCGTCCTCTGGGTCATCATCCTCTTCATCTTCCGCTACCTATCCAAGGAACACAGCTGGATCCTGCCCGTTTTCGGTCTCAGTATCGGCGCACCACGCTGGGCTCAAACATGGTGGGGAACGTCCAATATAGGCTACTACCTCCCCTGGGCAGGAAGTCTTATATCCGGCTCTCTTGTCTCGCGCTGTCTCTGGCTGTGGTTGGGCGTCCTCGACGAGATCCAACAGGTCGGTCTGGGCATGATTCTTCTGCAGACCCTGACGAGAGTACATGTTTGTTTCGTCCTATTAGCCGCGCAGGCGTTGGGGTCGATCGCTACGATCTGCGCGCGTGGGTTCGCACCGAATAAAATTGGGCCAGGAGATATCTCTCCGAATGTGGGCACGTCACCGACTGCGGTTGGGAATGCTTGGTTCTGGATCGCTCTTTTCTTTCAGCTTTTGGCGAGGTAAGATATATGATATACCCCCCTGTCCCCGCTCCCTTACTTATCCATTTATCCATCTCTATATACATATACCCGTATACGATAACTAACATAAATCCAGCTTCGGCTTCCTCCTCTTCTACCGTCGGGAACAGCTGAATAAACCCTAAACCAAACCAGACAAGACAAAAGACAAGACAAGACACATCTCAACTCATGAACGAACATCCCATCCCATCCATCTATCTATCATATTGTCTGTCTTTTATCAGAAATTATACGATACGCCAAAAAGACAACAAACAACGCCATGCATTTACTTATACCCACGACCCAATCAATGATTACCTATGCATGGCATGACCCATGATTTCGAAACTTGATCTCTTGCTTTTCTGGCGCTTATAACCTCTTACTCACTCACTCACTCACTCAATCGATCGATCGATCTGATCTGATCTCGTCATTTATTATATATCTGGGTGGAAATCTGTTTTATGCTCTCGTGTTAACTCTTGGGTATATATAGTTATAACTCGGAAGGGAAGGAAGTTACGGAAAGAGGGAGTATATATTATTATATATACTTTTCTTCTTTATAGTGGTTTTTTTTTTTTTGGTTTTGGATATGCAGGATTCGCATATGTTTATATTATTGTTGCGTCCTTGCTTGGTTGCTTGGTTGCTTGCGTTTTGTTTGCTGTTGTTGTTGCTGTTGTTGTATATAACCATTGGTATATAACTCGTTCTAGATTTGACGGTGAATCAATCCTAGCTATTGATTGGGATGGATATGAATAGTTAGTTACAAGGCTTATATAAACGAATAGCCCTAAGTGAAATCTGTCAATAAATTGTCCACCGAGTTGCCACAGTATATGTTTGTTATTTCTAATTCTCTCCTAGATATTCTAATACACCAGGATATTTATTCATCTACACATTGCTTTTTCCATTCCGTTCCTCTAATCTCCAGTATCCTATCACATAACAACTAAACAAACCATGCTACATGCCAAATGACAAGTCCCAAAACGCCCGGATGTATCCTGCGCCATTCAATAATGGAAAAATGTATATGTACATGTACATGTAGAGAGGGGTGAGGGTGAGGAGAATTATCATGCGTATGTATCTAAAAAATTTTAGAATCCTGACTTCGCAATTGATCCAACAGAGTTGAATTACCAAGGTCGTCAGAATGAATTCGGATTCGTATCCACGGCAAAATCAAAGAAGCCGTCCTCCAGGATACTGCCCAGACCGAAGAGATTGTCTGCGTCGAATCCAACCTGCATGCCCAGTTCAGGGACGAAGCCAGCGTAAACAGGTTGATCCATTGCCGTCACCATCGGGTATTCCTGACCTGGAGGCGGTTGGAAGGCCGTGGGCTGTTGGGAATAGAGTTGATGAGAGGTCGAAGTGGCCGAGATGCTGGGCGGCGGAGGATATTGGGACCATGTATCTTGCATGGTGTTCACACCGTGTCCCTGATCTTGGGCTAGAGCCGAACCTACAGTAACTCCAGGCCCGTTGATTTGAGGCGGAGGCGGGTACTGCGACTGTTCCTGGGACTGCATCTGGCTCGATCCCGGTCGGTTATTCGCATCCATGGCCACTTCGCTGAGGAGATGAAGAGGCGTGGTACCCGGCTGTTGCTATCCATATCAGCAGCTGGACAAAAAGCAGACATAAAAGAAAACACAACATACTTTATCATGATCTCCCTTCTCAGAGGACCTTTGCTGGCTGCTGCCCTCCCTGGACGAGTCATGGTCCTTTCGCTTCAAGAACCAGTTTTTCAACATACTCAAGACCACGGCAAACTTTGCTACCGTCCGTCCGCCATCATTATTTCCGGCCACTTTGAAGTGTTGAGTAACCTTATCGAGATAGTATTCCACCTTCAAATCGGCAGGGTCAAAGACCTGTCCTAGTCGGCTGTCCTGTGCAGAGGTAGCCGAAAAGAGCTTGATCAGCGCGACCGCCACGTAGGACGTCCGCGCAAAGAATATGGTCGGCAGAGCCAGGATCGTCTTCTGATCCAACGAGCACATGATATCAAGGGACTCATGGATCGATGTCAGACACGAGGTGAGAGCGTCCACATGGGCAGGGGTAGTATGCTCGGTCAGCGCGCCCTCTCGCGCTGACGAGACAAAGGGTGGTCTGAAGTCGTCGATGTTATGATCCACATGCATTGCGATTTCGTGCATGTAGACGTTGAGGATCTGCTCGAAATGCCTCATGGTAGCTATGGTTCATTAGTAATTGCCCCGTCTCAGGAAGGGATGCTGCATACGGGAATAGAATTCTGAAGGGATTTCTCGGCGCCACTGATCCATCTGCTTTTCGAAACCCTTCAGGGCATACTGGACCTTGGGATCATGCAACGACAGACTCGTAACAGGATCGTCCATGGAGAACTGAAAACTGACTTCCTCGCCAATACGGGCCAGCTTCAGCCAGTGCGTCAAAGACCTGTCAGACGGTAGCGCATCCGGGGAATTCTGAAAGATATCGAGACATTCGTCCATATAAGGAGACCACCGCACTAGTAGCGCACGGCGCAGAGCAAACGTTGATCTGGATTCGTCAGCTCACGTTTCATAAACAACGACAAACAAAGCCAACAACATACAGTAAAGCCATAAAATAGCATCCTGCCCACGCTCTCCTCGTCTCGGGAGCATCTGGGTCCAACGAGCTAGCTTTCTTCCCAAGGATCTCCCGCCACACCCCAAACGGCGGTTTGTGCTTTGTCCTTGTCCGCCGGTTCATACCAATATCCATACCCAGGATGGCTGCCATATGGATCAACTGGTAGAACTTGAGCTCCTCGAAATGGTCTGGCGGAGGATACCAGAGACAAGCCACGAGGAGCGCCTGCACAAGCTCGAGAGTCTTTTCGCCCTTGACGAGGACCCGCTCTGCAATGACGCGATAGACAGCGTTGGTCAGTTGCAAGTGGATCGCAGGCTGGAAGGGACTAATCGAAACGGAAAGGATAGCGAGAAAGAGGATCGGCTTCGTCCTTCGAATGTCACCCATCTTCGTGCCAGGTGGGAAAACGACAAAGGGCAGTACAGGTGCCATATCCGCCGCATACCGATTGAACGCCTTGTTCGCTATCTCAACATCCACAAGGCCTTTGTCAATGACGTCCGCAAACTCATGTCCGGCATCTGGCTTCGGTACGAAGATGCTGCTCCACACCCCAGATAAGTCCCCAACGTCGCGCGCCTGTTGCTCCGGTTGCGGGCTGCGAGAACGCGGATTCTGCGGTGCGAGAAAGCCGCCGTAGCCAGCACCCTTGAATTCACCACTATGCTGTCGCTTATTACCCGCCAGATGTGCTGGAGAACCCATGACGGAAGTATCTCTCGACGCTCGACGGTCAACGCCCTGCCGTGGAGGCGGTCCTCCTCCCAGCCATCGTCGCGGGGTCGGCTCCTCAGTATATAGTCGGGGTGTCCCTACCTCCGCCACGGGATTCTGACCGCGCGTCGCCTGCAGACTGGCAGTGAGGGCATCAATCTTCTTCTCCAGCTCCGCGACGCGACTGTCCGTCTTCTTCTGGCGCTTGCGCGTAGGTGCCGTCACCACACACGTCCTGCCAGCCTTTGCACACCGCCGACATGCCCCAGTCGGGTGGTTATCATCCGGTTCGCAGCGGACCTTGAGCTGTCGACAAGCCTCGCACGCGCGCGGGCGCTTCAGATCCCCCAGAGGGTCATCAGGATCGATGTGGTGTTGTTCATGAGACGGCGCGCCTGCAATAGCGGCCGGTTCGCTGGGATAGTAGGAGTGCGACGCATGAGGGACAGCACCGTAGTAACCATGACCGCTGGAGGACGGCGTAGGCGAATGGAATTGATCACTGGGTGAGACATGCGAGGGCACCTCCGGATATCCACCCGTAGTCGAATGCGCAGACTGCGGCGTCGGCTCGTATGCGTGGTGGTGTAGGGCTGGCGAACCGGTTACACCGCCAGTAGTATTGTCGCCGGGAGATCGCAGACGAGGATCGATCTCCATGGTCTCCGCGATACCGATAGACTACAAACAAAACACAGGAACCAGGGATATCGCAGCCACCGGTGATATTCTCCGTGGTGGTCCCACGGGGAAAGGTAAGCGCGGGCGTGGATGGGGGCCTGGGAAACAAAGCGCTCGCGCGCACGTCAGCTTTTCCAATCGAGTATGAATTCATTCACTTTCGAGTAAGATTACTGTGTTCATTCGCTCCCATCCCTGGAGGACGGCCATCTCCAGGGGAGCAGGCGAAACGGTTCGCGCATACACCGGGAAATCCGGGGATAACTCCATCCCAGCAAACAGCAATGCGATTCCATCAAACAACTCACTTTATTTTGCACTCTAAAAGTATATCTACTTATCGGCCGTGGAGCTCGAGCTTCTCGCTTCTCGCGAGTCCCGCTGTGGTCGGCGACACGGTGAATCGGGCGCCGTGGCCCCGATGATCAGATCTGTTTATTATGATTATGATCTATTATCAGAACAGCAAAAACAAGAAGCGTCAGAGAAGATCATCTCAGTGAGGTCAAAGCCCCCCTCTGCACGGGTTGGTGAGCTGAAGCGAACCGATGCAGAAGATCGATGCTGGCCGAGAAGGAGTGGAAGAGAGAATGAACGAACTCGCTGGGAGGAAAAAGAAGTTGAAGTGGTTCAACTTAGCTTCCTCCGTTTACGGCCGGTTGCTCGGCTGTACTGAATGATTCATTTGCTTGCCTTCTTTCTGTCCACATTCTCCTCACGCCAGAGCAGGTGAATCTTTGCGATAAAGAACTTATTAATTGGTTTTATATTCCTCACTAATGGGACTTGTTGCGGATTCCCAGCGCATTTACGAGTGTTTCCCCTCGTTGTTTCGATGGTGCGGGGAACACTTATTCGACCGATTACATCCGCTGTATTATTTATGCTACAGTCACAAATACACCAAATAAACAATATGGGATCATATTGTCGATAACGACCCAGCCAGCCATCGTACACAGATCCAACTCCTAGCTAACAATACCCAATCATTCCTTCCAGGGATAGTAACACGGTGAAAATAACCAAAACGACCGACTTGACGATAACGCTAGAGACAGGGTTCGTGGCTGAAGCAAGAAAAGGATACAAACGCCAGTGGATGCGCGAGGGGCAGTAACAAGGAACAACCAAACTGTCGGGGGCATGTGCCGCGGTGAAGTAACCTCCTATAACCAGAACGACTCCCAAAAGGAACGCATGAGACATATCTACTAGGATATCGGGATAACAATAAAATCAAGAGCCGCTTCCACTGGGGATCCGCTCAGCCAGCTTTGTGGACAGGACACTCTTTCTTCCGTCCAAACCACTCGACAATGCAGCTCTTATGGAATTTGCATAGGCACTCCAGACGCGCCAGTTGCTGCCCGACCTCGTACTCCTCCATGCAGATGGTGCATTCCTGCGGCATACCATCATGGCCGACACAGTCTTTCTCCGTGGCGGTGAACGCGAGCATTCGCATCGGGTGTGGCGGCTGCGACGACGGACTGCCACTATGTGGTGATGAGCGCCCATGGCCCTCGATGCATGCGCGGATATGAGCCTCCCGGGCTTCCTCGCTGGCATCCGGGCCCCGTGGAGGGAGAATGTGGTTGCAGATAGGACAGATATCGCGCTCGTCAACGCGAGGGCGATGCGGGCGAGAGGACTGTCTAGGGCGCAGACCCGTCGAAGACGAACTGGCAATGTCATCCCGGGACGAGTCCCGATGGTGCATGGGCGATGGTCGTGAACCAAATGATCCCAGGAATTGGGATGCCTATTGACTAATTAATTTTTTTGCTCCACGGCAAGACCATCGCCGAGTACTTACCTGTCCCGTGAAAGTACGGGGAGAAGCGTAGGCCGGTGGTGAAGAATCGTGGTTATCAGAATAGGACGAAGCACGATAGCCCAGACCCCCGTATGACGCCAGGCCAGACGTGCCAGACTCTTCAGACTGAGACTATCAACTAGTTAGCAATCATTATACCAAAAGTTCTAGGCGCATGATAATAAACATACCAACATGCCATATCTACGCCTTCGTGCATCCCGATCTGCGGCAGCGGACATGGAATGATGGGGTCTATGCAATGGCTGACTCGCTGTTGACCCCGATCGAACAGCACCATATCCTGGCGGGGGATCAGGGTTCGGGTCAGGAACACATGGATTGCAGAGACGAACTTCGTCGCCACCACCCAGGGCAGGATTAAACGCCAGTTGATCCTCCCCGGACGGCGTTGATTGCTGAGCACCGTCACCGGTCAAATCCGCCACCTGCGAAAAAGCCGCACTGGGAGGAATGAACATCGACGCCGGTCGTCTATTAGGATCTGGCGGCCGCACAATAAACTGACGAGGGATCGTAATCCGATGCGGGGAGCATGCCGCACAGACGACCCGTCCGCACTTGCGGCAGTGATGTTTTCTATACCAGAAGCTGAAATGCGTCCCGCAGATGGGGCAATTGTCCACTTCATCATCCGGCTGCCACCGCGGTAGAATGTAGTCCATATAGTCATTCTCCCGCCTAGTCCGCGGCCACGCTCCGTTCGTCTGTCGAGACGAGGCATCTGGAGACGACAAGATATCAATAGCCGTAGCGCGGGACGAGCCTGGCGCAGCATCCTCCTCGCCCGTCTGAGGCGGCGGTGGGGGCAAAGGTCGATGTTGCAAATCGACCCGACTGCTGGAGCCAGGATCAGAGCCGCTGACGGTCAATGAGCGTCTCCGGGAAGCATCATCCAGACCGCCAGTCAGCCTTCTCTTGCGCTCCATTGCTATCGAGGTTGCCCGTCTCCGATCCAGCTGTCTCCTGTACTGCTCGTCGTTCTCGCCATGCGAGGACCGTATAGAGCCCATTCCACCACCATTTCCCGGTATCCGACTCGAACCGGACCCCGAACCAGCAGGACCGGAAGGCAAAGAATTCACAGACGCGGAGAACGCATCGGAAAAGGAGCTCGACTGGGACGACATGAACCTTCGTAGGGAGGGAGGGGCCGTCGCGGACGAGGAGAGCGGCGGGCGGGTGCGGGTTGAGGATGAGGATGAGGACGACAACGAGGACGACAACTGCGTTGATCTCACAGAAGAAGAAGAGGAAGAAGAGACCAGTCTCCGCCGCTTTGACGACGGGCCGTCATGGACAGCACTGCGCAAGGATGCCAGGGTTGATGCGGCACAGACGATAGCTAATAACTAAACGGGGTCTATCGTGAGAGAGAGATCCGATGGGAAAAGGACCGGAATGAGCGTCCGACGATGTTTCTCTTTTTTCGATGATTCCTCAGAACAGGTCAGACGAGTAAAAGTGTCTCTCTCTCTCTCTCACAGTTCGCCTCCTCCTGTTCTCGAGAGGAAGAAACCAAAACCAACGTGCAACAAATCCCAGATCGAAAGATGGCGTGAGGGTCGATCCCTTATCTGCGACGATCGGAGCAATGATCGATGGAACGAGCCACGGAGAGAGACGGGTTTCAGACGAAGAACAAGTCCTCCGCCAGGGCCAAAGCAGAGTAAGCTATAATTACTCCGTAGTCAGTAGTTAGGAGGTTAAGTCGGTTAGTTTTCGTAGTTCGTACACGTCGACAGGGCCTGTGCTTGACTTGACTTTCAATCGAAGCAGCGGAAGCTGAAACGAAGCACGAGAGAACGACGTCGTCAATCTCCACCTTCGAGTTCCCCCTCGTCGATGCGGTTCCCCCTTCAGATGAAAAGAAAAAAAGAAATATAACAAGAAAGAAACCAAAAGGAAATTTCGTAGTGACGTTCTTCCTCTCCCCGAAGTTAGTCAGAAGGGGAGAGAGAGAGAGAGCAATTGTTATCAATAATGTCTTGAATTATTCGCCGGCGGGGAACGAACAGTCCAGCGGGAAGACCCAATCCTAATCAGCAACCAGATAAACTAATAGCTTCGCACCCAATTCTCATTCTCCTTGCCACCCTGGTAGAATCGTGCAGAAAATATTTACTAAATGAGAAAAATCTGATTTGAAATCCCGATCTAAAATAACAGATCAAATCCAACGAGAATGCCTGACAGAGTCACCGACCGTCGATCTTTCTCACGAGACCACTCGCCACAGCTACGAAGACTCCATAACCAGCTCAAGCTATACTGATACCCGTGGGAAGGCAGCTGAACCAACATATATCGAACTATGTCAGTAATGAGCTTCTACTGACATCGAGGAATTAACTATGGGCGATGACTTCGTCAGCAGTGCCATACAATAAAAACCACCGGGGTCGGCTGCTATGGTCACAGGCTCAGGTATGGAGTTAAGCTAGTATTAATAAAATAGAGTATATTCATGATCAAAAACGCAAATTGCCGATTCACGCATTATTATCGCAACGCTCTGTATAGTCGATATGCATGCGCATCCTAACTGATCTTCCGGCTCGATCACAGCCCAACTTCCCTATCTATTCATACACGAATCGAAGCTCAGATCACACACGTATTGCAGGTCAAGCGCCCCAGGCTCAAAAGAAAGATAAACAAAAATACTTTCCCCCGCCGGCATGCCATGTGCAGGCCAGATCAAAACATTAAAAAAAGGCGTAAATAAAAATAGAAAAGGAGATTCGTCAAAGATGCAACGGAATCAAGAAAAGAAAACCTTCATGAAGCGCTCACTTGTTACCACGAATCCCCAGTCACAAAATACCGACAACATGTACAGACGGTAGACGCCAAACAAAACAAAAGGCTTTTGTTTTCAGGAAAAGGAAATTCGTAAAACGGCATAGATGTGCGGCCAGAGACGGCGCGCATGCAGACTTTATGCGACAAGGCGGAAGAATAAAGCAAAATACCTGAAAATATCCCGTATTCGAAAAAGAAATCGCTTCTTGCCCAAGCCTGGTCCTGAAGAATGGAGGACATCAGTCATCGTCCTCCACAGACTGTTGAGACGTCGACCGTACGAGCTCCGCCGCGCTGCCCCGGAACGAAGTCTCCTCAGGGCTGGCTTCGTGGATGTGATCGCGGGTCCGATATTGAGCAACATGACCCATACTCGAAGGTCGATCGTGCCGAGTGTCCGAGGCGAAGTTCCCAAGCACGGAAGCGTGTCGAGGCTGACCGTGCTCGTCCAGAACGGTATTGGGAGCGCTGGACGCTGTCGACGCGACAGTTGACGACATAGAAGCGGTTCGATCCCCGTTGCTGGGCTCTCGCGTGCTGAAGGGTAACCGGCCAGTTTGCGAATCTGGAGACTGCACAGGGGTCGATCGAGATCCAGGCGGGTCGTATGGCCGTGGAGTCGCATCTTCTTCTCCAGCCGGTGACAACAGCTCTGATGTCCTCGCAGAGTCCTCGAACTCCGTCTTGATGTATGATAGTCGCTTGGAGCTCTTCCTCGGCACGGGAGGCTGGTCGGGATCATCAGAGCGCGCCTGTGGCTCCCGTTGAGATCCTGTGCGATCCGGAAGTTCTACCTCACCACCAGAATCAATCCGGGGCAAGCTCGGGGGCTGCAGCGCACTGGGCCGAGTGTTGTCGTCGCCATCCGAGTCACGGTAGGATGTATCGGTTTCGGATAGCTGTCGCGAATGTGTACGCGATAACCCGCCAGCTCTCCGGTCGTCGGAATCGCGGGCTCCAGGATCATCCCGGTAAGGCTCATGGAATTCTTCGCCTTCAGGCGGCGGGAAAAGCCCAGGGGGCGGAGCACGCGCACTCCGTACGACCTCGAAGCCTTTGTTTTTCTCCTTGGTCTTCCCTCCGAAGATACTGCGGAACCAACCAGTTGCCGACGACACAGGACCCGTGGGATCAGCAGGGCCCGTTTTCAGTTTACGAGTGCCTGTGTGAGACAGCGCGGGTCCCCGGACACGGTAATAGAAATCAACTTCACGGACTGCATAATCCTTCCTGACTGGCCGACCGTCGTCAAAATCTGGGTCGTCCCTCGAAGCGCCCAGGTAGGCAGCGGCCGGAGTGGCTCCAGATGGGCCATCCAGTATCTCATCTTCTGCGTCGCTGTTGCTCGACTGTTTCTGGCCAGGCTCGTCAGATCGTTGTGATTGACCACCCTCCAGAGTCTTGCGTCGTGGCCGCGGTGGACGGTAGTACGGGTCATGTATCTCCATCCCGATGATCGGACCAACTTTGGGCGACGTATTGCCCATGGCCTGATAACCGGCTCCGTTGATAATCCCACTGCCTCCGAGACTCGTTGGGGTATAAGGTCCACTACTGTTGGCTCGGCTATGGCCGCGGCCCTGTATGCTGCCCAGGTCCAAGTCTCCGCGGTTGAGGAGTAAAGCGGAACTCCCTGAAAAGCTCCGCGTTCGCGACCCGTCGAATTGAGCAGATCTTCTATCATCCACGCCACCCAGTATGGCAGCTTCGGAGTTCATGCTTTGACGAGTGACGGCGCGCGGTGAGCGACGGGACAATTGACGCATACCGAAGACCTAGAGGACAAAGCATTAGCTTAGGCATATCATGCATATGGTGACCATAAGGGGATCAACAAACCTTAGTGAGACCACCTCTGGTTGCAACGCCTTCGTAACCGCCAGCGCCAGCCAGACGCACCGCGACCTCAACCAGGGTCTGCAACGCGTTGAGAAAGAACCCAAAGACGAGCACAGCAGCGTGGATAAACAAGATAATGTATCCGATCCAGCCTCGAGAACCCTCCGTGACGCCCAGCGAAGGAACAAACGTGACGCTAAGCAGGAGGACGACAAACCGGATGGCAGAGAAACAGGTGTGGTAGAGATTCATGGAAGTCGCATAAGGGAATGGGCGGAATGCAACGAGGGTCAGGACAAAAATGACTTCGCAGATTGCTAGAAGCACAAGCTGCGCTATACCCGAAGGTTGCAATGCACCGATTGCAACTCCCCGCAGGAAAGTAAGGAATACGGGGATCAATGCAAACGGCGCCGCATCATCGGAAAAGGTGTTGTATAACGGGCCATAGAGGAGCACAGTCGAAAGATCGTCGAAAAGATAAGACCTGGGTCGAGTGCTGACGATCAACCGTATCAGCCACACGGCAAACCCGACCAACACCACGATAAAAATGACTGCCAAGGTGACCGCAACAACAGGCGAGTGGTTTGCAACGACCAACTGGAACATTGACAGGGATACCAGTGGAAGCAGTAGGTAATTGAACATAACCCGAATGACATTACCCACGGTGAAAGGCATATTTTTTGCACGAAGATCTTCCTCGGGTACGTTTGCAATCTGACGGTGGAGCCAGCGTAAGGCAAAGGCAACCTGGATTAGAGCGGTGACTCCTCCCAGAATGAGCAGAAGGTAGATGGCCATCCCTGGCCAAATGTCGTCCGCCTCAGCCATGCCAACGTGCTGGCCCAGCCGTGCCATACCATAAGTCGCGTTGACGGTATAGACGCCATCCTGGACTGGGTTGATTTCGTTATGACTAACAAAACTCTGGTTAAACATCAGGGTAGACCAGCTTGCTCGGCTGACCACAGGCTGGTAGAAACCCGGATAGTCGAGGTTTAACCCTCCAGTTAAGACGACAAATTGGATATATTGCAGACAGTCCGCAAACCCAGGCGTAACTAGACGCAGGAGATCTTGATCGCGTCCATAATTGGTTGTCCACCGAAACGGGTCCGTCGAACCCCACGGGCTGTACATTGCTGCCACTACTGTGGCAATGCCGACGGCCACCAAGATTATGAGAGGGACGTATCTGAAAGTATCACCCAGAGTCGCGCCAATGTCCGGGGTGATATTCATGGATATGCATGCAAGGTCGGCGTTGGAAGCGTCTCCAGATCTCACCCGCAGTGTCGGGACTATGGTCGCGAAGCGATACGACGTCAGCATATCATGCTGAATGGAGAAGGCTCGCAACTCGGATAAATCGCTCCTGTTGATCGTCAGCGGCGGAAATCATCGGGAATAGACGCTACATACGCATTGGCATAAAAGACCGGTCCCAAGGGGCACTGCCCCTGGGTGACAGAAGTACAGAACCGTGACGCATTATCATACGGGGTGAAGCTCAGGACATTGAGTTTCGTGAACAGTGTTGTGTATTTGTTATTGGACTTGCTCAGATCAATGATCTTGCCCAGCGTGTCGTTGGGATTCGACCACTGCGGATCATCGGGGGCAGGATATGCCTCGTCAGTTGCAAGACCAGACACGTTGCCGTAGACCGTAACATTAAGAGTATGTAAAGTATCGCTGGGGTCGTATACAACACTGGCGTTCAGCGGAACGAACTGAAGTTGGAGAGGATTAGAATCGATAATAACCTTCTCGAGACAGTTCTCGAAGTTCACGAAGGCACCCGCAACTGGAGAGACCAGTGATATGAGAAACAGAAGTAGAATAATTCCTAATGAACCACTGTGGTAACGTGCCGTTCGCCGTCGCGGAAAAGCATTATCGTCGGGGTGGAACCGAGAGCATTCTGCGGTTATGCTGCTCCGTCGATATGGAACTTCTTGCGGCTGAGAGATGGACCACAACTGCCCCCAGCGTGAAGTATCCTCCCATTTCACATCATGTCCCACATCCATGTTGAGCATCACTGCGACAGGGACGACCTCCTGGGGCAGTCAGCCCCTCCAGCTCCTTTGCTCCACGATGTGCAGAGCTTTCCGTATGTTCCTATCTCTGTTGTTTTGCCCTTCCTGCCAGTCCTTATAACCCTCCAACTCGACTTAAGGCACTCTCGGGAGCAAGGGAATAAAGCGTAGCCGTTGGCGATGGGATTTTCCTTCGTAAGGCTTTGGGTATCGGACGTAACAAATGGCTGATCACCTCCGCATTGTTTGGCCCCAATTGGCCCAGCTCCGTCCGTCACAGGCCACCAAACATCACCGTCCGTCGCTGGCGGCAGAGAGTTAGATTCTGAAGATGGCGATCAAGAGCAAACGAGCAGAACAGAGATGTGAGCTCTGATGGAGGTGACGTTGTCTAAAGAGAAAACCCCCGACGGTGAAAAAGGCGGAATGCGCGTCTAAGCCTCAGCTTTCAGCGTATCGGGCCGGGCGGTGGGCCAACCGCACGAGACTCTAATCTTGGAAACCCCCAAAGCCCACTTGGATTTCTTCGCTTCGGCCTCAAATGGTTTAACGAGGGGATCCTGAACGCCCGTCCCTGCTTGATTGATTGATCGACAGTCCTCACTCCTAAAACACAACGCTCCCCTCCTAATCCTCGAGTTTCGAAGCCGTTCGACCCCACGGCCTATGACGAGACAATAATAAGGGAGTTAGTTATCGAAAGCGGATCCGACAACACAGAGATTATCACCAAGTTGCTAACTACTTGTGCCATTGTGGGCTACGTACGGAGTAGTTAGTTCTCGTGCTAAAAAAGAAAAGAAAAAAAGTATTGACTGTCCCAACTAGGCCAACTCTGCCCGAACCGAAGCCTCTAAACGGCATCTACAACACCATCTAGAGTATGGACTTCCAAATTTGGACACAACACAAAGCGACTCCTTACATTCCTGCTCCACAGGAGGCTTCCAGGCACTACGGTGGACTACACCGGTCTAGCAATGACAGAAGCAGACCGACCGACACTCTGCTCCCCATCCCCCGCCTGACTGGTGGAAACGTGCTTGTCATTTGTCTAATCTCTCCTGGTGTCTCACTCGTGTCAGGAAAGTCGCGATGCTCCGGTTGATTCGTGGCTGGACGACGAGTCTTGCAAGAATCCATTCCACACGACACGGGATCTCGCATGAATGTCTCTTCGGGGATACTCCGTAGAGGACAGCCTTGTACGTGCTCTTATCGTATTCTGCGTGGTAAGTATCGACCAGGTTTCCGAAATATACTCAATAATAATAACTACTCCGGATTTGTTTATCTGTCTCAGCTTCATCCAACTGGTGTCTGCTGACAGGCGGCCTAACCAGTAAAGGATTCGGGCTGGTCTTAGCGTCCTAAACCACAGCCTTTTAGTATAAGCCACACAGCCCCGTGAATAGTTAGCTTAGATAGTCTAGATGATAAAAATATATCACGGGCTTTGCTGATTAGGGGAGCAATACTTAGTGGGAAAGCTCAAAATACTCTACAAGCAGTTAATTACCCCTTAACGGCTATCATTAATAATTCTCATCTTGGCTAATATTAGAATATTTGCGCTCCTAACTATCATTATAGTATAACTATTTTCCCAGATTAGAAAACTTGAATATTTTATCTAATGCAGTAACCACGACAACCCCCCCTGGACGATCACTATGGCCTCGATCCATGGTTCAGCATAACCTAACCTTTCCCCCCCGTACTTCTTAGTCCCAATATAGATAAAGATAAAAATCAACAACCAAGATAAAATTTCCTCGGGTATCTCCGTGATACGTCATGTTTCACTATTGAACCGCACACTTAAGAAAAAAAAAAAAAAAAAAAGTACGAGGGCACTACTAATAAAAATGAGAAAAGTTCCTCAGAAAACGAGGGACGCCTTATAAATCAATAACGGTATTAACTAACCAGTTAGTTAAGAGAAGGTAAGCTGAGCTGAGCTAAGAGGTAATACGGCGTAGTAAGCGATAAGATCTAACTACTGTATATATTTATCCAATAATAATAAATAGTCCTAAGTTAAAGTTTATAGCAATATTCGTCTCATATCAGTAAGTAATATAATGTAACGTCGCACCACGGGGGCATATATATACTACTGAACAGTATATAGAGACATAGAGAACTAGTTCTGTGAAGAGCGCAAACGGCGTAGATAACTCTACTTATTTAGCAAGAGAATTAACATGCTCGAATAGTTACTTACATATGTAACTAGAATATCCGAGGCCCCGTGAAATCGACGCCGAAAACGACCACTTTGGATGTCTAGCCTAATTGTCCGGCGCATCCTCATCATATAGATCATTCCAAAACATTATATCCTCCAGCATTTCCTTACTCAAATTAGCATTCACGAAATGCTCCAATTGTGGCGTTCTAATCCGACGATGGACTTCTCCAGCGGTCTTCCAGCCGAGAAACCCAGCCATTTCCCAATCAATAAGCCCCACGATTGAACCATTGTTAACGATACAGTTAGATAGAGTCAAATCGTTATGCATGAAGCTCATATCTGGATTATTATGATTGGTGGCTGAGAAAAGGATCTCCATTTCTAATTGATTGATTCGACCGTTGGTAAGTATGTTTGGGTCTGGGACCACGTGAGAGCGAGATTGAAGTTGAAGTGTCTCTGTGGGTTTGATAGTGTGAAGTTGACGGAGTATTTTCCTGGCTTGTTCTTTGTAGGAGTTTTTCGACTCTTTTGAGAGATAAGGCCATGCAACACAGAGTGCAACACCTGGAAGCCTTTCTTGGACGAGCACTTGGCGACCATTGATCTAAGCGGACATGAGTTATTGAGTCGACAAACGAGTAACTTAGTTGGCAAGAGGAAGGAAGTAAGTACCTTGCCGGCAAAATAGATCTCTGGAACTTTGATATCCTTCAGAACGGTCTTTGCCAGAGCAATTGCTTGAATCTCATTGGCATCGGCGTATGAGAAGTCAATCTCTGTATATTGAGGACCGTCGTGCGCGTGGAGATGGCTGGACTTGACGATCACGCTACCAAGAGCAAAAACATCGCGGCCTCCTTCATCAGAAGGGTAGATTCGGATCTGTTCAGTACAGAGTTGAATAACAAAGGTCCAGTATCTCAGGGAGTCTGTAGTCTGGGAGTTGACATGCTGGAAATCAACGCGGAAGTCGTCAGGTTTCGGGTAGTATCGACCATAAAGGGGTACATCCGCGTATAAGTCGGTTGGAGGGATTTTTTCTGGGTCTGCTTCATATGGGTTCGTCATGGTGGGAGAGGCAAAGTACTATTAAACATTGGAGGGTCGCTTCTCCTTATGTTGAGTGCTAGCGAAGCGATAGCTAGGACACTTCCTTTGACGCCCTTCCAATTACCTACCTAGGTCGTCAATTCCTTGCGAATATCACGTGTTGATATGTCTGCATATGTTCCGCTTTGGATATTACTATCTGCTTCTTGGGTTCGTTACATGCGAGCATAGACCTTTGCCCATCAAGAAAAATGACACCGACTTCTACGTTGTTGATGAACTTGGCGGACACAACGTCGTTATTGCCTGCCTACAGGGTAACCAAGCAAAAGTACCACGGCAATTCTCACCAGTTATATGGGGAGAAGTTCTCCGTCAGTCAAGGATCGTCTTCTGGTCAGCATTGGCGGCAGTGTTCCAAACACGAAACATGATATTCGCTTGGGTGATGATGTTGTAAGTCTGGCGGATGATAAGCATGATGGAGTTATTTGATATGACTAGAGGAAGGGTACAGAGCGGTTCTCCTACTATCCTTAGAACTGCCGTTCTGGAAATACAATTAGATCAACTGTCTAAAGGAACCAGAGTCAAGAAATACATCTCAGAAAAGCTTCAGCGACGGTGTTTCTAATCTACTAAACGCTGTTGGAGCTGGATTTCCTATTTGACCCCGACTATCATCACTAACACATTCATATAAATACGAAGACTGACTTGAAAACAGTCATGGAAGACCTCAGCGATAGAGAAATCACCCGTAATGTACTACAGGTTAATCGCATCGGGAAGAATTCGCGGAAGTGCCACAAGAAGGATTGCCATCTGCCAATATATCAGTGGGTATACTCTGCTTCGAATGACGCTGCTGATCTTATGACTGAGTTTCCGTGTATGGTTATCAGAGGGATCTCCTGTGAACTGAAGAGAATCGGAGATCTTGAGAGGCGAGAATGTCTTTGCTACTCTCACGGATCATGCTTTCACAATATCAAAGGATCTGAACATAGACGCCTGTCTCTTCTCTCTTCCATTGATGCACTCGATGAATGTGACATGGTTCAACTCCAGTTATAGAGTATATTGCAAAAGAAGCCTGCAGTCCCCTGTCAAAGGCAAAGTAGGTCATCTCGTTGCGTGGACATGTATGACGAGCCTCACCTTAGATCCAATGAAGTGTGTATTTCCAAAGCGATCAATCACCTTGAAAACCAAGTCGGACAGTCCATTGACAGAACGGAAGGGGTATTCCAGTGACCTACCACCACTCTATGTTCCGTGTCAGCCCTCATTTGTATGCTGCAAATCTGGGATAAGTGTAGAAACCGGAAATATTCTCTTCAGATGCGATGCGCATTTTTCGACTTTTAGAACCTCAGGATCTCTATCCGACAGTCGACACGCAAATATCCAGCGAATTCAAAAGTGCGTTGCTTCTGCGTATATTTCTCGAACACGTCCACATGGGATAGTCAACGATTGATATTCGAGTATCGCTGCCAGTTCCCCCGTGACAGTTAGATCGAGAAGCATAAGCATACAAATACCTTTTCTCTTCCACAGAGACGAGTGTGCACGTTTTTAGGAACAAAAAGCGGCGCGATTCCACCAGAGAGTCAATCCCGTTCGAAATCAAAGTCAATAACGTAGCTTCGACGGTATACCCCTGGGAATGCAACAACTAGGTCCTCAAGACAGCGCAATGACCGTATATGATTTCCCACTGGAGACTCTCACCATAGACGACCAAGCTAAGCTTTGAGGCGTAACGGGTTCTGGGATCGTCCCGGGACTTCCGATCGGTTGCAATTCTATTGTTGAACGCCGAGTTATGTAGAGTAGAGTACGGTTGTGGCTTTCGAAGCCGAAAAATGTGAGCTGGAGATGACTGGTGGAGACCGAAGCAGTGAGGAGCGTTGAAGAGGTGATCCAGCAAAATCAGATAACCAACTTAGTTACTAGGGATAATGATTCAGATGATAGGATGTTGCATACGTCCATCCCTTCTTTAGTGAACGTGAATTGGGTAGTTCTTGCGAGGGTTCCCTGTGTGCACTCGGTTGGATGGTCTCTGTTTAAGTAGGTAGAGAAGAGAGGGCTCCGGGGAAAGAATCGTCTCCGCTAAGTACAGTGGAATGCTCCCTGGGCACGTGCCGCGGTGTTTTTATCCCTCACTGACAGTATTACTCTTCCTGGCTATGGTAGGGTTCCGCTGTCAGTGATCTAGTGAAAAGTCCAAGAAAAAAGGAGGAACTGCTGACGACGGTTATAATGTTATGTTTCTCGTTGTCGACGTGATTAAAGTTCAACGACCGTGTCTGGTATCCCGCTATTGTAGCATACGGAATTCGATTGAAGAAACATACGTAGAAAAAAGAAGAGCCAGTCGAATAGTGAGATTCATCCGCAGATAATTAGCGACGTCGGATGGCTGGCCTGGTTTCAACGCAATACCGATGGCACAGCATGATTCTACATATAAGTAGTATGCGAGCAGCCAGAGATATCAGGGATACGGAGTATTATGTCCAGTTAGAGCACGTTCGATGGCATTCTAGCCCGCTGCTTATCTGTGAGTTTATTTGGATAGCTTTCTCGTCGAGATCGCAAGTAGTAAGTCTGCTACACATCAGCATCATAACTCTATCTAACTATCTCGTGGACAGGAAGAATTATTATTATTCACTGGTTGATGGACATGATGAATCACATTCAGGATGACGGCAAGCGTTGAGTCTGTCTGAGCTCGGACGGGAGCGGGATCCATCGATCTGCAACGCCCGTGGGGATCTGCTTGCCGTGCTGGATCGTTAGGAATAATATGTACACACTGTGAGTTGACTTTGACTGGAGTCGATGCGATGCTGTTCTACCATGACGACTACCATACGGAGTACTCTGTATTTAATTGTCCAGTTAATTATTAGATCAGACGATTTTAGGGACACAAAGGGTACAGTAGTTTATTAATAATAAGATCGAGGGAATAAAATGAGCGTGAGACCCGGAGAATGAGGTGCTGGGACCAGGCGTGAAACCAAGCCCATCTCTTCCGCGATGGTCGATTTGTCCCCTGGATCATCGCGGGGCGATGACGTACCTGCCGAGTGGTTGCGCCCGTGGATTCTATTTATGAGGATTTCCAGGAAAAAAAAAAAAAAGAAAAAGAAAAAGAAAGAAAAAAGAGAGGAAGTTAAGAACGACAGAAACTCAAAGACAACAGCCTGAAGGTCAATAGAAATGATCAGAAGAGAGTATTGATTATTGTACTGTAATTCCTCATTGAAGCGAAATCCCAGCGAGGTTGATGCACACTGGCTGAAGGCCCGCAGAGAGCCCGAGCAATGTGTGAACTGTGAATAATGCGTGCCTGGGAGTTGGGGACTGTCCGCCAATCAGCAGCCGAGGAGGAGACGACGCGCTGGCCAGGGCGGGCTTAGCGTGGTTTCACCAGCAGCCGACAGCCAAGAAGAAGTCCCCGGTTGGCCCTGAGTAACTGGTTAATGGTTGTACGGGGAAGAAGACGGTGAGACCGGGATGATGGATGCTGTAGTGGATGTACAGAGTATGGTAGTATTCTAGAGGATATTGGTTGTGTGTGTTATATTATTATTTTATTGATTGTTGTATTATTATATATAAGGACCATACAAACACCTGTAGCTCGCCGTTAGAAACACCAGCGTCGATGGCTGCAACTGCTCCGTCGTCTCGGGTGGAGCACGTGATAACGATATGCGGTCCTTCTGTATTACAGAGTAGTTAGTTAGTTAGACGTCCCTACTGGAGAAGAAGAAGAAGAATAATAATAATACTGGACACAGTAACAACAGAAGCAAGAACGCAAGCACATCGAAGGAAACATGGCGAGCACATAGAACTTATTCCTCCCTGCCGACTCGCCACCGTCCGCCATCGCTGACACCTCTCTTTGTTGTGTCCCTCTGATCCCTCGCGCCCTTTCTTTCGTCCCCCTTCAGTCGTGCGAAGCTGGGAGCGAGGAATGACGCTTTAATTGGGTCGGGGTAGATCTTGGGTCCCAGGTACTCCACCAGACAACGAATGCCCTGAAGCTCTGACACCCCTCTCTCCGTCGGCCTTTCTTTCTCGCTCGTTTATATTATCCTCTGCATCCCGTCACCGGTTGACGATCTGCTTATCCTACTTCTGCTGCTGCTGCTTCTTTTACTACTGCTTCTTCTGTTTCTGCTACAACATCGTTGAAGGACTCCGTCCGCCCTGGTGGCTGGCAGTCTTTACTCGAACCCCACTGACGAGTCCTTATCAAAGGGGACCGATCAATACCCCCTGTCGATCCCCCAGTCGCGCGACAAGGGAATCAGAGGGCCAGCATATGAACCGCCCAACTCCCTCATCCCCCAATTCCTCCGCATTGACCGACTCTGCGATGATCATCGCCTGTGCTGCCATCACCAACAGGTAGTTCGCGTTGGGTTAAGGTTGACGTTGACGTTGACGGTGACGGTTAACGGTGACGGTGACGGATACAGTCGACATGGCTGGAGAGGACCCCTTTGCCTTTGTGGCCGCTGAACAACCAAAGCCGGTGAAGCACAGACACAACTGGAAAGGCAAGCTCTTTTCGAAAGATAAGAACGGTCACAAATCAACGGACCAACAGGTCGAGGACTTCTTGAATACCGCACGCCACAACCATCAGACCCAGCTCCCCCCGAGAGCTGTCCCCCCAGCGCCTCGCATAGATGTCTCCGTGTCGCAACGATGGCCTGCGTCGCACGAGACCCCCAGTGCCTCTCCGCACTCCTCCCCACCGTCCGCGCACGATCTCGTCCCGCCGGCGAGCACGTTCAGGTCTGCCCCCAAGAAACCACACAGGCGAGGATTGAAGGTCTCCTTCAGTCGCCATGCTCCCGATGTCATTGGTGAAGGCGGTGACGAGTGCGAGGTTCCCACGGTGGAAATCTATCGGTCTCACCACCGGTCGAGGAGCCAGAGCTCAGTCCAGGCGGGTTCGCAGCAGGGTTACGCGCCCTACCCTGGTCAGTCGAGAGCCCCCGAACTGCACCTAGACACCTCAATGCCAGGAAGAAGACCAGATGGGATCACCATCAGCAATGAGCCTCCGACACCAGAGGACGATTCGCCCCGGGGCGCTCCCCGGAACCCTCTATTGCTGAATACGCAGGATGCGGACTTCTTGATGGCTTTGAGTTCGGGCCATCGAGACGCCCGGCTATCGCTACGAAATTCTCCAGACCCCAACTCCTTCGCAAGACGGGTGCAGGCGAAGATGCGTGCAGAGGAAGGTCGCGCGCTTCAGCATCGTCGGGAGGAACCCATGTCCCCGGATAATGCAGAGAACGACATTCGAGCACAGCAGGAAAATCTGCCTCTACGACCGTCTATCAATTCCCAGCTTACGTCCTTGAGCGCTGACACGGATGACGTCTCATTGAATGTGTCTCTACGAGCTTCTCCAGTTCCAGCAGTTCACGAGCGGCCATCTGACACGCCCGAACCAACTCTGCCGTCCGTCCTCCCAACAGCTGCACCGGTCCAGGTGCTTTCGCCGCCACCCCGGTCCGTTCTTCGAGGCGGAGACCATTCTTCAGATTATGGATCGCGGCCGACGAGCCGTGACAGTCGAGGCAAGGCGCCCAGCCCGGGACCCAAGATGACCTTGCGATCAGCCGCCAGTGCAGTCGGAGACAGTGCGTTTGCGGAGTTTGCGGCCTATGCGGAACGATCCTACCCTCTGTTTCGACTGGCTGCGGCTAACTCCAAGCCTGTGCTGGAAACTCCGCTTGCAGAATGGATCAGAACCGCGGTCTGGTGGTTCCTGCGCGGACGATCGCGCCTGGAGGCAGCTGTGCGTTCGCGGAAACACAATCTCGCGGAGGCTGCCCGGCAGGCGGTCGTTGACCTTGCAAAGTCTTTGTGGATCAACCAGGAGATTGTCCCTCAGCTCGCAGAAATCGCTCGATACGGCCAGGGTGGCGTGGATGCTCTTCTCGCTATCGCAAGCAGCACTGGCGATCAGTATTTGGCGGATACGCTGGGACTTCACCAGGGGATGATGAGCCATCTCCGCGCGCTTACGATGTCGATGAAGCGAAACAATATCATTGCGGCCGCACCCGAACAGGATGTACTCGACCAGCGCCTGGACACATCGGTGTGGATCAAATATCCTCAGTTCACGCCTGATGTAGTGACAATCCTTTCCGGGGCCACGAAATCTATGGTAGTTGACCGAGCTGCCAAGGCGAATACGGCCGAAATGATGCCTTTGAGTGACACTCCCCGCTTTTTCACCTACGGCAGCATGTTCGTCAGTGCGTACGTGAGCTCGGGTGACGATGATTCCGATCAGTATGCCATCCCATGCGTGTTATCGATCATCCGCGACCGCGGAGATTGGTACGTTCTCGCGGCCATTTCCAGCCAAAATGACCTGGTCAACATTGTCATCCAGTCAGATAGGAAGAAGGGCCCAACTTGGGACGATGTGCAATGGCAGGTCAAGTCATTTTCTATCGAGGTCCGTCTTCCTCGTGGCTTCCGGCTGGACGTCGTCTTTGACGAAAGCGATTTCAAGATTATCTGGAACATCGTAAAATACACCCGCCGGATCGAGGAGAGCTTGCAACCAGAGCCGGGAGAGCGAGTCCTGTTCGAAAACACCCTGAAAGTGTTCCAGTACATGGACCCGGGCACACCAAAGGCGTTTCCTGCGGAGCCCATCCAACGATGCCGCATCCGCTTGTTCGAGAAGTTTGTCACACTCACCACTGGCACCGGGAAGAGAGAAGCTCATCGCGGTTTTCGCCTTTCTGTCGTGACCAGCCCGAAAGTCAAGACGCTCAGTAACGTGCAGCATGCGCTGGGAGAGGGCGCCCCCATTGTGTATGGCTATCTTCGCGGCGAAGACGGATCTCCGGCCTTTCTGCTTAATGTCACGGAAGACGGAAGAACTCGTTCGATGCTGATGACATTCCATGAAGTTGCGGAGCGTACAACTCTGCATTCGCTTCTCCTGGGTATGGTCCCCAGTGACAAGGAGTTCAAGATCTCTGACATTCCGATACGCTCTTTCGCCATCGAGCAGCCGGCCGACGTGTTCTCGGGCCAGCCGGCAATCACACATCTCCAGTTCCCGGCTGGTGCGGCCTCCGTTATCGACCAGGAACCCGGATTTGTCGAGCATGGATATGGACCGACCATCTTGTCGGAACATCTGAGAACCTTTGTGAGCACGGAGTGGGGTTCTGTCACGGACCGCGTCAATATAGGTATGATGGTGGTTTGACCTGAGCTAGCTTGGAACGTTGCTGACTCTGTTTAGGCCCTGGCGAGTTGAAGATCGGACTGGATGTGGGCAAGAAGACGGTCTTGAATGTGTACCGGCCTCCTCAGGAAGATATGACCATTTCTGTTGCGGAGAATTTGGTCGCAAAGGACTATCCAGAGACTGTAACAAAACTGCTCCAGCTCATGAAGTCTACACCTCTGGTCCGCAAATACGAGTTTGCTTCGTTGCAGGGTGAGTCTTGAGGGATACCCCCTCCCCCGAAAACCTTGGACAGACGCTGATTGTGCTACTAGATCTGCATACTTTCCAGGCGGCCTTGACGGGCTTCAAGGTACTTTATGATGGGTATGTTTGTGAAGTGTCAATATTATGAGCGCGCAGCTAATGTCTGTAGGATGGCCTCTACATTCGCGATCTCGCGACGTAGGATGGTGGTTCCCATCTACAAAAAATGGGAGGCGAACATGGCTCGAATCCAGGTGATTCAGCAGGATCGTACGATCCAGCTACTGGCTTTCTTCGCCGACTTCAGTCATGGAAAAAGCATGAACTTTGTCCTGAAGAGCACAGACACCTTGGAGAGCTTTGGTCGGACTGGGAAGTTTGGCATTCGGATCGTGGACGCCAAGTTTGCCCTGCCAAGGACCGGCGACGAGTCGGCACCGTACGTCTGCCTGGATATGCCAGAGTATCCCAGCGAGCACGACGACATCGATATCGCTTTTGACACTGAGTCAGGTAAGATTTCACCCGGATCTGTACATGGGTCTGGCTAATCATCCTATAGAGCGTACCAACTTCCGGTCCGTGATCCCTGCTACGATGAAAGAGCCGTCCCGAATGAAGTCTCTCCGTCGATAAGCGGACGACAACCCCTTGCAATGCTGATCTTTGAATACCATGCCTCTTATGTGTACCATAATGATACCCCTAAACAATGTTCTGCCTTTCGCGGATTCTTTCACGTGACTTCCCCATACATTGCGCTATCTCGACCCCGCCTGTGACAAATCCCCCTCCGATTAACTAAGTTACTCCGTACCTTCACTTCTCAACGAGGATCACCTTTTTGAGTCTATTGTATTCGGGCAATTGAACCTGTAACGAAGAAGTTTGTAACCAAGTAAGAATGGCGAACCCTGAGAAAGCCCGCCCTGCTACCTTGGCACTGCATGCCGACGATGTTCTGAACAATGTCACCGATGTCGCCCCTCCGCTACACCTGTCTACGACGTACAGATATTCTGACAACCCTGCGGATCTTGTCCCGTGGGCAGATGCTACCGTATGCTCTGGAGGCCTTTGGTCTTGCTTTCAAAATGCTCACCAGACCAGGAACACCACACTGACCCTAAGACTCATATCTACTCCCGCTTCACCTCCCCGAACGGAACCCGGTTCGAAACGATCCTCTCTGCTCTCACCAATGGTCACGCTCTGACGTATTCTTCGGGTCTGTCCGCGTTGCATGCCGCTCTGGTCCTCTTCAATCCTCGCCATATCTCAATCGGAGAGAACTACCATGGGTGTTTTGGTGTGATTGGTTTGATGTCGCGGTTGACAGGGCTGCAGCAGCTCGACATTGACTGTCCGGCTGAGCAGCTGGAAGCTGGCGATGTTGTCCTCCTGGAGACCCCAATCAATCCCCACGGTGTAGCCTCGAACATCGAGGAGTATGCTAAGAAGGCGCACTCTCGCGGAGCGTTCCTGATCGTGGATAGCACTTTTGCTCCGCCTGGCCTGCAGGATCCGTTCCTGTGGGGCGCAGACCTTGTCATGCACTCTGGCTCGAAATATTTTGGCGGTCACAGCGATGTACTCTGCGGTGTGCTGGTCACGCAAAAGAAGGCGTGGTATGATAAACTGCTTGGTGATCGCTTGTACCTGGGGAGTGTCATGGGAAACATGGAAAGCTGGCTCGGGGTGCGCAGCTTGCGTACTCTTGAAGTCCGAGTGCAGCGTCAGAGCCAGAATGCGGAGCGACTGGTCGCCTGGCTGGACAATGCTATGCAGACGTCGGATCCCCAGGCAGGCAGTGACGAGGCCGTTGCGAAGGCCACTCTGCACAAGGTGTACCATGCCAGTCTTCAGAAAGAGGACATGTCCTGGCTTCGCAAGCAGATGCCGAACGGGTACGGTCCGGTGTTCTCTATCATTCTCAAGAAAGAGGAATATGCTCGGAAGGTCCCGACCAAGCTTTCTTTCTTCCACCACGCGACCAGCCTGGGCGGCGTCGAGTCGCTTATTGAATGGCGGACCATGACGGACGCCAAGATCGATCGCAGACTGCTGCGGATCAGCGTCGGTCTGGAGAACTGGGAGGATCTGAAGAACGATTTGGTTGCGGCGTTCCGGGCTGTGCTGGGGGAAGAAGCGTAAATAAATGGCCCTCGATCATAAGTATAGATTAGATACAATAGATTCAATACATTGCTGAGATATTACCATCTCGACCCAACCCTTGTCTAACTAGGTAGTAGCAGCAGCAGTAGTATTAAAACCCCGCATGCACCATTCCGTCATGATCGTCACACTTTCAATCATCCTTCCAATCATCGCCCTAGAGAAATCTAATTCTGTCTAATCATAATATTACTATCCGAATTTCGAAACACTAGTATACTCCTTGCTATTGCAGTATTCGGGAAGTAACTTTCCACCAAGTACCTAACCTACCTAGATAAATACCCCGCACTAAGTAACCCCGCCAAACTTTGGGGGGGAGATTCGATTCTGCCGGTTTTCATCCGATTTTCAATCACAATCATCGATCATCGATACTCTGGGAATCGATATGCAGTTCAGGGATACAGTTTAGGTAATTGCTGAATACTGCTCTAGGGGGATATACGCAGGAAGATCCCCGCGGACAGAAGTACCTACCTACCTACCTAGTGTGATGTTACGCACGGCTTGACTTACTTATCTCTGTTATCTCAACGACCTGACGAACCATCGCATGCATATTATTACCTACCTACCTACCTATCTAATTGATTGATCTCTCCGAAATCAACAACAAACCACAATTAACTCGAATCGAAACAAATCGAATCGACTCGAGTCCCCTCTTCATTCATTCATCTACATACATACATCTTACACCACCCGAAAAAATGCCATCCAAATCGGAAACATCCACACCTCCACAACCCACCGGAACATTCCAAATCCACTACTTCGCCACCGCAGCCAGCTACACGCGGAAACAAACAGAATCGCTCCCTGCACCATTACCTCTCTCAAAGCTCTTTGGCGTTCTCGAACAGCGATATCCCGGTATCAAGGAGAAGGTGCTTGTTAGTTGTGGGGTTAGTTTGGGGATGGAGTATGTGGATGTTAATGAGGATGATGATGATGATGATGGTGATGCGACGATGATAAATCCGGGGGATGAGGTTGGGATTATTCCGCCTGTTAGTTCGGGGTAGTCTTTTCGCTTTTCGCCATGGGAAGAATGTTGATGGGACTGGTTACGATCGCGGAGAAAGGGTGGTTAAGTAGGTATCTGATCTATCAGCGCTCTTCGCATGCTATGCTATGTGCTGTTTAAGCAGGCGTGGTGTACTTTGCGTAGACGGGTAGTTGGGGGATGGATTGAAGGATATTTCCTATCTTTGACTTTTTTTTTTTTTTTTTGAGTCTGGTTTATGTACTTAATAACAAGCAAGTGATTTTGAGGTTCAGCCTCTCTCGAATATCTAAACTTGAGCATGGTGTTTGAAATATGACAACATTATATCATATTCACTTATAAGAACAGAGCTAAATATAGTCCCTCTGAATAGAAAACGCAATTGTTTAACGTAATTAAGTCTGCGAAACCGACCAAGGGAAGATACCACTCTAACTAGTTAGTTTATATGTCTATATCGGGATCATTGCACAGAAGCTCGAACCGGAGGGCATACGTGTCAGATTTAGTCATTAGTCACTTTCTAGGGGAAGTTCTGTTTCAGGGTTTATTTGGTATGCGTGTTGTCTTCTGGTTGCAATTTGTCGGCATGTTGTTGTTTCAGAATGTTGGTATCTGAATTTGGGATGTTTGGTATTTGCTTATTTTTCCGTTAAGTATCGGGGGTTTAGGATCTGATGCTTTCTAGAAAAGAAGAAGAAGAAGAAGAAGAAAAGGAAAAGGAGAAGAAGGAGAAGAAGGACGAACCCATGGGATATTTTAAAAAGCAGTTTACTATTTCATAAAAGGCATGTCTTCACATACATACATACAGTACATACTTCATTACGCCCAATCGACTACAGTACATCTATGCAGTTTCACCATAATTTGGCCCGATGATCTCCCTGTCGCGGGAAATGTATCTGAATAGCAAATAATGCTTAGAGTTTCACGGATCTAACTAAACATAGGAATCACAGTCAAGCTTTTCCCGACCCACTTGAGCATGTCAATCGTCCGAACGATCCCAGAATAGCATCGCCATCAGCTACCAATAGACTGGAGAATTTCTAGATTCGTACCTACTACCGTACCATATGGCACACGTTTCTCCATTGTTGTTGTTGCCCCTAAGCTCCAACGCTCCGCGGAACTATACTTCTCGCAGCCAATGACGGCGTTCCAGCGACATACTCGTCGATCAGGCTGGGTGCAAGGATCCAATAGCGGACACGTCCATCGGCGAGCTTCCACAGGAAGACTCTACGTGGCCAATGGTAGGACGTGTGATTGTCAGCATGTATGGATGTCTCCGAGTTCACTGAATAGCTTGGGGTCAAAGCAGTATCTCAGCCGTGGTAAATGACGAGTACAGCAGGCAGCCACATGTCTCGTGGAAAAGGAGTCGGGAGGTGGTCAAAATGGATGCGGTCCTGTCTAGCATTCCATCTTCTTTCCTTCAGAGGAGGATATTGTCTTTTCGTTGATTCAAAATGGTGTCATTAACGTTGTTTACTTTACTGGGTAGGTATTGACCTACAGCTGATTTCTGAAAATGCCTCTGACTGTCTGATTGAACAGGCTTCCTGTCCTATCTTGTGGCCCCTGTTGTCGGACAGACGCAATCTACGCCAGGCAGCGTTTTCATCCTGCCGTTACAGGGACCATCAAGCAACTACACGTTTGCTGTTAACATCCCTGAGAACTCGGAGGATGTCTATTTTCATCTTTCGGGCCCAACAGAGTACTCTTGGATTGCCGTGGGGACCGGCAATCAGATGAAGGATTCGTTGATGATCATTCTCTACTCGAATGAACACGGTGATAGTATGTAGAAATTGTACTGAGCTGGGTACTTTCATCTATCATGACTGCTGACCCCTTTTAGATGTCACTGTTAGCCCTCGTCTCTGCTCCGGTGAGCAGGAACCGGTTTTCTCTTCCTCCCTCGATGTGGTCATCTTGCCAGGAAGCGGAATTGCGGACAATACAATGACGGTGAATGCTCGCTGCACAAACTGTTCACACTGGAAGACTGGCTCTCTGGACTTGCAGTCTACCTCGCAGCCTTGGATCTTTGCTTTGGGCCCAAAGGCTGCAGACAGCATCCTACTCAAGAGCGATTCCAAATCAGCTAGCATCCAGCGGCACTCTGAATATGGTAAGTGTCGCAGAGATTCCAGTATGGCGAAATTCTTATACTTTTATACTAACACGTTCTTCCAACCAGGGCGGTTCTCCATGAACATGAAGCAGGCTACCGGCGGCACAGGTGGAATACCATCGTCCCTGACGACTGCAACCGGCTCCCAACAAGACGGCCACATTTCCCACGACAGTAACTGGCCGGCCATCATCCACGGTCTGGCTGCCTGCGTCGCGTTCGTTGTTTTCATGCCCCTCGGCGTCATCTTCCTACGGATCTTCCCTTCCAGCGTCCGCTGGCACTGGGTCAACCAGACGTTGGCCTCCATCCTAGCCATCGTGGGCATACTATTCGGCTTCTACCTAAGCACAATGTACACGAAGTCAGAATCATTCAATTCGGCACATCAGATCATAGGAATCATCATTCTCGTCTCCGTGCTCGTGCAGTGGTTCATAGGCTTCTGGCACCATCGTCTCTACAAGCTTTTCCAGCGCTCTACATACTACGGCGTGGGACATCGATACTTCGGCCGAGCCGTCATCCTACTTGCGATAGTGAACGGCGGAATAGGACTATCTTGGTCCTCTGCCCTGACGAAGACGGTCGTGGCTTATTCCATCATCGTGGCTGTTCTCGGTATTCTGACAATTGCTGCTCTTCTCTGGAAGGCAGCAGTCGTCAAGAGACAGACCAGGCTGAGATTCACAGAGGAACTCGAGCTTCATCAGCAGGAGACAGAGACGAGGTTTAAAAATCCTGACAATTCCTATTCTTCCATTTCCCGCGTGGCCACTGACCCGAATGGGCACTTGTGGTGAGTGGTACTTGTGCTTGGGGTTAAGGGATCTGGTTCTTGAATTTTGTCTTTTTGCATATTACATTGGTCGCGTTACATAGATTGAACATTCTTTTACTTAGAAATACAACCAAATGGCCGCATAAATCCTTTCATGACTGAAAGGAAACCCTCGTCCCAATCCTATCCCTGTAGCCTTACAAAGATACATGCGGCTAAATCCGGTACTTTGTCACAATAAAAGCACAGTTTCGCTTTCTTTGTTTCTCTAATATCCAATATCGAGCAGTGTCAGCAGCACCAATTTCTGGGGAAACCAAGTAAGTAACACCGTAAGCCTCAGGAGCATAATATCCAGAACCTCTCCGTCCCACGACATCAATCAAAATCTGCACTACAACGTCCCCATAACCCCACGAATCTCCACAATTGCATCCCCTATACCCATTAGGACCTTCCCTTTGTCCCAAGTGGCGTATACAGCCCAGCCTCGAACAGGACAAGGGGTGAATGTTGGGTAATCGCCCATCTATCATTGGCTACCCAGCAGTCAACCGCACCAGCTACGTGCCCTGATTGCTTTGAAATTGCTTTCTCCTGATTGGTCTCCTGTAAAGACGCACTGCGAAGATACTTCATTGTTTCTATAGAGAATTTACAAATCGTACAGAAAGGATAGTGAATGGGAAAGTGTATATAATGGGGATGGTCACTATGGGTGTGCTGTTCCGTCCGGAAGGACGAGGATTTGGTTGAATGGCAGGAACATCAAAATATATTATCACTATCGAGTACTGCAAAGAGGATCCAGATTCCTTCTTATCCAGCTGCCAGAAACATAACATGGCAGTATACACAGAAAACACCCTCGAAACCGCCTCCCAGCCCCCTCGACTCTATCACAGCGCGACAGAAACACACTCTAACGCAGGAGATGTCGTCCGCGACATAATCATCGGCTTTGCCGATGGCTTAACTGTCCCCTTCGCATTAACAGCCGGGTTATCAAGTCTTGGGTCCTCGAAACTCGTTATCGTGGGCGGTCTCGCTGAGCTTTTTAGCGGTTCCATCTCCATGGGATTGGGGGCTTACTTGGCTGCGGTGACGGATCGGGATCGGTATCTGGCTGAATTCAAGCGAGAGGAAGAAGAAGTGCGTGTTAAGCCGGAGGATGAGAAGGAGGAGATATATGATATTTTTGCAAAGTATGGGGTTACGAGAGATGCGTGTCAGGGGGTGGTGGATTATTTGGTTCAGGATGAGGAGGCGTGGTTGCAGGTGAGTAGTATAATATTTTCGCGGACTATTTCTGTTTCCTGTTGGGGAATTATGGATATATGTTTATATATATATATATATTGTTTTCTATCCATGTTGTTGATGAAGCTAATCGAATCTTTCTTGTCAAGTTCATGATGGATTTCGAACTCAAACTCGAAAAACCCAATGTTTCCCGCGCATGGATATCTGCTGCGACAATGGGCCTTTCATACTTTATTGGTATGTTCATTATGCACATGGCTATCCCTCATTACCGACGACTACCTATATATTTGGCAACGGTTGCTAACCCCTAACGAAAACTCCAGGAGGCCTTCTCCCCATGATCCCCTATTTCGCTATGCACCACGTCGTCGACGCTCTTTTTGCCTCCATCGGAATCACATTTGTGATACTCCTCGTTTTCGGCTTCGTCAAGAACTACGTAACCGTCCAGACGAAACGCTCTGGGTTTTACGGTGCGGTGCAGACGCTTTTGGTGGGTGCGTTGGCAGCGGGGACGAGTTATGGGATCGTTTATGGGATTGATCATAGTAATTTGCGGTAGGGGAGGGGAGGGACATTAGTGGGTGTTACTGTAATTCTGGTACATTTGCTACTATATGAGCAACTACATGCTATGATCCTAGCGTGTTGTATGATCGAGAAAGAAAGAAAGAAAGGAAGAAAACGCGTCTAACCCAGTTCTTAAATGCAAACGATCTGTAAGCAAACACCATCCATCCCGCCTCGTGTCCTGAGGTAATAACTGGTTTCGAATAAGGTAACCTTGCAGTATGCATTTGCTGAAATAATAAACAAAATGATGGAATTCATGGCTGCGATTGAGTCCGTCTATGCTCGTAACACGAGGTGTGAGGCCGGAAGTGGTCAGGCCTTCGTCCGTACACGACAACCCTATTGGCGATCAAGAATCAGAGGCGTTCTAGAGGAATTGATATACAGGACATTCACTTACAGTTCAAAATATACCCGGTTCGTTTCATCGGATAGTGCTTTCCTGGTCTCTTCCACAAAAGCGCGAGCTTGACTCGCAGTCCACTGATCAGGTCAGCAATCAAAAGGTTACAGAATCCTTCTTGTTTTCATAGATCGCAGAAGACTCACCCCAAGACACCTCGTGCCGAGAGCCATTACCCAGCCTTCCATCCCGCTCTCCCAGAATTCCCGATACCAGCGACCAATTTCTTGTAGCTTCGGATCCGAACTCCACATGCCAATTGGCCACTTGAATCGTCTCTCGCAGACGTCGACGAACCCAGCCTCCTCTATCGACTCTTTCATCGTCTCACTTATCAACCATGACTTCCCTGTCAAAACGCCGCACTTTCTCCAGAAACACTCCCATTGCCGAAATATAGACGCGTGTGGAAGAGGGCCATTGCAGCTATGTGGGATGATGGACATTTCGGCTTGCTCTATGTATCCGCCTGGAATGAGGTGTCTTCCACAATATTAGTTCGTGAGAAGTCGCTGGTAAGATGCTGGTATGACTTACTCGAAGCATCTTCGGTAGAGTTGATTCCAATCAGCTACGCTACCGTAGAGACATCGCATATGTATGACGTCGAATCTTTCTCGGAGCTCTTCGAGATATGTCCACTCTGAGCAGCAGTCGTCGACTTGGAATCGGAGGTTGGGTTGCACAGGGTTCTCCCAGAGAGGCGAGAGGTCCGTACCTGTGGGGATCGTGTGTCAGCGAACTGTGCAACCTGAGGAAGAATATTTCCAAACACCCTACCTGTCACCCTGGCTTCTGGGTGTGCATCAGCGAAGTTTCTGGTCAAGAGTTAGTATCTTCCCGGGTGATATGTGAGATTGGCATACTTACACTGCCCATAATCCGACACCAGTACCTATATCAAGTACATTCCGAGGATCTGTAACAGGTGCCAACAACATCCTATCATCTAATGTACGATAGAACAAATGGTGTCTGGGAAATATCAGTATAGGCTCGGATTTCCACCATTTGTTCTTGCCTCAGGGATTGCATACGTTACCGTTTGGTGGTATACATCTTTTTCGTCATTCGGACCCCAGTACGATCCGTCTCCTAATGGCCTGTCAGCTCGAATCCACATTGCAGTTAATGAAAGAAGAACATACGATAAGCATGATACCGCCTGCCATTCTCATAGCGGTATGATTGAGGAGAAGAAGCAAGCGTCCTAGTGCTGTATAAGGGAATATCAGAATCCGAAAGAAATGTCACCAATATGCGAACGCTATCAAAACATCACTCACGACGCATCGCTGTCCAATCGCTGCTCGAAATCATGTGTTGTCATTTCATCCTGGGAGTCAGTCAGTCTTATGTATGCCCAGATCAAGAATAAATCATCTGACGTTATTACAAACTCTGCAAGGTGCGCTGTAGTTCGTAATTGGTCTCCTGCTTTTCTCTGGAACATACATCGCACCCATAAGCGGGCGTCAATAGATGACTGTCACAGAGCTTCGCTTTCGTTCAAGTTGAAATAGGCTCAAAATGATTGATGAAGGTGGATCTCTTTCGGCAACGGTCTAGTGTTTGCTTATACCGGAGCGCAACCTGATATGGAAAAGTAACTGATAGTTATCGCGTGCTGCCTGTTGTGTACCAGTGGAAACGACCGAAGAAGCTGCCTAACCATATGACAAGCAGACTACGGCAGGGGAATATACCGGATCAAGCTGAGGAACTCATCCCGGTAGGCTTAGGGTGGCTGTAAGCATATATACCCTGCATTTTGATCTCCCAGTACGCCGTATGGCTGATTAATAGACCCACAAACAGCTACGATAATAAACTTCTGACCTCCACGCTTCGGAGTAGGAGCTCCGCGTGCAGGGAATTGTCGATCAGTCGATCCAGCCGTTGAATCCAAGAGAAATGCACCAAGGATTCTAGAGCACCCTTGGAGCAATGGAGAAGATGCGATCTACCAGCGCCATCTGGAGCTCCCCGAGGTCGTGTCATGACATTGTTTGGTCAGAAGCTATACATATGAATGTAGCGCGACCGTTATGCACCGGATAGAGCATGGTAGACTGCGGGTGGCTTTCGGTCCGTGCCAGCAGCTTTCTCGGGTGCGTTTCCCTGGGCGATGGTGGAGTGATGCCCGGTCTCCCTTTGCCTATCCTGGTATTCGCATTCCAGAGAGGCGGAGATCATAGGAAGCTTTGACAGTGGATCGCAACATGACAGTTGCCGGCTACCTGTTTCAGATTTCTCCAGCCCCTTGTCATGGCGGACGTTAGGAAATTTAACTCGGGACTGAGACCTTCCAGAATCTCTGGTCTCCATGCTGACGCATACCAACCTTCCACAGGTATTGTTTCAGGGTCGCACAATCTGGGTTTAAGTGGAAACCAAACACTTGGGTGCAGTTTTGTTTGACATACCCCGTACGGAGTAAATTCTCTTCAAGTCGCAACTGCTGATATGGCTGCATGACTGTTAGATGTCACTCTTGCCCGCAGAACTAGAGGCGATAGTATGGCACGTGAAGCATGTCACCTTGTTTCCTCGCTCACGAGGGCTGGTCAACCGAGAGCTGATCATTGCGAATCCTCGTTACTCTTCTGGACAATCTGCTCTAGCCAATATAGTTTGAACTAGGGGGCGGAGAGAGACAGTAATGCGAACTTCGATTCGGAAATATAGCCGAGGCAGAGTCCTAACTCCTAAGACATTGGTGGTAGTTATTCAAGGTCGCTATGGCGCATCCGTGCGCCCTTTCTTGTTCACATCCATAGTTAACAAGAGTCCTGTAAAAAAAGTAACAACTGTTCAGGCAATAATTGTCTGAAAGCTCTTCCTGCGATGGTAGTATGGATATGGACGGAGCTCTGGAACCAAGACGGAGGTTTATCGCCGAATTGCTTCACGGGTATTATTAGTTAGTGAGCCGACGGTTTCATGCGCCATAGTTATTGCCTGCATGTTGGTAAACCGCGTGGAGCAGTCGCGGCGAATTTCATCAGAAGCGAGGTGTCTATAGCAGCGGCCATTAACAGTATCCAGGTCCCCGGAACCACTGCAGCCGACCACAATAGACAGGAGTGATAACCAGATATAGGACAAGCCGCAAGACTATTCAAAGTTCTCGGTCGACGATTCCAAACTGAGGCATCTCTCCGTCCCTCGTTTCTGGATGAGTCCCTGAACATGGGGTGGAGAACGGGGATGAAGATATCGTCCGTAAGGAATAATAGGTGTAGACTTGAGATAGCAGTCTGCTGGGTCCCATAGGACGCCCAACCATACTGCGCATAGTGGCTTTGCAGAGATATCTAAAGCATCATCTGGTGCGGAGGAAACGCACGGTGTCAAACTCGCAGGCCACAAGAGTGAATCCCCAAGGATCAGCGCTGCCGGAAGTGTATTTCCACACCCTGACGTCGAGCGATGCGGATTATCACCTCTAACTGACTCGTTTAACTGCCATATTTGACTCCTTAAGATGCGATGTCCTGTTTTGAAAAGGAACACATTGACTCCCAGACAGATCTGGAAGGGAGTTGCGCGCACTATTAACCAAAACGGGTATCCTTCACAGGCGGCACGTCCAAGTTACGGACCGGGCTATCGGTTAGTGCCGAGAACAACGATACATCCTCGGGATCCAGGGCCTTTATGGTTAGATAGAATATTAAATAGCAAAGGTTGTTTTAACAGGGTGCATCACTAGTTTATGGGGAGAATCCCCCGGGCTTCCGGAGACCGATGTCTTGGGACCGGACCCGGGACCAAGACTCTGCTTTGCATTCAATAACAGGCCAGCATTCAGTCCCTGCGTGATGCGGGATAACCTTGTGCTAGCAGGTTAGTTAAAGCATCCTGTGACTAACTCAAATAGTCCTCCATCCAGTTATGAAGAGGAGGGCTACTATTAACTATACCAGCAAAGGTAAGTAGTATGATATATCAAGGACCCTTGTGTCTTTTCAGGATCATGTTCTAGTGTTGACAAGAAAGGCAGTTATTTCTTCATTAATCGACAAATATCATAACTTACTAGACCGCTCGTCCAAAAAGGAGAACTTTCTAGTTTGGTCTCCACGGGTCTGATAACAGACGAATACTAAAAGACAGGACCGCAGCGCCATTCTAACTCCCGACCCATAAATCACGGTGACAGCAAACTGAAACAAGGAAAATCGTATTATCATGGAAGATTCGACGAAATCGTTTCAAAACCAATCTGATGCCGCATTAATCCCTCCTAATCCCTCCTAGTTTGAAGTAACAACACAACAGGTCCAGGGATCATACGCCCTTGGCTTTCCGGGCCATCCGACTTACGGGGGCATTAACAACCCGACAAATAGTCAGCGGAAGAAGCTGGCATCTAAGGCTTCTCTTCTGCAGGGGCCTTGTTCTGGCGCCACATGATAATACTGCAGATAACGGTGTAAGCAAAGAGGATGCTATTGGCTTGTCAGTTTATTTCATCGCCGCAACACCGGGATTGTCCGTCATACCAAAGAGCAATGCTGAGTCCCCAGATACTCTTCATCTCAAGGCAGATCGACTTGGAGGCACCAATCCAGTCCGTGTACTTCACGGTGCCTCCCTCCTTGTCTAGCAGGCTGCCCAACGTCGTGGTAAAAGCATAGGCGGACGAGTTGGAACCGGTCAGTTTGCCGATAACCTTGCAATCAAGGTATGACAACGGCTTTCCCACAGTGACGGCGACGACTATCACTGCGATGAGGACGAGCAAGTCTACTCCTGCGAAGATGAGAAATGGGAGTATTTTGTCCATGAAGAGGATAACCGTCAAGAAGCAGTACAGGACTGCAATGCAGGTCTAGTTGTAGCATTGTTAAGTCTAACTCTCGATATCTATAGATTAGATTCATTACTCACCACGCTAAGAGTCCCAATCAGAACATTTGGGGGCTTCACATGGCTATTGACCATTTCCGCAACGAAGTTGGCAGTCATTCCAATGATGGCGATCAGGCTCATCCCCTGGAAAGCCCGCGCATAAAGGTAACTCAAGCCAACAGCACCGTGATTCATTTTTATATTTCTGTATGGAAAAGAAAGAAGAAATCTCAAGAAAGATGGACTCTTCAGAGAGATGTAAGTGTCTGCCGTGGATAGAGATTGTAGAATGTAGCTGACAATTGGCTGTGCGGTCAAGTATAAAAGGAACGTCTTGCCAGAAGAGCAAATAATAAATGAGTGTCTTTCAGCTACTCAAACGATAACAAACAAACAGACAATAAAAGAAAATATCGCGATCGAGATCTGGTTGATATGAGTAATGATTGCTTGGAGACAAAGCAGCCGACCAGGACAGGTTCTTTAAATATACAAGACCGCCCATTGTAGAGATGAATCCAAAAATAAAAGCTATGATTCTAGACCCTTTCCTGGGCCTAGACTCAGCATCGACATCTGCATCCGCAAACTGACCTGAAGCTGTGAGCTTGTAGAGCTCTTTGGCGTTAACTCTACTTTGCGCCGGGACTCCCCCAGTCACAGCGCGGGAAGCACCAAACACCAGCGGGAGAGCAACATTGCCAGAGCTCCAAAAATAAGAACCGCCCAATTTCCCCACCACGGCGCTTCGACGCTAGATTCTCCCCAGATCTTCTTGACCAACCGATCAAGATGCATGAAGATGGCTGATACGTCTGTCCTGACGAGCTATGAGCTCTACAACGCCAGGTATTGGTAGATATCCCGTTTCATATTCCCCGGTTTCGGCCAGCTTCCAGCTCATCAAGTCGGACACGAGCCTCGGTCCTCTGGGCTTGGATTACTCTGGCAAACGACGGTATGAGCAGGCGCCGTACTGCGTAGATCACAGCGCCTGTCTTGGAGACTCTCTAAAAGGAGTTGTTCAGCCAATGATTACTTTGATGCTAGATTCAGGTACCGCACTGCATACCGTCTCTTGGAGGTACTTACATGTTGAAGCAAACAGGCTAGCCGGAACAACGCCAATGGATATTATGATCCGGAAATAAATGATCGATGATAGGTAGCTCTGTTCGCTATGACCGTTACTGAGGTCCCGAATGCAGAGGTTAACACTTTGCTCTCCTGCGCTTGGTTTGTGGCAGAATAGGATGAGGTCTTTGTGTACGTTTGGTATTTTTATACGGGCAATATGGTGTCTAGGAGGTCGCCAGCGGTGAAATGGAACTATGGAAAGATCACGGATCATATCGAGAAACTTAGGAGGTGCTATGGTATTAACCATCCTCTGGTAAGCTATATCTACTCGGTGGTCATCACGATACTACTTCATTGACTCTTGTCCCAGGATAATAAACGATGCAGCTCCACGGAATTGTATCACGGATCTTTCTTGTCGGTCTTTCATACATAACGCAGTTCCGAGGGCATTTGCCAATTAATTCCAGAGCCCTTTTCGGGAACAATGACGCTATTCCCGATAGGCATACTTATTGTACTTAGGAGATCTAGCGGGCATCTCAACAGCCGAAACACCGAACAAACTCAAGTCAAGATGCTCGTATTTTTTAAGAGGCATCATCCCTACGGAGAAACAAAAGTAGAATTCGGTTAGTGTCTTTACTCGTCTAGTATCATGGAATCTTCTTGACGAAAGCTTGTTCTCTAATAAAGCTTGTCTCCTACCCACAGCCACCATCATAGGCAGCAAAGACACAGGTCTTGAGCGGAAACACCCCAAACATTATGTCGAATCCAGAGCCATCTCCCCAAAAACCGCTAGTTGCGGGCAGAAAGATAATCGTTGTCGGATGCGGCATTGCTGGTTTGGCTTTTCCTTTGGCCTTGCGAAAACAATGGCCTGAAGAATACATTGATGAGTTCCCTGCCATCACAGTTTATGAACGAGATTGTCGCGAAATCCGCCCCGGGCGAGAAGGCTACTCGATCTCTATCCGTGGCGATGATGTGGGTTCTGGAATCCAGACCCTACACAAGATGGGTCTTTTGGAGCAGATGTTGCTGGTTAGCATCACAGGAAGATCAGGAAGCGAACCCAAAGGCGCATTTACCCTCTGGGACCTCGACTGGAAGCCTCTGCTCAGTATTTCGGGTCCTCCCAGTGACAAAGAGTTGCCGGCAACGTCTATGCGCATCCGAAGAGATGCTCTACGGCAGGTCATGATCGACGCTCTTGAAACTCTGTTGCCTAATGGGTCTATCCAATGGGAAACCAAATGCACAAAAGCTGAACCTATGCCTTCCAAAGTGAAGGTGACTGTGAGAAATAATAACGCGGAGGCCTCCTCAGATCGTGAAGATGAGTGCGACATCCTTATTGTGGCAGATGGTGCCGGGAGTAAGGTCCGCGCTCAGCTACGCCCGGAGGATACCCTGACCTTCAGAGGGATTGTTTGTCTTGCCGGTGTCTCTCGTTTTACAGAAGGAGAGGTCCCGAAACCTATGGACAAGAACTGGGGGGGCGTTCTGGGAGCCGGGCCGGTCGGTCTTTTTGTGTCTCCAGTAGATACACGCAGCGCACTTTGGAGCCTGAGTTACAGATCCGACCAGCCGCGAGAGAGGTTGTCTGCTCCTCTCAGCGAGGACCAGGCCGAGAACCTCCTCCGTGAGGCTCTTGACAGGGCTAAACCCTTCAAAGAGCCAACAGAGACACTCATCAAGGCTACCGATCCAGCTACTTTGGCAGTCTACAATGCAATGGACAAGCAGCCCTTCCGGCACGAGGCCAACTCGAAAATCGTCTTTATCGGGGACAGCAATCATGCCATGAGCCCATTTGCCGGAAATGGTGCCAATATGGCACTGACGGACGCCTGGGAACTTGCGTTACAACTATCCAAGTCTGTACCGACATCATCGAGCTTGTCACTGGACCTTGGTCCGGCATTGAAGGCGTACGATGAGATGAGCATTCCACGCTCTTCAAAGGCGATCAACAGGTCTCATTGGAGTATATCCATGCTTCATGCTGCTGGCATTAAATTATGGGCGTATAAATTGTTTCTCGCCCTAGTCAGACCGATCAAGGGTTGAGTTACTAAACAGTCCTTGACATGGAATTGGCTCTCCAAAATAACGGAGTGGTGTTGTACTATAGCACTCTCTGTCGTTTATTTCTACCTCTCCTCGATACCATAACCCTCATAATTTATAATGGACCAGAACCTGGTATTATATTCGCTATGACTAGAGTTAGTAGAACGGATAACCAAGCAACCGTCATCGCCACGCCCCCAATAGTGATCATAGACGAATATGTTTGTTCCATCTGCATGGTCATGAAATCCATCTAGAGCTTTCTTGGAACTCGATAGTTTTTCTTGATTCCATAAAGTTTGCTCGCCAGGTATAGTTATCGGATCCTTCGATGCTCTAGCTTATCATCTGCGATCTCAGACAGCACAAGGCTCTAGCAGACTCTCGGGCTATATGAGTAATATCTGCGCGATGGATGTCTGTCAGGTTTTCTCCTCATGAAGTAATCATCGTTACACTGATTCGTGACCAAAATATAACGATCCCCTAAGACGTTCCAGAAGGAGACATGTCTTCAATGTATCCGAATTCAAGCGTTTTGCAGATGCATCCGTTAGCAGGATCGCAGAAGATGTGTTCACTTTGAAAAGCTTGCTGAAGGCGGATTCAGTAAAACTTTTCTGATTGAGGTGGCTTTCTGCCAGTCGATCAAAAAGGAGAACTCCTAAGTACCTAGTTGGTCTGCCTGTATCTCTAACATTGATTGATCGTTGACCGCCTAGGCGGTGAACGTGGATTCTTCGGCAGAATAATAGAATTCTCCGAGGTTGCAGCAACCATCAATCGCAAATCTTCCGCCACAACAAGCAGGAGAGACTCCTTGCTTGGTTTTTACGTCTCCATTTCTGAGAGGATACTGGAGGCTTAGGCTTTGGGCAGCTCCAGGGATGCAGCGCTACATCTGTGCGCGCTGCGCGCTGAAGCAGAAACGCTCTACGGCATCTCTTGCCACTCTTTCTTTGAGCTCACAAACAGCGTTTCGCCAAAATGGACGTTTCTTATCAGCTGCGGGCGGCCTTAGACGTTCATTTCATACCGCGAAGAAGGTAAAATACTAATGGATTTGCGCCATCGTATGGAGCACGGCTAACGTTTCCCTTTCAGACTGCTGCAGTACACGAGGACTCGCCCGTCTCTCAGCTGTCTGTAGATGAGATCCTCTTGAAGACCGAATTCGAAGAGAAAGGAAATATTCGTGAATACCTACGAAAATGGAGAGAGAAACAGCCGATCTCACTTGATCCTGTTCGCGAGCCAAACCTCTCGGGCCGCCCCATGCCGTGGGTCGGCAATATGCTGAGTGATAGTCGAGAGGCCCACGATAATGACAGCGATATGCTCTCAATTACGGACGAGGCTACTTCTGAGTACTCGAGAGATTCTGAAGAAGGCGGAGACATGCAGGTACATCTCGAGCCCGGTGATCTCGTGGGGTTATCTGCGTAAGTCGCCAGATCTCGTGTCCTGGTAGTCGGCTGTCTGACCATACTATAGGCCATCTGGAAGCATACTTACCGCAATATACGTTCGTTCTATCCAGAAGCAACAGCAGTTTTACACTGCAAGAGGCAAATGGAGAGTGGCATTCGCAAAAGATCTGGACTACGTGATAAAGGGATTCGCTCCACGCGAATTAGTTTCTCCCTTGCTCCCATACTTCCCCGACACCCTGGCAACATTGAGCTCGGAGATGCAGTCGACAATAGAAGGTGGTGTGCCCAGACCAGTTGGAGCGCCTCTTGTGAAACTGTTGGCGGATTTCGACGAAGATGTCCGCGCTATCTACCGGGACAACTCGCATCGATTGGACAATATTCATGATTATATGGCTGATGACGATGAACCTCTTGAGTTTACCCTTCGGGAACTAGCAGCCAAAGCTCTTGGGATCGATGAAACAGCTGTCAATGAGGCCACTATGTTTGCCGTACATAAGGCGATCAAGCAGCATCCTTTTATCATCGATTATGACAGAAGCTCTCCATTCAGTGACTATTATTTGGTTCGACCCAAAAGAATGGCCAAGAACATCGAAACTGTTGGCCAGTGGGTTAGAGAACATCAAGAGCATCAATTGGGAATTGCTAAGCAAAAAGAATCCGGAAACATCAAAGATCATCCTTTACACAAGTTCTTGCAAAAGGCTCAGCGTCTGATTCGGCTTAGTCGAAAGATTAGGTCGCCTACTACGATGTCCAGCGTTGGCCCAACAGCGCAGCGATATTCCCCGGATGAGACTGACAACGGTATGATCTATCGGGAAATTTCGACCGAGAGCTTCAGCGAATCAGACCGCATCATTATTGAGTATCTCCAACTCTACTCTATACCACCCCGACGGATGACTTCTGGGATCATTAGATCTGCGGGTTCATACATAATGCGAGCTACAGGAATGTACAGCACGCTGGGACTAAGTGCAGCATCCATGCCACTTTTTCTTCAGGAACTCGGAGTATTTTCTCCGTGGGAGAACCTACATGTTCTGGACCAATCTTTGTCTTTGCCGGGCCACGGACTGTCGCGCCGCTCAGACAAGCTAGTGGACAATGTCAAGCAGGCCTGTGAAGAAATCAAGGCAAATGGCCTTAGGGATGCTATGCAAGACCTGAGGACTGACTTCGGCGACCTTCCTGTTTATTGTGTCGATGATGCCGATGCCGAGGAAATTGACGATGGTGTCTCTCTAGAACGTATCCCTGGATCAGACGATACTTTCTGGATCCGTGTGCATGTGGCGAATCCGTCAGCTTTTATTCCCCCTGACCATATCATCACGAAATATGCTTCCTCCCGCTATCAAACGTTGTACGTCCCTGAACGTACATATCCGATGCTCCCAAAATCGGTCACTCAAGGTTATTTCAGCTTAGCCTCTGGTCGTCCGACTCTGACATTCAGCGCAAAGATGAATACTAAGGGAGAGATCCTGGATACAAACGTCACAAATGGATATATTAGGAACGTTATCAACATAACCCATGCTGATCTCCGGCAGCTCTTCAATGATGACATTCAGAGTTCCTGGGAGACCTTCACCGTCGGAGGAGAATTTCCGAAGCGTTCCCGACAAGGATTGAAACGAATAATGTCTGAGGAGGACAAGACCACATTCCACACATTGAGGCAGCTGATGCTCGCATTCAGAGAGCAGCGACAGAAAAGGGGTGCTATTGACTGGCCAGCTCCGGTTGAAACGCCGGTCTCTGTTTTCCTTGGAAATAGATCGATGCCCTCTCATAAGTTGAATGTAGAGGAAGGGAGACATTTCTTGGGTGACCCTGTGATCCAGCTGCAATATCGAAATTTCGACCCCTACGAGGTGGCAGATCTCACCAAAAGAAACTTGATATCTACAATCATGAATCTAGCTTGCTGGATTGGGGGGCGCTGGTTGGCCGACCGCAACATCCCTGCTGTCTTTGACGGGACATGGTATCACCCTGAATATGCTAAACTAACCAGAGAGAATATTTCTGAATACGGTGGGACCAACTGGTTGGATCTCGCAGCACCCAAGGGAATCTCGTCCTCCAGTGTGATACCCCATGTCCCCCTCGGCCTAGATGCTTACGTCAAGACGACCAGTCCCCTCAGACGTTATGTCGATCTGTTAGCACACTATCAGATCGAGGCAGCGTTGCGGTATGAGAGTGCCCACGGCACACTGCTCGATGCCAGAGAAAACGCATCTGTCGTGCCCTTCCAGAAGTTGGAAGTTGACAGATATATCGAGCGTGCCAGTTGGCAGCGTATCAGACTGAAGCAGTGTGCCATGTCATCTGACCAGTTTTGGGCCTGTCTGTTCCTCTTCCGCGCATTCTATTTCAACGAATGTGCATTACCAGAGACCCATACTTGTCTGCTGCACAACTCTTACAGCAATACTGCGCTGGCGGGATCCGCGGTGGGCGAGGGGTATGCCGGTTTGCTTTTACCGTTTGGGGTCAGATGTCAAATTGTACTGCCACCTTCTATGACAGATGTCGACATAATGAGCATGGTGGAGGCTAAAATAGTGTCTGTTGACATGTCGCGTACCATGGTTCTCCTGGAAGCTGTTAGACTTGTTAAACACTATGAGAGGGTGGGAGAATGGGCCTAAGTGGACCGACAAGCTATAAACGCCCGGGCTATCTCGGCTAGACCTTGACATCCTGACGATAATACTTCTGGGGGACCTCAGCGACGTTTTCCTCTTTCCTTTTCCCACAGGTGCTCATGCAGCTTCAGGTGGCGATCACGCGTTCCCGATCATGTTCATGTCGATAGACGTGGATATGTGGAATATCCTCCGGTTTCCAAAATTCCCCATACGTTCCTGCTCCACGAAGATTCTTTTTTCTTTTTTTCTGAATATCCACGAATCAGGACACTACACGGCGTTGCACACCCGTCACGATGGTACGATAGTCGCAGAAAGTCTCCAGCTGAAACACATTTTCGCGACCTGAGACCGCCATTGGCGCCCCCAGGGATGCGGCAATCGCGTTTCCTACTATTATTTGATGACCCGACTCTCTGGGAACTTGGATGTCATCTGCAGGTCAGCCATGACAATTATTATTACTGGTACCTGCGCTAACTAGGAGCGACCTTGGGGCTGACGAAGCCGGCTTCCGCGAAGGGATCTGTGCGTACTGCCACGAGACGGTGTGCGCCTTGTATATTCGTCCGGTGTATAGTTAGATATGCAAGACTAGCACAAGCGACCTTACTATGTATGATAGATCTAATCAAGCCCTCTCTACCGTGAGACAGCCTCGGATTTCTTATCCGTAGTCAAGTTACACTAGGAAAGCATTATTAATTCTACGAGCCCCTTAGACTACTACGTTCCAGGAGCACGGCATCGACAATGACAGGATGAGTCCCCTCGGGGTCGCAACCCCCATGGGTTTATTAGGTTACTGTCAAGCCACAAGCGTACCGTATCTTGGGATCAGGAGGACAAGCGAGAAACTCTCCACTTTCGCGAGCTTCCTGTGAACTTGGTAACTTGTAGGTTTTAGACTCCTTGGTAGGTGATCTCGGTGATCGTGGAATAATAATAGGTGATTCCGGAACGTATAATTTTTGTGCATAATTAGGTACCCTCTTCAATCGAATTTCTGCCCTAGTTACCATACTGGGCGATTCGTGACCTCAGTAACTATCTAAGTACGCTCTGGTATTATTGATTTACGACTATAAACACCGCACAGTATAGTACACCTTATTTTTCCAACAAGGCTATTAACTAATTAATTCTTCGAGAACTCCGTCTTTCAGTACGAAGAACTTCTTTCTTTGCCTGTCTCTCCGTCCCGGTCCCGACATATGTACCTCGGCAATAGAAATATACTAGTTGCTGTCTGTGAGTATGTCCCCGTTCAAGCACAGACACTAAAATCGGCATTCCTGACATATTCAGCTCTCCCGCGACATCCGCCACCAGTCAGGGCCAGCGTCACCGAGATCTTGATATCTCCGCCCCGACACTAGAGTCTTGGAGGCTCCGAGGCTGACGCTCAGACAAGCCCGCCGTCCTTGACAGGATGGGATCTTCAGCCACCGCCCACACGGAAGGGCCGACCCTGACAGCCTCAAAGTGCTTTTTGATCGGCAGTAAGTCCTAGGGGAAGGCTGTCAATTAAACTAGATACGAGTAACCTCGTCGCGTGGCCACCCAACCGGGAATTCATCCGTCTTCCGCGGTTGAACTACTGCAACCACGGACTGTAAAAAGTCCCGATCTCAATGCACGATATGAAAGCTAGTGAAAGCATGCAAACTGCAGACAATCTATCTCGTGTATAATCCAGCCGGGTGGCAAGGCGGTTTTAGACTTCGAGGACTATTTCAGATCTTCAGGAGAACAATTGTTGTTGGGGATCTGGGTTCGTGTACTCTTCACAGTCGAAATCTCACGGGTGCGTTATGCAGTGGACTGAAACTGGGCAACGTTTCGTCAGCTGTCATGTAAATCGTATAGATCCTAGAGCTGATGCTAATTGGTGGTCTTGTTCGGTATAGGTATGCCGTCCAAGTCGCCACGACCGGCTTGGGATTGATTGCTTTTTCCAGGACCACGCAAACGGGTGGCCCCGTCCAAACTTCAGATACGCTGTCAATAGCTTAGCTGCAGACAGGGACCCGTTCGGCCGGAGAGGAACGTTACAAATACCTGTCTTTTGGGCTGGGGAGACGGGGATCGTCTCCCGGGTTCGGTCGAGACTTTCAGGGACCTATGCTATCACATTGTGGGGGAGATCTCAGGTTCTTAGTCCCACGATCTGATCAGGCATTTCGCCAAATGTTAACGGATTTGGTTGTAGTCGAGCTGCTCCGTAATTAGATCAGGAGAAGCGTGGATCCATCTGGAATAGTCGATCTGTACTAGTGACGCTGAAAAGGGCTTAGGAGGGGTTTGATATAGAGAAATTGTCATAGCTGAGAGTAGTATATTGATAGAAGCATAACTTACCCAGCATTTATGTCTGTCATATATTCCCACTGTATCCTCCATCTCCATCCTGTTGTAAGGCTGACTCACATACAGCAAGTCTCACATTCTCCACCCCTAGTGAATACGTTTCTCGCTTCCCCATAAGCCTGAGACTCCATTCACAAACATCTCCATCTAGATGATGGACGTCACGTTGCAAGATGGTCTATACCTCGACAGTAGTATGCCGCCCAAATGCGGTATACAAGTCAAGAGGACCATGCGTCCGAGGACCAGTTGCAACCAATGTCGCTTCCGGAAGATCAAAGTAATACTCACATATCTGTTTTCCCCGGAAATATCTATAGCTAATTATATCTTCCGTGTGCTCAGTGTGACAGGATAAAGCCTTGTTCTGCTTGTTGTTCTCGGGGAAAGCCCACAGATTGCTGCTTCCCCGTAGATGCAAACAACAGAGCGATTGATCAGGCTCGACAACTCAGACTCCTGAGAAAGGAAAATGCCGAGTTGAGAGAGCTGTTGGAAAAGAAGTCGCCTCGAGACACGCACCTTCAGCTGATTGAAAGTGCCAAAAACGTCAAGAGGCTCCATGCCTCTATCTGGCGCCAACTGAAGGCTGAAGAGCCGTCTCATACCCTGGTCTACGGGAGCCCTTCAGGGTCTGAAATAGGAGAAAAGGTAAGCTGAATTTACGGTTTAGAAACACCTTCTGTCGAACTGACACTGATTTGTCCGCAGCTGCACAGTCTTCAGAACCAACCCAGCGACTGTAGGCCAACGTCGTTGGCTCACCCACGCCTGAAAAATGTGAACATCCTTTCCTACCAAGACGCACCGGCAGACCCGTTTCCCTGCCTCTGGGAACCGTCTTCAGGCACAAAGCCTTTGCTTCAAATACTCCCCTCTCGAGAACAGATCCTCGAACTCTTAACGATATTCGACAGCCAGGCACGATGCTTCCAGTACCTCCCCAATAAGCTGGCCACACCGGAGATTAATGCCTTCTTGGAGAATTTGCATGTCTGCGCTGAGAGAAACCCCCAAATGTTAGCTCTCATCCTGGCTGCTATGGCTCATGCTTTACAGTTCAAAGCGTTCCGAAAGAATATGCCGCAATCAGCCGTGGAAGAGACTGAGAAAGAACTCGTACAAGCAAATATTTATGGTATGTCCACTCCGATATAAGCCTCGGACGTTTTGCTTTGCTGATCAGAACTAGTTGCGGCCTCAATGCATGCGTTGCGATTAAGCAGTTTCATGAACCGTCCGACACTGCTTGCTGTCCACACTCTCTTGCTTATTGGGGCATACCTTGTCAATGGCGGAAAGTTCTTAGATGCATATACTCTGTATGGGCAGACAATACGCGTTGCACAGGGAATGGGTCGTATGTATTTTCCACACGTTTCCATTCGGAAAATGGCCTAACTTTGCAATGTAGTGCATCAGGATCCACAATATCTGGATTCGTGCGCAGACGAGGGAGAGTGTAACCTTCGCCGGAACACATGGTGGTTAATGCTCTTCGTGGACCAATACTATTCCAGTACGCTTGGACGTCCTCTGGGTGTGTCTGGAACTGGTGACTGTTTGCCTGCTTCTCATTTGACATTCTCTGAGCTGGCGGACAGCCAGAAGGCCGGGCGTCTGGAAACATACATCAATCAATATACCGTCCTCAGCCGACAAATCCTATCGTGCGACAACTTGACAAATGGAAGGATAGACGCATTTAGTGACAGGCTACTTCAGCTTCTTGACACCCTTCCATCGTTGGTTCGCTTCAACTCGTCGTGGCTGAAGGAAGGGTGTGATAATGTCCCGGAGTGGCCACTGAACTTCCATGCCGCCATGTTTCACAGCAATACGCACAATTATCTGATCCTTCTAAACCGTCAAAGGCAGATTGGCACGGTGGAGAAGAAACAGAAGAAGACAGATGTATACCGGCCTGAGCCAGGATATGCCACTGTGGTGTCCAGTTGCCATGAGGTACTACAAGCTTTCTTCTACTTGCACAAGTACCTGCCTGACAAGCTTGCGCATTGGCCGATCTGTCAACATGCCTTCAACGCTGCAATGCTACTTGGCTTTAACGTGCTCGAGCACGGATGTCATGCTGGCTCCGGAGACCACAAGGCAGTTGCGTCGACATACAGCATCTTTCACGAATTGCATGAAACTGGAGTCTCCCGGCCAGCGAAGTTGGCAACTTTGCGTCTGAGAGAATTGCTAGTAACCCATAAGCAACCCATTCTGGACCAGAGACTTATGGGCTCACATGGCATGCTACTTGTCGAGGATCCGGAAATCAGAGGTATGGTTGGCAATGCATATGCTCCTTTTGCCTGGTCAGAGGCCTCGATCCAGTCAAACACAGAGGAGCCTGTCTATCAAAAAAGACAGCCAGAGCATACCAGTCACATCGGTGCAATGGAACATGCAAGAATGTTCAATTCCCCTGCGCCAAGTGAACACAGCTCGCCTGGCAATAGCACGCCTGTAGCGCATAGCCCCGACCTCAATTCCGAAAATGCAAGCAGCACGAACTCTCCCGACTGCGCATTAACACCAGAGACACCAACTTATTGGGGTCCAGAAGACAGATGGACTGCAACACATGCAGCCCCAATGCAAGCACACCTAACGTGCCCTCCGTTTCCGACGCAGCTACTCAACCAGCAATTGTTTGTCTCCTCGGCCCCGGTGCAGGAGCAGCAGCATCACTTCTATGCTTCGCCTAGCGTATACCATCAGGGATACACCGACTGGGATCTCGCATATCCAGGCATGGGCACAGATATGTCATCTTACTATGCGTACGTGAGTATTTCATGAATATCGACGATATGTATTATATGGGCATGGAAGACCCTTTCTCTATATATGTTTGGCAAACAGGACGAATGTATACCGTACATTGTTTTCTTATGGTGTCTTTTTGGGTCTGCCGTGTTAGGAGGCAACCGCTCAGGGATTCATATACCTTGGAAGTCCTTGGAGTCATTGGAATTATATATCATCATGTATTGTGGAGATAGCGACCTATAAATTTTAATTTCTATACATTGATTAGAACATATCAAGAGTCATCAAAAGACATTTCACCCAAGACGCCGAGCGGTTCCAAAATCCTTCGAGATGCACCCAGATGTTATCAGAGCACAGGAACTCGCACGAACGGTAATAAGGCTCCATATCCAGTGCGATATACTCGATTTATACTGAGTCATCTTGTTCATTGCAGAGACCAGTTGGTTTCTACACTCCCCACTATCTCTTTCACAATATCGTACAGATGTCCTATCCGCCAAAACCTCGCTCGGATGAAGCATTAACACTCATAAAATCGAAAACGGCACTGTTTCGCTTGTAGAAGCTAGCTGCCACTTGTATTGACGGTGTTGGGCAGCAGTGCGTTCTGCCTGTCGTGGAGATAACTGATTTAGAGACTTTGGAGAAGTCAGCTAGTGCCCCTCGGATTTAAAAACTAAGAGTGGTCTAGTAGCCACTAGTAAAAAGCAGCTAATAGTCACTGTCTAAAGAAAGGAGGAACGTTCTGGCGCGGCGACTTACGGAGGGAGGAGGAACTCGCTCAGGCTGCTGTGGAGGAAAGCAACGGCGGCCTGGAAACTCATATTAGCACCAGCATATTCACATCGACAGTTCCACGCATGATTTATCTCAAAGGAGAGATGAGTATGCAGAACTTACACCAAAGACCAACACGCTTCTCACGACAGTCGTGTTGTCGGGCGAAGTGATCTCGTTCCAGGCGGAGCTGAGGAAGCCGCGCTGCTGACGGGAAGAAGAGGCATGGACGACAACGCGCTGCTTGGGGGCCATTGTGAATGGATAGGATTATTCAACTTCTCGAATTAAATGTTGATGAAGCTGTTGTTCGTTGTTGAGATGAGTCGAGCTGCCGTCGAGAAATCTTTCAGCGGCTCGGGGAAAGGGTTGGTCTGAGCTTGGCGTCATCACCTCTTGCGCTTGTGGGTTCTCTGGGTGACCGTATCTTCATCACTTCAATCTCTTGGGCCGATAAACTTGGATAAATGCAAATAGGAGGTTTTCTACTGATATTTCTCGCTTGATTTGACTCTACTAACAATCTATTCAATCCTTCCTCATCGCGCACTGGGATTCGTAGGCTATGCATTGAAGAACTTAGTGCGAGACACCTTAGTGTACTCAAGTACCTCGGCAATCATTCCGCCAGAGCGCTATCAGCTTTATCATCATACCTCGAGAGACTTGTAACTACCTTGCAAGAGTTCTCTGAGTTCTATTTAACTTTCGAATTTCGGCTAGATAATACATGGCTTGTTCGTTCCTGCACTGGCTCATTATCAGTTGGCACGCGAACAGAGAGCTACGAGGGCACAAGTCCAGTCAATGCGAAATAAATATTTATATTGCGCAGCCGAGTGAAAGTCCATCTGGCATCAACGGATGTCCGATATCTCTCTACTAGTGCTTAATACCGTCCACGATACCCATTTGATCGGATGTTTGCAATTTAGCGCAGATGCATCAGTAAAACCCTGCTCCGTGTAACCACAAGCTAAGTACCTAGCTGCCCAGAAGGTGCGATACTCTTAGTTCTTATCAACGGAAGGGAAAAAGCAAACCGAGCCGCTGATAGTCAATTCAGAATTATAATCGCCAACGAGAGAGGTCTATATATCTATCGAGACCAGTAAGGACCCAGGCGGCCCTCAAATCTACCAGACAGGCATTATTTGTTCCAGGAGACACATTCTCAAAACATGTCAACCAAGATATTTATCACTGTCGAGAAAGGAGACCCCCTTGATTACATGGAATACCGCCACACAGCTCTCCATTTAATTTTCCCCGATGCAACTCAATCTGTCATGCATGTGGTCGGTACCCATGGGATGTTCAATTTCCAGGAGAGGGAAAACTATGACCCATCAACCAGCCCTCTTTACGTGAAATCGACTCCCGTGGCAGATATTCCGGAAGCGATCGGTCCAGCCTTGATCAAATTGATTATTTTGATGACGCCTGTCAAAAATAAACCTGAAGATATGCCTTGGAACTGTCAAAACTGGGTTGCGGATGCTCTTTCTCGCCTGATGACGTATGGTTATCTTACGGAGGCTGAACGTGAGAGGGGAATTGATGAAATGGTCACGGCGTGTTTCGAAGCGGAGGACGAGGAGAATAGGCCAGCATTTTAAGGGACTGTGGGTAATGTTGTTAGTATGTCTATCTTTTAACGATATAGTATGGTCTAGCCTCGCGGGCACATCAGTGTATAAAGGATAAATACAAAGATTACATAAAGGCACAGATGAATGTTTAGGACATCTAGGAATGGTAGCAAACTCTTCATCACGACCTAGAGATGCGAGCCAAGAAGGACATGCCTATGTATTCTGTCTTGTATTTAGGCGGGAGTATTAGAGCTAGATAATCGGGCCAGTCTCGCATTGGACGCAAATGAGCATGGCCTTTGATGTATTCCCAATGCTCTGGATACCAACCACCAAGTTCCCAGTCCAGGATAGCAGTTACATGCCCTTCATCATCGACCAGGATATTCCTAGGAGCCAGGTCCCCATGGGTAAAGACGATGTTGTGGCCATCTTTGACGGCATCCTTCGCATAATCTTTTAAGAGTTGTGGTATCTGTGGGATGACATCTGCCAGAATGAAGTCGTTGAAGAGCTTTTCGGACTCAAAAGGACCACCATCGACAAAGGCCCTGTTACCGATGATGGCTTTCCCATGATTGGCTCCTCCAATGTAGTCGCCCTTGAAGGCTCGAATTTGTGAGACATAATCACGGAGCTCTTGGGCGACAGAGAGCTTTTGGTCGGAATTCATGCCATCCCAAGCTTGATCGAGTCTTTTGCCTGGCATATAGTCCATGGTGATTGCCTTCACTTTTCCATCTTCCCACTGGACATCGTGTACTTTCGGCACCGGTATGTTCGTATTGGCAGCGACAAACTTGAGATTGTCTGCTTCATGTGCAAAGAGTGGCCCAGACTTGACGACACGGTCCTCGCTAACTCGCACAACCTTGCGAGCGTACAGCTCATGAATGATCTCTCCTTCCTCTACCACATTTTAGTATCTTATGTTCAAAGAGGCAAGTAGGTTCTATACCGTTCACCGTCATGTTGTATTGTGGCTTACAAGCCGTACATTTATAGTCCTGAATGGGTAAGCTGAGACTGAGGGCTAACGATCATTGCTGCGAAGGGGGCGGTCATTTATCAGTGACGGTTACTCATGTAAGTACGGAAGTCTTGGGCGCTAACCGTTGAAACCCAATAACTACTTAGGGACTTCTGGAAGTCAAGTTCCCTAGTGTGCAGTTAACGCCCTCACAAATGGGCGCTACATCGCTAACAAGATGTCTTTTTCTGAGATGTTAGTCAAAAGACAGAGAGCTAAACCATTAGTTATACTCTTAGTTGACTGTTTATCTAAGATCATAAATTAACTATCTTATCCTGCTCTGTCTGTGCTCTTTTAGCATCGTATTCATGGATTACAGACAGACGATTACAGCTAGTTATAGTTACAAGAGAGAGAAAGATCATGGGGGATTGTATATCTGCCGTTATGATTTCATTATAATTCAATTTACTGATACCTATTCTATAAGATTGACAGCTAAACTTGATATGTAGATACTCTGGTGGGTAGTCAACTTACGCTGCAGGCCGACTGATGACTAAGCACAATGACATTCGACCATGTCCGCGGCGGCGTTCCGAAGGCTCTCAGGACGCATAGCTTCAATGACGGTGCGCATATTGCAAGCAACTGTCGGGTTATAGTTCTTCTCAAGACGACCTTGGACATTTTCTCTATTCCAGAACGTGGGAGAGATTCGTCGATCAGGCTCGCGTGTTTTGTGCAGCTCAAACCTTTCGGTCCCCGCGCGCTACGCGCTCCGCAGTAATGGCGAGTATCGACGAGCTTTTCAAGGTACGTTGAATAGGGCCATTGGGTGTTTGTTTCCTGTGAGCATGCGATGTGGGTACTCATTGATATACAGAACCCTGTAATTACAGGAGGCAATAAGCGCAAATTCGAACCGAATCAGGATCCAAGTACGTCCTTCACCTGCGCGAGCGATCTTCTATCAACATTCACGACTCTCACAGCGTCCAATGTATACTAACGTGCAGAAGATGAACTATATAAGGCAGCTAAGCTAGGTGCCAATGGAGATGTGAAAAACAAGGGTAAAGCGCCTATGGTCGAGGACGAAGGTGCAGAAGAGGACGACGGTATCGCGGGCCCAGAGCTCCCTCCAGATTTCGAAGAAGATGTACCAGATGACGAGGAAGGCCGTTTCTTCGGTGGTGGTATGGCGCGCGAGACGGCGAAGGCAATGGAGTATATTGATCAGGTGGATGAGGAGGGGCCAGTTGCGGTATGTAGTATCAGGGCATTACTACTTCGTGGGTCATCATTATGGTCCTTGGCTGACTCGTCGCGGTTATGATGTACAGCCTGAAAAGATCGATAGCGCCTGGGTGCGTCGCCTCGCACTGAATTTCGAGAAGCGGATATCGAAGAATGCGGAGCTGCGAGCAAAATACGAGAATGATCCGCAAAAGTACGTCTAGTATAAACATTGAGATCAGGACTGTTCAAGCAATACTGATGAGGGCCTAGGTTTATGGCATCTGAGGCTGATTTGGATTCCGATATCAAATCATTGTCTATCCTCTCTGAACATCCGGAGTTGTACGACGAATTCGCGAAATTGGGATCCGCGGCCTCACTTGTCTCCCTCTTGACCCACGATAACACTGACATAGCAATCGATGCTATTCAGATTATCAGCGAACTGACGGACGAAGACGTTGAAGCGAAGCAGGAACAATGGGACAGTCTTGTCAATGCGCTGGTTGGTGTTAATTTCCTGCAGTCTCCTAGCACTGGGCTTACGTCTTTTAGCTGGATGCCGATGTTATTGATCTGATGACGTCGAACCTCTCTCGATTGGACGAAGAGAATGAAACTGACAGAGCAGGAGTTTACTATATCTTGAGTAAGTAACTAATCTGTCCACTGGCGTGTCATATTTCTAACGGTGGGATAGGCGTCCTCGAGAACCTAGCTTCGCAGACATCCATCGCAGAGAAGATTGGGGAAGGTCATGATGTCTTCAAGTGGCTACTATCACGGATACAGAGAAAGGAGAGCCCCGTCAGTCAAAATAAGCAGTACGCCGCTGAGATTTTGGCCATCCTGTTACAATCTTCTGCCAAGAACCGAGAAAAGTTCATCGGTCTAGATGGTGTCGATGCCCTACTTCAACTTCTCAGCCCTTACCGGAAACGGGACCCTGAGAAAGATTCCGATGAGGAGGAATACGTGGAAAATCTGTTCGACTGCTTGGTCTGTCTAGTGGATGAAGACGCTGGGAAAGAAAAATTCCTTGAGGGTGAAGGAATTGAACTGGCGCTTATCATGCTCCGAGAGGGGAAATTCAGCAAGCAACGAGCCTTGCGAGTCTTGGATCATGCTCTTGCGCCGCAGGGAGGTGCACCTGCTTGCGAACGGCTGGTGGAGGCAGCTGGTCTGAAGACGGTGTTTGGCACGTTCATGAAAAAGGTGAGTCCCTCGCCTTGCGCTGAATTAGTAGGAATCTGACTCTGTGTAGCAAGAGCATCAGACCATTGAACATCTGCTCGGGATCTTCAACTCCATGCTGCGCCTTCTACCTGGTGGTTCCGCTGCGCGGATCCGAACACTGGCGAAGTTTATGGAGAAAGACTACGAGAAGATTGAGAAACTAGTCAAACTTCGACGCGACTACGCGTCGAGGATAAGACCGGTCGAGGAGGTCATCGAAAAAGAGCGGAAGTCGCTAAGTAAGGAAGATCAGGAAGCCATGGCTGCCGAATGGCTATCTCGTCGACTCGATGCGGGTCTTTTCTCACTACAGGTATGAAAAATCTCTGCGTACGTGCTGTGCAATGCTAATATTTTCGTAGATGATCGACGTTATTCTGGCTTGGCTAGTTGCCGAGGATGATGGCGCGAAGAAGAAAATCGAGGCGCTCCTTGCGGACCGTGACGAGGATCTATCGCTTGTCCGGGGCACTCTCGAAGGTGAGCGCAACCATATTGGCCCTTATTCTTCGAATCCATCGTGCTGACAAATATAACAGAGCAAATTGAGGGTCTTGGTGAGGAAGATGCTGGTGAACGGGATTTGAAAGGGATGCTGGAAACTCTACTGCAGTTCACGCAGCCTAGCGGGAAGTGATGGCCACCTCGTTCCCATGTAATATATACTAGTGCAATAATAATGATTTCATAATCATTGATAAAGCCTTTATATTGCCTGGAATAATATGGTGAATTAGAGTGTTGTATTCAATCACGTGACAGTCCCATAACAGTTAGCGCAAAACTCGGCGCTAACCGGGGACTCGGCGCTAGTGGCGGCTCTGCTCAAGATCCAGCCAGAGCAACGGCGAACAAAGCGTCCAGGCTTGCTCTCCTTCACTCATCACGGCTGGCTTGGGATTGTCGCCGTGCCATCTATTCATCATCAGGATTCCTGTATCACAGCACTTGTGTCTTCAAAGTGATCGCTGTGACGCCTTCCTAGTGAGACCGCGCCCTTACCAGCACTGGGGAGCCCAGCTGGCAGCCGACCTTTTCGCTTGAGCGCGACGCGCCCTTTTGCGCTCACCAGGGCTTCTTCGACACCGTCTCGGTCCAGTTGCCCAAGATGGCGGAATACGACGATACCTATGAAGATGAGTACTATGATGATGTCGACGAGGGGATTACGTCGGAGGACTGCTGGACGGTGATTTCGTCCTTCTTCGAGTCCAAGGGTCTGGTGTCGCAGCAGCTGGACTCGTTCGATGAGTTCATCTCCTCGACTATGCAGGAGTTGGTCGAGGAGCAGGGACAAGTGACACTCGACCAGACCCTTCCGCCAAATGAAGACGAAGTTGACCCCGTCGTGCTACGCCGGTATGAGCTGAAGTTTGGAACGGTCATGCTGGCGAGACCGGCAATGACTGAAGGTGATGGCGCGACGACAATCATGTTGCCACAGGAAGCTCGTCTACGAAATCTTACGTACGCGAGTCCCCTGTATCTGGGTATCACGAAGCGGATCATGGAGGGTCGCGAGCGGCTTGTGGCGGACCGCGATGATGAGGATGGGCTGGCGACGGAGGAGGAGCGGAAAGCTCGAGGCACATACTTGCACTGGGAACAGAAGGAACTGCCGGAAGATCAGGCAAAGGAGGAGACTGTCTTCATCGGAAAGATGCCGATTATGCTCAAGTCAAAATACTGTATCTTGAAGGATCTCAGTGAGCAGTCCCTCTACAACTGGAACGAGTGCCCATACGACTCTGGCGGTTACTTCATCATCAACGGAAGCGAGAAGGTCCTTATCGCCCAGGAACGCAGTGCCGGAAACATCGTTCAGGTGTTCAAGAAGGCACCTCCGAGTCCGACGCCATATGTCGCCGAGATCCGAAGTGCTGTCGAGAAAGGTTCGCGTATCCTGTCGCAACTGTCGCTTAAGCTCTTTTCCAAGGGAGACAGTGCGAAAGGAGGATTTGGTCCGACCATCCGATCGACTCTTCCCTACATCAAGACCGATATTCCGATCGTTGTCGTATTCCGTGCGCTCGGTGTCGTGTCTGACGAAGATATTCTCAACCACATTTGCTACGACCGTAATGATACCCCGATGCTGGAGATGTTGAAACCGTGTATTGAGGAAGGTTTCGTCATCCAGGACCGCGAAGTTGCCCTGGATTTCATCAGTAAGAGAGGATCTTCGCAGACCAGTATGAACCATGAGAGACGTGTGAGATACGCAAGAGAGATCATGCAGAAGGAATTCCTTCCACATATCTCCCAGAGCGAGGGAAGTGAGACTCGAAAGGCCTTCTTCCTGGGCTACATCGTTCATCGACTGCTTCAATGTGCTCTCGGCCGTCGCGATGTTGATGATCGTGATCACTTTGGAAAGAAGCGTCTGGACCTTGCTGGTCCTCTGCTCGCTACGCTTTTCCGAACCCTCTTCACCAGAGTTACTCGTGACCTTCAGCGATATGTTCAGCGCTGCGTTGAGACCAACCGTGAAATCTATCTCAATATTGGTGTTAAGGCAAGCACCTTGACTGGAGGTCTGAAGTATGCTTTGGCCACAGGTAACTGGGGAGAGCAGAAGAAGGCTGCCAGCTCTAAGGCCGGTGTTTCTCAAGTGTTGAGTCGTTACACCTATGCGTCTACGCTTTCCCATCTTCGCCGCACCAATACGCCAATTGGTCGTGATGGAAAGATCGCCAAGCCTCGACAGCTTCACAACACCCACTGGGGATTGGTGTGTCCGGCTGAGACTCCTGAAGGTCAAGCTTGTGGTCTTGTCAAGAACCTGGCGCTTATGTGTTACATCACTGTCGGAACGCCTAGCGAGCCCATCATTGATTTCATGATTCAGCGAAACATGGAGGTTCTGGAAGAGTTCGAGCCGCAGGTGACGCCCAACGCGACAAAGGTGTTTGTCAACGGAGTGTGGGTTGGTATCCACCGTGATCCAACCCATCTCGTCAACACCGTCATGTCTCTGCGTCGCCGTAACATGATCTCCCACGAAGTCAGCTTGGTTCGCGATATCCGTGACCGAGAATTCAAGATCTTTACCGATGCTGGTCGTGTATGCCGACCGCTCTTCGTCATCGATAATGACCCGAAGAGCGAGAACTGCGGTTCTCTGGTCCTCAACAAAGAACACATCCGTAAACTTGAGCAGGACAAAGAGCTTCCGCCAGACCTTTCACCGGAGGAGCGCAGAGAACGGTACTTCGGATGGGATGGACTGGTTAGGTCTGGAGTTGTGGAGTACGTCGATGCAGAGGAAGAAGAGACCATCATGATCGTTATGACGCCTGAAGATCTAGAGATCTCTAAGCAGCTTCAGGCCGGATATGCTCTCCCTGAAGATGAGGGCAACGATCCCAACAAGCGCGTCCGGTCCGTCCTCAGTCAGAAAGCGCACACCTGGACACACTGTGAGATCCACCCCAGTATGATCCTCGGTATTTGCGCCAGTATTATCCCTTTCCCGGACCACAACCAGTCTCCTCGTAACACCTACCAGTCTGCAATGGGTAAACAAGCTATGGGTGTATTCTTGACGAACTTTGACCAGCGAATGGAGACGATGGCCAACATCCTTTATTATCCACAGAAGCCGCTGGCCACTACACGGTCCATGGAGTTCCTCAAGTTCCGAGAACTTCCAGCCGGGCAAAACGCCATTGTCGCCATTGCTTGCTACTCTGGATATAACCAGGAAGATTCCGTCATTATGAACCAGAGCAGTATTGACCGTGGACTGTTCCGCAGTCTGTTCTATCGTACTTACACGGACTCCGAGAAGATGGTGGGGCTGACAGTGGTCGAGCGTTTTGAGAAGCCTATGCGCTCCGACACCATCGGTATGCGGAAGGGTACGTACGACAAGATCGACGAGGACGGTATCATTGCTCCTGGTGTCCGTGTGTCCGGTGAAGATATCATCATCGGTAAGACGGCCCCTCTTGCCCCGGAAGCAGAGGAACTCGGTCAGAGAACGAAGGCGCACACCAAGCTGGATGTCTCGACACCGCTGCGAAGTACCGAAAGCGGTATTGTCGACCAGGTTTTGGTATCCACGAGCAACGATGACTTGAAATTCGTCAAGGTGCGGATGAGGACCACCAAGATCCCCCAGATTGGTGACAAGTTCGCTTCCCGTCACGGACAGAAGGGTACTATTGGTATTACATACCGCCAGGAAGATATGCCATTTACGCGGGAGGGTGTCGTTCCTGATTTGATCATCAACCCTCACGCTATTCCATCGCGTATGACTATTGCACACTTGATCGAATGTCAACTGAGCAAGGTGTCATCGCTGCGTGGATTCGAAGGTGATGCCACGCCGTTCACGGATGTCACTGTCGATTCCGTGTCTCGCCTGCTGCGTGAACATGGCTACCATTCGCGTGGATTTGAAGTCATGTACAATGGCCATACTGGACGGAAACTGGTGGCACAGGTCTTCCTGGGACCAACATACTACCAACGTCTACGACACATGGTGGATGACAAGATCCATGCTCGTGCTCGTGGACCAACTCAGATCCTGACCCGGCAGCCGGTAGAAGGTCGTGCACGTGATGGTGGTCTCCGTTTCGGAGAAATGGAACGCGATTGTATGATTGCTCACGGTGCCAGTGCTTTCCTGAAGGAGCGTTTGTTCGATGTGTCGGATCCTTTCCGTGTCCACATCTGCGACGACTGCGGCCTGATGACTCCCATTGCGTAAGTATTCTGGTTCCTTGTCCCGTAGTCCCTATTGCTGCAGTTTCTACGGTTTTGTTTCTTTCTTCGTGCCTCATTTTACTAACTCCCGGTTCCCTGCAGGAAACTCAAGAAGGGCTTGTTTGAGTGCCGACTGTGCAATAACAAGCACCGGATCTCGCAAGTACACATCCCGTATGCCGCCAAGTTGCTCTTCCAGGAGCTGGCCTCCATGAACATCGCGGCACGCATGTTTACCAACCGCTCTGGAGTATCTGTGCGATGATCAGATTGATTATCAGTCTCAGATCATCGACTAGCCCGTCGGTCTCCCATCATCTGTTCGCTACCTACTGGCAGGTAGCTGGGGGTCTTGGTGGATACTGCGTTGTAATTATTCATAATTCTTCACAGGCTTCACCCAGGACTCAAAAATCATATATTACTCGTATTCCCTTCTCTGGTCTTTCCGCGATGTCTTTCCGAGAATGGCACCTTGGCATCATCTGGCGCACAGCGAATTTGTTATCAGCTTTTCCTATTTTTGTTCTCTACGGGATGCGGGAATAGAGTGGGACAGCCGTAGATATTTCGTCGGCTGTTGAAATTGGATTTGGACGATTGCTCGTTCTCTTGCTTGATAGGCGTGGAGGGTAGTAACCGTGTCTTTAGCCCTCAAAACCTGTATTTTACATATGTTGCAAAATAAATTAAATAAAGCCATCTCGATCTGACAATTAGCATTCCGCATAGATCAGACTGCAAGCTCTCCTGGTTCCTTCAGCTAGACCGCTAAATTCATTATAAACTAGCTTTCTGGAGAAATAGGTTCATCTCTATAAAATCTTTTATTTCTGATTTTAATTTTTATCTTTATAGATACTCAACAGTGAAAGGGAATTGGGGCATATGGCACCTACAACAACGTTGGAGGGACGTGGTTAAAGTTGGAGTACCGGAACGGAGGGGTGGGAAGAGGAATTGATGTGCTGCGAGAGTTCATGTAACGATGTTTGAAGAAGCATTGGATGGGATTTAGTGTTATGGATATGATATATCCGAGTCTATCGTGACGTATATAATTAAACATCTGCTATCAATATATACGGTCTATCATGCATTTAACCGATTATCAACCCAAACCGTCCTTTTCCAGGCGTCACTCTAAATATCCATTTCTGTCCTTTGAATTCTTCTCTTTCTGAAAAAGTCACATCCACAGATTCAACCGGGGGACTCAACGATGCCGCCACTGCTTTCGTATTCGTCTTCGGTTCCTTCCATGGACCTGTCACGGGGCTGATATCAAACCGCAAGATAAGCATTGCTACTAGAGCCAAGATTTCTCCCGTGGCGAAGTGCCGACCCGGGCAAATACTGGGAGATATTCCAAATGAAAGGAACGCAGATGCTTTCTGTCTCTTATCCGCCGACTCGCCCAGTTTCGTAAATCTCCAGGGATCGAATTCCTCGACGTTAGAGCCCCATGCTGGTTTGTTCCGGTTGATTGTCGCGGCTGGGACCGCAATGATTGAACCCTTTTTCAGTAACAAGCGATCGTCCAGAGTTGTATCTTCATATACTACGCGGACTTGTCCGGAATTGGACCTGAGTCGAAGGGTCTCCTGGAAGGATGAAAGTAGTAGAGGGCAGTTATTCCGAATATCGGCTAGGTCTAGTACGTGTTGTCCAGTAGAATCAACCGAGAGGGCTCCCTGACGAATCTCGTCTCTGATAGCCTCCAGCAGTGCTGGACGAGAATAGATATCAAAGATTGTCCAAAATCCAGTCGGGACTGTGTTTGAGAGTATCCCGAGCCCCATTACGGACTCGAGCCGAGCAATATTTTCCAAAGTCGCTCCACGGTCATGTTGTGTCTTGAATCGGGCATATGCTAGTGGAGAAGCATCGTCATGTCCGTGTTCTTGATAGTACCGAATGAAGGATTTAACGAGCAACTCTCTCCCTTTCCGGGCCTTCCGTGCAGTGATCCAACCAGCTATATTTATCATTAATAAGCTAAGGTTGGATTCAACGTCCCTATAATACTCATCAAGTAAGCTGGCGACCTATATATGATAGTGAGTGACTGTGAGAAGTACCAAAATGCATCCTGAATAGTACGTGATTTGTACGGATTCAGTGGACCATAGACAGCATCCGTACTGGCAATAGTCATAGCATTACGACACCATTCAACCAGATCGATCCGACGATTCGGATATAATGCGAGCTCATCAATGCTTCCATTAAGAACGTCGATCATCCGTCGATTCATATGGTCTAATCCATCACCCAGAAGAGAGGGATGCATCGCCTGAACAACCTCATTCCCGAGTCCTTTGCCGCCAGACGCTGTCTCCCGCAGAAGTTCAAGAGCGGAGCCTTGAACTCCCGCAAGGCGCTCTGCAGCACTGGTGAAAATTGGATCGAAAGATAACGTTCGGTGATTGCGCTTGACGGCAGATACCAAGTCGGGGGATGTGATCACGCTAACTTTGTTATTGAGCATTTTTAACGTGAAGATTGGCAAAGAGCATTTTGAACTGGTGTCATTGGTTAGTATTCGTATGAAAGATAAGTATGTGTATGAACGACATTCAATGTGCTGTAATATAGAGCAAATAAGTACCTCTGCATCGAAAAATATTCGATTCCATAATGTATGAACGCGACAACATGGCCAATCACGGGGACTTTGCTATGAATAAGAGGAGGCTCAAGAGGATCTGGCGTGTCGTATTTCTGGTAGAGATACAATGCACTCCCTAGTAGAATAATTAATAGGATGACTCCTACAGATATAGTTCCTGACATGGTTTGGTTTGGTCTACCAGGGGTCTCTTCTGTCAATGAACGAAAACAGGTGCCAATAAAATGCGGTTTATTTGTCCAAATTCAAATGTTATGTACTAGCCGTTTCTGGAATTCGCTTACATGTTCGAAGATTAAACTGAACTAGTTAACTAGTTAACTAAAAGGAGTATGATCTGTCACTGAATAATTGCAAACTGCTACATTTTTAACTTCCCGCGATACTCTCAAATGGCGCCGGCGCGGAGACACTTAGCAATACCAAACCCACACGGGAGATGTAGGCATGAGTTTGACCAGATCCATGGATACTGTCAAGTATAAATATACAATCAGCTTGAACAGTAAGATTGTCCCTTACATAATAGACTTAATAGGGAGTGTCTAGTCTGCTGGCCATCTGTTTCGGCCAAGATATTGTCGGGGTTCATCATAAAGCGAAGGTAATGTTAACTATTAGGGACCCTGGCAAATGGTACAAGTGACCTTGCACTATCTAACAAATCCTGGGCGTCTAGCTGTAGGCGACTGACTGAGTAGCTCCGTCTTACAGATGCTTGAATCTTTCCGAGTTCGTCTACTCGCACGTCGCACGCATCATCAATCCAATGAACGCTTTCCTTAGCAACATATTCTCGACAAGTCTCCGATCTGTCCCGCTGACCTTTGACAGAGAGAGGGGTAATGCTCACGAGGAACTCGGAAAAGCCAATGCCAACTCTGGAGCCCGCCTTGGTCCCATAGGGATGCCTGTTGGAGTAGTATGTGTTCAGGCAAGGTGGGAGCCATCATGCAAGTTTCTAGGTCAAACCCGGACGTCTCCATGCGGAATTCGTAATTAGAAGAGGTGATCCTGGGACATGATCACCGATTGCTCGTGAAATAACCTGACAGAGTGTCTGTAGGAAGGTTATACTACATAAACTTAAGATGATGTATCCAGATACATACATCTGTATCAATGCAGACTCCAAAGATGCAGTCCATCTTGGTCCGTTATTGCTAATCATAGTGGGCATTTTCTGACCATCATTAAAGGATATCCTTAGCACGTCGAGAGTAGGAGATTGGAGTTGTATAGATGATGCAGATGTACTATACATCATTCAGTGCTAGCATCTTTAGCGGTATGCATCTTCCCGAGAACATTGTGTTCCCCTCAGCTGCAGTGGAACCGCTATTCCAGAATCTGGCTAGATATATGACAGTTGTCGAGGATAGTTATTAACAAACCGTATGCATGCGTCCATATGAACTCCATAACTCAAGGTTGCGGTCCGTATAGCGGAAACCAACATGATCGCATGGCTGAGAGTGGACAGGATGATAACAGGCCTAGGGCCTTAGCTCCCTTGGTCTCCCAGGATGTCCATCTAGTCTTGTGCTTCTCGTGTGTGCCATCCTGGCTGCTGGTCGATTGCGAAAGGTGACTGGATGGGCGTTCTATGCCTGGAGGGGTGCCGGGCGCTAAATATCGTACTCTGGTTGGCGCACGAAAGCCCCGATGCGATGTGATCGCGACGAACACCAAAAATAGTGGACGAGAAGCCGACGGAGACTCTATTTTGGGACGATCACAAAATCGTCAGTCGACGCCCTCTGCAGCGCAGTCACCAATAGGGTCGGTATTCTAGATGCTTGGCTTGTTTCCCCCTCTTTGAGCTGATCCCGTCATTGGCAGTGGTGGACGACCATCACAATCGCCTGCAGAAGATGGCCGATGGATGGATTGATGATGGCTGATCGCCGGGATGAATGTGAACCACCGGATAGCAGCATCTCGTCGTCCATATAATCTGCTTGATCGCCCCAGCTCCAAGTCTCTTTTTCTTCCTTTTCTTCTCCAGCAAGCTTTTGCCTTTTCCAGAGCTGCCCATAGTTCGGAAGTCCCCCGGTTAGCACTGGTTGCAACCGTTTTTGTTTGTCTGTTCGTGGTTCTGATCTCTATAATCTAATTGTTCAATTGCTTTGCTTTGTTGCATCTTTCTGAACCACATACATACATACATACGTCCACCGCCAATCCAACAAACAAAAGTAATAGACAAACGAGCAGTGCTCTTGTCTATCTGTGGCCGGTATTAATCGGGTTGTCTCCTTGACTTTCGAACTATACAAACCAAAAACCAACAAACTGCTTTAATTACAACGTCGCTGGTTCGACGTCCATCTTGTTGTTTTTTACAGCTCTGCCTTGCTCGGGCCTGAAGTTTCGGTCAGGTTGATTTTCGTGTGGAGGGTTAATACTGTTTCTCGACTGCAGTGTTGGACGAAGGATCCACGCCAAAAAAGTTGTCACTTCAAATTCGTGTCTTGTCGCGATCTACCTAGTCATTCGGTCTTCTTTTACTTCTCGTCGAAGTTAATCATTTCGAGAGTCTCCGGTAGTCTCTTGTCAATTTCATCTTCTCTCGAACCCGTCCGGTTGCCATTGTGGCTCGATCTCAATCGCAGACGGTATCTACCAAATCTCTCGACCATATCTTCGACTCTGTTAGCCAGTCAAGCCAACACGCTGGCTTGCATCTCGTGAAGACCCATCGCTAGATACATCTTTCGCAAACCTCCTGGTTTCCGCTGAGGAAGCTCTGTCTCCGACACCGAATCGTCGACAACATATATCTCTTTAATTTTATCGTCTTTCGTCCATTGTTTAACGACCTTACGGCCCTCCTTCTACGGGAATCATAATCTAATATTTATTTCTATTTCACCTTTTTTATACAATTCGTTACTGCATCCATAATGGCGACTGTGCAGCTCAACTTCTCTCTTCGGACCTCTGCCAACGTCAAGACGGTCCACCTCGTCGGATCATGGGATAAGTATTCTCGCCAACTCCCTCTTTCCAAGGATACTTCGAAGTCGGGATCATGGACAGGCAAGTTCCGCTTTCAGACATCGATGCTCAAGCTGGGTGGGCGGTATTGGTACTACGTAAGTCTACCCATCTCCCTCGTCAGTTATTTCACTTCCAATCCCCAGGATTAACTAAATCATAAAGTATATCATGGACGGCTACCACGTTTCCCACGACCCCGCGCAAGAATACACCGTTGAGAAAACCACCGGACGAAAGCTCAACGTCTTGGACGTGCCTGACCCGCGTAGTCCCACGTCTTCCAGCCACCACTCCCGACGCCAATCGACCGATATTCCTAAAGGCCGCGCTCTATCGCCATCCAAGATCCAACACCCAAGACCCTCGAAACCCTACGAGTCGCGCCAAATCCGCGAAGATGACTTCATCGTCGAAGAACTCGCGGACCAACTCGCATCATCCCGCCTCTCGGACGGGTACTACTCGAACAGCCCGCCTAGTTCCGTCGGCTCGTCGCTCTCCTCTCGATCAGATAGCTCGTCCCCCTCTTCGCTGTCTTCTATGAGTGACCCGCCCACGCCCATCTGCCGTTGCGAGAGATACGGTATTACCCGCAAGGGAGACCGTGTCAAGTTAGACTGTGGCGGTAGCCGATGCGGATACTTCACCGAGTCATCTGAGGGATCAGACTGTTCGTCCGACGCGGAGTCCGATCACGACTATAGAGTCGCAAAGAGCGCTGCTCGTCGACAGGGCATCGTCGTCCGGAGATAAGCCAAGCAAAGGGACCATCGATCTTGATGGAATGTCCGACCTTTTCAATATGAGAGAGATCGTTGAAAACCTACACTTCTCGAACAGTTCTCGAGTTACGGCATCACATCAGAGCCATTCACTTCGAGAAGTCGACCCGCGCGCACACGTCGTTCGCATGTGCATTAATTTATTCTTTTTTTCTTCCAAGAACAAAAATATCAAGAAAAAGAAAAACCAGCACGGCCAATATCTCGGTGGAACGTCTTCTTCCCTACATGGGATGATGATGGCGATGACGGAAAGCACACGGCCCGTGGCAAAGCTGGTCTTCGTTACGCGTTGCTTCTCATCTTCATATCATGCTTATCCCTTGATTAAAAAAAGCACGGGAAGAACGCCGAGTCGCTTGACAAGGCCAACACATGAATACCCGCTACGTATCTCCTCAATATGGATACATTTGAGGATACGTCCAGGTGGGAAAGAATGACAAGGTCGTGTATCGTCGTCTTACTTGCTGTCTATCTTCTGCGTGCCGCCAGACAGTGGCATTCAATTCACAAGACAGGAACTGTCAGATTTTATGACAAGTGGACGATAGCATACGACAATCGTGGTCTAGTGATGTTGTCTAGGTAGGCAGCCAAGTTAAATCAATAGATAGTGCCTAGATAATCGAATTCAAGATGAATCAAGACCTTCAAAAGTACCTAATAACACCCTCTAAATGACAAACGTCTATGCTGAATCAATGTCTATCCTTATATGTCTTCTGGTATACAGATGCCAATCTATGGAACTGGACAAGTAACTTGAACCTGTCTCGCCCTGAGTTCTCGAGAGGGTGATTGGTAGTCTAATGTTAGAGGTCCAGGTAGAGTCTCGCCAACTAGGAGTTCTCCTTTTTGGTCGAGTGGCAGAAAGCCATCATCTAATGCCACACTCCGTATTTTCCTTGGCATATCTCATATCGACAGGCATTGAATCCTCCTGCAGAGTTACCTCAAGCGTACCTATCTATCTACACTCTGTCCCACTTTAACCATTCTTCATTATCGTCATTGGATTCTCTAATTGCCAGCTATAACTCTCTAGTGCGTGGATGTACATACATATGTATGTGCTTGATTTCAGAGCAAAAATCTGAATAACCGTTCGATAATCGTAGTAGCCAATCTCCATTCCCGGAACTAATCTAGCTTATCCCAACAAAACCTGAAATTTATGGGACGGTTCCGGGGAGATCGAATCAGGGATTCGCCCTTTTGAACGAGTGGCGTAGCGAGTTACGAGATCTTCCAAGTCATTTGCCTATCGCTTATGCTAACGAATGCGGAACACACTACAGTACTAACTAGGTAACTACTACTACTACTACTTACCATCACCTTGCGGGGTACGTAATTTAATATCAACCAATTGCCAAAACCGGTAGATCCTATGTCCTCTCTCTCATACCAGTAAACGCGGTTTCTAAGGTTTACTATCTACCACTGGTAGGATTATCGCGCCTATGAGATGTGCGTTTCAGGGTGAGCTACTGAACACTGCTTAGTAGAAGCTAGCCCCCTTGATTAACATGAGGTATTTCAACCCCGCTGTATAATAATAATAATTAATCCATAACTACCAGGGGGAACCACGCTAGAATGCGTTCAGTTATCAAACCTGGTAGCGATCGTTCACTAAACGATCACATGATGAGAGTGATGTCACCCGTTGTAGAAAAGAAGAGGATACATCGTCTCTCTCTAACATTCTGTCCTTCTTCTCTACATCTCATTCTTCCCAAATTTCAAATCCACGTTGCCAGCGCCGATTTTCAACCATGGCATATTCTCGGTCAAAGATACCTATCCCGCGGTTGCACACTCGATCTGAGTCTCTCAGTGACCATACACCGCCCCAGCGGCGGCGCGCTTCTCGCGCGTGCCAGTCCTGTCGTGCGCGAAAGGCGAAATGCGACGAAGGCTGGCCAGCCTGTGGTCAATGCAAGGACTCGCATGTTCAGTGTGTCTACACGGGTGGAAAACGCGAAGAGCGCAACAGGTATGTATAGTATTACTAGCAATTCCTCCGTGTCAAAAGGGAGGCAAGATCGCTCATTATTCACGCAGACGATTCGAGCTGCTCTCGAGAAAAGAGGCCGAGTATGAGGCCGTCTTATCGCACATCAGTCTCGCCAGTACCGATCCTTTGAGTCGGCTGGCAGCGCAGACGGTTCTTGAAAAGGTGCGAAATCCCTCGGTGCATCCACCACCTCCCAATGTACTTCCTACCTGGGTCTGTCAGAATCTAATAATTTTGCGGACCGCTGCACTTAGTTTTCTCCCGATAAGATGGTTTTGAATCCACCCACTGTTCCGCCCGACGTGGGTGCATCGACCTGCGATCCACTGTCTTCATACGTGATAGACGATGCACCCCAGCAGCCATTGGCGCAGCCGATCGGTTACATTGGCAATCCATTTCCAAGCTTCAGTCAGGTAAATGACGGATCACATGGACCTGTGAACGATCTCGGTCTGGGACTCGAAGCGAGTACAATCGGTACTGAGCCTGGCCACAGGGTATCTTCTACCGCTTCGATGACTTATCTCGATCCCAACTTTGCCTTTGTCAATGACCTGGACGCGGCGCATTTTCTGACGTGATTTCTTCAAATTCCTCCGCCTTGGCAGGACACCGCCTTGACAGGACAGGATTCTCATTACTTGACAGAAGGTGCGTGTTAAATTTGTCTTGCGCTAAGTCGTGTTTTCTTTTCTATTCTTTTTTTTTTCACCTTGATGTCTGTTTCTCTTACTGTTTCACATGTATGTCTGGCGTTTTTCGATTATGTGGACCAGGAGCTCTCTTAGAAATAACCGGACAGGCGGCATAATTATTTGAGCACTTGAAGCTCTTGCTGCGAGTTCGAAAAATGCTACGGGACGATCATTGTATCTCGTAGTTTAATGATGTAATGGAAATATGACAAGATATCATATATACATGTATATATGTACAATGCACAGCTAGTATATTCTATACGATGGGGGGGGAGACTTCTAGCATCTAGACTCATCGTATAATTAGAATCTAACCCCCCTCTACATCTAAAGTTAGGCAAACAATTAGTTCATTAACTAAGGTTCAATCTATACCATTTGCCCCATGTTCTAGGGCATAAAGAAATAACTAAAGAACTAATAACCCTATCTCTTCATCACATGTCTAAAGTTAATCGATTGAATAGTTAAATAGTCTTACTCTATAGATATTTATATCCTGCAGGTTAATGGAGAACGGGCAATCCAGTTCTTTTATTGGAAGTTGGATATTGCACGGCAATATTTCATCCAGTAATGAGGAGTTATATATGTAGGGGGAAGAAAGTGGTTGGTTGGTCAATCCTATAAGAAGATAGCCTTGTTGCCTGAGACCCGAGGTCTCGATCTTGATAACAATTTACCTCCTTTACCTCCATTGTGTTTAAAGCCGCAGGGACGACTGCCATGGAGAATAAGGAAGAAAATAGAACTAAATATTCATACTCGCTATGGAAGTGAAACATGCTAGACAAAGATGGGATAGATTTGAAATAATACATAGTAGGAATGAATGAGATATGCTGTAAACAGTTGCTATTTTTCTGTTCAGGAAGTCACCAGCCTTCCTTCCATGGGTAGGTTCGACCTTGGTCTATGCCAAAATTACAAAAACAAAGAACGACTGAGTTGAAATGAGTATGATGCAAAAAGAAAAAAAAGAAGAAGAAATGAGCCCATTAAGAGAAGAGTACTCCCAACGCAATGCTAAAGGACCGTCTAAGCGATATCCGAGCTAGAAACCCCAAGGATGCAGGAGTGCAATGCAAATCAAGATATTAACGCCAATTGCATCTCATCACGTTAGGATGATCGTGTCTTCAAACAGACTTGCTGTTACTTTTCCAATGATCCACATCACAAATCGCACCGTCTCTCTTATTCCATCAATCATGTTTTGTCGAGTAGTGAAGAAAGGAAACGGTTTGTTCACGTAAGTTGTCGAGAATTGGCCGCAGTCGCATCGAATAACCCACAATCGTCGTAATGGCCAGCCAGTAGAGCAGAGAAAGTTGGAGACGGTTGGTCGATAGATTATGTCGCACAAACTGATCCACAGCAGTACTCCTCACATCTCGATAGCCAGCTGCACTCTTCGGGAGCAGTATGATGCAGGTCTATCCAGCAAACAGAGGAAACGTGTCCCATTACCAGCAGCCTATGTCGACAATCCCGGACGTCAAAAGAAACACTGCAGATTTCAAATCGAAGGGACATAAGAAAAGATGGCTCGTGCCGTATCGCCGCAGGAACCGGTCCCGAAAACTCCAGTAACGACTGATAGATGAGATTATCGTTTTTTTTTTGCTTTGTTTTGTTTTGGTTTGGTTTTTTTGGGGAAATGGGCCTGCATTTCCGTGGTTTATGGTAGACAGAGAGCCAAGGTTAACACGGGGAAAGACCGGAAGGTCCACTCGTTCCGCTATGGAGGCATGCCCAGCACACCGACAGCTTCTGAGCAAACGAACCAAGCTCTCCCTCCTATGCTCTCTTGACTCTCCTCCACCCTCAAAAGGCCTCGTTCCCTGAAATCCATAGCTGACATCGTACAAGGGTGCCGTTGGCTTTAACCCCTATCCAAGTTGTCCCTTCTCGTTCAGACATCATTATTCATTTGTAGCTCGTGCCTGGGGGTCCATTTGGACCACCTCGTCCGGTAGAGTGAGTCGGACACGCATATCCCACCAAGACAGTCTTCTCCTGCACTGTATGGCCACGTTGGCCGAATGCTTCGCATGGATCAACTGCGTGCTTGTAGTAGAGGCATCGGCATACGGAATAGCGTTCAACAACTTGGTAGCACATCTTGAAAAAGAGTGATCTGCTTTCTTGGATATGGTTGTTCTTTCGTGATTTATAGTCAAGGAATGACTGCTCGCAATGAGATTGAGGGCGACTTAAACAGCAAGGCGCAATGGATGTCAAACGGAAGTTGGAAAGCGTCGCCGCTGTGAAGGGGTATATAGAGATCAATCTCCAAAAGAAAAAGGACGATTCCAGCAATCAGGATACGGCAACCTGACTGTTTGACCAAAGAGGCAGGCTTGACAGAGGCACAACAGGGTATAGCAAAGGATCAATAAATCAAATACACAACTGCTTCAACGAATGGCGCACTGTAGCAAACTTGTTGACAGCATCTCTGGTGGCCAGGCCAGACGATTTATATCCAAGAGAGAGTAGGCAGATGGGATGGAAGTAGAGAAGTTTAGTTTTAGAAAAGCCAGCCACAAAGTGGCCGGTGATGACCCTGCACCCGGGCGCGCCATGGACCCAGACAGGTACGGCGGACAGTTCTGCAAGGCGTCCACTGGATCCAGCATAGTAGTCTGTCTGTCTGTCTCCAGAAAGACCAGCAGTATGGTTCCCGCGAGATAGATCACCACGGTACCGAATCAGTTAACCGCAATGCCAAAACAGGGCCCGAGTGCGAATATAGACTCATAATAGAGTCTCCGCCTGCACCGCCAGAGACGGGGCTTCCGCGGACAAGACCGAAAGACTATCACCAATCAACCGTGCGAGATCACTGGAATTCCTGCCAGGCTGCCCACCTGATGACTGCTTGCCCTAGCAGCTCAAGTGACAGCCTGTGCGGAATTTTATCCACCATGACGGGCACTTTGACGACGGCCAGCAGCTGGACAGGCGCGGGAATCGGCTGCTAGAGCAGCCACAGTCCAACCGGACTTGGCGTAGGGTTCGCACTCAGCTCGATGCGAGATCGACAGCGTTGCCTTATCCACTAGGTCGGGCCCCACGTCAGGGGAGAAATCATCTTGTCGGTCTTGTGCGATGCATAGTTGGGTCCGATCGCTTGCGCATCATTGACTGTCAGCCTCGAAGCTTTGAAGAGTGATCCATCTGCTGAATTCGTAGTACAGAGGATGGGGCCTCGTGAGTCGCTTCAACATTCAAGTCCATCTGGTAGTGGGTGTGTTTTCGCTCCCCTAATTTCGAGAAGTCATTGTTTCCTGCAACAGACGGACTCAATGCAGACTCCGGTTTTCCGGGATCTGACCAATGTCTCTTGTCCCTCGGGCTTCAAACTTCTAAAGTAGAGACAAGCGCTTGACGTGCCTACATTAGTCGCGCGCGCACCAGCGATAGCGTGCAGCGGTTCAGCTTGACGCATCCCGATGGAGACCAGGGTGGACAGTATACCGCTGCCCACTGGACCCTAAGCGCAAGACCGTTAGAACTTAGAGACATCTACGGTACTTTGTTTCGGAACCTGGAACAGGCGTCTCTTTGAGGCCAAACAAAAAAAAAAAAACAAAAGCAAAAACCCCGATCATGTGCTAGGCCTGCTCAGGGACCCCGGTCGTAACTTGTCTATCCGATCCAGGTCTCTATAACTTGTCTCACTCAGGATCTCACTGTGAAGCATCGGCGTCGACGGCATCGCTGATCGACTTCGGCCATGAGCCTGAGCCACGGTGGACCGGGTGAGGCGCAGCAGGGTCAGGATTTCGTCCGGGATCGCTTTCCCCGAACATCTAAGAGTCCTAGCTTACTAGTATAGACAAGCAATGATGCAATCTCACTAGATTGGTTTGCTCAGAGCGTCATCCTGTGTTCAACTTCGTGGCTATCGGCAACAATAGTCAGTTCCAGATGAGCGAGATCTCGATGCCTGAGCAGTCGAGGGCGACGAGGCGTGTTGATTGATCGGCCGCAGCCGAAAATAGTTGCCGGCGGTCGATCTGTCCTCTCAGACTCCAGGGTACATTCCATTTCTGGGATGTCTGTGCACAGGGCTACGGCAATCTTCTCCAAGAAGTTGTTTCTGCCATGACCCCAAGTCTCAAGATGGTGCTGCTATTATTATTACACGTCAAAACGTGATGCGAAGGCCACTTTTCTGCCTCGGGCACTCATTATTATTATTCTGCACATTTCAGCTGCCTTCTGTTCGTCCCAGACCTGATCAGTGGGGCCGCGTGGAGACCGGCTAGAGTTAGTGAAGAATGGTCGTCATCGGTGATTTGGGCGAGTGTATAGTAAGTTTACTCTAGAGTAAATCGAAGCATGGAAGTATTAGCATTGAGCAATCAATTCGATACTAGCAGTGCGAATATGCTCCATATGCATTTCCCCTTTTTGGGTCTGGAGAGCCGCATGGCATGGTTCTGCTCGACATGATCGGAACCATGGTACATTGTCAGAACAGTTCTTGCGGGGGCAAATATCGGGCAAGGCACTTAGCTAGTACATAGTACACGGCAACAATTCAACACGGAAGCTGAATGTTGCCCATCATTCTCCTGGTAGGTACCTAGATGCCCCCACGGATAACCCGGAAGAAGACTCGTCTGTCGAGAATTTCCATCTCCTTCCTCGCATACTGATTTTCGCCACTGACAGCTGTGCTTTGGACTAGTACACTGTAAATCGTAAGTGTCTGATCAAAGAAAGTGAGGCCCGTCACTACTGCAAGTAAGAAGAGGCTTGAGTCATTTGGGATCAGAGGAGCCACCAGCCACAGAAGACGGGGTGTCAAAGGACCCATGGGTCAAAGTGCGAGGAATCTTCAGCACCAGCCTCACCAATAACTAACTAACTCACGATGAGTTAGTGGATGGAGCCGGACAGAATCGATTGATCGACTAACTATGTAGTAGGTAAGGAGCTAGCCATATCTATGGCAACTAGGACAAGAATAGCCAGCAGGGGAGAATTCCGTCGGTGAGAGCAGAAAAAATCCGCGAGAAAATCGCATGGGCTGCCTGCTCAGCCCTACGGACAAGCCGCACTTTACTGGAAACAGCTTAGTGTCCCCTAGCCACACCCCTGTGCGGCTCATTCTGCCGCCTTTTCCACCAATCACCATCCAAGCCATGAGTGTGGCGGTGAACCGTCCACGAGCCGGCGGCCTGAGGCTCTCGTGACTTGTCGCGGACCGCTCTTTGATGACTATCGTGTCTATGTATGTATGTACATCGCAGACGTAATCCTCATTATTATTCTGACTGCTTGCTCAGTTGTAGTTATTGGCTCTGATGACGGAAACCTCCCTGCAGAAAACAACCAGGCAACTACTGATGACGGTCATGAGATTAGCATGTCACGTCTCGAATGCAAAAGACCTCTGTTTTATTTATTTGTTTCTATGAATTACATGAAATTTACTACTGCAGTATGTGGATACTAGCTGATCATAGACCCAGTATACATATCCCACTGTCCACATGGCGAGTAAGTACCTACCTAATTACTATGGTACACAGTTAGTCGCCAATAGTACTGTACTGATATATTTCCAGAACCTCCTATCCGGTCATCTCCGTTCAAACATTTAGTCAACAAATCAGACACTTTCTAAAACAGCTGAAGCACCCACACAATGCACGTGACGATCTGTTCCGCAGATATTGATCTGCTACAATTGCCTCTTTGCTCGCATCATATCAATCAGCAACACCCTGGTTATTTTCCAGGGATCAACGTTGCCTCCCAGAAACAAGCTTGATATTCCCTGCGCTGATCCCTTACATGGTCCTCGTGTCCATATGACTCAGGAAATAGCTGTCTCCATGTGGTTATGGATTCTGGAAGCGTCTAGGCAGGCCAGATCCAATAATCAGAAATCATGACTCTTCTCATCGGGCTATCCTGTAGACTGCCCAAACATATTCTAAGATATATGTGGAATATCTGCAGTCATCCCGGTAGTATTCTCCCCACGAGCTTTATTAATGACCTAGACACGACTCACCCCATCTTTATGAAGTCGGACACATGATGCTATCAGTCATCTTGTCCGTTGGCAGCTGAGCCTCTTCACTTACTGCTGCGATCAGGGTCCCCTTAGGCAGACAGGCATCGTAAGGCTCGCTGCTTCACGTTTCACAGACTATCAATCAGCAAGCAGACCGATTCCAGACCCAGCGCAACGGGCAGACTGACACGCTCTCCTACTGTTGCTTACTACACCCTGCCATCCTGATACTGCCTCGATAGCGGGTCTCAAACAAGGGCCTTTCGACCAGATTGATAACATTATATACATCCCTGTCTGTTGTCCTATTTTCATCCATCAAATAACTAGGCCTGTAAACCTCCAAGCCTCGATCCTCTCCGATCAATTGCTTATATGTCAGACTCATACTCAGGCATGACATGAACCGTACGATCAACTGCAATGATTCATCTTCTATAAACCTTTAGTCCCACTTTCACGCCCATAATCATACCCATACTTTTGAAGACATCGGTGTCGCATCATGAGACAAAGCGATGAGATGCTATCAGTGTTGGTGCTCGTGCTGATGCTGATGCTTTATCATCGATTCAGCCTCAGTCATACCTTCCCCGCTATCTATATTATTATGTAATTGAACGAGCCTCAAAATCAGAACTGCAACATCGTACATGAGCCAAAAACACAAGAAAACACAAGAAAACCTTTGGCCTCCTTATTCGTTAGCGGAAACTTGGCCTGAAATAAAATTGTAAGTGGTGTGTTCTGGGTAAGTTTAGGTATGCGCTGATGTCAATTCATATAGATTTCGTCCCCAGTTCTAAAGCTGACAAGTTATAGTTGACGAGAATTATCACTCGGTGTAGTTACCACATTGTCTTCTGGTTATGGAAGATGCTTAATGAATTCTGTGCAACGATGGAGAAATATTTTCATGAAGGTTGATGAATTATATTATCCTTATGGTGAAATTCATTGAATGCGAATGCAACTTGTCCCCAGATACCATGATGCTTATAGTAGTTTTCACTCCATGACACCGGTTAAGTTTTGTCTTCTCTTCTCTTCTCTTCTCTTCTCTTCTCTTCTCTTCTCTTCTCCCTCTCTTTTCTCTTGCAATGTAATGTGATATCAGATCGCTCCAGACTAGTCCAGTTACAGTGCAGAAATAAAATATAAAAAAAAAGAACACGATCATATGAGAGGCACACATAAAACATTGCAGATATCACAGCTTGAACAATGCTCAATGATCATACAAGTAAGTCATGATGAGACGACCGATCCCAACGCGCCGAAACTCAAACCGCGGGCTAAGCCAAGACGGAGAATACGGAGAATATCAGAGCCCTTTGCATCTTCGGGTAATCCGGCGCGCCAGTCCCATCCTCTCTGGACGGTCTCGGATTTCTGGCCTGGTCGAGGGACGAGAATGCCGGAGCCGGAGCCGGAGCCGGAGCGCGAGCGGGAGTGAGATCCAAGCATTTCGTTGCCGATGAGGGAGAACCCGCTCGAGGCTGTCGCGTTGGAGACGGATTTCTTGAACAGTGTTCGTGGGGAGGGTGGCAGGACGAAGGAGGCAGAGGAGTCACTTCCTGATGTAGAGGACCGTTCGTAGGAGTGATAGTGCACGAGGGTCGAGCGGAAGCATTCTTCACACTGGGCGTAGACCCGCGGAGTGACGGTTTCAAGATCTTCGACGGCAGAGAGAATGGTGGATTGCTGAGAAAGTGTAAGAAGGGCGGTTGGTTCTATATCATGTTAGCATTTGTTTTCCCTACTGACCCGATCTGGATATACTTACGGTCCACAAAAATCAATGCCTCTCCTAGCAGCGCGAGCAGGCCGTCCACTTGCACGGCTGAATCTCGGTCCGGATCATACAGTCCGCCGTAGATACTGTCGGCTGCACTGCGGATGACTGCAACCAAAGCATCCGCTGCAGCTCGTTTCCTTGCCAGCGGCTTGTGCTTAGGCTTCTCGCCCTCTTTCAGGTCAATCTCTTCATCACGGATATCGTAGAACCGACGTAATGTGGCGTAACCACTGAAGTAGAACTGCAGGATGCGGGCGGCTTCATTGTCGACAGCTGCAATAGCTGACAAACAGGTCTTGGGCTCACTGATCAGAGATCTCAACTGCTCGTCCAAATCTGCTGCGGCCGGGTAGGCACGGGACTGCACGAGGGAATATGATGTCAAAAGGTCAAGGACGGATTTGACTTTACGAGAGGAATGAGCACGAGCGTAGCAGACAAGTGCTAGGCCGTATTCTTCGGATTCGGAGGCGACACGGTCTCCGTATCTCTGTAATATCGTTAGCACCGAAGTCGAAAAAAAAAAAAAAAAAGAACCTCGAAGAAAATGTGGATTGGCGGATATTTGGGGAGGCAACTGACCTCAGATACTCTTCTCCCTTCATTATCTAGACCAAGCTCGGTGCACAGCAAGACCACCTTGTCCATTTGCTCCGCTGTGTCAAGTGGTATCCTGTCAAGTATCTCTGAAACCTTCTTCTGCATGGTATCGGCGTCATCAAGTCGGCTAAGGATCTCCAAGGAAACCTCCCATCCGTCCCGTACATCATCCTGGTGTTCAAAGCGCTGGCGACCAAACAGTCCTTCAGCGTAGAGCACGAGGATATCGTCCTTTTGAAGACGACGAGTAGCCGCGTTTCCATCTTGACCGTAAGAAAGGACCATTAGATCGTTCTCACTCAAAAGCCCTGGCAACGGCTTTCCTCCAGCCGCAGTGTCGAGCCAGCCGCCCACAGAGGCAATTTCTGCTACCGCAGAAGCTACGCACAAGGACCAGAGCTGCAGCAACCCGAGAACACCTTCGACATTGCCCTCGAAAATCGATGCTAGACCAACCTCAAGGCTGTTCAAGGAGTTCAGACGGAATGCAGCTTCTCCTTGTATTTCATCATTCGTAACGCAGGAAAACGTATAGTCAAGGCGACGAAGGTAGGCGTCCTCGGGATTGGCATCTACGGAGCGGGGCACGTGTGAATGCGATTTCGTACGTGAACGCTTCGCGCTGGACGTGCTGGCATCGATGTCTTTCTGGCTGATAATCTCACTGTCATCTTCACCGTCCCACCAGACCGTGAGCCCAATCGTGGCTTCCACCCAGTCTTGAGACTGCGCCATAATGGCAGTCGAGTCACCAAGAAGGATTCCGTATAAAGCTTTCAGATTCTGATAAATTGTCCAAGGCACACGACTCTCAGCCATACGGGCCGACTGGGAAAACGAGGGGTAACCACCTAGTCTCCGGCTCGTATCTTGCCCCATACCGAAATTGATCGCCTGGAAGCGAGTTGTGGGAATTGGAAGTGGTGGAGGCGGTTGGTCCTGGCCCTCAGCAAACTCTTCGAGCTCAGCTAGAGCATTAACAACGCGCTTCCTATAGGACGTCCATTCTTCTCCCTTGATGTCCCAGTCATCTTGCTGCACAAGAGGCGAAGCATCCAGAATCTGAATCGCTTTGTTGACAGTCTTCTGAACATTCTGAAGCTGGGCTCCACGGTAACCAGCTTGGGTCAATCCATCCTCTAATGCAGATCTGGCGTAATTAAAATCCGCAGACCGTAGAACCGCAACCACTTCGGAGTGGAAACCCCGCAGGACAGAAGCCTGGACAACCTCCCAGAAACTCGGAGATGCCGTAGGATTTGGACTGACATTTTGCAAAGTCTGTATGTCGCCCGTCTGAGGAGGGTGGAAGTCGTTCAACCAATCCAGCAGCACTTTGGGGACGGGTTCGTATGTCTTCGCGCTGGGACCGGACAAAACCAGACTTCGAGCTGTCGCGCGTACGGCAGAGCCTTTGCTGCCTCCCAGATTGGCATCCACCAGCGGTGGATGGTGAAGCTGGAGGAGCAAGGAACCCAAGAAACTGGCCTTCGCGACTCCAGGAGCATTCTCGCCGGGCCCAATGCCACTAGCTGCATTATACGGCCGCTGTGTCTTGCTCTCCCTCTCTGCGCACTCGTACCATATATCCGCTAGTTCCGTCGACGCTTCCGATAGTGCTGCCTGAAAGTCGACCTCCTTGAACTCCGACTGGCGCACTTTGTCGTACATCCGACATACCTCGTCTTCTGTCTCAATGATCATATCGCTCGGTTCAGACACCATCGCCTTCTGGGTCCTAGTGGCCAAATCGCGCACTATCGACGGGATAGTTGAGTCCTTTTTCCTCGGCGCAAGCTTGGGCTTGCTGGCTGGTGCTGGTGGGTTTGCCCATCGTTCGTCCAGCTTCGCGCGCTTCGCGTTGTTAGGGTTAGAGTAAATCGATTTCCGTTGACCAAGTGGCGCCGTGTTACCAGGCCCTGTAGTGCTGTAGGTTGAGCCAAAGAACCCGAAGCGGTCCTCGGAGATATTATTTGTGTTTTCGACGTCCATGCCACCGTCGTCCTCTTCGTCGTAGTCTTCGTAGTCCTCATACTCCTCTGGACCTCGACTAAACTGTGAGCTGTATCCACTCCTGTTTCCAAAGTCCATTGAGTCACCAAACTGGGTGCCGTTGGTTGTGCCGAACAGAGACTGCGACGCAGCAAACGGCTTGCCAGCGCCCGCCTTCTTTGTTCGTGGCATCGGGTAATTGGAGGATGCGAACGACGAATCCATGATGCTATCACCGCCGTTGAAACCCGATTGACTGAACGCGGATTCTGAAAAGTTCAGCTTCGACCTTCGACTCGGCTGTGAACTGCCAAAGATTGTCGACGGCGGAGGGCCCTGCGGAGTGAAGGAGTGCGCTGAGGACGGTGGAACCCCAGCAGGAGTCGTCGAAGCGTTCGAGGAAACACCTCGTGATCTGTTGGGAGTCGATGGCGGACTCGATTCGTATGGAACACTGAACGCCATTGTGCTCTCTGCGCCTCAAAGCGCCGGCGGAATCTTTAGTGGAGCGTAGCTGGAGAGCTGTCCGTAAACAGCATAGGAAGGTTGTCTGGGGACGAGGGCCTCTTCTGTAGTGTGGCAACCCGGCGCAGTCTGCGCTGACCAAGTCTTCTAGATAGGTCGCGTGGAAACAGACTGTCGATGGATCAAACGAGAGCAGACTCCGCTGCTGTCACGACGCTCTTGGAGCTCCCATCAACATGACTTTCTGAGCCCAAAACTGCCTCTCTCGACACGCCGACGCGCCGGCAGAGCACGTGGTCGTCATGTGACCCCACGTGACTTGCGCCCAGCGAGTCACATGATAGCGCTGTGGTTGTGATTTCTGAGAACTTGAACTTGAGATACCCGATTGTCTATATGTCAATAACCTTGGCAGAACGATCAAACCAACGGTTGATCCATTATCTATTGATCCAATATTACATGTCTGTCTCACTAAGCAGCTATCTCATTGTAACTAACGCATCTTGGACTATTAGTTCTGCTACGCAGGTTGAAAACAGATCCTCCTAGCTGATGGTTCCATTGACTTTTAAGTTTCTCAGGAAACTACTTACGTGCGTGAAAATAATCTAAGTTCTCAATGCTTTGCTTCCAGATGTATATGGATCTAAGATAGTATTTCGCACCTAAGGAGGAAGTTAAACTGCGTGGCTCTCGACTGTGGCGGAGCCGCGACAAAAAAAACCGGTATGGTACAGTGGAGTTGCAGTTAGGCTCCTTTATTATGTACCTACAACACGATCGTCCGCCATATCTTCTCGTCACGCAAGTTCCAACCGAAAAAAAAGGCTATATCTGATATCTGATGTCCACCAGACGAACTCATCGGAAGTCACGTCATGGCTGCCTTCAGTGTAAACGCAGACGAGTGAAGGTATGCTGTTCTCTTTTTCTTCTTCTCTCTCTCTGTTGCGGGCGCGGAAAAAGCTATATTCCACTATAAATCTTCTTCTAGCGGTCTACTCAAGGAATATTAGTCCGAATACTTACATCCAACAATTAGTGCGATGAGCAGCGTCCACAATGCATGAATTGCGTTAAACGCCACACAGAATGTGAATACGGCGCAGCCACTCCGATTCTCTGGAGAAATGGCGATTCTAGTCAGAGTCTGGAGTCTCCCCAGTCTGGGACGACTGGGGAGGCCGGCATAAATGTAGGATATGAAGCGACGAGCGACACTACTTTCGAGTTCTTTGGGCGGCTCAACAATGAGGACGCGACAGCGACTCCTGACCTCAACATGGTTGACCTGGAATTAATGATGCACTGGTGCAGTTTAGCATACCGCAGTCTGACACGAGATGAACAAAGCGATTACCTATGGCAGAAGGCCATCCCAAGAGAAGCCCTATCTCACCCATTCTTGATGCGTGGCATACTAGCAATGTCAGCGCTCCATCTGGCCGTGTCCAGCAGCGGCCCCCAGAAAGCCGCATACATCAGTACAGCAGTCGCACAGCAAGATCAGGGTTTGGCTCTTTTTCGGGAAATGCTGGGAGATATAAACCCCTCGAACGGCAAGGCAATGTTCGCGTTCTCGAGTTTGGTGGTCGGTTTTGCGTTTGCGTTTCCAATCACTCCAGACTCCTCGGATCCGTTATCACTTATAGACGATCTCTATCGCATTATCATCTTGTGTCGCGGTATGCAGGAGATCTTGAGCACTTCTCATAGCTGGTTGGAGCGGGATAAGGACATTGGTCCCACTTTGAAAGGACTAGACGAAGATATCGATCCCTCAGAGGACGTGAAATCGATGTTGAAGAGCCTGCATTATGCCAATGAGCAGAATGCTTCCAGGGGAGCTGGCTACGATTTTGAAGCTTATAAAGAAGTCATTGACCGAACCGGTGTTGCATTGGACCTAGCGCGATATGAATCAGGGCGACTTACTATTGCGGCTTGGTGGCCTATCAAACTTCGCTCGGAATACATTGATGATCTCCGTGAACATAAAGGATTTTCTCTCACTATCCTTGCTTATTATTGCTTGGCCCTGCACCGTTTGAGAGGGAACTGGTTGGTACAAGACTGGGGGGCCAGAGTCCTGAAGGTCATTTATGATTCTCTCGATGCCGACCTCCGACCTCTCCTCAATCGAGCCATGGAAGAAGTCTTTGACTGCTAACTTTCTGGTCAAATATATTGACACGGAAATACATTGGTTTGTTGGCATTGCTCTTCAGAGGCAGATACAGGAAATCTCCGACAAAGGGAGATTAAATAATACAGCCTCCGTATATGTCTATATGGCGCAACCATTAAAGCTATGTTACAAACTGTCCAGCTTTCGGTCTGAGGAACCAGGACGGGAATATCTTGGCGATACATAGCGAAGACGGGGATAAACAAGGAAGGTTTCCTCTTCAGGTCTACCGATACAACTTATGAACAACACGCCAAAAATCTAAACAAACACCGTCGCCTCCGTGATCGAAAACCCTCCCTTGGCAATCATAACTCTCCCCCTGCCCAGGAGACAATTAATCTCGCTCGGGTGGATGACTGCGAAAGTTAGCATCACCAGGAACATGAGAACGGCGTCAAAGACGTATAAGTAAACCTCCGTTCGCAAGAGAGCACCGTCGTTGCCTTCTGCGTATTCGGCAACACGAAATACGGATCGGATTAGAATTAATACGCTTGCCGCGTATAGCGCATTCATATGCTTGCGCCATGGGATGTATCCCGCTTCCGACTGTTCTGTTGGTGTCTTCGATAGGCGACGTTGGAACGTCAAGGCACTGCAGACAAAAAAGCAGAAGAAGATTATTTGCACAAAGAGACCGCCCAGAATGACTCCATTCCCTGTGCCTTGGTTTCCTTGAACTAAAATTCCGGCACCTATTGTTCAAGTTTCGTTAAATCACGAGCCTCACCATTGGCAACAAGTGGAGGATGCTTATGAAACTTACCTGACGCCTGCATCAGGAATGATAATACATCACCCGACACGAAGATCTTTGTGAGCCAACTCACACGTATCAAGGAGTGCCTCTCTCCCCCGACTAGGACTATTATCCGCCCCAATTCCATGTATATACTCGCGGAGAAAAGAGCCGGTGCGATCAGCAAGAGCGTACTCTGTGTTACGTACGGACCGAGAGTCCAGTTTGGAGACTGCTGTGAGGAAATGGCTCTACCGATATATCCGATACTCTCGACTGAAGGAAAAATATCATTAGCTCAAGTCTTTAGAGCGTAAGCATTTAAGCTACTCACAGTAACCACCGATGACAAACGGTATGAAGAACCAGGTACGAGTCCGGAATAAATAAAACGTATGAAGCAGCGTCGCAGAGAGGAAGAGGATGACAAAAATCACGGCCGCCGCTATGGACGGATTGTACTGATAGGCTTTCCAACTTCCATAATCGCTACCTGCCATCTTGACGAATTGATGCTATAACGGATCTTGATGCTCGATATATGAATGGTCGCCGCTGCTCGGGGAAGAACTCTTTCACAGGAGCAGTTTCGCAATAGAGTAAAAAAAAAAAAAAGGAAAACGAACGAATGTTATAATAAACAAATGAAGAGCCCTTTTAGTTGCCTCCGAGATGAAAATAGGTGTCTTTACTCTCGTCTATCCCTCTCCTACACCAGCCATGAGATCTTACTTCTCGTATATTAGGTACGTATTCGTACATTATACCATATCCAGTATAGCGCAAACGAAACATATCAACGCCAAGTCTTAAAAGTTGTCTGCCTAAGATAGAATAAATCCACTCGACTCCACTATTTGCTTTTATTTATAGCTAACATTGGCGTCGATCGTCCCTTTTACGCAGCAATTTTATTTTATCCGGTGAACCGATACCGAAGAAGGGATACAATACGAGCTTCGTATTCGTAGCTACCTATGTATTCGCTCGGGTAGTTAGTGGACGGATTACTGGTATGTTATCTCAGGTAAGCTGCTAACCATGCTTGCTACCAGGTAAGTAACTACCATAGTTATACGATTTCTTCCTTTTGTTGGATCTACCTTCCAATGTATCCACTGCTTTTGTGACACCATTCAAGCCACTCCGGCTATCTTCTTCAACTCTCTGACAACGTCTTTATCACTTGGCCGGCTCGTGCCCATAGAGAACCTCGCAACCACATCTCTGTTGTGTCGCTGGACATAAACAACATATTGAGGAGGGGAGTCCGACGTTTCCATTGTCCGGATTTGAAATACGCCTCCGGTACTGGATTTCTTATCTCCGTGAGCTTTTCTTCGCACCCCTGTTCGGCCCCAATAAAACCTGATGCCGTCTTCTGGGATATTTTCAATGTATTCCTCTAAGGTAGGTTCGTCTTTGGGTTTAATTTTCTTAGCTTTCCCTCTCGCCTGTGAGACATACGTTAGCGACTGCTGTTTACGAAGACAATTTAGAGGGAAGCAGAAAGATATAGAAATACCATCTTGATCAGTTCTTTGCGTCGTCGTATCAAGCTAATCTCAAGAGATACTTTGTTATGCGTGGTCATTTCTGTGATGTGTGACTGTGTCCAGCAGGTCTAATATTTCAATGATTGAGTCAAACTTCGAATGCTATAGGATTCACAAGTAGAATGGATATCACATGTTGTTTAATCTGGTGTGTGAGGATGGAAAGACGCTTATTTTCGATCTTGGGGCAACTGAGATGACTCTTACTCTGTTAATTATACTAATTGTTTGTTTTCCTTTTTTCCCTTTATTGGGAAACTGCTCCTATAAAAGAATTCTTCTCTGAGCAGTAACAATTATTTAAAAATATATCGAATATTAAGCCCCGTTATAGTATTAAATCGTCAAGATGGCAGGTAGCAATTATAGAAGTTGAAAGGCCTATTAGTATAACCCGTCCATGGCGGCAGCCATAATTATAGTCCTCTTCCTTTCTGCGACGTTGCTTACTACGTTAGAGACCCAGTTCTTGCTAGCTCGAAAAGCGCCCTGATTACTACATTCAAAAAGGAGTTGTTTAGTCATATTCCCAGAAATAAAAGCAGGTCAAAATAATAATGTCCATAATCCACTTAATAAGCGTCTTTTCCATTACTTGCAGTTAACTTATATCAATTTGCGTGAAAGTTGACCCTTCCAGAACAGTCACTACGGGTAGGTACCTAATTCAGCAATTGAAGGAACTTGTTACTTCACTGCAGTCCATAAGGTAAACTGTTGAGTGACTATTAAATTAGATCTAGTTAACTATGTAGTTGATAAAGGAAGCGGTGACTACCAGGTAGGTACCTACCGACTAGAGGCTGGGTGAATCCTATTTCCTTAACAAACAAATAGGGATACAACAAACAAATAGGGATATTCCTATTTGTTTACCAACTTGAATTTGTTTGCTGCGGGAATAGATACCCTATATCACATGATGTCCTGTCCCAGTGTATAGGTACGGCCAGCAGGAGCCACCGAAGGGGGCACAGTCACCTATAACAGTTAAATACTAACTACTGTAAGCTACCTGTCATTCGATAACTACCTCCTCCTAGGTAACAAACACATCACCGCCCCAACTTTTGGCGCATACACGACTTTACAAGGGCGAGGGATTTCTTATCGTCGCCAGGAGACAAGCATACGATTTGCTCCTTTTCTTGGATGGATCTACCCTCTAATATATCCACTCTGATCTATCCATCTCTCACTGTGTCATCCCCGTCGTACGTGGAGACCGGCCACGACAGTCGTTCTGCCTACACTGATTGAGTCTCCAGTCTCGACAAAGAACAAGAAAGCTCCAAAATATCAAAATGGAACATAGAGAGCTGAAGTGAGTGACTCTATATGTATTTGTCAACTACATGTTAATAGATAACAGATGTCCCTATATTCAGGGCAGCAAAATCACGTTTCAACTAACGACATCGTCCTCAACCGAACCCCGGTTTATAACAGGCACAATTGTCGAACTTTTCAAATTCACGCTCTCATGTGTAATGGCTATTATGCCAGATGATCCATATCTAAAGGAGCGAGTGATTTTGAAGCTGTACGATCGGCGTTTCGCAACTGAACTGCGCGAAGATCAGCGAATTCAGCCTTGGACTCTGGAAATTGAGCAGGAATACCAGCAATTTATCCAGGACGGCAGAGCGTCAGACTTTATTAGAAGTTTACACACTGAGGACGACGAGGACGAAGAAGAAGAAGAAGAAGAAGAAGAAGAAGAAGAAGAAGAAGAAGAAGAAGAAGAAGAAGAAGAAGAAGAAGAAGAAGAAGAAGAAGAAGAAGAAGAAGAACCATGGAATGCCGCTCAAGATGAAGCATATCTCTTTGACTATATGCAGCGGCTCTATGAAGCGGAATATGAAGTGTACCAAAAGCTGGAAGATATTCAAGGAAGAGATATTCCACGCTTTCTTGGGCGTGTTACAATTCCAGGGAACGATTCGCAGAGCGCTACAGTTAGCGAGTATGTTGACTGCCCTGGGATCCTTTTACAATATATCGAAGGAGTCCCTCTGAGTGATCTTGCCTCATTTGCGCCAAAAGAGGCATGGCAAGAGATCTGCGAAGATGCCATTCGTATTGTGAACCTGCTTGGGGATCGCGGCATACTTAACGAGGATGTCAAACCATGGAACTTTATTGTACGCAAAGAATCGGCTGTCGATTATAAAGTCTTCATGATTGACTTTGCGTTATGCAACTTCCGCGAGGAGTATGAAGATGAAGAAGACTGGTTGAAATCGAAGGCACTGGAAGATGAAGAAGGTGCAGTAGGGTGTGTCATGGAGTCGCGCTTGGAAGGGGGTTTTGTGTATCGTCGATCTGCCAGAATTATGGAATTGGACGAGAGATTCCTGTCGCAGTTGCTATGACTGGTTTATACGTCAAACAGTCTGGACACTATGAGGAGAGAGAACATATGCGAAGTCATGCCACAAATATGTTCCGACATCGACCTCCCACTAGCCCTGGTTCAAATCTATTCTATACGGATATTCCATTTCAACGAAAACTCCTCTCCACTGCCTCACACGCCAATGTGATCGCCTTCTTTCCTGCCTCCAGCACCGCATCCATTGCCAGAAACGGATGCGGCATACCCTGCATAACATGCAGCTCGACGGGCACGTCTGCCTTCTTCAACTTCTCCGCATACTGTTCCCCCTCCGCCCTCAATACATCCAATTCTCCCACAATCACCGTCGCGGGAGGTAACTTTGACCAATCATCTTCGTAAAGCAACGGACTTGCTTCTGGGTTACACCAATCCGCTTCGTTGGGGAGGTAATTTTTCCTGTACCACATCATCTTCGGCGCCGGAAGGGCTGGGGTATGTTGGAATTCGTTCCAGGACCAGTTATTGGCGATTGTCGCCGTGTTGTCTGTGACAGGGACAACGAGGACTTGAGTCTGGAATTTAATGGAGAGCTCAGGTCGAGAAAGGGACTTGTGTGTCATTATCGCTGCGAGGTTTCCGCCTGCGGAGGAACCGCCGGTGGAGAGTTTGCTGGTGTTGATTGATAGACGTGAGGCGGTTTCGGGAGAGATGAGCCAGAGGAGGGCTTCCCAGCAATCATGGACAGCGGCAGGGAAAGGATCTTCGGGGGCGAGTCTGGTTTGTAGTCAGTCAATTTCATTTCAATAATCTAGAACATATGTATGATTGATAAGTGCTATCGGAAGACGAACCTGTAGTCAACAGTGACGACGACACATTTCGCTCTCACGCAGATATTACTACAGACTGTATTTTCGGTATCGATATTCCCTAGCACCCAGCCACCTCCGTGAAAATATAAGAAGACAGGCCAGCCTCCCTCGGGCCTCGTTCCTTCTGGTGTGAACACTCGGACTGAAACATCAGGACCTTCCGTCTCTTGTCGCTTGATATTGATATCTTCGGTCTTTCCGACTTCGAGGACTGGACCTCCCCCCGGGATGAGGATTCCGCTCGTTCTGGATGCAGAAACAGGCTGCAAGTGGACTTGTTGCTGGTTGATGATGTATTTACTGTAGAAAGCGACGTATTCTGGGTGTAGTCTATCGCGGACAGACTCGTGCAGTGGGTATGGAGGTTGTGGTGCGGGATCCGCAGAGATAGACATGGTGGTTTAATTCAACTTATACGTATATATGTATGATCTTTGCAGTATACTACGGGACATATGGTGATAAGGTCTATTTATCAATTCCTGCCCGGATTATTGTCCGATAAACAACTCTAAGTAAGAGGGGGGAAACGAAGCATACCTTGTGAGCCATGGCCCCCGAATAGCAGCTTTTAGTATTATTATCCATGACAACCTGCATGAGACTCATCTGATCTGATCAGCCTCGTCCGATACGCATTGTCCGATCGGTTGCTTAGTCCCACTTACTGCGCGGGATGGTCTGGTCGATGCGGGGTTGTTTGAGATAACCCGGCTGGATGTAGCAACTCCGTTACATCCTCAACAATCAGCATCGACTACCAAGGAACTACTACAGGAACGCTATCCGCTTAAGGGAATAGGCTGATAAGCAGTGTCATTGCGGCACGGCATGCCAAACTCTGGTCAAGACGATGGTACCTGGCGCTCAGTAATTGGCTTGAGATCGGTTCGGCCGACGCGGCGAGAACTAGATAAGCAGACATAAATGGCAGTAAAGCAGCTGACAGAAGACAAGGTAAATCCTGGATCAACCTTTGCTTTTTCTCATCTTGCATTGAAGTATTGCCCGCATAAGGAAAACAGAAATAAATATGTCTGCCAAAACTGCCGTCTTGACCGATAAGGCACCCAAACCTTTACCGGGCATTTACTCTCAGGCAATCATCGCCAATGGTGTTGTGTACTGCTCTGGTGCTGTCGCACTTGACCCCGCTACAGGAAAGCTGATCGAGGGAGATATTAAGGCTCACACTGTGAGTCCAAATCTCTTCGCTTGTTGAGCTCAGTGGATCGATGCCGACTGACATTCTTTTTAAGCACCAATGCATCAAGAACCTCACACATGTTCTGGAAGCCGCCGGTACAAACATCGACAAGGTTGTGAAGGTCAACGTCTTCTTGGCGAATATGGACGATTTTGCTGAGATGAACTCGGTCTACACGCAATACTGGGGTGATGTCAAGCCCTGCCGAACGTATGTCGCCATTCTGGCAACACTTAAGACTTTGAAACTTTGTACTGACAGGTTTCTAGATGTGTTGCCGTTAAGACTCTTCCACTCAACACTGATGTGGAGATCGAGTGTGTGGCAGTTCTATAGAATGGTGGACCAATAAAGGAACAGCTCGCAAATGTAGACGACCTTGCATGGTCTATACGACATACAGATAGTGAAAATTGAGAAAATACTCACGCTTCCTTTTCAATAAGCTTGCCAAGTGTTCCATGAGCTTCCCGTAGTAGTTCCCATCGGCATCCTTCTAGACTGGCCTGGACGGCTCGTATCAGCTCTCGGGTCTGCCATGTCACCTTCCTAATCTCGTCCGAATTATCACGAAGAAGCATAATCATATGGACCAGATACTCTTCTGCGCTGCATGATGATCGCCTCTTCTGCCATAATCCCCTGTCGTGTACCATAAATCCATACACCCAAAGAACTAGCGTGGCTTGGTACAAAGACCACGGACGCAAAGGGATGTTATCTGTCCTGGCACGGTATTGTTGTCCTGTAAACATGAGTTCTTGAATGAGTAGCAGGCAGTGATAAATAGCCTTCTTTGACTCCTGCTTCAGGCTCCAGGACAGTAGGCGCCCAATCGCTTGAAACCGTTCGCTGTCCGACAGCAGACTGCCTGATAGTGATGGGGCCCCTGCTAGGATGTGAATGTCTGCCATATTGGTGAAAATAGCCACGTAAGCCATGTGATACAACGGTTTCGACGCTTCGAGGGCTAAGGACGAGCTCCGGGAGACAAGCGAGAACGACCAAGTGTCCAGTGCTTTCTTTAAAGTATCTTTCCGTGTGTCAATGGGGCCCAGGCGGGCCGAACTCTCCAACGAGTGTTGCCCGACTCCTAGCGCAGCCAACTCCCTGGCCTTGAGGTGATCTGCTACGCTGAACAATCCATGTAAGAGGATCAGCCGTGCATAAGGGCTGCAGTTGCTATGGATCGGGGTGCCTCCCAAGAGTCCCTTCAGAACCGGAAGGAAACCAGGTGATTTTGGCGTCTTCTGCATGGCCCGATGCCATTCCTGGGCACTTTTACACTCCCAGAGGCTATCTGCACAAGGCAATAGCAGCTGCACGTCGTGGACAGATAAGACGCAACTGCGTCCAAACATAAAGCTATGCTGTGCATCCATGACAAAACCAAAGAATGCAGTCCTGTACGAAGATTGTGCTTCAATCCACCAATGCCACGATTGTTCCTGGGTGGTAATATCGCCACTACAAGACCGAGTCTGCAATGGCGAGTATGTCACTCCTTGCTTCATAAGCTGATAACAGGTCAGTTTTTAAATGAATTGCGATAGGAACAGTTCGTTACCGTGATTAGAGCTCCGTGGAATACATGAGAAAGTTGATGGTGTTTCCTTGTCGAAAACATCATCTCATGTGTTTGGATTAGGAGCAGCGTCTGAAGACACCAGAGCGATGCAGGGGGTCCAAAATCTCGAGTCTGGAAGTGACAATCAGCAATACCGAGCTGCAGGGATATGATTATATGATACACACGTTAAAGACCATGTAGCGTAAAGAGTCATGGATATTTATCGACGTTCGAAAATGCTCGTCATCATCTGATAAGGTCGAGCCCAAAGTTACAATGGCCGCAATCAGCAAAGGAGGTGCGGTCGCCGGATCCAAGGTAGACGGATGTAGTATAGGAAAATGCGGATGATAGTTGAGAAAATAAAGGTCGTAGAAATGACATAGATTTAGTGGGTAGAAAAAAGACGATGTCAGGATATCTGGAGTCAGAGTGTTCAACGCCACTAGAAGATTTTTTCGTACGGTGATCCATGACGACGATGTTGAAGAGTTAGGTGAGGCTGGTAAGTCAACGTGAGGAGGTTGTACGGCAAAGGAAGGTGCTGAGATATCCTCTCCGGATATACTGCTTTGCGGTGACAGTGAGACAGAATTCCCGTTGGCAACGGAATTGGAGTCTGCTGAGGTGTTCTCGAACAGAGACTCAAAATCCACGCATGGAGCATGAATGTTGGTACAAGGATCGTAGAACAACCACCTCACTTGCTCTTCAGGAATAGAGTCTCCTATATCGTAGTTTGGCTGGCGATCACTGATATGATGGTCATCCTTATCACTAGCTTCATCACCGGCATTGTCGGTATCCCCATAACCTGTGTTGTCGGGATCAGATTGAGGATCACTCGGAGTACCCCTCAAGTTCGCATCTTCCACGCTGTCCATTGACATGGACTCTGGTATTTGGCTGGTCTGATGTCTCTGGGGGTCATCGCACGTTTGTCTCGAGCTATGATAGCCCCCACAATTTCTACACCACATACCCGCCTCATGGCGCTGTTCATGTCTTTTGAAAAGATCTCTTCTGACGAATTTCTTTGGGCATGATGAACACTGGAATATCTCAGTAGGCCGGTCTATACACTGCGTCAGTAAAATAATAGCAAAATAATAGCATAGCCGTAAACGCGTCTCTTTCTCGGCATCCAATTAGCACGTACGATTCAGACGATGTCGGGATAGGTGTGAGGATCGAAGGAACGATTTCCCACAACCAGACTCCGGGCAGACATACTCCTTTGGCATCTAGATCGACTGGGTTTTCGGGGTATGGTATATCTTTGTTTTACGGACGGAACGCGTCGCGAGAGAGGAAGATACTGGATTTGGTCTAATTTCGGTCTAGGCCCCGGGGTTATGTAAGTAAATCCTTATCGCCGCCGTCAACACTGCTTTAATACCTGCTTACCTACCTAGGTAGGTAACTACTGCCTGGATTTCTGGATTTATCATAAACATTTCATCGTATGCACCACATCGCCAGAAACACAATAATTCACTAATTTGGCTCTGTGCAAAGAATCCCGCCCCCTCCTCTATTAGACTCATCTCCTAAAAACCTTGGCAAGGAGTCGAACTCCTCGCATAGCGCATCTTGGTCATCACATTTACGAGCCGACTCAAAGTCAATTAAAACAGCTGTTGATCCAAGAATAAGAAAATTGTGCCGATTTATATCGCCATGCCGAATCCCCAGTTGATGTAGCCGACGCAATGTCTCCTGGCAGGCCGCAAGATCGTTTGGACCGGCATGCCGTGCATTAGTGATGCGTTCCATCAGGAATCCAATCACTCGGCCATTCTCAGTCAAATGGCCCAAGAATCGTGGTCCAATGCTATGGCCGTCGATCCATCTGTAAGCAGTGGTCTCGTCCTCGAGATATTGGATCTCCCATTCGAAGCGGGCGAACTTGGCGACGACAATTCCCTCAAATTGTGGACATTGGACTTCGTAGATACCCGTTCGCAGCTTCGCTCCGACCATGAGGTCGAAGTAATCGACATAGGTTTCGTGCCATTGATGCCTCACGCCAGGGAACTGAGTTCGGGTAGCACGCGCAAAATAAGGCTTGCCGTCAGTTGTGTTTCTGGCTATCAGCCCATCGTTCCAGTCTCCCGGAGGAAAATCTGGAAGAATGGAACCCAGAGACGGTCCGAAACACAAATCCTCCGTGCTGTATAGGCCAGGTTCGACAGTGACATATTTGATACTTTGACCGTCGACCAGAAGACGCAAGAAGCTCTGGTCATCTTCAGCTGCCTCTGCCTGGAGGAGTTCCACCTTAGGTTTGCTGGCAATCGTTGCCATTCCCGGGACACGAGATTTATAACGAGAGAAATGGATTGATGTGATACAGTTGTGTATAACTAGTAAAACGAAAGAGTTAGTCGACCCAGGAACACAAGCGAGCGTGCATTCTATTTTAATCATGCTCCAAACTCCAAAGCCTCTAGCTGACAAAGAAAACTTACATTTCTCTAGACGTCAGCGCCTTGTCTGTTGCTGTTCTTGTTTCAGGCTTGGGGGGTTGGCGCTAAAACAGAACATAATATTGGTGGAACAGCCTTACTCAAGTATTATTGAAGGGTCTCCATCTGGCATCGACAAATAGATTTCCGCTCATCAAACAACCCGGGCAGTAAGAATGCCGCAGCTCTTTATTGAATTTCGCTCAGCAGGGTCTAAAAAAGGACCGACTCCGTGATGCAGGAGCTATACTATCGATTGTTAAAATCATCTTTGGATTGTGTCGCAGAAGGGACCCTGAGTGGCTAAGGGACGCGGGGGCTATTATTGGAGCTTTGTAACCCTCTCCCAAGACCAGTTACTGTCTTTCGAACGCTTCATAGTCTTATTGGTGGTTTAGCAGGGGGCATGCGAATATGAAGCAATCGGGATTCATTGGATTGCACACCCTAAACCGTAAAAACCCTTTATTGCAATTAAGTTACTTTCGTTGCGTGCTTTCCGTCTATAATTTCTCCACACTCTCTAAGATGGCTTTTGAATGTCTCCTCTGTAAACTTCCTTCGCCAATGAAACGGTCGATTATAGTGGTGGATTTTGCAGGCGACGCAGTGAAACCCCCATTCAGGAGATCTTGTACGAAGATCCAGGAACGGAGCGCGGGCGATTGCCACAAAACGTTTCGGATTTGACGTACGTCCGTCAAACTCATCTTCAGATCTGGGTCGACGTGGAATTGACTGTCTAGCCCCTGTTGGTTGTTGTGCTTTTCGAGATTGGTATTGCTCCAGTCGCATCGATATGATCTCTAAGGAGTACTGCTCCATTTTGCTTACAGAGCCGTGTATAGCAAGCCCAGCTAGTCGCGCTGCGTTATGATCGACCAACGTGAGCCGGTTGCGCAGTTTGATCTGTCGCGGGGAATAGTACCCTGGAACAGTCTTCATAGAAGGTAAACTTGCCAGATGCTCATGACGAAGACCGAACTTTCGAATCGCGTCTGCTTGCCGCAGAGGAAGGTAGTCAGTATTTTCGGTGAAGCAGAGAAAACAGACGCGCCGGCAAGTAATCAGATACAGATATCCGCCAAAATCACCGCAGCTGTCGCATTTGGCCGTGCAAAGCTTCTTGTGGAGATCTCGACATGAGATCCACCTGCCGGTACCGATGCTAAGGATCCCACGAAGTGAGGCTGGCGTATGCGTGGTGATAGCCTTGTACTGAGGAATCGAATCCACTGCCTGCATAGCTCGTTGGTTGACGCGTCGAAACCCGGTTAAGGACTCTATATCAAGATGAACGAGTACCATATTGAGTAGTTCCAGAGGAAGCTGTTCCAAGGCACCAAGCGTGTATCTTGACGAGGATGATGGTGTCGCCCATTGTCCAGAGGACAAAGATTTCCGATATCATCCAACGTCCGGTCTCTCCGATCAGAATACACACAAGTCAGGTCGTTCATACTGTCAGTCATCATCATGCACGTCGAATTGTAACGGTCAAGCTTCCACTTCGGATTGTACTGGACTATTGATAAAAGCCTTGAGGATAAATCGTAGAGATGCTCTTTCTGCACGTCAACGCGAATGTTGTTGTAGATTCCTAAACTGCTGGAGACCCGGATTCTTTAAAGGGTAGACGTGGAAACTTCGATCTCCAGTCTCACCTCCATCGCTTAAACTCAGAAACTCGATTCAGCATTGGCAAATGTCGTTCATGTTACTCTGAATATATCATCACATCATGAAAGGGTTAAGACGAACGAATATTCTTAAGCGTTTATTCAAAGCCGTTTGTGATGTCCAACTCTCATGGATGACACGTTCAGCCAAGACATCATTTCATTGGGGGCCATTTTTGCCAGCGCTGCCACTGTCGATCCAACAGACAGAAGCCTGACAATCTGACTCAGACTTCATAATCAATGTTAGTTAGTTGTTACCTACAAAACAAGTCGTACTCTCTACTAAATTGATATATCTCATAAGTACAGTCGAATCGACACCCCTATCGGGCGCAAACTTTTGCGCTGTCCGTCTCCAATATGAATTTGCTCGATTTACCAAACGAGATCCTCGCATTGTTACCATGTTATATCGATAATATCGAATCGTTTACCAACATGGCGTCTTCGTGTCGTCGACTGCGAGATAATTTCGCGAAAGCATCTCCAAGGACGATCTTGCAGCTTGCAGCAGGCTCAGCTCCAACGTTCTTCTCTCCGCATCCGCATTTTCTCGTCATGGCCACGGCACGGCAGGTCAGTGACTGGGCTATAAAGAGCACAGAAAACATACGACTGTTTCGAGAAGTTCTTCAGGGAGGCATCGATAGTCTATATGACTTCTGCATTCATAGTGAGGAGGTCAAGGCAGGCCTAACCATGGATGATATCCGCCGATTGCATCTTTCCCGCTTCTCCATCATCAACCCGTTCGCTGACCAGATCGATAAGATGGCTGGTGAGCAGTGGTACAGGGAGCCAGATTTTTGGGATGGTGGAGTTAGTGAGCCTGAGACTCTCAACACGGACTCAAATCGAGCAGCCTTCCAGATTATTATCTACGGGGAGTTATTCGGCAGCAGCATGCGCGCATTCTTAGAGCCAGATAAGCAGCTTCCGTATTTTGATCTTGATGCCCGGTTAGACTACTTCAAATACTGCGTTCCAGATTGTATGTGCCGGAGCTACGCCGGCATGGAAGTCCTTCCTGTGGGGCCATATGCCGATCGAGAGAAGCTGCAGGAGGAGGACCAAGTCGCCCTTCAGCACATTCTGACCTGCCGCAGGTGGCGCCGCATGTGGGCGTATGGAATGGAGAAGATTGGAGATCACTTCCTGGGTGACAGTGCGTGGTCCTATGAGGACCGCGGTGAAGATGAGCCCTGGAGACAGAAGCTATATCAAAATGCACTCCAAACACAGGGACTGGAAGGGATGCAACTTGTAACCCTTCCATCGGAGAGGATATCTAAAGATTATCGGGAGAAAGTAATAAAGATACGCCAGCAAATCCAGTCACTGCGCAGGCCTCTACCTTCGCGGAATATTGGTACACGACTGCAAGCATCAGTCTCCGAAGCACCGGACCCTGGACAGGAGGCATACGTTTGTATGGCGAGTTATTGGCCGGGGGTCTGATAACGATATGGCGAAATTCTAGATCACTAAATATCACCAACTCCAAGAGCAGCAGAACGAATTTCGCATATTCACTGTTTGACAGTATTACAGGCGACTCTCATAACTACGCCTTTGACGTCTTCTTCCAGCACTCTTATCTTGAAACATTGAACTCCGTTAAGTACCTTTATCGATACTGTATTCACCCAGTGACCTTGTTGATACTCTAGCTCCTCGGATAAACAGCGGTGCCGTAATTTTTCTTTCGCTGGACCTTCGAAAGCTTCGACGAAGGCTTCCACCAACACGAATATATTGATGTGCCATGGCTTTTATAAGACCAAGGGATTGCTCACCTAGAAGTGGAACGTGACTTCGAAAAGAAGCTCACATATATCTGCAGGGTGACGTATCTGATCAAGGCTATTGCTCAGCGAGTCTGGATCATATATAGGCCCGTGTGCTATGATCGGCAATCATTGTGAAACATTGGAACATCGACAATGTCAAAGCGAGCCATATCTCAGAATACGTGGTCTTATTCTCGGACAGCTGATTCTTTTTCTCTGGTTTTTTCTTCTTTTTCTTCTTCTTTTTTACACAAGGGCAGTTTGAACAGGTTATACTATATTGCCTTATCACGTCCACAGCAGCTTCCAACCCTGGCATGCAATAACAGGCCTATCTTGAGTGCACACATCCATCAAATGCTCGGTCGATGCGACTATTGAGGGGCGCTAAGTTCCCCACTAGTATCCAAACCGTTATTCACCAACGTTCGCTTTTTTGACCCCTGAAAATTTGACCGTCGACGGGATGCTGAACCTCTATGTCCAGATTTACCGCAGCATCTGTTTAATTCAACGTGCATCGGATCCCGCGGCAATAAAAGCCAAAAGTGCGCTAACTGTTGTCATCAGAAGTACCATAAACTGGACCACGGGCTCCCGTGGATTCCCGCGCTGTTATGCAGCCGTTTTACTCCGCCGCGGCGCCTAGATCTCGGATGATTTCCACCACGATCAGGGGTTCTGTGAATGATGATTTGTTCCCAGGATAGCTTAACTTTTAACCTACCACGGAAAGATCCTTCGAATATATGAAGCAGAACCCCGATGAATCTCTCGTTGGCGCATTATACGCCGCTGTTTGCGATCTGGATCTCACCTGCATTGAGCGGTGGATCATTAGCGGTGCGAGCTTCGTTCTCTTCATGGCTCCAAATGCTCCATAGGTAGTAGTCCAAGCACTATTTCGGAGTCCGGCCTGGGCCCAACTCGCCATTATAGTTAAGCATCTGTGATCTTCGGTGTCAATCTCTGACGGTTTCGGGCCTGTTCCTGATGATCGAATCACTGTGTTAGTCTCCCACAACATTGACTGTCCCTCCCTTTCTCTTGAACTCTCACTCTCTTTTTGGAAAGTGTCAGGTGTTTGAACAATCCCCTCGTTTATGCATTGCTATTCCAACTGAAGTCACTCCTTCGACCCTGACAATTCGTTCGTTATCTTTTCATTCTACGCTATCCGGACCCTCCGCCCCTGTCTCTCATTTTTCTAGACCAGTGCGCTTAGTGGGATTAATCTGCTTCATACGACAAGTGGCCATGTCTACAACTTGCTAGATCCCAGCAGCAAACGGTAGAGTGCCGTAATCTCTGGATATTCTCGAACCAACCGACGCAGACAGGTAATTGCATGCCATAGCGGGCTGGGCCGCATGATACCCTCCTTGAGTTCGAAAAGATATCGTCTCATCCCCTACGGCATATGGCCCTACAAGAAAAGGAACCACAAACTACGAACCACATGGGCACCAGTACCCCGGATGCGGGATTCTGGCGCCGGTTCTCCATTGCTGTCCACGCGGAAGAAGCAGCTAAGACTCCCACTCCTGATAAAGAGTGGACGTTCTGGACGTATGGACCCCGCGTTGTTCCTGACATCATAAGTGAAGAGATAGTTACTGATTGGGGAATTACAAAACATAGGGATGACTGGCTCAAATCTCAACGTCGGAAGAAAATACGCGCGCGTCTCCTCGGCTGGCTGCTGGCGTTCTTCATAATCGGTTTTGGTGTCGGTGCCGGCATCGTGATCTGGTTATTGGCGAAAAACCATTGGGATCCTTATGCGGCATTCAATATTTCTAACCGGTAGCCCTGTCGTGGTTATCGATGCGTTTTTATCATTCAATCTGCCGGATAGAGGAAAACGCATGTCAATTCACCGACGGAAGTCTTGAAGGGATCATATTGTCCGTTGATCTACGGACAGGAATATAGGCTTGCCAACGGCCCTTGGGGAATGATATCAATAGGATCCTCGCACCATCGGTCAGCCGCGCGTGACCAAATGCATATACAATCCGGCGTTCGGGACGGAGTACCACGGAGACAAATAGATTTGACTTAGATACCCGGCATGTCTGGTTCACATGTGGTCCATTTTCATCCATTTCAAATGGATCAAGTTCGGGCTGCAAACTATAGACTAATCCAGATGTCATATCAGCATTGTTTTTCCTCTTTCAAGCACCTTGTCATATTCAGTGGGATATCACTCAGAACTAGAATAGACGGATAGATAGGTACTGTACATAATATCAATGTGAGACATTTATCTCGTATTGGGACAAACTTGGAAATATGAAGTGTATATGAAATACCCCAGACCAGAACGCCTTGCTCCAATCGAAACTTTTGTTCCATGGTTTCTTCTCACCCACCGCTTCATTACAACACTGAGACGCAGAACCGACGCATAATCACCAGAGGCCCAGGATCACGATAGCTGTATCTTCTGCATGTTTTCCCCAGTCTAATATCTCTTCCGCGTCGGCTCCGGACTCGGACTTCGGCTGACACTCCGCTCGTCGCGTCCTCTCATCTTCAACCACTTCTTCGTCGACAGCTGCAACTCCCTATCCAACTCGGGACTCGGCTCCTTGCGATGGATGAAATTGCAGAATCCACCACGCACGCACCCTTCGCCGGAATTCAACCGACAACACGCTTCTCGAAAATCTGTCACGGGCGATAACTCGCAATATACAGGCCGTGCCGCGTACCATCTGGAGTTGAGAGCATCGCAGGCCGCCTGTGCCGAATCTTCATATTTGAATCTCGCGTAGACGTTTCCGATGAGATCTGATAAGCAGAAACGTACTTGTTAGCCACCGATCAAGTCGAAAATGGGGAATATACTCACGATCGTTATTATTATCACACACTACCAGCTCCTCCAACTCGCCATACTTGCACATCTCGCACCAGATATCCTCGTAGAACGCGTCGAAGTGGTTCTGGAGCTGCGACGGGTTCATCTTGTTCTTGGGATCATAGGCTGGGTTCTGGTATAGGTTCGGCAGGAGGATTGTCTGCGAGTATGATGGCTTGACGTGTTTGCGCGAGCAGCGATCACCGTGGCGACACGCGCCGATTTTGTAGTAGAAGGAGCAGTTGACTTTGTCTTGCTCCGTTCCGAAAATGGAGGCGAGATAGTTGGCCATTTTGGAGATGAGTTTATGTGATTGATTTTTGTTTTTTTCGCGCTGCAAAAGATGGTTTGAATGCTCGATAGAGAGCTTGGCAGTCACGATGGAGGTTGATTGCTTGACGATATGTCAATGCAAGCTCCGAAGGCGAAGTTTGGGATGTTCATAATCGCATTGTGGCGAGTGGCTGACTCAGCTTCTTCTTTTTGACTAGCTCCCTGTGGCGCAGGCGTTTCTGGGGCTTTCCAGAATAAGCGACGGTGATTCGCTGACGGTCGGGGATCTATGACAAGTCATCCCAACATCAAAAGAGAATCATTGTTGATTGGAGAAAAAGAGAGCAGCAGGGAAGAAAGACTAAGAGTATTGCATATTTCTCTATGAATTATCGCCGAGCGCTAGCGAGGCGATAAAGTAGGGTACTTCTTTTAACTCTCCTAGTAGGCATCCCATATGAACACTGTACAGAGCCAAGCACAATTGACCTGTGGTGAAGTTATTTATGTTTATCTTCATCTAAACTCGGATAACTCTACTGATATGCTGGAGTGTAGTACCAGTCTGACAACTCTTCTAATGTTGCTGTGTCCTTCACTTGAAAGTTCTACCAAGAGAGCGGAGCATTTCCAGTGAATGATTGCTCGTATTTCTCACCTAGCTCAATCAGCTGACACGCTTATTTTACACTGCTTCAGTGTAGCTGCCATTGGTATTCTCACTTGTGGAAAGAATTGAGAGGATGGAAGGATTTACGGGGTTCTCCCAGTCCTTTTGCTTAGTGTGCCCCGTCCATAGGGATAAATAGCTTGAGATTGCTAGAGAATGTAAGAATCAGACAGCCTCAGCCTGGCAAGAAAGCATAATACCAATATGCACCTGCGGTACTGGAAACTTGATCATAGATTGACTATGGTATTTGTAACCACCTAAATTAGGAGAAAGGAAAATCAATGTCACTTAATAGAGTGATGTAGCTACTGAAGAAAGTGGCAATAAAATATCAAACATGTTCTAGGAAATCTTCCCGAACTTTCCTAGTAGACTTAAATGGCAACCATACCCTGTGAATTCTTCCCCGCACCCAAAGCACCAAGTCCAAAGGTCTGTATTATCTTGGCTTTTCCCTGTCCTCCGGATACGTCCATGACGACTACGTTTGCTTCTGATGTGCCATTTCCCGGCGAGAGAGCGTAGACGAAATTGCCAGCTGCCGCAAGGTCAATGAACCCTGGTCCAGCATTGACGCTTGATGTGTCGTATTCTTTGATAATCCTGGCATTATCGAGACTCATCTCGACAATGTGGTTAACTTGAACATCTGTCACGAAGGCACTCTTGGATGATTGAGAGATAGTGGTCCAGCAGGTAGCTTTCTGACCGCCAATGGCTTGTTTAGACTTCAAAGATAGCTGACCAGCTTTTTGATCGAGAGAAAGGATCGTGCCACCAAAAGAGGCATCCGTCACGAAGAAGTTCTCGGTGCCGGGTATCGGCTCGGTTCCGAAGAGCACTGCTGTCCCTGATGGCGAACTGAGAGTACCATCCATGGATATGCTGGCTGGACGACGGAAAGATGCCTGGTTCACAGGAAACGTCGCAACAAAGCCGGTATTGTTGACTGTGGGGTCCCCTTTAACCATCGTCAAGAGAGTCGATTCATCATTCGAAAACAGAACCTGGGAGACAGTATTCGTTGGCCCAACAGGAGGCGTACTTTGTCCAATGTTGAATTCACGCAGACTATCCATCTTACCCAGTCCCTTCTGAGAGAATGACGAACAAGACACTCCGGCTTTGGCTCCGGTGCTTCCAACACAGACTATTTTATTTTTCATCGAGGCGGCAAGGGTGTTGGGGAATTCACCCGGTACGCTGGCGGGTTCGCCCACCATTGTCAACTTTGTGGGATCCTGCGCATCGATGGACAGCATGCTGAGAGTATTCGAACCGGCATTAACAGCGAAGAGGTACTGTGAATATAGATAGTTGATTAGCTGGGAGAATCAAGTATATGATAAGGTAAATTAGGTATTGAGAAGACCTACCTGTCCGGCAACGCTCACTGCGCTTTGACTGACGAGGGCGTCCGGAGCAGCAGGTTGGTTTGTAGTGCCGTCGATAGAATTGGCTCCTTTCCCACATGTTTCGGTCACAGTGCCACCTGAGAGAGTACCATCATCGCCAATCGGTACCGCAGCGACAGCATTGTTGCCATCATTGGTGATGAAGTATATTGCCTTGCTGGTCGAGCATGTCCTCTCTGAAAGCGGGATCGCCCGTATAGACATGGGCCATAGAAGGGCCAGCAAAATGAGTTTGGAAATGAATTGAGGCATACTGAAGAACAAAATGTAATGTCCCATCGACCAGCGGATACCAAGTAAGAATGGAGAGGTAGGAATTGAATGGGTATCTAGAAGGATTGAGAATTCTCTGGAGTGCTACATGCAGAATATTAACGGAGGACATAGCAACATGGCTTTATATACCCCTCATGATGGATACAGCGATTCAACATCGCCTCACAGATGTCAAATGATGGATTGTTGCAGTTAAGGTGATTATGGAAACAGAAATTTCCTCATTAGGAAAGGCACCGTTTCCCAGAGCAGCGCAGAATATGATTGGTCTAGGTGTCGTATAAACGGTCTGTGCATTCGCAGAATTCAAACCAAAAAGGGAATCAGAGTTTCAGACGAAAAAGGAGGAGAATCTTGATACAGAACTATCGGGAAACAGCTGTTGAGCTTTTAAACGCCGAGCGAAAGAGGCCCCTTGTCCTTATACCCCTGTTCCTATTGGGTTCTTGAAAGTGCCAGGTACTGCAACATATTGAATTCATGCCTGCTTTATCTGACCTTCATTGGATGCGACCAAGTCCAAACGAACGGAGTGTGTCTTCAAATATGGTCTCGTCGATCACGGCACCGAATCTGGATGGTGTTAGCAATGCTGAATACGTGCGTATCATGAACTCTACCAGAGTGGGACGCTCACCCGTAACATTTGACGTATCGCGACAACTCTCTCGTCAGATTGCCCAGCACCTTAGAATCTATAGTCCGGAAAGCGGAAAGATGCCGTATGTGATTCCAAGCCTTGATTGGAGTGACTTCTCCCTCAAGCGGGATACTTTCCGAAAGTTGGAGTAGTCTATCTAGCATTTCATGGGGTGCTTCCCATGCATTACCTGAGGGCAGACCTGGGCCACGCGGACCTGGAGCCTGGAAAAGGAGCGAAGCAGTGGCGGTTAGGGCGTGACCTGTGGGAGCTTCCGGCTCCTCGGGACTTCCTTGAGCGTGGGCAAGACATGGGTCTTCCAGCCTAGAGGATAGTGAGAATTCTGGATGTCAGTACTTTGGTGACACAAGAGCTTACGTGAGAATGAAGTCCATCCCAACTTCGGTAGGATCCAAGTCTCCTTTCGGGTGTGGGTTATCTTTGGGAGGAGGTGGCGGAGGATGAGAATGGTCTGGAAGTTTTTCAGGACCAAAGTGTGAGTGTCCTTCGTTACTCGACGACGCATGTCCTTTAGTTACGCGGATATGTGGTGTCCCGTTCTGAGGCTGGTCGAGAATGATCATAGCGTGAGAGGATGAACTGTTGAAGTCATTATCGACGGAAGTCGTCAAGTCTTCAGCGATATTCGATTCATGTGGGATTCTGTTCTCCGCGAGAATGCGCTGCAATCTGATAACCTCGGCCTTGAGAGAATTGGTCTTTTGGAGCAGCTCGGCCTCGTTCGTCCGTAGCTGGAGGACTTCCTTTTCCAGCGATTTTACGTAGGCGTCTTTACGCTCACGGTGTGTGCTTAAGGATCATAAGCACAAGGCTCTCCTGCAAGGAAATAAAATCGTGCATGAGAGATGTGCCTACTGTTGAGCTTTCCGCACCTGCTCTCGCCGTTTCAATGCTTTCTTGTTCCGGTCTTCCTCGTCGTCCCCTGCAATGATCTAAGATCAATATATGTGTACCAAAAGTCTCAATTGAAGATGAAAATTCTAGAAAAGGAGAAACATGATCTCAAGAAATATAAATGTATATATCCGAAGATCTCGACATATAACTAAAAGTTTGTCAGTGCTGTGTATACGGGAGATAGACACACCGACCTTTCGACGGGAACCGAAATTGTCGGAATTGGAATCTCTTCATTGTGTCGAAGGATATCTCACTGGCGGATTTAAAAAGCTATCGTAACTGGTGATAATCAAGAACAGTAAGGATGTCAATTAGGTATTCGAAGAAGGGTAGACACGGCCTCGGCGATTCTGATGGTTAGTGCTGACCGGCCCAAGTATCCCGCTCCAGCTAGCCTCCTGTACTTGTCTAGCACCTAGGCAGCCTGAAGACACAGACCCTACATTGCGCTAGCTTATTACTGCTGCTGAGGTTTGATACGCGTACAGTCCGTTCCCCTAAAGTCGTATATAGGCCTGTAAAGGCGGTACTTGACATGTCCAATCTGCCTCCATTAACTAAGTAAGGTTGTGGACCGTTAACATGATAATGACAATTCCTGATCAATGTTTTAATAAGGAACGAGAGTGTGTACCAAGTAACTAACTTGACAATAATGATGATCTCCAACTTCGAATGTTCGGTATCAAATGACGTCCGTAGAACGTTAGATCACCTCATGGTAGACGCGCAAACAGCGCAAACACTAACTAAGTAAAGTACGCGTCTCCTCATCCGTCGGCGGGGGAAAGAACCCCGCGCCTCCGATGGACGGCCATTTAATTGATTTTCCATCATATGTCATCTAGCAGTATCTGAGGACTTATTGCTCGGGACAAGGTCGTCGCATCTTTCAATCGTGTCGCAAAGTCTAGATTGCCGACTTTTTCAGCGCTGAATCGCTCGTATATCGCCCCTCATGAGTCAAGATGCCACTCCGGAGGGGATCTTTTCCCTTCTGGATACAGATCTGTATAAATTGACGATGCAGTGTGCGGTTCTGAAGTATTTCCCTGATACCCGTAAGTATTAGAAGCTATGGATCGATCGCCGAACGAATTTCATGCTAATCCGTCCTTTGGACCAGCTGCGACATATGGATACACGAATCGAACCCCGCAGTTGAAGCTCACGCGAGCAGCGTACAAATGGTTGCTGGAGCAGGTTAATAGTAAGTCCTCTCCATGTATCATGATACAACATATGCGGCATCGCTAACACGTGGCTGATATCTCCTAGAGCTCGGTAATATCCGACTTACGCCTGAGGAACTCCAGTTCCTGAAGGACCGCTGTCCTTATCTCAACGACGCATATCTCCGATACCTAACGCAGTTCCGATTCAAACCTAAAGAACAAATTGACATAAAGTTCAATCCTGTTGAAGACACAGGAAATGACAGCGATCCAGGAGACATCGAGTATGAGATCAAGGGCCTGTGGGTGGAGACGATATTGTACGAGATTCCGATGTTGGCCCTGACCAGTGAGGCATATTTCCGATTCTGCGACACGGATTGGGACTACGATAATCAGGAGGAGAGAGCATATCGCAAGGGGTGCGCACTGCTGGAGAATAATTGTGTCTTCTCTGAATTCGGGTCGCGGCGCAGAAGGGATTACCACACGCAGGACCTGGTAATGTCTGGTTTATGCAGAGCAGCGGAACATGGTAAGCAGGCTGGATGGAAAGGCGTGTTTTCGGGCAGCAGCAACGTTCACTTTGCGATGAAGTATGGTGTGAACCCAGTGGGTACTGTAGCTCACGAGTGGTACATGGCCATTGCGGCCATCACCAATGACTATGAGAATGCGAATGAGCTTGGCTTAAGATACTGGCTCGGATGCTTTGGCGAAGGCGTACGTCACATGATCACTCTCAATTGCAGATGGATTGATACTGACGACTTCTAGGTCCTTGGAATCGCTTTGACCGACACATTCGGTACCCCCGCCTTCCTGGATGCTTTCCGCAGACCTGTCCCTGACTACACCATCGCGGGAGTGGGCGCGGTCACCACAAGGCCTGCAGGTGCTTCTACAACCCAGGGGAGCGATCCCCAGAGTCTGGCCGAGACCAAGCCTCCAGTTGCTGCGCCCCTCCAGGATGGTCAACACAAGCCAGCACAGCGGACATACGCCCAAGTCTACAGCGGGGTGCGCCAGGACTCCGGTGATCCCACGTATTTCGTGAAGATGGTGCGCGACTTTTATGATAAGGAGAACATCAAGGAGCCGAAGACGATCGTCTTTTCCGATTCGCTCAATGTCGAGCACTGTCTCGAGTACAAGGTTATCGCAGAGGAAGCTGGCTTCAAACCCGTCTTTGGTGTCGGCACTTTCCTGACCAGTATGTCCCCCCTGGCTCTCAGGATCTCATCCACCTGGCTGTACGGAAGGAAGCTTCAAGCTAACATTCAATCCCAGATGACTTCACTCGCAAATCTGACGGCAAGAAATCCAAGCCGTTAAACATTGTCATAAAGATCGCCGCTGCCGGTGGACGCAGGGCCGTCAAGCTCAGTGACAACATGGGCAAGAATACCGGTGACAAGGAGATCGTGCAAGACGTTAAACGTCGCTTGGGCTACATCGAACACCACTGGGAGCAAGGCGACGAGAGCGCCCGGTGGAAGTTCTGATCGGCCTCAAAAGAAGAACAAGAACTTCTCTTTACTATGCAGTGCTTATGAAAGATATCACGGAAGGACTAGAACCGCAAGATGAGACTTGGCGTCATCGTCAATCGCTTTTAACATCATAGATGTATATGCGCGTCCCATACATACTCGCTAGATACTAAGCAGCTCGGGCTTACACCTCCATTCCTTTTAGCAAGACCTCGATAGCCGGTTTGGATAGAACTAGAAATCATCATTAATTCATATTCATATCTCTCGTCGCTAATAATAATCACATATGAAGATCGTCGGGATATATCATCGTCGCAAAAGATACAGTATCCAGAATAGCATAACACTGGTCCACTGACCGGAATCGCTTAAACCAGATTGAATAACGAGCCCATCACTCGTTGCTTTCAGAAGGTTTCCTTCTACCGTGTTCCCACAATTAGTAGCTTGGTTCCATGGTATGATTGCTCAGGAATAGCCTGGAACATGTTTCACACAAAATAGCACTCAAAAGAGCTAGTTTGGTCTGGATATTATTCCGAAATAAAATGAGTAGATACTCTCGAGTAAAGCCCAGCGTATATCGAATTTTAGTAGCGCAAATGAGATCACACAAAGCCAAGATCCCGATCCAGATCGCCTGTGATTTCGTTCCCCTGGGATATTTTCCGGGCCGTGGCATCGTAAGTGGTGGTTGTAGCGGTGATATCGGTGTTGGTGGGTTCGTACCCAATATCTGTTTCCTGTGTGAAGTCGTCTTCGTGCGTGTCGTCGTCGTTGACATTCGTCCATGCTTTTAGGACGTCTTCGGTCCAGTTGATATCCAGCGGCATGTCTGTTGGGGAGGTGGTGAAGTCAGGGAGGAAAGGCTGGAATGGTTCAACTGGGTTTCTGTCCGGAGGGGGCATTGTCGTACTAGTAAGACTTCCTGGAGCTATCGTGGTAGGATGTATTGTGGTTCTGTGTGCTGCTGGATAATCTGCTTGGACGGTACTCGGCTGGGTGCGCGGAGATATGCCGTCACGGGGGCTTCCTGGATCATTGTTGCTGATGGTTCTGGCACGCATAGTTGGGGTTGGCTGGTCAGGGATCTCTTCAACACCATTGTCGCTCTCGGGCGAAGGTGAGTCTCCGCTACATGCGAGAAGCTCAGACAAGATTGTTGATGCAGTCTGACGGTCTAGACCGGTGTTGTTATTGCCATTGTTGCACGAGATGCGGATCGATGCTTCCAATCTCATGCGTTGCACTTTCACGGCTGTTTCGATCCGGGTGACTTCCATATCTGCGGCCGGATAAATTTCCTTCAGCCTGTGGAGGGCCTCGATGCACCTGCTAAAGTTATATGCGCTTGTTTGACGTACTGAAGGGTTCGGGGAAGTCAAGTTTACGAGATGAGCAAGGGCCGCTGGTAACAGAACAGTAACTACCGACTGAGGGAGAAACCTGACCAAGTTCAACTGGCTGAGTCCCTGTACGATCTGTGTGATACTCGTGGCGGCGTCTTCCAACTTTGTGCGCGCGACGTTGGGTCCTTTGACATTCCTGGATCGATCCTTTGCCGAAAATATTAGAGCCTGTGGACGATGGAGCGTGCTCGATGTCATATGATATATCATTCGCAGCATGGCACTATGGAGAAGGAGTACATTTTCTCCTTCTCGGATGTGGTTCTTCGAAGGAGGGATGAATTGTGCGTCTCGTGGGAGTCCATGGAGCCATCGATCCAGCTGCTGGCTGCAGCGGTTGAGCTCAGCTTCTGATACTTGTCGTGGCACAAGCGTGATCGTGGTCTTGGTTGTGGCTCCAAATTGATGATTCGACGGCGTGTACTGTGCAAAGAGGATTCTACCCAAACACTGGCACAACTTGACGTTTTCGATAAACATGACCGCAAGGCGCTTCTGATGTGAAACATTCTCGAGTTGCGGGCATCCCAGGACCTCGATGACAGACGGGTGAAACGGCTCGATGTCACAGTCATTCAAAGTGATCATGGGGACATCGCATGTGCCTTCGTTGATCTGAGTCGGTCGCCGCAAAGCCATCGCAATCAAGCGATCGCGCGAATATAAGCTCCACCAGAGTCGTATGCGCAGCCGCTGTAGTTGAGGGTCCATGTCTGATTGCGTCGGGTCTTTGTGCAGACCGATCGATAGAGCTTGGGTGTTGCATACACCGATCCAATGCCAAATATCTTTCTGCGGGCTGCTCTCATAGTCGGCCCAATATGTCATCAGCAGCAGTGTCTGGAGCACTGCAATGCGGTCATCTTCGTAATCAAAAGCATACAGATGCTATCCAGTCGTTAGTATGGATAACACAAAGATGATATGGCGTACTCACCCTGACACGGGCGAAGAATTCTTTCCGCGCACTCTGTCTCGTTTCGAATCCAGCTTCTTGTAGATATTTGATATCGACAAAAGCCGTGCCCGCAAACATGACTGCTTGGAAAACTAGAAGGCTGATATTGCCATCAGGGTCGTTCTCCACGACGCAGCGTAGGAATTCATGTAGATCGATTGTTGGCATGAAATTATAAACCCATCGCACATAGTTCCGGAGAAGCTCAATCCGCAGCTCCTCGTCCGGTATCGTCAGCGCTCCTCTCTCCCTCAAGAACTCGATGTCTTCCCGAGATATCCGGGACGGTAATGGCTTCAAAAAGCGCGGCTCGTCATCTTTTGTCAATACGGATGGATCGAAATCAGGATCGATCAGATGCTGCACCGCTTCAACCATATTTTCGAGCGGCATTGAGTACGCGACATCCTTGGTCCCTATTGACCTCCATGGTCGTTCCCGCTCTTCAGTCCATTGCGCGAGTAACGGCTTCAAGTGGCCAGAGCCTTTTCTGGACGACAGTGGGCTATCTTCCTCCGACATGTCGAAACGTGGATTCCGATCGTTCGTAGAGGTGGCGTTCGACGCATGTCGCTTGGGTCGAAGTTCATACCCAAAGAACACGTCTCCGGCACTGTCGATCTTGCGTTTCAGGACCATGACGGCGTCAGCATCTGTTCAGATTTTCTTCTCGAAATGCTGATGGTTCGTCTGTCTGAATGGAATTCAACAACGGACCATGGGAAACAATTTTAGCATTCAAAGAGATGAGTTCAGTAGAGGCCCAACAAAACATACGGGCATAGACTACACATACTAAGGAGAGTGCCAAGGGGCGGGCCCTGGGGTTTGCGGGAGCCCCAGCTTTACCGCTCTGGCGGCGGGGAAGCAAGCATCATATTCCTTGTAGAAGTGTTGAAATAATTGGCTGGACTTTTCTCAGTTGTAACGGTTTTGTCTAGAAATGAGCGCCCAGCAAGCCGGTGGAATGTCCGGTGGAAGCGCCCGTGGGATCAACCCGGGGTTGAGCGTTTAGCCATGCCACCGGATGTCGGTTAACCCCAGACTGGTGTGTATAACATCGAGAATGTCTTTGGGTTTCTTTTCTTGCAAAAAGAGAAAGAGAGAAGAGGAGAAGATGTAATTCCACTGCTTTGATCATTTATCGATTTTCAGGTCTTTGTAGTGATATAATGTTCTGCTTACCGGGTTGATTGGTAATAATCATCTGCACAAGCTGTCACCCACGTTAGTTATATAATTTAGAATTGAATCTCCACTGCGAGACAATAATCCATTAACATTGCGGTTCCAATATCGAATATAAACCCTAGATACCTATAAGAAGATTCTACGTATTCAACACCAACACAGGACACAGATCTCACAAGAATCCCACCCACCAATTTCCCTAGATCACGCAGGCGTGTCTTTACAATGACCACACGTCCACCACACACTCTCAACCCCGATACAATCGAAGCCCTTGTATTCGACCTCATGGGAACATGCTGTGATTGGAAATCCGGAATCCTGTCCACTTTAGCACGAACCCCCAGCCTGCAAGCCCTTTCAGATAACGACCGGTCTCGACTCGCGGATGACTGGAGAAGTGGATTTTTCAATGAGATCCACGCTCAGTTCGAAGCCGGGGCCCCGCCGGAAGACATTGATGTTACGCATCGACGCGTCCTGGATAGGATTCTGGCACAGAGAAGATTGGATGCTATGACAGAGGATGAGAGGAGGGCTTTGGTGGGGAGGTGGCATGAACAGTTAGGTTCGAACGCCAGGTTCTCTTGTTGATGAGTGCTTTGTGTTATGTATGTACTAACAGGGAGTAGCTTGGCCGGATACGATCAATGCTATCGAGAGATTGAAAGAGAAGTTTAAGGTGTTAGTAATACCACAACTGAAAGATAATGATAGGAACTAACTATCGAATACTTACGCTAACTGTCTACATTTCACAACCTCAGTGTCGTTCTCGCCAACGGGACCACTCGTCTGCAACTCGATATTGTCAAGTCATCCGGGATTCCTTTTCATACGCTATTCTCGTCCCAATTACTTCAGCTTACAAAGGTCAGATAACTAACTTAGACCGCATATCCCGTCTACTCATTTATCGATCATGCGTTAACATCAGACGGAACTTCCGCACCAAAACAGCCCGACCCTGCCATCTACTACAAAGCTTTTGAATTATTACAGATACCGCCCGAAAAAAGCATTATGGTCGCAGCACATGCGTATGACCTTCGGGCTGCGAAGAAAGTGTGCGTATGCGTATTATGAGAATCGCCTCGAAATATCTTCTCCTTCTCCATTTGTTACTGATTCGTCTCTGTTCTTCTAGGGGAATGAAGACGGTGTATATCCGACGAGATACGGAAGATGTAGACGAGGACATGGATCGAATCAGAAAAGAAGTAGATGTATTTTTAGAAGGATCTGCCCATGATCGAGGTCCGATGGAGAAGTTGGCGGATCTGTTGCTGTGAGGGCATGGTGTTGGGTTTAGTGCTAGAGTATCTTTTATAATAATGATGCCTGGAGTTATACTTGTATATGGTTCTTAGTGCAACTTGAAGAGGCTGTCATTAGTCAGTATGTACTCTTCCTCGTCGTCTATTCTCAAAAAGGCCGTCTTGATAAGTTCCTCGGCTATCTACTGCGGAGACATACAAGAAATACTTGCTACAGGCTTTGCTTAAGGGTCCGACTTCATATACGTATTCACCCTAGTTATATCCGCTGTCATGAAACAGTATTGGTCATGCCTAGAGAGGGCTGCTGTCACGATGTATTTTGATAAAATAAAAAATATTCACATTGAGATTTGGTACACCATAAGCGACACCACACTTGAACTTCGGTTATTGGCAAACTAGGTGGCACAAGCAATTACAGTAACCTAGGCTCCTATATTCGAAACCGCTGGGAGCAACCATCAGGATCCATGGCAGATACTCGAAAGCTGGCGCGCCATTGGATGATATACCGGATCCTCAGGACTACCGGAATCGTCTAGTTGGGCGTAAGACATCCTTGGATATAATTACAGTACAGTGTTCACGGATCTCAAGACCCACCAGACCACACACATTGTTAATAATGCTGAGCTAGACTGCGATCTCGGACGATTCTGCGCAGCCTCAAAGCAGCATCCGCGTCCTAGAATGGAATGTTGGGCAAAGTTTGAGCTCGTTTGGGTTCTGAGTGGCGATCAGATCTACTCTAAAAGCTGAACCTGGGGCAGTGTCGTCTAGCGAGGCACACCCGTATGATCAGCAAAAAGAAGCCAGCGGGGAAGAACGAGCTTCTGGAAAAGTTGAGGCCTAGAATCAGCGTGAACCATTAACCGCTGCCCGTTCTCGACACTATCCGAAGGGGTCCGATCTGACCAAGCAGACGTCAATCCCGAACCTTAACTAAATAAGATGGGATTGCTTGTTGCTTGGATCCCAGTTGCCAATCAACCGTCGTCGGTGACAGAGGCAGTGCACGTAGCGAGTGGCGCGCTGTGCAGAATTGCTCTTCACATCCCGCCAGCGTGCCACTGGCGCTTGTTTTAACCGTGTTTTTCGCTGGAGGGCGTCATCCCTACGCACTTTTTGTGGCGCAAGAAAATGGGAAAATAGATACCTGCAGGTCCCACGGTGGGTTCTGTATAAGAGCAATTGAGCCGTTAAAGACGCCTAAAAAACAGAAAATGGGCGAGTTTTGCGACGGCGCGTCTGCACGAGACTGAGTAGTGGAGGAGAGCGTCGGCTAGGCATGGTGGCCCCCGCGGATCAGGAATGAGACAACAGACAAGAATAGAAATTATCATCAGCCTCGTGGATCGAATCTGAATATTATTATTGTATTGTCACCAGATCTGCGAGATCCAGGTGCTCTTGACCGTCGTAGAAGCATTGAGTAGAGTGTAGCTGTCAAGATTGCAACAACGGAGAATGGCGGGGTGAGCGGTTACTAGACGAACAACAACAAGAAGTATCTAGTCTGGATGTGCAACGGCGGCGAGAGATCCAAGATCAAGTACTTAATCAGCGACCGGAAAAGGATCATCGCGTCTCATTCGAAAAACTCTGGTAGCAGTAAATTAATTAATCACCCTCAGCAATAATATTAATGGTGATCTGCTCGGAAGTCCGGACGGGGATCGGGAATGAACCAGCGAAAAAGCGCTGCCTGCGCCTCCGCGACCGTCAGCACGACAGCTGCTTCTTCTGCTTGCCGGCCGCTTCCTGACTGACTCGAGAGAGAATCTCCATCATCCGACCATCTCTCTCCTCGATCCTCTCCGTCAGTTTATCTATCTAGGTATCTATCGCAGAAACCAACGGGTTGTGCAACTCGTGTTCGTTTCTCCCTGCCCTCCAGTCCATTCCCCTTCTCGCAGTCTAAGAAGAAAGGGGCTCGACGATCATCGACCGGTGCGCCCTCGTCCCGCGTTGTCTCGTCCCTCAGGCCAGCAACCCGCCTCCTCTTGACCCCCGAAGGCCACATCGCAGCGACACTCTGCGATCCCAGACCTCTGACCTTTCTCAGACTCTTTGCGTGTCTCGTTGGCCTTAGCTTAGCGCGGCCTGTGTCAGCTCCTGTCGCGCCCATCTCTCCTCGACTACGGAGGATTGGCTATCCTAGTCCGCCACTACTCGCATCGGCCCTCGCCCGCTCCTCGTCCCATATTATTTTACCTCCTCCCCTTCAATCTCACTCTGGAGATACGATACCACCAGAAACATCCCGCCAAGGCCGTTCAACCTTAATATTTTGCTCTCCTTTAATTCTTCTCCCCATTCCAGTCCACACTCTCTTGCATCTTTCAATCAGGCGATTAGCGAAGCAGGGCTTTCCGCGACTCGCCTCTTAAACGGTCGTATCGCCTCCTTAGCTGGTTCCTCTCAACCAGCGCTCTTCTCACCACTCCTTTTTTCACGATATTTAAGACCTTTATAATCTCGTTGACGGCATAAAGGCGACAAAAAAAAATCTCAAGATGAGTGTAAGTGACCAGATTCGGGGTGGACGTTCGATGATGATACCTCAAATAAGGGGTTACCTTCCCCCGACTTGGTTGCGATTACAGCAGCTAACTCGACATGCCAATTGCTACAGTACCAGGGATACGAAAATAATCAAGGGGGAGGCTATGGCTCGTATAACCCATACGGTGGTGCAAATACCGGCTACACGGATATCGAGGCGCAGAACGGTGGTTATGGTAAGACGACAAACCTGAGTTTATTCACAGAGCATGTTTCCCTAACAGCCGGCCTGTGCAGAGATGTCGGAAGTGAACCAGAACAATGGCTACGGACAGCAACAGGCTGCTGGCGCTAGCGGACCGACTGCTATCCTGAACAAGTGTAAGGAGATCAACAACGGCATCCAGGAGCTCAGAGCCAAGAGAGAGTCACAACTTGCTGCTGCGCAGAACGCTTTGCTGGACTCGAGCACCGGCAAGGAGGACCAGGCCACGCGTCAGACGCTCGACTACATCGAGGATGAGATCAACCGCACATTCCGCTATTTGCGCGATCTTCTGCAGAAGGTGAAGAACACGCCCGGATCCGGAGACGCGCGCGTTCAGACCCAGATCGATGTCACCAGCAAGAACCTGCAGAGGGAGATTCAGCAGTACCAGAAGACGCAGTCCGACTTCCAGAAGCGACTGAGGGAGCAAGTGCGCCGACGATACGAGATCGCGAACCCCGAGGCCAGCCCGGAGCAGATCGAGCAGGGTGTTGAGAATGTCTTGTTGGGTCAAGAGCAGGCCTTCCAGGTCACCGGTAGCCGAACGCGACAGGCCAACGACGCCCGAGCAGCCGTCCTGGAACGTTCGGGTGCTATCAGAAAGATCGAGAGAGACATGATCGAACTGAGCCGGTTATACCAAGAGGTGGCAGAATTGGTTCAGCAGCAGGAGCCTGCAGTTGAGCAGATCAACCAGGGTGCTGAGGATGTGGTGCAGAACGTCGACAATGCGACCAAGCACATTGACAACGCTATCATCAGCGCACGAAACGCCCGCCGGTGGAAGTGGTATGCTCTGATCATTATCTGTGAGTTACCCCGCTTCTCTTCGATAAAAGTACTTTACATTGACATATTCCAGTGATCATCATCGGTATTGTTGTCGGTGTCGCTGTCGGTGTTACGGAGTCCAACAGAGGCAAATAAATTTTCTTGTCTTGTCTCCCGATGACTATCAGCGGGATCATGGCGGCTGGGCCAGGAATTGGGTATATGCCGTTCTTCTACGGCGTAGTAGCAATCCAGATATCAGACTGGTGCTATTTTCCTGTCGCGACCCCGTGTTACTTGCCTCAAATTTCATTGAGGCCCTGCTAAACTGATTGTTCTGTCTTAACATCGAGCCGCTCGAACCCTGGCTAGATGACTCCTTTTTTAGTTCGAATAAGTTTGATTACCCACACCCGCTCGCTCTTACGTCTCATTTCTGTCCTCTATGTGTTAACTCACATCTCGCCGCATCTCTTGTTCTGGACCATCTAATCAAAAAGTCCGACTCTGTATCCTTCACCCTGTGTGCTCTAGTGTTCGTCTCCCTCGTCGAGTTCTTTTTTTTGTCTTTTCTCTGTTTCTTTCTTACTTTCTGGCCATGTGTGAGTCGTGTACAGATTTCCCGTGTTGTGTCCGGGATCATACACGACCTGATGATTGTCCGTGTTCAATGGCAAGGATACGCCTAATGCTATTGTACATATTAGAGTTTCATTTCCTCCTTTGCTCCTTCTTGGCGCTAGACACTTTTTATAATAATTATTATTCCCTAGCTTAACGTGTGTCTTGGTCATTTGGATGAAGTGAGATCCAGTCCCACCCATTCCCACGTAGTGACCTGATGTAGAATGTCTAGTAGGATCCGTCCGGACCAGCAGCATACATCAACAATCGTGTCCCTATATGCTTATATTTCGTTCCTCCCAACGCTGTATACACCCTATTGTGTCTGCTCCTGCTGCCGCGCCGCAATCCGCTCTTCTTCTTCCGGCGTCCGAGTCGTCAGCTGCAAAGCATGAATACCCCCTTCTCGCGCCATCTCCTCCTTCAATAGCGCATAGACCATTCGATGCCGCGCGGGTTGTGGCTTGGACGCGAATTCGGGAGATGTTATCGTTACGCTGGAACGTCGAAAATGTTAGATGACTTATTTTGTCTAATTCGGAGAGAGATATAAAGGACAGCAAGATAGGAAGGAGGTATGACGGACTGAAAATGCGTCTCTTTCGACGTAACACCCCTCATAGCACTATGATGTGAATGTAAATGCGAATCGTTCCGAATGAGTAGTTTCGTAGGTGAGAATGCGTTCGTGAGCTGTGTTGTATTACGACAGTAGGTAGTTAGTTAGCAATTTCTCTTCCGGTCATAAATAATTTTCGTCTCTATTCCCTAGGTAGGTAGGTAGGAAGGAATATTAAGCTACTATAGGGAAGTGGAACTGGTATATCTTACCTTTTCACGAATCGTATCCTCGATCGGCGTCATGGATGTCATTCTGCCTGCGGAGATGGAGAAGGAACGCAGCGATAATGAGGCACTGGTTGAGAGACGGGCGTGGGCGCGGGCGAGCATTCGGATTGAATCTTTTTTGTTTTTTTTTTTGGACTTGTTGTTTTCGCGAGTGATTGAGTATGTGGTGCGTCGGAGTTCTGGGGAATTTTGTGCTGGGAGGTTCTGTCGTAACTGTAAAACCGATAGGATTGGGAATTATTTGCGGAGTAGGCTACTGGTCGAGTAACTTCGGTGATAACTATCCCAAGTAAAGCTTCGGCCGGACACCGGAAGTACGGTGGGGCGATGTCACTTGCCGAATGGAGGTATATGGTGTCATGTGACCTTTATTGTGTTGGTAAATGGTTACAGGTAGTATTGTAGAATTAGACTGGAGGTTTGTATTAACCTCGAGAAGTGTTTCAGCAGAAGCGTTTAATATGTGCAGTACAGAAAGGAGTGGCTTCTTTTTTGGTTTTCAGTATGCTGGTTCTACTGTAAAGTGATCTATGTCAGATCCGGGCGGAGCAAATTGGAGGACTCCCCTTTTTGGTCGAGTGGCCTGGCGCTAATCATCCATTAACTAGTTAGGTATATATGGATAGAAAGTTTTGTGATATTTCAGGTTACATATTTCTCTATTGACGTATGCTAATTCGCGTTAATGAAGAAAGATATAAGCACCGTAGGTATGTAAGTAAGATAATGGAGCTATTAGCGATTTCTCCTATCCAATTTTGCCCCTCAGCCTGCGATCGTTAGAGAGACTACAGAACGTTGGGATGTGGCCAGTGAACAATCGATATACCAGATTTAACTATGAACTATTAGACTTGCGGATACTGCGATAGAAAAAAGAATTCATTATTTCAGTTGTATGCTTACTACTTGCAAATGGGGCAGAGAGAAGTCAGTTGAAGGATATATCGACTTGGAACCGTTCCTGGAGATACAAAAGAAGGATCCCGAGCGAATTGACGACATAACAGTCGTGATTTATCTCCTTACGGATGTTCTCGCGGAGAGTGACAGCACCGCTATCACTATAACTGCTGTTCTGTACTATGTATATTCTGAAGAACCTGGAGGTCCACAGTAAGCTGTCTATCTCATCACTGTTCCTGAGGAAGATTTTGCTCTCTCATACGGTCGATTCTTTACAGAAGGTACCGTTATTGGTAGAAACCTATGCGTGGTAAACTGCAGTGAGGGCGTCTTTGGCAATGAACCGAATCTGTTTATCCCTGAGCGATGATTACTGGGCCTGAGAGAGCCTGATGAGAAGTTCAGAAAGTGGTTGGGCCGCATGAATGACTGTAACCTGACTTTTGGGTCTGGGAAGCGCGTGTGTACTGGTCGATACTTAGTAGGCTGGAAGCCTATGAGCTGATTGCAACTATGTTCCTGATGCTCAATGTTGGATTGCTTTCCTTCTCCCTACTTATACAGAATAATAAGATACGGCAGCTTTCGACTAAGCTATAAATCCTAAGAACAACTCGAAGGTCATCAGTAGTTGGTTCATGCGGTTGGAGAATGTACCCATGTCACTGCGTAGGAGATCTGCATTGTAATTTCAGCAACGGAGGCTCTGTGTTCTAGTGTTAGTTCTTTGCAAACTCTTAGCGATTCTTCACTTCTCTTTTAATGATTACATGAATTCTCCTCTTTCCAATAGCATTGATATCATCTGTGGGTTAACATTGAATATTATAAGCAATTTGGAAAATATACATATATTCAGGAAAAAAAAGTACTTTTAATCAATGGCCAAGTTGCAAACAGACAAGGAACTTGCACATGTGTATATATGATTTTGCTATCGGTAGCTAGTAGTTTTGTTATGATAGCAGTCACTACTATTAGTTCTACATTATAATTAATATAGGTAATTCGTGATATTTTTTTGTTAGCATGTTGCTGGTCTTTCCATAGTTGATGGGGACAATATGACTGACAGGATGATCTGAAATGAGTAGCATCCAGGTGCTCAGGAGGCAGCCTTCATGCAATGTGATTTTTCCCCACTAAAAGAGCAACATTCAGTTCAGATAATGTGATTCATCAAGGAAAAGGAGAGACTCGAGTGTCCCGATCTCACCAAAGCTAGGTAGTTTGAAACTTTCCCATGGAAGGAGCGAATCACTACTATATTTCCCTTTAAAGACCCTGCACTTAAAAATGCTTCAGCTGAGGCATCTATGACCAGGACAGTATCTTCTGATACAGACGGCCTGACTTCCAGCGGGACGCTAATTTCATGAATCTGAAGCCTGCAGTTGTTGGAGTTACGCGGACGTGGGATGAGACCTCTTCTCGACCTGCCCCATCTCGTTATCCCATGGAAAACAAAAAAAGGTTCTGCATGAGGAAACTGAATGAAGTGAATAAGCTGAGATTCTATCAATAGTTAGGGCCTCGTCAGGTTAGAGGAGAAACAGACCCGAATCATTATGGACACGCTCTGGAGACGAACAAGAAATTGAGACTAACACTGCTTGCACATGCCGCAGAAACACGAAAAGGACATCTGCTGGCCGATTTCGCCTTACAAGAATGATAATGAGACATCAGCACCTCCATCGACTTAATGTTTTTGGTGTTCTATCGATGCATTTGAGTGGATAGAGCGAGCAAATCTTCTCACGCCTGTGATGCGTGTCTCCCTTGTGCTAGGTATTGTGTTTTTGCAGAGACCTACCCAGGGAGTCCCTGACGGGAACTCGGCCCTGGAGAAACCATTCCTAGAACAGACCTTGGAAACACATTGCTGTTGATTTCATGGTTCCCTCAGCGGTGTACCGTGTTCCTTCGCTTCCCCGCTCCTCAGCGTCGAAGTTAATGTGAACTTTCACACAAGCCACCTATTTTACTCTGCAGGTCAAATCATAGAGCTCTAAAACATATACTGAAGTCCCCCCTTGTCTGTTCACGATGACTCAGTCCTCTGGCCCTCAGCTCTCTGATAGGTAACCATACCTCTGAACCTTTCATAATGAAAAACGACTGATAAATGGCAGGGCTTTCTCTGAATGCCCCATCCAAGTCATGGTTGGCAGTGAAAAGAAAATCTACTATATTCATCCTTCAATCTTGACTTCATGCAACTCATCGGTGCTAAATGCGCGAATGACCGGGGGATGGAGGAATAATGATGCAGATAAACCTCTCGACTGGACCAATTTTGACGAGGTCACGGTCGAATGTGTTATAAGTTATCTCTACGTTAAGGACTATTACGTACCTGAGCAGACCTTTGAATTTGGGGCATCATCTGGAGGTGATACTCAAGGCCAGCCAGAGGAGAAGGTCAAGGGTTAGTTGAATATGCCGCGAATATGAACCCCGCGACTAACTTAGACTCCAGACATTAAGCCAGTAATTTTTCCTGCGAAAAAGGTCGTAGTCGAGAAAAAGACTCAACCTGATAACGAATTGAAGCGGCCCCTTACTCCCTTGGACAGGTGTCTTGAAGCTGGATTGCCTGTCAAGACCCGTCCAACTGCTGCTGGAGTCTTTGATCAACTATCCAAACTGCAGAAGGGAAACTCTGGCACGGAAATCCTTACACATGCCAAGGTGTACCAGTTTGCGCATTACTTCCTGTTCCCTGAACTAGAAGTGCTCGCTTTACAACGCCTCACACAGGTCCTGCTTGAACTGGATGATTTGAAAATGCAACATCTATTCCCACAGCTTGCGGATGCCATCCGTGCCGTGTACGGTGGGACTCCGGATACTGCACAAGATCAAGATCCAGCCAGGAAATTGCTTTCTCAGTTTGTTGCGCTGAAGTACAACTTGCTTTCGGGTGAAGGTCTCGACGCGGTTCTGGCAGAGGAGAGCCAGTTCTCGGTTGACGTAACGCGGAAACTCGCTCGACGAATTGCACGTATTGATGAGCTCGAGAAGCGTATTCTTGAGAATGCCAATCAACTTGAAAAAGCGCAAGAGGAGATAACTTTCTGGAGGCGCAGCACACCTAAGCGTGGCGTGAAATTGACCCCGGATCTCTTGCGATACTAAGTCTCTTCCGATACCGGAGGGCTCAATCTGATACGCCGATCTCCAGGATCTCCAGAGGCCCGCGATCTGACAGTTTTCATTCGAGTTCACGATCATGTTAATGGGGAGTGGAAGGACCCTCGCTAGTAGCTTGATAGGAGGGATATCGCTAACGTTGTTATTTACACTTGGCAACTGCAGGTGCTGGTTGGGCTATAGATACCTAGGTCAGATGAGGATGGATATTGGAATAAGGTATCAACGGCTTCCACCACAGCGGGGGTCGAAAGCTTAGTAGATGCTAGATGGCGCCTTAAAGCAAAGCTGAACTCAATAATATCTATTCTAAGACTCGTGCTGAGTGTGATAAGATGCTGATTGATAACTTTGTTCCTACCCCGAAGCCGGCGGTTGATCGGCGTTGCGCGCCAAGACCTGAACATCTCGGCCGATGCTCCGCCGCTGCGTCACTGATGGGAAACATTTGAGCACATGAAGATACAAACAGAGTCCTGTTGTCTCTTGCTGCGAATGAAATTTGCAGCTAACCCTAGCCTTCAGTTTATCATTACAATGTCATCAAGGAACTACTAGTCAATTCCTTTATTGATATTGGCCATTGAGCAGCTTCCATGATGTTCCGCAGCTTCCTTTCCGCTGTTGCGCGCAGCTCCGCGCGAACACTACGGTCTTCTTCCTGCCACAACACCAGATTCCTTCGTCCAGGACAGCCAGCAATCGGATCTCGAAGTCTCTCTTCCCTGCCAAATCTCCCTCTTTTCCGCGCCCTTCGCGATCATGACCCGTCGCACACCGCCGTCGTACACAGCGTCTCTGGCCGCTCATTCACATACAACAACCTCGTGGGAGATGTACTCCAGACCAAGGAACATTTGACTGCGAAGGGGAACGGGATTGCAGGCGAGCGTGTCGCATTCCTCGCGGAGAATGGATATGACTACGTGGGTACTGGCTCTCCCGCCCGTTGTTCTGTTTTGGTATTCATGGGTTGCAAATATTGTGGATGCTATATAGATGTAGAAGGCACGGTCTTTTGCTAATTGGGTCGCTCTCTAGTGACGTTGCTATCTATCCTTGCGAGCAATGCGATTGCGCTGCCGCTGTCGCCTGCGTTCCCAGCCAGTGAGCTGAAGTATATTATGGATAACTCCCAGGCGAAGATGCTAGTTGCTACGGAGAAATACAAGAATAAAGCGGAGGATGTTTTGAAGACAGGTCTAGAGAGGGAGCCAATTTTCGACTTAAGGCAAAAGACCATGACCGACGCCAGCTCTACAGAATCCGTGGAGTTCCAGAATCTGCACGACGCTGAGTTGAAGGGCGGAATGATGTTGTATACTTCTGGGACGACTAATCGGCCGGTAAGCCATGTTTGGGCTTCATGTGCTATGACTCGTGGTCCATTATCTAACTATTATCGAAGAAAGGCGTTCTCATCCCGCAATCTGCGTTGACAGCCCAGGCCAACTCCCTCATCGAAGCGTGGAAGTACACCCCCGACGACTACCTCCTCCACCTGCTTCCGCTTCATCACATTCATGGTACTGTCAATGCGATTTTGACACCTCTTTTAGCGGGCTCATCGGTTGAGTTCATGTTCCCTTTCAACCCCACGGCTGTTTGGAATAGGCTTGCTGCTCCATTCCTGCCCGAGACGGCAGATAAGAACAAGATCAGTTTCCTAACCGCCGTCCCGACTATCTACAACAGACTCATGTCTAGTTTTCCTTCTCTTCCTCCAGCTACACAAGAGGCAGCCCGAAAGGCCATCTCTCCGGAGAATCTCCGTCTAAATATTTCCGGTTCAGCTGCCCTTCCCAGCCCGACTAAGAGAGCCTGGAAGGAACTCAGCAATGGCAATATCCTACTGGAGCGGTATGGGATGACTGAAGTTGGCATGGCCATCAGTTGCGGGCTCGACTTTGCGGACCGTGTGGATGGTAGTGTTGGCTGGCCTCTCCCATCTGTGGAAGCCCGTCTGTACGATGCCGATAAGAATGAAGTCATCAAGCCAGGGGAGGAGCTCGACGCTGAAGGCCGGGAACGCGAAGGCGAGATCCAACTACGAGGACCTACCATTTTCCGGGAGTACTGGGGCAATGAGAAGGCTACACTCGAGACCTTCATGGACAGTGATGATGGTAAAGGCAAATGGTTCAAGACAGGAGACGTTGCCGTCCGACGACACGTCGAAGGAGCCGGCAAGGGTACCAGCGGAGAATGGGCACGGGGTCCGATGTACTTTATCCAAGGCCGTCGCAGCGTGGATATCATCAAGAGCGGTGGTGAGAAGATCAGCGCGTTGGAAGTGGAAAGAGAACTATTATCACTGTGCGTTTGCTCTCTTCACAGTTCCCCTCTGGTCCGGCTCGTTTTGAAAACTTAACTGACCTTGTAGTCCTCAAATCGCCGAAACGGCTGTTGTCGGTCTGCCATCTGAACAATGGGGCCAGAAGGTCGTCGCCATCGTCGTGCTCACGCCGGAGGGACAGACGAGCGGCAAGGGAGGCAAACCTTTTAGTGCCCTGGATATGCGGCGCGCATTGAAGGACCGCCTTGCACCGTATAAGATTCCTCATGAAATGAAGGTCATTGAGGGACAGATCCCGCGGAACGCAATGGGCAAGGGTGAGTTTATCTCTGAGCAACTGTACAAGATCTTCATTTTGCTAACCACGCATCTCGATACTCGGATACAGTGAACAAGAAGTCTTTAGTCAAGGAAGTGTTTGGAGACCAGGCAGCGTAAACGCCTGAAGTTCTTCTGTATATGATGTGATGTACATGAGGATAGTTACCATAGATAGTAGTGTATACCAATTTCGAAAGATCACCTACACACCTTGCTGCCATCTTCGAACCCTGAGTGGAACCATGGAACCCTCGCTTTATCAACAACATAACCAGTGGATCAGGCCAAGAGTTCCGCAATATCGTTTACCGTAGTTTCGCGAGAATCCAGAGTCCTGATAACAGCGGAAGTACCATAAAACAATGACCAGTAGTAAATTATTGAGGCGCCTGCCAAGATTCCTGTCATTGATAGTTAGTTAGTTAGCCTGCGGCACAATAATAATTGTTCATTATTATCAATAATTCCGCCCAACACTCCGTAAAGATTTTATCCGGTAAAATTAGGATACCAAGAAACACAGACCGATCCAGATCTAGATGGTCACTAGCATCCATCTCCAGTCTCGAGATAGCATGGTTAAGCGAGATCCCCGATTCCCCATCGCCCCCCCACAACTAACTAATATTCAAAGTGCCACGTGAGGTAAGAAGCCGGCGTTTGCTTATGTTCTATCTTGTAGTCCTGTGGTAACTACATAGTCTTTGTTTCTACTCCAGATTATTATTAATCAGCGTGATCAGTCTTGGCATTCGATATGTATCTGTATTCAGCGATAGAGGATTCGTTCCACTGTAGTTAATTTTTTTCCTTGCACACAGACAGCAGGGTTGCAGTGGCTGTGGCGCCACAGTTATTCATTGTAGCAGCAGCGGGAGAAGTTTGATAGATAGGGGGCCGGAGCGCAGATGAGACCTGGCCATTGAGATGGAGGTGTATTGAAGATACGAGAAGAAAGAGGGAGGGAGAAAAGGCGATAAAGGAAAGGCGACTCCTTGTGCATGTTGGAGTTGCATTTGTTATCTCTGAGAGAGAAAAAGAGAGAGAGGGAGAGAGAGAGGGAACGGTGGGATTTGATTGGCTGCGGAAGGAGGAATGCCAAGACTTGATACGGACCAATCGGAGATGAGCGGTGATTGGGTGTTTTTTGTGCGAATTAAATTAATTGATTAATTAATTAATCTCCCTGTTCGAAGAGAAGAAAAAGAACAACAGACGTTGATTTCTTTCTACGACTTCGAAGTCTCACTTATGATATGGGCTGTGTATGTACTGTACTTACAGCTAGCTGATCGACATGTTACACCACACTGGATGTTGGTAATAATATCTAGTCCACTCAAGTGTGTCTTACTCCAACGCGTGCTGGGATACCAGAAGGGGTCGTTCCTGGTCTTTGCTGCGCCTGCTAAGCACCGTCAAGCTTCACCAAGCCTGTCTATGGCACGGTCCATGCTGGTGCCGTCTTGGAAAGGGACTAACGGGTGGAGAAGCACGGAGTACTCGACGGTTACTGTACGGTATGAGATTATTGAGCGAGAGAAGATGCCAAGAAGCGTGGCTTCAAGCCAGCTTGCCAAGAAACAGAGGAACTCGGAGCTATACTCGTTATACAACTAGTCCCGGAGCGGGCTTCTTGTCAAGACTGGCTTGGTTGGCGAGCAAAGTCCGCAAAGCTGCAATGATAAGACATCCAACAGGGACAGCGAATCAGGGCAATAATATCATCCTGATTGCAGCGAGTTCCATAGATAACTGCCATACATGCCAGCATAGCTGAACCGGTTCTGTGGGTGTCACCGGATGCGTGGAGGACGATCGACAGTGCGTTCGTTTGATCGTGCAACGTTACAGCGACTAGCGGGTTAGACACACCAGGTCTGAGCTTTTGCCCGCGAGATCGCAGACAGCAAGCCAGAGAGCGGCTGGTACCGACCAATACATGCTACAGCTGTGATCAAAATCATCAAATTGCCTTTCGTAAAAGGAGGCCCCTGCAGCATGATAACGCGGGGAAAAAAAGAGCGGAGAGAACCGCTCACGAAAGGAAGAACCGGCGGTTGGCATCGGGTGTTTTTGGTATCTTCCTTTCCTCGCGTAGGAATTACCGTTTCGAGGATGGAGAACAGGCTATCCGGTGGTTTCAATCTGTTCCCCAGGGCTTGAGCGCGACATGATTCAATCAACAAACTTCAGCCGTGTCATTGAGAATATCCGATCGAAGATTGGAGATTCGTTTGTTCAGCATGGATCCCCGGAATTGACGTGCAATTGAGACTGCCGATTTCACCAGTCATACAGTGGAGGACAGAGCACACAACTATGACAGGATCGGGCTAGCATCAGTTGTATAGCCGGTAGTTGCAAGCGCTCCGCAATCAGCAAAGCTCGAGAGCCTCCGGACCAGGGCCAGACAGCAAAGTCCATGGGTCCCGGAAACAAAGATGCGTCCGACTTGCTGTCTCACGCGACACTATGGTACTTAGTTAGTCGCCGCAGATAAGAGGCGACCACGGATCAACAGGCGACTGAAAGAGGTACCAGGCACGATTTCCATTAGATATTATTTACCATACAATGCGCTGGTTTTCTGCTCCGCCAGGATAGCCCGACCCGGTAAGATTCCAGAAACACTCGCCTGTCTTGCTGCTGCTTCTCTGGACGTTACATTCTGGGTCTCTCCGCTCGGCGGCGCCGAGTCTGTCGTGCTCAAGCGCGCTGTATCGTACTTGCGATTCGTGGATGGCCTGCTGTTCCCGATCGATCGGCCCGCCAGTGTCAACCGGCGGGCGCGCCTAGGCCCCTCCCGGTCTGTGTTCAATCCTCGGGAGTCTTGGTCTGTAGTGGAATTGGACTATAAGTCCCCCTCGGGGAACGCTCTCGCACGATCTCCTTGTCTGCTGTGTGCGTGCGAAAATCTCCCCCCCAGATCGTTGCGCCGGGAAGAGCTCTGCACAAGGCTGTGTCCCATCCATCACCATGTCGACCGGAGACCACGAGTTCGAGGCCGCGTAGTAAGTGACCCTGCGACGTGTTGTGTCTTGGATGTGAAATTTCCAAAAAATCGGACGAGTGGGCTGATCTCTCTCATGAACAGGCTGCACCAGCAGTTCGACAATGTCGAGGGCGCTCATCCTCCGACTGATTTGCTGGGTGGCCCGCTGCCAACGAACCGGGACGTGATCACCGGCGAGAAGATGGTGCAGGGTGAGGTTGATGAGAAGGCTCCTTCCATCACGCCTGACGGCGAAGAGCCCACTGAGGATGAGAAGCGCACTCTGCGCCATATCGCAGAGCACTTGCCCCTCTCCGCCTGGCTGGTGGCCGCCGTCGAGCTCAGTGAGCGATTCACCTACTATGGCATGTCGGGTCTGTTCCAGAACTACATCCAGCGTCCTCTTGATGGCAGCGAGGGTCGTGGTGCGCTGGGTATGGGCCACCAGGGTGCCACTGGTCTGTCGACGTTCTTCCAGTTCTGGTGTTATGGTAAGTTAGGAGGAAGCAAGGCCGGATACACATCGTGGGCCCTGACTGACAAGCATGATTAGTTACTCCTATTTTCGGTGCTATTGTTGCGGACCAGTACCTGGGAAAGTACAAGGCCATCGTGGTCTTCTGTATCGTCTATCTCGTCGGTCTTCTGATCTTGGTTTGCACTTCGATCCCCACGGCCCTGGCACATGGGGCCGGTCTGGGAGGCTTCGTTGTATCCATCATCGTCATCGGTATCGGAACGGGTGGTATCAAGAGTAACGTCGCTCCTCTGGTAAGTCGATAAGGACCCTACCTGTTTCTGTCCCACTGCTAATTCCTTGCAGATTGCGGATCAATATACCCGCAAGAAGATGGCTATCAAAACCACTCCCAAGGGTGAGCGTGTCATCATCGACCCTGGTGTCACCGTGCAGCGTATCTATATGATTTTCTACGGCTGTATCAACCTCGGTTCTCTGTCACTGCTGGCGACCCCTTACATGGAGCTGTACATCGGCTTCTGGTCCGCATACTTGCTCTGTCTGTGCATGTTCTTCTGCGGTACGGCTGTTTTGATCGTTGGTCGCAAGTACTACATTGTCCGCCCGCCGCAGGGATCGATCATCACCAACGCCTTCAAGGCCCTTGGTCTAATGGTTGTCCATCGCAACATGGATGCAGCCAAGCCCAGCTGGCAGGCCGCCAACGGAGGCAGGCGGACCAGCCTCCCTTGGGACGACCACTTTGTCGACGAGGTCAAGCGTGCCCTGGTTGCCTGCCGCGTCTTCTGTTTCTATCCCATCTACTGGGTTGTCTACGGCCAGTTCTCTGGAAACTTCGTCACCCAGGCAGGTCAGATGGAGGGCCACGGCATCCCCAATGACTTGATGCAGAACTTCGATCCCATCTCCATCATCGTCTTCATTCCGGTCCTCGAGACGCTCGTCTACCCGCTCCTGCGCCGTCTCCACATCCCGTTCAAGCCAATCACCCGTATCTCTCTGGGCTTCATCGTCGCTTCGCTGGCCATGATGTACGCTGCTATCGTGCAGCACATCATCTACAGCTCCGGTCCCTGCTATGACCAGCCGCTGTGTGATGCGTCAATAGTGGACGGTACCGCTCAGGGTAACCACGTGCACATTGCCATTCAGACCCCTGCCTACTTTTTCATCGGTATCTCCGAGATCTTCGCCTCCGTGTCTGGTCTGGAGTACGCATACACCAAGGCCCCACCGACCATGAAGTCGTTCGTCCAGTCCATGTATCTGCTGACCAACGCCTTCGGTTCTGCTATCGGTGAGGCCCTGACGCCTGTTGCCTACGACCCGGCTATTCTGTGGATGTTTGTCGGTCTGGCCTGTGCTTCCTTCACCACCGGTATTATCTTCTTCATCCTCTTCCGTCACCTGAATGACAAGGAGGAGGAGATGAACGCGCTAGATGCCGAAGAATACCCCCCGCCTGTGGCGCCGACTGAGGAGAAGAACTAGATGCTCTTTTTTCTTCCTTAATTTCATGTATTATACACGCGTCACTATACCAACGAAATGCCTATGCAAGCATGGTTTCTCTTCTCTAACCTCGTTCCTATCGGTTATTGCGGCCATTGTTCCGTTTGTCTGATATATGGCGAAACATCGCATGGTGCGGTCTGGAGGTATGTTTCTGCTGGGAAGACGATGCTAGTTGATTTTGTCTATACTCTTCCTGTTTTGCTGCCAGTCAGCGTGTGACTGTTGTTGTTGGCAATGATTCTGAATGGTCATGCATCCTTTTGAGGCGTCGGGGTTCTGGATGGGATGAATCGTGGATGATGATACCTTCCATGTTGTTACAGAAACTATAAAAATTCAAAGATACCACAGCGACTCATTGATATTCATCTTCCTTCTCTTCTAAATGCTACCATCAGTATAAGTAAATAAAACTAAATATGCATCTGACATGAAGCTCAAATAAGAAGATCAACTCTCACAATCCAGAACAGCGCGTTTCCAGAAACTGTGACCAAGACTAATCAGCCTCGTCACCCACATTATCGGCAGATGGTCAATGGAATGGAAGAGTATACTGACAGTTTCTCCAGGCGGGAAAAAGAACTGATCATCATAGTTTTGTACCAGATGATCCATCCCCAAGAGCAGATTTCCACATGGAAACATACAAACATCTGCCTCAGCGGAAGATATTTACGCTTCCCAATAATGGCAGTGAGGTCGTTATGTCCGCATCTCGAGCAGTTGGCCACCACTTGAAGGATGGAGAAGCAGTCTCTTTTCTCTGATTATCGGTGCTCTGTCGCAGCTTATCAAGCTTTCCGGTAATCTAGTACTGAAGATTTACTGTAAGGTGCAATATTATTCAACATAACTCTGTTTCTCTTTAGCAGCTGCTACCTGACTAGGAGACATCTAGGACAGTATCTCTAAATAGCTATTTTGTTTACACACGTTACTAGCTAGGATATATCCACATGATTACAACTTCGAAAGATCTCTTTGTGGAACTGCAGTCCATTCAGAGACATTCGCAAAGTCCATCACCTTGTTCGGACCTCCAAATCGACCCAGGGTGTCGGCCCAGTTACGCGAGGCTGCTACCCCTGGGTTCCATTTCAGACATTCGTGCATCTTAGGCGGTATGTTATCCTGCATGGCATCTATGATGGTGCGGCCAATAGTAGGAAGATACTTGAATCCTGGGTTTATTGTCAGTTTCTCTATACATGTGGTTCAAGATCACAAGCTACGCCACCTACCTCGACCAGATGCACCGCATCCTAAGACTAGAGACCGGTATTTAGGGTGTCGGTCAATGATAAATTCCCGATTCGCTGTGTCTGCACACCAACAGATCCGAGCAAAGCTGAATGACCGGTCCGCCAGCTGAGGCATGGTCTCTCGAAGCAGAGCTCTGATGCGACCTTCTGACTCCTTTGGTATCTGCGTCTTCTCGAAAGGGACACTTGCCAACTCTCCATCCGGTAAGCGGGTCATGTTCGTGTAACCTGGATGCTCGTCACAGAGTTTGATCTCGCCATCTTCGTCCGGCTCAAAAAAGAATCCTTTCTCGATGTTGAATATGACGGGGATGTTCTGATACTGCTTTCGCTCCTCCGGTGACAATGCGATATGTGCGATTGTCCACGCTGTAGGACGGAGTTGGCCTTGGAAATCGATAAATTGTCCTGCAGCTGCCCCAGCACATAGGATTGTTCTCTCTGCACGGTGAATTTTGCCGTCCGCGGTCACAACGCCTTTGACGTCGTTGTACTCGAATATCAGCGTGACGACCTGACCTGCAGAACCACCTGCGAGTATCTTCACACCCAGTCGCTGAGCCTCCTGTGCCGCTGCAGCAAGAGCATTGCGAGCCTGTGCCCATCCAGCACCTTTACGGGTCAGATAGCCTTTCCAGCCGGGGAATTCCCCGCGCAGAACACCAGGCGGAGCTAGCTTGCGGAAATCTTCCGGTCGATCAATAGGGACTATGTTATCCTCTTCTCCGGGCCTTACACGTACACCGAGACGTTGCATACCAGCTGGTGTAGTTGCAGACATTAACAGGCCGGTGTCGTGGTAATATGGTTTGAAGAGAGGATCGGTCATCCAGGCTCTCATGGCCTCCATTGTTAGGGCCGTGTTGACATCCACTCGGTCCTGGTCAACGCTGTATTGCCCAGGAGACACGACTTTGTTCACGTCATTTCCAGCAGATATTGGTGAAGGTACCGGATATCGATCGAATAGAGTGACGTTCTTATAGCCCTGTCGTGCGAGATGAAGGGCGGTAGACGTTCCCCAGGTGCCTGCCCCGACGATAATGATGGCTGAAGATTGAGGTATTGACATGGTCTTTCGGAAGATTGTTGCTGAGTTTTTCGTCTTGAGTAATGGAAGGAAGGGTCGGTTTTTTTGCCAGAGCTCGATATAAGATGTGGTTTTCTTATCGAACTATGGCTATATATTTACAATCGGTCTCACCGATAACGGAGGAATAACGAAGTGCGATACTTTACCATTTCCATGCAATTCTGTACAAGCTGCTGTTTCAGAAGGTCCAGGCGATCGTTCCTCGAGTCACGCCACAAGAGGTCCCATTGACTTCAGGTATTTTCTAGTTTATCGGAGACGATATCGAGCCACGAGACGTTGTTTCGGCCACCGTCCGTCACTTAAGGAGAGGGGAAGTTTGGCCATGGACCAATCAGACCGGCTCGCTTGGACCTTACTTGAAGTTCGTTCGTATCAATTGAATTCATTCATCCTCCCCGCCTTAGAACTTCGCTTGGACCTGACTGAGATCTAGCTGGGGTCGCTAAGCATTGGAATTCCCCGCCTTGAACGGGGAATATGGGTTATCTGGACCATGGGAACCGTTCCCAGCGTGTATCTTGGTGGAGCTCTAGATAGCGACTGCTGCGATGGCGGACATCGGAACAGCTGTGCACGATGTATAAAGGCTGCCCGCCAGAAAGGACTATGGGAAGGATCCCAGCTGCATTCAGTAATTGAAGTTGATTGACCCGGCCATGGCGTCTACGCAAGCTGCTTCTCATGAAGGGGATATCGAGGGAGGTGATCGCAAATATCCCTACAGCGATGGAGAGCCTAAGCATGCACCTGTCACTGCTGATGAGGCGATTGAGATCGCAATCGGTGAGACCAATGTCGAATATACGGTGGAATCCGACAATTCACCCTACCTGGAAGTGCGCGCGAACGTACCAAACACGGATGATCCTAGCATTCCCGTCAACACTGTCCGCATGTGGTTCCTGGGGGTAGTCTTTACATTGGTGCGCAGCCGAAACTGGTGAGATACATGTCTGTATACGGGTAATAGCTAACATGTATGTATAGGTCGGAACCGGAATCAATCAGTTCTTTTCCATGCGATATCCTAGCGTCACGATAACTTCATTGGTAGCACAGCTGGTCAGCTACCCTGTCGGTTGTATGCTGGCGAAGTCCCTCCCTCTGAAGACTTTCCGTCTTTTCGGGCGTTGGAATTTCGTGTTGAACCCAGACCATCACTTCAACATCAAAGAGCATGCTGTCATCACTATCATGTCGAATCTGAGCTTCGGCCAATCATGGGTCTGTCATTTCTCCTGAAATTGTATTGTATGGTTGAAGATGAATCTGACCAGACCAGGCAAGCGCAATTATTCAAGCGCAAAAGGTCTACTTGCACATGTCCACACCGGTGGGCTACCAGATCCTGTTGGCATTGTCAATGCAGATGTTCGGTCTAGGTTTGGCTGGTCTAGCGTACAAATATATTGTCGAGCCTCCACAGATGGTAACGTGCATGAAGCTTGCAGATAAGTATAAGCTAACTCAAATTTTAGATCTGGCCATCGACACTTGCAAACTGTGCCTTGTTTGAGACTCTGCATAGTGGCGCTAATCCGGTCGCTGACGGCTGGCGGATATCCCGATATCGATTCTTTCTGTATGTCCTCGTGGGCGGTTTCTGCTGGTATTGGTTACCAGGTTTCCTGTTCACCGGTCTGAGTACATTTGCATTTATTTGCTGGGCAGCACCAAGTGAGTATGATGCGGGGTTTAGGAGATCGCCAGGTACTGATGCGCGTGCAGACAATAAGGTACTCAACAATCTCTTCGGGATGACAACGGGTCTTGGCTATCTGCCTACCACGTTCGACTGGAGCCAGATTGCATACAACTCGTCACCATTAGTTGTCCCTTTCTGGGCTCAAGCTAATGTCTTTGCCGGATGGCTCTGCATATATGCTGTAGCCGCACCCATTCTTTATTATACCGGCGTGTGGTATACTTCCTACCTACCCCTCACAGGATCGGACGCATACGACAACACAGCGAGCATCTACAAATCCAGCCGGATACTGAACGACAGGGGCGAATTTGACGAGAAGAAGTACCAATCGTATAGTCCGCTATATCTTCCCGTGACCTTTTCCCTGTCATACGGCGTAGGATTTGCCGTTCTTAGTTGTCTCCTCACACATGTCATCCTGAATCATAGCAAGGAGATTCTACAAACCTTCAAGGGATCCAACAAGAAGGATATTCATGCGAGACTGATGTCTCATTACCCCGATGTGCAGTGGTGGTGGTATGGCGGTATGACAGTAAGCTATAGCTCGCTCTCTTATTTGTGCTAATGCGATAATTGACAAGAGTGCAGTTGATTGTCATAGCTGTATCCATCCTCGTTCAATATGTCTGGCATACCGGGGTTCCATTTTGGGGAATCTTCTTAACATTCGCCTTGGCGGCTGTCTACGTGATTCCTGTGGGCACCGTCTACGCAGTCGCTAACCTGAACAGCAACGTTCTGACCGTCTTGGGGGAGATAATCTCCGGGTATCTCTTGCAGGGGAAGCCTCTTGTCATGTTGATATTCAAGGTTGGTGCTATTCAATCCGCGAGGGACCATGTATTGATTAATTTCAGTTCTACGCATATACCGGCCTGAGCCAAGCGATGATATATGCTGCCGATATGAAGGTACGACCTCGCTCATCTTTTGGGTCAAGCTTGACTCTAACGATTGATTGATAGCTGGCTTTGTACATGAAGATCCCTCGCCGGACCCTGTTCACAGCTCAGCTTATTGCATGCATCCTTGGATCCTTAACCCAAAGTGAGCTCTTTGCCCCGGTAATTCTTTCAAGATATACTGACGTATGGGAAGATGGCGTGCTCTTGTGGATGCTGGGACATGTGAAGGATGTTTGTTCCAGCGATCAGTCGGATCATTTCACCTGCCCGCAGGGTAGGGTCAATTATAATAGTGCAATTCTGTGGGGAGGTACGTGTTTACTCGCAGGAGTTAGTATGTCGCCATGCTGATCGTTTCTGCTGTAGCCATCGGCCCTGGTCGACTCTACAACATTGGCAAGATCTATTCTGGCCTGCTGCATATGTTCTGGATCGGTGCCTTGCTGCCGATTATCACGTTCTTATTGCGCAAGAAGTTCCCTACTTCGAGATTTCTGAACGCCGTCCACTGGCCCATCTTTTTCGCTGGGACAGGAAACCTTCCTCCTGCTGTAAGAAATAATGTCATTCGAACTTTGATTGTCGACCATACTGACTACGACATAGACTGGTATCAACTATTCCACCGCGTTCGTCGTCAGTCTTATCTTTAACAAGGTGTGTTTTTCAACTCCATAATAGACCAGCAGTTATACTGACACATCAGCACAGATAATTAAGTCGCGAAAGCCTCACTGGTGGAGTAAATACAATTACGTTCTGTCTGCTGCGCTCGACTCGGGTGTTGCGACGTCCGCCATTGTCATTTTCTTCACCCTGGTTCTGCCTGGTGTTTCTCTGAAATGGTGGGGAAATAATGTCAGCAGCAACACGGTCGATGGAAAGGGGACACCGTGGAAGGAATTGGGTGCTAATCAGACGTTCGGGCCTTCTACATGGTCTTAATTTATGATACGTCAATACGGCAATAAGCAGATAGGTTGTAAAGGAAGTTTTAGTTTGGCATCCGTATCTTGTTTTTTCAAAGAGACATCTATGGATCAAAGTGAATCAGGCGAGCAGGATATGACCAGCATTCAAATTAAAGTAGCGAGGTTGTCTCCTTCTCGTAGACTGTAGTGTCGTGCATCATACTTCTCGACATCTGATTGGTGGATCATCTGCTATCGCGGTCGACTCCTCCTTATCAAGCCGAGGTCAGTACTCTCCGTCTCCTCAGTCTCCTCACTTAAGTCTCACTACATGAATCTCAGTTCTGCGCTTAGAATGCACTTCTACGCATTCTAGAAGGATCACACCAAGTTCCTGTCTTGGCTATTTCGATTGCGCTGCTGTATTCCTGCGCCTAGCTCGAGTATCTCCTCCTTAGCGCCGCTCGTCGATTGAGCCCGGCCGGAATTTCCTGCCTGGATATATGTTTGACATCTTGAATGCGGTCCTATTGATCATGTAAGACTAAAAGTCTTTCTTTCATTGAATCCTCGATGCCTCGAAAAAGGAGTGCAGACCGTATCGGCCCCCTGAAAACGCGGTCACGCAGCGGCTGCCAGCAATGCCGCAGCAGCAAGGTCAAGTGCGATGAGAGATTGCCACACTGCACCCGTTGCTGGGAACGCGGCCTGCAGTGCCAGAGAGGCGTGTCATTGAAATGGGAATCAGAGTACTTGAGTCGTGGTTTAACGTTTGGGAGAGCAGGCGTGTGGAAGAAGGGTCAGGATCAGCATGGGGAATTCGCTGCTGATACGTCAATATCATCAACATCGCCAACGCTGTCAACGACGACTCTGTACTCGGATGAGTGCCATGAATGGCTTCCTGTACCGCGGGTATATGGATGGAGCTTTATCAACTCGGATTATGCTACGTTTGAGCAGCCGCGTGCTGTTTCTATTCCAACTAGTCCTTTGACGTATCAAATTGATAGGTCGAAGGATGAGGGTGTTGATGATGACGCAGGCTTGGTGACTGTATATCAGCCAAGCAAGAAGGGATGTTTAGTGGCGGTTAAATGCAGCGAGAGGCCGAGGAGATCTCTCTCTATCTTCCCAGAACTCTCTGGAACGAAACATGCCCAGCTTTTCGACTATTACTTTCAAGCGGTGTGTCCTCGTACCACACCCAGTCAGAAAGAACCGTCTCCTTTCGCCGCGCTCATTCTTCCATTCTCGACAGTAGCATCGCAGACCCTGGTCAAAGCGATACAGGCACTGGGTGCGTGTCACTGGTCGAAGTCTGACTCGAAATTATCTGCGGTTGGTCTTCGCTTCAAATCGGCTGTGCTCAAGGAACTTCGTCACAAGCTCGCCACAGAAGGGCCTTTGAAATGCTCAATGGATACGGAAATCCTTGTCATTATGATGATGCTCTGCTTGTATGAGATTGTGGATGACTGCGATCAGCGCTGGACTGTGCACCTGCGCGGAGCCAAAGACCTTGTTGCCTTTCGAAGACAAAGGGAATCTATGTGGCCGTCGCCTAGTATACGCGGCGAGTTAGATTCCTTTTCCGAGGGTTTCTTTGCGTTCCAAGATATAATCGGCCGCACCGCATGCGGCGAGACTGCAGTCTTTGGCGCAGACTACTGGCGAGGAGATGAGCAGCAGATTAACGTCTGGATGGGATGCAGTCCAGAGTTGGTCTCAATTCTTTCCATGATAACTGAGCTGAGCCGGTCGAGACGGAGGAATATGAGTGATGATGATGGCTCCTCTTTCTTTCTACCGGCTGCTTCTTTGGAGAACCGCCTCGACCATCTTCAACAGCTGGCGGCCGATCCTACTGATATTACCCTGATTGCTGCTGCTGATCTCAAGCGCCAGGCGGCGATATTATACCTACACTGTGCCCTATACGGTGCCTCTCCATCGACTTCGCTGGTCATACAGCTCGTTTGCGAGATCTTGAACAGAGTATCTGAGCTCATTGACCAGGGTATCGTGGCCAGCATGACTTGGCCAGTTTTCGTAGCTGCGGTAGAACTCGACCCACTGAATGACGACATTGGAAGGGATACCACTGGTCTACCAATTTCTGGACGGGCTCTTGTTCTGCGTGCCTTGGAAGCGATGGCCGGGTCTGCTGTCACTAATGTCACTCGTACGCGGGTAGTCATATCGAAGGTCTGGCAGATGCGGGATATGAACACCGCCGGGACAGGTTTACACGATTTGGGAGAAGATACGTCGCATCTAAATGATTGGGAACGGTATGTTGCTCCTGTGAGCAACGCAATGAGTCTAGCATGAAACAGGAGGCTATGCTTGCATATTACACACTGCGGGGTTTATAAGGGGGTACTATCAGTTAAGCTTCTTGTCTGTCTCTATATAGTAGCTTTGTCGTGACGCTTTGAGAGTTATAGTGTAACATATCTGGATAAGTCTGCTTATGACTTGTTGCAATCTATCTCTTGTGGACGGCGTTTCCGTCACTTTGTTAGATTTTGTGTAACTGGCAAATGGAGATCTGGATACTTCTCAGATATCTCCATAGTTATTCGCAGGAAATGTCCACTTCCTTTGCGAAAGTTATTCTGCAATATGACCGCCACTCATCCATATCTTGCATTTTCAATGTCATCGTCAAACCAGACTGGCTTCACTCCGTAATTGATCACTGTGCTCTTCACTTTCGTATAGCTCTCATAGGCCTCTACTCCATTCTCTTTTCCAATCCCGCTCTCCTTAAATCCACCCCACGGCGACGACGGGTCGTTCAAATGATGTCCATCAATCCATACTATTCCAGCCTCGATCTGTTCAGCCACGCGATGTGCCTGCGAGAAATCGTTGGTCCACACAGAGGCACCCAGTGCGAAAGACGTCATGTTCGCAACGCGGATGATTTCCTTCTCATCCGAGCAGCGGATAATAGCGATGACGGGACCGAATACTTCATTGCAAGCCAAGTGGGAAGACTCAGTAACTGAGATGATTGTCGGTGAAAAGAAAAACCCTTTTCCATCGACGGAAGTCGGCTTGCCGCCACAGAGAAGCGTTCCGCCTTCCTCTACAGCGCGGTTGACGAAGGATGAACATCGCTCCACGGCTGCTTTGTTGATGACTGCTCCTATCTGCGTCCGGTCGTCTGTTGGAGTGCCGATTCGGAGTGACTCGACTCGCTTTACTAGCAGTTCAACGAAGGCATCGTACATGTCGTTATGCACTAGCAGCCTACTACCCGTAACGCATGTTTGACCACTTGCAATGAAACTAGCGAATAGAGCTGCCCTGACGGCATCTTCGACGTTCACGCTTGGAAAGAAACACACTGGTGCCTTGCCACCAAGCTCTGCCGTGATGGGAATCATGTTCGTTGAAGCATTGGGCGCAATGGCCTTGTAAGTTGCCAATCCACCCGTGAGATCGATCTTCGATAGGTAAGGATTCTCGCAGAGATATTTGCCGGTCTCACGCCCGTAACCGCAGATGATCTGTAAAGTGCCATCCGGCAATCCGGCCTCTTTGAAGAGTGCACCGAGTCTCAGGACGGAAAGAGGCGCCAACTCTGATGGCTTCACGATCACGACGTTTCCCGCTGCTAGTGCAGCTGCGATTTTCTTCGTTGCAATCAACAACGGATGATTCCATGGTGTGATCTGCGCGACGACTCCAAGTGGCATTCGCGTCAATGTATTGACCACAGGGCCTTTGAATGGTGTTACTCGTCCTTCGTGCACTCTAGCTAAAGATGCGAAGTACTCCAACCATTCTGGTATTCGGGCCAGCTGAGCACGCATCTCACGGATAGGACGCCCCGTCTGAAGGGTTTCGAGCTCGACGAATTCTGGGATCCGAGAGCGGAGAAGAACTGCTGCGTTGGAGAGCACAGAGAAGCGCTCTGAGGCGTCTGCTTTTGACCACTTCCCATTGTGAAATACGTTGAGTGATGATAGCACGATCTCATTGACGGTCTCTTGAGGTGTTGCGTCGATAGTGGCGATGGGAGCTTCTGTCGCTGGATTGAGGACCGTTACTCGTTCGGACGTGGGAGGCGCCTGAGAACCGTCAATCCAGTTGGAGATGTGAGGGAGATCGGACATTGTGATGTAATTTCAAAGAATAGACAGTATCTTAGGGGTGGTGATTATGTTGATGATCCCAGCGATCCCCACGGGCATTACTTAATGAATGGCCTCAGCAATGTGAAGCGGGGTCGTCCCAACCAGATGTACTTAACTAGTCGTCAGGTATTCACGAAGAGTTGTCTAGAAGATCGACTTTCTGATTCCACGAGATCACGCAGACTGTCTGGTACTTATTTACTAGATAAAGACAGATACATCGGATCTCACTACTGATTTCGACGCAAGATAACCTGGATATGATCTCGCGATAAGCGATAAGCGGGGCGGGTGGCAGATAACCTTAGATAAGTAAACCAGTTCCCTCCGGGGGTAATAGTCTCATGTAAAAGATCCTCCCTGCCATCCTTCTCTGCTCTGAAGTATACGAATATTGTCACTCGATTGAATTATGCTGCATTAGTTACTGTAATTGTCTAATCTTTTGTCAATGCTTCTTTCGCTTCAGACTTTACGGCTTCATACACCAACAATCGACCTAAGAGTGGCCATTTCTGTACAGGAGTGAATGGATGAAAAACGGTCTTGCAGTTGGAAAGCCAACTAGTGGAATGGATTATCCAAAGGACTGAATACTTGTCCCTCACTTCAAGCTCGACTGGTACCAACGGTGGTTTCTACTACTCTTTTTATACGGCTGGCACCTCAACTGTCGTGTATACCAATGAGGAAAATGGAGAGTATAATGTAACATGGAGCGGCGATGGTGACTTTGTATGTGGGAAAGGATGGAATCCTGGGAGTGCGCAGTGAGGCTTCCTCTGTGTAATCTTTCATGGGGAAAAGGCATACTGATTATATTCTAGAGCAATTTCTTACACCGCGAAATACGAGCCTAATGGAGATAGCTGTCTGGCCAGGATGCGCAGCTTTGTATGGCACTCCACCGAGAAGTATGTTTCCTGCGATGGCTTCCGGGCCATATCTGTCACATACATCTGCTGCTATGACCCCTAGGTTATATTAGTCCTATGGGCTTTCTTCACTTTCTTCATAGGAGTAGATCTGTCAATTCACCTCCGAAACTCCTAGAGAAGGGTTAATAGTCATATGACAGTTGGATCGTGAGAAATGGATTAAATTACCATCCTGCAATATATGGTAGCTTCACGCCAGAGGCACTGCAAACGGCAGCGAAATCTTCTGCCATTCGTACGGATGTATAAGCGTCTGGTTCCACGGGCTGCTCACTACGACCATGCCCACGAAGATCATATCGGAGCTAATAATTGGAACACATCAGCCCTTTATGAATAATAGCTATATTAAGGATGTAAGTTCACCTACTAGATAAAGATTCTCAAGTAGAAATGTATCCTGGAATTGTTTCTCCCATACTGTCCCAGACAACGAAAAGCCATGGATGAAGACTACTGCTGGCTTTTCATGATTCCCAGCTGCCTCTGCCCATATCTTGGTGCCGTCTGGTGAGATGATAAACTTCCCGTGTGATTGATATGTGCCCATGCTGTTGGCTAGTGACTGCTGTTGTTTCTCCCCTTCGAAATATTTCAAAAAAGATGATCCAGGAATTCCGTGAAAGACAGAGAAGATGGAGATTTGCGCGTCTTATGTCGCTCGCAATTGGAAGACACTCAATTACATTACTAAAGGAGATATTACTAACTACTGCACTGCAACCAACTATGACATAACTACAGAGCATATTTCCATGGGCATAGATAGAACCTTAGTTACCGAGAAGGCATAGCGTTTTAGTTTCCTGCGACATCGCCGTTGTTAGTGTGACCGTGTCATATTTAGATTTAGTACGAGCACGGCCCATTACCGTGTTGGTTATTTCTCTTAAGTCGAGAATACCATTTTCGGAATCGTCTGAGTTGATTCGTGATAGTTGTCCTCGACTTGCTGCCAATTTCGATTTTGTCGCCCATGCAATTGCAGGTTCGGTCGCAGATTGTCTGGCATTCCTCACTAAAGCATCTTCTGCTCATAATGACGCTTCTCGCCATCAATTTGTTGCAATTCAAGGGCTTAACCAAGCCTTGGTGGAGTTCTCGGCAGAAAGTTCAGATGCAGTACTGTGTGCATCAACATTGCTCTGCCTTTAAAATAGGGACTGGTAAGTTAGCACGATCAATAGTACTCATATGAGATAGCTGATTGTCTAATGTTGCGAATATATGATAGGCGGGCCTGTGAAGCGCTCGTGAATGGGACTCGGAGCGTACATCGGATGTCTATTCAGGGTAAAGAGCACCGACTGATATACTAAATGTCGTTACTTCCATTTACTTATACAAGGAAACTGTTCGCTTAACAGTGTCTCTCACCCCACTAAAGACCGTACTGAATTGTCTGCTATGAGAGATCTCAGAGATCCATTGATGAAAGTGCGTGATGCACCGGAGCGTTGTCTGAAGACGACTTAGTCCGTCAATTGCATCCGTGTTGTTCTCTAGTTGGCCCATTCTCGTCGTCCTTGCTCAACGCCACTAATGGAGATGCCATCATCTTGCTGTAACGATGGTAAAGCCGGCGATAAAATTACCAGGGTTGCTATGATGTTTCATGCGCTAGTCTCCACGCTCCTCGTTATTTTTCTCATCGAAGCAGATACACAAGGCAGCGATAAGCGCAGCATCGATGCCTGGAGCGACCTCCACTGCATAGGTCTGCTGGCCGAATACCATGTCGCGGCCACTCAGTAGTTTCCGATTGATGCGCGCCACCGTGTGGCCAGTCTTCTCATCTACGATATCTGCGCTGTGGTCAAACCAGCCGCCCTTGATTCTGAAGGTCTCAGCCTTGCCGGTCGACGAGGTAAAGACTGCGGTAGCCTTTGAACCGAGTACTAACTCTAGTCAGTAGGAATGATACTATACCTAGCAATAGTATATAAATCTCTCGCAGAGAGCTTGAGCAGAACTCTACTGATAGTCAGGGACGACGCATGCTTACACGTAAGATTGCTCTTCACTTCCAGTATCGTCCTTCTGTGGGTGTCTTCCACTGCGTATGTTGCATGGAGATGCAGATGCTCCTTGACGATATCAAACAGGTGCTTGCCGTTCGCGTCGGAAACTTTCTTACGGCCAGAGAGGCTCACCCACGCACCATGTACCTTCAGAAGCGGTTCGCCGCTAAGGAGTTTGATGTCGAAGCTGTCTCCGGAGACCGAGAGCACTTTTTCGCGAAGGACAAGGGTCTGTGTGTCCTTCGATACGAACTGGTCAAAGATGCCCCCTCTCAGGCTGAAGGTAGGGCCTACTACATATACCACTACCGCAAGCGCCAGATTATGTGATTTATTTGTCAGCGAATGCTAGTTACTGAAATTACAGTAGTCAACTCATCTCTCCCTTTTTTCCACTTGGCTTTTAATCTAAGGCTGTCCCAAAGACGATTAACACAGCATGTTCCACAGCTTTCTTCGTCGCATGCACGGCCCTACGTGTGGCATGCCACGTTTCCCGAATCGTCGAGCTTTCTCATACGTGTCAACGCACCAAGTGTTTCCAGCAAGCTTGTATCGATTTCAGCTGCACCGCGACTCAAAGCTTTATGACAGAGCCACCGAACAGAATGACTCGGAGTATGAAGATGGAGTTGAAATCTCTGCGGACGGCTTGGTGCATCCGAATATTACAGCTGATTGTATGCAAGAGCGAATTCACACTTTTCGCCTGCTAACTTATTCAGTTTCTAACGGCGCATTACTTATGCCAAACACGCACTTTATGCAAGAGATCACACGAAGGTCATTCGATCACTACTTAGATATCGTGGAAAGTGGTCAATCCATCACGGCCGAACCACATTATCTGTGCATACCTAAAGGTGATTAAACCCCTTGTCGTAATGTGCAAAGCTAATTTATCTCTACTCAAGGCACCACTATTCCAGAGTCATTAATTCTTTTCCGTGAGCGCACTTCTCGCTTCTCCCTTCAGCCTGCACGTCCGATGTCACTGGATAGTATGTTCAAGAGATCCCCTTCGAGAGATAGAATTACTGACAGGGTCAAGTTTTGAACAAAACGTTGACTCAGTTTTATTTTGACTATGGACGTGTTTTTAACCCAGATGACTGGCTTGGTAGACACCCCTACCATGAGGCATCTTTTGACGATCAGGAAGAGTGGATGAACACATAATATGTAGGGAGGGAGGAAAACAGGGTCATTTGAGCTTCACTCTGGCTCCTTGCACCTCGTGACAAACTTGGGCATCGAATTGACAGATCCGTCCTTCTCCCCTGAATATTTTGTGGGGCGTGTCCTGCTATCGAAATAAAAGGCATTGTTTCTCAAGTGCCACTCACAGATGGCTTTCTTCCATAAGTCAGAATAGGTCTTCTTGTCTTCTTCTTGTATGACTCAATAGCCTTGTCAATAGCCTTGTGTGCAGTTATTCCTAGCCATTACGACATGTCAAAATGGTTCAGCCCGCGCTGACTAACCCTCTAACTTCGGTAGATACTTGCATGTGTCCTGTGTCTTTTCCAATCTTGGTATCCTCTTCTTCGACACTGGCACAACTGCATTTATGACCCAACCGTCTGATTGGGCAGGTGAAGCCAAGACAGAATAACCGCCAGGAACACAATTGCCGCTTTATCCCCTCGGTTAGTCTAGTGTAAGATAATTGCACTGGGCTACCGCTACGGACCAAAAGATCTTGAGTCAAGAAGAATCATCCTACGTATCAATTGATAGCCAGCCTACAACTAGATAATTGTTCCCGTTGACCGTATCTCTCCGGCCAATAGAAATGCGGACATGATTGCTTCACAAGGAAACATCCTTCAGGTAAAGCTTACTCAGTTGCCTGAGGGTACCGCTGCAGCCATTCGTCCTTGGTGAATCGCTGCCCCTTGGTGGTCAGAAAATCATTGATCTTTGAGTTCAGTTCTTTGTTTAATTGTCAGCAAGTACTTTCTTTTTGATGTTAGAGGTATATATTACCTTCCACTGTCATCTCCTCTCGGGCTTGCAATGAGTAATGGTCGCCAAACTCGTGGACGAGAATGAGATCGTCAGGCAAAACAGTCCCTGTACAGGTATCGGATGAATAAAGACCAGAGGCTTCAGGAAAGTTAGGGGACGAACCTGCTGGAATGGCGTAGACATAGATCGAAGAGCCCCGGAAAGTGCGAACGAGATTCTGCTGTATTTCAGAGTTGGGGCGCATGGAAGCACCGTTTGGCCCTGGACCGATATATTAGTGACGTGAATTAGATATCTTGGATCCATAAATAATGTACATTCATAAGTAGCCGGATTGAGAGCCTTAGGTTGAACCTTTCCTGCGGTTGTAAGAAGATCGAAGCTGCGTTTCGGTCGCACAGGGCCTGGCTGAGCGCGGAGGCGAACAGTAGCCCCTGTGTTCAGGCGGAACAGCTCCTTTGGGACCTGAGTGAAAGACTGAATGAATCTGTTGATAGACATCTTGATAGATTGAAACAGAAAGATTGGATAGAATGCTTGGAGTAATTCGGTCTGTTGGGAGATGGCAGTGTCAGGGTGGCCTATCTTGGGGTGGATGAAGATGATTAATTCTCTCTAGCTAGCTAACTGTGGATAAGACCAATGTCACGTGACATCTAGTGCAACAACAATAACCGCCGAGAAACATGAGACACAAGATCTAGACGGATATCCAGAAACGACTAGACTCACCCATCCAGCTGACTCACCGGGAGACCACAGTTCCAAAAAGTCTTCCATCGTGGCTATAAGAATCTGCTCCAACTCTCTTTGTCAGTTGTAAGATAGGTACATACAATATCCAACAGCCGATCCCTATGCATGATGGCTGGCAATCTCCGATCCGCTAAAGTCATACAACTCCTGTCGTCGCGGCCAACATCCAGTCGGGGCATTTCAATCAAGACGTCCATCACATATAAAAGGCGCTTTCGGCACCAGTCACCCCGAACCATGCAGTCTCAACCAAGGATCGCCATTGTTGGCGGAGGTCCTGCTGGGCTGACACTGGGTGCCTTGCTCCACAAGCGTCGTATCCCATTCACCATCTTCGAGCTTCGTCAGAAACCCACCGAGGAACAGCTCGCTCAGCCATCCGGGATGCTTGACCTTCACGACGAATCTGGGCTTGCAGCTATCAGGGAATGTGGTTTGTACGATAAGTTCGTACCGCTCGTCGGAGAGTGTAGCGAAGACTTCATTGTTTCCGACAAGAATGGAAACATCCTCCACACGCATAAAGGGGATGGTGCACGTCCTGAAATCTCCCGGAACAATCTAAACAAGCTTCTACTTGATAACGTTCCAGCAGATAGCATCAGTTGGGGTCAGAAGCTTATCTCTGCTACAAAGCCATCCAACTCCAGTACCGAAACTCTTCTCGATTTTGGCGCCCACGGCCAGCACAAGTTCGATTTGGTGGTTGGTGCGGACGGCGCGTGGTCTAGAGTTCGCAATCTACTTACGGATACGAAGCCACAATATACTGGGATGCAGATCATCACAGTCACAATTAGGGAGATCACTAAAAAATACCCGCATCTGGCCGCCCTTGTCGGGTCTGGAACCTTCAGCTCCCTCGGAAATAAACACGCTGTCATGTCGCAGCGCGGACCTATCGACTCGTCCAGGATCTACCTATGGCTCTCACACCTAGACGAAGATTTTGCAAGAACCTCCGGCCTGGCTGATAAGGCGGCTACAAGTGCTAAAGACAAGCTTCTAACAGACAATGCGCTGCTTGGCAACTTTGGAAGCCCCATAAAGGAGCTGGTATCCACCGCCTGCGAGGAGGAAGCAGCAGACCATCCGGGTGAGAGCCTGGATATCAGAGGGCTCTACACACTTCCTTATGGAACCTCCTGGGAGCACAAGCCTGGCGTAACACTTGTCGGTGATGCAGCCCACTTGATGTTGCCAAACGGAGAGGGCGTCAACCAGGGCATGCTTGACTCGCTTTTGTTATCCCAAGCCATTATCAAAGCCTATGAGACGGCCGGGAAGGGCCCCGATTCATTCCAAAATACGATTGATCCGCTATTGAAAGAGTTTGAAACTGCTTTAGTGGAACGCGCAAAGGAAACGGGCAATGAGACGGAAGCTTTGATTAAGACCATGCTTGGGAGCGACGACGCAGCACACAATCTTGCCGGTTTTTTCAAAAGCATTACGCAGCAGCAGCCGGAGAATTAGCGTTATAGCTATGTATTTAGTCAATATGCACACCGATACCCATTATTTGCATGTCTTATGAATCCGCTCAGCGGAACGAAAGGTTTTCATACTGTCGCCTGAGCAGATCACTTGGAGCAGCTAGGAGTCCAGTAGCGGCACTGAGTCCAAGGAGAAGGTATGTGAACAGCATAGTGAATAGCTCTGAAGCTGATGGTGGTTGGTAGATTGAGTTGACGAAATAGGATTGCTCTTGATCCCCGGGGCATTTAATGATTCCCAACTCGAGAGGGGACGATGCCGATGCACAAATTAGGCTAAATATTGACCATCCGGGAAATACAACTTTTATAAGAACTTATGTTGACGGTGTTTGGTGTTTCGTGTTTGATGGGTGGGATATATCGTATAGGACTATTTTAGCCTAAACTTGAAACTCGCGTTGTTTCCACGAATGACGCTACGCCACCATTCCAATGCGACTTCGAGCTACAGTAGCACAGAATATCTGTATCGCTGATATTATGATTAGCATGCGCCAAAGAGGACAGATATCTTTCTATGGATACTATAAAGAGGTTATCAAGAGCGATTTCTCATCCCTTACAATAAGGATATGGTACGTGGGAACGTAGATTGTGTGACTATTCGATCCTCAATCCCCATCCTGATTCCACCAAGGATCCTTCAAAATCTAGGACATAGTGGCTCTCTCTGCGGGATTGAGCTTCATCATCTGGGATATCATTTCCTTTGTCGCCGGGGTAAGATTTGGGAAAGCATCCTCCTCCCACTCACCGAATCGCATGCTGGGATCACTAGCTGTTTCAAAGTCAGCAAATCGTATTGACATATTCCTGGCAGCCGTGTCTGTCCCCGAAAGGGATCGATTTAGTCGACAAGAATCTCCTCTTCGCAATTAGTGCAGTATGTTCTGGTACCCATAGTTCTGGTATTCAAACGCTCGACAACTAGAAGGTCACTGGTGCAACTGAAGAGTACAGTATATTTGTTGCATATTTCAAAGCATAAAAGCGCACTTCAGCACCGAGAGTTATTCGGAGAGCAGTTCATGGTCGGAGTTACCCACGCGCGAAACGCTTGGACGATTCACACTGGGAAGGTTTCTTCACCGTATTAGCTAGATCACCCTTGGCGTTGCTTTTACAGCCAGAATTGATCGCCAGCAGATTGCAGTTTCACAGTTAATAATTGCGATATTGGTAATATCCTCTTCTGCGTGCATGATGAAGTCCTGCTCAGGCGGGGTATTTCCCGCCAGCGCGGTTTGATGCCGCGACTTACCAATCCCAGCTGACCCCGATTAGTAATCATCGCAGTCCAAATCGGAGAATTAACCGATTGATTCAAACGCACTAAAACCACGAGATACATAGTCGACATTCTGCTCTCTAGCTATAATAAGTTTAGTCTAATCAGAAACCCCGTCGGCAATGGATTTCTATAGGTTAACTTTCCGGAAAGACATACTCCGTATCAAACTATCCAAGTACTACTGGAGCGGTACGGAACAATACTAAGCAACCGTTTCTATGTGGATCTAGAATGTCTCCATTGCGTGCTGGCTATCTTTTAGCTCCTTGTCGGCATTATTGCCAGATGATGGTATATTAACTGCCGTGACGCTGCTTCCTCGCTTCTAGGATCTCTGAAATCAGTCTCAACGCATTTATATAGAATACGTGATAGCAACTTCTCAAAACACAATGGCGTCCCAGGTTGCGTTCAAGAACCCGGCAACGGCTACGCTGCTTGAGCTGGTCAAGTCCCGTCGTACATACTACGCCTTGAAGCCGGAGAGTCCTGTCTCCGACTCGGTCATTGAGAAGATTGTCGAGGATTCTGTCCTCCACGTGCCCAGCTCGTTCAACACGCAGACCACACGTGTCTTGTTGCTTCTGAAGAAGGAACATGAGAAACTATGGGACATCACCATCGAGATCATGGAGGGCCTAGTGGCAGCAGGTACCATCCCGAAGGAAGCCTTTGAGCAAAGTACGAAGCCGAAGCTTGAAGGATTCCGGAATGGTTATGGCACGGTATGATACCCATTCCCGCGTGATTTGCCGCAAATCCGGAAACAACGAGCTAATGTGTAGTAAAGGTGCTCTTCTTTGTGGACTTTGAGTCTCTAGCTCCCATCAAGGAGCAATTCGCGCTTTATGCGGACAAATTCGACCCATTTGCTGTTGAGTCAAACGGAATGTCCCAATACCTTGGTAGGTCCTGAGCTATGTCGTATCATTTCCTTAACAATTTTACTGACAACTTTATCCTAGCGTGGCTCGCCCTGGAGGCTGAAGGCTTCGGCGCCAACCTACAGCACTACAGCCCATTGATCGATAGCAAGGTCCAGGAACAGTGGGGCATTCCAGCATCGTGGAAGCTCGATGCGCAGCTTGTCTTTGGCACTCCTGCCAGCCCTCCAGGGGAGAAGACATTTGCGCCCCTTGAGAATCGCCTCAAGGTCTTCGGAAAGTAATCCGGAGCGTTATTCAAGGTCGAAGGCCACATGTATATAGATTGCGCCATGATGGAATGCTGATGTCTTCGAAATATTTCATAGACAGCTAGACTTATCCTTTATGAGAAATCATCTGGCTTGATTACATGTAATGCTGCTGGGCACGATTCAAGTAAAGTGTGACACTGGACGCTCTTGTTTCACACCATCTATCCACATATCAACCTTTTCGTTGTAGAAGGCAACGCGTCCTCTGATATCTGCACTTTCTGGTGTCGGGTTCTTGTACCACCAGAGCAGATTCTTGATCTTTTTCGTAGGGTGTTCGACATCAAAGTAACTCGCATCGCCCTAGAAGCCGATACATATCGTAAGAGGTCGGAAGGGTGCAACACAGAGGCTGGGGGAAGGGGGAGAAGGCTAACCTTATATGGGCATGAAGTTGTAAGCTGCGAAGGTGTAACGAGATCAAGACGGATATCCGTCATGGGAATGTATGCGCGCGTTGGAAGTCCCGTCTCATACAACAACCGCGCTTTCACGGTATTCGCAACTTCGATGCCCTCTATTTCGACACGGATGTGTTTCGATGTCTCCAGGATGTCGATTCTCTGCTCATGGTTAGTATGAAAATCCAAGTGTTTCCGATAAGATAGGGCAAGGGGGGAACCTTATATGGGTCTTTCGGATGCACGTATATCCTTTCATCTTCCTCAAACCACGCATCAGCCTTACTAAAGATGACTTTAACAGAGTCCTGGAAGGGTCCAGCGTGGAAGACAGTCACGGCATTTTCCGCGACGCGATCATCAACCACGAGATCATATACTCGCTCTGAGTCTGTCGCCCCAGGCTTTTCATTCTTAAGATACTCCAGGCGGACATCGAGTTTCTGGAAGTAGTAGGTCGGATAGTATGCGTGTTCCCAACTGCATAGAATTAGTATGTATAGACCAAATCATCAACAGATCGTCATCATCGGGTTCCATCTCAACATACACCAGTTTGGCTTTCTTTGCATCTACCACAAACTTTCCGTTGAACAGTACACGCACTCGCTTGTCAACGTCTTCCGAATAACCAGCGTATGGAAAAGGTCGCGATGCCATCGCTCATGAATCAAGAGCGATCTATCTGAAGAATATTCTGCGTAATCTGCTTGAGGAAAATGTACTATCGTGGTTTTTCTATGGTCAAAGGTGTGAATTTGTGATCATGTCAGAAACGCTCCACGGAGATCAATGGATGCGGGATGCGGGGAAGCTCACGCTCACGGCAGGCTTTATTAATCTTCCTATTACGTCGGCAGACCTTGGAATTTCGGGCAAGGAGTCTCGACCACATTAAGAACACCACTAAGTATCTTAGACCGCTCTTTATATCATTGTTGTATCCCTAAAAAGATTAGAAGAGAATTGCACACTGTTCCGTCGAGTACTGCATTGCACAGGTACAACTAGTGGTGCCAGTAGTAGGTATACATCAAACTGGATAATGTATTCTTCTAACGAGACGTTTAGGTTAGTTTATGTTACTATCCTGCTCTAGATGTGCAAGTTCCACTGGAGTCTCTCTAAGGCCAGGGAAACCCCCGGAAAATATACCAAATAACGAAAAGTCGACAGAAAGTAAATGCACGCCTTGCCACCGAACCATAACTATGACATTTGGATACTTATTTCTGTAAAAATGTGAATTGCGGCTAGAAACGATGATAAGAATAATGCTTAATATTCGCAAAGGGAGGTTTCCTGCTTATAGTTGACATCGTATCCTGCTGTCTGTCTGAATTTCGTTCTAGGTTGCCTCCCTGTTTTAATTGTTCCCGAGACGGTGAGCGTCGGATGGTTCTCTCCCTCGCAACAGGAGCGGCCGATGAGCGCTGTTGCTTTTCAGCGTGAAGAGCAGACAGAGGCGAGTGTCGATTCTCCAGGAGGACTCGTATGTTCAACATGCTACTTGAGGGGTTTGATAAGGCAAGGGCCTGGCCCATGTAACGAATGCTTTCTGCTGCCAGAGGGAGACCTCCAAAATGCTTCCCGACCGGCGGTATATTTCGGTTAATGTAGCGTGAACCGGAACCAGGAGGCATGGTAGCTTGAGAGTTGGATCCACCACCCATACGTTTCCCCGTGCCAGATGCTGTTGAGTCATCGACGACGCCATCTGGGGATACCTGGGCATTGTTAGGATAGAAGATATAACTTCCAAAGGGGACTCACCTGGGACGAATATGTACTGCCAGGCATTACGACATAGTCTTCTAAAGATGAAGCTAATGTAGCGAAATTGAACCCTCTGCGGGACTGTATTGGTTCGAATTTCTGACCAACTTCATGACGGAAGTTGATCAATCGTTTCGTGAGTCGTTGATATCGGCGTAAATCCAACCACCAGGTAGGATAGTTACCAAACCACGCGTCTATGACCGGCTCTATCTCAAGAGAGAATTTGAGTCTACTGTCCAAGTGAGGTTTCTGGATCAGCATCACAAAAGTGAACTCCCTCGGAAGGCCTGACCGCTGCAACGCGTTCTCGGTCAGCGACCAAACGATCTTCCCATCGTTGACATGATATTCCTGATTGTCAGGGCTGTCCAAAGTGCGCAACGACCCCTGGATCTTCATCATTTCATACAGTTTGTACTGTGCTTTCAGGCCCCCAGATGGGCTCAACAAGGCAGTCACTGGGGCATTGGTGATACCAAAAGAGCTAGCCAAGTTGAAATTCCATTGAAGTGTCTCTGGAGAAACGGCACCGTAAATCAGATGGGGCGCGTACATCAAGAAACGTGGGTTTTCGCGCAAATGACGACCATCATTCATAATATCTCGCGGATGATGTTCAATACTGGCTGTGACTGTGGCAGCTTTAAATCGATGCGACTTGGAGTCGGACGGGTGGAATACAAAGTTCACAGCTAGGAAATCAACGAAGTCGATATCCGCCTCCGAAATGATCGAGCTGGAGAAGTAGCCATGCTGCAGACGTTCCACATTTGCTGATATATAAGCATCACCTGGTAGGTGTCTCTCATATATGCGTCTCCGGTTCACCAGCAATCGAGAGTTCGTCAGGTTTGGATCACCGTCCTGTGGCGCGATGGGACGCAACCCAATGCGATGCTGTGGCGCCGTGGGAGGTGTATTTGTCGTATTGTAGATTTTGGTTTTCATTCCATTCTCTTCAACCATCCTGCTGCTTTGACGAGGTTCATAGATAAGACCTCGTACGGCAGATTTCGTGATGGTAGCTCGAATGACCTCGCTGCCTTGCCCGTAACGTCTTCTGAATGACAATCTGCATCATCTTTAAACGGTTAAAAGGAGCGTTGGACGCAATACTTACGATACTAGAATCAATACATTATCAAAACTAGGGTGCATATGGTGTCCGAGATATAAATATCGACGCAGGATCGCCATGGCTGTCGACGGCGAGCAGCTGATGTGGACAAACCAAATGACTACTACTATCACCATACCATCGGCACGGGCTGCTCTAGTGGTCGATCATGATCCCATGACGGATCTTTGAGCGAGAATCCTGTAAACAAGCAGATCAGATCGACCCTTTCGTTCTACACGGATAGCCATGGGGGCGCTTGATCTGATGAGCTCAACAGAGAGAAGCCTCCGCGAGTCAGAGTAGTCTAGTCAGGTATGAAAGCAAGGACAAAAAAAACCCACGAGAAACCCATCTAAGTGTGGCAGTTAGTTAGTGGAGGGCTTAATTATATCATACTGTAGAACATTATTATTGTCGCGGCTCCACGCGCGGCAGAGAATTGACGATTCCTTCTCTTTTGTTCTTTAGCGTTGTTCAGGCACCAGAGCTGACTGTCCGATCGACGTTCCAACTTACCTCGTTCATCATCGCCCTCCCATCGCGATCGCGATCATCGCAGGGACACCTCGATCCTGTAAGATGGCTACTTGCTCGACCGACATCCTATCTGCCTCCTTTGTGTGGCCAGATCCCATGATTCCTGAAGCTGAGCGCTGCGACGCCTTCTCCGTCTTAGCTATTATGATCTCTGGCGGATGATGGCCTACCAAGAAGACCGGTTTCCTTGGCGTCGAAGGCCGCTATCGACTTCAAGGGACCGCGTTTGTCCGCGCGTGATCTATCGCTGGCGCGCTCTCTTGATACTCATTACTGTGTTCTGTCTGCTTCTGTACAGAACGCCTACTCCGCCCCAGCGCAAGAACGATACCGGCGCCCACCGGCCGCCTCCACTACATGATGTCGAAATAAAGCCGAGCTTCCTGTACCGGTCGCCCTTTCGGCAAAATCCAGACCTGGATTATGAATATAAGCTGTCCGAAGCGTTAAAGTCACTGGAGCAGACGGCTCTGGAAGATGGCAGCGATGTTGGTGCGACCAAGAAGATTTGGCAGATCATGCTGCAGGAAGGATCGAATACTAGAGATAGAAACCCATATTCCGTACTCTTCCAAGAGTATAACCCAGAATGGCCAACGACGGTATGTAGCTTCGCCACGTGAGCAAAGTGACCTTCCCTAGCCACAGCTAGATCACAAGTATTGGTAGATGACATCTATCGAACAGGTGGTGACAAGGGACTGGGCAATCGAGTTCATTAAGGGACCGCTTTCAACGGTTCCAGATCTATTGGAACTCTACAGCTCTTATCCCCACGATGTCATGCGCGCAGACCTTCTGCGATATCTTATCCTCTGGTACCATGGTGGTTATTACGCCGACACCGATGTGTTTCCAGCTCGGACAATTTTGTCTTGTCCGTCACTGGAGCCTCTCTTTCAGCCTCTCTCGTCTTCTTACCGAAATAGGGCTTCTCTACAGCCAAATATCTCACTCGTTCTAGGGATCGAAATCGATGAACCGTACGCTTCGCCTACGTTGATGCGCGACTGGCATTGGAGCAGAAACTACGGCCTAATTCAGTACAACATGTATGCTCCCCGGCGCTTCAGTCCGCTCTTGAGACGGGCAATCGTCCGGGTCTTGGCCCACACCAAAAGGCATAATTCTCGGAGGAAAACATTCCTGCGCCCCAGGTACGATGAAAGGACAACGTTGGAAGTCACGGGCCCTGGCGTTTTCACGGACGCGATCCTGGACGTATTATCAGAGACCCTGCCACCTACACATCCTTTAGTTGAGACATCGGTCAGCGCAGATTCCGGCATAGGGGATCTCAGGTCTCATGCGGATACAGTGCAAAGGCGCGTGACTTGGGCGGCATTCCACAGGTTGAAACATCCACTCTGGATCGATGCGTCTGAGGCTGCACCAGGCAGGGAGATGGGCGGTCTCTTGGTCCTACCGGTAAGTGTATGGGGAAATGGTCAAAGGCATAGTGAAGCCGAGTGGTTCGATAGTCCGCACGCCTGTATTAACCACCAGTTTGGGCGCTCCTGGAAAAAAGGCTGGTGGGAGTATTTTTTTGGTTGAATCGCTACGATGTACTATTCTCACTGAATTATTATATTGAATTATGTGCGACTATGAAACTGGCCTGGAGAACCTCACTCTAGGCTGGCCAACCAGCATCACGGTAGTAGTGCGATACCTCTCTGATTATATTCACTTGCAATTACGAACCATGGCGCAAGCGGGAACATCTCCAGGCGCCTTGCCAATTATATTGATTCCCCGTTTCGCATCATCTAGGCCGAGCTTCTCCGCATGGGGGAAAGACGCCGTTCGAACCCCCGCGATCCCCCGCATTCCCCGATCTGACTATGGGGATTTTGACTGATTTACATTAGCCGACCATGGCTTCGTCCTTTTGTTCTCTCCAGCTTTGCGCCGTCGTTGTCCTCACTGCAGACAGCATTCTCCCTTGATCTATACAAGGGCTAATCCAATAGCTCAGTCATTACTGTGGTTTCAGATTTCCCGACGAACTCCTGCAGGATGAGGGCACAATGACCTATATCAGGCGGAACGTGCAGCGATAATGTCAAGCCGACCAGATCCTTGGTGAGCATGGATCCCTGAGCCCCATCCAGAATTACCGTCATTCTCTTCCTTGTACTACTGGTGATACCTCCGTCCCATGGTCCATTCATAAATTGTTTGCTGACTGGTCTTTGCCGGCCATAAAGTGAAAATTGTCGAAGTAAGTTGCGCCATCGTCTGCGGACAGTGGTGGATGACGGATTCTGACCGTGTGCAACTTTGAGGAAACCATGTAAAATGTAAGCACAGATCTCCATGATAAGTTATGAAAGGTGGTCTTGGACTGATAGAAGCTTCCTTTGCGTTCGATCTATTAGGCGATGACAGTGGAACAACATGTCAGCGCTGTCTCAAAGCAGGCCAGGAGTGCGTGCGCCATCCACGAAGAGTGAAGTTTCGACATGGCTCGACGGCGAAATACGACTCGGAGTTCTCGCGAGATCAGATATGGATGAACCCGTCGGCTAATGGTAGAGTTCCCGTATCACCTCTACTCTCCTAAAATTGCATTGGCTTGGTAACAGCCTTGGTCTAACGTGATTGTGTTTTCCAGGGACAACTAGCTTCGATTTCATAGATGAGACGCCGGATCTGGTGGCCTTCTATCGGCGAGACTCGCTCGTAGTATATTCCCAAGGCTCAGATTACGAAGGGAAAAGCGCATCACCATCCTCCGAGATCGAATCGTATCCGCCATCTACCAACGTACCAACAACATTCCCACTGCTGCCTACAAATGGATCAACTATCTTCTCTTCAGAATCGTCGGGCTCCCTACGAGACATCTACGGCGATGTTCTATCGCCAGAAAGCACTCAATTGGGCATCTCTCAGGCGGCCATGTGGTGCCATCCATCAAGCACAGCTAAGGTTTCCCAGCAATCACAGGCCACAGCAACGTCTCCTGGTAAGCCCTTCTCGTTTCATTAACACTGGCAGATCACTTCTAAGATTTTTGTCACTGTCAGAGAACACAGGTTCCTTCAAATCGCCACTCCCCACAAGTTCGCGCTACGACCGTTCGCATAGTTTATTTCCTCCATTATTTGTCCAAGAGGATTCGATTTGGCCGAACTTGGATGTGGAGCAAGCATGTCTATTGAGATATTTTATTGAGAACCTGGCAAGATGGGTATGGCACCTTATGCGCGAAAATCGAACTGCGTCGTCCGTTTTGCCCACGCTCGAAATCTACTGACTTGAAGATCGACTTCTATAGTTTGATCTTTGCGATCCCGAACGGCATTTCACAAGAGCTGTGCCGCAGAAGGCTTGCACGTGTCCACCATTACTGAACGCAATTCTTTCGGCATCCGCGAGGCATCTCTGTACGCTCCCGAAACATTGCCGCGCCGCAGTTATGATCAAGTATAGCCTTCCACGTATTATGAGATTCGGTGAAGAAACCGCACTGTATTATCATAGCAAATGCATATCGCAGATGAGGTCACTTTCCCACGACCCTGATGCCCTCATGGACGAGAACTTATTGGCCGCCGTGGTAATTCTGCGCTTCTACGAAGAAATAGACGGTATGTACTCGGATATAGCTTCCTTGTTCTCACCGGTCCTAACTTGACATCCAGCTCCGTTAGGAGGCCTGTCTGGAGAGACCGCCCTCCGCGGCCTTCAAGTGTTCATAGAAGCGCAAGCCGCATCCGCATTTACTGGAAATGGACTCCGGCAAATGGCATTCTGGGTGGGCGTTCGTCAGGAGATCCACATGGCATTTTTGCAACAGCGGTCATTCCGCCTCCCTCTCACATTCTGCGATAGCTATCGATCTTGGGAACCAGCTCCAGATCATATATGGGCTAACCGCTTGATTATATTCTGTGCCGACGTTCTTCAGTTTTGTTTCAACGACACCTCCACAAAGGATCACGCTCGATATGAGGAACTAATTGACTTTCCACGAAAATGGCTCAAGTACCATCCGCGGTCCTTTGCACCGACATATTACCGTGAGCCTGACAGGTCTAAAAATGAAGTACTCCCTCAGCTTTGGTATGCTGAGGATTTCCACATCGCAGGCATCCAGCATATGATTCTCGCTATGATATTGCTTACCGTGTATAAACCCAACGTCCCGCGATTGGGCCTAGGCCAGCGCGAGGCAATGATTGTCATGGATTCGAATATCAAATCAATGGTCCTGGAAATTTGTGGAATAGCCGTATCGAACAGACAATGCCCACCTTCCCTCCTAACCGCCACGATCGCCATCACCATGTGCGGTGACCGGTTCACAGATGCCCATGAACAGCAGGCCCTGCTTGATGTGCTCATCGAAACGGATCAAGACAATGCGTGGCCCACAGCTTCCATGCAAGCAAACCTGAAAAAGGCATGGGGATGGGAACGATCATCTTCCACGACCACATAGTAAAAGCGAGCTTGTCAATTTGGAATGCGGGAAGTAGTATGAATGTGATGTTCATAGGTGCTGGAAATTCTGGATATGAAAGCTTCGGCTCTTATCGTTTGCATATATAGGTCGGCGCAGGCAGTTCTTGGCATATAGCATATTCAAGGCATGTAGGAAGTCTGATTGAACCATATGTGCATATTCCATCTGTAGGAGGTGAGGATGTGGCCCTGAGCCTTCTCCGGTATACGTTATGTTTCATCTCTTGGGACCTGCATATTCATGCGAGCATATACTCATCATATTGGAAGTTGTATTCGGTAACGTTCATTATTTCCGTCTACTTTCGTTTCTGGGCTATCCAAGAGCTCAACCCCAGTAAGTCGCGTACTGGCTTGTCCCATTAACGACTGCAACAAATTGTTCCGCGATCCCTGCATGGATGGACTGCGTGGGGTGCAACTCATCCCACCAAAAAAAGTTATTATTACTAGGCAGGTTTTCGCAGCCGTGATGATTCCCGCCGCAATGTCGAAGATACCCTGTGACATTTGCTGGCGAGTTTAGGTACTTGTCTGCGTTATGATACATATCGGTGATCTGCAAATTCCTGTCAGGTCTAGTTCGAACAGGGGAGAAAAGTAAGCTAATGCTTGTTTTCTTACCAAGGAATTGGTATCCATGATAGCAAAATGTGCTCCTGGATACCTGTTGGCAATCAGGAGTTCGTATGGCGTCTTATACTTATAGACATCATTTGTCATCAGCATATGTTCCTGCATACGATAGCTGACTTCAGTGATGTTTTTCGGTTTGTGAATCCAGTAATGGTCAGATCCGACACCACCATTTTCAGGCGTCGCGAACAGCGGAGCCAGTTGCATCGGTGAGCTGTTCATAAGGACAAAAAACCGTCCTCCATTCTGGTAGATCTTGTCGAAGACCTGGTAGATGCATTCCACGTAATCCGGGATTGTTTTCCCGCGGATTTCCGCATCGTCCAGAAACCCGCCTACGCCTAGGTCGTTTCCCCCGAGCCAGACCGCATAAGCGGTTTCCAATGGCGGGATATTGAGGAACTGCTCCCCATCGGAGGTGACGTGGTTACTATCTGCGACGTAGGCGGGAATAGAATATTCCAGTGTGGATGGGAAGTCGGCATTGATCGTTGAGTACCAACGAGGTGTGATCTTGTTGGAGCAGACGGCTCCGTTCACAGCATAATTATAGAGGTTTACACCGGTGTCGTTTGCCACCAGTCGTGGCCAGATGTATCCTCCCGAGGATGTATTGTTGTTCTTGGAGAGGTGGTCTATGTCAGCGTAATGACCACAATGGGGGTGCATATTGCCTCCAACATACTATAGGCTCTACCCAGCCAACCGGAGGTGCTTCCCCATTGTGATCCTCGAAGTATTTCAGTCTGCTTTCGTCGGTATAGCTATCCCCGAAAGCGACCAGACTCGTGAAACTGAAAGTTTTCCATGCAGCGGGAAAATCTGCCGCTACGAGCGCTGAGTGTAGAACCAAGGCAGGCAGGAAAAGAGATAAGGAACGTTTCATTGTCGCGTAGAGGTTGAGAATGAGCGACTTGGGTTGTCAAACGAATAGTAAACAGAGTGAGATGAGCCCCAGCGCATTTGCTTCCACATTCTCTTTCAACTGAGAAGAAAAAAGCCTTCCCTCCAGAGGTCTATCCTCATTATATCTGATCCTCATCACCGCCCATCGCTTCGTTGCGCTCATGTGTCGATCTTTTGCTAGTAAGTTTCAATGGTATCACTCTTAGTTTGCATACTACCCTGAGAGTTATTGTATGTAACCAAAGGAGAAGCGGGAACTATTAATTAGACCCTGATTTCCCACTCAGGAACATACTCAGGGTTGGATTTTAGCATGGGACGGATCGACGATCATCGTGCTATATGGGGGCCTCAAGATGAGGTTATACGCAGACCTGCCAATCAGCGGATTTATCGGCTCCCTTCTGCGGTGCAACGACGGCACAGCATGAGCACACGATGTCCGACGAGGCTGCGAGCGGCCGAACGAAGGACCCTTGGGCCGTTCGTGTTAAATCGCTGGGTAGAGAGCCGATCTCCCGTATCTGCTCTCAGGGTTTCCTCTGGATGATCGATAAACAGTTTGCTTTTTCTGGCGAGACCAATACAAGTCAAGTACCCAGTCGATCTGACAAGTCACTCGGCCCGGGCTTTGCTCCACTTGAATAAGTATTGGTGCCCTCGACCCGAAAGATCACCGCAGGCTAAATGAGACGAAAAAGAGAACATCCGGCAAGCTAGAGATCTGGTTCTGCACTTATTAGTCGATCTCTTGTAGAATATGCTCGATACTGTAAAAGAGGACTTCGAGCATCATCCGAGCACGGATAGTGTAGTGACTAACTATATATTTGTGAGGCTCCTCATGCCGCTCATGCAGGTCGCAGCAACATATACACTGATCAACTAAACGGATTTCGAGGATATCCTGTTCTTTCCTCCAAGTTTATGATAAAGCAGGGGAGGATAGCCATATTTGCTATTCGACTAAATCGCTTTGCGTGAGATGAAATGAACTGAAATGAAAGGAAGAAACGAGGCTGGGATAGAATCCGCTGACTCAGCATCTGTTCCGCAACGCCGCCAAACCTCAAGCCTATCATCTGGCCTCATCGAGCGATTTGAATTGCTATGGGATTAGAGCACTTCTAGGCAGATTGTTCTGCTATTTTTCTAGTTGACTTCCTTTTTTGTATTTATTTGATTCTTCAGGAAGGCCCAAGTTGTTGCCCGTCAGCGACCATCGAGCCGGTTATCTGTTTCTCGCGTTTTCTGTCCGCCTCTGAGGAAGCTCATAAAATACCTCTATTTGTGTCTGCTTTTTCTTTTTATATTGCCATTCCCCGTGCTCAAATGATTGCATGGCCGAATTCTGCTCGTCTGGTCTAACATGCATTCGCTCTTCTCTTCCCCAGGCCTCATCTTTTCTGCCGCAGGGGCGCTACGCGTCGTCCTCCTTTTCTATGGCCTCTATCAAGATGCCCACTCTGCCATGAAATATACAGACATTGACTACATGGTCTTTACTGATGCGGCGCGCTTCGTCTCCCGCGGTGCATCACCCTATGTCAGGGACACGTACCGCTATACGCCTCTTCTGGCATGGATGCTTTTGCCCACCGCATGGAATGGGTGGTTTTCCTTCGGAAAGGTTCTATTCGCCATTGCGGATATGGTCGCTGGCTGGTTACTCGTTCGTGTTTTGAGAGATCAAATGGGCATCAGCGGTCCTCGAGCGCTCAAATATGCTAGCATCTGGTTGCTCAACCCGATGGTGGCGACGATCAGCACTCGTGGTAGCTCAGAGGGATTACTGGGCGTCATGGTCGTCGCGTTGCTGTGGGCTGTCTTGCAGAGGAGAGTCACCCTAGCTGGAGTTTTGCTCGGCCTGGGAGTACATTTCAAGATCTACCCTTTTATTTACGGGCCTTCCATCCTTTGGTGGTTGGATGCCGACAAAGACCACGAAACTCGGGACAAGAAGACTTCGCAAGGAGTCATATCTTATATCTTGAGTCTCGCAACTCCTGACCGCATCACAATTACCTTTGCGGCACTATCGACCTTCTCCGCTCTCAATCTGTCAATGTACATCCTCTACGGACTTCCCTTTATGCAACACACCTACCTCCACCATCTCACTCGCATTGATCACCGACACAACTTCTCGCCTTATAACATCCTCCTTTATCTCTCCGCAGCTGGAAACTCCGGCGTTGGTTTCGAGTCGATCGCCTTCATTCCACAATTAACCCTCTCCGCGGTAGCTATACCGCTTGCTCTGGCCAGGCGAAGTTTACCGGGTGCAATGCTTGCGCAGACTTTTGCGTTCGTGGCGTTTAATAAAGTCTGCACCAGTCAGGTGTGTGATTTCTGACGTCTCTCCTGGAAACAATCGCTAACTACCTCTAGTACTTTTTGTGGTACTTGATCTTCCTACCACTATACCTTCCGAATTCATCATTGATCAAGAGGCCGTACCTGGGCATTTCAGCTGGGCTCTTATGGGTTGTTGCTCAGGTCCGTATTACTCACCGGTTTTTATTTTTATTCCTACAGGTCGAACGCTGGAATATTTCCACTGTGCGATTCTACTCATATCAAGAAAACAATCTAACTTGGACACAGGCTCTGTGGCTCTATGAAGGCTTCCAGCTCGAGTTCTTAGGCATCTCCAGTTTCGTACCTGGGCTTTGGCTGTCGTCGCTCTTCTTCTTTGCTGTGAATATCTGGATTCTGGGAATAATCATCGCAGATGTGGGTTCTCTTCCGCAGGACACCGGCAAACGCGGCGCAGTTGCCACTACCAGGGAAGATGGGCAGAGGTCGGAAGTAACAGGCCGTGTCACTTCTGCAGAGAAATTTGATGAGAAGAAAAGAAGGAATATCGAGGCTTACATGAACGATCTGAAAGCGCTGGGTGATGGAGGAGCCGAATAGCAGTACTTGATAGATCCGAAAAAAGCACAGTACTATCGCCAGCGGTCAAGGTTGGCAAAACCCAGATCATAAAAGCAGAAATAACCGCAGCAAAAAAAAAGACAGCTCCTAGAAGTAGTAGTTCCTTACGAAGCTCACAACTGCAGTAGCTCATTGATGTAGATTTCAATTTGATAGCTTGCTGATTAGGTCGTAGGCCTTTCTTATCTTCCTCATTTAACCATCCAATGCAAGAGAACGCCGTTCCGAGCTTTACCTGGTCCCATTCCTACTCTATCGATGCAGCGCCACGTACATCTTCTGTCTCTGCAGTGTCCTGCTTTCCGATGAAGTCCAGTTAACCGTCCACCCAGATGGCAACGGAACACGAGGACTACAGCCAGAAATATTAAGGGCTACTCGGTAATAGCATGGGAATAATTGCAACAGAGAGAAGCCCTGCTTGCTGAACACACGCACCCCAAAAAGATGGGAATCAAAGGAAACGCCAGAAGAGGAGATGAATCTCTTTCAATGATTATATCAACAAGATCGGGTATTGTGCAAAGATCAGACATGATAAAAGAAACCCCCCTCATAGCTGTGTCACAAATAAGTCACAAGGAAACGCATCATGGATAAAGTGCTGTTGTTCCCACAATATTACGCTATCACGCCTTTGATGCATCGGCGATTATCTTATATGCGCTTGCCCTGATACTGAGAGGTCGCGTTCGGGGGTAGATCGCCCCGACGATCTGATGGTTCGGGCCATATTGCGGATAGATCCCATCCGCAAGCTCAACAAAATGTGCCTTCGGTCGGACTTCATGCAGCGTTTCCAGTATCGTTTCGCTCCATAATCCGGAGCACCGGTTATTTACAAGTTGGAAGTAGGGATTCAGCAGTGGACAGGCGGAGTCAAGGTCGATAAACCGGATGCGGACATATTCCAGCTGGAGTAATGTATCCAACGCACGTACCGCACCGACAATGACATTCTCAAACGACTGGATGAATTTGAGGTTCGTAATGCCCGAGGCGTCATCCAGTAAGGGGGTAGTTGGATCCGCCCGACGATCCCGGCAACAAGTCTTGACCACCAGATCAAGCGACTTGAGCTTCGACTCGGCCTGTTTGTTCGCCATCAAGCTGCGAGCAGTGCTAAAAAAGCAAGCACAAACCTTGCCCGTAAATGTAAGTGACTCCAAGTGAGGGGCGACCTGCCCAAGTAAACGACACAGGTGCTGCTCACTCGGGCTATCACCGAACCAGTTATGCTGAGAGCCTTCCTTGTTGTAGAAACCCTCCAGACTGATGTTCACATGCATCAGCGTCGATGGCATGTTCATCAGTACTTTGGCGATTGTGTCGTATCCTTCGATCTTAGGTTTTGCGTAAGCGCAATGCCATTCCCGCAATGAAGGCAACGCTTCGGCGAGGTTACACCAATGTCGGTACTCTCGCATGATGTTCCAGGCACCACGCATAACAAACGTCTGAATATTTGGCAAGACCGCTAGGCGCTCCAATCCACTCTTGCCAGAGGGGTCGTTCCTAAAATGCCGAATCATCGGAGGCTTCTTGCAGTGACCTCCTTCAAGGGTGAGGATCCGGGCTTCTGGAAAAAAGGTGTGGACATGGTTGAAGATCTCTTCCAAGGTTGCATTGTGGCTGGCGTAGTGGTAATTGGAGCTGCTTCCACCACTCATATTTGTGTCCGAATCGTCCCAACCCGCCATCGTAGCCTGGAGAACCGCAGCCACATCGGCTAGACCAGTGTCTTCATTGTTGTATCGTCTCGAAGGAGGGAGATGCGGTGAGGCATTTTTCGCTGTCCGATTCCCCCAGACGGGCACCCAGACCTCAATGTGTCTCACGTATGAGACTAGATGAGGATGATCACGGAACCATTGCCCGCACTCCGCGAGGGCATCCGTTGTCCCCTTCACCTTGACTATAACAGCCGTCAATAAACAGGGGAGATTCAACAGAAGCAACAGAACTTACTATGTCTATAAATACGATCCTGCACGAGAGGCCTCCATATTGGTGAGATCAGCGCAAGATTCGAGAGCGCCTTCCGTCGCGGATGGCGCAAAGCTTTACTCCAGCTCCGGGCGGAGGACTTTCCAGGGGTGGTTGTAGTCAGGGTAGATGCTCGCTCGCCAAACAGATGGTCGAGAATGGCATCATGTATCTCCACGGGCAGATTCTCAAAGCGCAGTTCGAAGCGTTGCTGAGACCGCGGCTCCTCCGCCGGGGTCCATTGAGAATCAGTCATTTCTGTGTCCGAGGCGCCATGGCATTGCACGTGTGGATTTGACAGGACGCTCAGATCAGGGCCATCGAGGATCTGTATATCTGCGCTGGTACTACGGCTCGTCTTCTGGAACGGCAGTGGAGGGGTGGCTGGCGCGCGGGCCAACGAATTGACCGACACGGGTCGAGGTGGAGGAAGCGTGGATATCATGAGACCGGAATGCTGAGAAATGCGAGATGACATGAAGACGAGGAAAAAGGAAACGGATGGAGGGAAAGAAGCGTGATATTGTTGTGGTCGTCAGGGCGATCAAAGATCTGCGGAGGTAGAGAGGGTATCGATAACCGGCCGGCGGGTTCGGAGGGCAATAGCAATCGCCTGAATGGGCGACGGCCAAGATAAACGATGGACAACGGAGACAGGACTGACAGTCGTTCGAGAGACGCAAACGAGAGGGGGCCAAGTCGTGTCAAGCCAGGCCAGCGTGGTCCATGGCGGAGACGGGCGCTTCGTTGGAGGTCTGTCGTGTGTCGGTGTCTCACGCCGGGAGGATGAGGGGTGACAAGTCAGGCAGCCTGGATCGGGCAGCGCCAGGTGAACACGAATAGATAGACGATAGTTCAGTGTAGAGTAGAGCGCCCTGGGTAGAAGAAATCAAAGTGCTGGCTGGAGAGGAGTTGGAGAGGGAAAGCCTGGTGGAGGAAAGGGAGGAGGAAGAAAGAAGGGAAAAGCGACAAGAGAGACGGGCGAGGCTGAAAGGGATTCGAGGAGCATCTGCGATTATCATTATTCTCTCTCTCTCTCTCTCTCTCCCTTCCAGAAGCCACCGGATGGTCCACCACGCCTCTGATCCCCGCCCCGACAGTCTACAGTAGTATAATAATTAACAGCATTCTCTTCTGAGATGGGGAGTTCGTCCAGGCTGACACCGCTATCTCCTAGCCGGTGTTTCAAGGACCGCCTCCTGCGACGGCTTCATTACAACCTTTTCTATCCATCATTACAGAGATCACCAATATGTACTGTACAGTTGTGTCAACTGATTAGTTACTTACTTATTTTGTGCTGACCTCGCATAGATATGCCTGAGGCAGTTGTGTTTAAGCAGAGTACGATCGACAACTATAACCAGTCTAGTTATTACTATTGGTCTTGAGAAGTCTGGCGCTGGTATTACAGATAACAGGATCGCCATGTCCAATGATAAGGATAACGAGGCTGAATTCGCACGCGACTGCGGCGCAGACTCAAGCGATGCTGAGAGCATTGTCTGTGCACGCCCATTCTTTCCAAGCCAGTCTTCATTAAATTCTGTACGGAGTATTTCAGGGATGGAAACATGACGCTGGAGAGAGGGAAACATCGGCATGCATTCCCGACAACAACTTAGAGAGAACATGGAGGGTTACTGAGTCGTATCCTGATCAGAGGAGCAACTAGAGTAGTTAACTGGAGAAGTCCACTTGATTCTTCCGGTGGGGAAGACGAATCGGCAAACCGTGTTACTTGATGGGTGTGATACTTACGGACTATCGAAGCTTTGACGATCTGCTCTTGGCCGACAGATCCCCAGCGCCGCCGTAGTCGTAATATATCGTGTACTACTTACTATATATACATTTAAAGTTCAATAAAGAAAACTACTTTACTGAGAATTGATATAAAAAAGCGGTACTGCATTTCCCGGATTTTCATCCGCAAACTCGTCCGGAATATAAATTAAAACACACCCGGGGTGAAATCGACCACCTGCACCTTTTCAACCACTGCACCCAAGGAGTTCGCGAATGCGAGGTGCGCAGGGTCTTTGAGAGTATAATAGTCTCGATCCTCTTCAGTCTCGAACTCTTCCACGAAAATGTGTGTGAACCCTCCCTGGAATACAAAGTTAGTTTGGTTATCGACTGGTGGACGGTGTAATGACCTTTACATGAGGGGAACGGAGCAGACAAGTGCTGGGGGGCCAAAGATTGGAATACATACCGACTTGCCCTCGGGGCTAGTCTGCTTCCCACCAGCAGAGGATTTGATATATGGTTTGTTCGTTGTCGGATGAATACACTGGTCCTTGAGCGACAGCATGCGGTCGACCACCTGCAAAACACCGCGCGAAACAGACGTTAGCTGCGGCCTATGGATGTCTAGGACAATCTCATATGATGTCAAGCAGATATCGATGCTTTGTAGGTATTAAGACACGACTGCTCGAATCGCTTGACTAGCAGTGAATTTCAATAGAGACATACATCCTGAATGGTCGCCTCAGAGGCATCTGGCTTGAACTGGAACATGACAATGTGGACGATCGCCATCTTGGTTTCGTTTACCACGTTGATACAAGCGAACGATGATGATACGAAGGATCGAGAGAGAAAGGAACAGAGCGGGGTAAGAGGAGTGCTTGAGCAGGGTGAAAGACAGCGTTAGTTACGTGGTTGTTCCGGGGTTATAAATCCTCCAGCTACTCCTGGAGATAAGCGGCATATACAGTACCTACCTGGTAGTTAACACATCGAAGATGGGGGCACCCTAATTTTAAGTCTGCCTCCACTGGAACTTACGTGAACTCATGTTTCCTGTGCGAGATAACTAACTGGTTAACTATAAGTCCAGAATACTCATACTCTTGACAAGAAACTAAAAGAACCCATGTCCACATACTTCGGAGTTACGATTTCAGCAATTTGCGTTAGAGACATACCATTTCATTACATATGGATCATATAGCACTGATGTTATTCCTACAGAGAGCATGGGAATTATAAATCACAAAAGGTCGAGGAACTGCCCCGCTTGTCCCCGCCACAAAGTCCGATCCCCACATCAGAGAGAGGCCACCAAAGGGGATCTATGATCAATATAACATACAGCAGTACAAACACACTGGACAGTTCTCCGAACTCTCCTTGGAGGAGACACAAACCAATCAATTGAGACGCCGCGGGTATCTATCCTATTAACCAAAAAGGGTCGCTGTTGTACGGTACGATAGTGGAAACAAAAGACTGTCGCAAAGCTGGGGATGTTCGCGTGTCGGGATATCAAAAACAGTCGAAATGTCGTGGATCAACTTCAATCAATGCCCATCACCGGACCAACGCCTTCGTAATGGAAACTCGGGGACACCGCCGGCAAACGAACCACCTCCCTTTACTTGATATACGCCGCATAGAATGCAAAATGAACGGCCGTCAAACAGTGAAGAGAGCATCGGAGAGACAGCGAAGGAAGAAAAAGAAAGAAATCGAGATAGAAACAGTATGGTTGGACCACAAAAGAAATTAATGCCCGAAATGAAATGAAAGACTGGACCTGCCTGTCGGAGTGGCATCCATAGAACAAACTTAGGCTTCATCCGATTCGGATTGCCCTTCCCAATCAAAATCAGAATAAACAGGGGGTATCTCTGTGCTCGGACTCAAAAGGCCTCTTGCGCTTTCTCCAATTTCACTCATCTCATCCGGTGCGAGCACCCGGCCACCAAGCTCAACATCGCTTACTGTCACATGGTATTCGAGTGCTTTCTTGCCCTCTTTGATCAGCTCCTCCGTCCACCCCAGGCATCGCTTCAGGCTTTGATTCATCTTCTGACTGTCGACCAATAATTCCTGATGTTTAGATAGATCTAGTGAGAATCGTTTCTCATCTGGAGCGGTGCTGCTGTCGTCTGCGAAGGATGACTCGTCATCGCCTGAATCTGAAAGTTCTTCAGGTGTGTGGACTGCAGCCTGTTCACTGATCCCATCGTCCGTTTCGCTGACAATCGAGAGACCAGTTCCGGATGTCGAGCGGAGTGAGGTAGAAATAGACAGACGGCCGGATCGACTCAATCGTCGATAACGCCGCAGTTCCGCCTGTTGCTTCCGTAGTTCACGTTCTAGCGTGCGGTTGATTGCCAACAACGACGAGTTGCTTATTTCGAGGTCCAAGACCTTGCGCTCCGTTCGCGCAGTGGCCGCAGCATCACTGATATCCTGTCCATTCACGTCCGTCTTAATAGGGCTCTGCGCCAATGGAATAGGGGCGGAAGGTTCTAGAGAGAAGGAGGAACCATTGCTTGTAATTCTCGGACGTGGTTCTGGTGTCTGCGCGGTCGCCGCTGTAGCCTCGGACGGTATAAGAGCCGGCGACAGAGAGGAGCTGGCCCTTCGTCTCTCCTGATGAGGAGTGGTCTGATGTGGCGAGTCAACACTTATGGTTCTCCTGTGAGGGGTGGGTAAGCCGACAACGCTCGACGGCCTTTCCTCCGGACTGTTCGGAGATGAGGCTTGCCAGCGCGGGGGCTTGTTCTCTGCAAAGTCGTCAATCTGGGGGCTAGCTAGAAGATGCCCATCGAAAGACCGGCGGCTGTTTGAATCTGGTAGCTGTGGTGATCTCAATCGAGGAGACAAGACCGGGGGAGTTTTGCTAGCGACAACTGGCCGCGGTGGACCAGTAGACCGCCGTTTCGCGACAGGCAATGCTTTGTTCGGGTCGTCCGTCTGGGAATTCTCTTTTGGCCCGTTGGAGTATAGGAAGGCGACCGTGGGCGTGGTCTTCACGTATGATCTGGGGCGACTATCCTGTTCAAAGGAGGAAACGGAGGACCGTGCGTCATCAGCACGAAAGAACATAGGGGATCCCGCGGAGCTTCCACAGGACGAATCGGGGCGCGAGGAGGCGCTCTGATGATAGTTTTCTGTCGAACTACTCTTTTCGCGTAGGGATCGTGGTGGCTCTAGCCTCGCATTGCCGCGGCCGGGGCTACGCTCTGTCCGGTGACCCCCCGTCGATACAGAGGGAGCAGACCGTGTCGTCTGTTGCATATAGTATGCCGCTCCAGGGCTGGTCGTCACCGGGGGCGATGCTGTGCCATCCCGTCTGGAGTTTCGCGGACCAGAGCGGGGAGTGACGTTGGCACTGAGGTAGTTTGTGTTGGATGCGTCTTCTCTCGAGGCAATCGGGGAAGTCGTCTCCGCGTACGCTGGTCGTCGAGGGGTCAGGTAGCCTCCCGAACTGGCAAGTTTGGGTGTGAGGGGTGTTTTGCTGGATCTATTAAAGGCGGCACTGAGGCTGGGAGTGAGAGGTTTGCCGGAAGGGCCGTTGCTTTGTTTATCTGGAGTCATAGTTGCGGCGGGAACGGCGGTTCTCAGCGTGGGCGAACGACGAAATTGATCGCGCATCATGGCATTGCGGGATCGGACGACTATCAGCAAGCATGGTGGCCAGAGCCTATGAAAGACTATCTCCCGGGGCGATCAGACGCAGCCAGGAGAATCAGGCGAGGGAGAATTGGGGGGTTTGGCAGATGTAGAAGTAAGAAGGGGGAAGTGGAGGACTGGAGTGTTGTCCGCTTGTTGTCCCACGGGTCGAAAAACATCGCTGCCCCAGGAGGGTTTAGCGCGCACGGGCAGGGTGGCGCTCCACTTCACACGTCAACAACGGCTGCTCCACTCGGTGAAGATGTTGAAGTTGTTGAAGATGGAGGATACAGGCAGTCGATTCAATTCAGGTGGTAACAGCAGAGATATATATATACATCTTGCTTTTGATTTTCTTGGTGTCCACTCGAATAAACGGAGAACATCGGCTGAGATTCTCTCTGGATCGTGCGAGAACCGATCTGGGTACCTCTGAATCGGACAGTGATGTAGAAGACTGTAATTCCCAAGGCCACCGAGTCCTCTGGAGCTTTCGTTGGTAGATCTCAATCTCACTTCGGACTCTGACTAGACTTCAACTTCTTGCTCTCGCGGGAACAGAGGAGCTCTGTCGCCATTGATCCATTCTCATCCAAAGAATAGACGTTTCTGTCTGCTATCCCCTTCCGCGCTGATGGATTTGAGGGCTGTTTTCCTCTTTCGAGGCTGTGACGGTGCTGGTGTCGCTTCTCGTGAAGCCCCTTGGACCGCTTCCTTAATAGTCTGCTTCGACAAGCAGAAATCAATGTGCTCATTAAACGTCTTGTCATCCGCCGCCTGAGGTCGGGAACAAATAGGACACTCCCAGAACTCGTCCTTCGTTGCGTCTGAAATGTCTGACCCGAGATTATGGGATCCCGCCGAAGGTGAAACCTCTTGACTGAGGCTCTCTAGCTCATTCATCTCATCCTGTCTCTCCTGGCGTGCCGCATGCTCAAACTCCTCTTCAGCGTTGAGTTCGCGCTCACCGCTGGCATCCACGGAGGACGGCAACGTCTGCTTTTTTTGAGCATGTATCCCGAAGAAGTCAATTCCGACTCTCTTTGTGCTGACGAGGTTCGTACATCGAAGCCCTAGGAGCCGCAGCGTGAGATTTGGGATCTCCCTCTCCAACTTGACCAACATAGGCAGTGCAAATGCGTAGAGGTCTTTCGCTAGCCATACTGCTCTTGGTGGGACAGTTTGGCGTGTCAAGACCTCGAAGGTGTGCAGCTTCACCTTCAATACGAGCGTGCGACCTTTGAACTGCGTTCTGGCAAGGTCCTTTTCTAGTTCCTCCGCCGCCCAGCGAAGCTTTTCTCGCAGTGCCTCTGCGCCACTTGTCTCCCGAAAGGTACTCTCGGTACCTACACTTTTTCGCTCATACTCTTCAGCAGGCTGGATTTTCGTTCGTCCAAGACCCAGGTAACATTCCATCAAGAAATGGAACGCTTTTTCTCCGAACAATCTCGCTAGGAATGCTCGTTGAGGGTATATATCGCCGCACGTTGCGATCCCTATTGCATCTAACTCGCGCTCAAATACGCGCCCGACACCATTCACCTTGCGCACAGGAAGATCCCTCATAAACTCCATCATGGCATCTCTGTGACTGGGGACGTAGAACTGGCCATTGGGCTTGTTTTTGTTGGACGCGATCTTGGCTATCTTCGCATTAGGTGCAATTCCTGCGGATACTGAAATTTTGGTCTTTTCCAAAACCTCAGAGCGCATCTTTTGGACGGCTTCCTGTGGATCAATCGAATTTTCTGCACAGTAGGAAGTGATGTTAAGATACGCCTCGTCGATACTCGCGCTCTCGAAGCGTGGATCGTAATTGGCCAAAATCGCACGAATCTCTTCAGCTTTAGCATTGTACTTATCGAAATTCTGCGGCAGGCAGATCAATTGCGGACATAACTTTTTGGCGACAAAGGTCGCCATTCCACTGCGGCAGCCAAATCGTCTGGCATGGTAATTGCAGGTTGTCAAAACACCCTTGCCTACGGCCATCGGTACCTCTTTTAGCTCAGGCCGGTCGAGCTCTTCGACAGCTGCAAAGAACGCATCGCAGTCGACATGTACAATTGTCTGGGATAGATCCCGATTTAGCTCCAATTCAGCGAGATAGTCGTCCGCCTTTCGTAGGTCCTGGGATAAATCTAGGCGTTCTAGGCATGCTTTTTCGGCTTGGATGCGTTTGACCTTCTCTGTGAGGATTTGGTCCCGGATTTCTTCCCGGTTAAAGAATTTAGATCCTTTTGATGCATTATAAATGATCTCTGAGACCTATATCATCTGGCTTAGTATGAAAGCTACTGAGCAGTGCAGAATCGCCGCTCACCTTCCGCTGATCTACAGTATCTTGGCCAGCCTTGGTCAGAGACGGCCCCAGAAGATGGTACTTGAGAGTATCGTGAGTACCATCAGTATCAGGAGCGTCAACTGCCGGCGCTGCAACATCGGGCTCTTGGGTGACTGGATCCATTGATGCTGCGCGCTGCGAGGAATGTTCTCCAAAGCAGGCAATCATATTGAACGCCTCATCACGTGAGGACGCGTTGCTGTTCGCGTCACGTGCACCTCACTTTCGTCGTCATTGGAAATGCGAGTCGGTCAACTCCATTGCAATCTAAACAGGTCAGCATGTGGATTCTCGATTCCGAAGGGGATTTCCTGGAAGGTAAGTATTTGATTTACTTCATTTCGAAATGCAGCTCGCTGATGTCTTGCTAAGGTAGACGCGTATGGCTGAAACCCGGGAAGAAGTATCTCTTCGGTCGCATCAAGCAGGACGGAGGTGAGTCCCGGTTGAAACAGCTATTGCAACCAAGATCTGCTAATAACCTCCAACTTCTCGCAGTACGTCACGCTATACAACATGCCTCTATCTCCAGAAAACATCTCGTTATTGAAGTTTCTCCTGTGAAACCTGGCGATGGTGTAAGTCTGCCTCGCAATTTCGATGTCGCATCCGCTAACCGCTCTGCAAGTCGCATATTCATACCAAATCAGAAATCACAGTCAGTGACCAGGGATCTAAATGCGGTACCACTGTGGATGGAGAACAGATAAAAGGCCTTTCGAAACGTCTCAGTGGGGAGGAACACACAATCATCCTGGGAAGATACCAGAATCCATTGAGGTATAAGCTCCAGATGAACAAAGTGCTTTAGACACGGCTTGACCGGTACAATAGGATTCGATGGCAATCTACCGTCCTTAGCTTTTCATTTTCGTCGAAAGAATTAAAAGCAAAGGACCCTTTAGGGCCCATACGCTCACGGCTGGAGGACTTGGATATCAAGACTATCATTCCGTATGTGGTCGGGAAGACAACCCATGTCGTGCAGAACAAGCGAAACACGGCAAAGGGACTCCAAGCTCTCATAAATGGCCAGTACATCGTTCAGGACTCATACGTCGATGCTTTAGTATATGCAGCTACGCCAGGGGACCTAGAGAATATAGAGTCGCTATCTCCTCTGGAAGAGAACTTCGACGCAGCCTGGCCAGATCCTTCCGAACACCTTCCACCTCCAGGAAAAGAGCCGATCCAGAGACCCCCGGAAGCCTTTGCACCAAATAAAGATCGCATCAATGTTTTCGAAGGCTATACTTTTGTCTTCTGCGACACTTCCCAGTTTGAGAATCTACAGGCTCCTATAACGAATGGCCACGGCAAGGCATTGTTCTATCAGATCGAAAACGGCGTCACCACCGCAGAAGAAATAATACAGTTCATGCGAAGTGCTGCAGGCCAGAAAGGGCTGGGAAGCGAACATGAAGGCCCAGGTGTTGTTCTTGTTCGTTTCCGTGCAAAGGGACGCTATGAATCGTGGTCTATTGAACTCGGAAACCAGGTTGCTTTAATGATGGATCAGCGCGTCATAGAACAGAGTGAGTTCCTGGATGCTATCCTGCGGAATGATGCGTCGTCTCTGTGTCGGCCTCTTCCCCGAGAGATAGAACCCAGCCAGGAAGCTATTCCTCCTAGAGCACCTTCAGAACCGACACCTGCTATGGACAGGGAAGCCCAGTCTCAGCAAGCACCTCAGCAAGATACCCAGACCTCTGAGGCAGTTGAGCAACCCAGGAAGCGCCGTCGGGTCCACAATTTTGTGAGCAAAGTGAAAACTTTCGATGATGGTTTCGATATGGAATCCATCCCAGTGTATACGCTGGAGGAAGGCGAATCTGCTCAGCCAGAATCTCAGGTAGTGCTTCACGATATGATCAGAAAGACGAAGCTGACGATTGGATACAGTATATGGAAATGGAACCAGCGACCAGTCAGCAAATCCAAAGCCAAGCACGTACTGACGAGGAAGATATGATGGCTAGCTTGCTTCCCGGTGCCAATGCGATGAAGAAGAGACGCGCAGAATCTAGTCAGAATAACCGACAAGAAGAAAACATCGCGCCTAAAGAAGTAATCCGCAAGCCGAAACGTCAAAAGCTTGACGTCCTGGAAGCAGCGCGGCAGCACCGCGAAGCTGAAGAAAACGCAGCTCAGGAGCAACTCCGTGAAGAAGAAGCGTCTCTCCAAGCTTCCCTGCAAGACATGAGCATAGAGCAGATGAAGAATCTCGTCATCGTCGAGGAAATGGAAGTACCTTCTAGGTTTGTGCGCTCTCAGACAGTAGATGAGGGTAATCGGTGGAACGACCAATGGAATGGGAGGAAGAATTTCAAGAAATTTCGAAGAAAAGGAGATCTTAATATGCCCCGCAACCGTATCCAGACCGTCATTGTTCCGTTGGAGGAGGTGAAGCGGAAAGACTACGGTGTCGGAGACATCTACTGGGCTGGTAATCGCAGTACTCCTGACAGCAGCACGCGGGACCGAGCCAGTAACACAGAGCGACAACCTAGTCAGCCGCAACTGACGCAGTCAGATATAGCGGAATCTATATCCCAGCAGCCTATCCAGAAAGATCCAACGCCCCCGCCTCCCAGAAACCCAAGGAGTCAACGGACTCAAAAAAGGGCTCGTGAAGTCCCTGACTCGGACAGTGACAACGAGCTACGGTTTCGGTTTCGTCGGAAAAGATAAGAGCCGAGTTCAAGTGATGAAAGGTGTGCTTATTGCTAGATTTGTCTGTCATGTACATATTATCTCTCCGCTTGTAATATGAGGTGTATATGGTGACGTTCACTGTCTGCGGACTTCATTAGGAGATTACAAGCGACTGGACACCTACAGTCGTGAAAGATTCGAAGGATCATCTAGCTACAACAACGTCTATATTAAAGTACGTATGCATATATACGTACGGTATATGTGTTCGAAATGGTTCAGATTAAACGCAGTAGAAAATTGCGTTCGGAGAATCTCTCAATGCAAAGAGCATCGAGAGGGTACTTTGCTGGAAATGGGTGCATGCATGTGTCTATACAGACAGGACAAATGAGAAACCGAGAAAGGGTGTAGAAGACAACGGGTGAAACAGGAAGGGCTGTCGGGGAGAGAAGAGCTGTAAAAAGAACAGACCGCGGGAGAGAACACCATACTAAGATCTCGAATTATGATGATGCAGCTTCGGGTGGTGTCGATTCACGCTTAGACTTGTCCTTCTTGTGCTCTTTCTTTTTCTTCTCATCTTTGCCCTTTTTGGATGAGGCCTCGGCCATAAGCTGCTCGAAAGCCATGTAGTCGCCTTCTTCCTCCGGGTCACGTTCGGCCTGGTTTCAAATGTGTTAGTACAGAAGATGCAATATACATTGTAGGACCGAGAAGACGCACTCTTTGGTAGATATTACCAGCGATAACAAGGGCATGGGCGCGCTCAATCCGCTTGTCTAGCTTGACCGACTTGTCGTGGAGCACCTTGTCGCAAACGTCTCTCAAGACGCTCTGGATCTCGAATTTACTACCCCGCCAAGCAGCTGCCAAGATCTTGCCGGTGACCTTCTTCTCATACTCTGCTTTCTTCTCATCTGTCCAGTCTTCTCCACCCTTCTCCTCCAGCTTGGCCATTTCCTCCATTGTCATCTGCGCGTCAATGGCTGTCGAGATGGTGGTCCACGTCTCCTTGGCAAGAGTTCCCTTATCCTTTAGCCGAGAAAAGAAACCTGAGATACCCAGGAACTTCTGGGACTTCAGGAATGAAGTAGCTTTCTGAACGTAGGTCTGGCCGATCGCGTGCAGGATCTCGAGACCAAAGGATTCCATCTTGAGGTTTTCCACCTCCAGACGGATCTTCTCCTCGAAGGCACGGGTAACGTCGGCGCTCTTGTCTGTCTCCGTCCATACGCTGATGCGGTCGATGAGTTTACGAGCAAGAGTATCTACCCGCTCCTCCCGGGCCTTCTTCCTCTCCAGCTCATATGCAGCCAGGCGCTCTTGCTGCTCCTTCGTGAGGCCACCCTTCTTCTTTTCCTTCTTGCGAAGTTCCTTTTCTTCCTGCGTCAGGCCAGCTGCTTCCATCCTGGCATCCTCTTCCGATTTATCCATGATCGCCTGCTGGCCTAGATATCTCCGTGGGGTGCTGGTACCCGAACTCGGGCCCGAAACAGGTGGCTTCTGGTCTTCGGTGGTGGCCTCTGCCTTCGGGGCAGCCGATTCTCCCGCGGCTGTCTGCTCATCATGGACCTTTAACTTTTCCTCTGCTGCCTCGGCCAGTTCATCTTCTTCCATTTCCTGCATCGTAATATCCATGGTCGTTGTAAGATCCTTCATCAGTGAGATCTCTCCGATCAGGTCGACAAAGGCTTCACCACCAAAGATCATGCTGAAAAACTCGGACGGGTCCTCTGCCAGAAGACGTTAACATCAATCATGGCCATCTCAAGATCACGACTACTAACCGAAGCCTCCTCCCGGGACAGCCTGTTCCTTTCCAAATTTGTCATATTGCTTCCGTAGATCCTCGTTACTGAGAACTTGGTATGCTTCTCCAATCTGCGTTGCCCTC